TTAATTTAAATAGTACTATTTTAAATTTATAGTAATTATAATATATATAAAATACTATTTTTTTTTAAATGTAAATTTAATAATAAATATTTATTAAGTTAATTTTTAAAAACATTTTATACCTAATAGCTAGTTTAAAATTTTTAAAACTAATAGTAAAGGGTAATAATTTTTAACTATAATTTTATTAAAGGCCTAGTAATTAATATAAAGTTAAAAAATATTATTTTTCTTAAAGGTAAATAAAATTAAAACCCCTACTAAACTTTTATTAGAGGTAATTTATTTAATTTTTAAATTCTTTTTTAACTATTCTTTTAAAATTTTTAATTCTTTTAATAATAATAGGTAAAAGAATAAAAAAAGTAGTAATATTTCTTCTTTTAATTTAATTATATAGTTTACCTTTTTTTAAAAAAAAAGTTTTTTTATTTTAACCTTTATAAAAAACTCTTCTAAGCCCTTTAATTATAGGTATAATTAAGAGGAATTAAGGGATAATTTTTTTTATTTATTTTTTTAGCTTTTATTATTTTTTATTATTTAAACTAAAAGGGTTATTAATTAAAAAATAATATAATAATATATATTTTACCCTAATTTTTATAAAAGCTTTTATAATTTATTAGATAATATATAAATTATTTTATTAAAGTTATTAATTTTTAAATAACTTTTAACTTTATTTAAAAATATTATAAATTTAGAGTTTTAATAATAAAATAAATTTAAAATATTTTTATTTAATAGTAAAATATTTTAGGTTTTTTAATTTCTAAAATAGTTTTTAATTAAAAAGAATTTAAAAACTTTATAAATAAATATTAAAATATAATTAATCCCTTTAACTAATATTAGAATTTTATTAATTTTTTAAATTAAATTTTTTATAAATAAAATACTAATTAAGTTTATTTAGGCTTAAACATTAAGGTTAATTTTAATATACTTTTAGCCTTATATTATAGTTATTTTTTTAAAATTATAAAGATATTATAAACCTTTATTATTTCTTTCTCCTTTTAATTTTAATTATTAATTTAACTTTTATTTTAAATATTATTTTAATAGGTAGCTAAAATAATTTTTAGCTTCCTTTATTTTAGTTTTACCTTTAATAACCCTTTAATTAGTAATTATTATAGCCTTAAACTTAATTTATAAATATTATAACTTTTATTAATATTAGGTAATTTAGGGTATAATAATAGGTACTATTATAGTAGTAGTAAATAGTTAGTTTTTTATTATTATTAAGAAAATTAAGTTTTAAAATAGTTTTAAAATTACTTTTTTAGGTATTTTAATTAGGCTAGGTATATAAACTTTTACTTTAAAATTTTTAACCTTAACCCCTTATATATAAGAAACTTTAAATTTTTTTAAAAGCTATAATATTACTTTAAGGGGCTTCCCCTTATTTTCTTTTATTAAAAATTTTATTATTTCCCTTATACTTTATTTTTAATTTTTATATTTTTTAAAATTTATTTAGATATATTAACCTAAATTATTTAAATAATTTTAATTATTTTATTTTAGTATTTAGTAAATTTAGAGTATATTTAATTTAAATGTTTTAAAAATTTAATTTTATAACTTAAAAAAATTTAGTTTTAAAATTATTACTTTTAACCTTTTATTTTAACTTTAAGGTTTTAAAATATTAATAAAAGAACTAAAGGTTTTAATTTTTTATTAATAGGTAAAATTAATTAAGTTTTAAATAATCTTAAAAATACTTTAAAAGTTTTTTAAAGTTATTATTAAAAGTTTTAAATTTATTTTATTTATAATAGTTAAATATAAATTTTTTTTTAAATTTTATATAAGTGTTTTAGTAATTTTAATACTTTTTATTAATATAGTTAAATATATAAATTACTTTTATTTTATTATTATAAAGGAATTATAATTAAAAATATAAACTTTTTAAGGTTTATTATTTAATTATTATATTATTATAAAATATAAGCTATAAATAGTAGGGTAATATTAGTTAACTTTAAATTTTTAATTTAATTTTTAAGGTAATTTTAGCTATTTTAAGAGTATTTATTTTTATTAAAGGATTTAGTTTTACTTTTATTTTTAAGTAAGGGTATTATTTATTAAAAAAGTATTTAAACTTTTTTTACTATTATTTAAACTTATCTAGAATCTTCCCTTTTAGTTACTTATTTTTAATAGTATTATAAATAATATAAGAAAAAAATTAGAATTATAATAGGTTATAATATTAGATATAATAATATAGGTTAAAAAAGGCTTAAAGGTTTATTAGGTTTAAGTTTAATATAAAACTAATTTTTACCTCTTTTTAAAAAGAGGTAAGTAGGCTTTACTTACCTTTTAATAAGCCCTAAAAAGGGATATAGCTAGGCGCTAGGGTACTTTTAGGGCACTTCCTTATAGCTTTTACCTAACCATTATATATATTTACTTTTTTTATATTTTTAATTTTAAAATAAAAATATATTTAAATATTATATTTAATTATATTTAAAGTTTTTAATATAATATTTTAATTAATATTAATATATATAAAGTTATAAATTATTAAAAAAGTTATATTTTAAATTATATTTTAATTATTATTATAATAATATAATATTATTAAACTTTATATAATATTTAATTTTTAAATATTAATTTAATAGTTTAATTTTTAATTTAAATAATCTTTTATAAATAATAATAATATTTATATTAATTTTAAATTATATAATAAAAGTTTAAACCTTTATATTAAAAATTATTTAAATTTAAAAATATTTTTAAAAGGTTTAATATAATACTTTAAAATAACTAAAAAAACTTCTATTTAATAAAAAATTAAAAAGTAAATACTTACTTATTTTATAACCTATTATATTTAATTTTCAAGCTACTTATAAAGTATAATATACTTTTAAAGCGTTTAAAGCTTTATAAGGTTCTTAAGAAGGGTAATATAATAATATAATACTATTAGGCTTTATATACTACTTAGTCTTTTAAATATTAACTTAAAATTCTAATTTTTTAATTAAATAATCCTTTTTATAAGTATTAAAGCCGGGGGTAAGGATTTCACACCTAGGGCTAGGGGTCCTCTACCCCCGACTTCTACAGTTAACCGTTTACTTATAATAAGTAAGAAAGAGAATAGAATAGTTACTTCTAGATACTAATTAAATAAGAATAAGGAAGGATAAATTATTAGTAAAGTCCTTTAGGGGAGAGGTACTTATTTATATAGTTTATATCTAGGGCCGTTATTAATAGCTGTTAAAATAGTATTAATAGAATTTATATTAATTATAACTCTACTTTTTAATAATTAAATAAAATCTTTTTAAACTTTATTTTAAGTAATTACTTTATTTATTATAAGTTACTTACTTTTTATAAAATAAATATCTTATAGTTTTATTTTAAATATATTTAATTTATTATTTTAAAAGTATTTTTACTTTATTATTTATAAATTACTTTTAATTTATCTTAATTAATATTAATTAAAATAATTTTAATATTATAATAAATTATTCTAACTAAATATTATAAATATATAAAAATAAAACTTATTTAAAATCTTTTATTAATATTTTACTTTAAAATTAATATTTATTTAAATATTATTATTATTTATATTCTTTTAAATAATATTATTTAATATAATTTTAATTAGATTTTTAAATATAAATCTTTAAAGAATAAATTATATTTAAATATTTATATAATTTATTATTAAAATTATTTATATTTTATATTAATAAAAGTTTATTTTATTAAATTATATATTTAAAATAAGTTTATATAATAAAATTATTCTTATAACTTATAATAAAAGAGACTTAAATTATTTATAAAGAATTATTAATTAAAAATTAAAGTTTATTAAGGAATAATATAGGGGAAGTAGTAAAGCTATAATCTTATATTATAAAAGGTATAGAGGCCACTTGGGCTGATAAGATAAGTAGGGTGTACGGACCTACTGGTTGGTCCTGCGGGTGATCAGCCCATGGCCCTGACTCACAGCAGGCTGCCGATGAGCATTTCAAGCGCAACTCAACTTGCTGTGACGACTGTTTCACGAGAATTGTTTGATTGCTGGCTCTCCAAGTATTCCTTCGCGTCTAGCATTCACCGTCACGAAGTGTAATGGTCGCACCGGGCTAGGAGTGACTGGCGGAGCCCCCCTACACCCCCCTGGCCGGGTACATCAGACCAGACTTCGTCAGAGGCTTCCTTGCTTTATTTTTCCTACGCAGACCAGATCTATTCCAGATTGTAGAACATTGAGCAAGAATTGCGAGCTTTGACTCTCCTACCTCCCTCCCGCGACAACAAGAGGTAATTTTGCAACTTCAAAATGTCTTGGCCATTGTTGGTGCAAGACGGGCCTTTTCACTCATCATTTGAGGACATTAATGACCACATTTTCTCTGGAATCCACGATCGTCATGGAAAATTCTTCGCAAACAAGCCTTTGGGATCAAAAGCAATGGAGATTGTCCAAGAAGAATGGCCGAGTGTGCAGGATCAAGCCGATGTTCCATTCACCGAAACTATCACCGCCTGGCTTCAACGTGTCCAAGCAGAACTCAGGAAGCAAGCAGGAGTTCATGCAACTTGGCAGGTACATCGTCTAGAAGACTTTGAGATGTATCAAAAGGTTCTCATGCTTTCAGAAGCGCAAGAGCTCGACAATTGGGCCGATGTGGCGGCCTTGGGACTTTTGCACCAAGGAACTCAACAGCAAGGAATACTGCAACTGTCTCGCTACACAAGGTCAGTTTTCTACAGCCAGCCGAGTCGAGTGTTCCTGCATGGATTCCTGGTGCGGGGACAGAAGGCCCAACTTTGGCTCTTTGATCGCTCCGGGATCTATGGGTCCTTCCACCGCACAGTGAGGAGTCCCAATAATCCCTACCTCTTAGCCATGGTTGGTTGTATGTTTATGAACAAGGGTGAATGGGGCATGTCACCTTTGGTTCATAGAAAAGGAAAGCATGAGTTCGTGAGCTTGCCATGTAAGCATGACAGCAAGAATCGGGAAGACATTTTCGTTCTATGCGGCAAGATCTTCGAGCGGGTACGCGGAACCCTCGTTGGCGATGGCCTCACTGTCTACAGAGCGAGACGGGCTGAAGATTTCGAAGAAAAATATGCTGTCAAGTTCAAATGGTCAGGAGTCTCCGAAAGAAACGAGATCAAAATGCTGAATTTGCTGAAGGAGAGGAATGTGTGGGGGGTGATACACCTCGAAGCATATTATGTTGGCGCGAGCACCGATATCTTGCACGACGACCTCACCCTCAAGCTGGGAAATCCTCTGACCGTGCAAGCGGATACTGATTCATCCGACGACGGTGTTGAAGAACGCAAAATGAAATCCCTTGGTCAAGACAGTCGGAACGAGCCTAGAGCATTCGCTTGTACGGTTGTTACACCCCAAGGTCGGACCCTCCACAACTATGAAACGATTCTGGAGGTCTTGTTGGCGCTACGCGACGCAGTCAAAGCCCACCGATCAATCTACCAGAACGGAAAGATCCTGCACAGAGATATCAATCCCTCTAACATCATTATTCCCTCCTACGACCCGAATACGGACAGAGATCACGCTGCGAGAGGCGTACTGATCGATTTTGACATGGCCAAAGAAAATTCACAGCCAGTCCAACCTCATCAAGCTGTCGGGACTTACATATTTCAGGCGATTGGGGTGTTACAGGCCTATTTGCCGGACAATCCCCACACCTATCGTCACGATATCGAGTCGTTCCTCTACACATTTCTTTTTCTTGCAGTCGCGCCGCGGCCTGTTCCCGAAGGAGAAAATCAGCTGCAACTCCCGGAATCCAGCGTGCTGCGGGAGTGGTACAAGGGAAGGTTGGTGGACAAAGCATATCGCAAAATGGACGATATGGAGTCGGCAGACGAGTTCAGGGGACGGATCGTATCGGAGTTCACCCCTGAGTTCCAACGGCTTGGGTCGCTGGCAGAGAGACTCAGGGAAATTTTGTTCCCCGTCGACAAAGACGGCAAGATCTTGATGGGAACGGATATGACTGAGCAAGGGACGAATGCTCTATACGATGCAGTCATCGGTGCATTCGAAGATGCGGCATTGGAACATGCGAGACTGTAGTCCAAGGATGTCTTTTTGTCTAGAAGTTGAAACTCCAGAAGGTTTGTTCTTTCTGAATAACTTAGCGGTGAGCACGGAGTGCGTGGAGCCGAGATTGTTCTCAAGGAGAAGGCACAAACACACACGATCGATGGGTAGAGAGCAGAATTTGGCGTGCTTGGGATGAGTGTTCTTGATCAATATTTTTCAAGGCCACTTTGGGCTTTCCGCCCACTAACCATCCTTTACCACCCGTCAAATAACGTCTAGCATCTAGCAAGATCCCACAGGAACTTGCTACATGCTAGACTACAATCCCATTTGCTTATCACCATACCCGATGATTTAGTTGCTTCGTGTCTTGAGCGCATACCATCGTATGAAGGCGCCATGTATGTCCTCGGACGTATACGGAATAGAAGCGAAACCACATATTTAGATTGTGGAGTCCTAAGAGGACTTCTATGATCGAGGTATTCTCTACAGCCTGTGAGTTGCGCCTCATTGAAGAACTGTTGACTAAGACACAACGGGAGCTATTACAAGAGCTTTGCAATTTTGGGGTCAGCAATTCTGGGTGGTCTAACCCTCGGTCGCCCGCCAACTTGCCCAGGTGCTGGAAAACAAGCCTTGCTGATATATGTACACATCAAAGAAATATGTAACGATGATGATGATGAATATTTCCGATACCCGTCATCACATTCGGACCCATCGCATTTCGGAACGTAAGGTTGCCCCGACGGTCCCGACGAAACTGTTCCCTTAGTTTGGAGCTTGTGGTAGGGCTGACTGACTCCTTTACAGTCTGCGGGAAAAGTCCATGACGCAACGGTTTCAACGCCATCGGCTTTGTTGTGTCTGCATCTAACTTGAACAACCACAAGTCAGTTTTACATCATCACTAAGCACAGATTAAAAGGACACCATACGCAGGCCGAGATCGCTGCGAGAATCTTCATACATACATTGCATGCATCCATATAAACCAGTTTGAATAATCAGGAGCAACACGACCTCGATCTCTGCAGAAGCCTATTACACCTGGCACGAGATTCACGCAAGGCACCCCAGGGTAAAGATATCAGTCAAGATGGGCGTCACACTGTCCACCGCGCGCTATATTGCGCCTATTTCGTTTGTCGTAAGAAATTCCTTCGTGTCAAGAGTTTTCGCACACTGTGCCGTTGGAAGGTTCTAACCGAAAGCCTTCGGTAGATCGACTTTGCCGCTCAGCAATATGGAATGCTTAGCACGCCGAACATGAAGGACGTTCATGACGCCAACCTCTCCTTCTGGTCTCCCCAGCCATTCTTCATCGCAGGATTCTTCTTCCCACAACAGCTGTTTCAGCTTGCCTGGATTTGGCGCCTGTGGCGATCTAATGACCAGTCTGCACTTGAGGATGAGGCAGTGAACACAATGGTCGACTTCAGCCCGTTCTACACTGTGGGGAATCTCTGCATCGCAAGCTGGATGGTCTTCTGGAACGCCTCGGACCTCAAGACTAGCAACATATTCGTGGTCATCAATTCCCTCGCCCAGCTGTACTACATCTTTGGTCGTCTCCCGCCGATGAATTCGAACTCCACAAACTCGATTTTGACACACATTGTGAGCAAGACTTTCGCCGGAATCGGTGTTCTGGACTTGTTGCACAACGGATCTGTTGCGTACTTCGTCCACCAACAGCCCTCAACTGCTGTCAAAGTCCTGACCGGATTGGGATTCGCGGGTCTCGCGTCTTGCAGTGACTGGATTTTCGGAGGATGCCTTGTGTATGATCTCGTGGCTCTGTCAGTTGGGCAGCGGGCTTACGGCAACGAGAGCTGGAGCAATATGCTGGGACTGTTCGCTGCAGGAACAGCCACTCTTGTTGTTGCCAAGAACCTTTTGAGGTAAGTGGTTATGACACATGACCTCGATACCAAGACGGGCCACCGGAGGTCTCTTTTCGTGTGCATGCTGACACCAATTATAGGCCACCGTACATCCGCTCACCTAAATCTGACTATAGTGCTCTATGAGGAGTCTGCAGGGTTATCAGTTGCGAAAGCGAAACAGAATTGTGAGCTTTTGGGCTGAAACTCATGGTGGTCATGTGGCAGGACCTCACAAAGGCGTTTGTGCGGGATCGAGTTTACGGACGTGATGCATACTCTTCATTGTACGATATCGTGTGGCTTGGCAAGGGGGAGAACCGACTTAGCCGGGCAAATGAACTTCATGCGTCGTGTTTGTAATTTCCCATGAATGGAACGTGAACCAATGTATTCCGTGCTCGAATAGCTGAAATTGTGAAACTTGAGAAGGCCAGAGTACCGGGGTACATCACACGTTCTCTATCATATCACACGCGACTTTTGAGCTGCAACCTTGCCTAAAGACCATTCACATGGCGCATACTCTTTTCGAGATTAAATAAATCGTTACACACTTTACATAATTAGCGTTGACTAAATCTATTGTATAATATGCTCATACCATTGACTTACAGCTGTCTTGGGACGAGAGTCTACGTCACAGGCAGAAAACACGAGATCGGTCATGACACTATATTGTAAATTATGTTCTTCTTTGGGCTCTCTGGCTTCAGAATTTTGCAAGCATCTAAGCTAACTAGGTGGGTACTCAGGTCCACAGGTCGAAAGGCCTCTGCTCTTACAAACGTAGCTCATATCGCCCAGCCCACCAAAATACCCAATCACATCTCATTATAAGCATACCTAGGCTTCAGCCACATTATATTTTTTATTTAACTATATATTTATCTATCCCTTTTAAATATAAGGCTAAAAGATCTATAATTATAATTTTATAATTAGTTTTTTATTTAATTATATTATATTATTATAACTTTATTTAATCTTTAACTTTATTTAAACTTTTTTTTAAGCTTTTTTAATTTTTTTTTTAAGGAAGTTAAATTTAAAGGGGAGCCTTTAAGCTTAAGTTTAAGATTCTTATAAATCTTAATTTTTTTTAAATTAAGTTTATAATCTCTTAGCTTTTTAAAAAATATATTAACTATTTTAAATATTAAAAACTTCTTTTTAAAATAAAAGTTTATTTTTATATAATTATAAACTTAATTATTAATAATTATTTTTTCTTTTATTTATAAATTATTAAATTTATAAACCTAGATAATAGAGTATAGTTACCTTACCTAAAGGTTATCTTTTAGTTTAATAGGTTAATATACCTTAAAATCCCCTTTAAACAATGAATATCTAACTATGATAACAAGCGTGGCAGGCTGAGCAACTGCTTTCAAGTAGTTTTACTTGCAATATAACGGAGCTGATAGATGAGTGTTTACTTGTAGAGCAGAGCCAGAACCCTAATTAGGGGAATGGTAGCTTTTATCTTCACCTATTTTAACTAACTTAGAAGGTCTAAGTTATATAGTAATCTTATATATAGTACTTAATAGGATTAAGACTAGCCTATAATTTATAATAACTTTAACCTTTAATATATTAACTTAAATAAATTAAATGTAACTTAATATACTAATATAGAAAGATATTCTTTAATAGTAAATAGTATTATAAATATAAATTATAAAGTTATTATAAAAAGTTCTATATAATAAACTTAATAAAATTAATTTTTAAAAGATATATTATATCTTATCTTTTTAAAACTCTAACTATTTACTTTTAATTTAATAATAGAATTAAAAATATAAATAGTTTATATATTTATCTATTTATTATCCTTTAAATTTTAAACTAATTATTAACTTATACTTTAAGTATAAAGTTAATAATTACTTACTATATACCTTTAAACTTATTTATATATAATAAAGTTATTAACTTCATTTATAAAGCTTTTTTCTACTATATTTCTTATATATTATATAAAAATAAATAAATCTTTAATAATAAAGTAATATATTTAAAGAAAAAGGTTTAATTTTTAAATATTTAAACTTTTACTTTTTTATATAATATTTATTTAATATATAATAAATAAACTCCTTTTAAATATAAAGTTAAAAGACTTATAATTATAATTTTTAATTATTTTTATTTAACTCTTTTATTATATTATAATTTAATTTAACTTTATTTAAACTTTTTTAAGTTTTATAAAAGCTTTTATTTTTATAAATATAAACTTTAAATTAAAATCTTTAAACTTAAGTTTAAAATTTTATAAATTTTAATATACTTTAAATTAAACTTATAATCCCTTAACTTTTTAAAAATATATTAATTATTTTAAATATTAATAAATCTTTTAAAATAAAAGTTTATTTTTATATAATTATAGATTTAATTATTAATAATTTTTTTTCTATTTATAGTAGAGCTATTAGAATTATAAACTTAGATATTATATATAATAATAAAGTATAGTTACCTTACTTAGAGGTTATCTCTTAATTTAATAAGTTATATAGTAGGTTAAGTAATTACTTTTAAGTAGTTTTACTTATAATATAGTGAAGTTAATAGTCTTTTAGGTTTATTAGATAGGTGTTTATTTATAGAGTAAAGCTAGAACCCTAGTTGGGGGAATGGTAGCTTTATCTTCACCTATTTCAACTAACTTGCCTAAATCACATAGCGACCTCACACATAGTGCTTGACGGCATTAAGACTAGTATATACTACATTGCATCACCCTATACATTTTCAGTTAATCTTAGAATATAAAGCAGCCCGCGGTTTATAAGAGCTTTAACCTTTAATGAACTAAGTATAGCCTAGTGTATTAATATAGGAAGGCGTCTTCTAATAATAGATAGTATTATAGATATAGTAGATTATAAAGTTATTATAAAAAGTCTTATATAATAAACTTAATTAAGTTAATCTTTAAAAAATATATTATATCTTATTTTATTAAAACCTTAACTATTTACTTTTAGTTTAATAATAGAATTAAAAAAATATAAATAATTTATAATAAATAAACTCTATTTAATTTTTTAAAAAGTTTTAATCTTTTTATAAAATTTATATAAAAGCTTTTAAATAAATTTATTATTATAATATTATTATTCTATTAATTATATATTTAAAATAAAAATTATAATATATTTAATTTATTTAATAAAATAGATTTAAATAATTATATAATAAATATATTAATAAAAGAATTAACTTATTAAATTTTATATTATAAGATTCTTCTTCTTATAAAAACTATTTTAAAACTATTTTAATTTTATTATATAATTATTTTATTAACTTTTTAATATAATATTATTAAAAGTAATACCTTTTAACTTTATTTATATAATATAAAGCTTAATTATATACTTATATATTATATTCTTTTTCTACTATTATTAATACTATATTTCTTTAAACACTAGATCTTAAATATTTACTACTATATAAAAGCGCTATATATATTTTATATATATAGGGATTAAAAACGAAACCACCCTGTGAGCATGCCTAGGTGGTGTACCCCACAATCAAATCACTGGGCCCCCGTTCTCAGCATTGGTAGTCACCTTCCCATCCCATAAATCGCCGTCGATGAAGCACGCATTGGCAGGCCTGACATTCCTCTTCAGTGCTCCCATCAGACGTGGGATCAAGTGAGACTGTAGCGAGAAAATACGCACTCCAATTCTTCCCGGGTGCCATTCGTTTCCTTACCCTGGCGGAAGGCTTTTGCAAGCAGTTTCGAGAAGAATGAGATTTAGCTGGGGTCCCAAGAAACAGACTGTATGTCGCTTGGCTCCACGGTACGTCTGGATTCCGAAGCCAAACATCCCGGGGCCCCGTTGGCGACTCGCTATCTTGGTGCACTTGCATCACTGCTTAGCTGTGTCCAAGTTTCAAAGATCAGGCAGGCCAAGTAATAGATTCTTGAAATGCATCAAGAGGCAGTAGCACCCGCGGACTTCGTTCAGTTACCCCCAGGCAATCGACTCGCCGTCCAGTTGACGCTTTCAAAGATCGCCAGCCACACACTAGGAGGCACTAAGAAGTCAGCGATCGTGAAGTCAGACCCCCGGGGCCGTGATTCTAGTTTTGAATCATTTATTACCAGTCTCGCCGCCTGGAGTAAATCGCACGAGCTTTCCCTGGGATTTGGCCGCCACCCAGACGTGTCATTCCATATCAACTGCCATAATGCGCGGGCATCCGGCATCCAGCCATGTTTCGAGTTGGACGAATGGCTGGCTTTTCTTTTTTTGAAACAGAACCGTCGTTCGTGTTGTAGTTGTACCGGAATAACCCCCCTTAGACGTCTCGCTCGCGCACATGATCTTGTTTTCTAGTGAGAAGACGGGCCCGTTTGGCACGGGCTCCCGCACAGATTCCGGCCTGGCCTCGCTGGGGCCTCCGTCCATGCACCAGTGCCGGTCGATCGGATCCTCCTCGTCCGATGCCATGGACCCTGCCCACCGTCGCCCCTTCGCGTCTATTGCGCCATCGTTCATCCTCATGTTTGCGTTGAGGCCCTTTCCACTGTGCTGGGTCGCGATATCCTCCAGGGTCCATGTTCTGAGCTTCTCTAGCGACAGCAGGGCGATGTCAAGCCTGGTCTGCACGGCTAGGACATCTCTACTTTTGGTACTTCCAATATTCAAATGTTGTGATGGGCTGGTCGTAAGTCTTCCGTTGTTCCCACTGGGTCTTGAGCATTTACCGCTATATGAAGGCGCCACATACATTATATATATATATGGGGATTACAAACGAAATCACTTTGTTGTTCTCAACCTTCTGATTCGGGTGCCTTATTCACTAGTCGGGTTTTGATGTCGACAGAGAAGAATATCTTGTCACTTGCACGGTACAGTGGGCTCTCGCCGAGCCTGTGACAGTTGGAAGCCACTCTTGCGCTGAATGCTGCTTCATTACGAGAGTTGCTTGTGACATATCTAATAAAAGCTGAAATATATTTTCAGATCAATATTTGCGTTGTGCTTCAAAGCTGGAGGAGTGGGTAGGATAGAGTCATCCAACAGCCATGCATTTCTAACGAATGCAGATGACAGTGGAAACGCGGTGATAATTCGAAGTTCTTTGGTCGTAACGGCACACTGGCACTCAACCAGCCAGAGTCACAGTCGCTTGGACCCTTTTACCTGGCCTAGTTCTAATAATATTCCGTGATCAAGCTCACGCTAAAACATCTGTCATCCGTTCCCCCCAGGCGCGCGTTTCGAGAACCGCCTAGCGGCAAGCCGTGCTCAAGTGCACATCCGAACAGGACTCGCCAACAGCGCAACACTAGGACCTGAGCGGCGGCAACTAATTCTTTTAATCGGGATACTATTGGTAGTCAGGGGTAAGCCGCCGCGGTCATGGGAGACGGACTTGATCTGGACCTGCTCTGACTTGCAGCTCACCCTCGGTGCCGCAATGGCCTCGGGACTTTCAGCCCTCGGTACCTTGTCAACCTGTGCACCGCGTGCGCTGACCCGTCACTGTTATTCGGGCTCTCCAACAAGCTAATGCAAGCGAACACAAATCACTAAGTCCCTTAATTGAGCCTTCGCAATGACCTCCTCAATCGTGCTTCGTGTGCGCCGGTTACACTGCTGCAGTCCCCTGACTAGGCCTTTGGTGTACAAGCCCAACATTCATCCTCCTGTACCTATCAAATGCTTAAGAAATAAAAGAGATGTTGTTTCCTCGCAAGTTTGAATGCCTTTTCTTTCTATCCTGAGCATTCACTAAAGCTTTCCTACACGATCTTCCACCTTCATTCGCTTGTCAAGCATTTGACTACTGTCACTCTTTCAACATAATTTAGTCAACAAGATTAAACATTCCCAAACTTAAAATGTTCTCTCTCGTTCAGCTCTTTACCTTCGGTCTGGCCGCCTTGACCGCCCGCAATGGGTTCCAGGTCTCGACCACCAGCAATGTTGGAGTCTCTCGGGTTGCGGTAAGAAGGATCTTCGCTGTTCAATCTCAACATAGACTAATCAAACAATATACAGGGCTCGGCCTTGATGGCTTTCGCTATCCCAGCATTGGCAATGCCACTTGAAAACACTCAGCTCGTTGCTAGGAATGGCACGGAGGCTGCTGGAGGCGAGGATTGCAATGACGATTCTGAGGATGTAAGTCTCTTACGGCTTACGCATTTGTCCATAATCTCCGTATCTAACGTACTAACCCCTGTATGTGCAGGACTCGCAAGATGATGATGATGTTAGTCTCTCGATTTTATCATCTCTAGGCCACCGCTCCATGTACTAACCTCTATCAGGATCAGGAAGACGATAAGGATGACGACGAGGCCGATTCGGAAGATGATAAGGAGGTTAGTATTTCGATTTTATCATCTCTAGGCCACCGCTCCATGTACTAACCTCTATCAGGATCAGGAAGACGATAAGGATGACGACGAGGCCGATTCGGAAGATGATAAGGACGTTAGTATTTCGAACTGGCCGTTTCTAGGCCAACGTTTCATTGACTAACCCCCGTTTGAACAGGATCAGGAAGATGACGAAGGCGATGAGGAGCACGATTCGGAAGACAACGAGAAGCCTTGATCGATCAAACTTAGAGGACTTGCTTCCAAATCCGTGCTGTAATGCCTGTGAGACGGTCCGGGCTGCCACTTTCGTGATTGGCTATGTCTGCAGCGCTATAATGGCAGTCTTGTAGGTCCTCAGAGGTGCCCGGTCGGCGAGCCTTGCGGCATCTTGCCCAGTTGCTGAATAGTGATTAAGTAGTTGTACGTGCTGTCACATTGGGTTGCACTGAAGCATCACCTCATATCTTAGGGGACCTAAAAGGAAGATACGATGTATAACTGTTTATGCTCCTAAATCTATGCTTCAGGAATCTATGATGATATGATACTGATTGATGAAGTACGAATGCTGGCCAGTGGCTTTATCTGACCAGTTCTGACGGGAATAGTAAACTGACTGGTTAGGAGGTGGCTAGCGTAGCCTGGGGAGAGGACGTGACTTGTTCTAAAGTATCCAGACTTCATTATTAAGACCAGTCACGAATCCGATATTGGTAAAATAATTGAGGGTGCTGATCGGGATCTACGGAGCGTACTGGGGCTACTTCCTGTGCAAGGCTGGTCGTGTGTTCACGGGCTTCGCAATGACTCACTATACGCTACCGGTAGTTGATCATTTATAAGTACACTGAGCAGCTTATTGTCAGTCCGCAGTAATACCTCAGTGTTCTGAAACACCCTGTCTCGAATTGAGGGGGGGATGAGGTAGAGAAAGCCTCACTCAGCTTGGTACAGCTTGTTCAAGCTTCCACCACAAGGAACGAATCTGCCTCTGGGCACCAGATCTAGCGGCTCTGCTAGCTTTCAGACTTAGGGAATGTTTTGAAGCCCTTACATAAGGAATGGATAAGAGGTATAGTAAAAGGTTTGAGTTGCGCGGAGGGTTCTTCAGGACACTAGATTGGCCTTCATGTCTCCTCAAGAGAACTATTTATTTAACTAGAAACGAGTGACACTGTCCTTGCTCCACCTGGGAGATACTAAGAGATTCTGTGCTGATATAAATACACACGCACACACACACAACAAGAAGAGTGTGAGAGAGGGGGTGTTGGTTGCATGCCGTGCTAAGGGAGTGTCCCAAACTGTTGCAAGTGAAGCAATAATCCGTCGACTGGACACATCTTGAAAGCCGGCTCAAGTCCCATCAAGGATCCTCTGTAAAACAATTTTCGAAGACAATATAAATCAGTTTCGTGAATATCCGGTACAAGCATCGCAGACCCTATGGTTGCAGGGTTGGATGACATAGCCTTCTTGAACAACACGCCTCCCACCGCATCTTCCATAGCGATTCGGGCCATATCCGCAAGAGTCGTAACAGCACCTCCATACACCACCAAGCTGATTGTGGCGGCAGTTGGGCTTGCCACAGCATGCATCATACTGATTGGAACGGGTGGCGCTTCTATTTCGGCACATGATTTTCCTGCCGGTCGGGCCTCTTCTATGGCTTGGGCAGTAACTGACGCTTCTTGAGGTGTGCTTGCCGCAACGAAAGATCTGTTTCACGCTGTGGCACATTTTAATTTTGCTGAGACTTGTTGCTAAGAATAATATATCGAAAGGGTTTGGGAGAATGTTTTATCAGAGGCGTTTGATCGGTGTGATGTGATGTGTTCTAGATGCTCCCAAACAGTCGACTTCTTCGATGAGCCCCCTCATATATGTACACAATTACAGGCGATGACGAACCATAGATTGCGACCAAATTTAGAGCTGGCGCGCCGCAATGATCCAAGAACAGATCGATGTGGCCTTCAGGAAGCCATGTTTGCTCCTAGACTGGCTAAGGGTGGTCATGGCCTTGGTGAGACTGGGCTACCAACAGAGCAAAGAATTGCAACGATGGTGTGCACAACGAGACATGCTGTGGTTGGATTTTGAGGCCACATCTCGTATTGAATTGATGTTGGCCAACGAAGTAGGGTGTTGGCGCTGGCATCGAGGCCTTAGCGGATCCAGTTGGGCGGTCGAACATTTGAAGGCCCGGGGCCTCACCGGGGTGTCCTTCTTCAGTACCTAGGTACCCATCGCTTTACCTGTTGGTTCCTGAATGTGGAGCTGCATGAGATCCGTCAACTGCGAGTGAAACTTGCTAATTTTGGAACATGAAGTTACTACCTACTTAAGTAGGTAATTATACATAGTATCCAGCTAAGCTACCTACTAAGTAGGTACCTGGGCCGGCCCAAAATTTGGCGCGGGGAGCGGCACAGAACCAACGTACTCGGCACAGCAATCCTGCAGGCAAAGCCACTAAAGCTTTCAAGGGCCACTAAAAATCGGCCGTGTGGGGCGCATGAAAATGGCATCTTCAATGTGATCCCAGAAATCCCCTCTTCTGTTGCTTTCTGAACCGCTACCTCCCTGCTAGAACGTACAACAGACACTGTTTCTTATCATTACTCTGATCAAAAAGAAATTCGGCCATTCCTTCAGCATACATACGGCATTTGTAGTGACTCATTGGAGCCCATCATTACAATGGACGTCATCGGAGTCTTCGTCGACATTGAAGGCCAAGAAGGTGCCCAGGTTACGTTTCTCACGGAGAAGAGCAACGAGCACATCGCTATATCCCTTTCAAAATCCAATACGAAAGAGAACCGGATATCCAGAGGTTCTGAAGACGCCCACATAATTGACCACCTAATCGAGCTCCTAGCCCGATCCATGGATGCAGAGGACGAAGATGAGGCAGATGCCCTACAGGACGAGGCTTTAGAAGTTATCTACCCGGTAGCTAAATCCCTCGATCAAGATAGTGGAGCATCAGAAGAGTCAGTTCAACCAAGAGAACTTGTTTTGCACAATCTGCTGTTTCCGAAAACATCCTTTTACCGGCTTGAGGAGGTGGCTGGCAAGCTTACCACAGTCCCTATCCCACCAAACGAAGCATATGGGCCAACACACAACGAAGACCAGGACCAAAACATGACTGGACTTGAGGACAACGTATACATCAACACTTCACTCCCATCCTACCTACCTGAGCAGATTAAGGTAGTTGAGGAGCTCGTTTGTGGTGGAGGTACGGTTTGCCTAGCCCAGGTCAATGGCTGCCAGATGCTTTGCAAAGCTCGAAAAGACGGTCTTCAAAACTACAATCTTAAGCGAGAGATCGACTGTTTACAGAAAATCTCACAAGAAAACCTAGGCAAGATCCTTATACCAAGGCTGCTAGGCTATGTGAAACACCCAAGATCTGGCGCCATACTTGGGTTCTTACGGGAGTGGATACCCTCTAAAGACAACCTTAAGGATCTCAAGGAGGCAGGATTTCCAGATTTTCCCAAGGAAATACGGCAAAAGGTAGGATCCCAGATCAAGGAGACGGTTGAAATTCTTCATGGGATTAAAGTTGTTTGGGGTGATGCAAAGCCGAGCAACGTGGTTGTCGACCTAAACAACGATGCGTGGCTGATTGACTTTGGAGGTGGTTGGTCAGAAGGCTGGGTGGATGAAAACTTGCAAAATACTGTGGAAGGGGACCAGCAAGCGGTTGCGAGGATTCTGGAGTTCCTGGACGTCAGCATATCCGGCATGTAAAGTACGTGGGAAATATCCAGGCTGCTGATGGTGGGAGGAGGGGGTGTTGAAGACAGACTCCAGCTGGATGCGCTATTGCTGGACAACTTACCGTATGTGTGAGATAGGGCAACCAATTGGTCAGACCCAAAAGACTTGTTTCCAATGAATCAACTCCGCAGTAATTGCTCACGCTCCGTGTTGTCACAAGAGGGGAAATAGAGAAAAGGCAACTATCCTCAATACGTCAATTACAGTTAAGTCAGCGCTACCTTCTATGTAAGGGGGAAGGTTTGAGGGGATTGCGAAAGGAAGGCTAAGGTCTTTAAGTGGGTGGGCGACTGGGCCACCGCTGGATGACTACTTAAGCAGGAAGCCAGTTGGGGCCCCCAGGCACCCACGCACACACACTTACACGTGTTGCGTTGATCTGTTTCGCAGTGGTCACATGCATTCACTGTGGTCGCTTCGCCGTGGGGAGCTATTTGGCTGTGATGGCTAGTATTGTACTGTGGCTATTCAAATATGGATACCTATAATAAATTTCATATACTTGGAAGAAAAAGCTAGGATGTAAATTCACGGGCTATCGCCTTGGCAACACAGAGGTGTAATATCTATGAATACCTCTCCCTTACCTCGTGCTGATCAGCAGCCTGGCTGTTGTAAGTTGCCTCATTTTGCTGTGCCCGGATGATGGATGGGGTGTAAAAGGAGCGGTGCAAAAGGGAATCAGGCCCGCCGTTGCGGCTATTCAGGGTTCCTTTTTCTTTAGGGGCCTACCTATCGGATAGCGCACCTAGAGCTCGCTCACAGCTCTTAATCTTGTAATTTCATACAATAACATCCTGTCACATAATTGTCAAGCAGCGTAAAACATTTTTAAACTACTCCCGTGGTTATCCGTCACGAAACATGACCTATTGAGACCAAACCCTGTGCTGTTGTCGCGGTCATTGCCCTAACGGTACGTAGCTGGTTGAATCTATGAAACGGTCAAAATGCCCTAGAGTCACTTAGTAGTTGATAAACAGAATGCCTTAACTGTGGCCCAGTGGTAGGCGGCCAGTTCTCAGCCCCACGGCATGCTTCCACATGAGCTTAGAAGAGCTGTGTAATACACTACGACAACTTATCCTTTGGCCGTACCAGGCAACTATACATATAAGGGGTAAAAAGGGGGCGGGAAGAGTCAAACGTTGTGCAGGGAACTAGTGATAGCAAAGAGCATGGTCCCCATTCCATCGACTCCCTCCAGCCATTGGTCCACTCTCTTTCGGCGCTCAGCGAGACCAGCCACGTCTAACCATGAAGGGGCTGGCCAGAGCTCATCAATGGATAGACCTGGCCCGGCCCAGTCCGCCAGATCGTTGTTATATTCCCCCTCCCAATCCTGCGGTGTCTTGGCTTCCCACAGGCTCCGGCTTGAAGGCGCAGGCAAGCCCTTGAGCTCGGTGCCAAAGAAGCTGGGAAGGCCCTCGTGGGTAGACAGCATGTTGTCGAAGAGGTACATGGTGTAAAGCGTCCGGCGCTTCGCCTCGGCGACGACCCAGCTCTCCCAACTCGGCCTCGCCCGGTTCTGTTCCGCCACGCAGACCAGCCCGCGCTTGCTACACAGCGACGCGAGCTCCTGGAGGTCCATCATCATCCGGCGCATGGAGTGGCCGACGAGGTGGCCGAGCTTGGAGAACATGACCAGCAGGTAGAGGAGGTGTGCCTGGAACGCCGAGAGCAGGGTGATGCCGTCGGTCATGGCGGCGTGCTGCTCGAAGATGCTGCTTGCCTCCCTCTGCATCACGTCCGCGGCGGTGGTGTCACTGCCGGGGAGAAGGCGCTCGCAGATGCGGACCAGGCTCAGGCAGGTGGACAACGGAGGCCGAGCCAGCGGAGGATGCATCTGCGCTGGGTGGATGAAAGGGGGGAGCTGGCGCCCGCGGACGGCCATTGAGGCATAGGACCCGAGTATCCTGGGCATGAAAGCCTTGATGTGACCTGGGAAGTCTTTGACCGTCTGCCCTGGCACTGGGACGTATTGATTCAGCCAACGGCTGCTGATGTAGTCTGCGTTTATGGGGCAGACGAGGTCTTTGTCTACACGCGCCGAGGTACTATCTGGAGTTGAATCCTGGTCGTTTGGAGCTGCCGGAGCTGCCGGTGCAGGTTGTGGTGGTCGTAGTGGTTGTGGTGGTGACACCGGCGCTTCTGAGGAGATCACGGTTGGCCCACCGGGAGTTGTTGATGTCAAGTGTCCGGACGAAGCACCGGGCAGCGGACTTCTGCCGGCGCTGGGAGTGATGGTGTTGTCACTGTGCCGTGAGCCGTCGACAGAAGCCGCCGGGGTTCGGACCGGCTCGCGAAGGTAAGCGCAGTTGAGGCCGCGTTGTGCGCATCTACCGCAGAGTTGTGGACGGCGGTCACATCTCGCCTTGGCAGTGGAACAATTCTGACAGGCCTTCTGCCGGGATCTTGCATATCTGCTGGGTTTCATGGCGGAGATGACCGCTCTGTAAACCTCGGAACGGAGGTGACGGGACGGGCAGAGGAGTTGTTAGTCGAAAACATGCAGGCTGGGGAGGTCTTAGCTGTGGCAAATATTATAGAGTACGTCATCGGGTTCCCGGACACCCCCCCCTCTCGGATATAATCTTACCCCTTTCCTCTTCCCTCCCTTCCAACTTTAAATAACCACAACTTTACAAAAAAAAATTTTTATATTACTAAATTAATACTAATAGTATTATATAACTTTAAAAAATATTATATTAACCTTATACTTAGTAATATTTATATTAAAAAGCTATTTTATATATAATAGTTAAATAATATAAAATTAACTAAAATATATTATATAACTACTTTTAAGGTAAAAAGTTAACTAATAAAGCCTATAAGGGTATATAAAAGTTATTAATAAGGCTAAAACTATTAATTATATAGTAAATTTTTATAAAAATTTACTAATTACCTATTTTTAAAATTATAAATTAAAGTCTTTATTTTTAATTTTTATAAACTTTTAGTAGTAATAAAAGATTAAAAGTTATAAGTTAATTATTTTTTTATAGTACTTATAAGTATAAATAAAGGTTAGTATATTTTTAAAAATAAAAGCTTTTATTAGTAATAAAGCCTATATTAAAAAGTTTTTTAGTTTTTAAATTATATAGTTTTAACTAAAAGTTAAAACTATTAATATTACTAATATTAATAAAACTAATACTATTAAGTAAAAATTTAATATTATTAAATATTTAAAATTATTTAATTTATAAAAATATTTTTAATAAATATTTCTTTTAATAATTAGTTTATATACCTTAAAGCTATTATTAGTAATAAGTAAAGATTAACCTTAATAATAATATTTAAAGAAGAGAATTTTTAAAATAATAGTTTTTAATAAAGTATTTAGTTAAAAGTTTATTAAAAATAAAAATAAATAGTTTACTATTTTAATTTTTATAAATAATTTATAAAAGTTTATTTACTTAAAATTATATTTATAAATAAATTAAAATAATAGCTTTTAATACTTAATAGGTTTTTAATTTATATATTTTAATTAATAATAGTATAGGCTTAATATTATAAAATATTTTTTTATTTACCTTTATATATCTTATATTTTTATAATTATATAATAAAACTTATTTTTATTTTTAAAGTATTACTATTAAAAGGAGTATAGTAAAATTACCTTTATTTTTAGTATAATATTTATTAATAAATAACTAGTAATTAATTACTATAAATAGGCTTTTAATAAGACTTTTATAAAAATATTTTAAGTAGCTTTTTTAACTAGAATAATCCTTTATAATTTAAAAAGATTTTTAATATATTTAACTACTTAATAATATAAAAAGGATTTTAAAGTTAAAAAGAAATTATAAATACTATTATTTTAATTAGAAATATTAATTAACTTAACTATTAAAACCTTTTAAAAGCTTAAAATTTATTTATAATAATAAATTAGGTTATTAATAGTACTAATTAGGTTTAAAAAAGTTAAAATATTACTAATTAAGATAAGTAAAAGCTAAATAATTTTTTAAGAAGATTATATAATTAAAGGATAAAAATATCTATTTAAATACTTTTATAAAAACTTAAATTTTATAAATATTAATAGGTTATAAAAGATTTAAATAAGGTCTTTTATAAAATAAATAGGGCTATAAGTAGAATTATATTATAATTTTTATATTAATAACTTCTTTAAATATAAAAACTATATATATTAAAAATAATTAGCTTAAATATTTATAAGTTTTATTAAAATAAGCTTAAAAAAAAGATTTATTTTTAAATTAAATTTTTAATATAAGAATTAAGTAAGTTGTAATTATTTAAAGTTTTATAGTTATAATTATAAGTATATTCGAGAGGGGGGGGTGTCCGGGAACCTGATGACGTACTCTATAAATATAAACGTTGCATCTAAACTCCGGCTCGACGTCCGCCCGCCTGTGAACCCCGGAGCCAAACCCCTGGCCGGGCCCTCAACTCCGCCCCGGCCCCACTCTTATGATGCGAAGCTTCCGCAACAACATTGATAATCTGGACAGTGAGACGAGGTGCAACCCGAGAGGAATATATTAATACACGACAAAGCAGACCCATTTTCCAAGTTGCAATTCAAAACCTTAAAACGTCTCACTGGGTTGTGACAGCCCAGTTTTACGCATACAACCTGCTGTTATCCTTCCTGCGTCACATCTTTTCCAAGGTTGAGAAGCATCAACTACAGGGATACTGTATTCCCACCTGGGCAGCCTTCCGCATAGCTTCACTGGCATGGCATCAGAAAAAACAAATTACTCACAAGGCTATTCAAAAGCCGCCGTCGCCAGCCATGCCTCTCGGACAATCGAGTCAGATGCCAGCTTCTTGATTCCCCACCTGCGAGCCACCGACCGTATCCTCGACGTGGGTTGCGGCCCCGGAACCATCACGGTGGGCTTTGGAGCCGTTGCCACAGATGGCAGCGTCATCGGCATCGATATCTCCGAAGAGGTCCTTGGGCTAGCCCAGGAGACGCTCGAGAAAGCAAAGAAGAAATCACAGGAGTCTTCCAGCCCCCTGGCGCCTATCACATTCCAGAAAGCGGACCTCCTCGCGGGGCTTCCCTTCCCCGACAACACCTTCGACGTCGTCTTCAACTCGCAGCTCTTTCCCCACCTCCCCACCCATGACATGAGGTTCAAAGCCATCAGTGAGATGCGCCGCGTGCTGAAGCCTGGCGGCATCCAGGCCTCGCGCGACGTGGCGGAGCTCCACTTCTACCCCCGTCTCTACGACCTCGACAGGCTCTGGGCGGCCAAGACGGCAAAGGTGTACGGACACGGCGACGACGGCGCTCATTTCCCCGGCGGCGATATGCCCGCACTGTTCCGCGAGGTGGGCTTCGACGCTGCCGCTGGAAAGGTCAAGGTCGGCGCCGGTACCACCGTCCACGCCGGCAGGGAGACGCGAAACTGGTATGTGTCTACAAACCTGGAGAAGCTGGAGCCGGGAAACTCTTTCCGAGAGAGCTGGTTAGGCGTGGGAATCACAGATGAGGAGATTCAGGAGGTGAGGGATGCTCTCGAGAAATGGGGCAAGGATGATGATGCGTGGTATGTTGCGCTTCAAGCTGAGATACTGGGATGGAAATGAACAAAGTTGGTGTCCCCGAGACGCCTCCGTGGAGGACTTTAGTACTTCTGGCTTCTTCAAAAGTTTTGATACTTCTCATAAGTCGCTACTAAATTTATACAGTGGTGGCGCGATAATGCCCTGGTGGTTATGAGCCATAGTTTCGGCCTACACCATGTGATTGCGCGTTGTTTGCTGACGTAGTTTCTAGCCATTCAAAACTTTGTTGTAAATCCGCTGTGCTGTTGCGCCTTTCTCCCTTCTCAGGATCCTATATAACGTTATGACAGACCAACCGTACGTCAGACATAACGTGGCCTGTCCTACCAATCATGCCCCAAATCCTGATGATCGCCGTCGCAATGTTTAAAATTCAAAGTGCAGAAACTGCCCATTCTTTTTGAAAGACGGCAACAACGATATGAGCGGTGTCCAACCCCCAAACATAGGAGGATACCGTTTCCCAAACCAGCCCGTACCCATATAATCATGAACAAATACCCTATGCCTGAGGACCAGGCGGCTGTCCAGTTTGCTTATGTCGTTTGCATCGTCAACACCCCACCGTAGGCGGGCCTCGCTGTTGCGGAAAGCTTCCAAAAGTGATGTGAATACCACAGAGACGGACCCAATGGTGTCGCAGAGGATATTTCCGTGTGTGAAATGTCCCAGAACCCGCTTTATTAATTTTATAGCCTTGTCGGGTTCCAGATAATAGAGAAGCCCTTCCATGATGATCAACGTCGGGCGATCGTTCGGTATGTCGCGGAGCCAATCTTCGCCCTCGTCCGCAATGTTTGCTGTCAATAGATTGTAATATTCGCTTTCCGCATCTCCCATTAGACGTTTTCTTAGTCCCGTGACTCTGGGCCGGTCCACGTCGATCCATCTAACCTCCCTCCCAAGCTTGAGGCGTTCATATCTGCTGTCCAGGCCACACGCTAGTTGTAGCACGAGGACATCCTCGTACTGATGCTGGTCCAGAAAATTTTGGGCCCAGTTGTCGATCTGTTTTGACCTGCCGCAGATGTACTGTATATATGAAGAATCGAGTTGGAAGAGGCTTCGTGACAGATCGAAGTTGATCTTGTTTAATAATTCCGCGGCATGATGGTCTCTCAGAATCGGGTTCTCGGATGCAGCGTCTCTCACACGCAGATACCAGACCAGAAGCAGTGTTTCCTCTTCGGGGTCCAGTTGGATCTCGCCTTCTTTGGTATCGCTCGAGCGGCTGCTTGTACTTGTGCTGGTAGCTAAGGACGACACATGACCTCTGCTGAGTGGCTTGACGATCGTTGGTGGAGATGTCTCCGATAAGGTACTCGGCGTGAGTGGTGTATCCATTGTGAACATCGGGCAGGCGCCCATAAGCAACTTCAGGGTGGGAGAACAGACCTGCGCGGTATGATGAGTTGAAGACAGCAGCAGAAAACAAGGCAGAGAGCAAGATACAAGTCGGTGGATCCCGACTGCCGTTCGAACAGTTGAATGATAACCTTCCTAGATTACTATCATGCTGTCCTAATGTTTGGTCGTTAACCGCGTGGAAGCCCTGTGACTCCACACGCAAGCTGACCCCTTTTCGGACCCATTCAGTTGCCTCGCACCGAAGTTTGCTCCTTCTGTCTGCTTTTAGATGGGCCGTTCCCTCGGGAGATACTCGCTTTGTTACGTTTTATTGCTGCTGCCGCGACCCAAGAGAACGGATGGCCGAAGCAGTCGTGGCTTGGGGGGCATGAGCGTCTAGCCGACGGGGAATGTGAGGGCTACGCAGAGATCAGCACCCACTCATCCCACAATTCTGTCATATGCAGCCGGTCCCACAAGCACCTGCATGGCGCCATGCTCCGCAGGTTGGGCGTCGATCCGAAGACGTGCTAAGCCGTTACGGTCTGACCCCAGTTCCTCGGCCTCGCGTCACGGCAGGGTGTGGGTGAGGCTCTCATGCCTCCCCTGCACGACTGCCGGAGTGGACATGACTGTACCAACAATGACAGGTAAAAGAAATATCAAAGAACGACACAACAATCTCTTGGAACTCGTAACGGCGCAAAAAAATTCTCATCTACCACTTGACATTTATTGCGGCCCAATCTAAGTTACTACCGGACTGTCCCCGAAGCCAGATTCAGCCAGTGTGTGGGGCTCGTGGTTGATCTTGCCTGACGGACTTGTCGTCTTTCTACGAGCAGCAAGATCTGGATCGGCATTTGCATTTGAAAATTGGTCCGAGCTGTCATGCGATGGAGCTCCTTATTATGATGTAGGACCACGATGCGTGTGACCAGACCGACCTGATATCCGTCGATGCCCATCGTCCCTCGTTCTCACACGGCTGCTGGACGCGAAGCAGCAAATCCTCGCTGGCTCTCCCGGACTGCTTCTATCATGGGGCTTGCCGTTTCGACCCGCCCTGTCGGATTCCTGCTCGCAAAGACCACCTGCAACAGGAGTTCCAGTTCGGGAGTCTAATCTACAAAAGTGGACTCTGAATGGCGCGGCCTCGGGCCTTGGGTTCACAGATTAGCCTGCGCTGTGGGCAGGCGTAGGTGGCTGATTAGTTATCTTGCTCTGGAAGGATTGCCAAGAATATGGCATGTGGCCCAGATGGAACGTGGGATTCGACCAAAGTGGTCCGCTACTGGGATGCCCAGTCTTTGGCTGATCCACAACGAAGCCACGGCCGGTTTTCACGAGCTGCGAAGATCGGCGGTTCGGTACGTGGAATGATCTGCCTGAACGATTGATACAAATGTGCAGATTGCGGGACTTATTGTGGCCCATGAGCTTTATATGAGCAACGAATTCCCACAGCAAGCCATGGAGTGGTATCACTAACGTGCAACTTTGATGCGGCGAACAACTCCGAGTCTAGACTCGCGGAGACGACCCGCATTCTGCCTGAGCAGCAGCCACGAAAACCGAACATGGAGACCTGGCCGTTCTCGCACACGCGACAGGGCCACCTGCTGTACAAATGCTGTTGAGAAGGTTGTCTACATATGCGGCAATAATCTAGTGGCGGTCTTTTGGAAATGATTCGCCACTAGCAGCAAGTCTTGCACAAGTGAGTCTGGATGTGCAGCTTTTGCCAAGGATTGAGGGGATAGATGCAACCAAACAATCCAGGTACTTGGGCTGTATTATTAGTCTCCGTCGTCACCGCAGGACTGACCTGTGATACTATGCAAGGACTATGCTAGTAGGGCTTTCCACTCGACAGATCCCCCAGACTTGCAGGGAGGGAGCACAGTTGGATCACTGGTCTCCCATTTCATGATGCATGCGCTTTTTACCTGGCATGGTTGAGACAAAGGATATCCGACGCGAGCTGCAATAGTCAAATATCAAGAGACCTCAGGAAGCTTGGCACAGTTTCAAGCCCTGCGTAGCTACATAGTCATTTACGACAACGAACACCACCTGGTCGGGATCAACCTCGCTTGCTGTTGCTTGCTATCAATATTGCCCAAATGATCGAGTTCAGCATGATACATAGTATCTCATCGATAAGCTCAAGTCAACTTTTTTTGTTCCTGTTTTTGAGATGAATGCGTGCATAAACAAAGATTTGTACCTAGGTATCTCAACAACTAGTACTCATCGCAAGGCGTAACTATGTCCCTCATTCCGAATATCTGGGTTTCCAATATCCGCATGTGCTGAATAATCGCTTGTTATCGGATGCAGACAGCTTCAGCTTGCAAGCCGCACACTTCCTCGGGGGAAAAAATGCTTTTTGCGTGTGGTTACACCTGAAAATAAAACCGACTGCTGTGTGTCCTGCCCTGTCCGTGGCAAACTTATGGATCTTAGTTCCAAACACAGGATCACAGACTCTGATCGTCTTGGTCATATACAGTCTATCCAAGCAATTCACAGACCTATAGGTTTGGAATGTTAAGGTATTGCCCAGCTCATACACAATATGAGTGCCCGCCGAAAGAGGTAGAATGCAAGACTACAGCTGCATCCAAACATGGCTCAGCAGGCTTGGCATCCATGGATCGTAGTGCGCATAAGCGCCCAGGTGCCGTCGTGTGAGTCGCTGCGACATTCATAGTTGCCCATCGATAGAAGGTGATGCTGTAGAGCTTTGCGCAATCATGCAGACACCCGCAGGCCGCGGGGGTGTGGTCGCCGTCGGCGTGCAGAAAGCAGAGCCCGCCGGCCGCAGGGCCACCGGCCTGAATAGCCATGCGGGAGCAGCCGATGAAACGAGTCGCCAATTGCCCGATTTGCGCCGCCATCGGGGCCCGGCATGCCATGGCGTCAACTGGTGCCATGCCTGCGCGCGACTAATAACCTTGAAGTAAGGCAAATCGACTTTGTTAGTGGTTTTGCTACATGTGCGCTGGACTAGGCCAAAGCAGAAGACGTTGCATCTAGAGGATCATCGGGCTTAGCATCAATAATCGGATGTATACACGGGGTTGATCTCGAGCGACTCATGTTGTTCACTATTTTTGCATATCTGGGCATTATCTGGGCACTCACTTTGCTGCTGCAGATGCTCGAGTAATAGCAGCCTCTCAGTGCGCCATGTGGCTATTCACCGCCGCTGGCCTGCGGCCCGATTTGCCAGCTACCTAAGTACCTAGGTAGGTACCTGGGTACTTTTTTTTTTTTGGGCTGCAGCTAGTCTAGTCTAGGCCCAGCACAGCACAGCAGAGTTCTTGGGAGACTTGAATACAATTCCTGTCAAAAGCCTCAACAACCCTCGTCCACGTCCACGCCCGTCCCTCATGTTCGCGACCGCGTCCAAGTGCGAGCTGCGGTCTCCAGGCCAACGACGCCATCATGCCCGAATCCGCCATCAGTCTCGATGTCGATGACATCAAGGAGTGGCGCTCAATCGTCACTTTGATCGTCTTCGTCTTCACCAGTAAGCCAGCCCACCCTTTGTGCAGTCCTCAACCCCCGGGAGAGAGGATATTGGTGTCGAATGGGACGAGCTCATAGCTTTCTGCAGACCTTGCTGTCCTCTTCCCCTTCGACGTGCCTGTGTACCTGCCCAGGCTGCTGGTTGATGGCCTCTCTGGGCTTCTGCTCCGCCTGCGCGTCATCCCGCCAAAAGACGCCCAACACGGACTGGAGGACTACGCAATGGGCAAGCCCAAGGCCTTTACACGGCTGTTGCTGCCAATCAACTTCCTGACTGCGCCTATCATAGCCGATCTGTTTCTGCTTGCCATTCTCGCCATCGGCCGCGAGGAGGTGGCAGCGGGGACTATTGGCGCCCACCACATCAACCCCATCGACATTATGGTTTTCTTCATCACCCTGGCCTATATCGCCATCTCCATCGATGCCTCGGGCCTGATCAGGTATTTGGCGTTCAAGGTCCTGCAGTGGGGTGGCAAGGCCGGTCACAAGCTGTTCTTCTACCTCTACACCTTCTTCTTCGCCCTCGGCTCATTCATCGGCAATGACCCTATTATTCTCTCTGGCACTCCGTTCTTGGCATATATGACGCGCGTGTCGAGTAACATCGAGCATCCGAGGGCCTGGATTCATACTCAATTCGCTATCGCTAATGTCGCGTCCGCTATTCTCGTCTCCTCCAACCCGACCAATCTCGTGCTTGCTGGCGCGTTCCAGGTCAAGTTTGTCGAGTATACGGCCAACATGATCGTCCCGGTTATCTTCACAGCCATCCTCTTGTTCCCCTGCCTCCTTTATGGTGTTTTCCGGAAGGACAGCTTGGTGCCAAAATCAATCACTATGCACGAGCTACCCGAGGACCACCAGGGCAGGAAGGCAGTCAACCCGAATATCCCCTTCGCCAGAGGCAACCCTGAGGATCAGGAAGATGAGGACAAGAAACTTCTCGAGCTGGAGGAAATCCTGAACCCGTTCCTTGACAAGCCTAGCGCGGCGTTCGGTGCAGTCATAATGGCTGCCACGCTCGTCACTGTGCTGGTCCTGAACGCGGTGAGCTCAGGTGGTGAGGAGCGCCCTGTCTTTTGGGTCACACTCCCAGCAGCCTTCGTCATGTTCTGCTGGGACGTCGCATATGGCTGGATCCACCGCACCAAGACCCGCGAGATAGCGAGAAGAGGGCGAGAGGAGGCTGAGACGGCGAGAGCAGAGCGACTACTGAGGGGCCAGGAGGCATCCGGCATGGATGGGGATCAGAAACGGCGCCTGAGCTCAAGCCAGGACACGAACTCGGCGGCATTGAACTCTGAGGAGGCCCCATCTCAAGACCGAGATCGTGGCGTTGAAGGTGTGGAAATTGCGCCGGCGGCTTCCCAACCAGGCGAGATCAACGAGAAGCCCGATCCACTTAAAATGAATCCAGGAATGGGAAGAAACGGCGGAAACGAGCCTGTCAGTGAGAAGAAGAGCCTGGCCGCTGTCCGAGCTCACGAGGCACACCCACGCACACTTGCATCGGCCTCGGACGATGCGCACTACTGGTGTAGAGAGACCTTCCCTACTGCCACGACCGTCTTCTCGCTTCTCCCCTTTGCGCTTGTTCCGTTTGCCTTCGCCATGTTCATTCTGGTAGAGGCGCTCGTCACCAAGGGCTGGGTGCCGGTGTTCGCATATGGATGGGACCACTGGGTCAACAAGACAGGAGTTGTTGGAGCGATTGGAGGAATGGGTTTTCTGTCTGTGATTCTGTGCAACGTAAGTCTGTCATCTGGGGTGGAGAGCAAGCAAGTCTATGGACTACATCTTGGGCATATGCTGACTTGCATCAGTTCGCGGGCACCAACATTGGCACAACCATCCTCTTATCCCGGGTGATTCAAGCGTGGGCACAAATCCACACCGAGAATGGCATTCCCATCTCCGACCGGACGTTCTGGGCCACCGTGTACGCCATGGCACTGGGTGTCAATTACGGGGCCTTCAGCACGGCCTTCAGTGCATCCCTCGCCGGCATGCTGTGGCGGGACATTCTTGCCAGGAAGAACATCTACGTCCGGCAGCGGGAGTTCGCCCGCATCAACTTCCCCATCATTGCCATATCCATGATAATAGGCTCTGTGATCCTGATTGGGGAAGTATACATAATGAGGAGTGATACCAGGCCGTACAGCCTGGGATGACGCTTTCCGACCTTTTCAAGCAGATACATCACTGCTGTATTGGTCTCGATGCTGTCGCATTTAGGCTTTCCCTTTGGGGAGACCCTGTACTGATACGGGAATACCTCCCTGGAGGAAGACGGCGTCATTTGTTTGATCCGAGAGGGCAGGATACCCAACTCAACTGGACTTGCTTGATCACGGCGTTTGGCGTTTAAAACCACATATATACCAATAGCGTCATGCCGTGGACTTGCCAAAAATATGAGCAAGACAAGCTTCGCTCCGGCAGCAGAGCAACAAGGACGGACTGCATTAATTTGGCGCTTTGAGGAAGTCAAGGAAACGACACCGTTGGATGCCCAGGTGCTTCCAACTCGCAGGACGAGGAGCAGACACCTTGGGGCCAGCATTTAAGACTATAAATTAACTGCATGTGACTAGATACATTGCTGTGAATTTGATTACCTGAAATATATGTACTGTACTGGTACATTTGCCCCTGATGCCTCTTCTATTTCAATCACTCTAGGGTGTTTTCCAGAAGAACTTGGAACATTCCTGGGCAGGTAGGGATCTTGCAACCAAACCCCACGATGTTACATGGTTGATCGCCGTGCCGTGACTGTGGTTTATACGTGAAACCGCTAACCTACATTGGTGGCTCATGATGATTGTTGGACATACCCTTATGTATCGAATTTCGGCATTGAGATCCCAGTCTACAGGTAATAACAGCCCACAGCCTGGCTTTGACTGCCCGATATGCCTGGGTGAGAGACACATTTTTTGAAACCACTTGGAATCCCGTTGCCGGTTGCAGACCTGCTGGGACCTGCTGGGATCCCAAGAGTCGGGACGGGGGAGGAGCATCACTTATGAGTCCCCACTTGAGTTGAGTGATGAGGCCTCCTTGAACCGCTCGGATACGTACCTAGGTACCCAACTATTTGCAACCTCGTTACCACCAGAGAATGCCTCGGGCGGGGTTCAGCACAGAACAGACAAATCAGGTGTATCGTCATCGGGTGGTGGCGCATTGGAGTTGAGAGTGTGGCGGAGACTCTGGAGTCCCCAGCACTTGATGAAAGGAGGTCGGGTTGCCGAGGTTCCCGCTCTCTGTCGTCGCAGCCGCTCCGAATGTGGTAAGTCAGTGCCGAGAACAAAGCCGTCAAGCGGTCATTTCCCCGGCCCAGACCCGGACAGTGGATCGGGGGGCGACGAATTGGTCCAAATTGCGTCAAGAGCTTATCGGCTAGGGACTTTGCGATCCCCACTGGGGAAGCTCCCTTCCACGGCGCAATTTCAATAAAGATCGGCGGTCGGCCGAGCGTTTCAGCCCCAGTTTCCATCTCGGGCAACTATTTTCCCAAATAATGAACGGGCACAAGCACAACCAAACAATGAAAGTGAAGATGTTATATGAGCGAGGCGGGAAATGGGACCACCCCCTATGTTGGAGGCCGCGTTTGCACCCGTCCGATCCTCGCCAGTGAATGAATAAAACGGAGGACTCACCCAATGGAGCAGCAGTGAATTGCCTGCTTGCTCTTGTGGCATCAATGCTGCACAGTTTGTTTCTTCACAGCGAACCGATCTTCGAATTATATAACCTTTTAATCACTTACCTTAAAACCTAATTGACCACGAGCGATCTACAAACACTCGACGACTACTAGCACCTGTACACCTCGTCCATCAACCCCCTGCTACGCCACGACTCGCTCGCCACCATGACCACCACAATGGCCGCACCCACCATGGCGGAACAGCCACTCCCGCTCATCAGGGAGGACACCCCCATGGTCGAGAACCTAGAGACGCCCTTCTTCTGGCCCATCGCCTTCAAGAACACCTTCAAGCTGATCCAGCGCATCGTGACGGGCCAGATCGAGAACGACATGACGGCCGCCCGCAGCCTGCACGCCCTGGTGCGCAAGCAGCTCGCCGTCGCCGCCAAGGAGAACTTCCGCGAGACGGTGGCCCTCACCTACCCCGAGACAGGGGAGCAGGCCAACTTCGAGCTCATGATCGAGACGGTCATGCTGCGGACGCTCGTCGAGGGCGCGCCCCAGGACACCGACGCCCGCGAGGAGATGGCGGTGCTGGTGGAGAACTGGATCAGCCTGCCCGGCATGCAGGAGCCTACCGAGAAGTTCCTGAGGTACCTGCGGCCGAGGCTCTGGAAGGGGAGTGTGTGAGAGGGATGGCTGGTGGGAGTTTGGGAATAGGGATTGGAGGTATGCCCCAACGCAGCCTGGACTACCTACGTAATATCCTTTGACCAGCCTTGTTAACTAACCCTTTGAGCAGAGTGCATCATGATACCCGGCAGAAGATCTGTCACAAAACACAATGACCATCCCGGGACGCCCAGAAATGGTCTGGGAGGCCGGGCGAGTCGAATGAGACTATACCACATGCAATTAATTACCTAGGTACCTAGGTACCTAGATGTCTAGATACTCAGCAACACGCAGGCAAGAACTTCGAAAGAGGCACTTGCCAAGCTTGAGAGTTCGGAGAGCTTGCGTGAGCACCGATAGCAACAGTCACCAACACGATGAGGTCAGAGCCTTCCTGCCACCCGCGGACGGTAGTGGTGTCTGAAGTTGCCAGGGGCGGTTGTGTGGACGCGCCTGGCTGAAGGCTCTGGGTTGCTTTGAGCAGTGACTGGAGAAGTGAACGGTACCTGAACGGTACCTGAAAGCTGCAAAACGAGGAAGGAGGCCCCAGAGAAGCAATCCGTGATGGAACGAGCCGTTTGTCGCTGCACACGAAGTGTCAAGAGACGACAGAGGCAGACGCTGTTGGGAAGCAAGAGACTAAAATCCACCCGGGCAACGACAGATGGGCTCTCACAAAAGCACTTACTTAATTAGAGAACCTGCTAGCCCTGGCGGCAACAGTTACGTACCTGGACCAGTCTGCGCACATCCCCACCAATACACACATATTTCCCACTAAAAACATCGATTTTTACTCTAATAGATTTAATTTTATAAAAATATAAAGAATATAAACTAAATTTATAATAAATATTATAAAATTAAATAAAGTATATTTTAAATATTAAAATTCTTATTAAATTTTAAATACATTAAAATAATTAAAATAAAAAAGATTTTTAAAAATATACTTTTTATACTTTATTTTTTACTTTTTAAGAATTAAATTATATATTTCTAATTTAATATATATTAATAACTTTTATATAAATAAATTTATTTAAAATATATTAATATAAATCTTAAAAGTTCTTATTAATAAAACTCTTTAAAATTAATTATTTAAGATTTAATAAAAGTAGAGTAAATCCCTTACTTTTCTACTCCACTTATTTTAATTCTTTAATAATTAATTTTATAAATTTCTATTAATAGAAGCCTTTTATATTTATAAAAGTATAATATTAATTAATATTTTAAAGTTAAATTTATTATTATAATTAATTTAATTAACTTAAAAATTAATTTTTCTTTTTTAATTAAATAACTAATAAATAATATAGAAATTAATTAAAATAAATAGTATTATTATTAAAAAATTTATTTCTATATTAATATAATAAATATTACTTAAATAAAATTTTTTATAAAGTTTAAAAAAATACTTTTAACTATTAGTTTAATTTTTATTTTTATAGTAATTTTATATAATTAAATAGGTTAGGGTAAAAATTGACGTTTTTAGTGAGAAATATATATATGTTGGTGGGGATGTGTGCAGACCAGTCCAGGTACTTATTCAATTTATCAGTGCATTCTGCAAATCTTCATCATGATTCCAATTATACAAAATCCACCAGTTTTGGGCCCGTTAATGAGACGGAGTCAGCTCCAGTTCGTAGTTACTTGGATATGATGCTGTAGTCGTTTGTTTAATCACAAGGATTACTTTTGCGAAACCCACTTTCTTCTCCCGGCGCAATAGCTTCGCGTCAGAGTGAGACATGTCCTCTCTGCTGGATGTTCAGTTCAAACATTTCTCTACTTTAATAAGGCACATCACACGCAGGTTTGAGACAGTCCAATGCTAGTGGCCGAACGCGTTAGCAGCACTTGAGCATGTCAGAGTCATGTCGACATATGTAGTTTCAGTTCAGTCCTCTGGGCACTCAGGCACTTCCAACAGTACTCACAAGGGTGGTTGAGACCAGTCACTAGCAGCGCCTCCCCTATGACACAGGTATACTTTCTGTATTGAACGGTCCCAATGTGGGGAGGGACGATCGGCCTGTTAGTCGACTGGGTGGCAAGGGTACACGGCTTGCACGGGGCGTACATGCTGACTCAGCGTCCCCGCGATGCGAGACATGGGTGGTGGTCTAGTTGGAATGGAAATGGGATGGGATCTAGAAACGAAGCACCTCAGACTAACTCCTCAAGCTCTTATTAGCCATTTGGGACGCATTCTTTTCAATCCTTGGCACTGAACATCATCACCATACCCACCATACCCGTTGGTGCGCCCATCCATTTGCACGCCATTGCTATTGCTACCGATATCTCTACAGGAGTGTGCTCGTCTCTACTCGAGTGTTTGCCCCTCGGCTGAATACTGCGAGCAACGACTAGCAAACAAACAAACAAACATGGACGACCAATTCGGGGGCAGAACTGACGATGACTTGTTCGCCGACGAGTTCGAGCCGGTTGCCGAGCAAGAACCTCAGGTCTACTCTGAACCTCCCCCGGTGCCCGTCGCCGCCGACAAAGATGCGTCCGCAGCTGCGAGCCAAGCTTCCTCGACTGCGCCCACGTCGGTGGAGACCGGTGCAGCGCCCTCTGCGCATGCTCCCGCAGCAACAGCCGCCAACGAGGCAGCTCCTGCGGTGACAGCGTCGAGCGCCACACCTCCCAATGCGACAACAGCGCCCCCGCAGAAGTCGGGTCTGATGCAGTCGCGACATGCCCAACAGCCCCCAGCCTCGGCGCCACGCGCGCCGCGCAACCACCGCGGCAACAACCAGAACCAAAACAACCACAACCACGCGGCGGCGTCACCCAGCCCGTCAAGCCCTGCGCCGCCGTCCTCCTCGGCCAGGCACGACGCTCGACAGCACAAGTCCAACCCAACCTCAGACGCCCGCACCGGGTCCGGCGCGAACCCACGCACAAAGCTCACCGAGGCTGAGCTGGCCGAGAAGATGAGGAAGATGCGCATCCTCAACGAGGAGAAGACGCGCCGGTTCAAGACCGTCGAGGAGGATGAGCAGTCCCACGCAATGGCCATGGAGAAGGCGACCGCCGAGCAGCGCAAGCGCCGCCAGGAGGAGGCCGAGCGCCGGAGGAGAGAGGCCAGCGACAAGAAGCAGCTGGACGACGAGCGCGAGAAGAACAGGCAGCGAAAGCTCAACGCGCTGGGTGCCCGGGAGAGCAATTGGGACGAGGGCAAGGAGGAAAGGCTGGCGGAGGAGGACCGGAGGCGGGGCACATCTAACTTCAGGGGCGCAAACGGGGGCATCCGCGGCTCCGCAGGCGGCAGGGGCGGTGGTATCTCCGGCAGTCGCTTCGCCGACTCTGCCCCAGACACCGAGTTCATGTCTGGCCGCGGGGGACGAGGTGGCAGGGGCGGAAGAGGGAGAGGCGGCCGTGGTGATTATTCGGCCGCTTCACCATCGTCGCAAGCAGTCAAGAAGGAGCCCGTGCTCACCTCCGAGGAGTTCCCTGCGCTGCCGTCTGCCCCGGCTTCCAACAACAAGGTCTCTTCTGTCGCCAAGGCAGACCTCAACTTGCCGACGTCGCCGCTCGGGAAATGGGATGACGAGATGGCCGCGATGGATGCCAAGTCTGCTGCGGATGTGACCAAACCCTAGGCGGTTGTGCTATCTACAGCGATTGTACTGTTGAGAGCGGCTCTGCTATCCATGGAAGACCTCAACTCATCCGGCTCCTCTGCTCCTTCCGCCTCTTCCGCCTCTCTCGCCTCGCCCTACTCGCTCTACTCGCCGAGGTCGCCGTTGGACGACGGAATGGCGGCGACGGCTGCTGAGATTACCACTGCGATCACCACTGCGATCAAGGGACGGGTTGCTCCACGATGCAGGCGATGTCGATTCATCCTGCCTAGGGGCTTCTCCGGGTGTTCCCAGAAGTGCTCAAGGTGCACACACTCCTACCGAAACAGAGCCCCCGGCCAGTACAAATCTCCCAGCAGGTACAAAGTCTCCCATCGAGGACTCCCAAGAAAGTCCCCCGCCAAGAATGCCTCCGAGTTGGCTACGCCATAAAGAAGCCTACTCATGAGAATTTGGGACCAGCGGCAACCACGTACACCCCATCACGCATCTAGAGGCGCATTCTGGGCTAGTGGGCTTTTGTTCGACATCATAGTGACGGTCAGGCGCGCAGCGATTATGAAGCAACGAGTCCGGGATACCATAGCAATAAGGAGTGCCCAAAAGCGGATTGAATTTCAAGTAGATCAGATTTAAACGTAGAGGTTAATTCCACATGGAATTGTTCCAGACCGTACTTGTGTGGCATTGTGGTCGCGAAGGGCTTGAATGGCCCGTAAAATTCAGTGCAAACTTAAGTGTCTTTTCTTCCACTCGGAGTCTTGACGAGTCACGTCCATTCTTTGCACTTCCGTTGTCACCAGAGTGGAAAGCGGACGGGTTGTAGTGTTCGACTTGGCCGAGCCTGTCGTTCTTGAGTATAGTCCCTGCTGTGTCTTTGGTATCAAATTATGCAAGGCAAAAGCAATTCTCGATTTTCCCCGTCCGTACAGATTCCATAACGCCTCCAACACCGGAGCAAGGACAACGCCGCGCGCTCGACCAAGCACTGTCTTTGGCGCCCAATGACCCAACACACTCATAGAAGCACGCTCCACCTCCGTAGCCATGCTGCCATGCTGATGTTCGAGCACCCTAGCACGTGCCCATGTGAGGCGAATGTTCGTTGAGAAACCTCGTGGATTGCAACGAAAACCATCGCGTCGGCCGGTAGTGCTGTATGCGGCATGTTGGAGGGAAATTACCGCCCTGTTCGCTCGTGCCACCGGCAAGTCGTGACGCCCGCGGCCATCCAAAAGTCACGCTCGTCCCGGGCTTCGTTGAGCTACTCGTCGTAATCAGATTCTTTGAGCTGGCCATCCTACCAACCGCCACGGTAGCCTCTTCCCCGACCCCTGTACCCACCACCGCCGCCCCTTGGGCCTCGTGGGCCACGACCCCAGTCACCACCACCTCCCGGTCCGGTCGGCACGCCGCCCATCTCCATGTCGCCGCCGTCGCCCATCGGCATCGGCCGCGGCCTACCACGCATCTCCTTGGGAAAGCTGTCGAACGTCTTGCGCATCTGCGCGTACCCCAGGTGCATCTTCCCGTAAAAATGATCCGCCAACCTACGGTCGTTGTCCAACCGGGAGAGGTACGCGCCGCAGACGTCGCAGACCTGCAGCTTCTGGTGGCCCGAGGGCCCGGAGGTGTCGCTGAGGGCCTTGAGCTCCTTCTCGCGCTCGGCCTTTTGCTGCTGTGCCTGGCGGACCTTGAAGAACTCGTCGTACGCCCGGCCGACCTCGCCAAGCTCGCCCAGGATCTCCACCTCCAGCAGGCCGTTGTTAATCGTCGCCGAGAGGTCCGAGATGGACTTGAGGAGCACGTTGGTCTGGCGGATCTCGTCGGGCGTCTTCTCCAGCCGCCGCTGGGCCACGTCGATGCGCCGGTTGCACTCGTCGATGTACTTTTGCAGGTCCCGCAGGTAGTCGTGCTCGAAGCCGTAGCGTTTTCGTTCGGGCTCCGGGAGGGCCTCGTACTCGGCTTTCAGTGCTTCGGAGTGCACTTTTGGGCAGGGCCCGAGGTCCTGCTTCGTGTTCGTGAAGAGGTCGTGCGGGCAGGTCCCGGCGATGTAGGAGCGGCAGGCTTTGGGGTCGGTCAGAGAGATCTGGGAGGACCGGGCTGCCATGCCACCGCCCATAAGCTGCTCTGTAGAACCGTTAGTACCGTCTGGAGGGGCCGCGCGAACTTGAAGGGGGGGGGCGAGGAGCTGCATACCGAGCAGCTTTCTTTGCTCTGCTGCCATGGTGGGCTGTGGTTATCTTCCCTCCTGTCCCCTACAATGGTGAAATCCGTATAAGTATGGAAAAGCAACTGGAAAATATGGTATTCAGAGCTGCGAAGTCGAGTAGTTAACTCGTGCTTGTCCAGCGGTAGAGCGGACAACGACAATGCGATCGACTGGCGGTTGGCAGCTAGCTCGGCAGAATTTCTTGCGCCGGCAGGCAACTCAGCACCCTCTGAATGTAGGCTAAACCTTATTCACGTTGGGGTGGCCCATAGCACCTGTGGCAGCTGCGGTCCAACGCTTCCGACCCTGCGTCACCCGCCTGTCAGCATCCCTGCTCCCCTGGGGTGCCGGGGAGCTAGCTGTCAACACCACCGCACCTCGACACCGGGGCACAGTAGGCAGCCTTGTGAAATAGTTAGTTCAACTAGGAGTGACACGCAGCTTCCGATGGACGGACCATAGTCACGATGCGGCACTTCACCTCCTTTCTTTGCATACTCTTTTCTCTTGTGATACCCATCGCTGCGTCTGATTACCATGAACAGCTCGTCCTGAAGCCGCTGCCCCTGTCAGCCCTCCTCGCCAGCTTCAACTTCCGATCCAATACGACCCTCTCCCAGTTCGAGGCACACAACTTTCGATTCTTCCCGCGCTCTCTCGCACAGATATTGGAGTACTCGGGCACAAAGGAGCTCCACCTGCGCTTCAGTCTAGGGAGATGGGACGCCGAGAGCTGGGGTGTCCGGCCATGGGGCGGCACGAGAGAAGGAGGGACAGGTGTTGAGCTGTGGGCATGGCTGGATGCAGACACAGAAGAAGAGTATGGAGAGAACAGATCCCTGGATCATGATCAGATACAGAAGCTAACTTGTACCTACAGAGCCGACAACAAGTGGCTGACCCTCACGAATGCCTTGTCTGGCTTGTTCTGCGCCTCGCTCAACTTCATCGACTCGACGCGGACTATACGGCCGAGCATGTCGTTCCAGCTCGAAGGCGACCACTCTGACGCAGTGGTATCGAACCTACACCTGCTACACGGAACACTCCCCCGGGAGGTGGTGTGCACAGAGAACCTGACGCCATTCCTGAAGCTGCTTCCCTGCAAGGGAAAAGCTGGCATTGCTAGCCTGCTCGACGGCCACAAGCTGTTCGATTCCTCTTGGCAGAGCATGGCTATTGATGTGCGACCAGTCTGTCCTGAGGGCGGCGAGTGTGTTCTGGAGATCAACCAGTCCATTGATATGGTTCTTGACATTGATCGGTCCAAGAGGCCCAGAGGTATGTCACAGCGTGTCTACAGCGTTTGGGACTCGTCACTAACACAACTGTAGATAACCCCATTCCACGGCCAGTTCCTGGGCATGAGCTCAAGTGCAATACATCCAAGGAATACCACTCAGATGACACTTGCTTCCCTGTCGAGTACAGCATTGGCCAGGATTGGTCCATATCCAAGGTATTCGGCAAGCCCATCCAGGGAACATGCCCTCTGGCTGATGTCGAGGTCGCCCCGGTGTGCTTGGTAGTTCCAGACAATCGACCTGTCTGGGTCACCGAAGGGGTCAGCGAGTTCAGGAACGACGGTGAGCGGAAGCGCTGCTACAATGCAAGCCCGGAGACAGCCATCGATCTCATCCTACCGCCGATTGAGAGACAGGGTGAGAATGGCCAGGTCGTCGCCGAAGAATACGTTCAACCGGACATTCCCCGACTCTATGCCGAGCGCAGTCTGACTGGGCACGGCCAAGAGCGTGGAGGCGTCCAAACCATCCTCACGAACCCGAGCGACACCGAGGACGTGGAATTCGTTTACATGGAGTCCCTCCCGTGGTTCATGCGGATATACCTGCACACTCTGAAGGCCCGGACCGTGGGCTTCCGCAGCGGAAGACAAGAGGAAGTAATCCAGGACATAGTCTACAGACCAGCCCTCGACCGGCAGCGAGGCACACAACTTGAAGTGAAGCTTCGCATCCCGCCCAAGTCCACCGTCTTCCTAACCTATGACTTCGAGAAGTCTATTCTGCGGTATACAGAATACCCTCCTGATGCGAACAGAGGATTTGACGTGGCTGGCGCAGTCATCACCATCCTCAACAGTGACAAGTCGACGTCGAACCTGCGAACTACGGCGCTGCTGCTCAACCTCCCGACTCCGGATTTTAGCATGCCATATAATGTCATCATCTTCACTTCGACGGCTATAGCGCTAGCATTCGGAGGCATGTTCAATCTCCTGGTCCGGAGATTTGTTGCTGCGGACGAGGGCCCTGAAGTCACTCTCACGAGGCTGAAGAACAAGATCAACGCGCGTCTGGGCGCTCGCCTGGCAGGCATGTTTGCCAAAGGCGGAAAACCACAGGCGCCAGCCGTGGAAAGCAAGGGATAGGCTCTATGTGAAAAATATACAAATGCTGCAATATCCGGTGCTTTCTACATTGCAATTTATTTGGGTTGATTTTCATAATGGAGCAGACCTGAGCCTCATGAAGAGATCACGATAAGGAGTCTGAGACACCTCACCTTTGCCCTGATATTTACGCCGGGTTCCACCGTACCGAGGCATTTATCCTTGCCTTCCCCGATTTCCTCGCCGAGCACGTATTTTATACGAAAAGCGGCGGTCCCTCAGATCCAGCGTGTGTCCTCATGCGGGTGTACATATGCTGTCCATGCGTTGTCGGACCAACAATCAGCATGGACCTCCGCTTCCCCCTGTCAGACGTATCCATCCTCGGCATCAGCGGACTCAAGACCTCAGGGCACCACATCATGGCGGCACGCGGCACAGGCTGGAACGTCCCACCCGGGCGTTGCACGAGCCAGTCCAGCGAGTAGTCGCTCGGCGCCGGCCACGCGTAGTGAGGCATCAGGTTGCCCCAGGCCCATCGCCCGGACCCGGACCCGGCCCGGGCCCACCGGCCCATGAGACACCCGTCAAGAACGCGCGCGCGTGTTGTTTCCGCGGCCTCGGCCTTGCTGTCCCAGAGGAGCTGAGCCAGGAGCGCCAGCCTGTCGGCGAGCAGGTGGCAGAGGCGCTCCTTCATGTTGACGTACGGCGTTGGGCTCTCCGTGAGGACCTTTCCGGACAGGTCCGCTGAGAGTCTTGGTGGTCCAGCCCCTATTTGTGTCGAGTAGGCCACGCCCAATATTGTGCCAAACAGAACGAGGAATAGTGCCTGGAGCGTCGGTCTCGGGCATCCCTCGAGCGTGGCTGGGTCGAGGTGGCGGTCCAGATTCTGCAGAAGTGATGAGCCGGCTAGGTAGCTCGTTCGGTGCAGGTCGCGGATTGACAGTCGCTGTGCTGGGTCTCTGTGGTCTCGCCATGCGGTGTATGCGAGGGTCGTGGCCAGGACGAAATCCTGGAACCGCGAGGCTGTTACCTTGTCCAGGCCGTCTTCGAGGGCTCGGGCTAAGGCGTGGCTCGTGAGCTGGGACACGAAGTCTGTCTCATGTGGTGGGACATGTTCGTTGATGATCCACCCGAGGCATGTCTGTGCGAGACGTTCGATGTCTGGAGGTGGTAGTGAGAATGGGTCTTCATGGGCGTGGAGCGCCCTCAACTTTTCGGTGAGCAGTGTCTGGTCTTGCTCTGGGATGTCTGCTTATCGGTGCGGTCAGCATTGCTGTTTTGGTTTCTACTAGACATGGCTTTTGCCTACCGTGTCGAAATATATTGCATTCTGTGAATTGCGTGCCAGTACGGCTTTTCTGGGCTTCAGTTGCCTGCTCTGGTCGATCAACGAATCGGTTCTCCGGTTTGTCGACTTGCAGTAATTCTCTCTTGGTAGAGGTTGAAGGCGCCGCTGAGTCGTCTGGTTCATGTGCCATGAGAGTAATCTTTTGCTCTGTCAAAATGATACGGGTAAGAGTGCAGCAAGTATTGAGATGAGGATTTGTATTTGTTCTGATTGTATGGACTTGCTCTGAAACCTTATATTCCCAACATGTGCAAAGCCGTTCCATGTAAGCGGTGCGGTTCCATCCGCGCCCTATATATACTTAGGTACTTAGGTACCTACCTCAGGTAAGTTCCGCCGGGTCCCCAGGATGGGAATTGTTGAACGAGCGTCACACGATGGCGGATATTGAAGGGATTGAGGCTCTACAGTAGGAATTAAACTAGCATGAACCTGCCTGGCAGGGTAAAGGTGCAGGGTCATCTCGGGCGCCACAGTGGGCGTCTAGAACGCCGAATACACCGCCATTGGGCGGATCCGGGACGTCTTCAGCTGGTGTGTGATCCCTGCCCTGTGGAGGATCTGCGAGGAATCGGTTACGGTGGCTCGTAGCGGCCAATCAACCCGGCCGGCCGGCCCAAGCGGGGGCTCTTCTCAGCTGAAAGGTCGACCACGCGAGCTGAACTGGGCGATCCGAAACAGGCAATCAGCCAGAACAAGTGCAGGCACCGCGTTGTGCGACGCCGGCAATCTACACGAGCTGTTGACCTCGTGGTGCCGGAGTAATCTGCGAGGAATTCTGTGTGCTAACAACTTGGAAGAGGATCTAGATCTCGAGAGATCAGAATCGTCCCGCAGTTCTAGGCCCACAACACGAATGCACTCCACAATCATTCATGTGCTTCAACGTTCTTTTCCCACCTTCTCCTGCGCATTTTGGGTTTGCTTCTCCGGTGGCTGGATCGTGTAGGAGAAGTGAAAATAGTGAGACGCAGAGAATACAAACATCGATTGATTTTTTTTTGTCTTTTGACTTATATCAGTTGCCTCATGATTTTGTCTTGCTCAAGTCATTATATTGCCCAGGCGCTGAGCAGAAGCCGCGGCCCCCGATGGAATGGGCCGGAACCGCAGCATCCAGGTCATCTTCACATGTGGCTTGTGTGCTGTCCACTAACATAGCTCGCGTCTGCATCAATCAGTGGCTGCGTTAGCCCGGTTGCACAAGCAGCTGACTAGAGGTCACGGCGGAATTCTCGCAAATCATGGCGAACTTCTGGGCATGGAGCACCAGCGGGGTTTGTCCGGTGAGAGAAGGACATGCAGGAATGCAAGAACTGGCATTCCATTTGCTCAAACAATAAAATGGGTGGGAATGTTTCTGAGTTTTCGAAAATCAATTCCGCGTAAGGCGTACATCACAGACATTTGAAAACAGATAGCGACCGTGCCTCACGGACTGAGATCCCGCAGAGGGGAGGAAAACTCGTTCAAAGGAGAGGAGCTTGCAAGACGGTCGCTGTGGGGAACGGAACGCTGGAATCCTGCCCATTTTATAAGTTCGAGAACAGTCCTGTGCTACTATAAGCTCGAGTCCTTCTCGCAAGTCTTGCACAGTGCTCCCTAGGTAGGTAGGTTCTGAACACGTTATAATCACTTTTCTCGAGCATCTGTGTTGTTGTACTTATTTTAGAATGGTCGGTCAGTCGCTCATTGTTGCCCACGATGGTCTGGTGGTGCAAGTGATCCCGAAGACCTTGACAGATTTGTTTGACCGTTCGAGCCGCACAGAACTCCGTCAATAGAGACGAGGGCAGGCCAACATGGTTGAAAATGCGGCCCACCGACCAGGCACGATACTCTTAGAGTTAAAGGATGAATGGTATCTACTCGTTTCTGAGTGTCCAAGATCTGTAATCATTTTAGTAATCGCTTTCCTTCTAGAGTCAGTAAGTGGTGGGTGGTTTCGCTTCTATTTCGTATACGTCCGAGGACATACATGGCGCCTTCATACCGTGGTAAGCGCTCAAGACTCAGCGCTTGAATAAGATACGGTGTTGATAACTATGGTTAAAATGATACATGCTTACTAACGACGATGATTGCCGTTTAGCCCGAAGTTTCTTGACCGTCAAAACATTGCGTCTTGAATTATCATCCCACCCAAGTTCTTCGATACCATGAAAATGCGTTCATTCACTACATTTACTACTCTTCTGCCGCTGGTCATCGACCGGCCCCAGGTATCCAGGGATGGAGTGTCGAACTTGGAGAAGGACTATGAGACAATCCGGGAATTTTCCAAGAAATTCATTGCAAATCCCAACGGCTTTGTCAGAGGATGAAGTGGCACCGACTTCTGTCAATTTTAGGGCTTCAGCTGCACCGTCAATCCATAACCGCGCCGAGAACACCCAGGCCCGCCGTCGTCGGTCTCAATGGCACGCTGTTTGGATGTGATCGTTTGACTCTCGAGGGCTTCTCCCTTTCGCACCTGCACTGGCTGTACGAATTGGACCTGAGCAACATTAAATTCTCAGGCCCATTCCCTTCCACTGTCCTCGCGGCTACAAGTGGTTTCGTTTCTAATCCCCATGCATATAAAACGTATGTGGCGCCTTCATACAATCGTAAACACTCAAGACCCAGTATTTTAAAATAAAAATACAATGTGAGTAATAATGTAGAGGAAATTCAAAACGTGGGCATGAGATTTCAGCCTTGTGCCGCCTGGAAAGTGAACATTCTGATCTTCCAAAGTTGTTTCGTTGTCTGCCTACCTACCTAGGTACTTCAGACAGGTACCTAGGCAAGCTACTTAAGTAGGTTACCCCAGCAGGCAGGGCCCACCTTAAACATGGCACCAGGCGAGACACGTCTTCGTGTTGGGATTTTAGACGTCATCTAAACAAAGCCCAACCCCATCAGCCTTGCCGACGTTCACTGCAGCTGTCTGCAGGCAACAACACTGTATTTGTTTTGTCATCTTTTTGACATTTACGGTGTCAAAAGGAAGTCTGCCTTCTTTTACCCTTTCTACTTGAGGAGCTGCAGTGCCGACACTTGCTCGTGGAACTGCTGGCACATCTACTCACATTTGTCCTTGCGTTGGCACCTCGGACTTGAGCTCCTAGCACCCAAGACTCATAAGCCCCCAAGGTTGTGTACTTGCCCATGGCCATCAACACAAACAGCGACACCACCATGGCGCCCAAACCTCCCAAAGCCATCATCCCTAAGACCACAAGCTTCATCCAGTCTGAGAACCACCGCGACCTCTTAGACATTGTTGATAAGCTCCGCTCACGAGGAGTCAGCCACTATGTGGACCTCCCTCAGATCATCGTCTGTGGAAGTCAATCTTCCGGCAAAAGCGCAACTTTAGAGTCCCTCTCGGGAATCCCTTTCCCCACCGCTGAGGGCCTGTGCACGCGTTTTGCCACCGAGTTGATCCTCCGTCGGGGAGAGAAGACTGAAATCAGCATACACATCAATCCGGGAGCAGGACGTACCGCAAAGGAGAAGGCTGCCTTGGCTGCTTTCTCCCCAACGACGAGCGAACGCAACCACATTGGGAAGATCATCGAATCAGCAAAGAGTGTCATGGGCTTGACAGGTGACGGGGCCAAAACGTTCAGTACCGACGTCCTCCGGATAGAGCTCGTTTGCCCGGAGCAGCCCAATCTCACAATCGTCGACTTGCCCGGCCTGTTCGGCGCATCCGACAAGAACCAAACGGATGCAGACTCTGACATCGTCCGGAAATTAGTGACCAATTACATGAATCAGCGCCGCAGCATCATTTTGGCCGTGGTAGCTGCTGATAATTCGTTTGCCAATCAGCCAGTCACGAAACTCGCCCGAGACATTGATCCCTCTGGGCACAGAACTCTTGGGCTTCTCACAAAGCCAGACAAGATCGACAGGGGCTCGGACAGCGAGAGGTACTACGTCGACCTGGCCCAGAATCAAAATGTCAAGTTGACATTGGGCTGGCACGTCTTGCGCAACAAAGGATACGACACCATTGATGACACTTCTGAGCAGCGCGACAAACGAGAAGCGGCGTTCTTCGCGGACTCTGCGTGGAGCGTGTTGGAGCCTGAACAGCTCGGGGTGGAAAGCCTGCGAAAGCGATTGCGTGAGGTTCTTTGGAACCAAATTCGTCAAGGACTTCCAGGAGTCAAATCCGACGTCCAGACTGGCATTCGTGACTGCCGCAACAGATTGACCCAGCTCGGCTCGGCGAGGGACAGTAGGAAGAGCAAACAGAAATATCTGCTGCATATCAGCAGCCGCCTGACCAAGGTAATCCGAGCTGCCATTGACGGAGTCTACGCCGATCGCTTCTTTGAATGCTATCCTGGACAACGGGATGCATTCGAACGACGGCTACGGGCGAATGTGCAGAAAACGCTCAGCGAGTATTCGCAGGAAATGACAGCAGACGGCCATTCATTGGAGGTGGTGGAGGATGACTTGAAGCCTGTCCGAACCTCCAAATACGTCTACCGCAATATTTATATTCAAACGGTCAAGACGTCGATGGAGGAGTGTCGTGCGCGTGAGCTTCCGGGGACATACGTAAGTAAACCGGCGTCATGCTTCACAAACTACTAAGTAACCGGACGCTTTCTGATATTGACAAACTCAGAACCCAATGGTGGTTGGCGATTTGTTCAGCAGGCAGTGCAAGCCTTGGCAGGCCATCACCCAGAAACTGGTCGAGCTGATTCATGAAGCCGCCGCCATCACTTTCAACAAGCTGCTTTCGGAGATTTGCGATGTCAACACCAAGAACCGATTGATGAAGGGTATCATTCAGCCATCACTGCATGTCCTGCGGCAGAAACTCCAAAGCCATGTTGCCGAACTCTTGGAGCCCCATCTCTCTGTTCATCCCATCACCTACAACGAGTACCTGACGGACACGGTGGAAAAGATCCAGGGTGACCGCCACAAGCGCAAATTCGATGCCACCTCTGTCAAGTTGTGTAAATACAATACGGATAACGCACCTGATACGGCTACCAGTGTGGTCCTGGGTCCTCTTTTGCGGTCGCTGCTTCAAGCAACCAAACCGAATCCAAGAGAATATGCAGCTTCGCTTGCTGCGGATGTCACTGCAGCTTACTATAAGGTGAGAAGCCACGACAGACCATCGCGTTTTCTGAAGCTCACATCTTGTGAACCAGGTTGCTCTGAAGAAATTCGTCGACGACGTCAGTGTCAACGCGGTTGAGGTATGCCTCATTCAAAGACTGCCTGAAGTGTAAGTGGTGTCTGCCATATTCCGCGTTGGAATTAGCTGCACCGAGGCCGAATACCATAGAGGCTGTTGCAGCGTTTGTAGAAGCTTGCTTAGGCTAATGCGTGATCGTCTAGATTCTCACCCGAAGTGGTCTGGGACCTTGACGACGGACAAATCGACGACCTTGGATCTGAAGACGACGGTACCATCAAGGACCGCAAGGAGGTACAGGAAAAACTGAGAGTTCTAGAGGACGGCCTGAGGGAGCTTGACGCTTTTACGGCTCGGCCTGATGCGTCCACTAGTCTTGCCTAGTTACTGTGTGGTTGCCAGAACATTGGGGTGAACACATGCTCAGGAAGGGGGTGTAGCATCTTGCGTATAACCTTGGGCAATCTCCGCAAGGAAACCATGGGCAGATATTTTTCCCGCGTAAGGAACTGCTCAGCGAGCTGTTGCTATCCGAAAGGGACTGTACACCGCTGGTCCACTGGTCCGCCTGTCGTCAGCCATCATTCTTGGCCCGAGACTACGGCTAATACCCTGACCGAGAATAAATGAGCGCAATTCTTGCAGCTGACGGTGAAACAATGAAACATGCAGTTAAAGTTGTAAAAACCGCAATCCGCCGGCCACAGCCACACCAATCAAGCCCTGGTTGAGCGATTTACCGGCAGAACCAAGACGGCTGACAGCAACTGCCCAGGCTGCCCAGGCGGAAGGGTGAGGCAAAGCTTTACTGCCGAGTGAACCTCAGCTCATCAAGAATCATGCACGCTCTGACCTAAAAGACAGGCAGCAGCAAGGCGTGTTCGGGGTTGGCACCCCGGGATGCAACAACAAGATCTGATGGTTCCAGGTCCGGTTGCTTGGCCGACTTGGCCCAGAGATCCCATGTCGTCATTCGATACAAGTGAGACCATAGCCTCCGTGCCAATGCGAGAAATGACATGGTAGTATTTTCAGTGAACGCATATGTCGTTGCACAGATGCATTTTTTGATCACGAGTCGTTTAACGTCAAAGTACTTATAGTCCGTGTGCCCGCCTCAGTCTAGTCGAGGATGGTCACAACCCACTTGGAACATTTGAACTCCAAGCTGCGAACCGGAGAAAGTCATTGGTCAATCCTGTCTAATCAGACCACCCATCAAATTGTTTTGAGTTGGGGCTTAAACGCTTCACACCAAGCGTGACTGGATTTTCTGCCTCGTAAATGGGAGCTGAACAAAACAAGAACTCTTGGCTGCATCACTAAAGACAACGCCGAGCCTCCTCCGCACTCAAAATGAGGTTCATACAGCTCTCCGCATTCCTATCACTGGGACTCGCTGCCTTTGCGCAGTACACTGGACCATGCACCAAGACCAACTGCGGTGCATCCGGTGAGGTATGCAGAGGAGGTGCGATTTGTGCTCCGTACCCTTCAACGGACCCAGCACTTCGGCAGGGCTGCACATGCAGCAGTGGCTAAGGGTGAGTGCTCAGCTGCAACTCATAACAAATCCACTACGCTCATGCTAACATGAAAACTCCCCGTGAAGGACTATATTTACGTCGATAGAGGCCCCTCGCCGATGGCCGCAGTCGCTGTGAAAAGGGTCACCCAACTCTCGGTTTTTATGTGACCCAACTGCTATTGTCGTCATAACGAATGCACCGAGCTCAGCACCATGAACAAAGTAAATACAGGCTAGACTACATAATTAAATGACACAGTTCTGAATCCTGAAGCCCTCGGCCTGTCACAGCAGCATCACTCTTTTCGCCCATGCATAGGAGTGGCGTGTGCAGCAGAGCGTCTAGAAAGCCGTGGCGTACGCCTCAGCCAGACTCGACTGAAAGTTGGAATCCTTAAAGGAAACAGTGGCGTCGCCAAAGTCGGTCGTGTCCAGCGCCTCGCGGGCCGCGTCCGTCAACTCCTCCCAGGCGATCAGGGGTTGCATGCCGCCCTCGGTCGTGGTGAAGATCAGGGAGTGGTCCACGGGCCAGTAGCTGATATAACCGACGTAGGGGTTGGTGCCGTCAAAGGTGGTGGTCCCGCTCACGTAGTCGCCGTGCTGGCTGACAACCATGGCTACGAACTTGGCGTCGGATGAGTCTCCCGAGAGGAAGACCACGGCGTTCTCCCAGTCGTGCCGGTGGCCGATACCATCGGATGGCTCGTCCTTTGGCATATACCTGCATGGGATTGTAAGTTTGGATACTTGCTGACGCCTGCAGGTCTTCTTTGAGCTCACCAGCTGTACATGATTGCGAAGTATTCCTCGTACGAGGAAGCTCGCGTGTACACTTGGCCGGTGCTGGAAGAACATCCACCGCTCGAGTCGCCTGTTGGGCTCAGTCCACCACTAACGAAAGGATGGTCAGTACTAGTCTTTGATGTCTTGGAGTATCTGTCGCAAAAAAACCCACGAGGTGTTTCCGTCGGCATCCACCGCGGGGAAGGGGACACAGCCGTTGAAGACCTTGAGATAAGGCTTGTATGCCAACATCAAATCCCCCTCAGTACTGTCTGGCACGGCCTCAACGAACCCAACAACCGCGTCATGGTCTATGACGGCACGAGACTTCAGGACGGTGGGCTTGCAGAGGGCAGTTGCCGCCACGAGGGTGGCAGTCAGGGCAGAGCGAAGAGCCATCATAGCCGGTGACAAGGCGACGATATGTGAGGTTGGATGAGGGGAGAGTGGTGATGGATGGACAGGTATTTATCACCATCCCGAAGCGCAGGGCAAAGAGTGGCAGCAAAGAGGTTAATAAGTAATGCTTTGCACTCGATTCTCGATGTTACCTAACTACCACTGCGGGCCATGCGAGATCTTATTCACTCATTCACCGACAACTTGATACTTGACCCCACACGACGCCTCGAGTGCCATGCGGACCGCTGTTGCCCATAGCCAGTTCACTAGGATCAATAACGGACACCTATGGCATGCTAGCTGGGGTTGAGACCAGGGTCATTGTAGTGACCCCGCGAATGGAAGCAATCACTTGACCACCGTGGAGGCCGAAAAAGCTGGATATCCCCGCGATATCTAATGATTAGCCAGTAATGTTTAGCAAGCCTATCCTTCTTCAAGTAGAATCTAGCTGTAGAGTATATACGTAGCTGCCATTGCTTGTCTAAATGCGGCGCATCTCCGTGCGCTATAGTCGATGCGACCGGAAACGTGCCAAGAAGGGTTACGCTTCTATTCAAGGGAGTAGGGGAGGTTGGAGAGGACGCGCAAGCCATCGCGTTAATCACAGCCCAATCACTTGTGCATGTCCCCCTTACGAGAAGCTGTGATTGGGGCCTACAGTGGATGTCTGTGCGCGGCCGTTAAAATCCATTTGGAATCTTCCGCGTCTGTAAGTCACCTCCGGGGCATCCCAAGCTGTCAGGCGACCGGGTCCAAGACTATTAGTGAAGACGCTTGACCGCCTGCATTAGACTCGCCGGCCCGTCCCATATCACGCCTTTTCCAAGATCGTACTTAAATACCTAGGCACGCACGCATCTCAGCAGCAACGCGGGACACGGGTCCGGTGCCAATGTCAAGCCCGAAGCTGCAGATTCCCCGACTTGTTGTCAGTAACATCGCATCGGGTCCTTCCTCCATCAATTCTGAGTCACTTTGTAAACGGTGTCGTGTTGTGGTCTAGAAGAGTGGTGGAACTCTCTCTACCGCCGAATGGATCGACCTTCGCATAATGGCACCCGTCTGTATCAGCTCCATCAGATCTCTTTTTTCAGTGATTCCCACAAGCTTAGACACAAAAGGCAGGCGGGACTTGCGAGTGAAGTTGTCAGTCGTCATATCAAAGCTGTGGATCGTCACCTGACCACAACTTGGAGTCCAGGGGCATGATCTAAAGATCCCATTACCAACAGGCTAGAGCCTATTCATACGGTGTCTCGCGTTGGTTATGGTAGGTCTGCCACATCGACACCCAGAGACTCCAAAAAGAAACAAAAAGATATCCAAATTGGAGGGTCTGGCCGGGGATTGAACCCGGGACTGGGTGATTGTTAGTTATGGTGCAAATTTTGCAAGTGGATCTATCTCGAAATGACTTACCCTCGCGCAGTGAAGCTTCAGGGTGTTCCCTAAGCGCGAATCATACCACTAGACCACCAGACCAGGTGTTTCTGTTGAGACGCCTATTTGGGTGAACGCCTGGCCGCTTGCACGGTTTATATCGCTGCTTCAGCCAGCGAAACAAACCCCTAGTCACAAGCAACCTCAATTCCATCTCTTGTCCGCCCCCCACTGGTTGATATCCTTACCCAGATCTTTGCAAGGAATTTACCGGTCTGCAGTGTACTGTACCTAGGTATGCTTGGACTACTGTGGCATATGTCTTTTCTCGACTTGAACGCTGTCAAGCAATCCCCCCCGGCTACATTCCTTCTGGGAGCTCATGGAATCACCGGTCTACTCCGGATGCCGCGCTGAGGGATGCGGCTCGGTCAGCCCGCGCAGCTACCGCCCCGCGGGCGGCTGGCCAGCGAACAGCCGCCGTGAGTTCGGTACTTGTCCGATGCAGGATTGCGAACCTTAAATTTACGGCCGCTGTGCCACATGATCTACATAGTACCTGTGCCCGTATTTCAGGGCCTGAGTCGCCGTCCCGCCGGGGGGGGGGAGGGGAACCGAAGGGACCCATGTAAGGATCGAGCATGCGTGTGCACGCAATTCATGTGGTGGATTTCTTTTCTGAACTGGTCACCCTTGGAGTCTTCAGTTCTGGTAGTCTGGCAGCACTGAGATGACATCCGCGACGAGGTCCAGGGCGTGGCGAGTTCAGTGGGTGAGTCAATCAATGCACGCGGGCGGTTCTAGTGAGGTAATCTTGAGAAAGCTTTCTTACGCGACAGGTATGCCTCTTAATCAGTTCGAATCAGTCCCAATTATCCTCGGCGAATTGGCAAGCGAGCTCTGATCCACTCCTCTTTGCTTGGCGGACGAAAGCTTTTCCCCGTGGGGCAGATGAAAGCGGTGCCCACTCGCGTGCCTGGGCCGCCTGTTGGGCGATGGCTCCAGCAGAAATTCACCCCCACGAACCGTACACAGTAGAAGCAAGGGGATTAGTAATACCTAACTGCAAACCAGGTTGGGCATGTGTCGCCGAGTTTGACCGTGGCTCAGTTAACACGAAAGAGAAAGGTTGAAAGGAGGGGGGGGGGAGAATAAAAAAATCAGTCTGGCAGCGGCACACTATTGAGAAAGCATGCATGCCCAGGATGGTATGGTAGACTGTTGACTACCAGGTACGAGGGCAAATGTATCCCGGAACCTCCAATGTTTTTGGTCCTCGACACGAGGCCATTGTGATGGACATCGGCTAGCCGTCGGGCACAGGTACCCTTTTGAAATTGGCATCAGTCAGTTGGCTTCCCACCCTTGTTGGGATGACGGCCTTGGCATTCTTGGCTGCGTGGCCACAGAAGGTTGAGAGAATCTGGCAGTCTGGGGACCCCGCAAGCTGATCCGGTAAGTTGGGTGACGCCTGACCAAAGCCCTCGCGTGGCCCTTTTAGCCAATGACAACCGTCACCGGGCCCCTTGGCACAGCACGACTTCGGTTGAACGGGGCCCCTGCTGGGGACCTCGAGTCGGTTCTGGCCAGCTAGCTCCCTTCCCTCCTGGATCCAGCCTGCCTCGCTTGCTCGCCAAGTCCCTGCTGCGTGGCAGGCCACGCGAATGCAACGGCGCTCGACCTCATTGCAACTCTTGGAACAGCGTGCCGGGACAACTCACATTGCTCACTTGAGGACTGCTTGATATTGTTCTGTGTGGGAACGGGGTCAGAAAAAAGAAAAAAGAGGGTGTAGCACGGTCCACAGCAGTGCATGGCATCCCGCCGCGAGAATTACAGCATTGGTCTAGTCTGCCCGCCGTCTGCCCTTGATTACTGCCCGCCCCCCAACAGCCACAGCAACGCTAGGGACAGGATCTCACATGGTTGATCTCCGGCACTCGCTGCTCGCAGTGCCGCCAGATCCTGCCTCTCCGGTATTAGACCCGCCAACTGACTTCCCGTTAGCCGGTCCCTGGCCACTCATAGAAGTTATTACCACACACATCCTTCGCTAGACCGATCGTCAGACGCCACGTACAGAGTAGGGCCGAGGCCTGTGCCGCCGCCAGAAAGGAGCCGACAAGGAACTGCCTGGGGTCCCAACGCGGGGCAGCCTTGGAAATGGCCTGAGGTCGCCCTCTTCTGTCGTCGACACCGGCGCGTCCTGCATCCCGGCGCAGGAGGTGGGTATTCGCCAGGTTTGTTGGTCGTATCTTGCTGTCTCTGCCTCGGCAGGGTTGGCCCTTTCTGGTAACCCGACGGATTATTATCCGATTCCAACCCCCTCCCTGACAGGCCTGTACAAGCGAAGCTGTGCCGCCTCGCCTCCCCAACTACCTGACTTGCTTGGTGTCCGTGAGCAAACTTGTTAGGCGACGGCCCGGGGTTGTGATCGGGGCAGAGGTACCCCCTCGTGTTCACAATGACATATATATGTATGTGTCCAAGACCTCGATTTTCCTCGGCGCAATTCGAGAGGGGAGAAGACGGGGGCAGTCCACAAAAGCGTGGTTTTTGCGAGTTGACCGCTTGCGTTTCCGGTCTTGGGAGCTCGTGAAGTGGTCCCATCACATCCTTGGTCCTCTGGACAATCCACAGGGGTTCCTGCAGTTCAATATGTACATGTCCTACCCCTCGAGCGAGGCGGCTCTTTTCCTGGGCGCCACCAAGGGGATATAAGACCCTCCAGTCTCCGCGATTCGCTTGCCCAGCCGTCTACCAAGCTCTCCAAGCATCGTCCCGCCCCCCCTCCCGACTTCTTAACTCCCCCGCCAAGTCACCCTACTCGCGCGCCACACTCTCGGCGACAAGGCTCGGCGACAAGACGTCAGAATGGCTGGTGGTGTCAAGAAGCCCGTCAACGTCTTCCGGCTGAAAAATCTTGGCCTGCCCAAGGAAGTCTTCAACTGGCGACTATGGTTCTCTGTCCTCTCTTTCGGCCTGTTGGGAGCCGCCAGAGGAGTTGACGAAGGCCTCATCAGTGGGGCCTTTAACTCAAAGGACTTCCAAGCTACAATTCATTTCTCCGATTACGATGAAGTCGCCAAGGCCAACATCAAGGCCAACGTCTCGGCAATGGTCCAAATTGGGTCTGTCGGAGGAGCTTTGTTTGCCTTCGTGGTCGCTGATAGAATCGGCCGCATCTGGGCCACCAGATGTCTCTGCGTGTTCTGGGTTGTTGGCATCAGCATGTTCATGGGGGCCAACGGCAGTCTCGGCTTGATCTACGCTGGCCGTTTCATAGCTGGACTTGGTGTTGGGCAAACGCCCGTTGTCGGGCCGGTCTACATGTAAGCATCACCTTTCACCTATCACGGATCCCGTCTTGCATCTTTTGGGATGTTCTTGAATGCAATACTTTAGAATCGGTCAGGATTAACACCACCATAGCGCCGAGATTGCTCCTGCGCCCATCCGAGGTCTCTGCACCTGCATCTTCACCGGTTTCGTCTACCTGGGCATTGTCCTCGCCTATTTCGCCAATTACGGATGTCAGATCAACATCGGCGATACCACTCATGCTCGGTGGTTGGTGCCCACATCCGTGCATCTGATGTTCGCAACTATCACCTTTTTCTTGACCTTCCTCCAGTATGAGTCGCCTCGCTTCCTCATCAAGAATAATAAGCCAGAACAGGCCCTCCACAACATGGCACGACTGCGTAACCTCCCGCCCGAGCATCCACTTGTGGCCGAAGAAATTGCGGGGATCACGATGCAGCACCACGAGGAGATGGAGGCGACTAAGGGCACCACGTTCTGGGGCATGATCAAGGAGCTTCTATTCATCCCCTCCAACCTGTACAGGTTCTACCTGGCCATCGGTGCCCAGCTCATGAGCCAGTGGAGCGGCGCCGGATCGAGTAAGCATCACTTTTCACCTTTAACGAATTCCCATCCTTCATATTTTGGAATGTTCCAGAATACAACACTTGAGGATCCATAGCAGGGCTAATTTGATCACTAGTCACGCTTTATGCCCCAGATTTATTCGCTTTAATGGGCATCACCGGCACAAACGAGTCCCTGCTCGTCACCGCTGTCTTCGGAATCGTCAAGCTCGTCGCCGCCATTGGTTGCGCCCTCTTCCTGGTCGACGTTATCGGGCGTAAGCGATCCCTGATGATCGGCATCACCCTGCAGGCGATTTCGATGATATACATCGCTGGTTTCCTTACAGGAGTTCCTGAGCTTGGCACAGTCGAGGACTACGAACTTACTCCCAGTGAGACGGGTCCTTCCAAGGGTGCAATCTTCATGATCTATTTGTCGGGTTTCGGCTGGGCCCTGGGTTGGAACTCGATGCAGTACCTGCTCACGGCCGAGCTATTCCCCCTGCGCATCCGCGCCCTCGCCACGTCAATCGCTATGACTGCGCATTTCGCCAATCAATACGGTAACAGTCGTGCCCTTCCAGTGATGCTATTGCCTCTCTCCTCTGGTGGCATCACGCCCAGTGGTACCTTCTGGTGCTTTGCGGCTATAACTTTGCTGGGCCTTTTCTGGGTGTGGTTCTTTGTCCCCGAGACATCTGGCCGCAGCCTTGAGAGCATGGACAACCTGTTCGCCCTCCCCTGGTACAAGATTGGGCTCCACGGCAACCAGGATGCCGAGGAACTCGACATTGTCCACGACAAGAAGTTTGAGGAGGCCGGCGTGTCTGATGCGGCTCATGTCGAAAAGAGCGAGAAGGTCTGAGGTCTTGGTAATTAGCTTAGTAGCATGCAGCGTTGCATTCTCTTGAAATGAATTGGCATGCGTGTCAATGTCATCTTTTGCGTTCATTCATGAACTTCCAATCCTTCTTACTCGGCATTTCTGTGAATGCAATTGTCGGCTATGTGTTGATTTGGGATTCTACCGCCAGCCAATCAGAGCCCGCCATTCCACCTCGCGGCACCCCCCTCCCCCTAACCCAGTGCTTCTTGCGCCCTCGCCTGCAGACCTCACCAACCCTCCTCCTTCATCTACCAACCACGACAGCTTCAACCACCAAGCTAGCAGCCAAGAAGCGCCTAACGAGGGCTTGTGAGACTGCTAACCAGCTGCCACGGGTAGATCTAAGTGTTGAGGACCTTGTCGGTGAAGGAGACCTAGATGATGAGGAAAGCACCTACCGTTAGGGATGGCTAGTGAAAGTTTCAAAGTCGAAATATTTCAGTCAGCCAGCCAGATTTCATTTCACTAGGCTAGGTAGGTCTGAAATATTTTATAGGTACCTTAAATCTAATAGGTCTACTATATAAAATTAAGGTAGTTTATTAGTAACTAATATCTTCTTATATAATTTATTAATATAAAGTATTAATATATAGTTAGTAAAAAAATTAATAGGTAAAATAGAATATTTAACTATTTATTATATTAAATATAATAGTTATTAAATTAAAATTAGTGTAACTTTTAGTTTTTTTTATTAAAGGGCTTAAAAATTTAAATTTCTTTAGAAAGAGTGAGTGGGTTTAACTTTTTACTATCTCTACCTATTATATTAGTATTTATAGGTAGTTTAAAAGAGTTATAAAAGCCTATAAAACTTACTTTATTTTTAAGATTTATTCTTAATATAAAAGTTATATTTATTATAAAAGTTACCTTTTTATAAAAGTTATCTTTTTATAAAAGTTAAAGAATTTAAATATAGAAGTTATATAAAGACTTTTAAAAAAGAAGTAAGTATATATTTAAGGAAAAAGTAAATAATTATAAAGAAATAATTATAAAGAAATAGTTATAAAGAGGTAGTTATAAAGAGAAAAGGAAGAAAAAGAAAAGAAATAAAATTAAAATAATACTTTAAGAAAAGTTAAAAATAAAAATCTTAAAATTATTTTAAAAAAATCCTTTTAATTATTTATTATATTTAAATAAATAAAGTAACTTTTAAATTATTAAAATCTTTTATATAACTTTTATATTTTAATTTTTTAATTTTTATAAAAAAAATTAATTTTTATAATAAATATAATTTTTATAATATATATAATATATATAAAGAATTATAATAAGTTAATATCTACTTACTTAATAATTATATTTACTTATTTAGTTTTTTTTAACTATTTATCTAGTATAAGAATTTATATATAAGGTCTATATAAAACTATATACCTAACTAAGATTTTTTAAATTTTTAATACTTTTAGTATAAGCTCCTTCTAGTATACCTTCTAGCATACCTTTTAGCATACCTTTTAGTACGCCTTTTAACACGCCTTTTAGTACGCCTTTTAGGCTATATATATTTAAGTATTAACTAAATATTAAGATATTAATTAAACGTTAAAAGGCTAGAAGTTTAAAGTATTAAAAGGTTAGAAAGAGTATTAAAAGGTTAAAAAGAATATAGTTTTTACTTTTATTTTTTTAACTTTTAGTCTTTTAGTATTTAATTAGTATTTAAATACTTAGTTAGTATTTAAATATATATAAACTAAATAATAAAGGTAAAGGTAAAGGTAAAGGTAAAGGTAAAGGTATATTAAAAGGTATATTAGAAGGGGTTTATATTAAAAGTATTAAAAATTAAAAAAGAAAATTATACTATAAGGTCTTTTAATATTAATTTAAAAGGTATTTATAAATATAAAGGAGTTATTTAAAAAATTAGTATTAAATAAATAGTTAATAGAAATTAAATAAATAAATATAATTATTAAGTAAATAAATAATAACTTAATTATAATATTTATAAATTTTATTTATTAATATAATAAATAAAAAAGTAAAAATAAAATAAAAATAATAATATATATATAATTAAGAAATAAATGATTTTATTTTATTTTATATATATTTAAAAATATATTTAATATTTTATATAATAATAAATATTAAAAATTTAAGTTTTAAAAATATAATATTAATAATATTAATAATATTAATTATATAATATATAAATAAAATTAAAAATATTATTTTAATAAAAATAATAAATAATTATTATAATATTTTTATAATTTATAATATAAAAGATTTAAATTATTTAAATAATATTATAAAAATAAAATTATAATTTTATATAATATAAAATTAATTTTATTAATAAAGTTAATTTTATTAATAAAGTTAATTTTATTAATAAAGTTAATAAAATTAATAAAATTAATAAAATTAATAAAATTAATAAAATTAATAAAATTAATAAAATTAATAAAATTAATAAAATTAATAAAATTAATAAAATTAATAAAATTAATAAAATTAATAAAATTAATAAAATTAATAAAATTAATAAAATTAATAAAATTAATAAAATTAATAAAATTAATAAAATTAATAAAATTAATAAAATTAATAAAATTAATAAAATTAATAAAATTAATAAAATTAATAAAATTAATAAAATTAATAAAATTAATAAAATTAATAAAATTAATAAAATTAATAAAATTAATAAAATAAATAAAAATATAAATTTATTAATTAATTTTATAAATAATTCTATTATAATTTTAATAATTATTAATATATATAAATATTATATATAATAAATATATAATATAAATTAAAATTAATTAAAATTATATATATTTTTAATTATTAATAATTTATTAAAACTATTAAAAATAAAGTTTTATAAAACTTTATTAATATTAAAAATTAATATAATAATATTTTACTTTTTAAATATAAAGTTAAAATATTTATAATTATAACTTTTAAATTAATTTTTATTTAAATATTTTATTATATTATAATTTAATTTAATTTAATTTAAACTTTTAAAACTTTATAAAATCTTTTATTTTATAAATATAAATATTAAATTAAAATCTTTAAGTTTAAATTTAAAATATTTATAAATTTTAATATATTTTAAATAAAATTTATAATTTATAATTTTTAAAAATATATTAATTATTTTAAATATTAATAACTTTTAATATAAAATTTATTTTTATATATTTATTAAATTTAATTATTAATAATTATTTTTTATTTATAAATTATTATAATTATAAATTTAAATAATATAATATAATTATTTTATTTAATTATTTTTAATTTAATAATATAATAAAAGTTAATATTTATTTATTTAATTTTAATATTTATTTATTTAATAATTTTATAAATTTATTTAATATTAACTTTTATATATAAAGTTTATATAAAATTATATATTTAATTAAAATTCTTTAATATTTTAATATTTTAATATTTTAATATTTTAATATTTTAATATTTTAATATTTTAATATTTTAATATTTTAATATTTTAATATTTTAATATTTTAATATTTTAATATTTTAATATTTTAATATTTTAATATTTTAATATTTTAATATTTTAATATTTTAATATTTTAATATTTTAATATTTTAATATTTTAATATTTTAATATTTTAAATATAAACTCTTTTAAACTCTTTTAAACTCTTTTAATACTCTTTTAATACTCTTTTAAGCCTTTTAAATTATATATATTTAAATATTAATTAAATATTAAAAGATTAAAAGTTTAAAATATAAAGAGTTAAAAGAGTATTAAAAATTTAAAAGTATAATTTTATTTTTATTTTTAATTTTAATATTTAAATATTTAATTAATATTTAAATATTTAATTAATATTTAAATATTTAATTAATTCTTAAATATATATAATTTAGAAAGTATATTAAAAATATATAAAAAAGTTTATATTTAAAGTATTAAAAATTAAAGAAGAAAATTATTTTATAAAGTTTTTATATTAATTTAAAAGTATTTATAAATATAAAAGAGTTATTAAAAATAAATATTAAATAAATTTATAAAATTATTAAATAAATAAATATTAATATTATAATAAATTAAATAATTATTTTTAAATAATTTTATTTATAAAATTAATAATCTTTTAAATTTATTAAATAAATATTTATTTATAAAATAAAGTTAAAACTTATATATATTTTTAAAAATAATAACTTTATTTTTATTTATTATAATTAATTTATATTTAAATTATATAATAATTTAATATATAATATTTATTAATATTAAATTTAATTTATAATTTATAATAACTTTAACTTTTAATAAATATAATTTAATATATTAATATAAAAGTTATTTTTAATAATAAATAATATTATAAATAATTATAAAGTTATTATAAAAGTTTTATATAATAAATTTAATTAAATTAATTTTAAAAAATTATTATTTTTAAAAGAATTTTTAAATATTTATTTTAATTTAATAATAAAATTAAAAATATAAATAATTTATAATAATATATTACTTTATTATAAATTTAAAATTAATTTTAAATAACTTATTTAATAAATTAAATATTAATTTTATTAATAAAAAATATTTTTATTAAAAAAAATAAAGAAAAAAAATAAAAAAATAAAAAAAGAATAAAAGAGAAATAAGTAAGAAGAAAGAGAGTATAAAAGGAAAGAATATAAAATAGAAGAGTATAAGATAGGATAGTATAAGAGGGGAGAGTATAATAGGGGAGAGTATAAATAAGGAGAAGAGGGGAGAGGGTAGGAGGGGAGAGGGTAGGAGGGGAGAGGGTAGGAGGGGAGAGGGTAGGAGGGGAGAGGGTAGGAGGGGAGAGGGTAGGAGGTAGTATAGGAGAGGTAGGAGGGAAGAGGTAGGAGGGTAGGAAGGGAGAGGGCAGTATGGGAGAGTTAGGAGGGTAGGAGGAGAGGGTAGGAGGGGAGAGGGTAGGAGGGGAGAGGGTAGGAGGGGAGAGGGTAGGAGGTAGTATAGGAGAGGTAGGAGGGAAGAGGTAGGAGGGTAGGAAGGGAGAGGGCAGTATGGGAGAGTTAGGAGGGTAGGAGGGGAGAGGGTAGGAGGGGAGAGGGTAGGAGGGGAGAGGGTAGGAGGGGAGAGGGTAGAAAGGGAGAGGGGAGAGGTTGGAGGGTAGGGAGGGAGAGGGTAGGAGGTAAGAAGATAGGAGGGTAGAAAGAGAGAGCGTAGAAAAAAGAAGTAATAATTAATTAAAAATTAAAATTAAAATTATTATATATAAATTATAAAGTTTATTATAAATATAATATAAAAAAGTTTTAAAATTATTATAAAATTAAAAAATTTTATAAATAAAATAATAATTATTATAAAAATAATAAATTATAGTGAATTAGCTATTATAAGTAAGGTTAGTGGGCCCGTGCATATATATAAACCACCACGCTTAGTTAGTAGGTCTAGCTAACCTAACTAGGTGTTTCGCCGCCTAGCTAGGTAGACCTTCTAACTATCACCAATACACACCACTTCGCCCAACCACTTCTTATATATATAAGTAAGCTGACCGACACTAATTAGTGTTGGCTGGGCTTATATATGTAAGAGTGGAAGAAGTAGTGTTGAAAGTAGTTAATTGCTCTCTAAGTAGTAACTATTAAAAGGTTACTTAAAGAGCTTATATAAATAAATACCCTTTTACTAACTAGGTTTAATAAAGGATTACTATAACTATTATTATTATATTAACTTTAATATAAATTAGTTTATTAAAAGTTAAATTTATTATAAATTATAAACTATTTAAAATAATTTTTATAACTTATAATAAAAGAAAGTTTAAATTATTTATAAAATATTATTAATTTAAAATTAAAGTTATTTAAAAATAATATAAAAGATAATAAAACTATAGTTTTATATTATAAAAGTATAAAACTACTTAAATTAATAAAATAAATAAAGTATATAAACTTATTAATTAATATTATAAATATTTAACTTATAATTTTAATATCTTTTAAATAAATTTAAATAAATAAAAATAAAACTATTATTTTTAATTAAAAATATATATAAGTTTTAATTTTATTTAAATAAATATTTATTAAATAAACTTAAAGAATTATTAATTTTATAAATAAAACTATTTAAAAATAATTATTTAATTTATTATTATATAAAATTAAAATTAAACTTTTAAATATAATAATTATATTTTAATATTATTTTAACTTTATAATTTTAATAATTATATTATAAATAAAAATAAAATAATTATTAATAATTAAATTAATAATTATATAAAAGTAAATCTTTATTTTTAAAAGTTATTAATATTTAAAATAATTAATATATTTTTAAAAAGTTAAGAAATTTTAAATATAAGTTAAAATAAATTAGAATTTATAAAAATTTTAAATTTAAACTTAAAACTTTAAACTTTTAACTTTTTTAAAAATAAAAGTTTAAAAAACTTAAAAGGTTTAAATAAAATAAAATAAAATTATAATAAAATAAAATAATTAATTAAAAATTAATTAAAAACTTATAATTATAAATATTTTAATTTTATATTTAAAAGTTTATAATAAATATATAATTATTAATAATAATAATTATTATTAAAAGTATTTTAATATTATAATATTAAAACTATATTTATTTTATTTAATATTATTAATTTATTAAATATTAAAATATTATAAATTATTAAGTCTTTAAATTAATATTAATAAATATTATATAAAAATATTAAATATATTATATAATATAATGTTTATTAAATATAAATTAATTAAAATAAATAAATATAAAGTTATTATTATTTTAAAAGTTTTAATTTTATTTTATAATTTTAATAACTATATTATAAAAAAAGAATTAATAATAATTAAATATATATTTATATAACGTTGTAGATATAGATTGTAAAGTTATTGTGAAAAGTCCTGTATAGTAAACTTAGCTAAGCTGATCTTTAAAAGATACATTATATCTTATCCCTTTAGGACTTTAATTATTCGCTTCCAGCTTAATAGTAGAACTAAAAAAATATAAATAGTCTATATATTTATATAAACTTTAATTTTAATTTTTAAAACTATTATTATTATTTAAAGTATTTAATATATTTTTAAAAAATATTAAAAGATTTATAAATTTAATTTAAATAAAATTATAATTTATAAAGATTTTAAATTTAAGTTTATAAAATTTAAACTTTTATTTTTTTAATAAATAAATATTAAATAACTATTCAAAAAATTTAAATTATATTAAAAACTAAATATAATTATAATAATATAAATTAATTAATTAAAAATTATAATTATAAGTATTAATTTCTAATTATTATAAATTATAAGAGTTAGATTACTTATACTTAAATACCTAAGCTTTAGGAACGGACTGTAAACGCTGAAAATGCTGACTTGTTAAGTGTAGATAAAGTTGTAGAAAAATTGCTAGTACTTTTTTTTTTACGAACATAGAATCCACAGGCCTGACAACTTAGCGGAGCTCATTACAAGAACCCGCTATAGATAATACGATTTGACTTGCCGTTAGTCACGAATTTTGCGAAGCCATTTGTCAGTCGTATTTGCTCAGGCAAGACTTCCAGCAGGTCAAAGGCCGTTAGCAGGTCCTCACAACTCCGGTCACCATACCTAGGTATTGTGAAGACTCGAAGTTCCACCACAACATAATTCAACGTATTATAAAAAATTCACTCAATGGGATCAAAGGACCGGAGGAGAGAGGGCATCCTTCATTTTTCTATGAATCCATCTTTTTCTCATTCTTTTAAAAGACTGATCACGACCCGTTCATTCAGAGAGCACTTGCTGACACTTAAGACGATTGAATTGGGAACCTTTGACAGACTGAATGCGCGATCGCATTATATTCTGTTTAACTAATGTAGATACCCTCATCGCTCCCGATCTCATACCCGACACTTCAACACCGTGGAGGAATAGAAAAACTTCCTCAAGAATTCGCCCAGACCTATGCAACCTACGACATCAACCGTCCCTGGAACACGAGCTCTGGCCAGGGGCCTACCCTAGGGTACTTATGCGGCGCCGTTGTAGGCGAGTAGGTTGGGCGTGCCGGAGGGGACGCCGGTGATGACGCCTGAGATGGCGTTGTTGCGAATGTAAGTGCACAACGCCGCGGGGGTCATGGATCCCCGCAGGGCGAGGAAGTACGCGCCCAAGCCGGCGACGTGAGGAGAGGCCATGGAGGTTCCGGACAGAGTAGCCTGTGACATGTTAGCTTCAACATGGCATTGGAGTTGTTGGGCTTGTGGGACTCTAAACATACGGTTGCACTAGTACTTCCGATGTATGAGCTCACGATACTGGACCCGGGGGCAAGGATGTCCACAATAGAGCCGTAGTTAGAATAGGTCGCAAAGGAATCTGAGCTGGTTGTAGCTCCGACAGTGCAGGCGGTAGTCTCGGAGGCAGGGGAGTAGTTGGCAGCGCTGGCCGCGTTGTTTCCAGCGGCGACAGCAAGGAACACACCGGCACGGACGAGGGCGGCAGCAGCGGAGTTCACTGCCGTTGACTTGGCGCCGCCGAGAGACATGTTTGCAACAGAGGAGCACGAGCGCTTGGGGGCATCGGTCGCCACGTAGTTGATACCAGAAATCACGCCCGAGTTCGTGCCGGACCCGCTGGCGTCTAGGACCTTGACACCGTACAGAGTGACCTGCTTGGCCACCCCGTATGTGCTTCCACCGATGGTGCCCGCGACATGGGTTCCATGCCCGTTGCCGTCAGTGTTGCTGCTGTCGGCATAGTTGGCGAGGAATGTAGCCCGACCACCGAACTGAGAGTGGGTGGTGAGGATTCCGGTGTCAATCACATAGGCGCACACTCCGCTGCCGGCGGAGGTATCGTAGACGTAGGGTGTCAAAACACGTGCGGTGTGGCTGATCCGGCCCAGGCCCCAAGAGGCGGCAGTCTGGCTGGTCAAGGCACGCTTGGCTGTCTCAGTGGTGGAAATCTCCTCCGGAACGTAGTCAATCTTGATGATGGCATCCTGCTCAATATACTCAACCTAAAATGGAAAATGCGTCAGAATTAGTCAGTGGACTCTCGATAGGGGCTGGCTTCCCAGGGTTCCCATCACTCTCACTTACATCTTCCAACTCGGCGATGGCTTCAAGAGCCTCCTCAGAGATCTGGGCGGCGAGGCCCTTGAACTGCTTATCTGCGTCCCATTTCTGGTAGGCCTCGCCCTCGAAGAGCTCATCCACGTGGTCGATAGAGGCCTGAGATACGTCATCCTTCATCTTGATGATGTACTTGTTCTCCAGAAGGGCCTCGACATCCCGGGGCTTCAGGATAGGGGCAGAGCCACCTGAGCGCTTCTGGCCTGGAAGGGCGAGTGCCAGGGGAAGAAGGGACAAAATTGCAGCAGTCTTCATTTTGATGAGAGTTTCAGGATGAATAGACTAGTATGAAGGTAAGATGAGTGAATCTGAGTCTTTGCAGTGATGCCGTCGCGGTGAGCCCTGGACTGGAGATGAGATTATTCTCGCAAGTTTGACGGCTTCATGGGACCCCTTTATAGTGATCTTCAATGACCAACTAGCAACACCACGATATCAACAGTCTACTCTCCTTCCATTTACAGAATCGTCTCGAAGATGGCGCGATCTTCTTTCAAGGACACCAAGCCTCACAACACTACGCCAAACAAGCAATCAGGAAGGAGGATCGACATTCTCGCTTTTATTGCTTATCAAATTTCTTGGACAGCGGTGTGATGTAACTCGGTCAGGTTATATTCGAGCCTAAAACAGGTATCATTGCATTTCCAAGTCCACTACGTGCGAGTTGTACCACGATTGCATTGTCGCCTTCCACAAACGAAGAGATAACGAGTGAGTGCTCAACGATCTGTCGAATGGCGATGGAGAGTACAACTTGAAGGTACCAAACCACCGTGCGCGACGCCAGTCAGGAGGGTGTGAAGGTGTTGTCAGCAGAGCGCATTCCTGCCGCGGGCCGGCTTCGTAGCTAAGCGCAAGTGAGACTATTGATGGGAAGCGATCTTGGGCCTGGCTACCTAGGTACTTACCTAGGTAGCCATATTCCGCGCACTGATCGCAAAGAAAAGGTAGGCATTCTTCCTGCCTATCTTGGTGAGCAATGCCTTACACATGCAGGCTGCCAGTGGCCGTATTTCTGGGTTCTAGACGCGCAGGTCGATATCTGGGGGCTTGGCTAGTCTTGGCTTGCAGGAATGCTACCCCGGATTTTCTATCAAGGTTCACATGATAATTCAATTGTTTTACTGCTAGGACCTCGGGAGACCTAGTCAACCTTGGGAGCCTGACGTGGCGGGATGTCGGCGACTCGTCGTCGCGAGAGCCGTGAGTGGTATATCTTTCTCGCAGAAGGATGATCTGCCTGGCTCAACTAATAGCTTCAACCTGCTGCAATAGATGATGGGGAGCTGTAACTACACAGTATTCTTAGTGATTTAGACTAGTCCAGATAGCAAGTGCTAGCTCACCGTTGTGTTCTCGGCTCTCGGAGAACGAGAACACCATCTTGTGGCCGCCGTGGAGGGGTTTGCTGTTGTTGTGCTACAGCAGCGTCGTACCAAGTCAACCTTGCCAGGATACCCAAGCATAAGTCTGGCCAGGGTGCGCTGCCTGATTCGGTTAGGCCAGGGAAGTTCCACAGATTTTCTGGCCGTCACCTGCAGGGCCGGTCAACCAGTCCTCCTGACAGCGCCTCACTCCTTGTTGTTGTCAGCTCCAGACTTCGAAATCCGCGGTGTGCACATCAAGACCGGCCTTGCTCGCATGGGTTGTCCGTTTCCGCTAGGTGACATCACACCCAGTCGACACCATCAAAGATGTCAGGCTCCGAGTCCGTCTCCACTGCCTGGCTCGACCTCTTTGGCGAGCATCGGGGCCCGGATGCCGAGTCTTGCTTCAAGAGCTACGATGCTCTCGATACGCTCGACGATTTTCCAAGTGTCAGCTTCCTCAAGGACCTGATATGGGCTGAGATCAGAGCATGGGTAGCAAATAACACCGACTCGCTGTCTCTCATCAGCCACAAGGACTTGGACGGGCCGGGTCGCGTATTCCTGGGGGGCATGAACCATGCTCTGAACGACGACACCCTCCGCGAGCACGACATCTCTGCCGCAATCAGCATACATCCAAAGGATCTTCTCGCCTGGCACCCCACAGATCCCTCCTACGCCCTGCGGCGTTTTTCGGACCCCACCTCTCCATGTTCGGTCAAGAGTCATTTTATGTGCCCTCTCGAAGATAAGGCAAATGGAGACCTCTTGGAATTCTTTGACCAGACTAACGAGTTCCTGCAAACCCACATCAGGGAAGGCCACAACATCCTAGTCCACTGCAAGTCCGGTCGGTCACGCTCAGTAGCTGTGGTGATTGCATATCTTCAGCGGAAGCATTATGATACAATCATCCGGCCACAGAATCTTCCTCTGGATCAGGCATTAGAGAAAATGATATTGTATCGTCAAGCCGTTACCGAGAGTATCCGCCTTCAACGTCTGCCAGTTCTCATCATCATGGAGCGCTTCGAGGACCTGCTACGACTATATGATTATCAGCTGCTCGGCCATCCTGACTACGAAGAGAAACTGGCTAATCTGTTTTCTCCGCCGCCGGCCCCCGAGAAAAAATTGGTTGAGATGAAGACAGCAGAGCCCAAAACGACGGAATCACAGACGACCAAGTCGCAAATGCTGAGCTCTCAGGGCACGTGGTCGCAGATGACGAGGTCGCAGATAGACTTGGAGCACCCAACTGGGCTGAAGCGGGTCAAGAAAAAGGGCGGAGCAGCAATACTCAAGCTCGCTGTCGCGATTGTCTTCTTCAAAAACAACCAGAAGCCACCGATTGCCGTTGTCGAGCGGTTGTTCGAGATCAATGAGGCCTACTTCTGGGAGATGGAGGGCGTGGACTACCAGGGCGTCAAGTACCAGGATTCAGGCCATATCCATCGTGGCATTTGTGCCTTCTACGCCCAGTTCGCCGATGAATATGGTTATGAGCCCCCGACAGCTGTCTCACAGCTCTCTGACTGATGACGCTGGCCGTGGGCGAGGTAGACCTTGCGAGACAGCTGGATCTGTGATGGGCAATTCGATGCAACGCGTTACATGTATATCATGTCAAGTTTAGACTAGATAGATTCGATACAAGCTAGGATTCCCACGATGAAAGTCGACATCACTGATGGCCTGATGACCGAATTTCCAATTGACGACGGCACATGTGTGGTTGATATGATATATTTATTACATTGTCACTGTATGGAGGCGCCATGTATGTCCTCGGACGTACACGGAATAGAAGCGAAACCAGTTATTACATTGTGACCACCGGGGCACAACCCATTTTGGGTCAGGTGGTTGTGCTAAAACAACGCTCATCGTCACAGCCTGGGAGTGCTGACTTTCGCAGCAATCTTTTCAGTGGGCGCGAGACGTGCCACGGGCGCATCGTATTCTCTGTACACTGTTATTGGCCTTGTGCTTTTTCAAGCACTGGGTCTTGGGCGTTTACCATCGTATCAAGACGCCACATAATACGCTGTATATGTATGAGGAGTAGAAAGAAAACCCCCACCCTATATGTATATGCAATAGAAGCAGAGCTACCTCTCGCAGTAATCTCCCGTTGGATACCATTATAATATACTAAAATCCAGGGAGGTGTCTCCGCATACGTTTAGATCCAGCTTCCCCGCGAAGTCTATGTATGCGGTCTCCCTAAATGTTATGCAGATTCATTGTCAGACTTTGAGTGACAACAAAAAGAAATACCAACAACCCAGATAAATATGGTCTGGTGTAGGCTTCTCGGAAGTCATGTTCCAAGGTTATTAAATAAACCCCTGCTGCGCCTGCACAGCCGCCGCTTTCAGCCCGCTCGTCTCAGAACCTTGAGCATTCAGGCCCATCCTACTGCCCTTCATCTGCATCCTGGGGTCCGCACCGGGCACGCCAGGCGTCGCCGACTGGCCCCCATACTGAGCCGCCCAATCCAGTTCCTCATAATCGCCCACTTGATTAGCTGCCGAGTACGGCGCCGTCCCGGGTGGTTGGTTGGTACCAGGAGCCGGTGTCATGAACGCAGATAGCTGGTCCGCATAGCCGTTGTATCCCTCACACTGGCAAGGTTCCATCTGGCAGGTCTCACACTGCTCGAGGGCAAGACCCGAATCGCGCTGGTATTTCTTCTCGTCGTCATTATTGTTATCGCTAGTGGTGGTGGTGGTGGTGCCGTTGAACTTGACGCCCTGGACCCAATCCTTGAACGGCAGACGGGGGCTCTCGACCTGCATCCCGCTCATGCTAAAGGTGCTCGACCGAGTCGCTGGCCTGGACTTGGTTGACGGCGCGGGGGCCGCGTCTTGCGAGTACACCGAGGATGTTGTGCTGGCTGGGGAGACGGTCGTCCTCGGGTGGACCTGTTGATAAGCCTGTGATGGACGGCGGCCATGGGATTTTGGTGACGACAGCAGACTTGCGCTTCTACCGTGGATGTTCGAGGCCCTGAGGGCGTTGACTTCGGAATTCCGCATGGAAAACCGGGACAGGCGCACGGAAGTGGTCCTGCTCTTCTCGGATGCGCTAGGTGGAGGACTCTCGCCGCTGGCGCTGATGCGGCACTTCCTGTTGACCTTCGCCCTGTGTTGCTCGACCACGAGCTGGAACTGTCCTGCGAGGAAGAAACAAACTTCTTGGGACTGGTCTGGCAGGAGTTTCCGAAGACTTTCGCTGAGATCGGCCCTGAGTTCGGCTTGGCTGTCGTCCATCTTCTGCTCCATCTCCACCATCTCGATGACCGGGACGTATTCTAGGTTCAGGGTCAGTTATTTTGACGGACATGAACAATGGGTTCAGACTGTATGATATTCTCACCTGAATCTTGAGGTGACGCATCCTGGGGGAACAGAAGCTTCCAGATTTGTTCCCAGGAATTGACAAGGTGTCTCGGCGTCCGGTCAGCCAGAGCCCGATCCATCTCCTCGGTGATCCCGTCCTCCACCACAATATCCGAGACACAACCGTTGGGCTCGCACATTTGGTCCGCAGGCACCATTAGATGCTCAGACAAATCAGATTGGTTCTGAAAGCTCGCCTTGCATCGTGGACAAGAGTGCGCCGGCCCGCATGATCTGTGGTGAGTCCTAATGTGGTGCCTGTCTGGGAGTCAGTTCACGCTCTCCGCACTGCAAGTGTTCCAAGGTTTGTAACATACTTGAGGTCTTGTATGCCAAAGAATGGCCTCTTGGCACAATGCTCGTGGTCACGAACGTTAAACATGATTGGGTTCCTCTTCCTGAAAGGACACGAATATGGTCTTGATGCGTCGCTCAAACGTGCCCTCATACCTCGACCGCCTTTTCCAAATCCATATAGATTCTTGTACATGCTTGCGTTCGAATTGTCATATGCAAAAGGATCTTCTTCGTCCCCACTGCTGGCGCCATACCTGGTGCGACTGCCGGCCGCATCATGATCTGAAAGCTGGTCAGACGCCCTAGATTGCATATCTGAATCTGTCCGGTATGCCTTGGAGTGTCTGGGCCGGTACTGTGGGAGAGCCCACGGCGCGTGGTCCTTCTGGACTGTGGTGGATACTTCCTGCAGACACCTTTGCACCGCGTCGTGGACCTTGGGTGGCACCGTGGTCTTGGGACCCCTGACACCGTAGCCCTCCCGCAGAATGGATGCTGTAATTCTCGATGTAAGTGCTGCGCTAGGGTCGGCGTCGACACTGTGTGGGTAACTGTCCCTTGGAAGGTCCGTCTTAGCCAGGCTATACTTTCTTCTCCCCGGTGGTGGGGCCATCAGGCTGGTTGTGCATGTGGCTGTCAATGCACTGATTCGCGCATGCTCGTGTGTCAAGAAAAGGTGATGTGTCGTTGGGTGTTACTCACTCGAAGGCCTGATGCGAGGCCCGCCTCACGCCGACTAACGAGGATCTGACGGGGTGGGTAGTGGCCCTCTTGAGATTCTTCTTTGTGTCTGCCTGGGCACAGGCGTCATCCCGCATCCGAAGCGGCAGACCAAGACTCTGCGGTCTCTCAGTAGGCATCTGAGGCTGACCAGCTTTGACCGCAAATAGTTCCTCGGGGGACTGCTGATATTGCGGGCCGAAGGCTGCTTGGCCAGTGGACATGATATTCGTGGAGACAAAGGACGGGTCGCTGTAGTCTGCGGTATCAAACACTGGAGACGCCGAGCCGTCAAGCGATGGGGCGGGGCTTGGTGAATGGGAGGATAGCGTCGAGACAGAGCAGGTCATAGACTCTGGGTAGAAAGTATCGGGAATAGCGCGTAGTCTTTGTCTCTGGTCTGTTTTCGTCCTGGCGCCGCGAGATAAAGAGCGTGGGGATCCCGCGTACAGAGATCGGAGATCCATACTAGTACTATTAGTAGTAGTATTTGCAGCGCTTCGTAGCCGCTGGTGGAACGGCCCGCAACTGTGAGTTGCCCGGATATCTAGAAAAGCAAATTGTACAAGGGATGCATGCGTGCGGTGAGATGAGAACTTGAACTTTGGAGGGCGGCGGTTGAGCAACTCTGAAAAATGCCACGGGAGAAGAGAAAGGACAAGGATGAGCAACCAAGGTGGGAAACAAAAGAAAAAAAACACGAGGTCAAGGTGAGGTTGACCAGGCCCCAGAGCCCCCCGATTCGATATAAAAAGAAACAAATGGTCAATGATCTCAAACAAAACAAGAAGGCCGCAACCCGAGGCGGTGGACCACGGGCTGGGCCTGGGGCGGGCGGGAGGCCGGTCAACCAACCTTGGAAGGGGCCAGGGGGGCTGTTCATCAGCCCCCCTGTCCAATGGGGCTCTTGGGCGCCTACCTCACATGTGGCCCCACGAGATTTGGCACGTCGCAGATGAGGCTGATTGGCCCAGCCGGCCATTTGGCGCTGACCCGAGGGCAGCAAATCACAGCCGCCAATTGCCTTAGCAGCTCCTCGAGCAAAGGTCATTGAGAGGTTCGCGCCCAATGGATCCCGTCAATGTTGATCTTGCATGACGTACCGCAACCTGTCAACGGCATTACCGGAGACTCACGCGACATTGCAAATTCCTCGGCTGCGTGGAAGCTTTTGTGGCGAGAGCACTTGAGAGAGAACTAGCATATGGTCAGCCAGGGTAAGGGTTGACCGCTTTCCACAGTACAGTGGTACAGATCCGTACTGATTAGTACTTGAGTACCTGGGTACCTACTCAAGAACGTGCACCACCTGCATACGTCTTAACACATGCCCCGAGCCCGTCCACTCGACAAAGGCACTGCACAGCCATGGCTGCGTTAGCGACTGTCGCGAGGACAGCCATCAAAGCGTTTAACGTAACCGCGTAGGGCCAGCTCGGCAGCGGCTGTCCCTGGGGCACTAGAGCCTTTATCGAGAGCAGAAGCACTCCATGATAGGCGTGGCGCTCCCTTCAATGTTGCTCTTACCACACGGCAGCTTATACCAGTTGACACCAGAAACCAGGCTGCAGACAGACTCGGTGCAATTTAGTCGAAGAGGTCACACCGATAGAGTCAAGCTGAGCTCCCCAATTCAGCTTGTGGAGATGCACGGCATCTGCTACGGAGAGTGAGCTCAGAATGGATCTTGCCACTCGTTACTTCTGAACACTTTTCTTAAGTATGGCTAACATTGGGATCGTGCAGAATCACGATCCGCTATCACACATGTGCATGAGCTTTGACCACAGTATGAAGGCGTCACATACTTTTTCTATGTGTAGGAAGAAATGGAACCGCCATTACAGACTGAGACGTCGAAAACCAAACTCTGCAACTGAGTGTTGATTAGTAGTTACAATCTGTGATGAAATATTTAAATGCAGATATAGTACAGTCACTACTTAGACCGCCCGCTTAGATTCTCTCCCAAACTACCTTGGCAGCGTGACGATGAAGCAAATCAGCTCATGGCGGCCAAATGAGGGCAATATCCAGCACGAAACAGGGTAGCATCTTGTTGCCCCTCTCTACCTCAAGCAAGTCAGATCTTAGTGTTACGGCAAAATTGGTAAAGACCCTTCGACCGCGCATATTCTTTCAGTTTCTGATAGCATGATTGGTGGGATCAGGCTCGATGTAACACTGAAGCACTCCCTTGCCTGCCTAGGTGAACAATGCAACTAATAGAGGATGTTGATCTCTTCCAGAACCCCTCTCGATAAGACCACCGTTGCACCCTGACTGCAGTGGTACAAATTTGTGCATTAGTTCTCACCTGCGCGTATTTTATATGTCTGATGTCGCACGGTCTCCATTCAATCTTCTCTTCTCTTCATCTCGCCTTTTAATTGTGCAACCACAAAGCAGCAGTAGCGATAAGAGCTTTGAACGCAAAGACGAGCGTCATGGAGATCTCAGAGAAGAGGATTGGTACCGAGAAGGTTGAATCCATCAACCATGATTCTGGGGGCGAGCTTGTCGATGAGAAGACCGGAACTGCCGAGGATCGCGCTGATATGGCCCGCATGGGAAAGGTTCAGGAGCTTCGGGTACGTGGCTGTTCCCCAGACGCGCACATCTGATTCATTGACTAATTCCTCCGCAGCGGAACTTTCGATTCGTCTCCATCTGGGCCTTCTCCATGATTTTGGTCGCGTCTTGGGAATGTTCTTTAGTGTAAGTCTTGATCAACACAAAGGTGCCAGGCGAGTTCGTTTCACCCACTGCCTCCTGCTGATAAAAAGAAATTGTAGACTTGCGAGCGTCAGTTTGTTCAATGGCGGAACGGCGGGATACATATGGATATTCTTCATATGCTGGATGGGATTTATGCTCGTGAATACCTCAATGGCAGAGATGGCATCGATGTGAGTAAAGTTCAGCGCGTGCATGCATTATATTGAGCCCCGGTATAATGCTGATGATTCCAGGGCTCCAACAACCGGCGGTCAATATCACTGGATATCCGAGTTCTCGCCGAGAAAACACCAGAAATTCCTGAGCTACATCATGGGCTGGCTTTGCGTCCTTGGCTGGCAAGGAGGTTGTGCCAGCTCGTCTTTCATGGCAGGGACGATGATTCAAGGCCTAATTGCGCTCAATCATCCGGATACTTACGTTCCTGAAGGGTGGCACGGGACCTTGCTCACCATAGCAGTTGCTGCCTTTGCGGTTTTCTTCAACACATTTCTCGCAAGACATCTTCCGACTATCGAGTCTGGCTTATTAGTGATCCACTTCGGTGCGTTCATTGGAATCCTTGCCACTCTTTGGGCTTTGTCACCAGACATTGCCGACGCGGAGATTTTCACTCAGTTTTACGACGGCGGAGGTTGGAATAGCTTCGGCATTAGCACCCTTGCAGGGATAACGTCAGGGATTATCCCCCTGCTGGGAGCCGACGCAGCAGCCCATATGGTATGTCTCCGCTGAAATCCTTCCCCCATAGATGGCCGAGGGAGGACATTCCCCTCAGAGTATGGCTTAATCGCAAACTGTACTGGTCTCAGATCGTACAACAGAAGCTCAAAGCCTGTTTTGCAAAACCTCGAGAAGATGTCAAACAAGGAAAGAGGTCTGATATGGACAACTGGTAAACAGTTCAGTCACTAATAAGTTTTCACAGTCTGAAGAACTCCAGTCAGCTAGCAGAACCATCCCTCGGTCGATGATTTTGACTACAGCAGTTAATGGGCTTCTTGCATGGATTATGATTATTACATTCACCTTCTGCGTAGGGTCCAATGTCGACGAAATTGTCGCAACATCCACAGGTTACCCATACATGGCGCTATTTTACAAATCGACAGGATCCACAGCCTCAGCAACAATTATGTCAGTGTTCATCCTGTTGATGCTGATCAGCTCCAACCTGTCCATCGTGGCTACAGCCTCCAGACAGCTCTTCGCGTTCGCCAGGGACGAGGGTCTACCCTTCTCCACCTGGTTCGCCAGGGTGTCGCGAAACGAGCTCCCAATGAACGCTATCATTGTCACCTTTATTACTTCAGCTCTGCTCTCACTGATCAATATCGGTTCTGCCACGGCTCTCAACTCCATCACGTCCCTGTCTACGAACGCGCTGTTGTCGAGCTACATCTGCTCTATCGGCTGCATGATCTGGCGTCGGTGGACAGGCGCCCCTCTGCTTCCAAGTCACTTTAGTTTGGGGCGCTGGGGGCTGATACTGAATATCTCCTCTGTGGCATTTCTGATTTTCGCGTTCATTTTCTCCTTCTTCCCTGTATCTCCGCATCCAGCGGGAAATGTCATGAATTGGAACATGCTCATATACGGTGTAGTGGTGGTCTTCTCCATGGCGTATTACTTTGTTCAAGGACGCAAAATCTACGTGGGGCCGTGTGAATATGTTAGAAAGTTGGATTGAGATTGGCGTAGAACAATTTTGAAAAGAGCGTTATACATATTACGATTGAGATACATGGATCTCAGTGTCTTAGGGTTGGTTCCATCCAGATGTCCTTAAGGGGGACTCGCGCTTGCAAAGTTGAAGCCGCGCGACTCATGCCTGTTCACAAAGTTATCGAGACATTGGGCCTCCTGATCACTAAAGTTTGACTTGGTTTCCGTAGGGGTCGTCCAAGCAATTCCATGCTTGAGCTGGGCCGGGCAATTATCGTCTAGCATCAGCCCCTCTGCGTCTCAACTCTTGCAGGGAGTAACTTAAATGCCGTCGGTAGGAGTTGACTCAGCCTAGGATTGCGTTTCCAAGTTTGAGTTGTCATTGTAGACCAACAGCCATAGCGAAAAGGCCAAATCCAGTGACTGTGCCATTTAAGAAACTCCAACGAAGTTGAAAGGGTCCGCGTTTATAACTAACATAACTACTAAGTACACAGACAGCCGATGCTAGTGCCATTGGGCAGTGTTTCATTGGACATCTAGCTCTCGTCGGTGATCGTGAAATGAGAATATGTAGTCAGCACATGTTTCTTTGTTCTTGAATGTGAGGTCCAAGTACTTAATCTTCAAGTTCTTCTTCATGTTTCGTCCAAGGTCCAATTTGGTCTTGGTTTGGGAGGGCGGATGGATATGAGGGTTAAGAGGGCATTTCGGTATATCACATCACAGACTCCATTTCACAGGGGCGATATTCGCTGGTGAATGCTTTGGGCTGGTGGCTGTGGTGTAAACCTTGCTTAGGACCAGTGGACACAACATTGAATGTCGCATGGCATCCAGAGCTTGTCGCAGCAACAAAACTCTTCAGTTATATATTTACACTTATCGTATTATAACTATTGTTATCGGCATCGTATTCTTCCCAAGCGCTGGGTCTTGAGTGCTTACCACCGTATGAAGGCACCATATATGTCCTCGGACATATACAGAATAGAAGCGAAACCACATATATTTACACTCGTTCTACATAAATCCACCTATCATATTCTTAATCTCATGCATGTTTCTTTTTCTTCTTTTTCTTTCTTTCTTCTTTCCAAGAAAAGAAGCCGAGTTTTTAAGCGTTTACCACTATATGAAGGTGCTGTGTATGGTCATGGCGTATACGGAATGGAAGCGGAACCAGATAACTAAAACGTGAAAATTCCATGGAAAACAAATCAATTACTTTTCAAACCCAGTCATCTCCCCACCATCTGTCCTCCCCCCACGGGCCCACACCCGGCCCTTTGAATAGCTTGCCTCCTTTCCAAACGAACTTGATATTGTTCTTCTCTTGTAGAACACGGACATCTTCAACAGGGTTCGCTGTGAGGCCAAGGATATCTGCCTCATAGCCAACCTTGAGCTGACCAGTTCTGGGAGCCTGTGCGCCGATTGTGAGGGGACCATTAGCAGTGGCTGCCTTGATGGCCTCAAGGTTGCTAAGACCAGCCTTGACGGCATATTCGAGCTCCAATGCCATGTTGACACCAGGAGGGGTGTCAGTCCCCAAGGCGAACGTGCAGCCTGCTTGTATTGCCAATTTGTAAGAGGCTAGGTGATGTGCACCGCAGAGTTTCGCCTTCTCCCAACTTGACGGGTCCAATCCCTCTCCCCCTGTCGACAGGAGATATTCTGTAATGAGTCCTGGTGAATGTTAGTCAGCCGCGCAGGCCCAAAACACTGTTCTAATATAACTGAAAGGCGGGGACTGTTAAAGGGGCAAGATGACACCTACTGGTAGCCACGTAGACAGTCCCAGTCTTTTTGATGAGGTCAATGCACTCTTCGTCACCGAAGGAGACATGCTCAACCGTTCTCGCTCCAGCCTTGACTGCGGCCAGAATACCCACCTTCGAGTGGACATGGGCCGCCACGGAGCGTCCCTGCCTCGCTGCCTCTTCAACGATGACCCTGAGCTCTTCCTCGCTGAACTGCGCGTACTGGACTTCATCGTTTCTCGACAAAACCCCGCCCGAGGCCAATATTTTGATGCATTTTGCACCCCTACGGATCTGCAACCGTACCGCCCGGCGGCACTCATCGACCCCATCAACGATACAGCTGAAAGTCGACCCAAAATGGCCCGGGGTGACCTTCATGACCCCCATGTTTTCATATACAACCCCGGCGGGCAGGTTGAAGATGTCACCGTGGCCCGCGGTCTGTGAGAGGCAGGCGCCAGCCCCGTAGATATTCGGCCCCACGATCTCGCCCTCGTTGATTGCCTTCGCAACCTCGCACCCGAAGCCGCCCAAGTCGCGCAGGCTCGTGTACCCGCGCTGGACGGCCTCCCAGCACCCGCGGGCGAGCCGCGCGCCGCCCGCCGCCGGATGCATGGTGATCATTCCCGTGTAGCCGGGCCCGTCATCGCCGGTGATGCTCCCGCCGCCGAAGTGAACGTGGCAGTCCCACAGCCCGGGCATGAGGTACGGGATACTGAAGGAGCGGTGGGGCGCTGAGCTGTACTTATCGGGGACGTCTGACTGCTTGCCGACCCATGCAATGAGCTTGTTCTCTATCACCAATGCCGCGTCACTGAAAGGCTCGCCATCGCCAGGTATCAGGAGGTCTGTTTTGATTATGGTGAACAATTTCTTTTTCGTCGCAGTGATGGCAGCAGCACTTTGGCTTTGGCCAGGAGCCTTGATAGTCATGCCATAAGCCATGGAAAAAAGTTGCTTTGGAAAACGTCCTGCTTCAGCAGTGCGCAGCGGCATTTCTGTAATGTCATGAAAGTGCGTTTCCTCGTCGTCTCTGACGATGGGCAAAGCGACCCCTAGGCCATGGCCTTGGTTTGCTGGCTCAGCTGTGCGTCTGGTCATGTTGCTTGATAAATGTCATGAGCCGGGCAGTGATGGGTGGCAATAATTGTCCCAAGGCTTGGTGGTGAGGAGGGAGATAAGAACAGATGTCAGCATGGAGGTTGCGGGGCTCAAAGGATTACATGGTTGTGGATACTTAACTACTATCTGGGAAAAATGAAGTTGCGCCCCTAGTTAAATACCCCCTATTCCTTGGTTAAACTAAAACTTTACTGGTAGGGTAGAAAATCCAATATTTCTTAATAAAACACTCTTATTAGCTTATTAATATTCCTTAATTAATAAAAGAGAGGTTTTAATAATAATTAGTTATTATTTATTACTATTTAAACTTTAATAGTTAAAATTTTATTTATACTTTAATCTATTACTATTTAATAAATAACTATAAATTAAGTTTTAATATTATTATAAAATAATTTAAAATTATTATTAAAAAGTTATTATTATTTATATAATTACTTTAAATATATTATTATTATTATTATTAAATATAATTAAATTAAAGTAATATATTTTAAAATTTATTAATTTATTTTTATAATAAATTTATAAAATTTAATTAATATATAAATTATATAAATTAAAAATTAAAAATCTTTTATTTAATAAATTAAATTTATATTTTAATAAAATATAATATTTTTTATTAAATAATTTTAAATTAATATTATTATAAAATAATAAATAATACTTTTAAAGTTTATATATAAAATAATAAATAAATATATATATTAATCTATTAGTATAATAAAAGCTTTATAATTACTATTTTTAATAAATATATTAATTAGGTTATATAATAAAATATTTATCTTTATTAATAAGTTTAATTTTAATAAATAAAATAATATAAAAGAATAGGTTAAATATCTATTAAATATACTTTATAGGTTAAAAGTCTCTTTAAGTAAAGAGCTTATTTTATATTTTCTATAATTATATTTAATAACTTATTTACTATTATAATATATAAAAGTTATATAATAAAAAATACTTTTATAATAATTAATAAAAGTATTTTATTAAAAATAAACTTATATTTAAATTTAAAATTAATTTTATAATAAATAATACTTTATAATATTATAATATAAAAATAATTAAAATAATAAATATAAAAGTATAAAATATAAATATTTATTTTATATTTTTTAATTTTAATTTTATTAAAGTATATTTTAATAATTTAAAGTATTATTTATATTATTAATATTAATATAAATTATTAAATTATAATTTAAATAAAATTTTATTTAATTTTATTTTTATATTTAAAAATTAAATTTAAAATTAAAATTATTTAAAATATTTTATTATATATAAGTATTAAAAAAGTGTAAAATAAGGTAAATATAATAGTATTAATTAAAAGTTATAAAAATTAAAATTAATAAAGTTTTAATTAAATATAATTATATAAATGGAAGAATATTATTTATAAGTTAAATAATTAAATTAGTAATTAAAGTTAAAATAAATAAATTAATTATAGGTAAATTTATTTAATTAATTAATTATTTAATATTAAATATTTAATTTACTTTATTTACTTAAAATAACTAATTTTTTTAATTATTTTTATTATTAATTATATTTTTTATATATTTAATTATTACTTTTTTACTTAAAAGTCTTTTAAAACTTATTATATAATTCCTTTATTTTATTAAATATAAAAATTATTTTAATAAATTTTTAACTTTTTATTAAATAATTAATTTAATTATAAAGTTTAATATTAAATAAAGTTAATTAATTAGTTAAATAATTTTATAAATTTTATAAAATATATATTTTTAATATTTATTTAATAATTTATTAAATAGCTATTTAATAATTTTTATTATAATAATAAGTTTTTATTATTATTATTATTAAAAATTAATAAAATTCTTTTTTTTAAATATAACTTAATTAATATTTTAATTAATAAAATAGCCTTTAAATTATATTTATTAAACTAAATATTTTTTTATAAAGTTTATAAAGGTTAAATTTTTATATTTTATAATTTTTATAAATTATTTAAATTAAGCTTTTTTAATAGATTTTTAAAATACTTTTAAAATACTTTTATAATAAACTTTTAATATAAAACTATTTTATTTTTTTATTTATAATAATAATAATAAAAATAATTAATAACCTTTATCTTTATAATAAACTTATAAATATTATTATTATTATTATTATTAATAATAGTAAAGTTAAGAGTTTATTAAATTTATAAAAGAAAGCTAATAGTAATAATAATAATAATAGCTTTATTAAAGCTATTTAATATATTTAATTTTAAATAAATTAATATTAAATAATAAATTAATAATTATATTAATATTATTTTTTTACTTTTATTTTTATTTTTTTAAAAAATAAGGTTAATTTTATTATTATTAAGCTTTTTTATTAAACTTTATTTAAATTATTTAATAATTAAAAGATTTTTAATAGGTATTTAATTATAATATTATTTATTATAATTATATTAAATTAATTCTTTTAATTTTTATTAAATAAACTAATATATATATTATTTTATTTAATAAAATACTATTATTATAAAAATTTCTTTTATTTTAATAATAATAATTAACTTTATAGTATTTACTTAAAAATATAATTATATTTTTATTAATTATTTATACTTTTTTATATAAAGTTTATTTTTATTTTTATTTTAACTCTTTATTTAATAATTATTAATATAAATTAAAAGTTTTAAAGTTTAAATTTTTATTAAATATATTTATATTTATTACTTATTTAACTATTAATAAACTATTTTTAAGGTAGTTATTTATTAAATAGTTAATAATAATTAAAAGATTTTAATTAATATATATTTAATTAAATAATTATTATATAATATAAATATTTATAATTTTATATTAATAATATAACTTTATAGTTATATAAAAGTAAAAAAGGGTTTTAGGATTTAAAAATATATTTATAATATTATTATAATTAAATATTTTAATCTTTTATTAATATTTTTTATAATTTTTAATTATAAAGTTAAAAACTTTTAATTTATAAATTAATTAGTTTTAATAAAAATATTTTTAATTTAATAATTATATTTAAATAGTTTTTATATTTTTTTAATTAAATTTTTAAATAAATTAATATAATTTAATAGAAAGCTTTAAATTTCTTAACTTTATTTTTTTTTTTAATATAATACTTTATTTTTAGGTTATATAATAAAAGTATTAATAACCTTTAAGTTATAAATTTTAATAAAAAAGTTAAAATTAATTTATTTAAATATATTTATATTAAAAGGTTAATTAAGTAATTTTTAAAATATTTAATATTATTATTATTATTATTTATTAAGGATTTTACTTTAATAGTAAAAGGTTTTATTATTAATACTTTTAAACCTTTTTTTATTATTAAATATATTTTTTTATTATTAACTTAAATAGTATTTTTTATACCCTTTAAACTACTTAGTTTATTATAATAATTTTATTTTAAGTAGTTTTAAGGATATTTATAAGTATTTTTAAGTAATTTACTAAACCTTAATTACCTTAATAGTTAGCTTTTAAGTATATAATTATTTAAATAATATAATATTTTTATTAATAAATTATATAATTTAACTTTTAAGTAAATTTTATATAATAAGTATTAAATAATTTAAATTTAATAAGTTAGTTTAATAATATTATTTATAAAGTTAATTAGTTAATATTACTTTATATTAAAATAAATAAATTATATATATCTTTATAGGTTAAGTTTAAATTAATTATATAAAATTAATATAATATTATTTTTATTTAATTAGGTAATAAAGATAATTTATTATTAGTATTAATAAGGTTAATAGGAGTGTTTTAATAAAAATATTGGATTTTTTATTTTATTAGTAAAGTTTTGGTTTAATTAAGGAATAGGGGGTATTTAACTAGGGGGGGGGGCAACTTTGTTTTTCCCAGACAGTAGGTAAGTAGATATTGGAACGGAAATCAGGCGCTAGTTCCTCGGGGAGTTGATATCTACTGTCTGAGAAAAACGAAGTTGCGCCCCCCCTCGGTTAAATACCCCCTGTTTAAGAGTTAAATAACTCCTTTTTAAAAGTAATCTTCTTTTAATAGCTCTCTTTATACTTAACTTAAAAATATATAAAAAATATTTTTATAATTCTTATAAATATTTTAATAACCTTAAATTTTTAAAATAATTTTTATTTAAGGCTTTTATATTACTAAAGTTAGAGGTTAATTACTTATTAAACTAACTAATAGGTCTATACACTTCCTTATCTTATCAACCTAATAGCTTTTATATCCTTTATTATATAAGCTTAATAATAAATATTCTAAAAGTATTTATATATAGAGATTTTGATAAGGATTATAAATATATTTTTTATATATTTTTAAGTTAAGTATTAAAAGAGTTATTAAAAGTATAAGAAAGTTAAAAGATTAGTTTAACTTTTGAACAGGGGTAATTTAGCCGGGGGCGCAACTTCGTTTTTCCCAGACAGTAGAGCAAGCCCTTGCAACCAACGTCATTAACAAAGCAGGCCTGGATATACGGCAGTTCACCGCCGCACACCATCAAACTGTCATTGGGAGGCAATGACCAACACTTCCACGATGCTTATTGTCATCACGTCGAGCGCATTTGGGGCATGCATCGAAAAGCTATCTTTAGACAAGCCACGCACGCGAGGCTCTGTCCTGCCTCGGTCTCGTTGACAACGACTCCGGCCGCCTGCAACTCGGTGCGATAGCCAGCCCTGGTGGCAATATAGTAGGCGGATTACAGTCTGTGTCTAAACAAATACTAGTTACCAAATGCACAAAAGCAGGAATGGATCATCCTTCTTCACGCTTCCTCGTGTCCGACCAGCCATTGGTGGAACATCAATCCTCGAGCTGAGGAAGGAAAGATCCAGGGCCGCTCATGAAGGACAGCTCCAACGACTGTCTTATGCCACTAATTTTGCATTCATGCTTGTTGTATTTGGATCTCATCGTCATCTCTTCATGCCCTTTCACGTTCAATAGATACGTCGTGCACGTCTTGCCAGAGACCTTGATGGCAGTACTTTCAATCAGTCTTTACACCCAGCTTCAAGGGATCATGTAAATTTTAGACACGATACAGAAGTACCTGTAGGAAAAATGAGCAAACCACAGAAAAGCTTTTCCACGGCCAGACGGTATGGATTCTTCACCAAAGGCTTCTTCGATGACCAAGGAATGGACCAAGTTATCGAATCAGAGGTACGCGACAGCGAGGGCAACTGGTCCCTGAAAAACTCTGGATTTTTTGTTTCAGCAAAAACGTTGTCACCTGGCTGGATGCAATGTACTCCCACGCCATATCGCATCCAACGCGTTCCTTGCCAGATACAGCCCGGGTCTGGTTGAAAATGGAGTGGGCAATAATTGAAAGCATGCAGGACTGCTGTAATTGAACATTATTCTCGAGAAGTTGTCTCATAATGATTTCACCCATTTGTGATATGGGCCTTCTGTGGGGAATTGTGTAGGAGGGTGTGGTGATTCTTTCAGCCGTGAAGACAGCGAACAAGTCCGCGTCAGATAATTATCACTGGGCATTTTGACTACAGCATCTATAGAAGCCCTGTTTCTTCAGTACTTTCTGATTCCTTTCAGTCATCAATCGCTTGCCAGCCCAGCAAGAATCTCTGAATGGTCTTGGACCATTCTCACCGGCGCGCAGCGTATCATGCTTGATGGCAGATACAATCCGAACTGTCTCCATTTTCCAGATTCAGGCTTTGAAGGGCAACTAGCCCGTCATCCGGATGACCCCTGCAGCCACGGGCGCCGCAAAGAATGATCAATCGCTCCTCAGTCGGCATTATAGTCAGAAAAAATGACACCTCCTCCCCCTCTGTGGCAAATGTTGCTGATCTGAGATAGAAATCATGGCAAGCTTTGATCTATGGGATTCACTGTCCCAGCTGCCAGGCTGCCCAGACGATCAACAGAAGCTTTGCGCTGAGACCCACTAATCGGCCCCCGTGGCGGTCTCGGCTGCCTCGGTGGTTCGCCCGCGATTCAGAGAGGCACCAATCCACAAGGGTCCCGGGGTTGCATCGAACTGTTCAGCTGCGTGGGACTAGCCACCCCATTTCCCGACCGAAGTGGAATGGCTTCCTGCAGTGCTACCCTCCGAAGCGGCTCCTTTCGTGAGGCCTGTCACCAACGACTCTTCTCTTTTCTTCCGCACTTCTCCTCTCGCAGGGCCTCATTGCTGCGCTTGCCTCCTGAGGGTTTTTCTTCAACAACCGTCCCAGAAACAATGGCCAGTCTCGTCCCAAGATGCCAAACAACATGAAAGGCCCAAGGCTCGGGCCGGGCCCATTTCCTGTCCGGGAGTGGTTGACGGCCTATTCCCACGGAGATGTTAATCGGCACGACTTGCTGAACCAGTGGCGCCAAGGTGATGACGGCTGGGTCAAACCCGCTCCCAAGGCGTAAGGACTGCATTTCATCCATCTTCTTGTTGTATGATCGCTCAAGCTGACATGGCTTTTGAGATAGGGGTCCGTACTTGACACATGTCAGATCCCTCACATCTCAATGGCCTCATCTCGAATTGCTCTGTGACTTCATGGACGTTGGCACGCATCCTATCAGATGGAACCCGCAAGCCCCGGGCGCATACCCGGCTGATCCTACAGAGAGAAGTATGCTCAACCTGTCCCTAGGCGTACTTCCTCAGATACTCAAAAGCTGGACAAGTCCCTGCTAAACTGCTCTTGCGGGCCTCGTCTTCGGACACAGCTGATGAAAATTTGCAGGCAAACGCAAACTAGAGCGAATGGCAAAAACCAATGTTTGCCTTCTTGAGTACCCAAGAGACGGACCTGGTGTCGAGGAAAAGCGATTCGATGATATCGACGAACTGAAAGACTGTCTTGCCGAGATGGGTGAGAACGACCATGTGAAAACGAGGCTGTTTGTGGTAGAGGACCTATCGCGCGACGTTATCGAGGCTCTCGGCTTCCACTTTAAGGTGGATCCTTCCTTTTTCCGAGAACATATTGTCGACTACGCTTGGTATAATACTAGTAGGTCCCATGAAATGGAACTTCGGAACTAGGGCACCGCTCAGGTGCCCGATACTCTGATAGCTCGACTGACAATGTTCGCGATAGGCGACTGGTGGCGTGACCCACCAAATCTGGACATCGTCAGCCGAACACAAAACTGGTTCCAGCTGCGTTTTGTGAGGGCGAGAAATTTTCTGAACAGCGATCTCTTTTTCCAGGGCGTAGAGGACTCCAAGAAGTTCAATGTCTTCCGCCGATTGGATCGTGATTTCAACAGCAACAATTTCTGGGACAAACATAACAAGGCAGAGGCCATGGTAGGCCTCACTCGGAGCAGGGCGACATGTTGGATCCAACCACCTGAGGAGAAGAACGGGGGAAAAGGCATCACATATGCTATCCTCTTACTGGATCCAACCTTGACAACCGGAAACCCATTGTGGCTTAAGTATCGAAATTGGGCCAAAATCCCAGCCGTGGGGGAATCTACTCCCAAAGGCACCGAGCCACCACCCAGTAACAACTTCTTCGAAGATTATATATACTGGGCCAAGAGGCCCGAAAGCTTCAACTACCCCGAATCAGGCAACTCCTCGTCTCCGATATGCGTCCCCACGCAGGTCCTACTGCACCTTGTCTGCACGGAGTGGCTCACCATGGTGGACTATATAAAGACACGTCTAAACCAGGTTGATTGGGTATGGTAACATGAAGATCATTCTCTTATTATTTGATGGCTAACTCGTTATGCCAAAGGGTATCGCTTTCCCAAACGACTTCCTGGAGAAAGAGGAGCAGATCGATGAGCATCTCACCAAGCTCCATCATTGGAGGCGCGTTGTGCCCCTCTACAGAGAGATGATCTCCGTAAGCAGTCCTATATAACAAAGACCACAGGGGTTACAGGTTTCAAGACGTGCTATGGCCACCTTGTCGCCTACCCTTCGCTGTGTTGGCGTGAAGCTACTGCTTTGTTTCTTTGATGGCTGACTCTGACTTGGAATGCTGTAGGAGACATTCCTGCGCGTATTCCGGGAGACGGCGCACCCCAACCGGATGCACCCCGGCCGGAACATGCACGAGCCTGTTCAAAAGCCTGCCAGTGCTCTAGGGCCGCTTATGGACACAGAATGCATCAACGCATACCAGCAGGACTTTGCTCTTGTGTTGGGATACATGGAGGAATTCCAGAACAGGATTGACCGGCTGACAGATGTAGTGATCGCGGCGATTAATCTCGCAGATTCGCGAAGGGGATACAAGGACAACAAGAATCTGCGTAAGTTATGTTATCCTCTTTTCTACTTGGTTACTTCAATCACAATGCTAACATGCCGAAGAATGGCTGACTTGGCTCGCAACGTTTTTTATTCCGCTCAGTTTTGTCGCAACGCTGCTCTCGATGACAACGGACCCCATTGAGGAACTTGGCCCCATCACCCGGCTTTGGGCAATCGTCGCGCTACCAAGTGGTCTCACAATAATGATAGTGGTGGGCGTCTTCAGCATAGCAAAGTGGAGACGGGGAATTCGGAGGTTCTTTTTTGAGTTTCCGTGGTTCGGGAAGGCGAGACCTTTCAACCCCAAGAGGACTTGAGGGGTCAAGCTTGTCGTTTATAATCAAGCCTGTCTGGGATGGAATCAAGAAAAAGTATGCTGGCAGAAGTCTACATAGGTCAGGGGATGTTCATCTCTCTTTTCGCATATATCACGACTTACGACTGCATGATAAACAGCGACCTTCACTGCTTTGAGGCTGTATAGGACAATCAACTTGGTTTCAGGACCATGAGAGCTTTGAAAAAACATTATTTGAGGTTCCAATTACGTAGTACCTGCTGATTTCGCTTCTATTCCGTATAGGTGCCGTCGGGAGCGATGCCTTCCAGCCTTGTCTGTACGGCGCGAGGCTGAGCCACGTGCCCACAGACGTACTGTATTCTCTTTCTACTATTATTAGCACTATTTTCTCAAGAGAACGGATATTTATATAGAAGAAAACGGCTAATATATAGGTATAAATACCCTTTAATACGCTAACCTTAATTTATATCACCTACTTATTATATAAAACTAAAATTTACACTTATTAACTATACTTTTAATTTTTTTAATTCTTCTATTATTACTTTTAATTTAATAGTTTATTACTTCTTTCCTTATCGTTACTTAAAACATTCTAGTAAGTCTTTAAATATTTAAATCTCCTTTTAAGTCTCCTTTTTATTATTAATAAAGTCCTTTATAATAAGGTTAACTTAGAGTAATTAGTTAATAGTTTTATAAGTATTTATATAAAGCTTTTTAATAATAAAAGAGTTTTATTTAATAGGTAAAGAAGAATTATAAGTTTATATAAAGGGGTATAAAAAGTATTTTATTTAAGTAGTATATATAGTTAAAGGAGGTTAAATAAAGCTTTCTAATTAATTATAATTTAAAAGAAAAGATAATATTTATATATTAACTATTTTTTCTTATATAAATATCCGTTCTCTTTAATTAATATAATAGACTATCTATATATATTAACTATAACATAGTAGAAACTTAATATAAATCGAGATAGAACATTTACACTTATTAAAATAGAGGGTATACTTAAGCCCTAAGGGATACCTCTTATAAAACAACCTCCTATAGGACAACCTCCTATAGGACAACCTCCTATAGGATAATCTGCTATAAGACAAGCTTCTATAGGAAAACATCTTATAAGATAACCCTCTGGAATAATTACTTGTGGTTTGGGGTGAAACTAAGCACTTTAATCTCCGAGTTCCCTGGTATGGGCGTACCCTCCGTTTTGGCGGGTGTGAATATCTGATCTCTATGAAAGAGCTTCGCCGTAGCTCCGAAACCATGCACCCGCCAGGGGAGCGTGGGTACAAGTATGGTGTTGCTGCTTGTCCAGAGGTTGTAGCTTCTTTTGGATGGCCAAGCCAGCCTCAGTTGCAACGTCGACACCATCACCACTGCAGACCGCCCATAAAAAGCTCTCATCATGAAGGCAAGTGTGTGGTAGATCACAGCGTCATCTACAGGCAATCAAACTGGCCACGCCCAAGGCCCTACATCGACATCATGTCCGGCGACGGGATGTGCTCGGACGGTTATATCATTTGAGCGATGAAGGTTGCCACGTCTCCCTGCATATACTCCGTCGTCCATGAAGCAGACCCAAAGGTCGAGACAGGTTTACAATACATGGCTGCTGGCGCCTTACGCTCCAAGACGTCGCAGGCAGCTCGAGCACAATGTCTTCTGCGAGGTAAGCGCTGCCACCATCGTTGTTTCTGACCGTGACGTCGACATTGATGCCAGTCCGTCTGGTAGGAGCAGGCTGAGGCTCTCGATAATAGTGCAAAGTCGGTCATTGATCTGGTGCACTGATTCCGTCTCCACAACACCACCTTCGTGAATAGGTTTTACCAGTCGCACCTAGAGTCGTATATGAAGACCATGAAATGCAAGCTCAAAGCGAACAGCCCAGAACGTGTGTCAGTGTTCGCGAAGGGTTCTAACGCTCTTTCCAAGAAGCTCGTCAGCTTCTTCAGTGACTGGAAGATATTCAGCGTAGAGTCCATGAATGTGAACGGCATGGGCACTGTCCTGCGATGTCACCCCGGACCTTGTCTCCCGGAAACGCGGTATCTGTGAGACCAAAGTGGTTTCATTCTTAATCCCCATATATATAAAATATACATAACACCTTTATATAATAGTAAATACTTAAAACTTGATATTTAAAGAAATATAATATTAATAATAATAAAAAGAAAATATAATATATTTATAAGTATATAGTTAAACTTTATATTATATAAATAAGGTTAAAAGGTATTACTCTTAATAATATTATATTAAAAGTTAGTAAAATAGTTATATAATAAAATTAGAATAATCTCTTAAAATAGTTTTTATAAAAAAAAGAATTCTATAATATAAAATTTAATAAGCTAGCTCTTCTTTATTAATATACTTATTATATAATTATTTAAATCTAATTTTATTAAATAAATTAATATAGTTCCTATTTTAAATATATAATTATTAATAAAATAATAATATTATAATAATAAATTTATTTAAAAAACCCTTTTATATAAATAAATTTAAGAACATATATTAAGTAATTATTAACTTTATACTTAAAATATAAGCTAGTAATTAGTCTAAAAGCTAAGAAGATAATAAATAAATAAATAGTTAAATAAAAAATATAATATAGCTAAAGCCCTATGAGACTAAAATTTAGCCAGGTCTGACGTCGCATGAGCACGGCGACCCGCAGCTATCCTTAAACGTATATAGAATAGCACCGTATGAAGGCGCCATGGTCTTCCTTTTTACTGATCAAGTACGGATGCCGAAACGCCCGGCACTCTTATAAGTGAAACAGGGGATGTTGTCTTCGGCTAATTATAAACAACCGGATACTGTGCATTTCGCTGGTCCAAGTAGAAACTAATACTGGGTTAGAGGTCTTCCTTATCCATCCATTTGTTCTATTTGGGTCCGTCCTGGCCACGTGCCGAAACCAACATTGAAGCTCATCAATTCAGTCAATGGAGGATGACCATGATGTCTGACGTGTTTTTTGTAAATTGCTCAAAAGGGGCTTTCAAGGGAATAGAGTTTATCTTCATCAGTTGGGGATAAACATCCTTGCAAGTGATCGGGCGCGTAGTCCTGGAAAGGCTGCTGCTTCGTCCATCACTTGAAGATGTGGGCCTGTTTGACCGACACCCTGCCGAGGTTGCTATTGAGCTATTAACAAACGACCAAACGACTCGGATTGCACAAATGACTCGATTGTCCGAAGTTACGTTGTTAACTGAACGATAGTGTGCTGTTAGACTTCATCACCATCAGACTCCTTCCCCTTTTCTCTTATACACAGTATATCACCTCCCAGATTTCACCTTTACTCCGACCTTGGAAGGCTGTCCTACTGCCTAATTCACTCGAAAAGCTTGAGCTGTGCCAGACCCTGAGTATGCAAGCGCCGGCGTGGGTCGATGAGTGTGTTTCATGCATGACGAGTCAACCCGGGACCCCGGCAGTCCGGTGGAGACCTATTTGACCCCAGATCATCCGATCTCCGGACCGCGAAATCAACTGCAGAGCAACACTTGGGGATCAACACTCCCAGGGCAGGCTACTTTTTCCACCAAGGACAGTCGAGCGACGACCAGAATGAAGATCCATACTGCAGGATTTACGTACACCCTGCTGGCTTGTGGGGAGAACAAATGTGACAGTTGCAAATTTCAGTGAGACAACTTTTTTCGGAAACAACTTCAGGAATCCGACCGGAGACCGACTGACGACCAAGGTCAATCCCTCAGTGAATGTGCACAACTTGGTCTAGTGAGGCACAAGCCTGCGTTCAAGCCCTTTCGGAAGGACCGCAATTGCTTCACCTCGCAGCAATGGGAATGATGCTGCCAGATGCTCACTGGGCTGTGTGGGATGAGACCATTCAGCCCTATCACCAGGATCAAGCTTCACCGCCAAAGCGAGCGAAGTCAATCTCAAGGTCGTCCTAATTGCACCACTCACAATGCGACCGGTGACAATGCGGCTCAAATGGTTTATGCATGAAGCCTTCCACAATGGTCTCCGGTAGCGACTTGGTGCCAAGGTATGTGTACACTACCGGCAGTCGGTATAGGACGGACGGTGATTGAAGTTCTTCCGGACTTGGTCGACTTACTCGGTTACCACTGAAAAAAATGGGTCGAGCTTGTTGCCAACAGACTACCCTGCCAGCAACACGTCACTTGCTGCCCTGAGTCTTGCAGAGTGCTCATTCTCGAGCAAAGCGAAATCGTTGGACTCTCGGCAAAGCGAGAGACCACGGGGAACAGTCGACGGCCCTGTGGGCGGTCCACCGCCGCATCACGGCTCAAGGGGCAGATCTTCGCTGAAGGTAGCATTTCGGCCCCGTCGAAACAAAACATCAGCTGTTCCATACAGAGGAGCAGCTCACGTCCCCACCGATTCCCGCACAATCTGCCCACCAGCATCATCCCAGGCTGCTTGTCAGGCACAAGCTTTGTGTCCAAGAAAGGCAAGCCTTTGCCGCTGTGGAGAAACCCTGCGATTCGATCGCCTGGGGTAGAAATTACTGTTTAGGCATGGTCTCACTAAACATGATGCTTCCATCAGGGGTAACATCCCGTCAACCTCCCCTGCAGGTGTTACTCTAAGCGAACTTTAATCCCGTTGACGCCGCCGACCGAACCCGGGACGACTCATGGCGGCTACTGCGACGCAGACTGTGGACTTCGTCTGGTGAGGTTCGGGATTGGGGCCCTGACCGAGTCCCGACTCCATCTTGGAAGATTGCAGTGGAAGCGCATGGGTTGATGGAGGAATGACGGCGCGACTTCTCCATTGACACCGCCTCGGACCATGTGTAGAGCTTCATTGAGGATGACCCTGGTGGATTGCCGCCGGGAGTATGGACAGCCCTGCCGAGGAGGAGGTGTCGTGTTTCTGGTATAAGTACAGACAACATCCCGCTCGCCTAGACATCGATCTGGGACATCCTCATCATCAGCAAGTCTGGTTCAGCACTACATTCCTTTTCTTCAAACCCTTTTCCAACTATCTTCTGTCTTTCCCAAGATGGCTCAGCGAGCTGCCCTTGTTTCTGCCCTCTTCGCCGCGGCGAGCCGCGCGCAGCAAGCCTGCACATCCACCACCGAGACCAAGCCGTCCTTGAGCTGGGCCCAGTGCACCGCTTCTGGCTGCACAAACACCTCTGGAAGCGTTACCATTGATTCCAATTGGCGATGGACTCACGATACCTCTGGTTATACCAACTGCTACACGGGGAACGAGTGGAACGCGGAACTCTGTCCTGACGACAAGACCTGCGCGGCCAACTGCTGCGTTGATGGCGCTGATTACGAGGCGACCTACGGCATTACGTCCGACGACACTGCACTGAAGCTCAGCTTTGTCAAACAGAGCGCTGATAAGAACATCGGTAGCCGTACTTTCCTAATGGCTTCCGACACTGAGTACCAGATGTTTGACCTTCTGGGCAAGGAGTTCACCTTTGATGTCGACGTCTCTAAGCTGCCTTGCGGCCTTAATGGAGCCCTGTACTTTGTCTCCATGGATGCTGATGGTGGAAAGTCCAAGTATCCGGGCAATAAAGCCGGTGCTGAGTATGGAACTGGCTACTGTGATGCTCAGTGTCCTCGCGACCTGAAGTTTATCAACGGCCAGGCAAACGTGGACGGTTGGACCCCCTCTTCCAACGATGCCAATGCCGGCGTTGGTAATCACGTAAGCAGCATTCTCCTCCTTCCACGGATCCCCGTCTTTCATGCCCCGAATGGACCCCAGAACGCAATACTCGACTGTCCGTATGGCTAACATGTATCAGGGCTCCTGCTGTGCCGAGATGGACGTCTGGGAGGCCAATGTCGTCTCTACTGCACTTACACCTCATCCGTGCTCAGAACCCTCGCAAAGCATGTGTGAGGGCGATAGCTGCGGCGGTACTTATTCGTCTGAGCGAAACGCTGGCGTCTGCGATGCCGATGGATGTGACTTCAACCCTTACCGCTTCGGAAACACCTCTTACTACGGCAAGGGCTCTGAGTTCGTCGACACAAACAAAGTCTTCACTGTCGTGACTCAGTTCCTCACTGATGACGCTGGTGCCCTGAGCGAGATCAAGCGCTTCTACGTCCAGGATGGCAAGACCATTGGCAACGCCGAGTCCGACCTGGAGGGCGTTTCTGGCAACTCCATCACGCCTGAGTTCTGCACCGCCCAGAAGGCCGCCACCAACAACACCGACGTCTTCAAGGAGAAGGGCGGCTTTGACGGCATGACGACCGCGATGAAGTCAGGAATGGTGCTTGTCATGTCTCTGTGGGACGATGTAAGTTTCTCAAACCAAATCTGGATCTCATATTGACTGGTACTAACGATAACCCTCAGCACTATGCCAACATGCTCTGGCTCGACTCCACCTACCCAACCGACTCCACCCAGCCCGGTGCCAAGCGTGGTACTTGCGCCACCAGCTCCGGAGCTCCTGCCGACATCGAGACGAGCGCGGCCGATGCCACAGTGGTCTACTCCAACATCAAGTTCGGCGAAATTGGCAGCACATTCAAGGCCCTCTAAATTGGCAGCCCCGATGAAATCCACCGTAGTTCCCGAGCGGTGGGATGGAAGACGCGCTGTTGCATCACAACCAACACATGATCTCCGACGAGCCTGATCGCGGAGTCGTGGCGCAAGATAGAAGACTCATTTTTGCTTTCTGCAGGACATATAGCATTTCCATGTATATAGCTGAACCGACATAGGCTTTGCTGATTACAATTTAGGGAGACTTCTGCCTCTCCAATCTCTTCCTCGCTGCTGGGACATGCTCGAGAGGACCAATTCTGAAAGCATTCACAGTGATGGTTACTTCTGGTATTGAAAGGTCCATATCATATTTGAGAAGCCAGGGTGATCAGGAAATGATATCACTGCTAAATTGCTACGACTAGAAGTCCCGAACAATATTCTCTAAAGTTCTAGGGCGAAGGTGTGAGACACCATATAATGCCCTACCCAGTGTTTCTAACTTGGAACGGTCAGGTCCTAGGGAAACTCCGGGTAGCAACGAGCAACATCTAACTCATATCGACGAAAATCTTCTACTTCCACCGGAGAGCGCTGCGGGATGTACTCTTCAGAGCGCCACGCCGCCGGCGCCGTGGATGCTTGCTTTTCAGAAGAATTGAGTCGCCCAGTCTGGCCCGCGTTGCCATCAACTCCTCGTTTCTTGAAATGCCGGCGGTATAAGATCCACCCCCCCAGGGCGATAAAAATGGCTGCAATAAGGGATCCAATGGCGATCCCCACCGACACGCCGGCAGAGAGCCCGGATGTAGGGCTGTTTCTTGGAGTGTTGCTTGGAATAGTGCTTGAACTGGTGCCGGCAACGATGCTAGGAATCGTGCTGGCGCTGGTTCTTGGGGTGCTGCTGTTTCTATTTCTGTTGCTGGGTCCGAGGCTGAGGCTGAGGCTACTGGTGCTGGTTGTTGTGGTTGTTGATGGGACACTACTGCTAGCTGTAGCACTGGCACTCAGAGTCTGAATATCATGTTTATTGTCAGTATCATTTCACTGCCATCACTTTGTCTTTGCTGCGATGAAGGGAAGCCTACCGAAGCCAGTGGCGATATCGGGACCCCAAACGCCCACATACTCCGGTTGGGCATATACGTCGTCACGTAGGAGAATATGCCCGTCGTCGTCAACCGGGTCAGAACTGTCGAACTGCCATACAGCACATAAAGTGATGAAGCAGTGAACGTCGCATCCGTAGACGGCACTGAGTCTCCAAACTTTGTCAGGGTCACCGTGCGGATGGTCGAGTATGAGGAAATCGATGTGACGCAGGCCGCTGTCCAGGACCAGAAGGACTGGTAGTCGCACTTGTAGGAGGCGTCGCTAGGGAAGCACTCAATCGTCAGGGACACGGAGAACAGTTTGATTATGAAGTCATAGCGACTGTTCTCATTTTGTTTCGTTCTCCTTTTCATTTTTTTTCAAAAAAAAACAAACAAAAAAAAACAGAAACAAAAAGGGCAAATGACAACATTGAATATGGATCATATACTAACCCAGTAGCTTGAGGACAACAGATAGTTGACCAGGAGGATGAATAATAATCCGTCGTGCACGCAGCAGTGAATCCATCTGGGCAAGTGTCCGTTGTGTATACTTGGCCCAGAGTTGGAGTGAAGCCTGGAGGATAGCATGATGAGGTTTGATCCGGTGGACCTAGTACTCCCATTCCGAATTGGCTATCTTTCCAGAGCCATATGTCACTGGCATTTTGGCAAGACGCATCTGGACTCCAGTCAGCTGGTATCGTATCTGCGGTAACAGCCATGCTACCGTCTAGCGGACAAGTTCTTGCCCGAGCTGAGTGTGTCACAAGTGTCGTGACGGACCAAAGCAGGGCTGACTTGGCAAGAAAAGGAGGTCAGGAGATGCGTGCGGCGGGAGGCCCCAGTGTTATACGAGCAGTGGGACTTCCTGGCCAAGATTCTTCACCGTCACACATGAAATCAATGACAACTGTTGACGACAACTGGGTGATATCGAGCAGCGACTTTGCTTGGCCGGCGCCTCTCGCTACCACAAAATGCCTCAACAACCACTCTCGATGAATGACTGTCGTCGCATCGGACTATCGTGTTCCCAAGTCTCTCTTTCGCCCCCATATTTCTCGCCAGGCAGCAAGCGCATGAGGACAGAAAGATGCGCCATGACCAATCGGGGGCGTAAGCCGTGAGAAGATTTGCCCTCGTCTCCAGCACTTGAGTGCTGGCTATGGCCGATCGCAGGCTCTTCCGAGTTGCGCATCGAGTAGATTCGACGAGGTTGGCCGAGCTATGGGGGCGGCGACCTTTCGAGCCTCCATCCGACCTGAGGCAGCGGGGGAGGGTGCCCAGGTGGTGGTCGTGGGGTCGTGAGCGCGAGCACTCAGCCTTACTAAGTACTGGGCGTCGGTGCCACGGGTTTCGGCATGGGGTAGCACACGAGCCATGACTGGTTATAAGAGCGCGTGGGTGCTGCACGGTACCTTCATGCAACACGGGCCAGCTGCGTAGTCCGGGGGGGGGGGCGCACAAAGAGTCTGAAGTCATCTGTTCAGCGTGCTCTATTATTTTCCACTCCAAAGGATGCAAATTACCTACCTAGGCCCCTGCACAGCCGAGAATCAAATATCACAACAGAGGATTACAAATGACTTGGCGAGAACAGCAAGAAACAACGATATCCACGATGCTAATAGACGAAAGAAAAAAAAAAAAAAGGAGAACCAAGTTCCTTGGCTCGGATCTATCACCCGTCGGGCGCCCGCGGCGATCTCCCATGTGGCTGGCGGCACGGCACGCGGCAAGCACGCACCGCACGATTCGGCTGTGCTCGAGTCGTCCAGCGGGCCATGCTGGGCAATCCTGGCGGTCGCTTTGGCTCGGCGGAAGCTTGACCGGTCTTGACCATCAGTGCGACTCATAGCACTCGCAGCGCTGTGACGCGCATGACGACGCGCATGCTGATGAACACTCTCTATCATCAAAGTACAATAGATATGACTAATGGATGTCGGACATGCTATCAATCCACACAAGAGAGTTTAACTAATTATTATGCATTCACGGTTGTTCTTGGAGGGGCTGGCAGATCTGGTATCGAGCATCGACCATGGCTGAGTTGGGGCGGGGCCATTGATCTCCATGATACTGTGCTCAGGTGGAGTGTCACCGTATCAGTTTTGGGATGGTTCGAGGCGAGGCAGCATCTATAGTTGCATATTGGTAAAGTAGACCCTACAGCTTGAAGATAATGTAAGTATTGCTTGCTCAGGTGACAGTAATACCCACGTGATCTGACCGTCTTATGGACGCACTTGAGCACGGTCTCGTGCCGTGAGGTTTGGATATCATTTAGCTAGGCAGCCCTGAGGAGATTAAAATAGATGCTTAAATGAAGTTACCAATTTAGATACTAACAGAACTGAAAAGTCTGCCTAGGTACTGCCATTAAGATTGGTACTTGTATCAGATCACATTTTGATGGTTGTATGCTGGAGTTCACGTGTCGGCCCGACAAGACTTCTGAAACAGTGACAACCCGGAGAGCCTCGCGCTCGGGGTTCACGGACACCTCATCTGATCTCGGCTCCCCGCTACGCTTCTCGGCAGCCACGTTAGCCCGTTGGTATCGCTTTTGAAACATGACCTTAATTCAACCTTCTGTCAACAGCCCTATGCTTTCACTTTCAGCATCAAACGTCGTAGAAACTCTGCCGCCGCAGCTACCCAGTTGATCAGGCAAGCCCTGCGCACTTGTGCACACCCCGACTTCTCGGCATCGTGGCTACACACTTCATTTGCCATGTCGAACCGGCCGATCTGTGGATCAGACACGCCAGATCCATGGATCGTGGCGGCGCACGGCAAATTCTACCTCACCTTCACCCTCGGCAACCGAGTTGAGATCTGGCAGTCAGCACAGCTCGAGAACTTTTGGGAGTGCCAGAAGAGTATCATCTGGGTGTGTCTCATCAGATTAAGAACACACTATTCCTTGAAATGGCTGTTAACACAGAATTCTGCATAGCAACCAACGCCTGGCTCGCAGTGGAGTGCCGACATCTGTAAGTCCCTTGCAGCAACTCATCGGCTCCTGCTTGGATGACTGACCGAGTTCAAGGGGCACCCGAGCTTCACTATCTCAATGGGGTATGGTACATCTACACTTGCGCGGCCCCTCCAGGTGTCGGGAACCCAGGCCATCGCACCGTGCTATTGAAATCCTCTAACCCGGACCCTATGGACCCCAGCGGTTGGCAGTTCCTTGGTCCTCTGCATGGGATGCCCGATCATTGGGCTATTGACGCGACGGTCTTCTCGGTCAACGGCCACGACCTTTACTGTTGCTGGTCGGGATGGCCGCTCGGGGATCACAGCGACACTCAGCAGGACCTCTTCCTCATCAAGATGGCATCACCCGAAGAGGCCATCCTAGATACGCTTGTCTGCATCTCTAAGGCGGAGCATTCTTGGGAGCGGCCTGACGACGGGCGGCGAGGCGTGAATGAGGGACCAACGTGGGTCAACTTTTCTGGGTTCCGCGGCATCGTCTACTCGGCCCACGGGAGCTGGACCAGCGATTATAAATTGGCCTTGTTGGCCCTGACCGGGCAGGACCCTCTGCGGCCAGAGAGCTGGACCAAGAGGCAGGCACCATTGCTCGTGAGCGACCGGCACCGAGGCGGCCCCTTTGGTCCTGGTCACGCCAGCTTCCTGCCGAGCCCGTACAACGACGGACGGATATTCTGCGTCTATCACGGGACTGAGAAGGAGGGCGAGGGCTGGCAAGTTGTTGCTCCATAGTCCTGCAGGGGACCGCCGTGCTGACAAGATGAACTCGGAACAGGAACAATAGGAAGGCTCGAATCATGAGCCTGGGCCAAGAATGCTTCGGACCCAATGCCTCACCCGTGTGTTGCTCTTACCAGGGCGGTTTCCCGGGTGTCGGGCCTGCGGGTGGCAACACGCGCAATAAGGTTGAAGACACGATTGGCAAGATTGTGGACAAGGCCCCTTTGCAGGTCCGAGGCCAGCTGCAGGGCATGTTTGGGAAGGCTAAGAAGTTCTTTTAGTTGTTGTGGGCATCCTCAACAACTCGAGATTCGCATCTTCAGTCAGGAACAATCTCTTTGATAGGATGAAAGGCTTGGAACGTACTACATATGTACATACTTTCCAGGCAAACGCCCAAGCCGCAGTCAACGGAGGCATCGCTAAGACCTCGGTTCTCCCATACCAACTCCAACTGTCCCGCTGTTAATACACTTCCGGCTTCACTCCCATGAACACCAACATAGGTAGTCGTACCCAGACACTTGGATTCTCTCACTGTGACCATTTCTCCACTACAACAATGGCCAAGGTGTGTGGTGCAGGTGTGACTCCTTCCCGGCCTCTGCGGGCCAATTTTGGGTCCCGCTCGCTTGCCCTGCGCCCCCTAATAAGCCCACCCCAAGGCAGCCAGCCTACCGGTAGAACACCAATGTGCATAGCCACCTTCACCTCAACACCAACATGATCACCCACCAACAGAGCAATGTAATCTCGGCGTACTTTTTTGGCTTTCCCTATGACTTGTGCCCTTTGGTGCATTCTCTATTTAAGCGTGCCCCAGACAGCTGCCACGACATTTCTTCTGCTGCCACCGATCGGTTCACTAGTATTCCTCATTCGCTCATTGCTACTGGCCACGGCACCTGACCAACACTTCTTTGCAAGACTCTTCCCACTGCACAATGTCTGGGGGTGAATCTTCAGCCTCGGTCATCGACAAGACCTCCACCGATCCAAAGGATGCCATCCTCACTGTCGCTCATCAACACTCTCTGTTCAAGCAGAGATCCCTAGACACCGCGCAACGTCACCTGGAGACCGTGAAGGAAAGAGGTGGCGAAATGCGTGTCTGCTTGCTTGGAGACTCCATGTTCGAGCGCATGTCAACCACCGGCCAATGGGAGACTCTTGAGCCATTTCCGTCAGAGCCCATGTTGCCCCAGTTAGACATCGACGACCCGGTCAGCCGCGCCCGATCGCGTGGTGTTGCCAACTTCGGCTGCGGCGGCGACAAAATTGAAAACATACTTTTCCGTGTAGTCGGAAATAAGGAATTGGCTCTGGAAGGGTTGACGGAGAAGTTGCATCCCTCAGGCGACACTCAACGGCCTCCGAGGCTTTGGGTCATCCATGCAGGCACAAATAATCTCAAGCCTAAAAAGGGTCTCGATAGCAAGAGCCTGTGTGCAATGGAGACTCTGCTTTGCACGTTGCACCATCTGACAAGTCCGGGCACAAGATTCTTGTTGACCGGGCTGTTCTACCGCAAGGACATTCGAAATGAGCTCGTCGATGAGGCAAACAAACAATTGCGGGAGCTTGTCATCAAGCTCCAGGACAGATCCACTGTTGATTTATTCGAAGTACAGCCACGGACCTTCGAGTTCTTAGCACCAGAACTGGATTGGGACACCACAACCAGCTTGCTGGACGACCATGTCCACTTGAATTTGGAAGGCTACCGCATCTGGATGAAGAAGTTGCAGCCAAAAATAGAGCAAATGATGGGCTTCTCACCACCATAGCTGGTGTGAAAGTAGATAATTAATATGAAACTACGATCATTACTTTTGTGCTTATCCCGATTCACACCGGAATGACCACATATTGAGTTGCTAAGCTGGTGGCGGCAGACAGCGAACAACATGTGCAATACTTCGATAACGTGGCTGCATTTCTTACCATTCGTGAGATGTATGCGGTACCCTTCATCTAGTCGTCCGGTATCTCTCCCCAACGTCCATGGATCTTGTGGGACACCTGACTGTATGTCCTCGGGCGTATACGGAATAGAAGCGAAACCACTTACTGCCGCGTGTGTGGTAGCATCCTGCGGTCCACCCCGCCAGCATATCCTCCTATAGGACCACAGCCTCGTATAAGAAGTTGGGATATTTCCTGATTAGTCAATGTTCTAAGGATCATTCATCTACAGTAAACTCTCCTGTGTGGTGGTAGCCATGGATCTTGCAGGATCTTGCGCTGCAGGAGATCCTCCGTAGGATAATCTCGCACGAGGCGATGGGACAAACCCCTCTCGGAAAACCTCCTCTGGGACAGTCGCCTGCAGGATACCTGTCTATGAGATCTACCTAATGACATCCCATGATACAAGTTTCAGCCCCTTATTGGACACTCGTCTTCATCTGTGAGACTGCCTCTTTCAGGATACCTAGGTACCCCCCTATGTAATAACGTTCTGTAGGGCAACTTTCTACAGAAGCTAATGTCATACTAGATACTGGCGAAATAATCCAGCAATTGGGACTCGGCTACCACATGTGCTTGCTTTTGAAGGCGTGGCGATGATATGGTAATAATATACGTGACTCCCCAGGAGTGATTTCAATGCCCAGGTGGGCCCTGGGCAGTATACGGTTCTCAGGCAATGCCTGTGCGCCTGGTGAGATTGCTCATGGGACCGAGACACGTTTGTTTGAATGTGAGCACTAATAAATGGGCCTCGTGTCTGGTGTTTGGGCTTACTCACTGCCCTGCCCTGAAACCCACCCGAGTATTGTAGAGCAACTTTGTCGCATATCTCGCATGCATTGGATAATCATCCGGGTGCCCCACACCGGTCTACGAACCATAGGCCATTCAGTATAGGCTGTTTCGACATAATTGCAAGGCAGATAAACTTAAACAAGCACGTGGGAGCAACCTTTGGGGGCAATCTCCGCGAGCATGCAGCCAATGGTATCCCCCATGCTGGCAATGCAACATGCAGCGCGGCGGTCTGCTGTGACATCGCCTGGCTGGACGCCCGTGTCCTTGATGGGCAAGTACAAAGAGCAGTCTTGGGTGTCGTCCTCGCGGTCACGGGTCGGAGTCCTCCTGCGCTCCCTGCAGTAGTTCTTTATCCCGTCGGAGAGTTTCTACGTACAACTAACTGCATCTGATACTTAGGACGTGTGCCTGATGTAATGATCAATGCTTACCAACAGCCCTAGGTATGGTCACACACGCAGCCGTTGAGTACCAGAACATCCTGACACTGTGGCTGATATTTGATGCGAGAGGTAAGCTGGTGGCCAAGGCGGAAATTGTTCTGAAGTGTTGGGCATGTTCGTCTCATAGTTAGGTGTCCCGACAAGCGAGATGGACCGCCTTGCTAGGAGGACCAGTATTTGTCTTGCAATCACGGCACTTGATGCATCCGATGCGTTCTCGTTCGATGAAGCGCATCGTTCATTGGTGAGATTATCCCCCAGCCCTGCAGTGCGTCACTGCATGGGGGAGGGAGGTTCGGGTTGGTAGCACTCGAGCAGGAGGTGTGGAAGGGGTGGGTGAGGGGAGGGGGTGTTGGAGGAGTGATATTGTCGCCAGGCTTGTGGAAGGAAGGGTCGGGGGCGCCGGGTGGTTGGAGGAGGATCGCATGATGAGACAAGACGGCAAGCACTCCAGGCAGGGGTTCAGCATGAGGCACCCTCATGCTGTTCGGCTGTTCGGCTAAACTAGCAGTGCGAGCGCGAGCGAGAGGGAGAGGGAGAGGGCCGTGGGGTTGGTGTAAGAAACGTGATCGTCTCGGCATGCGCCAGGGCGCTGGAGTGTCTGTCTCGTCTGGCCCGCTCGTTCATGCTCCTACGGTCTCGGCATGATGTCCACACAAAGAAGCCTCCCGCGTACCCGACCGTCTCCAAATTTGTGTTTTGTTGCCCTGGTCTGTGCTCTCGCATGCCAAGGACCGTCCCTAGGAGAACAAAGGCTATTTAGTGGGCTACTCCGAGCCTAGTAGACGGAGATTCCCTATCGATGCTCCTCAGACCACTCACCATCTGGTGTGAGTCTGCACAAGGCCTGTACTACCATGTACGAGCTGCCTGCAGGTGGAGCTGCATAGGATCAAGCCCGGCAATGATTGGTTTTTTTGCCGTAGTTTGACCCTGCCATCTATCAATGGATCCAGGTCTATAGCAGGGGAGTATTACCGTATACAACCGATAGCCAAGGTGTGTATTAGACGACCCTGGCGAACGGCAGGTCTCGATCTCCGGAGCTCTTATCGATTCCTGGGGAGACGAGTACTGTACACGACTTATGAAGGGTGGCTTGACTTTGTGCATGTCAAGGCACGAGCGAGAGCCAACACTAGAGCCAACACAAGAGCCCACACACCCACCCGCCTGCCCAGTCCGTCTTCCCCGGACGCCACGCGGAAGGCAAAAGCTAGCAGGAGCCAGTACTAGATCGGATCCTCACTCCGGATGCTTCGAGTCAGAATAGTGTAGTGAACGGGCTTGCACTTGCGCTACCAGGCCGCAGCGGTAGGGCGGGCGAGCAGGCTGACAGGCCTGACAGCACTCGAGGGCGAGGCGGCCAAGCCATTTTGGCTTTTGGGGCCGCCCACGCGTCCGTGCCACCGCTGCAGATCCCACGCTGGGCTCGCCAGCTGGGCGGCCGGGCTTGCCAGGGCAGCTGGGGCGGCCGGGAAGCACGGCTACGGCGGAGCGTCTGGCCAGTGTATGACTTACTCCGGGGCTGCAGATCCTTAAACGGAGGAGGAAACCTTAACAGACTCAGCTGCTGGGGGACGTTGTTGCCGCTGCCAAACAGCACGTGTGATGATGAATCTGTGTTTGAGGCGTCTTCCTCCCCCTTTTCTCGGTGGCTGCCGAGTGCACCTCTGTGATGGATGCATCGAGCTTCATCTTGACGCCATCTCGCGCACTGTTCGCTCCCCAGATCGATAGATACATAGTAGTATCGTCGCATGCAAGCCAGGCGTCTTGCCTCTGCGTCTGCAGCGCCCACCCCCCCTCCCTTCCAAGGTTCCTTCCTTACCGTACCTGGGTAGGGCTCACTCCCAGACTCCCAGACTCCCTGCCTCACCGTGCATGCGGGTGCTATAGAGCCCTAGGCGCAGCTAACCCGCCAGCCCGTCAGCCCGTCTGCTGCTAACAACGCTCAACGTTTCGAATCTGGATTCGATAGCCCGTCGGATGATGCACGGACGACGAACCTCGCTAGCTGCACTGACTCGTACCACCCAAGCTTCGGCGTGTTCGTTCAAGCAGTCCTTCTATGCCATTTTGTGCATTCAATTCACGAATGCCGAGTGCTTTGCCATCCATCATGTCTGGTAATTTCGCCACGGGAATGGCAACAAGCTTTTGCCCTGCCGCTGGTTATACTCCTGGGTTCCCGTGGTACTATTTAGTAGCCCTCACAGATATACGCGGTACCACGTATCCCCTGCGGCCACCCGGTTTGAGAAAGCTCCAAGGTCGTGGGGAACACCGTGCCCAACGCCAGGAGCAGTGCTTAGCAGAGCTGTCGAATCGTCTCGCACGAGGCGTCTGGGGCCGGGACGGCGGGCTGGATGGCTGGATGGCTGGATGGCTGGATGGCTGGATGGCTGGATGGCTGGATGGGTGTGTCCACAGTAGCTACTAGGTACTATGTAGCACTGGTAGGCTCGCTAGCCAGATCCGGTGTGTGTGCTCGAACCTGGCAAGGGAGTCATGGCTGTCCGAACATGGGCGCACTCCTTAGCTGGGCCGGCTGGGCTGAGCTTTACGGAGTACGTACAGCACGGTACATGGGCAAGGTTCAAGCCTCAGAGATAGAGTTGGATGCTGCACCCCCACTGCACCCGAGGTACACGAACTGTGCATGTTACAGAGTTTGGGCCCCAACGGCGCGATGAATGCTACGCTCCAGGCCAGGGCTGCCGGGGTGGTCATGGCCCTTGGGATCACCAGCGGTGTGGGACAAACCCAGTGGGCAGAAACGCCAGTCCCAGTTGCTTGGTCGATTATGGTTTGGGCTATATTTGATATAACTTGGTGGCGTTCGTCTTTTTGTTCTTCTATGTCTCCCCGAACGGCCTGCGAGCATCCACATTTATGGTCTGTAGTCCGTGATCCTCCTTCCACCCCTTGTTTTACTAGGTCTGCTTTTGCAGTCGGTTCGCAGATGTCGTGAACATGTCAGCAAACTCATCCAACACCACGGATGGATCGGATATCTTCTCCACGGAATCCCAGAGCGGGACCGTGCTCGCCGTCTCAGCAGTCCTGACCGGCCTCTCGACGGTCGTGGTCTTGCTCCGGCTTTATACCCGCCAGTTCATCCTGAACACTGCAGGCGCTGATGACTGGACGATGGGCCTCGCTCAGCTGCTGAGCATCGCGGCGGGGACATCAACTATGTTAGGTGCGGGAGCGACATGGTTTGTGTGACCCATGAACACATCTAATGAGACTCGCAGAGGCACATTACGGCCTAGGTCGTCATATAGGAACGCTAAGCGAAGAAACCGTCCTCCGAAATCTTGAAGTAAGGAACCCAGTCGACAACAACTTCCCACAGTCACCTTCTTTGGCTAACACGCCATACCACAGTGCCTTTTCGGCGCAATTTTCAGCTACAACTTTGGAATGAACGTTATAAAAGTGTCCTTTCTGCTACAATATAGGCGTATTTTTCCAAGTCCACACCTCAAGACCATTTGCTTTTGGGGACTCATATTTGTCGGCTTCTGGACGGTCATCCAAGGCGTCATCCTCACCATAACTTGTATTCCATTGGCATCAATTCAACCCAGCACAGCGTCATTCTGTCTCGACACTCTACCAATGTGGGAGTTCACTTCAGCTGTGGGTCTCACCACAGACTTCGCCATCTTTCTGCTCCCAATGCCGAGCATCTGGAAACTCCCGATAGCCCGACGACAGAGAATAGTTCTTTTCGCGATCTTCGGTCTCGGGTTCTTGTAAGTCGCGGCGAGCTCAGCTGTCAAGGTTTTCTTTGAGGTCTAATATTCTGAGCAGCGTATGCGTCGTCTCAATCATCCGCCTCCCTAGCCTCCGAGCTGCTTCGGTGACAGAAGATCCGACCTGGGACGGCATCGGAGCCGCTCTCTGGACACTGACCGAGTTCAACGTCGCTATCTTATGCTCCAGCCTGCCGGTGCTGAGGCCACTCGTCTTCAAGTCCCCAGGGCGTGGCAGCAGAAAGACGATCACGGCCGACGCCGCAAAGAACGCCTCCATGCCAAATTCGAGGTCTGACGCGATGGAGCTGACGTCAGCATCGCGGAAGAAAACCATGAGGTCGACGGTGATACTCGGGCCTAACGAGAGCTCGGACGAGCTGGTCCATTCCACGATGGACGAGTTGATGTATCTGCCTAGTGAGCCTGGCAGCAGGCCGGGTGCCGATTACAACACCGCAGCCCTCACGGATCTTAATGCGGCAGAGCTGGGCCAAGGACAAGCAGTCAAGACATGGGTATATAGCGTTAAACGGGATGGATGATTAGAGGCGTTCCTGGAACACCCAGGAATGACCGGAGCTTCTCTTCCTGTACAGCTACCAGATACCTAATACCAGCGACTCGTTTCCAACTGAGACCTATTCAGTTTTGGTTCTTGTTGTGAAATCTTGATACGAGTGGACTAGTCGTTTAAGCAACTCGCTAATTCCCTGGCTTCTTAGTTTTGTGCACCCACGGCACCTTGCCTTCAAATGGCTCCTCGCCTTCTATGAAATCCAGACACGGCACTTTGCTGATCGTGGGCGAGCCTACAAGCTTTATGTAAAGGTTGTTGAAATCAGGAATGGCGGGGATCACATATTGGTCAAACAGCCAGTACCCCGTGTTCGGCCATGCGCACAGCCGAGTGCTGCGCCATGAGAACAGGTAGTCCTCCTCGACCCCCTCCTTGCGAGCAACGTGATACCGGTGAAAGAGGGCAGCCAGATCGGCCTCGCTAGGCACGACCTCCTTGTCGCCGGAATTGAGGAGGCGATTGAGCTCATTCACGAGCACAATGACGTCCTGCACCGCGTTGTTGTAGCCGAGCCCGGCGTTGGGCGTGAATTTGTGGGCGGCATCGCCGGCCAGGACGATGCGGCCGCTGCTCCAGTGCTTCAAGATGCCTTCCTCGAGGTTCGCCATGCCGGCGGATGTCCTGTGGGGGAAGACGTCCTTGACCCGGAGGCGGTCTCCGATCTTCATATCCGCGTGCTTGGAGGCGAACTCCTTCATGTCCTCCTCGGTGAAATCCACGCGTTCGGTAGAAGCTGCTTCGAGCTTTTCGTACAAAAACAGCCACGCGCGGTTGCGGCCGTTGATGAGCTGGAGCGAGGCCAGGTTGCCGTGAGTGATGCAGTGATCACCCGGTGGGAACTCCCAGCGCCTCGGGAACGAGCACCACATGGTCTTGTACGAGTGTTGGAAGGGCGCAATGTCGTTCACATCGGCGTCCGGGGATTTCCTCAATGTCAGTTCCCTCATGAGCGTTCGGGTCTGGCTGTGCACTCCATCGGCACCAAGAACAATGGACCCTTCGTATGTCGACCCATCGGTGCAGGTGGCTACTACACCGTCGCCCACATCCTCGATGCTCTGAAGCTTCTTGTTGGTATGGACACGCGCCCGGTCCTGTTCACTGAGTCCATCGTAAATGGTCTGGATGTAATCTGCTCGGTGAATTAAGAACGGGTACGTGCCGTGGCTGGGCATTCTGTGTCAGCCGCTTCTTACCCAAGTATCGACAACAGCCACCCAAGGTGAAGCATACTTCTCTCTTAACGCATGGGGGTGAAAGCTTTCCATAAACTTCCCCAGATTTGTGTAGTCTGCCCATCGCAGGAGCTCATGGCCTACCTCTCGCACTTTCTCGTATAGTCCGAATTGTGCCAGCAGACGCAGGGTGTACGGGAACAGGGCCAGAGACGCGCCGACGTCCTCGACGACCTCGGGCCGTCGCTCGAGCACGACAAAGTCGATCCCTGCCCTGGACAGCGAATGAGCGGCTGTCAAGCCTGTGGGGCCGGCCCCTATGATGATAACTTTGAAGTTCGACATGTAACCCGCTTGGTGATGTGAGACAAGAATGGAGGTTACGACGAGTAGAAGCTCTCGCGGACATGCCACTCCATAAGGGGCCTACAGAGCTTTTCGTGCTCCGACATCCTGCCGTGGGCCCCAAGAAACGCCCAATTGCATATGTAGGTGTTGGCTGTTATTGTGGATCCACTATGACTGACACCTCGGTTGTGGTGGGATCAGCTTGCTCCGTACACACCTGCAAGTCCCCTCAGGGATCCCGAGGTCCAGATGGCATGGCCCGACGTGGTTCTATCGCCGACGGAGCCACACTACGACCGAACCTCTACGGGTAAAAATGATATGATAACGACAAGTGTATGCGGAGAAATCATGCCAGACAAGTTGCAGATGGATCTTCTAAATACACATGTATTGTGGGAAACCTGCGGGATACAAGGCATTTCAATCAACTCTGGAGCTCATCTGCACATGTGTTTCGGCACTAAGCCAATCCTTCACAATCCCACATGCATGGGCCCACGATTGTGGCTTAGCAACGTTGCATCAACAGGACCCCATGCACTCTCCAACACTCCATATCGTGCATGCCAAGGGGCGATCAATTAGTAGTAGGCCAACGGCGCGTTGGGGACGATGCATATGTGGAGACGATACCAAATGCTTATCGAGACAATCACATGTGCGGCGACCCCTTGCTTGGCATCATGATCAGGGAATCCGATTATACAAAGAAAGAGTTGAATGATTTTGACTGTGTACGAGCTCTTGTCGGGTGCCCACCGCGCGGTCATGGTATCTGTCCTCGGGTTAGACTTGAAAATTTATTTATGTTCATCAACATCTAGTTACTAACTGGTTTTGCTTCTATTCCGCATACGTCCTGGGACATACATGGCGCCTTCATACGGAGGCGACATCTACCAAGCCGGAAGCTTTCAGCATACCTACCTAGATATATAAGCAAGCCTCTTAAATAGTATGTGTTTATAAGCAGTCTTATGTGAGAGTCATCCTGTGGATACCCTCCTTCATCTATCATCCATTAGAATACCCTTTTAAAGAATAACATTCTATAAAGAAACCCCTCTAGAGTTTAATTACTTAAGTAGAGGTAGTTTCGTTTTTAATTTAAATATATAAGATATATATAATATTAGTTTATAATAATAAATACTTAATATTTAAAATAATATAATAAGTTTTAAAATATATATAAAATAAAAATAAAATTATATAAATTTTATAATTTATTTATTATATATTAAATATAAATTATATAAAAATAAAAGTTTATATATTTAATAATTAAACTTTTATTTTTTAAAATATTTTAATAATATTATTTTATTATTTAAATTTTATTTATTTTATATAATATATAAGAAATATAATAAAAGAAAATTTAATAAAATAGTTAATATATTTTATATAAATTAAATAATTATTAACTTTATATTTAAAATATAAATTAATAAATAATTTAAAAATTAAAATAATAATAAATAAATAATAATTTAAATATATAAAATATAAAATAATTAAAATTTATTTAAATAAATAAATAAAAGTTTAATTTAATTAAAATAACTTTATTAAAATATAATATTATTTTAAAACGTATTATAATAGTATTATAAAAATTTATATAATATTTAAGTATATTTTTAATATTTAAAATTTATATATTAATAATTATTTTTATTCTTTTAAATATAAAGTTAAAAGATTTATAATTATAAAATTTTTATTAATTTTTATTTAACTATTTTATTATATTATAATTTAATTTAATTTAATTTAATTTAATTTAAACCTTTTAAATTTTTAATTTTTATTTTTAAATAAGTTAAAGCTTTATATTTCTTAAACTTAAATTTAAGATTTCTATAGATTTTAATATACTGTAGTAGGTATAAAGGGGTGTAAGTAAGTGATTAGATTTCTAGTTTAGTTATTAAATTAATTAGTAAGTTTTAAACTTAAAGTTAAAGTCTTTATTTTAACTATTTATAACCTAACTTAGAAATTAACCTAACTATATTTTAATTTTAACTCTACTTTTATATTCTTTATTATAAATAATAGTTACTTTTTAAAATTTATTAACTGTTAGAATACCCTTATTATAAGTATTTTAATTATATTTATTTTAATAGTTTTTAATTAGAATTTATTATTCTATAAGTATTATAACTATATTTATAATTAAGCTACTTTTTATAACTATTTATTAAAACTATATTTTTATAACTACTTATTAGACTAGAAGGGATACTTTAATTAGCCTAGTCTCTCTCTTTCTTCTCTCTTTTTTTTTCTTTCTCTCTTCTTTACTCTCTTCTTTTATATATAATAGTAATATATAAAGCCTGTTTAGTAGTTTTTATTATTTATAACTAAAAGCCTATTTACTTAAATAACTATTATAATATTGTTAAAAAGCTTATTTAATATAACTTTTAATTATATAATAAAGATATTATAAAGGATTAAAAACCTTTTAAAGTTATTTATATTATATATTTCTTTTATTATTTTAATAATAATAAAGATTACTTTATTTTTAATTATTATAAAGATTATTCCTTTTATTAAATTGCTTTTTAAGAGGATTTCTTTATAAAGAAAGCTATACTTTAAGATTAATTTTATAAATAAAACTATTTAATTATTAAGTAAAAGAGGTAATTTATAAAACAATAATTACCTATTTAAACTATTTTAATTATTAATTTTTAATAGTAGAATTAGGCCCTTTAATAGTAAATTAATATTTTTAAATTATAAAATATTATTTTAAAGAATTAAAAGATTATCTTTAAGAGTAATTATAAAGCTTTTTAATAGTAAGTTAATAGCTTTAGATAGTATAATTAGGCTTTTAAGAGTAATTATAATATCTTTTAGAAGTAAGTTAAAGAGTATATTTTAATTAAGACTACTTTTTATACTATTTTTAGTTTAAGTTTTTAATATTTATAAAGCTTTTAATAAGTAGTTCCTTATTAAATAATCCCTTATTAAGTAACCTTTTAAGTTTATAAAAAGTATAATAAGATTTATTTATTAAGATCTACCCTATTTAATTATATATATTTAAATGTTTATAAGTACTACTAATTACTAATATCTCTATTATTACTATCTATATATACTTAACCTATTAGAGATAAGTTAATAAGGATATCTCTCCTTTTTTATATACTTATTAATATTTTTTTAAGCTTATTAAGTTCTTTAATTTTATTAATTAAGTAACTTATATAATAAGTAAGCTTTATATTAGTTAGGTAATAAATGCTAATTAAGTGATAAATGTGCTAGTTATATAACTTTGTAGTAGATTTTTAAAATATATTATTTATATACTTAAAAGAGGAGGACTATATAAGGTTAAGGTATGTAAGTAATTGAAGTAATAATGGTGAGAGTGACTATTAGAGCGACCGTCAGAGCGACCGCTAGAGTGACCGCTAGAGCGATCGTTAGAGTAATTGTTAGAGTGATTGTTAGAGCAACTAGTTAGACTATTAGTCGGACCGATAGTCAACCTACTAGAGTAATTATTAGAGTGATCGTTAGATTAACTCTTATTAAACCGACTATTAAAGTGATTATTAAACTAATTAATTAAGTAATTAGTTAAGTAAATAAAGTAATAGCTTTTATAGCCTTAATTATTTAAAAGGTAACGGACTATATATACTTATAGGTAGCTAATAGCTATCTATTAATTAGTAAAAGCTATATAATATATAATTAAGTAAGTTAAGACTTAATTTTACCTATTAAAGGAATTTAAATTTAAATAAATTAAGTAATTTATAAATATTGATTTAAAGTGTTTTTAAAGCACTTAAATTAACTAAATTATAATTATATACTTAATAGTAATTCTAAGTAAATTAATAATTTAATTAAAAAACAGCTTTATTAGTAAATGGAGCCTTCTAATTAGTTAGAAGTAATAAGGATATTATATTTTCTTTTTACCGCTTAGTATTTATAGTAGGTATAAAGGGGTGTAAGTAAGTAATTAGATTTCTAATTTAGTTATTAGATTAATTAGTAGGTTTTAAATTTAAAGTTAAAGCTTTCATTCTAACTATTTATAACTTAATTTAGAAACTAACTTAACTATACTTTAATTTTAATTCTATCCCTACATTCTCTATTATATATATTTTAAATTAGGTTTATAATCTCTTAGCTTTTTTAAAAATATATTAATTATTTTAAATAATAATAACTTTTTTAAAGTAGAGGTTTATTTTATATAGTTATAAATTTAATTATTAATAATTATTTCTTTTTATTTATAATAAAGTTATTAGAATTATAAACTTAGATAATAGAGTATAGTTACTTTATTTAAAGGTTATCTTTTAGTTTAATAAGTTATATAATAGTTTAAGTAACTACTTTTAAGTAGTTTTACTTATAATATAATAAAGTTAATAAATAGATATTTATTTAAGTAGAGTTAGAACTCTTAAAGGAATAATAGCTTTTATTTTTACCTATTTTAACTAACTTACTTAAGTTATATAATAATATTATATATAGTATTTAATAGTATTAAAACTAACTTATAATTTATAATAGTTTTAAGTTTTAATAAACTTATAATATTAGTTTAAACTAATTAAATATAACTTAATATATTAATATAGAAGGTATCTTTTAATAATAGATAGTATTATAAATATAATAGATTATAAAGTTATTATAAAAAGTTTTATATAGTAAACTTAATTAAGTTAATCTTTAAAAGATATATTATATTTTATCCTTTTAAAATCCTAATTATTTACTTTTAATTTAATAGTAGAATTAAAAAAACATAAATAATCTATAACTATTTCTATATAACTTATAGTTTACCTAAGTACTTATATTATTTACTCTATGGCCTGAAATCCTGGTTGGTAAATATATAGGTAGATATTATTTTAATGAAAAGACGGAGGACACACTATGGTTCTCGAGCCCACAGAATCCATGGCCGCGGAAGTTCAGCAGAAGTGGAATCAGTTCTTCCAATGTTGCATGTGCTTTAGTCAATAGAGGGTATCATTTAGTGGCTGCTACCATGGTCATCTTTTAGAACATAGGAAGTAAAAAGAGGAAACGGAAACCATCTTGATTCTAAGATGGCTAACACAAGTGAGCCATACTCAAAATACCCAGACGGAAGTGCAGGTGAACCCATGGGTTTCAACATCTCTAAAGGGCAGAGTATACCAATGTAACCCATAGTATGATACACCAGAGCATTCACTAGGTTTTCGGACGGGTGAGCTTTAAACCTTCTTTGGAATCTTACTATCTGGCATGTGTTGCACCCAAATGATTGTTATGAGACACCTAGGTATTGGGGGTCATGTATGATCTTGATGCCATAAACAAACCACTTTGGCTCTCAATATCTTTATACGGACAATCAAACTAACCACTGACTAGACTGAACTAGATACATCATAACGGGTGAACTAAAACTCGAAGTCGAACTTGAACTTGAAAATGAAAGACCATGGACGGTTATTGGACACCAAGTATTATATGCCCTATCTTGCGTTGATTTTCAACTTTCCCAGTGTCATACTTTGTCTCTTAGCCATGGCTGACACAGATCTCCCGAGTTCATCATTATTGGAAACAACTGTCCTGCCACACAGTCGCATACCAGTACATTGGAATGTATCACTTTACCCCAGTCCTAAATATATCTCGACGAATCCGACGCCGTCAATCAGCATTTAGTCTCTCTGAAACCACCGCATGTAATTTGTCTTTCTTCTGTGAGGGCTCGAAAGGCTGATATTATCCCGGCTTATGGAGTTGGGAATACAGTCATGCACAAATAGGCGTAGCACCCTCCTCTTCTCCAGAAACTGTGGTTCAGACGAGTCCTCCAACGATGAGACGTGGCTAACACACATATACAATGTATATGGCACTGCCTATTATGGTAAATTCTCAAACCCCAGAGTTGATTTTGTCAAAAATAATAATAATAGGGGTTACAAAAATTAGCAAGGAGCAGATGACAATCAATTTCAAAGGGAGGCTTTCAGGGATCCGGCATGCTCAATAACATCCAAGCATCTACTACATCAAAGTTATCATGCGATTCACAGGCCGGAAGTGGGGATGTACCGAAACAATCTCACTTTGAAGAATCCAGCTGAATGAGAGCGTCCATTTCACCTTGCGCTGCAGACGCCTTGTGTCGGCTATTATGCGTCTTTTATGTGCTCTATGGTCATCATTGATGGGAGTTTGCCATGTCTTACTACACAGCTCTTTCTAGCATTTCATATCATGCACTCGTTTCTTTTTCATTACTTGCGGGTCTGCAGAATCAGCTGAATGGATGTTCTGTTTGGCGACTCCCGATTGTGTTCGATTAGAAATATCGGCAGTGAAAGGTCCGACACGAGACAATTGTTTGGTGTTGCAAAGCGCCAACTCTTAAGGATCCCAATTCACGGGTTGAGAACTGCCGTGGTGTCAGATCGTGGTACGGCGGTGGAGTGTCATCGCTTCTTGATTCCAATCCGGGACTATGATCTCAGGAACAACCTTGGAATGCCTCGGCAATCTTGTGGCCCTCATCGGGATGCAGACATGTTTGGCATCCGACGGCAAGATCCGGTTGCTCAGGGACAAACACTGCCATTGTTCCTAGTTGACCACGGCGGGTTGAGCTGCTTCCTTCCGTCAGGTCACACCAGGCGCTGTAACGCCAGGGAAGCTGTGGAGGAAGGCGAGTGGAACGGATGGGCCGTTGGCTGTCAGAGGGTCGAACCGTCACCGCTGCGTGGCCGATGGACAGCGTTCAGCGTCAGCAGGCACCGGTGCGCAGGTGACCGCCGTCTCGGATACCAAGTGCCGCAGCTTAAAGCCCCGTGGTGGAAGATTGGGTAGGAATTTGGCGGTCGTCGCTTGATCAAACACACGACTCCCGCCGCGTCATGGGTGCGGCGTTGGGCAACTGCTCGGGGAGTGGCCTGTTTGGGTTAGATGAGGGAGAACGTACGGTAGATACCAGGCCGGTATGTAAGTCGTGGGTGGGCAACGCTGGCAGTCCACGTCGTTCTAGCGCAAGGGGGGTGGTTGAAACACAGTGACAGCGTGTGGGGAGCCAATGGATTTGGTGGACAGGCCGTGGTGGTGTTTCCTGCTTTGTTTGACACGCAGCTGTTGAACGGGTTGACAGGGGTCGCAGGGGCTGCTGCAAGGGGCAAGCTCCACTTAGAGCCACACCCCTGCTCCCGCCCGGGCGCTTGTGAGCCAACCAAGCGCGTAGCAGAGCTCGCATCTTAGACACACCCCGTCGACGACAAGGGAAGCTCCCGGGCTGGGCTGCAGACCACCATCGCATTGTGAATTGGGAGCCATTGTTTGTGGGCGTTTTTTTTGTTGGTTGCCGTCCCTCATTGTCTGCAATCTTCAAGTCTTTCAACCAGTCACTCGAACAAGGCAGTCACCGGCCTCGACTTTCTTCGATTCTTGTCCCCATATTTAATTCCTACCCTCCTCCCCATCTCTTGGCATTCCCTCGTCGTCGTGCTCTCTTGTCGATCATCAAAAACACTTAACATCAGCGACAGCTGCCACCTACAGCCTGTAGACCCCGACCTTCTTCGTTCGGTTTGCGTTTTCGTCGGCAACTTCTCTGCCAAGAGTCCGGAACTCTTCTCTTCTTCGTTTTCTGTTGTCCTTCTTTCTCCCTTCTCCCTTCTTCCTTCTCCAGTTTCCCCTCTGAGGGCGACCCTCTTTTCCAAACTCGTCAAAATGTCTTTTACATTCAGCAGCAGCCCTGCTAGAATGGTCACCCTTGTGGTCGCCATGATGGCCGTCCTCGTCGAGCCCCACATGATCATGGCCACTCCAAAGCCATATGGAAACCCCGACAACTCTCCTCTGACCTCCAACAACTACCCCTGCAAGGTCACCAGCGACCCAGCCACTTTCTACAAGACGGATGGCATCATCGATCAGAACTCCATGGTGGCTGGTGAGAAGCAGTCCCTGTCCTTCTCTGTAAGTAATCAACCCCCCCTGCAAGACAGATGGAAAAGTCCATGTAGCTAACTCGAGAGCAGGGTTCTGCCGTGCACGGTGGCGGTTCCTGCCAGTTGGCAATCACTTCTGACATGCAGCCGTCTGCGAATACCTCTTGGAGGGTCCTCCTGAGTATCGAGTCTGGCTGCCCGAGCAAGGATGGCAGCGGCCCCAGCACCTACGACTGGACGCTTCCAGCCGACCTGGCGCCCGGTCACTACAGCTTCGCCTGGACCTGGTAAGTTTCGCTTGTCTAACCCAAAATCTGAGAGCTTGATACAGAATGCTAACCGCCCGCCTCGCAGGATCTCCAAGCTGGCAGGTCAGCCCGAGTACTACATGAACTGCGCCCCCATCTCCGTCACCGCTGCCAAGGCGAAGCGCGACACCGAGGGCGTTTCCCTGATCCCCAGAGCCGATACATACCCCGAGATCTTCGTTGGCAACCTGGCCGATATCAACTCGTGCAAGTCCTCTCCCAGCTCGGACCCCCTGTATCCCGACCCGGGACAGAACGTCGAGAAGCTTCTCGAGGGCGCCTCGCCTGCCTTCTCGTCCATCTCGGGCAGCGGCTGCGTCCCTGTTGGACAGACCGAGGGTCCTGGTCCCCTGCCTACTGCCACCGCCGGCGACACGGGTGGTGCTGCTGCGGGAACGCCCCCCGCCGCGAGCGCCAGCGCGACTGCTTCCTCGACCGACTCTAACCCGGCTCCTGGTTCTCCCTCGGGTGGTGTCTTTGCGACGACTGGTGATGGCACCACTTCAAGTGCCGCCGCGTCAACCACGCTATCCACCAGCACAACCACATCCCAGGCGGGATCCGTCTACGTCAGCCCAGTCCCGGTGGGATCCGCCACCTCTGCCTCACAGAACTCCGGATCAGCGACCGGTTCAGCAGCTTCTAGCACGACCTCAGCCATCACTTCCGATTTCGCGACCGTTTCCGCAACCTCGGCAACCAAGCCGGCCCCGTCTGCCACCCTCTCGCCGACCAGCGGCTCAGGCTCAGGCTCCGGCTCCGGAAACTCAACCGGCTCGGCTGGTGGCGGTTCGTCTTCTGGCAAGTCGGGACCCTGCACGTCCGAGGGCATGTTCAACTGCATCGGCTCGCAGTACCAGCAGTGCGCTTCCGGCGCCTGGACCGCGATGAAGGCCCTGCCCGGCGGAACCGTCTGCACGCAGGGAGAGTCGGAGAACCTGTGGGCGCGCGACGCCGCTGCTGCCCCCGAAAACCGCGTCCGCAAGCTGCGTTGGGCTGGCAAGCGGTGGGTTGACCGTGCCGCTTAATTCTGTTGGCCCCTTGGCTTAGGAAGAAAAAGAAGTCCCGTCGGTGGGTGGTTCAGAGGGCTGTCTGTAGATAGCAACCCGGGCAACAGCAGGGTCACGATAATTTTGGTGTTTGCCCAAGGTAGATATTGTCCTTCAGACACTCGCCGGCCGGTGTCTTTCATTCTCTTGTTCACAATTTGATTCTGGCGTTCCGGCTCGGAAAGGAAAGGACTGGCAAGGTAGATTACGAATCGATACCCCTTTGATGATCACAACTAGAGCCTCATCATTGCCCTCTGCTACTGCATTGAAGTTGATTACTGTGCTGACCCTATTGATTGCTGCCTGTTGACAAAGACTTAGCCGGGGCGCGTTTTCTTCACCGAAACGGTTGAAATTTGATCTTGGTCGAGCGAAGCGGATTCTTTCGTTTTAGTGTTCTCACCGCGGTCATGTCTTTTCGATTGAGACTGTCTTTCGTCTGATAGGCACAGCACTCTTCCCTGAATGCAAGACATCGGAACTGTGGTGACTTCTGACCACTCAGGACTGGAAATTTCCTTGCAATCAATTTGGCAGCCCGAATAGTTGCATTACGGGGATGGTTACATTGCGCTTCCCTGCCTCACAGTTCAATGTTACGGGGCCGCCTCAGTCATACTGCTGGTTTGGTCTTGTCAAATCCCCGCACGCATCATCCTTCATATGGGAGAAGATGGCCTCTGAAAATTACCCCTAGGGTTCCATCTAGACTACTTAAGTACCTAGGTATCTTTGATGGTTCTTGAAGCTTGGCAAGTCAATACTGAAACGATCGCCCATTCGGAAGTCTAGAGCACTTGTGTAGATCACTACTGGCACTGGGATCAAATGTGATCGAGCTGAGTCGATGACTACAATGCTTGGCACCTGCAATGGCCATCAGGCAAATATTGTATTTGCGTAACACAGCATAGGCTGTAATCACGCGTGTAACGTGGATGCTAACACAGGGGTGCTCGTAATTGAGTGGCATTTCTACATGGAACAAAACTCAATGGTGTCGGCGTCGTGTGGAGCCAGCCAGTAGAATAGGGTGTGCCTCGGCACGCACCAAATATGTATAAATACGCCGGCGGATTGTTCGCAGCTGAGCCGGTGTTGTCAACCGAGATCATTACTGTTTATTTTCTAGTGCCGCAGACAAACCTGGATGTCTTTAAAATTAACAGTTCGAACGACAAGTGCGCATCAGTCGCTGGGGAAAAGGGACCAAGACAGGGGCTGGAGCAATGGCTCACATCAACATGTTTTTTTGTTCTAATCCTGAGGTACTGGAACAATTATCTTAACAGACAGAATGCAAAGGTCATGACAAGGCTGATCGAGGCGGAGAGCGAAGAGTTGCGTACCAAACTAGCATTTGCTGATGCATCCGACCGTCAGAATCCATTCTTTATTTACACTCAGTAGGTCGGCATTCAGATAGGACACCTAGCTCTGATTGGCGACCTTGAGAACTGCGTGGAACTGGCAACAGTTTCTTGAATCTTGCTGACCAGCATTCAACACGGCCAGAGGATGCTCAGTGGCAACCTCGAAGGCGTGGGAGGGTACAGATTTCGGCTTCAGCGAAGACAAGCCACATGTACCGAAGTCATTTTGCGAAGATTTTGCACCCAAGCTGAGTCGAACAGGGCGATTTTCATCAATGCCAGAAAGACACAAAGTTCGATGATATAGAAGAGAACCGACTGCGCGCCTGGCAAGATTTTGCCACTGACGCTTTTTCCTATGTACAAAAGGTCTGACCCGATATTTTTGACCCGAGTAGCTAAGAATAGTCTGAATACCTTCCCACCTAACAGATGTTCCGGGCACCGTTGCCCGAGAGCGTCCAGTTCGAGTTGTCAGCGCAAGGCGACTCGCGGACTGTGGTACCGTCCACACGAAGCGTGATCCACAGGTCCCGGGTGTTGGCGAACTCGGTGCGAGCCGAAACACGGACCTCGCCGCCTCCATTAACAGTGCCCCCACGGATGGAGACGTTGTAGCAGTTCTCGATGAGGATCGCATTGTTGCCGTTGTTGGCGAGGTCGACGCTCTCGATAACAGCTCCTCCAGACTCTGAGACGCAGAAGACGCCACGACCGCCTCCACGGGAAACCACCTTGGTCACGTAGACGTTGGTGTTGTAGTTGCCATTGGCGTTGCGGCCGTTCCGGTTGGCAAATCGAAGGGTACCATATCCGGTGCCCGCACCAACGTTGTCGCCGTCCACCAGGTTCACCTGCGCATTTATGGTGTTCTGCAGGAGCAGGCCAGACTCGCCAACGTTGCGCGCGATGACTTGATCAATTTTCAGACCGTCGATATTCCATGTCTCAACCGCGTGGCTGCTAGCTCCAGTCACGCGAATGACGCCCATCTGTACGTTGGAGTTTGCAGCTTGATCTCGGTCGAAGCGGATGCCCACTTTCAGGTATTAGTCGGAGTACGCGCAGTCTGAGAGAAAAAGGAGTGGAAATGGAACGAAGAGGGCAGTTCTATGTGTATTGTTGAAACCACTTACAACCGCCGCTGAGGTTCATGGTGATCTGCCCCAGCACCAAGTCACGTGTGCCATAGAAGCGCAAGCCAAAGTACGGGTTTCTGTTGACGCCAGTCAGTCACTCGTCATATCGGGGTCAGAATGCATTGCAGGCGTACGCACCCGGTCATGGTAAGATAGGGGATCTTGGTGCCAACAGTGTTCAGAACCTCGATGGCACCGCGCCCGCTCCTATTAGCGACATTGATAGTACCGCAACCCTCGAACGTCTTGCCACTTCCAATAGTGATGGTATTCGCGCCAATCGAGCCCGATGCGATAACAGAGACGCGCTGTCCGCTGCTAATTGAGTCAACTGCGGCTTGGATCGCGGCGCGGTAGTCGGAGCCCGTATAGACTGTGCTTGAGCCCCTGGTCGCAGTGAAGGAACTACCCGATCCAGTCACTCTGGCATCTGGGGTGCCGGAGCCACATTGAGCGTGGACGAGGGAGATCAGTGCGAGGACTGTCGTGAGGAGGAAGAACTTGGCCATGACGACGCGGTCTTTGTGCTTGTTGAAATTGAAGTCTGAGGCTGGGGTCTTTCTACGGCAGTTCAACGAGCTGAAACTTGGAATATTACTTCTCTTATATATGTAGAATCAAATGTCGCCATTGCGGAGCGGTACGGTGTACTATCTGTCGGCTACAACGTGTGGAGACACACACACACGGGCCAAGAACCTCTACAGAATTATTGTAGGATAATCTGTCTATACCGGAACCGATGATTCCGTAGCCCACCATCGATGTTTTGTGGCCAAGCACTCCCACCTGGGTTCTACTGTTTGACTTCGGTGTAAACCCATGCCTGCAATGTCCGCCAGACCAACCTTGGAAGCAAACTCCACTGCCAAGGAACCTCGTGTTGGGTGTCCAGCCTCGCTCTTATATACTTGAGGCTCGCTAATCGGGACAGGTCACACCGGGCTGGTCATGTTGCCGGGCTAGTAGAATCGCATCTCCGCTAGCTCGTGTTGGCGCTGCTTATGCCTGTTGTGCTCGGCACGCGTTCTGTCAGAATACTGGCTGCTCACAGGTGGAGTTTTGCCCGAAACATTGTGCCGCCTTCCTTTTTCGTTGTACCCAAGCGGACCAACAACTTCTCTGTGAGATCATACGATGAGAACAGTGGAGTTTCTGGTTACTGTGTGCTCTGCACTCTTTGCACACATCGGTACTAGTTGCTGCATCAGTCGGCAGTTAGGTGCAGCGAGGTAATGCCAAGAGCGGGATAAGCTCTGATCCCCTGCAGTGAAATACACCAAGTAGCCGAAAGCCAAGCAACAAAAGTCAAAAGAAGCTCGCGTGACTAGGACTGCCCTTCAGCTCCTCGCCAACTTCGTCCAAGATACCGCGAAGTGGCGTCTCGAGGTTGAGACCAGTGTGTCGCTCAAGCTGGGTTTGTGTTATTGATCTAGCACTTGAGATCTGTACAATCATCATGTCGCCTCCTCTATTAATACGCCATGGTCGGAATCATATCAGGGCGGGCGATGGCCTCTGGATTGTATACTAAGAACGATCGCTCTCAATGCTGGCACAGTATCAGCCAAGTCAGCAGTTGTGTCTGAGGCTGACCTCCCACTTTTGCCTACCGTTATGAGTCTGGCTCTCGTCCTTTCGGCATATGTGCACCCGTTCCGCTATAAATAATATCAACACACTTTGTCCGCTGGAGCCCATGATGGGGCAAGGCAGGGTATAAAGCTCATGAGACACGACTAGAAGAGATCAGATTAAAGCTTAAGAACATTGTGGCGAGGGCAAGACGGGGCCAGACTAATTCTTCCCCGAGCCGTCTTCCAGCGATGATCCGAAGGAGGAGCTTCATCAGTGGCTGGATTCCTAGGCTGCAGATATGTGCAAGGGACGCGACAACCTGTGCCTTACATGTTTCTGCTTGCGATCACAGCAGATTTTAAATCAAATTCTATTGCACTGAAAAGCTTCGGTATCAAGGTCACTCATTGATAGCCCCATCAGACTGCTCGAGGAAATGAGTAATCTTGACTCATTAATATGTCGTAAGAAGAGATTTCCAGAAAAAGAAACTCAATTGCTTTAGCTTGTGATCTTCTCAGATCCCAGGTGCCAGTCGTGGGAGCTCACTAAAGCACCGAAAGCCCCATGGGCCACATATCCCTTTCACCCTCTCGCTCTAGCTTCCAAGGGTTGTGCCATACCGCCTGTCTTATTTGATGAGAGATTTAAGCAGAACTCTAGATGGCAAATAACACCATAGATCTCATTATAGTTTAAAAAGCTACTGTTCAAACATGCTTTACATGTTGAGGCCCACGTCTATCAACCAAGGCGTATTCGAGTTCAGGTACAATTCAGAGAACACACTTCTACTCGATCTCTGACTTCTGAAGGTGAATGATTACGGCTGAAGTAGTGGTTTACATGGTCCAGGATCACGGACCATTACTATTGTCACGATGCAGACAGTATAGTCCTGTGCACTCAGCAGCATGGTTCATGCTTGACTCTACCCTGCCGTCCCAAGCACCGCATATGGATCAAGTCAACATGTTCACAGCTAGTATACCTATAATCATCACCGTTAGCTCCAGCGCCAAGCTAGTTATGTACCTCTTGGGACATGTTGATTTCGACCAATTGTGGTGTGATGCCGATGCCGATGCCGAATGGCAGGACGATAATGTAGTAGCTGTGAGAGCCACGGCATATTCGGACACTGCTGGTCACTGTGAGTGGTTTTGGTCATTATTCGAACCGTCTTCATTCACTTAACATGGAGTTTGCAGGAGTCTTATAAGAAGCTGAGGATTTAAGTCTCGGGGATTGGCAGAGCTAGTTGACCTTAGTGGAGTGAAGGTGATTGAAAGAGACGAGAACGACAAGTAACTAGACTGATTATTGACAATTTGGTGATAGATAACGAGCGTGGATATTGATCCACTTGAGTGCATTTACATCAATCTCTATAGGTCATGAAGTCTGACATGACTTAAACGTGGACTGATTGCTGGCACTCAGAGCTCTAGCTCATATGGTATTGCGCCTTGAAGTCACACTGCATGAGTGTATGTTTTGGAAAATGTAACAGAGCCAAAAGATTCTACCTCTGATCTATTCTGGTCATTCTATGAGATCTTGTGGCTTTCCAACAGGCTCATGTAACCTTTGTCCACCGAGAGCACCACCGAAGAGGACTTGGGAGCTTCAAGTTTTCCGGTAAAGTACCCGCCGGCATAGCGGGCAGCATGTTCAAACTCACAATACAAGAAAAGATGAAAGTAGGCAAGGAATTCCTTACCAACAAGAATAAGGGTTTATGCATCCTCCTCAAAACCGGCGCACTTACGGTCTTTTATGTGAATTCAATTACTTTCTCTATCTCATGTATGTCTTCGGACATATACGGAATAGAAGCGAAACCATTCAGCTGCTCTCTCGGGCCTATAAGTAACAACGTAATTATCATTACGCTTAACACATATCATATCCCTAGCACGATAAATTCAAAGTCTGCCTGAATCCAGCCAACCAGCTCGATCTGCTTCGTGTAATTGCGAGAGAGCACTGCCTACAAGTCTCCTCTGCCTCTTCGAACGTGAAACTGGTGTAAATATGAAGCTACCCTAGGGCAACTAGCGTATAGACATTCTAAAGTTTCAAGATGGCAGACCAGATGAGCCCTGGCAATTGGGTGGACATCATCAAAATCACTTATATCCTTCTATTGATAGACACGTTCTGAAGATTAAAACGAGTGACCTCAGCATGCAAGATGTTGTTAACTTGGGCGATATTCTTTTTCGTGCCAAACAGGCTGTGATGGGCCCTGACTGCGCTGATATTACCAAGGCAGAGATGAAACAATTCCTGACGGAGACATTCACCATGTGAAGCAGCAACCGTGCCCAGATGCACAGTGCACTTTGCAGCTAAAACCTTCTCCGCTAGGACGTGCAGTGCACATGTGCTAGGAACACAAATCGGCCTCGTTCAGGCGTCTGGAGGCTCAAGCATTCAGCATTAAGAGAGACAAGAGTCATGAATCTCAAAGGGGCAGATTAACTTAGTCACAATACGCTAGACAGCATTGCATCAAACTCTAAAAGGGACCTCCCTCTGCAAATAAGTGGACATGTGGAAACGAATCACTGGACGGGGTGGCTCTGACTGGCTTGGCTCTCAGGCGCTCACTCAATAGGTCCACTTTGGTAGACTCCAATCACTTTGCATGCCCATGCAGAAAGTGATGCTGTCACGGCGCGGCGGGACTTACTGGTCTGCTCTTAGCTTGATCGTCGACCGCACCGCTCGGCACGGGCCAACACTTGGGCCATGGCACCGTGGCTTTGAATTATGATTTGCTCGAGTTCCTTGTCTGATTGGATTGTTCTGCTCATTCGACGTCATGCTAACAGGGCGGTTGTATTTCGGTGCTCGGATGCACAACCCAGAGGTATAATTCTCGGTCGTTGTCAGTATGGGAGGAATATTACTGCACGTGGCACCCGGGGAGTTCGCCGTCTTCGCAGAGTTGTGCAGTAAAACGTTCATAAAACCTTTGTACAGATTAGCTGACGTGTTCGTATAGGCACATGTTGGGGCAATCACGAGACAAGTCACAAAAAGCACACGGCACGAAGGGCCAGGCATTCCAGGCATTGGGCCAAGTTGCCCGGTTGCTTCCACGACCGGTCTAGTAGACAAGACAATCGGGCTACTTGGCGGGAGGTGCACAGCCCCCCTGCCCCCTCGGGATACAGGTGAGACTGTTGGAATTGCCATCGCAAACCGCAGTCCAAGGCGATCCCAAGAGAGGCCCAAGGGGGCCCCAGAGCCCCCAAGCGAGAGCCGTGCCAGGTTCCCGCGCTATCGTGCATCTGATAACGCCGCCGAGATCTTGGCTGGCCACACGCCGCCAACCAGCGAGGCGCCAGAGGCTCAACAACCCGGTCAGCCAAGCCGCCCGCGTGATCTCTCGTTGGGTTGCCATGCCGTCAAGACCTTTCGACAAGTGTATCCGGGGGCGCAAGAAGCGGGGTGCCGCTTGCGGGTGGTGTAAGCCACGGGTTCGTTAGGAGACGGCAGCCCTATAAAGCGGCCGGCCGTCCAGTCGAGCGGTACGGCCTCTCTGGCTCCGGCTGGTACGGTCACAACGTCTTGACGACGATAGACTCTTATACGTGAATGGGCAACGAAGACACTGCAGTCGAGGGGCAAACTGAGCCCCCTATATGTGGCTTCAAGGGGCCTCCATCAATACAACCAGCCGAACCAGATTCGGACAAGTCGACCGTCTGCACAAAGACTGCGTCGATCGCAGAGTTCTCTGCCGATTCCGCCCACGTCTTCGGGGCGAGCCAGATCTGCGGATTTCTCAACACTGACATCAAGTGAGCACAACGCCCACTTCCCATCGCACAGCATAGCGCATGTGTGACAAGAACTCGGGCGCTCTTCAAATGCTTGCCCCCGAGTCCCGGGTCCAGTGTTGACTAACATGCCGCCATCAGAAATGGCCTCGCCGGTGCCGAAGCTGCAGCTCGTCTACAGCAGAATGGCCCCAACAAGGTTGAGGGAGCTAAGGGGATATCGCTTTGGACGATACTGCTAAGACAGGTCTCCAACTCCCTGACCCTTGTCCTCGTTATAACGACGATCCTGTCGTTCGCCATCAATGACCACATTGAAGGCGCCATCATCTGCGCGGTCATCTTGCTCAACATCGTCGTAGGGTGAGCAACAGCCATGACTCTTGACCCGGCTCAATGAGAACAACCACGCGGGCCCCCGTGCAGACTGACAGAACACCACGTGCAGATTCATCCAAGACTTCCGCGCAGAGCAAACCATCCAGGCACTCTATGCCCTATCTGCACCAACCTGTAAGGTCATCCGAGATGGCCAGATAGAAACCATAAAGGCGGAAAGCCTCGTCGTTGGAGACATTGTCCTGCTCAATGTGGGCGATGTCATCCCGGCGGACCTCCGCCTGGGTGACAGCATCAATCTCTCCACCGACGAGGCCCTCCTGACCGGCGAGTCCCTGCCCATCAGCAAGCATGCTGAGAGGGTGCTGGCCGACCAGGACGTGCCTCTCGGTGACCGTGTCAACATGGTCTACTCGGCAAGCACAATCACACGCGGCCGAGCCACTGGAATCGTGACCGCCGTCGGGATGGCCACAGAGGTCGGCAAGATCGCCGGCCTGCTGAGACAGGCCAAGAAGAGCTCCGAGGGGAAGGAGGGCATCGCAAAGATGGTCCACCTCACCAAGGAGAAGATCCGCGTGCTCCTCGGCCTCGACGGCACCCCCCTCCAGGTGTCGCTGAGCAAGTTTGCCCTGCTGTTGTTCGCCCTCGCCATCACGCTTGCCATAATCGTCTTCTCGGTCAGCCGTTTCAACATTGACGACGAGGTCCTCATCTACGGTATATGTGTCGCAGTAGCTGTAATCCCAGAGTCGCTGATCGCCGTGCTGACCATCTCCACGGCGATCGGCACGAAAGCCATGGCCAAGGGCAACGTGATTGTCCGCAAGCTGGCAGCGCTGGAGGCGGTCGGCGGCGTGACCAACATCTGCTCCGACAAGACCGGCACGCTGACGCAGGGCAAAATGCTGGCCAGAAAGGTCTGGCTGGCCGACGGGGCGGCCATCTCGGTCCACGGGACGACTCACCCCTTCGACCCGAGCAGCGGAGCGGTCCAGCACAACGGCCGCGAGCTGACACCGGCCGAGATGAAAGCCACAGGCCGGGGGGTGACCAGCCTCCAAGCGCTGCTGGAGACAGTCGCGCTCTGCAACAATGCCTCTGTCACCCAACGGGAAACATGGACCGCCCTGGGCGAGCCCACGGAGATCGCCCTGCAGGTCCTGGCCATGCGCTTCGGCATGGGCAAGCCAGACCTGCTGTCCGGCGAGAAGGCCACCCTTGTCTCCGAGTACCCCTTCGACTCGACCTGCAAGAGGATGACAGTCGTCTACGACACCGGCGACCAGACGGCCCTCACGGCATACACCAAGGGCGCCGTCGAGGCGATTCTCCCCCTGATCCAGATCCCAGACGCCAGGCAGCGCGAGATCGCCGCCATGGCCGACACGCTCGCCGCGGAAGGCCTCCGCGTGCTGTGCGTGGCCAGGCGGTCCGCCACGGCGACGGAGCTCTCGAAGCGGGAGACTGCCGAGGCGGACCTCGAGTTCGTCGGCCTGGTCGGCCTGTACGACCCGCCGCGCGTGGAGAGTGCCCCCGCGGTGCTCAAGTGCCAGCGGGCGGGCATCACGGTGCACATGCTCACGGGTGACCACGTCAAGACGGCGACGGCCATCGCGAGGGAGGTCGGCATCCTGCCCCCCGTTGAGGCAGGCGGCCCGGCGTCTGACCCGCAGGCCATCATGCAGGCGAGCGCGTTTGATGCGCTCACCAACGCCCAGATCGACGCCCTGGACAAGCTTCCGCTGGTCCTCGCCAGGTGTAGCCCGTCGACGAAGGTGCGCATGGTCGAGGCCATGCACCGCCGCCATGCGTTCTGTGTCATGACTGGTGACGGTGTCAATGACTCTCCCGCGCTCAAGAAGTCTGATGTCGGTATTGCGATGGGCATGAACGGTAGTGATGTCGCCAAGGAGGCGGCGGATATGGTCCTGACGGACGATAACTTCGCCTCGATCGTCACTGCGGTCGAGGAAGGAAGGAGACTCTTCGACAACATCCAGAAGGTAAGACATCGCTTGTCCCGGCACATCATGATCCTCACCTGTAACTATCTCAAATAGCTGACCGTGCCCACGCACGCAGTTCCTCCTCCACCTCCTCATCTCAAACATCGCCCAGGTGATCCTCCTCTTGGTAGGCCTCGCCTTCCGCGACGCCTCGGGCGCCTCCGTCTTCCCCCTCTCGCCCATCGAGATCCTCTGGGCCAACCTGGTGACCTCGTCCTTCCTGGCCCTGGGCCTGGGGCTGGAGGAGGCCCAGCCGGACGTGATGCAGCGGGCGCCCCACGACCTGCGCGTGGGCGTCTTCACCCGCGAGCTCATCGTCGACAAGTTCGTCTACGGGTCCGCCATGGGCCTCATCTGCCTGGGCGTCTTCGCGACCGTCGCGTTCGGCGGCGTCTCGCAGGCCGTCGGGCCGGGCGGGTACACCCTCGGTGATGCGTGCAACTCGGGTTACAACGACTCTTGCGTCGTTGTGTTCCGCGCGCGTGCGGCGACCTATGCCACCCTCACCTTCCTGCTGCTCGTCACCGCGTGGGAGGCCAAGCACTTCACCCGCAGCCTGTTCAACATGCACCCGGAGAAGTACCGCGGCCCGCTTTCTGTCTTCAAGACCGTCTGGGCCAACCAGTTCCTCTTCTGGGCTGCTGTGGCTGGCTTTGTTCTCGTCTTCCCACTTGTGTATCTGCCCGTCATCAATGAGGTCGTCTTCAAGCACATGAGCATTGGCTGGGAGTGGGGCATTGTTGCGGCCGGAATTGTGGTCTACTTGTGTGTTGTGGAGAGTTGGAAGGCCGTGAAGAGAAGGTTTGGAATCGGTAGTGTGAGGAAAACGGTCGATGGCTTCGGGCCAGCCGGTGACAACGGCAGTGTCGTCTAAGCTTCGTGGTACTACACCCTCGTCGCTAGTTGCTGGGACGAGTAGTGGTGATGGTGGTTTCAACAGTCGGAAGGTGGAACAAGGTCGAGACTCATTCAACATGGGTTCATTTACTTGGTTGTCTTGTTTGGATGCCCTTCCAGTCGCTCTCATTTTTTCGAGCTATCCTCTCTGGCAGGGCAATTTCCTGCGTCCACTCTTTTGGTCTGCGGGTTGCCGTTGAGACAACCCATCACTTGAATCTCATCAGAATAAACCAGTATTCCGGTTGCATGAATTTAAACTAGAGTCTATGTCTACGTACTTCATCTTCTATCGACCTGGTATCATGCTGCCGTCTCTATCATTCCTCATAAACTCCACAGAAAAAAAGACCCCATTCCATAACGCCGACCTGAATGCATCATCAATAGCTGAGGATGCAGATGACCCATAGTGTCCGAGGCCAGTTCTCGTCCCCTTATTTGTTTTCTTGAAGTTTTGGACTGCCAGCGTTGCGATCTTTCTATTTTCCTGGGGGCGTGGACAATCTATCGAGCATTTATGGCGCAGGGCCAGTGGCCAGAGGTGGCGGCGCACTGTTTTGAGCAGCTCCAAGCGTCGCACCAGCCTCGACACCAGCACTCTTCTCAACCTGGTTCTCCTCGTCGCTGGTCCCCGTGGCTGTGTTGTCGTCGTCACCGGCATATGCATACTTGCTCCTGGCGCGGATCCTGGCGCCATACTTCCAGAACAGGAACGGGATACCGCAACAGCCAAGAGCCATAAAGAAGAGAATCATCGATGCCCACTGGTAGCCGCAGGTGGCGTACATCTGCTCCGTGAAAAGGACTACAGCGGCACCCCAGAAACTCCGGATGAAGGTCTTGGCTGCGAGGGCCGATGCGGCCTGGTGTTGGTATGAGTCGACGAGGTAGTTGTTGGCGGCGTTGTACAGGAAAATGAACCCGAATCCAACCCAGAAGCCACCAAAAGCCGGGCCGAACCAGTGTAGGCGTGGGTAAGTCGTCCAGGAGAAGATGATCAGACCCAAGGGGATGAACCAGCAAGAGCACATCATCGGGATGAGTCGGTATTCGGCGGGAGGGTTGCCGTTGAAACGTTTAGATACTTTCAAATAGTGTTTGTTCACAAGCGGAGAGGCGATGGCTGAAGCGATGACACCGAGGGCCAGTGGAATCTGTGGTTCGGGTTCTTGTTAGTCGTCTGAGGAGGCATTGATAGAATGAATGCAAGGAGAGAGCGGAGTAAAACTTACAAACATGAGACCTGTGCTGCCCGCACTCCATCCTTTACCTTCCTGGTAGATGATGGGGAAGGCCACGAAGAACATGTACAGCAATCCATACAGGACGGACATGTACAAGGAGATGAGGAACACAATCAACTCTCCAAAGAGCAGCTGTAGAGGCCGAATCAGGAAGATAGTTAGTCTCTCTGACAAAGGCCTCTTGTCAAGATCCTGCTCGGTGACGTGCTCGATGCTGCCTGTCTCCTTGCGCATCTTCTTGGCCCGACGGGCAAGGATGGTCGGGGCATACGTCTCAGGCACAGTAAAAGTGATCAGAACCCACACAACAAAGGCAAAGATGAGCTGGATCCAGTAAAGCCACCTCCAACCGGTGGCATCAGACAGGTAACCACCGATAAGAGGTCCGATTGCAGGGCCGATGAAGGGGGCGGCGGAGAAGGCGGCCATGGGGACCCCACGCTCCTCATTCCTCCACAGGTCGGCCAGGGTACCGCCCACGAGCGTCATGGGCGCGGAGAAGGCGATGCCATCGATGGCGCGGCAGACGAGCAGGGTGCCAATGTTCTTGGCCACGGCACAGGGGATGATGAACACCACGGCGATGAGGAGTGTGGACCCGTAGATGATCCGACGGCCGTAAATTTCCGACAGCGGCGCGAAGATGACGGGGCCGACACCAAAGCCAATGACGAAGAGGGTGATGGTGAGAAGAGCGACCTCCTCGCTGACGTTGAATGTCTCCCGGACGCCGACCAGGTCGGCTGTCACAACAGAAGAGGCAAAAGCCACTACGAAACAAGTGATAGCCACTACCATGGTACAATACCATTTGTAGGCTTTGCTCCAGTTCTTGGGGTTCTCCGGGTCACCTGGTGTGAAGGTAACCAGCTTGTATTGCGTCTCTTTGCCCGATGGCTCCCGCACGACCGGGCCCTTGATCTCACCAGACTGGTGTTCTGTCGTGTACTCTTCGAAGTTGGCATCTTGCGAGAGGGTACGGTAAGGGAGCGAATCGGGGTCAAGATTCGGATCGCGGCGAGTCTCCTTGGTGGACTGCCGGGTGAGCTGACGGCTCAAGGAAGTGGACCGCCGCAGGCCTGAGCTGTGGCGCTTGTGATTCGGAACGATAGGTGCGAAGCCAACGCCAGCAGTCTCGTCACTTTCATTGCCACTGCCCGCCATTGTTGGGCTGGAGGATCGGGGTGGTATTGAGGAATCTTGACTTGAAGGAGGCTGGGCCATGATTGTGTAACAGATGAAATCAAAGGAAAAGAAAATTCCAAAGGATTAGAACCACACATGCACAATAATCAAAACATAGAAGATTAACGAAAGAGATAAGGGAAGTCACTTATATATCAGTCTAAAGGACAATACATGGGGATCAGAGCCCTCGCGCTTCGATCTAGGCTCGCGGCGCGAGCATAGGTTTATAGTGGGGCCCGGGATGGGAATGCCTTCAACCCAGCAAGCTCCCACGCCGAACCCGGGATGCACGACTTAAACTGGAGCATAAACATGCCCACCGACCGTCGTGATTGGTTGGCCTTCTGCTTTGGCCACCCAGAGAGACACCAGGAACCTGCAAAAGATGAGGATCGGCCCAGGGTCGGAGCTTTCAATGAGAGGGTTGAGAGCTTCACCTCTGGTCAGAGATTCTTGGCAGCAGCGACTTCGAGCCTACTGGCTTCTTTGGCTCCTAGAGTGCTCGGGGGGGGGGGGGTTAGTTAACCTGCGAGCTTGATGATCATTCGAAGGATCTGCCTTCATCTGGACGGTTCAAGGACACCAGTCGACTTATCAGACATGACTCTGCTCACGGTGACGAAAGACTGAACACACAGAAGCGTCGGTGCTGCGAAAAGTGACGGCCGTCGAGGCCCGGGATCAACGCCGACCTTCCGCCCGTCCGCTGCCGAGTCGAGCCGGATGGGGCCGCATAGGGCGTGTTAGTGCCAGAAGCTTATTCGGAGAGGGTCTTGGGCATGCGAACCACGAGGCAGCGGGGCAGGGAGGTGCCGCCTGGACTCTAGATTTGACCCATCCCTGACAGGATGGAACCTGTGGATTCAGCAGTCGTCAGACTTTCGTCGAGCTTCTCGCCATTTCGGGTTGACCCTGTTCAGATTGCAAGTTGCTGGTGGGCCCCAGGAGAAAAGTCTTAAAATCTTCGAAATTGCTGGCGAAGTCCAATGCCCATCAACCCGTAGTTCTCCTTTTCCAAGCCTCGAATCATGCGGTCCGGCGAGTTCCTCGACATGCTATGCAGCGAGGTCGAAGGTGAAGGCTTGTTCGCAGTCGGGCAAAGGCAGCGACGGGTTGCAGTGGCGACGGCATTGAAAGCGCACGACTACTGGTCCATGGTAATGGCGTTCTCTCGGGACGCCAAGCTGCCAAGCCGGTAGGGGAGACTGATAAAGACGCAGCTGGCAGCTCGTGCTCGCCACGAGCAGGAGCCATCAAAAGACGCGAGGCCAACCAACTCTGGCCGGCTGGGTCGAAAATGTCAGATCTAGTGTAGTGTCATCCTGCAGTGCAGCGTGCAGGTCCCACGAGATTTTCAGTGGGGACGTCTTCCGAAAACACCGGGGATAAGCAGCAAACAGTCATGGCCGTCGAGACTGAATCATACATCGCCACACGCAATCTTGGGCTGCCGGAACGAAGCAGCAGTCTCGATACGAGCACTCAGCACTGCCAAAGCACAAGTAACATGTTTCTGAACTGGTGAGGAGTGGCTCGCCGGCCATGCGCTGGCGGTGGCGTGATGAGGTCGGCGTGAGCGCTGGCAGGAATGGGACACGTGCGAGGAGCCGCATTCCAACAAGACGGCTAGGCCAAATCGAACCGAACAGCGGTGGCTTGTCTGATGGCACCTACTCCGTAGATAACAGATACACTGATAGAGGCCGATATCTGTGGATGTGCGGCGTACGGATTGGGTGGCCGGCCAGCCAGCCAGCCTCGCGTCTTGGGAATGGCTCAGTAGCAGCGAGCTGCTGCCGCATGTCTGGACCGGCACCTAAATTTAGGCGACACAACGCTGACGTCACACACCTCTCTCTCCCCAATCTGTCGTAGATGCTGCATCTTGCTCCGTGCATGGCGTATGCAGGATCGTGCACAACTGCAATCCTGACTGTACAACCACACAGCACAGCACGGCACAGGCACAGGCACAAGGTCTGACACGCGTCACGGTCCAGCCCAAGAGGCTTGGGCAATTGGCCATGTCGTTTCGCGCCTGGGCGGCAGCATCACCGAGATCTGTCGGGGAGCCTCGAGCGGTTGGTCGCCGCGCAGTGCCGCCGTAACAGACTAGAGTGAGTGGACGACTAACAACAGCTGGGCTGGCTGGGCTGTGCAGCTGGGCGGCTTGGGTTCGTCCCTGGGCGGTGTTGCAGCTGGGATCTGGAGACGGGATGATCGAGGCCGAGAAGGAGGATGATGGCCTGGATGGCCTGGATGGCTGGGCCGCACTGCTGAAGGTGGAGCACCTGCACTGCCAAACCGCCCCCAAGGGCCAAGTCCTATTCATCCGAAGTTACAGATTGGATTTCAGATGGTCAATCACCAGTCTGGGCCAGACTCATGCCGTTTATTATTACGAGGCAGGCAGGGCAGGCAGGGCAGGCAGACACGTTCTAGGCGCTGGCTGATGCTTCCTTCCCCCCCAAGAAATCCTCCGCCACCATTTTCATCTCATATATGTGGGCCTGCAAATCCCAACGCTGACTAGACTGCAGGGGCAACACACCAGGAGCTGAGCAGCAGGCAATCAACCCAAAGTTACCAAGTTAGGTACTTTAGTACGCTTCCCATTCAATACAATCGCCTTGATTCCCAGTCGGCTTCATCTTCCCTCTCTCGACCTCTCGACCTCGTTCCTCTTATTCTCCACCTCCTGTTGTGACTCACCTGTTTCCTGCAGTTGGTTCACTTGCCTTGCGACCACAAAACACCCAAGTCAGACCCACAAGATAGACAGACAATCTACCTTGGTACCAGCCCAAGCAACCCTTGCTGCGCCCACTACTCCGTGCAGGACCATCGTGAACAACCTTGGAAGATCAGCACCAGAACACAACCACAACCGCCCAACATGCAGATCACAACTCTCCTCACCACCGCTGCCATCTTTGTCGCCTCGGCCAGCGCCCAGTCGGCGGAGGCCACGCCCACCACCACCACCGCCCCGACCTCGACCGGCAGCGGCAGCGGCAGCGGCAGCGGCAGCGGCGGCGATCTCAACAGCCTCATCAGCCAGCTGCCCCAGTGCGCCATCACCTGTCTCGACTCTTCCGCCCCTACCATCGGCTGCAGCGCCTCCGACCTGACCTGCCTGTGCTCCAAGTCCGACCAGCTTGTCACATCCATTGGCACCTGCATCCTGCTCAACAGCGGCTGCTCACCAGAGGAGCAGGGTCGTAAGCCACCCCCATTCCGCCCCCACCGTGAACCACTCACTAGTCTATCACCGGCCCGTGTGCCCCTGAAAACCCCCGATTCCCACTCAAGGGTCTCAGGGGGGAGCATACCTGCATGCCTCACACCACCAGCACTTGGTACCTGCAAATGTGACACATCAAGCTAACCGCCTCTTGCAGAAATCCAGAGTCTTGCAGGTAACCTCTGCAGCGACGTCAGCGCCGCAAACCCGGCCGAGCTCGCCTCCGCGTCCAACTTTATCAATTCGGCGATCGCCACCGGCACCACCGCGGGCGCCTCCATCCCAACGAGCTCGCCCACCGGCAGCAGCAGCAGCGGCAGCAGCAGCAGCAGCTCGAGCGAGAACGCCGCCGGCCGGGCGGACACGCCCCTCGCAGGCATGAGTGCCCTGGGCGCCGTCGCGGCCTTTGCCGTGCTTGCTCTCTGAATGAAATGAGATTTTCGTTTCGTGGGCTTCTTTCTCTTCCAATTTTGGTTTTCTGCCCGGGGGACGAATGAATGATTGGAGACCTTTCCACGGCGTTAAGGGTTGAGCATTTTTACGTGTTAGCACGCCCGGCAGACCCGGACATACAGGGTTGGGATTTGCGGCGGATTGCTCCCGTGGTTGCCTCCGTGACGGGCTTGCATGTGATGACAGACTAGACTTGAGGGCATATTTGGCGATACATTGCACTCCCCACAGTGATTGGGTTGTTGAGCTTGCTTGATGAGAAATTGATTATCTTTCATAACGAGAACACTTTCTTGAGTCGGACTCCTGACGTACTAAGTGACCTTTGTGGACGAAAAAAAAAGGGTTCATATTTGCTAATCAGCCTTGCACCATCCAAGCCACAACGGGGTATTATTTAGAAGACCTGGGCTGGAGGACACCATTTGGGATCACGCAAGCATTCATTCCGCTATCCTTAAAACGCAACCCACCCAAGCAGACCAGCCCCGAGCGCCACGACCAGCGCAACCCTGGACGAGGAGCCACGGTCCGCGAAAACCGAGCCCTCAGACGAGGGGGTCGTAGTGGCCGACGCCGAAGAGCCCGCCCCGGTGGCGGTGTCGGCGCCGCCCGAGATGCCGGTCGGCTCGCTGGGGTGAAGGGCCGAGTTGGTGGTCGACTCGGAGCTCAGGGTCAGGGTCAGGCTGCCGCTGCCGCTGTCCGTGGCGGTTGCTGACGTTGCGGTTTCGGTGCCGGTGGTAGGGACCGCGGTGGACGAGAAAGTCTGGATCGGCCCGCCCGGGTTGAGGCCCGACACGAGCGAGTCGGTGGTCAGCGGCTCCGAGACGGCGGCGGCCTCGGCATGGTTTGCGGCCAGGGCCGTCGAGGGCGCGAGGAGGAGGGGGAGGGGGAGGATGTAGCTGAAGGCCCTCATTTTTCTGTTTTTGTTTCTTATTTTGTTGATTGGCTGGGTGTACGTCAACCTGCTGTGTATTTATGTGTTGGATCGAGAAGCTCTTGGCACCGGAATGGATGCAAGAAGGACTTGGCAGGCGACCAGCTGCAGACCGTCGAGACCTTGATTGCCTTTTAAAGGCGATCCTCCTGTCCTTTCTCGCACCATATCGCGCCAGCTGTCGAGATCCAACAGGAGCTATAGCTATTCCCAGTCTTGGCAGGGATCCCCGAGGAGGCACGTCACCCCAGTGGCCAGGATGTTTCCCACTGTCCACCTCGCCAGCTCGCCTGCCCGCGCCGTGGTATCGATCGGTCGCGTACGGTGCGGGGTGGTGTCAAACAAGACAAGCTTTCCCGGGGACGCCACCGGAGTGGGTGATTGGCCGTGTGGGGTCGGGGGTGGTGAGGGGGGCTTGCATTGCTTGCTGTCGCCCCCCGATGGACGATCGGTGCCACCACCAGTGGGGACGCATCATCACGGACTCGGTGAGGGCTTCCAACCAAGGCAGCTGGGGCTCATCATGAAACACTGGGCTTGCCGGTCGTTGCACTTGCAGTAGCTCATGGTCGACTTCGGTTGCCGCCCCGCCCAGTCAGGGAGGATCTGGCCGGCCGTTGGTGTGATGCTACCTGGCAGGCTGGCAGGCCAGCGTATCCCGTGGCTCCATCACCTCTTGTGGATGCCTTCTTGTCGGCCCGTTGGGAGCACCACCCGCGTCTTGTCACAGGCATGATGAGTGCTCAGTGGTTCTGAGACCTCGGGATGAGGGTTTGATCAAGCGGCTTTGGACTGCCCGCAAGACGCAAGATTCCAAGGTTGTCATGCTCAAGTGATACTAATAGAGAACGGAAATTCGCGCACCTAGAATTAGAAGATATACACTTAGATATAACTAAGAAGGGTTATAGCTAATTAGAAGACTTTATTTTATTTATTAAACTATTTAAATAGTACTTTTTATATTCTACTTAATATACTTAGTAAAATCTTCTCTTCCTATTTAATTATATTTATTAATTATTATTTAATTATAAGTTAAATTAATTATTTAAATAGTAAGAATTATTAATTAAAAATTAAATTTTTATTATATTTATTTAAATATTATTTTTTAAGTATTATAGTTAATAATATAAATATTAGACTACTTTAAATTTAAATTATATTAATAAGTTAATTATTATAATTAAAATTATAATATTATTATTATTAATTATTATTTTTAATATTTTTAAAATTTTTATATTTTAAAGTTTTTAATAATAATTATAATATTTATAAAAACTTAAAGTTAAATTAAATAAAATTATAAAGTTAATTAATTAATTAATAGTTTTTATAATTTTAAAATAAATTAAAGGATTTTAATTTATAATTATAATATATAATAACTTTTAACTTTAATTATTTATAATATTATTATAATTAAAACTAATTATTTTTAATAAAAATTATTTATATAATTAAAGTTATAATAAGTAAATAAAAGCTTATAGTTTAAAAGAAGTATATTTATTATAGGCTTTAAATAATAATTAGAATAAAATAAAGTTAGATTAAATTAATTATAAATTAATATAATTTTTAAAATTATTTATAAACTTTTATAATAAAGTTAAAGAAATTTAAATTTATATTTTAATAAAATATTTTATAATTATATTAAAATTTAATATAATAAAGTTTTAATTAATAAAATAAAAAATATATATATATTAATATAAATAATATTAAATTAATTTAAAAAGTAAAATTATTAATATTATTATATTTAAAATAAAAAGATAAATATTATTAATATTTTTTAATATAAAAAGTAATAAATTATATAAATTTAAAAATAATATTTTATTTAATATCTTTTTTTTAATTATATTTATATAATTAATAATAAAAAGATATTATACTTTTAAAGTATAATTATTATCGGTTAGCTTAGCTTACATATAAGAAGTGGTTAAAGTGGTGTAAATTAGTGATAGTTAGAGGTCTGCCTAGCTAGGCGGTAAAGCGCCCAGTTGGGTTGGCCAAACCTACTAACTAAGCATAGTGGTCCGTACGTATACACGGGCCTACTAGCCTTGCAGTAGCTAATCCACTACAGCCTACTATTCCCACACTAGCAACTTTTTAATCTTCTAAAATCGAGATCCAACATCCCTTCCTTCCAGCCAATTAGAAAGCTCCATTTACTAACAAAGCAGGTTCCAACTAAATCACCAAATCACTTAGAATTACCACTAAACATATAATCACAATTCACTCAATTTAAGTACCATAAAAACACTCTAAATCAACGTTTTCACAAATCACCCAAATCACTTAAATTCAAATTACTTTAATAGATAAAATCAAGTCTAAATTACTAATTAACTAATCGCTTACCGGGCTATTACTAGCTAGTCGCTAACTACTAACATCTAGCTAGTTAGCTAGTAGTCACCTAGTTAACCCTTCTAGTAGTTTCTTCTTCTTATAACGAACTATTACTTACTTTTTTAGTCCTTCATCTTACTTAAGGTTCTTATTTTAATTAAGGATCTTATCTTTTACTTAGTTAAGGGTCTTATCTTAATTAACTATATAGGTAATTATAATATCTCCTCCTTATTTAAATAAAGTATTTAAATAAAGGTAAGTAGGGTATTAAGCAGCGACTTAGCGCTTAGCCTAATATAAACACTATTTAAGTAGAGGTTATTATAAAGGTCTTTAAGAAGCTTTAGCTTAATTTATCTAAAGCGCTTCTTAGTTTAATTCTTAAAGGTCTTATAGAAACATTAAAAGTACTTATTAAAGTAATTACTTAAAAATAAATTACTAATAAGGTCACTAGTAAATTACTAGACTTTATTATTATTAAATTTAATAATAATATATTCCTCCTTATAAATATTACTAATATACTTTTTTATTTTATTTTTTAACTTAAACTTCTTTTTATTAAAGTAGTATAGGTAGGTATATTATTAATATATACCTATAGTAACTATAAATAATTTTATTTTTAGACTTAGAATTATAAGTAGTTATAATATTAAAGTAATTTTATTTAGGTATTATAAGAGAGAGAGAAAGAAAGAGAAAAGTTAAAAGAGTACTTAATTAATTACTTAAATAATGTAAGGGGAGGTAGGTAGGTAAATAGGTTAACTAATAAATAGTTAAATAGGTTGGCTAATAGGTAGTTAGTTTAAAGGTTTTATAAGTAGGCTTAAATTATCGATTTATAAAAGAGAGACTTATTATAAAAAAAAATTATAAGACTTACCTAGTAAAAGGGTCCTACTTAATAGTTAATTACACTTAAATAGCTTAAACTTTACCTTCTATAAGTTATAATAATAATAGTAACATTATTAATTTATCCTTTATTAAAGAACTATAATAATAAAGTAGCTTTATTAATTTATCTTCTTTAAACTTAACACCTAAATAGTTTAAATAATTTACCTTACTATTAGAAGCTAGTTAGTAACTAATTAGTGTTGGTTAGCTTAGCTTATATATAAGAAGTGGTTGAAGTGGTGTGAATTAGTAATAGTTAGAGGTCTGCCTAGCTGGGTGGCGAAGCGCCTAGTTAGGTTAGCTAGACCTACTAACTAAGTATAGTAGTTTATATATACACACAGGCCTACTAGCCTTATAGTAGCTAATCCACTGCAGCCTACTATTCCTATAATTATAATATATATAAAAAAGAATTTATTTTTATTTTAAAGTATTATTAATAATAAAAAGAAATTAAGTTTTTAATAGTTTTTAAAGTAAGTTAAATTATTATTAATAGAGTATAAGGTTATAAATTTAAAGGTTATTATTATTAATTATAATATTATTTTAATTAATATTATTAAGTATATATTTTTATATTTATTATTAACTTTATATTTTTATATTAATATAAATATTATTTTAATATTAAAAGAAATAATAAAAGGTATTAAACTTATAAAATATAAAAGAAAAAGTTAATAATAAAAGAATTTAAGAGTTAAGAATTTAAATATAGTTTTATTTAATATTTTAATAAAAAGTAAGATAACTATTTTATTAAAGGTTTTAAATAAAGTTTTTATATTTATTAAGTTTTATTTAATTTATTTAAGTTTATAAAGTATTTAATTAATTATTAAGTTTTTAATTTAATTTAATATTATTTATAAAAAAGTTTTTAAATTAATAAATAATAATTTAATATTTAAAGATTTATTATATAAATAAAAAAGAGATTATAGTTAAATAAATAGTTTATAAAATTTATAAAGTTTTTAAGTTTAATTTATATATAATATTTTTAATAGAGAATATATATTAAAAGTTTAAAGTTTATTTAAATTATAAAATAAAAATATTTTTATTTTATTAAAGCTATTTATAAAACTTTAAAGAATATTATTTATAACTTTAAATTAAAAGGTATATTAAAAATATTTTTTTAAAAAGTTTAATAAATAAAAGTAATTAAAAGCCTTTTAATATAAATCTTATAAATAGTTTTAAATCTTCTTTTAAATATTAAAAAAGATTATATAAATACTTAAAAGTAAGGTTATATAGAGTAATTACTTATAATTAATTTATATTTATTCTATATTTATAAAGCTATTATTTACTTACCTAATAATTATATTCACTTACTTAGTTTCTATTAACTACTTACCTAATATTAATTTTTCTAAGTAATTCTTTTATATTTATAAGTATCTTTTAAATTAATATTAAAAAACTTTATAGTATAATTTCCTTCTTTAATTTTTAATACTTTTAGTATAAGCCCCTTCTAGCACCCCTTCTAGTACCCCTTTTAGTACCCCTTCTAGGCTATATATATTTAGGTATTAATTAAGTATTTAAATACTAACTAAATATTAGAAGGCTAGAAGTTTAAAGTATTAAAGGGTTAGAAAGGGTATTAGAAAGTTAGAAAGAGTATAGTCTTTACCTTTACCTTTTTAGCTTTTAGCCTTCTAGTGTTTAATTAGTATCTAAATACTTAGTTAGTATCTAAATATATATAAACTAAATAGTAAAGGTAAAAGTAAAGGTAAAGGTGAAGGTGAAGGGGTATTAGAAGGGGTACTAAAAGGTGTACTAGAAGGGGTGTTAAAAAGGGCTTATATTAAAAGTATTAAAAATTTAAAGAATTCTAATTAAATATATAGTTTTATATAGGCCCTATATATAAATTTTTATACTAAGTAAGTAGTTAAAAAAAACTAAGTAAGTAAATATAATTATTAAATAAATAAACGTTAGCTTATATTTATATAATATAATTTAATTTATATTAATTAAATTATTAATAAAAAGAAAGTTAGATAGATTTTTAAAAAATTAATATATATAAATTCTTTTAATTTAATTATAATTTATTAATTAATAACCTTTTATTTATAATTTATTTATTAAAGTAAATTAAATTAATTAAAGGAAATTTTATAAAATAATTATATTTATAATTAATAAAGTAAATATTTTTAAATAAAATATAAATTAAGTAATAATTATAATAAGTAAATAAACGAAGTTAATAATTATTAATTTAAAAAGTAAAATAAAGGATAAAATAAAAATAATAATAGTTTCTTTTTAATAAATAAATTTAATTTAAAAGTAGAATAACTTAACCTTATAATTTCTAAATAAAAAAATATCTGTAATAATAATATTTAATAAAGGACTATTTAATAAAATTAATAGTTAATAGTAAAGTTTATAAAGTAAGTAAATTATTAATTAAAATAATAATCTACTTTTTAAATATATCTTTAAATATTTTATTAATAATTAAAAATAATATATAGAGATATAAAGGATTATTAATTAGTTATTATAAATAAACTTAATTATAAATAACTTTATTAATAATAATAAAAGTATATAACTTAAAATTTAAATATATATATAATTAAGTATAAATTATATTTAAAATATTATTTATTTAAGCTTTAATATATATAATTTATATAATTTTTAACCTTTTTTTTATTAGTTAGTAAGAAAATGGTATTAAGTATTAATTATATATAATAATCTTACTAATTATTATAGTAGGCTTTAGTTAAAATAAATTTGTGTATATATGTAGGTATCGCTTAGTTATATCTAGGTGCGTGCCTTTTAATTCTGGGTGCGCGAATTTCCGTTCTCTACTAATACATCCTCCAAGTCACCAAGCTCTCTACAGTTGCCTCACTATGCACTCCGATTTAGAGGCATCCCTTAAGGGAAACTCCCCTCAAGAAAGACTTTCAAGTTGTCGTCCAGCCATTTCAGGTCTGCCTTGTTCGTCCCTGGCCCGCCGGCCCTGTCACGGATGTCAGCAAGGTCTATAGTCAATCAACTTTGAGTACTCCAGTAGGTATAACCTACCAATGACCCCATATTGATGGAAAGGGCATGAGCTTCCCCACCCCCTCAGCCATACACTGGACCTCGTATTCCGAATCTTCGGGAGGGAAGTAGAGGTCGGTCTTGCCTGGCATCACCAGGGTCTTGGCCTTGATCCCTTTCATCGACTGCTCAAAATCCCCGTCATACGGCTCTTGTGCTGATGTGTCTCCCGCCTGCCACGTGTGAAGCATAACAAGCAAGTTCTCCGGGTCTGTATGCAGTTGTTAGCACGTAATTAGTCGATCCAAACCACCACTTTGACGTTGACTGGTCAGATGTAAATCACCTTTAGACAGAGCCCAAGTCTCCCAGAACCTCACCATAAAGTCCTCCAGGTCCTTGAACCCAAGGTACTTCTCGTACACCCTCTCCCTATAAAACGCCTGACTGAACCCCCAGCCCGCATAAACCCGCCCCAGGGCCTTCAGCCCCGTCTCCCGCTCCTCAGCAGTCCAGGTCCTGTACCCACCCCCGCGGCCCGCCGGGCCCTTCTCCCCGGCGCACGCCCCGGCGGACGAGGCCCCCTTGGCCGCGAGCAGCGCCACCTTGACGCCCTCGAGGAACACCTGGTTGTGCACGCTGGTCCTCGCGCTGCCGCAGAAGGGCGCGCCCAGGTCCATGAACCCGGGGAACTGCGTCAGCCACTGGTACGTCTGGCCCGCGCCCATGCTCCACCCGAGCACCAGCCGCGCGTGCGCCACGCCCAAGCCATCCGTGACCAGGCGGTGCTGCGCGGCGACGTTGTCGCGGAACGTGACGTCCGGGAACGGCCGCAGGTCCGGCGGGAGGTCCGGCATGTTGCTCGGCGAGGACGACTGCCCGTTGCCCAGGAGCGCCGGGATGATGATGAAGTACTTGTCCGGGTTGAGCGCCTTGTCCCGGCCGATCAGCCACTCGTTGTCTGCTATCAGGCCTGAGAACCATGTCGGGTATATTATTGCCGGGTTGGAAGGCGAGCCGAAGGTCTTGTAGGCGATGAACGCCTTTGGGAGCACGACGCCTGAGACGAGGGTGAGGTCGCCTAGGTCATAGGTCTTGACTTCTGGGTCGTCCATTATCGGATGGGTGTGTGTCCTTGGCCTGTGGGACTTCTGGACACGGACTTCCTTTTTTCTCTCTTTATCTTGGTGTTGAGGGGAAGTTTGTCAATGAATGGCATCCGCCGGCACAGCAGTCAGTGGCTGGCTCGACACATCATTATTAGTACCTGGTGCTTTCACTTATAACAGCTATCGGCCCTCTGCCGCGAGAAATGCGGGGGAGATAAGCGGTCCGCTAACGTTGGCCGACAGATGTGGATGGCGAGGTCATGCGGTGCTTCGGAACGAATGCGGTGTTGCCGGCGTCACTAGTCGCCGCTTCCAAGGCTCTATTAGTCACTGAATAAATATAAATAGCCTGCAATGCCCTCCCGACTTCAGCACTCAGTATCAGCAGTGGTTGAGGGACTCAAACGGTCACTACCCAAGTATCCGGCTTCGCACCAGCGGTGCAACAATTAATTCGTCTTGTGGTAGCATTCGGTGGTCTATCTCGAATCCAGCGAGTTGCCGTCGCACGGGTCCTTGGTGGGTCAAAATAGTCCCCGCCCGTATCAAATATTCTTGGACTGTCGGAATATATCTCTCTCGGGAATACCATTCTCGATAGTTTCCACTGGGTTACAGTTGTGAAATCAGACCGGTGCTTGACTCGTACATGAGCTTGGTGGAAGGTTTCATCGCGGCACGCAAGTCAAGCAAATTCCCGAGGAGCAGCCCAGCTCCATCTGATGTATTGCTGGGTAGCACTTCCATCCTCACATATGATCAGCAGCGAAAGCCAAGTTCTGTTTCGACTCGGTAGAAATTCTCATCTAAAGGCTGAAATGTACATCCTTGGGTAAAATTGAACTGTGAGAGCTGCGGGCATCGGCTTTGTGTCTAAGCCTTACAAGGCTGGCAGTCTTCCCGTCAGGCTCTTTACTCTAACCTTTTTCGCAGACCATCTGAACAGCCGGCTATGGCTACCAGTAGTTATACAGTACACACAAAGAAGTTCTTCACTTGATCTCGAGCGCAGCGGAAGGGATTATGGAGCGGACTTTGCCAGCAAAGCCTAGAAACGATGAACCACATTGAGCAACAAACACAACGATTGTGGCCCTTGCAAACAGAGCGGTTTGCTCAGCTTCTGAATATGAGACATGGCTGTAGTATGGTCAAGAAGTCAGTCCCCTATCTTCCACTTGTGAGGTTTCATGGACTAGTTCATCAGTTCCAAGGAGTCTGGATCGTCAGGAGGAGCACAAGCAATTGACTTTGCTTTTCTTGTCTGCCCAATAGTTTGGAGATGCAGATTGAGTTATACATATTTATCAAATGATTTCTTGAGCTCATAACATTTGAAAGCCACCAGCCTTCAGATAGCAACCCTAGTGATGTGCATCCTACTTCGATATGATCGGCTGCGTATAATTCAATAACACTTGTATCTTAAAACTCCGAACACATCATCCGAGCTTGGTCAAACCCTTTTAGTGATTCTTCATTGGGCACGTTGGAGGATGCTTTGCCAGCCATTCCTAGTCACTTGTTGAAACATCAGCTTAAGGTTCGGCTGAGACCACGGTTCCGCGTATGCCACTCTACTAGCAGACTAGTTAGAGCAGGTAGATCCTGCATAAGCGTGCTATTCTTTAAGTTTGCCTGATGGGACACCATGCTCTGCAGAGACAGCATGTAAGTGTATCACCAGTCGAAGGCAATCTGACGGCAGAATGACCAAATGGGACGATCTAGCTGGCGTGCTCGGGACCTAGGCAGACCTTTGACGAACACTGTGTCCTGCATTGAACTTGGCAGCACTAACCAATGGGCTACATGCGCGGCAGTTAGCTCGCAGACAGAGGACTCGGTGTCAGAAATGCCCGTGATCATCTGAGTTTCAATGCTCTCTGCAAATAGGTGGCGTCATGGGGCAGAGATGGTGGAATCGGCTTCCCAGAAGGGCATGTGCCTGAGAAAGCATGGGGTCCAGGATGGGCCTGTCGCAGCTGTTCTCGGTGGTGTGTGTGTGTGGTGGTGAAACATAGGCAGGCCATGCCCGAGGTGCCTGGTTCATCTCATATCTCCTACAAGTGTCTTTCCCCGAGGGCTCTCAATATTTAGGACGGTGGCAAGGTGAGAGGGCCAGCAGGCCAAGAGGGACACTTGATAAGGTGAGGAGGTGGTTGGTAGGTAGTAAATAAATGAGCCAGTCAACCAGACACACACCATGCGTGCCCAGGCACACATGCACCTGCAGTAGGGTGTCAGGGTGTTTGGTACTATGTACCTAGTAGCTCACACCTCGGGCCCCTGCAGTGGCCCTTTCCAGAAGAGAGGCCAGGGGACAGCTGCCGGGCTGTCCCGCGGGTCTGCGCTCCAAGGTTTCTTTGAGCTTGGGGAATCCCTGGCACATGCCCATCTACCAGGAACAGGCTGCCGAAATTGGGGTCCCTCTGCGCCTATCCTTCCTGTTCCGGTGGCCTGGTTGATCCTCGATCCTTGCCCGGTGCACTGCAATCTTCCAATTCGTCCTCGGTGCACCTCTGCCGTGTACATTCGGGGTGTACATCTGGGCGCAAGGCATTGTGAAAAAGTGGCCTCAAGATACACAGTACGGTGGTGGTCTTGTTTTGTGTCCCCTTTGGAAGGTTGTTGTCATTTGCCTCATGCTGTTAGCCTCGAGTACATTTGGTTCTTGAATTGTTTGACGCTCCATCCCCTTCATCAGAGTCTGATTACCCTTGCCAGACCCAACTGCAACCCCAACATTGAAGTTTAATTTGTTTTACTGGTTAATTGGCCGGGGTGGTGGGGACTGCACCACCCGCGTGGCAACGAGCCGAGGGGCGAGCGGCCAGACCAGGCCAGGTGAGGTGAAGGAACAAGTGAAGGCTGCTCAAGACTAACAAAAAGGTCGAGAAGGAACGCCTAATAAGCCTGTGACTCCCGATGAGCTAGAGCCAGAACCAGAGCCAGAGCCACAGCTAGATCCTAAATAAGAAGCAGGCCGTCCTGTTGGAGCTCCATCCGCAACTCCCGAACCGTTGAAGCTGCATTCCACCAGCTGCCCAGGACTCCAGGACCCTGCCAGCTTGCTTGCCGCAAGCACGGTCGAGAGGAGCCAGCCGGCTGATCGTCTGTGCATCACCGGAGATTAATCCACAGCCCAGCACTCGAGACCCTCTCTTTTCTTCTGCTGCCCTTCTACTGGCCTTCTGCTGTTTTTCTGTCCTTGTCTGTGCTCTGTGCTGTGCAGAAACAAATCAAAAGAAATGAGATAGGTCAGTCATGTTGCACCACTATTTGCTCCTTTCATTACCACGCCAGAGGAACGGCCGAGATCTCTCGGAAACTGACGTCGCCTCACAAACACTGTAGACGCGCTCCCAAAGCTGCAGCAGCCGCCTCCCGCCTCCCGCCTCGACGCCTCGACGCCTCGAAGCCAGTCCTCGCCGTTACTCGTCATTGTTCACACTCCCCTAAAACCCCGGCCGCCCGCCACCACCCTCGAGCCCTCGGCGCCTGCTAAGCTTGTGATGCATGCAATCACGGGCTGAGCTGTACTCTAGACCATGGAAGACAATAGGTTCCAAAATGGCCGGAGTGCCCTGCCTCGACCGACCTCCAGACTGCCCATGCCAAGGTCCACCAGCATTCCCACGGCCCTGCGACCGTCACAATCAAGAGAAGGCCTGGCTGCAGCGCCTGAGGTGATATCTTCCCGTCTGCGCCCGGCTGCTTCCAGGGAACGGCTCGCGCCCCCTTCCCACGCGTCAGGAATAAGCAATATCACAAACCAACAGTCGCCCGCCGCCTCCAAGAACTTGCCATCCACACGCGGCCTTCCAAAACCCCGTCCGATCTCGAGCCTCCCGACTCTCAGTCCCCAGCCCAAAGTTTCCAAGACCGGCAGCAATGGCAATGGCATTGGCAATAGCAGTGCTTCTTCACGGCTGGCTGCACCTCGAGATCGCATGGCATCGTTACCCGAAGACACCGACTCGCCACGCCAATCCCATGTCTCCAAGCTGCCTGGCCCCGGGCTCAGAAGGAAATCGTCGGCGCAATGGGTCCCTGCCTTACAGCCAGTTTCCGCCAGGCAAAGGAGCACTAGTACTTCGACTTTGTCAAATGGTTACGCATCGAGTGATTCCTTCTCCCAGGCTAGCCCTATAGATGAAGACAACGATACCACCGGCGAAGACACTCTACGGGCCAAGCCCTCGAAACCAAGACCGTCGTTGGCGGAAAGGACCGTTCAGACTTTGTCACGGCTGCCCTCCACGCCCTCACTACGAGGAAGGGCCTCGAACTCGAACTTCTTTGAGCCCACGGAACCGTACAGGTCGACGTCGAGACCTGCTAGTCGCAATTCTCGCCCCGGATCAAGCTTGAGGAACGACGTTTCAACCCCGGCCAGGTCACGACCCTCGCTTAGTAGGCCTGGGTCCAGTTCTGGCCCTCTCCAAGATTTGTCGACTCCCTTCAACCCGCAGCTACCCCCCGCTGACAGTACGCCGGCGCGTGGACGAGGGCTTGGAATCTTGCGGACGCCCTCTACCTCGGCCTTGCGAGACCGCTCAAGATCCAAGATTGCATCTGTGCCAGGCTTACGTCGGCCTCGTTCTACGACTCCCATTGAGGAGCCGCCAGTTCCGACTCCTGATTCTCCCCTCAACGGCGCCAAGACTCTGCCTACACGGACAATTACACAGAGACCCTCCGTGAACGGGGTTTTCAAGAAGCCAGCCCTGCCAGCTGCCAGGAAGCTCACATCAATACCTTCAGCCGCCAGCAAAGCCAAGCCCGCGCCCCTCAAATCTCCAGTAACCGTGTCGGATCGAAGTACAAACGTGTCTGTTGCATCGACCACCTCAACCAAGTCAACAAGTGTTGGAGGAGATTCGCCGCCGCCTTTCAAGAAGTCGTCGGCAGCACTGCGTGACCAGATTGCCAGAGCGAAAGCAGCGAAGCGTTCCGCAGCAGGCGTCAAGTCTCCGCTGCCAGATGAACCGGCTCAGGCAACTGGTTGGGGCGAGTCACCCGTTGTTCCCACGGACGATACGTTTGACTTTGGCTTGTCGGATGACCCTTTCAATCTCAATCGGGATGCCAATTCGACTTCCAAGATTGTCAAATCGCGCGTCACAACTGCCAGGGCAAGTGGCAGGCTCAACATTGCAGCATTGGGCTTGAAAGAGATACCCAAGGAGGTTTTGGACATGTATAGCTTGGAGTCCATCGGCACATACGACGGCAGTTGGGCGGAAAGCGTCGATCTTACGAGGTTCGTTGCCGCTGACAACGAGCTGGAGATGCTAGATGAGAAGGTCTTCCCGGATGTCGACCCCGAAGAGCTGGCAGAAGACGAGGATGCCCAACCCAGCATATTCGCTGGTCTTGAGACGCTCGACCTGCACGGTAACATGCTCATCGCACTGCCCGCAGGATTACGGCGTCTCACCTTATTGACATCGTTGAATCTGGTAAGTCATCGCCGGCCATCTCGCTGCGAAGGCCCACTAATTTGGTGACAGTCATCCAACCGTCTTGCCAACAACTGCCTCGAGCCAATATCTCAGATCATATCGCTCCGAGACGTCAAACTTGGAGGAAACCTGTTCTGGGGCACGCTCGAACCCTGCTTCGGGCGGCTGATCAACCTCGAAATCCTCGACCTGCATGGGAACAGCCTTCAGGCGCTTCCCACGAGCTTTGCTGAGCTGCACCGTCTTCGCATACTGAATCTCAGCGAAAATAGCTTTGAGTCATTGCCATTCGATGTGCTGTCGAAATTGCCCCTGACGGAGCTGAATGCCCGCAAAAACAAGCTTACTGGGACTCTGATCGACGATGGGGTGGAGGTCCTGCCAGCCTTGCAGAATCTTGATGTTTCATCGAATCAACTTACAAGCCTTGCGCGGCCGAATGCTGTGCTTGCTATGCCGGCACTCAGCCAGCTCTGTGTGTCTATGAACCGGCTCCAGGCATTACCAGACGTCACCTCCTGGTTTGAACTCATCAACCTGGCTGCTGATGAGAACAACATCAAAGCGTTCCCCGATGGCTTCACAAGCCTTCAGAAGCTGAGAAGTGCCGATTTCTCAAGCAATGATATCAGGACTGTCCCAGCTGAGATTGCTCTTATGGACGGCTTGAATCTGCTCAGGTTGAGCGGCAACCCACTGAGAGACAAGAAGTTCGTGTCTGCCACGATCGAGGAGCTCAAGGAGGCGCTCTCAGCACGGATAGCCCCGCCGCCGCCAGAGGCGGACGAGTATGACGGCAGCAACGGGCCCATCGCGGAGGCTTTGACGAGTAATGAAGCCAGCCCCTTGGACAATGCGTTCGATGATGCGCATTCGTCGTCTTCTCAAACAGCCCGTGCCCGCAGAGAGCACGACGAAGAAAGCAGGACCGACACAGACGACTTTGCAACTCCACCAACGTCAGTACCCGCTTCCCCTGCACGGACACGTTCCGCGCAAAGCTCGGCGCTTGTCTGGCCGGTGAAGGCTGGGGGCGTGCTGGACAGGTCAGAAACACAGTCGTCGTCTCTGCATCCTGTTGCCTGCTCCAAGGTGGCGATGGAGAATGTGATCCGTGAGGTCCAGTTGCACCATAATCTCTTCGCTGTGCTGCCAGAGTCCCTCAGCTTTTTTGCCGACTCGCTGACCAGGCTCTCGCTGGCCCACAACCAGCTGGTCGGTGAGAGCTATCTCAATGTAGGCGAAGGCCTCGACCTGCCTTGTCTCAAGGAGCTCAACCTATCGTCGAATCACATCACTGGGCTGGCGCCGCTGGTCAAACGACTTCGATCCCCAAGTCTTGAGAAACTCGACGTCAGTCTTAATCGATTAGCGACGATACCCTCACCCAGCGATCGGGAGCAGGGAGGCCAGCTCCTGCGGGACGTCTTCCCGAACCTGACAGTCCTTCTCATCGCCAACAATCACCTCGCAGATCTGGACCCGGAGAGCATCCGCGGTGTCAAGGTCGTCGATGCCTCGAACAACGACATCGCACACCTCAACCCACGGATCGGACTACTAGGTGGTGCCGGAGGTCTGGAGCAGCTGATAGTCACTGGCAATCGATTCAGGGTACCGAGATGGAATGTGCTTGAACGAGGCACGGAAGCGACGTTGAGATTCCTGAGGGGCCGTGTTCCTGTCGCAGATATGGCTGCGTGGCGGGCAGAGAAGGGGGTGCACGCGGACGAAGAGGTCAGCGATGTGGACTGAGATTCATCAGGCTGATCCCAAGCCGTGGCTCTGATAATTGCTGACAGCAATTACACTAAACTTGGGCAGTTTGACAGCCGTTGCTGTTTATCTTCTGGGAGTGGGGAGTTCCTGGGATTTGCTACTTTGCTTTGCTTTTTTTTTCTTTTTCCTTTCCGGCATTGCTGACACTTGGGCGGAGATACCATATTGAACGCTTTATGCTTTACCGCGGCTGCATGGCAGTATACAATCGTCATCAGTCGACACGGGGTGGGGGCGCGGACAGCTTCAAGGACTTGAACTTTGGGGCGCACTGTACAAGGTGAAAATAAGGCAATAGATGTAAATGGTCGGTGGATAAGGGGAGGACTGGCTGACAGGTTCAAGCAACAATCACAAGGGGCAGCCGGGACGGGGGACGGGCAAGGACTGGTACATCATTGTAATCCACATTAGGGCTTATTACCGAAACTGAATTATACCACCGAGACGCAGTCTAGCCCAGCAAAGGCCGCGCAATCCAAACGCCAGCGCACATGCACATGCGCGAATGCCATGCAGAAAGTTGGACCACGTTCTGAAGCGGCCGTGCCCATCTTCGCACATGTGGTGGCCGTGGTGAGGTCATCCCCGAAGATCTCGGGCGCGGCCCAGCCCACCCCGGGCCCGAGGCGATCCTCTTGCACCCGTCCCGCCGAGACCCCACCACGCCGTCAACCTGTAGCCTCATCCCACGTCTGTCTATCTGCATGCCTGTCTGTTACTTCGCGCTTGTTACATGCTGCTGAAACGTTGACAGTTGCAGTAGTGCCGCCCGGCATGGGCTTGCGGTAGGGCAGGCCCAGGAAGAAGGGTTACAGGACCCGTGCAGAAATCTATTCTGTGGCGGTCCGCCATCCATATCTGTGCGACTTTTACTCTTAGACGCACTGCAACTGCGCCTGTCTGAACGTCAGCGTGCTTTTGCTGCCTAGCTAGCCAGCCAGCTGGGTGGATGGCTCAAACCAGCCAAGCAAGTCAGCACAGGAAGCTGCTGCGTGCCGTCCTCAGCTCGGCCGCAACATCCCCAACCTTTGTCCGACCGGTCGAGCCTTGTCGGGCCGGTGGGTACGCAAGGGGCGTCAGACTCGGCGGCGGCTGGGTTTTGGCCATGTGCTGTGCTTTTTGATGTAATGGGCTCGGCTGGGTTACGCAAACTCTAGGCAAACTCTAGGTGAGGCCACGCAAGGCAAGGCAAGACGGCAGTTGATGGAGGTTGATCGGACTATGATATGACCAGTCGACCCCTCCCTCGACACTTCTCCCTTGACAGATGGGACTTTACTTTAGTTGATCAAGTGTCCTCTGTAATCTTGTGATTTATCTCGTCTGTACTACATGTGGCAGTGAGACTGTATTCTGCTTGTAATAATCAAGAAAAGACTATGCACAGCCTAACACAGACCGTGTTGGCGATAGGTGAGCGGACTCTTCCCACACACAACCGACGCCCCGCCCACATGGAGACACACAGAAGCTAAAGTTGATTTATTTATTTTTCAATTACAAAGCCACACTCGCACACTCAACCCTCGCCCAATTCGGCGGCTGGGGAGGCGGCGGCAGCGGCTACGGGGGCGGAGACTCGGGCAGCGGGTACTCGGGCTACGGCGGCAGCAGCAGCGGGGATGATGATGGCGACGGGTACGGCGACAGCTACGGGCTTGGGTTCGGGGCGGGCTTCGACTACGAGACGGCGGAGCGGCGCCGCTCCGCCCACGGGATCATCGCCGCCATCGCCTTTGTGATCCTGTTCCCGCTGGGCGCCATCTTCCTGCGCATCATCCCGGGCCGCTGGTCGGTGCGGATCCACTACTTTGTCCAGATCATTGCCTGGCTGCTCTACATTGCTGGCTTTGCGCTGGGCGTCATCCTGCTGCGGATGCTGCCGTCGGGTGGCCAGAGCCTCGTGAGTGGCTTTTCTTTGGACGTCCCTCATGGACTGACTGCTCCAGACTGACGCGTTATATCGAAACAAAACAGTTGTCGAGCTCACCGGCCAATGCCCACCCCGTTATTGGAATCGTGGTCTTCATCATGCTCGCGTTCCAGCCCCTGTTTGGGTATCTCCACCACCGCCAGTTCAAGCGGTACCAGAGGCGCAGCATGAGCTCACACCTCCATCTGTGGGATGGCAGGATCGCGATTGCCCTGGGGATCATCAACGGGGGGCTGGGCCTGAGGCTCGCCGGCGCCCGCGAGACACTCAAGCTCGCGTACACCATTGTCGCCGCCATCATGGGTGGGGCGTGGGTCATCCTGGCGCTGATTAGCGAGTGCAGGAAGGGCCGCAAGAAGGTGGACACAAGGCGTGGCGACGAAGCAAGGACGGTCAAGGTGGTACGGGTCCAGAAGGCTGCGAGACACGGCAGCAGTGATGGCGAATCGGAGAGGTCGAGGTCGCGACACTAGGATGGGACTTGCATGCTGCCTGCGTCAGGGCACAAAGCTTTGCTTTGCGTCTGAAGCTTGGGAGGTGCTTCAGTGTGGGTTGGCGGGATCTGAAATCCTGCCTGTCGGTGGACAAAGAGTAATGATCGATAACGGCCTTGTTTGTTTTTGTCTCGTGTTGTGTTGTGTGGGTGGAATACTCTGGCGCAATCCATGTGGCCGTGATTTTGGACAGTATCTGTCTTTGAGCAATGCATCCAGCAAAGTTTCACCAGGCAGCGTCTCACTGAACCTGAGGATGGTCAACCTTAGGGACAAAATGAGCGCATCCCAGGCCATTCGAGCCTGACCGCCCACCCGCAACTTAAAAGACTGCTTGACGTGCGAAAGTCCAGACTAAACATTGCGTCTGTCTTCACCTCACCCCATCATGGATGACAGCTTCCTCTCAAGGCACCCAAGCCCTGAGCACTACAGCAAAGCTGCCAATATGGATTCCGGTCCAGTCGAGACGGCTCAAGACCGCCGTGGATCCACGCGATCACTGCCGACTCCAGTCTCTCCGATCGATACTCACAGGGAGGGTTCTCCTGCCGCGACAACGAGCTCCGAGGCGCCAGTGTCAGCAATAGTGACGACTGCCCCAATCGAGAAGAAGAATGGCGACTGCATCAGTGGCAACCAGCAAATCAGCCTCCTCAGTCCTGCTCCGGGCCCCGGACAATGCGCGAGTAGGTACGAGCTTGAAGCCACTGTTGTGTCCAAGACGGTCGCCGCGAACGGGTACTTTACAACATACCACCATGGTAGTGCTTCTCAAGGCTCTACTGCGAGACCGTATGATTTCCGTGACGGCCGATTCAACGGCGCTTACCGTCGCGGAACATATGCTTCGCGGCCGCTCATATTTGCAACGACCACCCCAGTAACAGCCATTCGCCATTCAAACACCTCGGACGCAAACAAGAGACGAAGCACCAGCGAGGGAAGTGAGAGTGACCCGTTCTTGGGCGAGGGAAGACCCATGGACCCCGTTGCCTCCAGCCCCGGCCCCATGACGGGTGCCACGACGATCGAAACACCCAGTCCCAACATCGCACGTCTTCGGAGCAGCCAAAATGAAGGAACACCGGGCCTGTTAAACCTGCACGACACACAAGGCGAGATAATGCTGCTCCTCAAGGAGCTGGAGGATGCGCACAGGGCTCACACGAACAACGAGGTCGAGGCCGCCCTGGAGAGGTGCCAGGTCGACCTCAGGGCGCGATCCAAGGACAAGGCGATCGGCACGGCGGAGGGCAACATCCTCGACCGCGAGGCAGCACGGATAGGACGTGTCGGGTGCACGCCGACCAAGCCAGGCCGGGAGACCAGGGACGCAACACTGCTACGGGAGCTGCGCCACCAGCTGACCAGACTCGTCCTGGACGCGCGCGCCGCGATTGACACCGCTGTCCAGGCCAAGAGCCAGGCTGGGTCTTCGTCTTGTTCACGGGAGACAAAGGGGTATATCCCTTACCGTGTCGGTGACGATGCCCGGGTGGCGTCGCTGACCTCGGAGAATGTGGAGCTGAGGTCCGAGATCCAAGAACTGAAGAAGCAGGTGGACCAGCTGCAGGCCGAGAAGGAACTGGCGCGCAAGGAGCAGTCGGACCTGTTCAGCAAGGTCGACGTGCTCACGGAGGAGGTCAAGGGATATCGCCGGGACAAGCCTTGGGAGAAAGATTGGAATGTTGGTCACAGGAAGAGTGGATGAGGAGTGTGCGAGAATACGACTGGAGTTATCATGATATGAGTACAAGGAAATCCGCAGGATCAGAATGGAGCAGTCCCCTGGTGGACTGTGATGGCGAGCTGCTGCAGCGTCAGTATCCGGATGTTGACTATGGGAGAGCGACGACGCTGAAGTCAGTCCCTAGGATAGCCAGCTCGATTGTTTGGTATTGTTTGATGGAGAGATATTGCTGCCGGAACATGAGCATAATTGTTTGACAGAGCTGATGAGCCTCGAAGGACATGATACTCGTTGGGAATTGTGAATGCTCTGAAATTGAAGATGATGAACGTTGGAGCGCTTACCTCAGCCTGCAAGGACCCTGGGACCCCAAGCATCGGGGCAGGGGTGCTGCCAATTTGGGGCGCAAGGGGCGGCGGGCGGCCCTGCAGCAGCTGATCGTGTCCTCTAAGCCGCAGCGCTCGACCCTCGACCTCAATTCGTCCCCAAGTAGCTGGCCAGCGAGCGCACATCACCGCCCTCGCCCTCGCCCACCGACAACCACCTCTCTCCATTCGCGTCGCTCCTTTCCAAAGCCCACTTTTCCCCTTCCAGAGGCAACCATTCAGCCCCGTACCAGCTGTTCAATCAACCGAATACTCCTTCCACGACCAACCTTCTTCTACCACCCAGCAAGATGACGCGCGCCCAGCAGACCATCTCCATCGCCCTCCTCGTGAGCTCGGTACGTCCTACCAAACACTTTCGCGCCGCCCGCGCCCAGGACCGGCCGATCGACCACCGTGAAGCCAATGAATCCCACTGACCAACCAAAAAAACGAAACAGGCCTACCTCGCCCTCTACCTGAACCTGATCCCCCTCCCCGCCGTCGTCCAGTCCGAGATCGTCCCCATCCTGCCCTTCTGGGCCCTCGTCTCCCTCGGCGCCTACCTGCTCGTCCGCCTCGGCTGGGGCGTCATGACCTTCAACGACACCCCCGAGGCGCACGAGGAGCTCATGAGCGAGATCGAGGTGGCCAAGGTCGAGCTGCGGAAGCTGGGCGTCACAGTGGATTAAGGGGCCGCACAAGGGGGAGGGGGCAAAACCAGATGGGAAATACAGCGTGAGGGAGGTACCCGCTGTGTGCTTGCTTCTTGGGCCGGGCCGTTTTTCGAATTGCGGACTGGCCCCGGTGATGCAAGCACCCAGGCATGCATGGTATATGCCCACAGATGACACAGGGCAGTATATAACGGCTCTTGGCATTTGTGCTCGCCCGCGGAACGACAGCTGCAGTGAGTTGGGCCTCGACCACAAGCACGCAAGGAGATACGCACATGTTAGGGTAGAGGTACCACTGGACGGAAAACGATCTCTGGCTATGCCATTCAAGATACCAAATAATATTCTTACAAGACGCGCGCGCTCTACTGCGCTTGCGACCCTCGAACTACTTGTTTGAAGCGATTTGCCCCCGTGGCCCGACATGCTAGAGTACTGCACGCAGGTCCTCGATGGATCAAGAGGACCGCCCTCAAGGATTTGTACATGTCTTTGGAACCGCATGAATCAAGACCTGTCGTCTTGCTGCACAAAACTGGCAACAGACATTTCGATTTCAGGACGCCGGCTCACCTGCCAGCAGGGCCACTACCGTCTTGGTGGCCGTCAACGGGTCCTCGCCGCCTCGAACAAGAGTGTCAAACACTGTGGGTATCTCAGTAATACTTTTGCGGTCGTCAGATGCTTGCCCTGCCGATGAACCCATGTTAGCCCGATCGTCACTCGTAAACAGCACTAAGCGAAGGTGGACAACGGAGGAAACCAAATGCAGGGGCACTTACACTTTCCCGGGACGCCAACATCGACACCGAGCTTGCTTCTAGCCTCGCCGGTCCAATCAAACTCGATACCCCAGCTCACGCGTAGCTCCGACGCAGCGCCAGCCCCCTCCTCGGCGAGGCAGGGGACGCTGAGGTCCATGGTCGACCTGCCCATGTGCGGCAGCAGATCCGCCTTGGAGAGTAGCATGCCGTCCAGGGCGCTGCCCGCTGAGTCGGTCGACTCAAAACTGGCGTTGACGTCGTCTACCTGTCCCCGTGCCCTCTTCCTCCGCTTTTTCCTCGTCCTCATGGCTCTTACGACCTCCGGGAGGCCGTCCTTGGCCTCTGGGCCCAGCTGCTTCTCCAGGACGTGCCAGAACTTGGCTCGCTTCAGCGCGACTCGGTACCACTCGCCCATGGCCCAGCAGAGCACGCTGACATTCCGCGTGAGCGCGCTGTGTGGCGGCGCCTGGCTGCTGGTGATCTTTTCCACGAAGGGCTGGAGCTCACCCGCAGCGGCAGGGTCGAGTTTGGGCACGGCGAGGGACGATACTGCGAGGGTTCGCGTGTTGACTACCATCTCCATGATCGAAACAAAAAGGCCGGGTGGTGTGGCCGAGCCAATGCGGATCGTGAGCTTCTTCAGCGTGGGCTCTCCATGGTCAGAAGGGGGTGAGATGTTTGTGGACTTGGTTGTGAAGGTAAGTGGCGTGAAGACTTGTAGGTAAGGCAGCTCTTCCGTGGCTGACATGGGGATGGGATGGTGAGATACTGGAGGAGATTCGGGCTCTTCCTCCTGCGGTATAGGGGGTGGGAGGAAGGCCGACGATGACCCGTTGAAGCCTAGCATTGCTATGGGATCCATCGCCGTCTCCAGCCACTGTGTTGCAGCATCGGGCTCCTGTTCTTTCTGAGCTGGGAGAAGATGCCGACGAAAGAGGTCCAAGATTCCGCCTCTATCTTCGAGCGAAGACGCACCCTTTGCCACGGATTCATTACACCTGGTGGCCAGTTCAAGATCCGCTTCCAGTTGTGCCATCTCGCGCAACAATCCATCGCGCTCTTTTTGCTTGTGCGCCAGGGGGTTCAATCTTATGCTCCGGCGAGGATGCGTTCCGGGCGCAAACTCGCTCGTGGTTCTCCCATCTTTGTCTCCCGAGGCGGCTTGTGCGGTGGGCAACTCCTGTTCGACTATGGGTACCGGACTCCCGCGCCTGGCAACGCGGAAGACGCGGGGTTTCTGTGATTCTTTCTGCGGCAGGCCAAACTCGTCCCGTGAAGGTCCCTTTGACGGTGACTCGTGTCGCGCGAGACGCCCAGCGGCTCCCTGGCGCCGCCTCTTAGACGGTGTGTTGTGGATTCCCGAGGGTGGTGTGCTCACTACCGGGTCGACATGGTGGGGAGTGGGCGGTAGTTCGGGCTCTGGAGGCGGTGCAACGACGGGTAGCACGCCTGTGTTGAGGGGCGAGCGCTGTAGGGCCCGCCCAACAAAGGGATTGAACAAGTCTTCCTCGTTCTCGGGTGCAGGTGGTGGCAGCGGTCTTGGTTGGGGCCGGCTGGGCGAGCGCCGGGCTGGTTGCCCACCGAGAGTCGTGCCGCCGGCTCTCCTGGCTGGTGACCGCGACCGCAAGCTCTCCTCGCCTTCACCGGTATTTGATGGCGCGTTCTGGACTGCGGTGGCGGCATCTGCTGGCTGGGACGCGGAAGACGATGCGCCGACGTCCCCTTCGGAATGTTGCTCGAGTTGTGCAGGTGGAGCATTCGAGATGTCGGCGGCGTCAGCGTCAGGGGAGTCGGGCTGTGAGGCAGGCAGTTCTTCTGCTCGGGCCGACGCGGTCTGGCGCCTCGAGCCGCTTGATTTTGTGGGCGATTCTGGGGTGGGCTGCAGTTCCGTGGGCTGTTGCGATGGTGGAGGATCTGGCGGGGTGGTCGACTCGACGGGCACAGACGAGGTTGGGGATGTCTTGCGCCTCTTGGGCGCCGATGACTCCATTACTGGACAATTATGGTAGACAACGGATCATTGTCAGACATTATAGTAGGGGAATTGACGCGCTTAGACGGCTGCAACGCGTGTCAAGGTCAATTGTCGCGGCGGTTCAGGTCCTCGGCGCGTGTTTTGGGGAGCTTTCAGATGGGATTCCCCAAACCGGGCTACTGTTTACTTTGGGGTCGGGATGGCAGGCCCCCACAATCTGCAGAGCTTGGGCCAACAGATCTTGCATGGGCCCTTGAGCGTGGTCTCTTGACTTTGCTGAAGCAAGGTTATGGCATAATAAAGTTGCGCCTGTTTATATAAAAGGCAATAATACTATATGCCCAAACTCTGAAATCCCGCTTATAAAAGATCCCCAAAAACTCCCGAGGTCGTTTGTGACAATAGCCTGAGCCCGCCCAACTACCCTGCTACCTGCCCGTGGTAATTTAATTGCTATTCCCGGTCTAGTCCCACCCCCCAATGACGTTTCCCGCGGATCCAGAATTTTTGTGCTGGGACTTTTGCCGTCGACGTCAGGCCAATTGCGGCTCTGGTATCGGCAAGCCTGTCCCCTGTTTTTTTCCCCTTCCGCCCGACTTCACTTCGTTGGCTGGAGACCAGATTTGACGCCATAGCATCCTCTCTTATCTTGCGCAACTTGCACGTTGGATCGCACCTCTACGTGTTTTGGTTTCCCTCTTCCCTGCATAGCCTCTAAATCACACGCCGCTGCACGCCCACGGCAGCCATGTCTTCTTCGGTCAGGACAATGCTCTTTAACCCCCGGCCGCTCCGGTCGCTGGTTGCGACAAGTCGAGCCCGCCGCGCCTATGCGACAATCCCCACCAAGAACCCGACGCCCTCGCCACCAAAGGAGGACTCGAACGAGCAGGCCATGCCCATCGGTCGCTTCTACGAGGCCATCCTCAACAGCGGCCAGCCCATCCCCGCCGTCAAGCCCGAGGAGCCCGCCAGCAGTGTCAAGGCGGCGCAAGAGGAGGACTCCCCCAAGGAGCCCGCCAAGCGCGGTCGCAAGCCAAAGGTAAAGGCCGAGCCAGCTGCCACTGCCACTGCTGGTAGCAGTCCGACCGCCTCCCCGGCAGCCAGCATCAAGGAGACAGCCAAGCAAGTTGCCGCCAAGACCTCCTCGCCCCCTTCGGTAAGACACCCTGGCACCACCACGACCTAGCACAAGTATCCCCAGGGCTCACCAGATTTCGGCCATAGTAGATAGGGACATCGCCGCCCACCCCCATGCCGCCCCCAACCCAGTCGAGCGCCGAGGACAAAGCCAAGGTGATATTCGGGTCGAGCCTGGCAGGGCCGGCCGAGCGCGCAGAACAGCTGGCGAGGCTGCGCGAGAAGAGCACGCTTATCGCGGGGGTCTTGGTGCCGCCGAAGCCGGAGGAGCCGGACAACTGCTGCATGAGCGGGTGTGTCAACTGCGTGTGGGACCGATACCGCGACGAGATGGAGGACTGGGCGCTTGCGGATGCCGAGGCGAAGAGGAAGCTAGCTGCGGCGAGGGGGGCTGGTGCGAGCGTGGGCGATGATGCGAAGTCGGTGAAGCGGTCACCGACGACAACTTCTGGGACAGATCATACTGCTGTCAGCATGGACGACGACGGCGGCGGATCGGATACAAACTGGGATGTTTCGTCGACTACACCCTCTCCCAAGATTGCTAAGGACTTTTGGGACGATGATTTGTACAAAAACGTGCCGGTGGGTATCAGGGAGTTTATGAAGCAGGAGAAGAGGCTGAAGGAGAAGCATGCTCGCGAGGGCACCTCGGGGGGTTGACACTATCCATCATACTAATAAACTGTTTCAGGGCTACCTCCCATGTGTTGTTTCCAGCGCTTGACATGGTTAATTCTTGAACGAGCGCAACTGCCTTCTTTTGCGATAGTCTATTCTAGACTTGCTTAAATTGGGCTTTTCTTCGGTTGATTATACAACGTCTCTATGGGACAGTGGCCTTTACTTAGGCATTATAGCGTTCGGGGAGCAAATGAACTTTTTTCGGTCTATCAAGTCTCATCGACGGCAATCACTCAAGTGAGTGATGCTGAGTTTAGTGAAGATGACCAAGTCAAGGTGCTGTGGGTCAAGGCCTGATCAGACGGTCTGGAGCAGGTTCCGTTCTATGTGCAGTGATAGAAGTCGGCATGTTAGTCCTGGGCAAGTGACCGGGCAGCAGAGAGCCGGCCACTATGCTCCTGTCTCTACATGCCATGTGGTCTGCGGGCTAGATGGTCTGGTATCGGACGGGCGGTCAAAGTTCGTAAAGCCAGGTACCTAGGTATCTTTCTTGACAGTTCTGTCTTGTCTTTGGATTGGGGAATTAACCACTGAGGGCATATTCCAGGGCAGGCGAGTCTTTGAGCTGCTTCCTAGCGTAGGTAAGTTGCTAAACATTCTCCGTTTGCCTCAAAACCAAGTCTAACTCGGTACCTAGTACCAAAGTCCCCCCACGGCTAGGAAACCAGCCCAGCGCCTTTGCAACAATCCATTTTTGTGCCACCCTTGGCAGTTCCCTCCTTCAAACCTCCACCATCAACCACTCTTTCCATCACTTGTGTGCCTGGAAAAACAGCACAAACTCCCTTCGCAACCAGATTACATCTCCTCTCCCCCATCTGTTAACACTCCTGCGAAGGGCCACACATTCTGCAAAGAGAAGCGAATCTGTTTTCGTGGTAGAATTAACCTCGTCCCTCGTTCTCACCGACTTACGGTGTCGAAAACTTGAGTCCAGTCCAGTTTCCACCACAGACAGCACAATCTTTTGGCTCAAGGACCAAAATGGCCATCGGCTGCCCTATTTGCAACCGTCGAAGGCCCCCGTCGCGAGCCAGAAACGACTCCGACACCAAAATCGGCCGCTCAAGCTCGAACGATGCCGTGACCGATTCTGCGACCATCACGGCTGCAACAGCGCAGCCGTCTCCTGTCGGGAATCACGACAGCCACCCATCAAGCGGCCCTAGCACCAGCATCGCAACCGGTCTCTATCACAAACCGGTTACAACACTGTCCACCACGATGGAAGCGGAACTTTCTCCAGCCACCCAAGATGGCGAAGAAGGCTCCAAAGGCAACTGGTATCATCCTCGCGGCCAGACTCAGGTCGACCACCAGTCCGTTGGCGACGACGAAGCTGAGGAGGGCGGCTACCATGGGATGGAGATGGAGACCTGTGGCACGTCAGAGGAAGAAGAGGACCGCTATGATTCCATGGACGAGTGCCTTGACGAGCCCGACGATGAGGATCTAGAGGACGCCGACGAGGATCTCCAAGAGGACGACGACGACGACGACTGGGAGGATTGTGTCGACTGGGAGTCGCACAATCTGTTCTGGTTCGGCGTCCGCGAGCTGACCTGGACCCCCCTCCCTCCCTTGAAGTCGATCTTGAAGAAGCCGGCGGCCGAAGACACATCGTCGACCACCCCTCACAATCAAGCGGCAGATGAGGCTTCGGGCAGGCGAAGAGTCACTTTCCGAAACAACATGCCATCCTACCGGTGGGAGAAGGGCGCCAACGCCCCGTACTGGAAGCGAGCAAGGTCCCGCTCGCCAATCCTTCTGGGGTTCCACTAGGCCACCCCGCCGCACGCATACATGGGACTGCTTCGCACTGAGGAATTGAGCTGGGAAAAGATTGATTTTTACTTTTGATTTTGAATACAGGAGTCACTGCGTTTTCACTGGAACAGCGCGTCAAGGACAAGACGTTTGTTTAGCCCCGAGTTGGAAATCTTCGAGGCAAAAGTTGTGGCCAGAGCACATCAGGCGGTTTGGATTAGCTGCTTGTGATCTGGAAAACGGTTAATCAGCGGGATGGGGGGTTCTTCGTCTGTCTGTTTTCTTTCGCTCTTTTGGTTCCATTGCGGTCTTCTGCACTTTGAGATCGTCTGGTGGCCCGCGGCGTACAGTGGTTCTGAGGGAGCATTCTGGTTGCGGCCACCCTCTGTCTTGTGGATAATTCTGCGTTTAGTTTATTTGTCTTGTAACACAAGTGTTCATTCCATTTCTCAGACGTGCTATTCCAATGCTATGCTTCCGCTTCGTACTTTTGGTGAAACATCTCTCAGCGTCTGTCTGTGTCTACTTTGAAGGACCAACGGTTCCTCTGCACAACAGAAATTCAGGTTGATGACCTTCACCCGAAGCCAATCCTAGTGCTTACTTCAAGTCTCTTTTGCCAACTAAATTCGTCCACGGAGTGCCTAATTCCCCGGGAAACTTTCGTCCGGAGAGCTGAGGAAAATCATCTACCGCACTTAACTACGAGAACGTAGGCTTACGTAGAGTGCAGGCCACGGGCAGATTAGCTGACCAAATGATGCGAGATGAATGCGATTTACGTAGTACAAGAATGAAATGCGGCTCTGCTGTGATTATGCAGAGCACCTCAAAACACGCTGGGTATGACGAGCACACAAACTCTAGAACGACGGCTTCACTTGGCATAATTCTGCAACTCTCGTTCTTGTATTTGTTTTTGGCTCAGCGAAACGGCCGGTGGTAATGAGTCGCCTCTCCAGTCCCACCTGGTTTTCACGATCCCCTTTTTGCAGCTACCCTATTCAAACCTCGCTATGCAGCCCATCCCAAGCCCCAAATCGAGGCAGCGCTCTCGATGGCTCACCAGAAAAAATAGATTCCAACCATGTAAGCAGATAGCCGCCCTCCCTAAATGATGCCGGCTGTAGCCTCCAAATTAGACGTTGACATCACACAGGGCATCAACGCTTTGTAGCGCCGCCCGGGGACGAATCGGGTGATCCGAGCATGTATGCCCCGTGTCTGTTCCAACATAGGACAAAACAAGCATGTGCGCGTATCCCAGCCGGGCGTGTAGTGTAGGCTGGACGGCCGCATGCCGGGGTGACCCTCAGCGCGGGGCTGCGCGGTCTCTCGACTCCGTATCAGGAGATTCCCGTACTCATGAGGACCCATTAGCCTGCTTCGCCTTCATCTGCCTGGAGAGCTCGTCGTGCTCTTCGATGTCGTCAGCCTCCCAGGGGTAGCAGATCCACTCGTCGCCGACGGTGCGGGCGGCCATGTAGCGACCGGCGTCGAGCATCTCGGCGGGGAGGGTTCCCTTCTTTTGCTTGTCCTTGTTCTGTTGCGGGGGAGGGGGGGTTCCTAGTCAGCCAGTCTTCCTTTTATTGAGAATAATTGTACCGGGACAACTCACGTGCAGCACAAAGATGCTGAACTCGGTCTTGGCGCTGTCGCCCTCGAGCCCCAGCTTCTGGCGGGCGGCCTCGACGTCCTTCTCGAGCTCCTTGACGGCGTACTCGAGGGTGGTGCGGGTGTCGTCGACCTCGTCGACGATGAGGATCTTCTTGCCGATGAGGTTCTTCATCTCGCCGAGGCTGGTCAGGTCGAGCCACTGGGTGCGGGTGACCTGCTTGCCGGGCTCCTCGACCACGCCGTCGCCGCCGCCGAGGGCCTCGTAGAGCGACAGGCCGATGGCCTGGATGGGGATGTTGGGGCTGCCGGGCTTCTTGAGGAAGGAGCGCAGGATGCGGGCGGGGACGTAGCCGCCGCCGCCGATGGCGATCATCAGGTGGGGCTTGAAGTTGTCGAGGATGTGCGGGGCGGCCTCCTGGCAGAGCTTGTGGACCTGGGAGGGGGGAGAAGAGACATGTCAGATGTGTGCGTGTGCGTGTGCGGGTGCGGGCTCTCTCATGCCCGTGCTCATGCCCGTGCCCGTGGTCATCGTGGGCGAGGGGGCCCAAGGGCCATGCTTGGTGGCAGTCATGGTGGGGTAGTTTTGGGTTTTGGGGGGAGAGAGCACAGGATATATACACACATCATTGTAGGTGACGTAGAGCTTCTCGACCATGTTGGGCTATGGGTTGCTGCAGGTAGCGAGCCGTAGTCGAGTCGGGTGTATGCAGATGTCTCGGCCGGTCGCAAATACAGACCAGAACGAAGCTCGTGCGGCGAATAAGCAAAGCGCGTGGGCTGGTGGTCTGGACTTGTGATACGCGGGGTAGGGCCGTTCTTTGGTTCGAGGTGGGAAGTACAAAAGAGAAGGAAAGATAGGGAAGGAAAATCAGGACCGCATAAAATTCATTTCCACAGCAGCAGCCAGCAACAAAAAAAAATTCCAAGGGTTCCATCCATCCATCGCCTGCCTCGCTCATGGCGAAAAATCGGCCTGGCGCCAGTCTAGCCCAGCCCAGTCCAGTCAGTCAGTCAGTCAGTCACGCCGCCCAAGCCCGGCTGCCCGGCTGCTGGGTCTCCAAAAGTTACCAGGTACCGGCACGCCTACCCCACGTGTGGACTTGGGCCGTCATGCACGCAATGCAGCTCTCAGAGGTCGAGCGGGAAGAACCCCGCAGTGCAGCAGCAGTCACGTCTGCTAAAGTGCCTAGGTACCTAGGTACCCAGGTAGCCAGCCCAGTTAGTGCAATGGTGAGTCTGGCATGCCATTCTTATTGCCTACTGCTGTCTGTGACAAGCGAAGTGATGCCCCCCCCTGGCTAAATTCGCATATACGCACGTGCCACATAAATTCATTCACTCCTTTTTTAAAGTGGTTTTCTTTTAATAACTCTTTAATTTTATAACTTAAAATTAAATAAAAAATATATGTATAATTCTTATTAAAAGTTTAATAAGAATATAATTTTTAAGTATTTATTTATTTAATATTTAAATTTAATTAATCTATATATATTAGTTTTTAAAAACTTTTATTAAACCTTTATTAAAAAATATAAAAAAAATATTATTAAACTCCTTATTTTAAACTCTATAAGATTATATTTTTAAAATATTTATTTAATTAACTTTTTAAACTTATATAAATACTTATAAATCTATTAAAATAAATATTTTAAAAATATAGTATTATAAAGTTTTAAATAAGGATTATAAATATATTTTCTATATAATTTTAAGTTAAGAAATAAAAGAGTTATTAAGAAACAACTAGTTTAAGAGGGAGTGAATGAATTTATGTGGCACGTGCGTATATGCGAATTTAGCCAGGGGGGGGCATCACTTCGCTTGTCACAGACAGTGAGTGCCCAGGCAAGTAAGTACCTAGGTACCTAAGTATATACGGCACGCCGTTCACCATCTTTCACCGGTTGATGGAAGTGAACCGTATCAAGACGGCCACCCATTCTGCCATTTACACCCTTGAAAGTATCCACCAAAGTCCCCACCCACGCGGCCGGAGACGGCCGCCCTCCGAAGCCGAACGACACGCGCAGAAATCCACAGCCAGTCGGCGAGTCGGCGAGTCGGGGGACTGCTGCAGTGGGGCGGGTCCGGGCATCACGGCCCCCTCACCCCTCCCCCCTCTCGATGGACGCCGAGGACGAGGCCGGTGGCGTCCCGGACAACCTCAAGTCTCGCCTCGAGGACTCCTACGACGCCATCGCAGAGTCCTACACTGCCTGGTCCACCAAGGGCGCTGCGATCCGCCTCTCGTATCTGGACAGCCTCCTCGACCTGCTCACGCCGTCTCACAGAGACATTCTTGAGGTCGGATGCGGCGCCGGCATCCCCACCACCGAGAGGCTGCTGGCCCGCGGCCCCCAGTTCCGCATCACCGCCAACGACCTGTCCTCGGCCCAGATCAAACTGGGCAAGCAGCGTCTGGACCACGTCTGTGGTGGAGATTCGGACAGGGTCACCTGGCTGCAAGGCGACATAATGGGCCTCTGTCTCCCGCCCGACTCCTTTGATGTGGTGCTTGGCTTCTATTGCATCCAGCATCTGCCTCGGGACGAGCAGGTTGTCATGATTCGCAACCTCTCGGGCTGGCTCAGGCCCGGTGGCTACATGCTCTTCAACTTCCCTGCTGAGGCAAACGAGAATGTGGTCATGACCGGCTGGATGGGTGAGAAGGGCTGGGTTTATCACAGCGGCTGGGATGCTAATCACTACAGACAGTTGCTCAGGAATGCAGGCCTGCATCTAGTCCTGGACGAGGTGAGAGGGGATAATGTCAAGGCAGAATTCCTCTGGGTCATAGCCAAGAAACCAGATACTACTTAGCCTCGCAGTTTTGACCACCAACATATTCTTGGGGTTCAGATAGAAGCTCCAAGGAGACAAGAGAAACATTTGCAAGGGTTCAATAATCCTACCTTCTTCTACCAACACATACCTGATAAATGGCCACCCAACCTGCACCGTCAAATCACATGTGCTCAGCCCTATGCAGGGCATAACGTATGCTGCAACTCCAATCCTACACAAGTATGCAATGCTACAATCCCTCTGCCCACTCCCATTGTGCTAGTCAACGGCAGTTCCTGTTTCTCAAGCGCTGACTGCTCCTAAATATGTACTGCCCAACATGTGACCAAAGCAGACAAAGGGCTGCGTGGGCGGCTCCGTACCTATGTGCTCAAGTCACACGTGGTTTTATTGCCATGGCCTGAGGTTCTTCAATGTTGCTGTTGGTCGGATGTGAGATGGTCGGTTGCAACGAAAGTGTTCATTGCCCAGTGCAATCTTGTTGACTTGGACACATGAATGTACTTGTAGTGAAGCAGTCAGTGCCAGTGCTTTGTTCTCGGATGGCCCTAGTTCCAACGAGTCGGATGACTGCTATTCAGCCTATGTCTGGTGACAGCATCCCCTTTGTTTGAGCACAGTCCGTCGCACACTAGTTCATTTCACCAAAGCAAAGCGGGTGGTCAGCACCACTTCTGTTCGAATCTATCAAGTTGGATTACTAGTACTCGAGGTTGTTAAAACCACAACCTTATGATCACTTACAGACAATGCTGTGCGATGTTGCGGGATACCTACAAATGGAGGTGAGGAGACTCACCAGCAACAGTCTACGAGACCTACCAGACAACCTCTTACTAGGCAACCTCCTATCACACACCCTACAAACACTACATGGCTCCCTCTGATCCAGACCGTTGGGAATACACCCACGACCGCACCTTTTCCGATCCAATCGAACCCTGCGTCATGCTGGTCCTGCACGGTCGCAGCAACAAGTCCTTCCTGCGCGTCCTGGGACACTCGCCCTCGGCCACCGCCACCTTCGAGATGGCCAACTGCGCCGTGCTGTCGTACCGCGTCACGAGGCAACAGCTGGGTCCCGACGAGGCGGCACGGAGGAAAGCTACCGAGGAGGCCCAGCGGGATGCAGACCTCGCCGAGGCCCGGCGCGACAAGCAGGCCATACGGGATCTTGCCGTCGCCCAGGTGAGGTCTTGGAAGGCTGACGGGGATTCGAAGCTGGATGGGTTGCGGAAATTCTTGCAGAGCCACGAGACCGCCGGCGACCAGGCAGCTCGCGCCGCCGGGGAGAAGCTGCGGGGGGATCTGGGTGAGACGTAGGGCTGGCGAGCATTTCAACATTGAATCATCCGGGGAGTCGATGGGCAAGATTTCCATCGTCAGCTGGAACAAAATCCTGTGGCATACTGATGAACAGCTCGGAGATTCCAGTTGTGTGTTGTGGGAGAAGCATAATTAGACAAGAAGGAACAAGGCTCGCTGCCTGCGAAAGAAAGGAAGTGGCGGAGAGACAGCGATGGGTTGAAGCGTTCAGCCCATTTACGCAGAAAATACACCCAGTGTTGGCGTTAAGCGAGTTACAAGTCACTGGGTGCTATATACTCCTAGATAAGCCGTTCACCAACACTTGCAAGCAACACAACCTTGCAAGCTATTGTCACAGGCTTGATGAGCAAGACGAAAAGGTGAATGTTAACGGTTCAGAGTAAAAAGTCCAATCAAGAAGACTTCTCTCAGCGTTTGATCCTTCCTTGGCCAGCAGCATCAAACTTCCACTTCGACCGATTATGTTTCGCTTCTTGGATTTTACTTCTCTGAACGACCATTGCAGTGGCATAAAAGTTCATCACAATTTTCAAACTGCACTACTCGTACAGAAGTGATGTCACCCTTGCCGTGGGCACGTAGTAGTCTGTAGGTTGTGTTGTGACAAAATTCTTCCTTCTGGGTCTCGGTCACAAAATATAATACGGGACGCAACACAAGTCTCAAAAGTTTCCATTCCCTATGGGTGAGATTCATGTGAAGCACGGTGGTACAGTAGCAACATCCCCACGGCATCCATCCTTCACACCCAGGTGCCTCTTGAAAGCGATGTTCTTTTTCGTATAGACCCTTCCAGCGCCAAGATTTCTGTCCGGAGATAAAGACTTCGCTCATTCATTGTCATTGCTGCCGAGCGACGATCGGTTGTCCGTATAATGATGGCTTGCAAAGCTGATCAAGCCACCAATGACGGTGGTAAATTGGTAATAAAAAAAGCAATGATTAAAGAGACCCGATCAATAACCCTCCGCTGCATTTCTTGTTTCGAAACAGATCTTCTCAAATCCGTCGTGCCGCCATTGCGCCGTCCTTCAGTCGAACTAAATCAACTCCACAAGATCTCGGAAATCTTCGGTAAATCCAGGCTCGAACTCTTGCCACTCGGTGTCTTTTTGTGATTGCATCTGTTGATCAGTCTTCTTGGCTGAGGAGTAATCGAGGTCTGATGAGCTGTGGACGGCGATTGGGTCAGTTTTGCGTGCCGAACACCCCTCGTTGGAAACACCGGACAGCAAGATACTCCCTTCGCCAAAGCTCTCCCGAGGTGGCGGCAGTGCATAGTTGTCCGAGAAGATGTATGTATCATCTTCGGAATCTCTTGGCTTTAGTCCGATGAGAGGTGATTGTACGGCTGATGACGTGAAGTGAGTCTCTCCCACCCTGCTTCGAATACCGGAACGGTCAGAGGATGACCTTGTGATGTTCGTTCGCGATCCTTCCTCGAAACGAGGTAATACCTTGAGCTGGTCCATTGATTTCACCCGCGGCGGCGAAGGGTCTGAAGATGCCTTAGCCAAGCTGGACACGGCTCCTTGATTTTCGTGCGAGAGGACGTTACCGCCCTGTCTGGGGTGGTTCTTTGCTGCGCTGGTGCCAGTTCTCAAGGCTCTGTGTGTGTCGCTTTGTTGTGGATTACAATCATCCATAGGAACATCGTCGAAGACTGAGCCACCTGAAAAGTCATCGGTACTGTTGCTTTTCCTTCTTCCGAGATCAGCATGTGGTAAATTTGTCTTCGGGCTAACTTCAAAGCCGTGGTCCTCGATATTGCTCTTTCCTCCGATGGGCAGAGCTAGATCATCCTCCCATAAGTCGTCGGAGAGACGTTCAAAAACGTCGAATCCCTCGTTATGCAAACCCTTCTTACTCGCGAGGCCCTTGACTCCATATAGGCTGCGATGCTGGATATCAACATCACTGGCACCTGCATGGCGGCGTTCAACTTGAGTCAGATCGATAAGTCCATCCCCATCCAACTCAAAACTGTCCAGGTCCATTGGAGGGAAGTCTCTTCGATTTGAGGATCTGGATATCAAAGGGTCCCGTGACGCGCTTTTGCGTGAAGACCCATCCTTGGGAGTGGCTGTCTTGGCCTTTTTGTTTGGCGGGTTTGAGGTCGGCTTTGGAGCTGGCTCGGCAACCACTATTTCCATGCCTGCCTTTCTCTTCAAACTTGGGGCCCTTGGCTTTCTGGGTGCATCAAGACCCTCATGACAACATCGATGGGCGCAGGCTTTGCCCTTGCCATTCTTCAATCCGACATCAGCGCAGCGATGATTGCACTTAAACTTTCCGTTGGGGAGTTGAACCGGTTGCCAGGGGACGTTCTTATTTTCAATTTCCTGCGCGGGCGCACAACCATCATCTTGGCTGAGGGCTTGTTTGCTGATACCATTCCGCTTCTCACTGCCCATAGGAGGCCGGTGAGACTCGATATCTGAGTGTTCCAAGATTTCAGGGCGTCCGTTGGCATAGTCCCCTCCTCCTTGTGTGATCTCCAGCAAATCATTGTCACCAATGTCATCATCCGTCAAAGATGCCACGCGTTGACTCAACCCTTGTGACGATTTTGCTGTCAACCTCTTGTTCTGGGAAAATGAAGACGCTGGCAGTCCATGCTGGAGCCTAGTGGTGACAACTGTGCCAACGATGTCCTCGCATGCGAAGTGACAAATGATCTCTTCGGCGGCGCTGCTGAGCTCAACCTCGAACTGTAGAGACAGTTTGTTCTTGTCCTCATCTTTGAATTTCTTCATCGACCCTCTCCAAAAGTGCGCTAGAACACCCTCTGTAGTCTCGGCCATGAAGGTAATTGAAGGAATCTTGCCACGCCATTTGGGCTTCCCTACGATGTTCGAGAAACCAAGAATAGCGTCGATGCGGACCATAGGCTGCACGACTGACTTGGGAATTGGGAGGTCCTCTTTTGCAACACGTGCTTCCAGGGTCAAGCGTGGAAAGTGCGCCAACTCGTCAGCCATTTTCTTGCCAAACGGGGGGTTTCGGCTCAAGATTCTTTCAATGTTGCTGGCGCCAGCGTCCGCCAGTCCTCGCACAGTTGTAATACCAGAGGCAGCAAACTTTCGCATGAAAACTGGTCCAACATGGGCCACTTGCGTCAGTTGCATGGACCTTCCCTCCCATGCCCTGGCTGCCATGGAACGTGCCAGATCGAGAGCTACTCGACAAGTTGCGCCATCTAAGTCGCTGGCCTTGCATTCGATGACCGCGCGTACGAGGCGGTGCATCTTCTCAAACAGAAGGCTGGTATCCAATGTGATCTGTCTCCGGACGAGATCAGGCACGTCAGACAAGTCCACGCAGCCAAGAGCTGCTTGTAAAAGCAGCGAGACCTTGTGTGCCATTGTGTTCACCGTGCCTTTGATTGGGTACGCGATGAAGGGGCTTTTATTGATGTCGCGGAAAACATCGCGCTCACGCGTTCGCCAGCGGAAGTCCCGAAATTCGTCTGCTTCACATACGGCTGTCAACTGTGTTTATTAGCGCCTGTCGACAGCAAGGTGATTCGAGGACCTACAACTTGCTCCATCTTGGCTGCTTGAGGAATCTGCAGGATCTTTTGCATCGAGTCGAATCGAATAACATATTTTGACATTGCTCGGCCATAATCAGTCGACTGAAATGCTGCGTCTTGGGTGACAAGGCCAGCCTGTTGCAGTTTAGAAATGTCTGTTTCGCAGATCTTCTCCAGTCTGTCATCAAGTGGATCTGAGATGGGACCTGTATCATCGAGTTTGTAGTACCCCGGATGGCGGTCCAGTCGAACAGCAAGGAATGTTCCTTTCAACCATTCTTTTGCCTTTTGGATGTCACCAAAGGTCCCAAGATTGATTTCAGAGTTAAGATGTTCGATCAGATTCTGATGGAGCGTGCTTTCCAGGATTTGTTGCCCGGATCCCATGTCCTCGTAATGCTGCTTGTTTCGAGCTCTGGTGAGAACTACGGCAACTCCACTGTTGCCGAACTGTGGCCTGCCGGCACGGCCCAGCATCTGCATGAATTCCAAGTCGCTCAGTTCGGAAATTGAACCCTCCACGTACGAGGTGGTGCCTTTCAGCACTACCATGTGGCATGGCAAATTCAGGCCCATGGCAAGTGTGGATGTGCAACAGATGACACTTATACGGCCGTCGAGGAAGGCTTGCTCAACGGCTCGTCTGTCCTGGGCGTCGAGACCAGCGTGATGGAACGCAACCCCGTACCTCACAATCTCCTGCAGTTCAGGACTGATGACAGGAGTTCGTTTGGATGGTTCGGGCCATGGCCGTGATTGAGGCCGACGCTCGTTCCACTCCTCGGCCAACTTCTTTGCTGAGTTCTGGCAGCTCTTGCGGGTCTGACAGAAGACCAGAATTGGTTTCCGCTGCGAATGTCTGGCGATATGGGGATACAATTGGTCGGTCAAGAATGTATCGAACTGATAGTCATTAGTCCGGCTGTCAAACCCATACACGAATCTTTGCAGTTTCACAGGGCGGAATTCTTCTCCGAACGTTACTCGGCGTGCTGGGATGTCTGGGTTTGTATGATCTCTGCCCAGCCATCGGGCAACATCGTCAGAATTTGGCACAGTTGCGCTCAGTGCGACAAAGCGGACATTCGCTCCACGGGTCTTCATGCGGGACACAACGGCCTCGAGAGTAGACCCGCGTGGTTCTTTGAGAAGGTGCACCTCGTCGATGAGAAATAGTTCGACCAAGTCAAGGAGTTTTCGATGGTCAGACCAGCTTCTAGTGATGGAATCCCACTTCTCAGGAGTGGTGATGATAATGGTGGCTTGGCGGACGCGTCTCATTTCAGCTTGCGATGTATCCCCAGTGAGCTCAGCAACTTCCATTGCCAAGAGTCCGAACTTTTGTTTCCAGTCATTGGCTCTCTCGGTGCAGAGGGCCTTGAGAGGACATAGGTAAACGATCTTGAAGACTTGATTTCCCCTCGTGTGCGCGAGTCTACAGATTGCAAGTTCCAGTAGTGCTGTCTTTCCGCTGCCAGTTGGCGCTGATACGACAACATTATCATTGGTCTGATAGGAGTACTCGAAACATCTCGATTGGACGGCGTTGAAGAGATCATACGGGAAAATTTCTCGGAATCTGTCAGGGAGAACGTCGCGTGGGTTGACCAAACTGATGCCATTTGCGATGGGAGGGGCGTGGGCAAGCTCTAGAGACTGCGTGTTCCTCGTTGGTGGAGAAACGGTGGGCATTCCCAAAGATCCTCGAACCGTTTGTGGCAGCTGACGTCGGAGACCTGCCTCCGCCGCGGGACTTGAAGATGTGTTCGCATCGAATGGGGAAGAGGAACTCGTCGCTGTTTTACCACGGTCTGCTGAGCTGAGATTTGCTGTATTGAAATAGAACCATTAGCATTGATCTTATAATCCGAAGTAGAGTCATAGCCACTTGCGTTGACGACGAGGCGCAAATTGCTGCTTCAACCAAGACGATTCCCTGGAGTTGGACTTCTGTTCTTCCTGGGATGGTTGTACCGGAGTCGGGAATGGCGCCGTAGGTCTAAAACGAGGCGAGGAGTTCCTTCTCGCCGTCCCCTGGAATTTACGCACGGTGGGTTGCATGTCCATTTCTGGGGAGTATAGCTTTCGGGATGGATCAGTGCTGGTCGCCGGAACTGCGAGGCTTGAGGGGAGGGTCAGTCTGGATGACGAGAGGCCTGCTGCAGTCGAATAAAGAGCTGACGACAAGGAGCTAGACGGTGCAGACGTAAAACGGTCGACCCCTGGGAAAGGCAGTGCAGTCGGCACTGGTGGCTTATAGTAGTCGGATGCCACATACGGGGCTCGCACACTTGGTTGTTCATGGCATGCCAGAAGTTGTCGATCTGCCAATATGTTAGTCCAGTATGCCCAACTCTTCTGCAGGCTTTTGAGCTCTGAGACAAGGAGCCTCGAACTGACCAAAATCATCAAGACCAGTACCGATCCGCTGTTCAACTGCCACTTGTTGCTGCCAGCTGCTCGGCAGGGTGCGGTGCTGGGTGGTATAGCTGGGCAGAGCTGCGGGAGGGTCGAAGCACACTGGCCGTTGGGTCAAATTGTGTCCATGTTCAGGTAGAATCCTTGCTGGAAGTCCCAAATTTGAGGATGGTGCCATGTGATGTCTCTGTTGTTGTTGTTCTTGCTGCGAGCCAGCAAGCCGTCGGAGCACGTTTTGGACATCTGGGCCGAATTCAGAAAGGTCTTCCGCCGACAGACGCAGATTGAGCTCGCCCGGGCCATTGTGGATGTTGGCCATTTGATCTCCCGACATTTTGTTCCATTAATTGCACCCACCCAGCCGGCGGTGAGCTCGTGCAGGCGAGTGGCCGGTTGGTAGCTTTCCTCCAGCTACCACGTCCAGAGTACAGCAGATAGGGAGGAGAGTAAAGAGGGCATGCCGCCTGGCGAACGAAATGTGACTGTCCTTGATGGGCCACGGGAAGTTTTGTTTCGAAGCAGGAACCGATTTCGACGGTCAATGTGGCCGAGAAGTTGTAGCTTTTTGGCAACCGAGCCGACACAAAGTTGCCACAGATCTGTTCAAGACTCGACGGTGGCCGGAGAGGATATGGTGAGGTAACGCGTATCTGCGGCAGTCATCGTCCCATTCGACAATTCGCCATTTGCTTGCTCTTGCCACTGGAATCAGGCACCTAAGAGTCCTAGGCTGCAGATAGACCCCTCGGCCAGATACCTAAGGAGGCAGGTGTTGAGGCAGGCAGGCAGGCAGCGGTGGTTTCGAGGAAGGAGCAGCGCACTGCCCTGACCATAAAGCCCAATGACAAGTTCCACCCGAGGTATGCAAAGCCCGAAAAAGAAATCCAGGGCTTCTTGCTTCGATGCCACTGAAGACTTGGCTTGTGTTGTAGAGCCCAGTGATCACACGACCCGGTATATTAGGGGACGAATACTGCCTCTGCCTCCTGTAGCAAACCACCGGCTACCTGATTTGTCTCCCCTAACTCATTGCAATGGATTTGACTTCGACACTCTGCCTGTGATTTCTGGTACTTCAGTATGGCATGCACAGCATCTCCAGATTATCTGCATGCACATCAGCGCATGAGGATGCCACTGTTGAAGCAGGATGTGGCAGTCGGCTCCATTGCAAATGCCATCGTTGGCCTCTTCTTCCCTACTGCATGAAGTGGTGTGCCACTTGTAGTAAATTCGAACTGTTCTCTTTTTTCCCTTCCCGAACTTTCAGTGCTACACTGGTATTTGTGGAGGTCCACACCTTTTGACGCCCCTTCTGAATTTCTCCTCAACCTGGGTATCTATTTTGATCGTTAGTCCTTCCAACATTCATTGTGCCCGTTCCATGCTGGCTGATCCCCCACGGCCAGCACACATAGCGTTCACGACGGGCGGTGAGCCCACACGCCTTTTTCATTTTCCCGCCTCGTCTTGCTTCTTCCAACCGTAATCCCCCATCATTCAAATGACTCGCCACCCAACGTCGATGCATATTTATCTCGGTCTCGTGTGTCTGACTCTATTCGTCTCGCGCCTTGCCTCTAGCAGATGGGACCCTCGCGTGGTGTCTCAAAGGCGTCGATGGCCTAGATGTCGACAGACCGAGAGACGCCGCGGAATCCATCGGATTTAGAAGCTTTGTGTCCTCTGGTGACTGAAGTCTTGGTGTTGAAGCAATGACTGTCTTCTCGTAGCCAACGATGCTGATAGGCGGGGGCCGGCCTCGCTTCCTGTCAGGCCCACTGTACAGCCACGTTGAGAAGATCACCAAGGCCGTGCCCAGTATGAACTGGAAAGTGTCAGAGATATATGCTTGGCCCCTCCTTGGAACTCGAAACAAGTGGGGCAGGGAGCTAAGGAGAGGTTGCCTTACCATGATAGAGACCTGAAAGCCGAAGAACCAGAGGCTAAATACGAAGCTGACCACGATGCTGATGCTTGTAGCGAAGTTCTTGGCGATGTTGTCCGCGTAGTTGATACAGAGGCTCGTAAGCACACCGCCGATGGCCTGGAAGACGATAGCAGTCCAGACGACCGAGTTGTAGCCCTCGAAGAAGCCATGCTTGGCAATCTCATCACCATCCTTCATAATCACCCCAAAGAAAAGAGCAGGGAAAAGGCTGTAGAAAGACAGCTGAATATTCCTCGTCCATACGGAGACGGGCGAGCTCGATTCCTTCAGCACCTTCTCGAAGTACACCCCCGTCAGTCCAGATAGCACCGCTGCAACAAGGACTGCGGACAAGCCAAGGGAGTAGTTCATCTTGGGACTCATGTCCAGATCTTCCTCAATACCTTCGTACGTGGCTGATCGCTTGTACAGACTAGTGGCCCCCTCTGCGAATCCTTCCACGGCTCTTCTCGTAAGATGGCGTGCCACATCGACCGCGCCACCGGCAGCTTGCCCAAGCTCGTGCATCGATCGCGGGAAGAAGTGGTCGCTGTAGTCGTGGATGGATATGGAGGGTTCTTTCGGGTCTGTGGGCAAGGATACGATAGCGACGCCGATGGTGAGGAGAATGACAGCTGTCCAGCGCTTGCCACTCAGGGGTCTGCCGAGGAGCAGGACGGTGAAAACTGCCGTGGTGAGGATCTAGGCCCTGTCAGCTATCATGGGCCTGCGCAGCCAGGTCTGGGCTCGCGACGCACCTTGAGCTGGTACAAGACCTGGAAATGCACTGGGTCCAGGTTCCCCAGAGCCACGTACTGCAGCGTGTTCTCGAAGGTGTATAATGTTGCCGGGATCGCCAGCTTCCATCCATCGCCGCTGAATACGGACCTGTATATCTGCTCGAACAATACTGTGGCGGGAGTCTGGGGCGCAAGGCTCCTCGAGACGTCGTAGAGGGCGAAAGAGGCGGAGATGGCAAGCTTGATGACCTCATTGAGAAAGACAGCGGTGCTCGTGAAGTATCTGTGGTCCCCAGTGGGTTGCATTATCCGACTGTAATGCATTATCTGAGAGAGTAGACATGTTTAGCCAAAGAAGCACGCACGGCTCGGTCCCCGGTCGCTTTCGGGCTCTGAGGGCGAAGGGGCGCAACGCACGAGGATTAGAGCAGAGTTTTGGAAGGTCAACTGTGGCAACGTAGGTCAGCATCTGTTTCCCAGCCGCCGTGGAGCTTATGTAGGTAGTTATTCACTGTAATGAGCGATGCCTGCTTCATTGGCACTCCGAGGAGAGTCGGACCCCCCTTCAAGGCACCTTTGGCCTGGGGGGCATCGAGTAGAGCCATGATGGGTTCCAGGCTGGGTTGCAGGCAATGATAGGCACTGTTGTGGCACGTGCAATGTTGATTCGAGTTGTGGTGTCTGCGCAATGCGATATGTGCAGCTTCTTGCAACAAGCCGGTGTCTGGAGCAGTGTTGAAGAGGGCCAGTCCAAGAGATGTGCCCTGGTATTGTGGGCCGCAGCGGCAGGTGGGCAGGTCGACGTCAAGATCGGCCTTGGAAGGTGGGCAGCGCAGCAAGCAAGCAGTCAGAGTAGTGCAAGCAGCTCAAAGCGGCAAGAAAAGAAGAGGGTCCCGTTGTTTGGCCCGGGCCTCTAGACCCTTCGACCCCAGGTCCTGACTCCAGATTTGGAGCTGGCAACGGCAGGGCAGCGGGCAGGCGAGGGCCAGTGCGTCTTACCCCTGGATCCTACCCAACCTCGGGATGTAGGCTGGGGATCAGACTTTGACCCCAGCAAAATGTGACTTGTGATGGTGGATGAGTTCCTGTCGCCCCACTGATGATGTCTGCTCAACCTGAAACTCCCACAGGAGACGGGACGACATCAAGATATTATATAAGCTCTGTATTATGTGCGTGGTGAGCGACACCGCCACACCGCCGAGGTCAAGAATGGAAGACGTCCATGAGGCCGCTGGGAAGAAACACGTAGCAACCAGGCTTGACCTTGACCAGGCAGGCATCACTGGGCCACTAGCATTTGGGACTAGAGCTGATCTGGCGATAATCACGTCAACAGCAGCAGACGGCCCGCCTGTCATCCTCTGTCATCCTGATCGATGACTACGATCGCGGGACAATGAGGCTGGCTGGGCTGGCTGGCTGGTCAGGCTAACAAGAGCAACGGATCAGCTGTCAGGGCTGGGCCCAGCCAAGTCGGTGGTCGGCAGAAGGCTTCTCAGCTGCTGCCGAGCATGGTCAGCTGGCCTAGCAGAGGCTGGCCGTTCCCAATTTGTGGTTGTTTGCTTCTGGCTGCTGTATGACGAAAGAGGATGCAGGCCCCAAGGCGTGCACTGCATTTGGAGGCCCCCTGTGCGACCCCCCTGTGCGACCCCCCGCTTCCCCTGCAGGTCCATGCTGACCACAGCAGGATGCCCGATATTCCATCTCCTATTTTTACCCAGAGACCATGGAGATTGCATCTCATGGAATAGAGCGAGCTTCCCACATCGACCACCACTGCTGTGCTTCCGGAGTCTTCGTAGGATACTGGCGAATCCGAGCGCGGCAAATGGCAAGACCCTGATCATAGTATCAATGTCTGAATTGCAAGGCTATATATAGCGCCTGCAAAAGGAAGACATCACCCGTTGGCGGCTTAAACGGTAATTCACGCCATCTACTACCAGCGAGACGTTCCTCACCAATTACAGCAAGAGAAGGCTCGATATTTCCGTCAAGATTTTTTATTTACAACAGTATTTACTAAATATGTTTGAAGTAGTAGCTTGTGTTTGGACAGGTGTACGGACCCTCCGGATTGATTGGTTCTGCCGGCGTTCAACCACCTCGACCATCAAGCACTACAGCCCCCATGTAACCACCCATTTCCTCTTCCTCGGGCCCGGCCAGTCGGCTTAGCCCCAGTGGGCAACTGGAGCACACCCTTAGGAAGGTCATGGGAGCCTCATTATGCACGCCATTGAGCAGACTAGAGTGCCTCCCGAGGTCTCTACCAGGCATCGGAGGGCATCGGAGAAGCTCGTCGTCGCCTTGCTACGGCCGCACGTCATCATCACGCTCGGGACATTCGAGCTTAGCCTTTGGGCAAGCCTGCAGATGCTGGCTCATTCCACGTCTGAGAGACTGGCCAATGTAACCCTCTGCGATGAGGCAAGCCCTGGAGGGCGGCGGCCAGAGCTGGTTGGCCGTCGCTCCCGGCCCTGAAACCCGGCCGGTGCCCCCGTGATCAGTACGTCTCACCATATCGGGAGATCCACTGCAGCCGAGAGGCGGCATGCCCAACAGCTTAGCGCGCCAGACTTCTCGGCACGGCAGTTGACGGAGCACGGAGGCGCACGCCGACATCAGCGGCCGGCGACAGGCAGCCCTGAATACGGCGCAAATCTGACATGAATGTTTGCTACACCTTGAACAAATCACGAAAACGGAGGTGTTATGATTCCAATACCACAACCCCATGCGTGAAGAAGTACGAAACGTCACTGTGGAACTTCTGTGGCTTGTTGAGTTCGGCCCAGACGAGGCTACCTTCATCAAGTTCTTTTACAATACGTCCCTTCCGCCCCCCCACCAGCGGAGGTCGCACCGCGGGCACTGCTCACTTGCGTGTGGTTCAATGTTCACTGGAAATATCTCAGGAGACTGTGGCCGCGTGGCGATTTTGCTTAGGTGATCATGGCCGAATACATTCATTAGCGCTCAGTAAGTATCTCGCTCATTCATCGCGCAACCCTTCTGGCTTCGCTGAATCGAAATCGCCAGCTGTGGTAGCCCATCCTCTGTCCTCAACAGGTCATCATTACTAGCCCCTGGCTATCATCGAAGACTCTGTCCAACAGAAGTCTCGAATCACAGATCCGGTAAGAAGGTCGCTCGCTATCCGTGGTCCGCCTATTTGGCTGCATTTAGTTGGCCGAGATGGTGCCATCGAACTGGACGTTGGTCGAGGCATTTCCAGCCTCGGCCTCGTCCTGGGCGATGTTGTTGTTGAGCTTCTTTTGCTCTTCTGCGAGCTTGTCCGCGACATCCTCGCCCTGCGCCTGCTGGGCCTCCAGCTTCTTGATGGTGGCGGTCAACTTCAGGACCTTGTTCTTGATCTTTCCGATCTGCGTCACCGGCGGTTAGTATCGTTGAGGTCATATTAGGATAGGGCGTTGCCATGTCCATCCAGGACCGCTGTGTGTGTGTACTCACCTGGAGAGAATCGGCCTCGGCTCCGGTAGCCGCCTCAATGGCAGGGTTGAAAGCCTCCTTCTCAGCGTCGTTGGCGACCTGGTTCACGGAGTTGAGGAAGTCGAGGTCCGCCTGCTCAACCTGGGTCAGGTCCGTGGGGAGGCCAGACAGTGCCTGCTCCGCCTCCGCCTGAGCGTTGCCAGCGGTGCCACCAGAGATGGAGATGTCGTTGAAGGTGGTGTCAGTGAAGACGGCACGCTTGCCAATGGGGCCGGCGGCGGCGGCGGCGGCCAGGACGGTAGCGATGATGGCAAAGGACTTCATTTTGAATGAGGGTGGTATTAAAGGTTAGCTGGACTGAAAGATTGGATCGATGGAACAGTGAATGTAAGACTTGTAAAAATATCACAGCACAGCTGGAAGAGAATGGGATGAACGACGGTCTTGGACTGGTGTGTGATGATGGATAGCATGCGAATTCTGATACTTCAAGCGAGCGATCATGAGGATCTTATAGAAGCTTCGCCATATTGTCGGTTTCGCGAATAATTCTGGGACGACCGACATTGGAGGCTGAGATTTCATGGCTTGCACTGCACGTGGCCGCATGCGGAAACGGGATGGGGGCTGATAGATCTTGGCTGCGAATCCGAGACGAAGTTGAGGCGAACTCACGACAAGGGTAGGGGGTAAGGGCAACTCCTTCAACCAACCTGCAGACCAATTTGCTCCTTGCACGGCTCGGTTGGTCCCGTTCAGTTGTCGGTTCCGATTTCCACTCAGATGCTTGCTCTGCACGGTGGATATGCTTAATCGCAGCTAGCTCTCTCTTAGGATCTTGGCGAGGCTTGTAAAAGAATCTCCGGGCTCGTCACGAGCCGGTGCACGATTGTCCATTCTAGCATTTGTTGGTCTGTTCTGCGATCGCCGTCAATGTTTTGGTGTAATCATCATCAATTGTTTGGGAAACCTGCCCCAGATTTCCCTAACCGCGGTGATCAGTACATTGAAACCGAGAACTCTTTTCTCAAGGTCCACGGAGAGCTCGGAGGCGCGGTACCAGAATTGCTAAAGGTGTGGCGTTCAAGCGAAGATCCACAATTAGATATCGTTGCTTGACGAGACCGTCCTGTTACAACATGGGGCGCTTGGCTTTGCTTGGCTTCCAAAAGCTCCAGGCCAGTTGAGCCTCAAGCGCCCACTGGAAAGGGATGACAATGCTTGGCGTCTGAACCACTTTTCCCTAGAACGTAATTATGGGGCCTGTCTGTTCAGGATTAAAGTGACTGGAGGAAACTTTCATGCATGTAAACCTGCCATGCACCCTTTTGGGGCCACTTCTAGAAGCATAACTGCACTTCATACGGAAGCGCGGTTTTGCCCCTTGGTCTTGGTCGCATGCAGCTCGCTCCTGATCACAGGGCTGTGAGACTGCCAACGACCAAGTTGGCTTACACCAGGCTTTACGCGGAAACGAGCTTTGAGCCAAATGCGCCCCTTTGCCTCCGCACCTCATGACCCCGGCCCGCTTTCCCGACCAGACACAGACAAGGTCCGAAATATTGATTGCTCCATCGGCTCCGTGGCCAAGTGTAAGATGTTGGCCGTTGAGCCCATCGGCCAATTTTGGACGTTCGGTGTTTGTTGTGTATGTAAGATTTGCCGCCCGGCACCATTGGGGCCCGGGCAGTAGATATCGGTGCATGATGCACCAGGCCCTGGTGTTATAACAGCCACGGCAAGGATAAACTTCCAAAGGATGAGCTTCGGGGTGTCCAACGGAACAATTTTTCATTGGCAGCTGTCCTTCTGAATGCCATGCCATGTTCAAGGGATAAAGACGAACTGTTCCATCAACTATCGCATCACGGATATGTAGGTAGCCAGATGCAACCAGGCACTGCTTGCTGGATTGCTTGACCGTTGGTGACTGAGCTAGCAGACGAGGACCAAAAAGTAAATATCCTGCAATCTTATTGAGTTGAAATAGAGGGCGTGAGGTGATTAAGTGTTTAGGCTGGCGTGACCAAGGACCTTGGCTCTCCCTGGGCGATGGTCTCTGTACCTAGGCGATTCCACACCAGCTCTGGGTCAGTATGTGTTGCTGTGAGACCACATATGCAATTATCTCAGCCAAAAGGGTGTCTAACTTGTAGTTGTAGACGAAAGATTCAGCAACACTCGGCCAATAAAGTGCCTCCGTGCCTCACGAACACAGGTGCGGAATGTAATTTGAGGTAATCATGAATGGCTTGGAAATTTAGTGTGAGCCAGTCCTGAGATTACACTTCAACTTGCGGCAAGTGGTCAGAAGAGAAGTTAGCCCAGCTGTGTGTCTCTAGACAAAACTCTTTAATAGAGCGTCGTAGCAAGGAATGTAACATAAACATGTATTAGTGGAAATCGTACTTCCTCTGTGAACAGGGAGGGTCTCTCACACGCTTCCAGGTTCCTTGGTCCTCTCATACTTGTGACAGGCTTCCGAAACGACTTCAGCCATTTCAACTAAGTTGAAACAAAATTCACTAGTTAATCAGCACTGTGGTAAGATTCACAAAAGCTGTTTGCTCGGAACACGCCAGGACAAGCAAAGCTGAAACTGCCACTAGTAGTCGAGGGTCTTATAAGACTTCAAGTCATGAAGCTTGAGATTTTATGCAATTCAATGTTACTTCTTGCTATCGACTAGCATACAAGTTCTTTTCATTGAATGAGTCTCTTATTCAATGATTGCCGGAACTATCCACTGAACACAGCGGTTTGATGATTCCCAATGGCCCACGGCAGTGGCTATTAACAAGCTGCACATGTGTGTTCATTGCTGAGAATAATTGATAACACTTTCGCGATCATGCATGTTGAGAAGCTTCTGACGGCGAATCTCACACACCGCATTGTTGAATTAAAGCAAAAACTGGCATTCGCAGATGCAGTCGTATCAACAACGTATCTTTTGCCTGATTGGAGTACCAGGCTTGACGGTCCTATCACATGATGTCTTGCGACAGACATATTTCTTGATGGTTGTCTCCTCCAGGGTGGCACCGCAGTGAGCGCAGATGTATCTGGTGTTGGAATAGAAACACATAGTGGAAGTTACCTCCTTCTGGCATGGGGACTTGGTACTAGAGGTTGGTTGATCGCTAGGGAGTTCCTGGTTTTGTTGAATTTCGAGTCTAAGTATTCTTATATGCCTAATCACCACTGCTGTCATTCCAAACTCTGATGGATGACACGCAGCTGGTGAAAGTAAAACCAAACCCGAGATTCACTCGTTTCCATGGGCAGACTCAACTGCGTTTGTGGCCTTGGCAGTTATCACCTGTGACTAATTGGGTATTCGGGGATTCATTCACTATCTTGTGTTACTGGCGACTAGTTGCTACTTTGATGCACAGGGACACCAGGAAGCTACCTAGGTAATGAGTTGGGTTTGCGGGAACCATCTAAGTCAGAATATCCACTCACGCACCACCCCCTTCACGCACACGCATTTCCCACCAAAAAGCCCAAATTTAGACCTCTTATAACTAATTCTATATAAATACTATATATATAGTAAAATATTTATTAAGTTCCTTATTTTCTATCTATAAGATAAAGAAATAGAAAATAATTTTAAACTACTTCTAATAGGGTTAAATTAATATAAACAACTTTTTTTTATTTTTTATATATTAAACTATTATTATATTTTTAAAGCTAATAAATAATATATATAATTTATTTTAATTATAAAACTAATTATAAACTATTTATTAATAAAACTAAAAAGGCTACTTATTTTTAGAATCTTTCTTTAATTAATTATTAAAGATTTAATAATAAGTAGGTCGTTTTCTCTACTTTATTTTCTCTACTAATCTTTAATCTTTAATAATTAATTAAAAATAAATTCTAAAAATAAGTAGTTTCTTTATTTTTATTAATTAATAGTTTATAATTAATTCTATAATTAAAATAAATTATATATATTAATTATTAACTCTAAAAATATAATAGTAATTTAATATATAAAAAGTAAAAATTATTAATCTAACTATATTAATAATAATTTAAAATTATTATATATTTTTATAGTATATAAAATTAAAATTATAGATTTAATGAATATTTTATTTTATATATAGTATTTTTATAGAATAAAATAAAAAAGGTAAAAATCAGCTTTTTTGGTGGGATTTTGTGTGCGTGAAGGGGTGGTGCGTGAGTGGATATTTTGACTTACTGGCCATCACCCCAGACCGAGCGGTGGCTTATCTGCAGAACGATTTCAAACACTAAAAGGTATCGTGAAGGGATGGTCCCAATGTAACCTCTTAAGAATTTGTCTACGGCATAAGTGACAGCTTTTACAATGCGGCGCGCACTTGCAGCAGTAAGGCCCTCGAGACATTTTAAGGCTAGAACCCAGGAAGTAACCATACTAGGAGGAAGCTAGATACTACGCCCCCAGCTACCGCTGAATGGCTAGAGAGCCAAACGAAGGGAAGAATTGGTTTACCGTATTTCCTGCTTCAACCCCGAGGTCCGTCGAACAATGCCTTGAGACACCTGAACCACTCATCATAGATACATGGTCCTTCCATCAACATCGAGGCAACAGGTGGTTTCGTTTTTAATCCCCATACATATATAAAATGTATATGTTACCTTCATATAGTAGTAAACTCTCAAGATCCAGCGTTTAAAGAAAAGTATAGTGCCAATAACAGTGTAGAGAGAATGTAGTACGTGGGCACGTGGCCTCAGCCTCGTGCCGCACAGACAAGGCTGGAAGGCTTTGCTCCCGACGGCGCCGCTCACTAGAATCGTCGACACAAGTAGCCCGAGGGCTAATAACCGGCAAATCAGTCATATCGAGGTAATAGACACTCATACGTCTTTTTGAGCCTAAATTTCTAGGCATCTCAAACATTTTTGTCTCATCAAGATTCTATTGGTCGTCCCTGGTATGTCTCATTAGGTAGGTACAATGGGCCTCTGTGTCACCTATTGAAACTTGCCTTTGTCCCTGTTGACGCATTCGGCTTGCTGAGGCTTGGCTCAAAAATGCTCAACCATGGACCAAGACGTTTAGGACTTTTGCTCTCCTGAATTTAGTACTGCTCATATGTTTTGAGATTCATTTGGCCATTGCTCGCTCTCATTCTCCGAGACTCAAAATGGCGAGGACGATGCAAACATCGAGAAAAAGCGCACTGAGGACGAAGAGCCCTGCTCTTTCCTCCAGTCATGCCGAAAAGAACAGAGTAGAAGAGACTCCACCTGCATCCAAAGAGCCTCGAAACGGAATCAACAAGGCCAAGCGAGTGAAAACCAAACCCCCACCCAAGCGCGCGATGTATCGGCTGCGTTCACAGCTCAACAAGAAGGTAGACAGTCAAGATCAGGAAAAGCTAGCTCAGGAGCAGTCGCGGCTCCTCCGTCGAGCATCTATCGCTTTGGCCGAGGAGGGACTCGAACTTCCCGGGATTCTAGAAATCGCAGCAAGCAAGCTTCCCGACACAAAATCGAGCCCACACAGCGACAAGGAGGGCCGGCGGAGTAATGTTAGGCCAACGAAGCGTTACATGGACGAATCAGAATTTCTCGAACCTCAAGAGACAGACGAAATGGGATTGTTATCCCGGTACATTCCCCGTAAGTAATACCTAGATACCTCTTTTTCCGTTTCAAGGAAAAATATTGCCCATCTCTATCCCACATAACAAAAGACTTCACAGGCTGCAGCCTATAGGTCTTAAGACAGACTATGCCCACCTTGTGGCCTGCTCCTAACCGTATCCCTTTGGAGCTACTTGTTTAGTTCTTTGACGGCTAACCCCTAATGCTATAGATATCGGCATGCGACGCCGGGTTGGCAGGAAGCCCCCCAATATCCCCTTCGGTCTCTGGATGGCTTACAAACACATGGACGACTTTGTGTATCGACAGTCTCTGTCGGAAAAGGAAGCCTTTTCTCTTCCTTCCGATGAGGATGCATTCGCCTTTCAGAGCCACGACGGCGCCAAGCCGAGCCTTCCACCTGGTTTCTTCTGGGATGACAACAGGAGGCTTGTTGACGGGCGGCCTCCAGAGCAGCATGATGACTGATACATTTGGAGAGGTGGAAAGCTTAGCAATTGTCGTCCGAAGTCGTCGGTCACGGGCATGAGCTGACAAGGCATCAATGAATGAATGTATTTTTCGGTCACTGTATGAAGGCGTCATGTATGTCTTCGGACATATGCGGAATAGAAGTGAAACCAGACAAGGAGAGCAGAAGCTGATACGCGCCATATTTCCTTGGGAACGAAACCGCACTCATCACTCAAGTACATTGATAAAACACGTGTAAAAAAATTCCATCTCATTGGTTCAAAGTTTCACTCATCCAGCTTTGACTTTTGATTAGCCGGAAGTCGCAGCGTCACCTGAAACCTTCATGTGGCCGCGCAGATCGACGACATCATGATCTGGATTGACCCTTCTCTCCCTCTAAAGAATGTCATATCGGGTCGAAGGCGCTGTGATTGCGGGCCGAATATTCTACTGGTCACATGAGACTGACTGTATGGCCGATGAATAATGCCAGACATCACAGGCTGCATTTGCTGGATTGACTGACATCGATGCTTCCATGACTCGTAGAAATGGGAGGTCATTTGGCGTGAGCCAAAATGCTGGCCTGGTTAACGGGTTTGGGCCTGGAAATAGCATCTAATCTCCCGCTGAGTCGTATTGAACTGACCAATTTGGCAATGCGGAGCAGGCTACGACAGTAGTGTAGTTAGCTCCCGAGGTCTCCCAGTCTGGAGGAGCCGTATACACCCGCAATGTGTGCGTCTTGTTCTTTCAAGTACTGTGGTATGCACACATGCCATCCATTGAATCGTTCTTATTCTTCCCGTTGATCGACACAGGTCTATAAGGCGCTGTTACGGTCTTTCATGATGCGTTCTGCTTCGGCCTTGGCAGTCGGCCTGTGTGCGTCGCTCGGCGATGCCTGGCCCCTGTCCTTCAACGGCATCCTCAAGAAGCGCGCGTCGAGCTTCACACCTCTGAGATTCAACAGCGATGGGACTTTCCAGATCTCTGTATTTAACGATCTGCACTATGGCGAGGGTGGGTGAGACTTGCAAGAAACCCGCCTTGCCCCAACCCTTCAGTGCTTGGCTTCATCGAATAGTTGCTAACAAGTCAAGCAGCGCAGGGGACAGTCTCCGGTTGGTGGGCCGACTTTTTGTCCGACACGGTGATGAACTTGATCTTCTTCTATGAAAACCCGCAGCTGGTCGTCCTGAACGGTGATCTCCTCACGGGCGAGAATGCAGAGTCTGTCGATACTGCAACCGACAAGTTTGAACAGATCGCGGGTCGCATCCAAGCCGCCAACCTTCCATGGGCAAGCACCTACGGCAACCATGATTCAGAGTATTATTTGAGCCGAGACAACCTATTTTCGAAGGAGAAAACGTACACAAACAGTCTGACGCAAAACATGTTGGCAGAGTCGGCGTCGACAACAGACGTTGGAGTGACAAACTATTACCTGGAAGTCTTCAGCAGTGACGAGAGTGATAAGACCCCAAAGTTGATACTTTGGTTCTTTGACAGCAGAGGGGGGTGAGTAATGTCCCCAAATTATGCAATGCAACTCTCTGAATCTCCGTGAGATCGGAGCTGACAAGCGCAGAAACTACTTTCAGCGGGAGGACTCGAGTGGTCTCCCTGTAGGTCAGCCGAACTGGGTCGATCCCGCAGTTGCTTCGTGGCTCAGCACAGCTGCTGCAAACATCACAAGTACCTACGGAGCCACAATCCCGTCCCTTGCTTTCGTGCACATCCCCGTGCAGGCCTTCCTCAAGTTCCAGAATGCTGGGGTAAACGCGAACCAGGAACCAGGCATCAATGACGACAATCCGTTGAGTCCACAGGGTGTTGCATCCGGCCAAGGCGGTACTAAGACGGTGTACACATATTCTGGCCAAGACGTGGCCTTTATGCAGGCCCTCCTCCAGCTCGAGGGGCTAGAAGCTGTGTTCAGCGGCCACGACCATGGCGACGACTGGTGTTTCAAGTGGGACTCCCAATTTTCTGGAATGTCACTCGCTGGAAATGGTCTAAATCTCTGCTTCGGACGCAAGAGCGGACACGGTGGATATGGCAGCTGGACTCCCGCGTCGCGACAGGTGAAGGTCAGCTTGGGTGGTAACGGGGCTATTCAGCCTGTTGAGACTTGGATGCGCCAGGAGGGCAGCACAGTTAGTGGCAGAGTGACTTTGAACTCGACATTTGGAACAGACAGTTATCCAGCGGTTGCCAGTACAGACTCATGGGTAAGGTGAATAAGTATGATGTGGAGGTGACACCATCATACGATACCTAGGTGGTGTACTGTCACATGTCCTTTAGAAGATCTCTCAAGCTATTAGTACCTACCTAGGTACTTAAGTAAGTAGTCTAAATGGATTCACTAAGGAATAATGGGCATGTCTTTTTACACTTGGTTTGCATTAAGCCTTCACCAATTCTGCGTTATGCTCCTGTAGAAGGGGGTTCCTAAGAAGTCGTGTCTACAAATACCACTTGCATTGGTCCATGTATGTCCTCGGACGTATACGGAATAGAAGTGAAACCAGTTAGTTATTTAGACCCGCACTTATCCTCCACGCCTTCGCTTGATTTGAGTCTGTTCTGCCTGTGTGAACGACTGTTTGTATGTCCTGGAGTCTGTGATGCCTGAGTTGTCCAACGCATCCTGTAGCTTGGTATCTAATTGATCGTTCTCCAACCCCCTCTTCAGTCCACGGGCATCATTTGCCTCTAGTTGTTCCATTCGATCGAGAAACCGGACTGCCAACGCCAAACCAGTCTGTTCATCCCTTGCCCGCCTTACCTCAGCTACTGTCATTCCAATAACTTCATCTATAGCTTGAGAAGTTTCATTCCTTAGATCTTCATTGATGGCAAGAATGTTTATCCAGGTTCGTACAATTCTTGCCAACTTTGGGTCAGAAATCTGCAAGAACGCATGTAGAGCCGCTCGTTGAAGATCTGTATCCTCTTGTATTTTGCGTCTCACTATCGGAACAAAAGCAAGCGGCCCTCTGGTACTGGAACCTTCCTCAGCCTCGGCTTCGCCACGGAATAGTTGCAAAACTTTATCGAGACCATTCTTCTCGGCGAGGATACTGACGTATATTGCCTCGCAATCTTGCGTGGCTTCGGAAAATCGAGAATATGGGTCCATGTCTATACTTTTCTTGATGTCTCCCAGTCTCAAGAGAACGGTACCAGTCCCCTGGGAAGTAGCTTCCAGGTGTTCCCGTAGAATTCCAATAGATTTTCCAAGCTTCCCAGGCCTATCGGCAGTCCCAATTAGGGCCTCCGCAGCCAAGTATTGTGAATATCTGACTTGGTACCCTAGAAGGCGATGAAGTTCGACGAGATCCTGCCTCAACAGGTGATTCATGCGTTGGAAAATGCCTTCCACACCTACAGCAGACGCATTCGATATGACGGTTTGAAGATTTGTGTTAATTCTTCCAGAGTCCCGTGCAATATTTTGGCACAAATCCTGTATCCTTTTGAAGTTTCCTGGCCATGTTCTCCTTTCGTAATGGAGTCGCAATTTCATTATCTTGTAGCCGGCCGCCCTCCAAGTCACCGAATCCAACCAGTGCAGAAGCAGGTATTGCCGTTGGGCTCGTAAGATAGCTGGGGCAGTCTCAAAAATGAAAACGTACACATCCTGATTCTTGACCAAAGGAACTAGCTGATCATTAGCTGATTCCAGTTACAGGCCCGCCGTTTTATTGGTACCAGTCACCCAAGGCCGGCGGTGGTAATTGAGAATGCTTACTGAGCAAGGCTTCGAGATTGTCATATCGACTGACTAGCTTGGCTTGACGTGGGTACGTCTCCATATCCAAGCTCGCTGCGCTTGTAATTTTCAGAGCTTGGTGGCCGTACTTCGAATGATTGTTCTCCCACCACGATGATTGTAAAACGTTGGCATAGGTTGCGGTTGGTAGGAGAGTTCGAAGGCTGTATACAGGAGCCGGTGGAGAGAGCAGGTAGGTGTTATAAGCTCCTCTGGTAAAGCTGGTGTATAATCCGCAACTAACAGCCATTTGGCTTTGAAGATAAACTTGAGGATGAGACCATGGCCAGTCGCTTGACTGTAAAATGGGTGCAAAAGAAGATGGGTCATCTGATTGACGGGGGATCAAACAAATGTCTGAGCCCCAGACCTAGAGGTAGCATCAGTCAACCCAGATTTCAAGGGCACCTGGGCAGCTCGCAGCCGAGCCGGTTGTTACCTGGTTGTCAAAAGCCTTTCCTTCTTCGAGGAAAACCTCATCTTGGAAACTGTGAAGCCTTAGATATTTGTCGCATGATACTCGGAAGAATGACGAGCTGAATTCCATTCGGGCTCTCGCGAAAAAAATCCACATACAAATATTGCCCAATAGCCTTATAATTAGTTTCAGGGCCAATGGACTCATCTCCCAAAGCGATTAAGTGGTTTTCCATCTCATGGGTGAGTGTCAGACGTGAAATGCCACCAAGAACCAAATTCGGGTATTGAAGCATCTCGGTGTGAGCATCTGGATGTGATGGGTGGGTTAGTCATGGCTTGGCCTAGAAGATGTGGTGGAAGACTTCGTGGATAAAGTATGTCAAATCACGGTTTCATGGGCTTGACCACTTAGTTGTGTCGGGAATGCATCGGAAGCGCCATAGAGGATATACATGTATGACTCACAATTACAAGCATGCTAAATGTTGCTGTGAGTTAGCAAAACAGAATGAAGCTCAGCAGAGGCACTTACAGCAAGTTCGTGCAGCATAATTCTAGCTAACATGACTTGGTAGCCGGCTTTTTCACTCTCAGTGTACTGATCAACTAAAAGTGGCCAAACGAAGTTTACACTAAGACAAAGGCGATATGAAAAGTCGCATGTGGCCTCATCAACTTCCCACATCGCCAGACCATTGTGATTCGGGACACCTTCGACGACGGACCATTTCAACTCTAAGGTAGGATGATTGCATTAGCTTGATTCAAAGTCCAGTGAAAGGTAGGCAACTTCAGGTTGACGTACTTCCTTCGCTTGTTAATATTCCCAGAGTTGCTCTCGCAGCCTCAAATCGAAGGTCAAAGAGTCTCCTTGCGGAAGGATACATCTCATTTCGATCGATATTAAGCCACAACGAGCGGTACTCGCGATAGTCACTCTTTTGCTTCTCTGCTCTGGTTCGCCCATCCTTTTCTCGGGGAACCTTGCGCATATGATAAATCCCAGCCAAAAGCATCCTCCAGTGCGGATGGTTTGATCTGATGATCCTTGAAGCTAACTTGATGGACGGTAGTAAGGCATTCCATACTGCGTCATTTTCCTTGTTCCAAGCTGTTAGAATGGAAGTTCTGCCGCAAGCTGGCCCCTTCAATCGCGGAATCCCACCTTCGCGTCGTATTTACGCTCTCCCTCGCCAAAATTGTAACTTAAGTCGAAATTTTGAAACGTTGCTTTCCGTTTGTTTTTACCATGGTCAGGTACTGGCTCTTGCGTCCACTTGTCCCGATCGAACAATCTGCGGGTTGTGAGCAGAGTTGCTGCCTGCATCGACCTAGAAGGAAACTGACCGATGAATATCGCTATCTGGGAGGTCTGATGCAGGGATCCCGAGATCTTGAGAATATACACCCAAATCGTTCAGCTATAACCATGTCAGGTATGATCAGATCGCAGTACAAGATTGATGGCAAAGTCATGGTCATGGATTCACGTGCACGCAGTAAATTTTGCCATACCTCTTGACTCGTATATCCTCCAAACCAGAAAGTCTGGAAGCCTTGCGTCCACTGTTCGGTAGTTCCCGGACCAGTGGCATCCAGCTGCATAGGCGCTACGCCAACGTTGGGTGTCAAGCCCGATCGTGCTTCCCCATTCTCATTTTCGGGCACGGAGGTGTTTATTCCCCACCTCCTGTAATGTGTAAGTCTGTGCATCTCAAACTAGCAAGGGATCTTCAAGGTGGCCGAGCGGACTCACCGGGTGTAGTTGGTGCGTGCTATCCCTTCATCGACCGGCAAGATTGCAGGGCGCATTCGCTCCCCCCTAGACGCTCTTGTCTTTGTCCCGTCAACTGTAATCTCGAAGGCAGGGTCCCAATTTGGATGTGTCCAGTAGGGTACGAATCGTTTCCACCAGAAACGATCTGTTCTTGACCTCCCTTCCCACCCCAGCTCTTGGAGCTTGTCTTCGTCCTCGATGCTCCATGGACCTGGGAAAGCCCCGGCATATTCATCGCAGATTCCATCTGGCAAATCGTCTTCGTCGAAAGAGATATGGCTATCTGTGTCGGAGTGGCTATCTCCTGCCGATATGCCGGGCACAAGGTTGGCCGCGGCCTCTGAGGAGCCTTGGGATAATTCCATCAATCAACACTCCCTTTTTCTCACGTACTACCTACAAAATTTTAGATTTGGAATGTTTTAGAATTAGAGACAAGGCGTAATTTCAAGGTGCGCAACCTTGGTGAACAAAGCATACTACAATCGAGCAATGATGCCGTGACAAGACAATCGAGATCACTGCCGGATGCAGCCAAAATGCCGGGATGTAATTCTACCAATCCCGACACTGCGGAAAACAACCTCAAACACAAAAGGGTCGCGAAAGAAATAATTTCCCCTAACAGCTACTGAAGAGTCGGGCCAATACGCTAGCTGTCTGCCTAGGTCGTAGAAACATGTTGCGATGGGTGGCATACCATGAGATGACTGAGCATTGATCTCAGTAGTGATCGCTGAAAATTGGTGGGCCAAATGTCAGCGCCCTAAAACGCATCTGGTGCCTTGGATATTTGCTCGTAGGATGTCTTTGTGCCGAACTTTTGACGGAACTTCGTCGCCGCGGGGGCTCGCTCTACGGTAGACTTCTACCATCCGACATTCGACATGTATTGGGTTTGGGAGAACTAGCGTTTTTTTTCCAGGTTTTTTGCAGTCGCCGCCATGAAGCCCGCTCTGGAAAACGCCGACGGAATAGATCACGACAAGCAGGCTAGCCAATGGCTGCGGCTCGCACAAGTAGTGGTTGCGCCTTCTCTCGCGACACGGTCGAACCTTAAACCTCGATGATCGCAGAAAATGGGACGATACAGCATCTATGTTTGCTTAGCGACCATCGTGGCAGTTGCACGGGCGCCCTGGGTAACCGAGAACATGCGGGAATGTTGAGTAGTCGTCGTCGAATCCCCGCACCGCCACATCATACCCAGTCTCAGGTGGCGACAATCCGGGCAGGGATCTGCAGTTAGACGTCAACGTGTGAGGTCATCAGCCACACCTACACCTGCTTGACCTGGCAGCCTGGGCACCCATCCAAAAACACCCCAGAAGGCTGGGGGTGCGTTTGTTTGTACTCAGTGCTGACATTACATCACACCCTTCCTGCTGGACCCTGTTTGTGTTACTCTGGAGCTTGGAAGACGCACATATAAATTCGTCGTGGTCTCTTCCTTGGGCACCAAGTTTATTCCTTTTTGTCACCTCATGATCACAAAAGACAAATCGTGCAAAACCAGTCAACTCTTATTCAACAAATAAACACAAACTTGAGAACCGACGCCGCCCAACCACCACCACCCGAAAATGTCTGGCCTTCTCGGAAACGACAAGAACAAGCAGGAGGATGGCCTCGGTGTTACCGGGGCAGCCAAAACTGGCACTGGCAGTAAGATATCTCGCCACAATTCCCCTTCAGCAACGTCTAATCATTGACTTGAAACAATAGTACTTGGAAATACCGTTTCCGGACTAACCAACACCCTTGGAGGAGTTGTCGGCGGTGCCAGTCGTGGGGTAGGAGAGACGGTAAGCTTCTGTCATTCTTCAGGTGTCGGGATTTAATGTCCCTCCTTCCAAGGCTCGTACCCGTAACACCTACTAACATTTCCTAGGTCAACGCAGTCACTGGCGATGTGGGTAAGCCCCTGGGAGATGGAGTGAGCAACGTGGGCACCAGCGTTGAGGGCACCGGGCAAGATATTGCGCAGTCGGCTCGCGACGCTGGCCAGTGGAAGACCAACTAAAATCCTTTCAGAGTGCTGCTTCTCAGTATGAATTATAATGACAAACTTCAAGGTCAATGGGGAATGGAGGACAAAGACTGCTCAATGTCACCGAACGAGAGATACCTTTAATACAGATTAAGTTACTTGCGCTTACGTCCGGCATGTTTCTTTTGCCAATGTAATTCCGTTACAAGTCCGGGAAATAGTAATAGACTCTAGGATAAAGGTTGGTAATGTCATGATAAATATTATCCGCTAATAAGGTAAATCCCAAAAGTCGAAGGTGCTCTTGGAACTCATTACTCTCAAAGATGTCGCGAGTGTAATTAGCAGTGACCTATAAGCTGGTCTGGGCCTGAAGACTACCAACGACGACAAAGAGACTGTAGAGGTAGGCAGTCGCTTCCGGACATCGAAGAAAGGTCATGGGGCTGGCAGCAAGGACTTCAGGAGTCAACTTGGAAGTTTCTTTTGCAGCTTTCGCCGAAAAGCTAAAGGGCTGCTCTGGCCTAGGCTGCATACTACCTACATACCTAGGTATGTACTTCGGTAGGTGCTTAAGTATGTACTTAAGTATCCTGGTAACCTACCAGTAGGTGTTCATCAAGGTCTAGATAACCTGGGTCTATTTGCTTTTTCTTTTTTTCTCTCTTGTTTTAGCTGTTCACTTCCTACCATCTGGCTACCTAGGTACTTTCCTTATCGTCCAGATTCCAGCACGCAAGCCGCCATGAGTAACGTTAGAGTTCTTCACATTACTTACTCTTCCTGCCTACCCTTTAGGACGGAGAAAATCTGATACAACTACCAGCAATTGAGCCAACAAGCTGCCACATGAGACTGAACCAATAGTCTTCAAGATCGCACACTAGAGTAAGAGAACGGGAGGTGTCCGAGTGCTTCAAGTATTACGAAGAATGCGGCAAAGGTGCATGGTCAAAAGTTCAACTAAAGTTCAAAAATGAACATGGAATTACAAGGGGCCCCAGGGGTAGAAAAGACCTTGCCTAGATTTGATCCACAAAAGCAAAAGCTATAGTGAATCCTCCCTGTGGTCGCCGCTGATTGCAGCCGGCTCTTGGCAGCCGGCTCGCCCAAGCCGTGCGCCTCTCAGGCTCTCAGACTGTCTGCACCAGGGAGCCGTACAGGAGATGAGAGCCCCAGAATCAGTATGTTGTTGAGAGATCTCTGCACTGCACAGTGTTCTAGGATTTGTGGTGAGCAACATCTGGAAGTGCTCTGTCGGCGCTTCCCGAAATCGCCGACCCGAAATCGCCGACCCGAAACTTAAAGTTCCAGTCAGGTAAGGCATTATGTCCGGCTACGTGCTGGACTTCGTCACACCGCAGGGCCTCCTCCTATTTTGCGGGGACTAGCTCTACCCTCGAGCTGTTAGGCGGGCTGTCTGAGAATGGGCATTCCCCAGTGCCAAATGCCACAGTCACTAGCGCGCACCCCGTGCCTGCAGCAAACGCCAAGATCCAAGTGCAAGGGCCTAAGGCAGACTGCATGAAGCTCAGTGCGAGGCTTCCGGCAGTGCTGGAGCAGAATCGGGGCCGTCGTGGAGTACGAGCACCAGGCCCGCCTTTACGGCCATTCACCTTGTGTACACGGTACACCTCAAGCGACAATGCGGCTGGCCGTGACGGACCACTCGGAGCACCAAGTCGAACCGCACGTCCGACCCCCGCTCCTCAAGTCCATCAATGATGTTATAAATATCAACACCATCGCCCTGCAACACCAATCGTTTACCTGTGCACCGTCATTCTCCCTCACTGTCCAACCTCCCAATCTCCGCCAACGCCCACCATGAGCAAGTTCTCCCAAGCCCCCCACAAGGTCGGCGGCCTAGCCCCGTTTACCTTCTCCATATCCAAGGAGGAGTTGGACGATCTCAACACGCTCCTCAAGCGACCTTTCCCAGCCGTCTGGGAAAGCAGCAGCCAGGAAAACTCACGTTACGGTGTCACTCACGAGTGGTTTTCCAACGCAATCTCGCAGTGGAAGAACTATGACTGGCAAGTTCCAAAGCACTTGAGTTGATGCCGACCAATCGTTGAGGCGAGACTAATCAGGATCACAGGCAAAAGTACCAGGATAGCATCAATGGCGTGCCAAACTTCAAGGTACCAGTCGAGGACGACGGCGAGACATACAACATCCACTTCGCAGCCCTGTTTTCTCAGAACAAGAACGCCACTCCCCTCCTCCTGAGCCACGGCTGGCCCGGTAAGTTCATGGCAATATATATCCTGCGCACCCTGGCACATCGTACTAACAGCATCAGGCTCATTCCTGGAGTTCCTACCAATCCTCAACAAGGTGCAGAAGCAGTACGCCTCTGACCCTGCATCTCTACCATACCACCTCATTGTCCCGTCCTTGCCCGGATATGGCCTCACCAAAATCTCCGCCAACAAGAACATAACCATGGAGATCTGCTCTCGAATCCTCAACAAGCTGATGGTGAAGCTCGGATTCAACCAGTACATCGCACAAGGAGGCGATGTTGGCTCGATGGTCACCAAGATGGTCGTGGAGGAGTACGAGGAGTGCATAGGTCAGTTTTTCCTACCGCTTCGATCATTCTTCGTGGCGGTTGAGCTGGGTGCATTTCATGGAAGTGGCGGAGCTGACACTGTGGTCTTTCCCAGCCGGACATACCAACATGCTCACGTTGAACCCGCCGGAGGGCGATGTCCCCAAGCCGACGCAGACCGAACAGGAGGCTCTGGATCGTAGCGCGACGTTCTGGGCGTCCGGCTCGGCTTACGCTCTGCTCCATGGCACCAAGCCATCCACAGCCGGCTTTGCCATTGGAAGCAGCCCTCAGGCTTTATTGGCGTGGTGGGTCCATTTTCTTCCCATCCCGAGTCAAATTGCACCATGAGTAGTCGTTGTGGATGCAACTGGGGCGCTGACACCCGACTATTAGGATCGGCGAGAAAATGATCGATTGGTCGGACGAGACCCCCTCCGTTGAGACCATTCTCGGCAACGTTTCTCTCTACTGGTTTACGGGCTGTTACCCAACTTCAATTTGGCCCTACCGTCAGGTTGGTAACCCATACCTAATGTCGAGGCATTCGTCGCGCTAACAACTAACGGCGTTTTGATAAGATTATCGGCCCAGATGCGAAAGACCGCATCGCGGCGGGCAGCATGGACAAAGTCAACAAGCCGTTTGGATACTCCTGGTTTCCTATGGAGCTCGGTTTCGCCCCAAAGAGTTGGGCTGATGCGACTGGAAAAGTTTCCTTCTACAGGGCACACGATAAGGTAACGTCGCTGAGTAGATCCTTCTTTCCGGAAGCCTTACTGACGATGGCCCGTTCCAGGGAGGCCACTTTGCCGCGCTCGAAGTGCCCGACGTCCTCTGGCAGGACATTGTGGAATTTGTGGACTATGTCAATTCCACAAGGAAGTAAGGTTATGGAATATCACCAGGGCAGATCATCAAAATGCGGCGAGACGCCAGCTGCGGTTAGAGTACCACAATGGAATATGCCAGAACTTGCACTGTCAACTTGGGTTCGATACTGAGCGGATCTTCTTTTCAGAGTGACATTCCTGGCCTAACCAGTTCTGCTCAGCTGTACTCAGAGTCGTCCTTGTACCGCGTGTCACGTGACCTCGTGATTGTGCAATTGATTATGTATGCTTTGAAACTAGTTTCTCACGTGGCACGAAAGCAAATGAGAACAACAGCGTTGGGTCGCCGCTTACCTAGGTAGACTTGTCTTGAAGTCCGCGTGACAAAAGCAAGCTAGAGCGTCATGCCGGACTCTGCTAATCATGTCGAATATGTGTATGATTTAGTGTACGGGCAGATTACTTGTGGCAGTAATGGACTCTTAGGTGGAAAGGATAAGACAAATGTTGGGAATATCGTCATCATCAACCACTTTCAACAGATAGTACGGAACTAAAAGGTGCTCAAGATCTCACACACAGTCTCGATGCACAGTGAAGTGACCGGACTCCTAACCGGCGGCGGTTATCATCGTGATATCGACCCACTGCGTCAAACCCTCGTCGAATATTTTCATTGGTCAACTCCTCGCCGAACAAGGTCTGGGCTCATGTTGGGGCAGGGGCCAGTTGACATCTTTGAGGCCTCAGGCTACGCATTCCAAGTTGTAATCGCTTTGTTCCGCGGCCTTCTAGTTAACGCCGCCGTCAAGATGGTGCCCCTTAGCCTTATCTGTATGTTGCAAGGCTGAGGTCATAAGTACTTATCGTATTTTAAATACTATATTAATATTATATACTCTTTAAGTGCTAGGTCTTAAGTGTTTATTATTATATAAAGGCGCTATCTATATCCTCGGGTGTATACGGAATAGAAGCGAAACCACGTATGGAATAGAAGTGAAACTAGCTAAGTGGGAGCGACGAATTGGAGAGCGAAGGACTGTGTGAAGAGAGCTGGAGTTTCCGCTGAGAACGAGCTAATCAGTCCCCACTTGAAAAGTATGAATTTATTACCACTCACTGTATGCAGGCGCCACATATGTTTCATATTATATGTATGAGGATCAGAAATGAAACCACTCTCCCGAACTTCTGTGTACCGTAAGGGATGTCGGTCTTGATTGATTTCATAGAAGTGTTTCGCCTTGTGTTTAATATGAATGACAGTATTGCTCATCGAGAGGCATTTCCTATTCTACCCCCACCATGCTAATCCGGAAATATATTATCCAAGCAAGTCATGAGAGCGGAATTTCAGCATCCAAATTAGTTGAAAAAGGGAAGTAGAGTTGGGATCAGCTCTGGTCATAGCTGGGTTAGGTCATGGTGCTAGTCTGGGCATGTTGCCATATGTCGTGTCACGAGAGGAGAAATAGAGACAAGGCAACTATCCTCAATACACCAATTATAGTTAAGTCAACACTACCTTCTATATGAGGGGGAAGGTTTGAGGGGATTGTAAAAGGAAGGCTAAGGTCCTAAAGTGGGTGGGCGACTAGGCCACCACCGGATGACTACCTAGAGCATGAAGCCAGTTGGGGCCCCTAGGCACACACACACACACACACACTTACATATGGAATAAAAGTAAAACTACTAGTAGATAATTTATATGTTATTGCTTCCTACTCTCAAGGAAGCCTCGAAGGCAAACACTTTCGTTTCATTGCTCTTCCAACCCTTGAGCCCATTATTGTATTATTCATTCAATGTTACTGGTTGCTATGCACAGATAACAACTTGAACTTGTGAATCTCAAATCATACATAACCGCTCAAAGACGAGGGGCCCACAACATGGTGCGCAGCGTGTATTCGCAAAGTGGGCTGTCGAACGGAGTGACCATTGTCCATTTCCGTTGCTTTATTACAAAATTCTGTACGTGGCACTAAGCGAGGGCCCCTTTTCCTACCCGTCTCGATGGCCTGGAGCAATGTAAAGGCGTGAGCTTTTCTCCAGGTGATCCAGTTTCAACAATACCTACATCATAGCCTCAAGTGCTTACACACTGAATCCTCTCGAGCGAGTTCCAAGCCCTTTGGGCGCTAACACCTTTGAAGCTTCTTGGAGCGCAAGGTGCCTTGCACCACGTACCCTAGGGTACTGAGCAGGGGTACTAAAGCACCTCCATTAGGCGGGAGCTCTAACCACGCTACTTGTCAAACACAATAGTATGGGATCATAATTTCCTGACCGCGAGTCCACAACCTCGCGATCATTTATGCAGATGTAAGCACGAGGTACTGCACGTGGAAGACAGCAAATCGGAGACATACCTTATCGCAACATGTGAGAGTAACTAATGCTTCCCTGGCTGGGCATATCTACACCTACTAGTAATTACACCATTAAGCAGGCAGTTAAGCGGTCCAGTAGAGGGGCTTTGGGCAGCAGTATTTTGTTCACAGTTCAACGCCTGATGGTGTCCGCTCTCTCGGACTAATCGAAGGACGAAGATCTCACCGGTAGGGTGTAGGCACCTGGACATTGAGGTTGTCAAGCACTGCCTAATGGTAGAACTCTCCACAAAGGTCAAGCACTTATTAAGGGCTGGTTGCTCTTCCACGGAACCTTGGCAGGTTACGTGAGACAGTGCTAAAGATCGTGGCGCCATTCACAGCATGCAGTCTGGAACCAACTCGTAAATTCCTCTTGACCTATAACAAGAATGTCAGCGTGATCCTTGTATCTGATTGAAGGAGTGTCTGCTAATTCCATTTTGCTCGTGGGATACAGCCTTCACGCTACTTGCTGTCAGCATTGAAACAGGCTTACGACGTGAACAAGGTGCCATCAGCCGCATTGGATGGTCCAAGGGAGATCGGAGCCGACACCCGCCTGGTGAGAATCCGATGCAACAGTCCGAGGGACCGACACCCGACCCCAAGATTCGGTCCAAAAGTGCCAAACTGCTGTTTATGGACTGGGTGGGAAGGCTCCTGGGGCAGTTGGCCCTAAAATCTCATCCCGAGAGGGCAACCTAAAATAGCTCTCGCCCTATTGCATGCGCTTGGGCAGCGCTTGCCAAATAGCGGCGACTCGCTGGCGACGGGTTGACATACCGGTGGACCACGATGGATCAGGGCTTGTCAGGTTGGCTGTCTTTGACCAACCCGGCAGAACGAGCTGAGCCACGCCTCTTTCTCTATAGGATCATCCAGCTTAGTCCCATCAAATCTCAGGCAGCTTCCTTGAATTAGTAATCTAGTTTAGTGCAATACTATGTGGGTAAACACGACATATAAAGCTTGATTGTCAAGACGCAGATTCACTTTTCTAACATGTCTTCGTTACCAACACATCTACCAGTTGACCACAGCTCACTGACTAGACAATAAGCGATTTGGCGGCATTGCGAGGCTCTTCTAGTTCTCGAAAAAGACTGAAGACGAAAGTTTGCACTGCACGACAAGGTTCAAGTCCAGAAAAAATGTCTCGTCTCATCGACCAGCTGCCATCACCGGCCTTTGTGAGGGAGAAGAAGGTGATCGTAACAAGCCGTAGCAGATCAGGCACCTTTTCCCTCTACCAGGCCCTCCAGATGCTGGGTTATCGACCATACCACATGTACGAGGTCCTTCAATCGGCCACACACATGGGAATATTCGAAGAGGCACTGAATGCAAAATACTTTGGTGTTGGCAAGCCCTACGGCAAGGCCGAGTTTGACAAATGGTACGTGCTAGATAGTGTATAGACATTTTTATGCTTCAAGCTCCTCTACTAAGCCAGCATCCTTCAGGTTTGCCAATTTTGACGCACTGGTGGAGATCCCAGCTTTCTTTGTCGAGGATATCATTGCAGCGTATCCCGACGCGACCTACATTCACGTCGACCGCGATGTGGAAAAATGGGAACTGTCAATGTCCAACGTTCTGAGAACGGTGGAACCGCTTCTCGACGCATCATACATGAAGGCCATGGCCACCTATGACATCTTCATTCGAAGATACATCTCCTTGCACGTCATGATGCTTCGCGTCTTATTACACGAGCGGAAAAGCAATGATCCCGTGGGCCTAAAGCTCTTGAAGGATGATTATTTGGAACTGTGAGTCCTGAAGTCGGGGTTGTACGTTGTGCCTCACATGGGAGAATACTAATCCGGATATACAGGACGCAGCAAGTAAAGAAGCTGGTTCCAAAGGAGCAACTAGGATATTTCACACTGGAAGATGGATTCGGGTGGGAACAGATCTGCCCACACCTCGGAAAGCCAATCCCAGAACAACGCTACCCTCGTGGCAATGCGCCGAAGGAATTCGAATCCCTTACGATGAAGATACTGGGTCCATCTTTCAAGAAAGCAGCAGTGATCTTGGTATCGATTGTATTGGTACCAGTTATTGGAATCGGTGCTTGGGTCTATGGTTCGTGGCATGAGTGATAACCTCCAAAGCTAGTGCTTGATGCCTACCTAGGTACACAAGTACTATGTACTTAGGTATGCTATTCTCGGGCATCGGCGACGGAGGTTCTTTTATTTGATGCATTGGCTCATCAGCCACTGCCTTAATTAACGTGATACGTGTGACGGTAGGGGCTCATAAGGTGTTGGGATAACCACTTCTCTCCACTGAGAAATTGATTATGATGTTTCTTTGGTAGAAGAATCCCATATTCTAGCATTTAATACAATAGCCTGAGGTAAGCCGTCTCGGCATAATTGATTCGTTGCCAGGCTTTTATTGCCATACTGACTAAATGCTCAAGTCGCACTGGACGCCTTGCATTGGCTGGAAGGCCTACATATGTAGAGATTGCAGGGCAAAGGTCCATATGTGATTGATGTTTCTTTCACGACCGAATGTTCTAGCACCAGCAATTCTACTAGACATGGCAGGACTGTTTTTGGTCAGACAGCTTCACGTGCACCAAGGCCGACAGCAAGAAGAGCTTGGGTTGATAGAGACTTGACCTACCCTATGGTAGCATTGTAGCTTGGATGAGAACTTCGAGTGAAGCGAGTTAGGATCTTATGGCAAGATCATCACAGTGAAGCAATCAATGACGACTGGCCGACGTGAAACGGATTTTGCAAATCACGAGCGTTTCATATCTTCATTTTGGTTCATAAACTCGTCTTGTCAGACGTCATTGTTGGAAGCTCAATACAAGCCGCTGAAGTGTCATTACCTTCACTAATGTGGCGTTCGTCGCTGATGCCACAGCTCTGCGTGCTCTCGCTCCTTCCACAGCAGGGATGCGATAGTCCTCAACGAAAACTCTGCTAAAATTGTGATCAATGGCAATACCGGCGTTGTATTAGTGAAAGATCAGGAGATAGTTTGTGGCTTTTCCGGGGAAGCAATGGCTGAGTGCGCAAGGGAAAGGGCCTTGTAGACTGTCCGAAGGCAGGCTAGAAAACCTGAATGGGATCAAGCATTGAGTTACTTAGGTAAGATAGAGCCTTGCATGGCGGATCCGCAAACACATGTCTTGCATCTTGATTTCGTACAAGTTCTCCTAAATACGACACAGAGGCATAATACGAGTGGGTGATGACAGGGATGTTTCAAAACGACCAAGATAGATCAAGACCAAAGAAAAGTGGAGAGTGCAATGACGGGCAAGGAATGATCCTGAGATCGATCTCAAAGATGGAGAGGGGCAGAGGCAAATATCAAAGTCTGAGTGAAGGGAGACAAGAAAGCCGGATGTTTCGTGGTACTTATATATGTACAAGGTAAGAAAGCAGGCATGGGCCAGAAAAGGCAAGTGTATAATATAAGTACATCCATACGTGAGGGAGGTGGTCCAATTTCCGGCGGTGATCAACTATGAAAATGAAAGAGTACTGGGTGATCAGGCCAGGTGAGGGATCTGCGGCCTTGTATGAGCCCTTAGTTGTAAAAAGTAGGTAGGTACTGCATTGAGATACCTAGGTAGTGGAAAGAGCACGGTACTCTGAGCGCTTAGGTGGCTTACAACAATAGCAAACAAGTAGTTACCTTGTTTTTGGAGAGAACCAGGGCTTTCATTTTCTTTATGTTCTTTCTATTTATCAAGTCCACTCACATATTGAATACCTACACTGAAAAAATCCATACTTACCTAAGGGCTAAATGGTACCATAGATAGCTAAGAGATTTCGGAGGAGAGAAACTGCTACGTTCTAAATGCTCACAACCTTCTGAGCACCCGCTGCCGCCGATTAACCGGTAGACTCTAAGGCTGTCTGTAAAATAACGGATGTGGACTATGAGAACCTGTGTCTGGGAGACATGGATCACATCAATTGTTCTCCATTTCCATCCCGGGTAGAGTACGACCACGGCGACCACTGTGCCCACAAACTTTTTCCTTTCCTCTCCTCTTCTTCAGTAATTGAGAAATTAAGTCATTCAATTGATTTGGGGTTTATTTGACGCCTGTTCCCATCAAATTCACTGCTCACATGCCACAACTGCCTTCCACAACAACTGATCACCGCACGGTACTAGTGAACCGAAACTTTCCGAGAGTGTCACATATATACGTGCTAATTCCTGAGAGGTGACAATGACCTTCCCCTTACTAGGCGATATTCAATTGGGGCATGAATCATATCGATTAGTTCCAGTGCGTGTTGGGCCGCTAGTATTTGAGAAACCGTAAATGTTGCTGTTCAACCTTAAGACACCTGGGCACATGCAGACACCTACACGAGCTCAACAAGTTGCGCATCATACTAGGGCCACTTTCCCCAGACATTACCCCCAAAAAGAACATCAGAATTTTTAAGGTTAGACCTAAGAATTAAGGTTAATCTAGTTTACGGAGTATAATTGATCTGGTATGGAGGTTTCAACTAACGTACGGGGTAAAAGTCTGGGGATTTCAGATCCGGTTCCGCCCGATCCCGACAACACCCGTTGAGCTTTACGTGTTTGGGCCACCAAAGGGGCACTGGGGCCGTGACATAGCATAGGAAAACGTTAAGACATAGTTTAGAAAATGGCGCGAAATGGCGCGCTGCTGTGTAGGCCTGCATGCATAGTAAATTGAGGCTAGAAAACGCCTCAGACAAATCCGACCGACGTTTAGTGTGATCTGCAGCTTTGCCATGCACGCGGAACCCGTGGGCCACGTCCCAAGGCCGGAGCAGGGAACATACCTGACGCACACGCACACTACTCAGCGACCACGGGAGAGCAATGGCACGTGAGGCCTCGTCTCGTTACAACTCTCCTGCGACACTGCTCTCATATTCCTGTCAGAACCGGCAGTTAATGGCTCAAGTGACCGTTGTCGATCGTAGACCGACAACAACCTTCGAACTTTGCGCGCCAGGAACCTGCTCCCAATTTTTTCCAGGACGGGTTGCGCTTGGCGTGTGTCGTTAGTCGCGTCCGTCTATTCTTTCCCGACTAGAAAACGGCCATGTAACATCATCGTAGCCGAGCCGATCTCTGCGCACTGTAGCCAACCGCATGGCCTGACCGCGTGGTTGACGAGTGCTTGGCGGTTACCTTATGGCACTACTTCGGACAAAACAACGCTGGGAGAAACCGAGATTATGGTTCATTTTGGTGCAAGTGCGCTTTGTGGATATGAGCCATCATTGAAGCGAGTGGCGCTCTGCAGAAATGCTGTCCTGCTGGCAGGCATCGACCACCACGATGGCGATTCTGAGATGTGTGACCCGAGGCAGAGTCAGGATGCGGCAGGCTTGCATGCAGATCACTGTTGTCACTTGGCAGGGCACATGCTGCTCAGGCTGGATGTGGCTTGGACAAGCTCTGCGGCTCTTCTGGCCTGGCGCCGGCACTCCTGGGCGTCGTCGGAGGCTGACGTGGCCAATAGAAGAAGCATACGGGGGAGGGGGGCTTTTAGTGGTGTCGAGCAACACACCACCCTCAATGTGCACACCACCCGGACACACCGCTGCATGCAGGATGTGTGCTCCGTATTGCGTCTTGCCCAGATCTGGGGAGCCGGTCTGCGGATGCCTGGCGAGTGACTCTGATGTCAAGGGCCAGGGCTGTTTACGAGAAGAGAATTGGCAAAGCGCGAAACAGGCGAGCAGATGATTGTCGACTTTTAAAATGTGCCGACGGAATTGGTGAGTCCTCGCGAGCCCTGGTGAGCCCCACCGCTGCGGCCAACTCCTGCCCTCGGAATCTGGCCGACGCCGTCGTCTTCGCCTCGCCTCCCGAGCATGTTCCTGAGCCGGGTGGGTTCGAATTATGTCCTAGCTGGTTGCAGTGCTTGCTTGCGTCGCTACTGTGCCTTTTTTGTTCTCACTGCCGCCCCCACAGAATCTAGATGCGAGTCTGGAGTTTATCTCCACCGGGACGCAACGGAGAGGGCTGGCCAACCATGTGCAAGACCTGACTGCGAGGATCCTTGATGGAGTCGGACCCGGCTTCGTGGTGTGGGGGAGACAAGCATTGCTTGGCCGGCTTGGCCCCGCCGTGGCAAGCTCGCTCTGGTTGTCTGGTTGAGCCCCCTAACGCCCCCAACGCCCTCCCTCCCCCAAACCTGCCCTCACGCGGCAATCCCTATTGTGGGGAGACGAGACCTGGGGAACTCAGGGAACTGTCACCACAGTACTGCAGATATGACTGTTCCTGGGTGGATTCCGCTGACATATGGCTTGCCTGATCCTGGCTGGGCCCGGCCCGTTTGGAAAAATGACGCGGGCCTCGACAACCGAGCTCGGCGGCATTCCTATCCTGCCCTCACCAATAATAATCCATGCTTATTACCTAGGTGAAGTATATACATACACTGGTCTGCTGCATAGTAACCACCGCATGCTATCTCACAGAAATTACTTAACTATGTACCAATGTATCACGTACACCAGGTACCCTGACAGTACGTACCCGGGGGTATATATATTCCATAATGCCAATGGGCGAGGTCCACAATATGCCACACACACGCCAGGGTCCAACAGATCCGACCTCGTGTCGTCAACGGCGCCAGCTTCCAAGGTTCCAAGCTTGTTATTATAAAGTCCAGTTCCCGTCCGTTCCTTCCCCTCGAGATAGCCCCCCTTAGCCCTGCTCATGCCTGGTCTTGCTCCTCGACGCCTTTCCAGCCATCGGCCTTGAAACAAACACCAGACAAGGTTGCTCTTTCCCTTGACTGTCGCAAGGAGCACCCACAGCCTTGGGGAATCCTGCCATCCAATCTCACTTCCGTTTGGCAGACTGGTTGTTTGTTTGTATCGTTTGTTTGTGTCGACTCGGCCGCTCAATCCCACCTCAAGCCTCCATCCCAGCAACCAGACCAACATTAAACCCGAGAACTATATTGAGAGATATTGAGAGTAGCCGACACAACAACCCACCCATAAAGCATAGAAAGCCAATATGGTTCTTGAGAAAGACGCAGAGCAGGCCATGGCCTCGGGGCCCACGACGCCCCCAGCCGACAAGACCAGCTCAGACGGCAGCGAGACATCAGGCCGGCCGGTCAAGTTCATGGGTGCCATGGGCCACTCGCTCACCGTGCTCCAGACCTTTCTGATCGTCATGCCCTCCTTCATCTGCTTCGGATACAACCAGGCCGGCCTCGGTGGCCTGATCACCATGGAAGACTGGGCAAAGACCTTCCCCCAGATCGACACCATCCACTTCACGGGCAGCGAGAAGAGCGCCCACTCCACCCTCCAGGGTTTCGTCGTCGCCACCTTTGTCATCGGTGCTCTGTTCGGCTCGCTGTCGTGCTCGTGGGCTGGCGACAAGTTCGGCCGCCGCAACGTCATCTTCGTCGCCGGTGTTGTCTCCCTGATCGGTGTCATCCTCGAGGCCTCCGCCTTCCACCTCGCACAGCTCATCGTCGGCCGCATCCTCGTCGGCTTCGGCGTCGGCCAGCTCAGCTCCATCGTCCCAGTCTGGCAGAGCGAGACAGCCGGCGCCAGCAACCGTGGCCGCCATGTCGTCATCGACGGCCTCTTCATCTGCGTCGGCTACACTCTCGAGTCTTGGATCAACCTTGGCTTCTTCGAGTTCAAGACCGGCCCCGTCACCTGGCGCCCGCCGATCGCCATTGCCGTCGTCTTCTCCGCCGTCATCATCGCATTCATCTACTTCCTGCCCGAGTCGCCCCGCTGGCTCGTCATGAAGAACAAGACCGAGGAGGCCCGACGCGTCATTGCTGCCTTCAGGGCCAAGCCCCTCGATGCCATTGAGGTCCAGACTGAGCTCCAGGGGATCGAGTACTCGCTCGAGGAGAAGACCGGAAAGAAGATCAAGATGACAGACATGCTCTCTATGGGAGAGGACAAGCTGCTCTACCGGTTCGGCCTCTGCATGCTTCTGCAATTCTACCAGCAGATGTCGTAAGTATACATCTCCGCAAGAAACGGTCTAGCCCCAAACCGTACAATGCGACTCTGTGCTGACTTTTGCCGATACCAGGGGTACCAACCTCATCTCTGTGTACGCAACCATCATCTTCCAGTCCAACCTCGGCATGTCCTCCGAGAACGCTCGCGCCCTTACTGGCGGCGCGCTGACCTGGAAGTTCCTGTCCTCCTTCATTGCCTTCTTCACCATCGACCGCCTGGGCCGCCGCGCCGTCTTCATGATCTCCGGATGTGGCATGTGCGGTTGCATGATCGCTCTGGCCGTCTGCACCTCCATGGGCTCCGAGAACAAGGCCGCCCAGGTTGCCGCGGGAGTGTTCATCTACCTCTTCAACACTTTCGTGCCCATCGGCTTCCTCGGCGCAAACTTCCTGTACTGCACCGAGGTCGCGCCCATCCGCCTGCGCATGGCCATGTCCTCGATTTCCACCGCCAACCATTGGCTCTGGTGAGTCCGAACACCCACGTCAATTCCGGGCCATGGGCATGAATTAGCGAGACTAACAGATGCGATAGGAACTTTGTCATCGTTATGATAACCCCAGTTGCGATTGAAACAATCGGATGGAAGTACTACATCCTTTTCGCCGTCATCTGCTTCCTCGTACCCGTCAGCGTGTACTTCCTGTACCCCGAGACCATGGGCCGCAACCTCGAGGAGATCGACATGATGTTCAAAGACTCGCCATCAATCTGGGCCACCGTCAAGTTCGCAAAGAACAGGCCCATCGGGATGCCGACAGAGTTCGTCCAGGACAAGTCGAAGCACGACGCGGACCATCTCGAATAGACACAGGATCGGATCCCTTGTGCGTTCCCGGCGTTTTTGTTGTATGGGTTTGAGGTTTTTACATAGAAGAGTACACACACGAATGAACGTGGGAAATAATCGCAAGCGCAGGATAGACTTTGGGCTTTTGTAACCACATTTGAGATACCTGGCAAGAAGTATGATACACACGATCGAAACGGCGCCACATGGGCTCGTCGATGTTCCTATAGACAAAAAGAAGAAAATTCTGTGCTCACCGAAGAAGCCTGGTTCATTGCCAGATTGCGATATGTCGACACCTAGCCCCTCCACAATGTCACCCACAACACCAACAAACAGGTCTTGGGGCCTCTTCTCTATCCCCGTGACACCCTGTGACTCGTCTCCCAACCCCCCATGCCAGAGATAGCCGACATCCGAGGATAGGGCACCCCGCTCCCTGTCGAGCTCAAGGGACTTACTTCCTCGTTGACACTGAGCCCGCCGCGGCTCGCCCTCGTCGGGTCCCACTGCGTGTGCGGAGGGGGCTGCCCATACTCAAACGACCCCCATCCCTGCCCTTGACCCTGCCCCTGCCCCTGCCCCTGATCATGCACCTGGGCCCGGTCGCCATGAGGATCAGCCGCATCCCGCCCCGGCACCTGCAGCATCGGGGAGCTCGGTGCCCACTGCGGCATCGGCGGCGGCGGCGGCCGGTGGACCCGGACCACAGGGACCCGGTACGTGTCGTGTGACGGCCCGCGGTCGTCGTACGGGCTTCCGAGGTCCTCGTAGCGCTGCCACGAAGGCGGACGGGCTGGCACCGACACCCGTGGTGATGTCTCGCCGGGACCGTGGTTGTTGTCGTAGCGGTGGTAGTATTCTCCGTCCCGGTGCCCAGGGGGGCTGTCGACAATGCGGATCTGGTTGTTGTCGTGGTACGGCCCTGGTATGCTCCCGCTTCCGCGCCAGGCCGCAGCCCGGGTCCCAGTCCACGCGCCTCCTCCCAAGCCGGGGGGTATACCCGTGCCCCATTCCGACCAGGGGCTGGCTGGTCTTTGCAGAGGTCCGCGGTGGTGGTGATTATGATGACTCGGGTCGTCATAGGAAGCGCCAACGGCGCCGGCGGTGTGTGGGGCGAAGTCGGCGGCGCTCACGGGTGCCATCTCCGGGGCGCTGAAGTCAAAGGGTGGCGCCTGCTCGTACCTCAGACGTCGCTGGCGTCGGTAGACGAACGCCGTGAGGAGTGCGACAGCGAGCACGACGAGGGGAATGCCTAGGCCTAGGCCGAGCTTGGTTGCCAGGGAGGACGTACTTGCCTCTGAAGAGGAGGCTTCGGATGATGCTCCGTCTGGAAGGATTGGGATGACTGTGGGGATCGAGGGTGAGATGCTGGCTTGGGATGAGGATAAGGATGGGGACGAGGTGGAACGTGTGAGGGAAGACGCTATGATTGATATGGTTGTTGTGATTGGTGTCTCTGATGGTGGAATGCTTGAAGCTGAGCTTGGGTCGGACTGTGAGGTCGGCATCCATCTCGAGGGCTTCACCATGCTACCTTCAATCGTCTCCGCCTGGGTTCCAGTCCATGTTGGTGGTGTCGGCGGCGTGGTAAGCGATGCCGATGCCACAGTCGAGCTTGTCCTCACCCACGAACTATAGCCCGGGAACATCTCAGAAGGCCTCGCCTCGGTCGACACGATATCCGGCGAAACCGTCTGTGAAGCGTGATGAAAACGTGCTTCTCTACCCCCAATGTAATTCGCGTTTGTTGTTGGGAGAGAACCTGTCCTCCTTCGAAACATATTTCGGGCGTCTGCTTCCCCTACCAGAGTAGGCCGGGCGACGTTACTCGGGCAGATGCAGCCTCCCGGCGCGTTACCGCCTGCGCAACAAGACTGCTCGCCTCCGCCGCCGCCGACTGGATCACATTCTGCTTCCCCTGTCGCATCTTCCGAGCCTAGTGACGCTGCACGTTAGAACTGGGGGCTCTGCCTCGACCGCGGGGAGCCAGCGACGCAGAGTCGACATGCTGGTGGAAAGGGGAGGGAGTACAGCATATGGGGTAGACTGTCTTACCCAAGCAGTTACTGCCGCAAGATTCCCCGTTCCACCGCGGTTCTGTGCAAGCGTCTCTTGAAACTGACCCCGGTACCACGTCAGGCTGCTCGAGGGACGAAGTGGACAAGGTGCACAATGCTTTGCCCGAGCAGGTGTACCCAGGAGGGCAGCAAGATGACACGGCGGATTTCACGTCGCATACCTGATAACCCTCGGCCAGGTTGCCATTGGGGAAATAGCAAGATGGTTCACCCGCCTTGTCAACGACATTCGGGGCAGTCGAAGGGGTTAGAAGAAAACGAGAAGAAAACTTCATGCCAGAGAAGGAGGCCGGCCAATCATCTGAGGCCGGGTCGAACACGAGCAGGTAGAATAGGCCAGGCGCTTGTCCGGGATAGAGTAGAATGCCACCAGCTGAGTTGGGTCCATGTCTTGTGTGGCAATGACGGCGACTCCGAGATGCCTGCTCCTGGAGGGTGGCAACCGCATTCCATATAAATCAGAATCGAGTATTAGCCCACTATCCCATACGTGCGCAAAACAATTTTACACATTATAGACAGTCGAGGCGCACAATGGGAGGTCCCCCGGTCTGGATTGTCGATAGGCTGCAGACCACTCCCGGCGGCCCGCATCCGGCCTTGACGTCGACCGCGTGCATGACACCCCGAATTCCCCCTTCCGCGTGTGCGACATGCGAACCCGGCCGGGCGGCCGGGACCACGGCCGTTGTGGGGGATTTTGGGCATTGATGCCTTGGGAGAGAACAAATCGTGCCTGCGTGTGTTACAGCATGCGTCACATTGAAAATCCAGGCGCCACGCGGTGGGGGGCTTTCCCTGGCTCAGACCGTGGCGCACAGTGAGGAATTCGTGAGGCAGCCGTGGAGTCGGTTGTCTCGACGTATAGAATTGTGTTCCCAGACCACTCGCGTGGCAATCGACTGATGACTGTGCTTCTTTGGGTTCGTGCCGGAGGATGCCAAGCCCCAAGTCTCGCAGATGAATCCGGTCACATGTGTTGCCCCTACCAAGGCCCAGAAACAGCAGACAGATCCGATAAGATGAGCTTTCCTGTGCTGCCCAAGATGATGAATGCCTTCCCCGCCGTTGCCAGAAAAGCAATAAAGACGCCACGCAATGCACCCAAACCCGCCGCCGAGAATCCAAACCGCCGCCACAATTGCCCAGATACGCAGTGAAACAATCGCAAAGGATGCCCCCAATCCTAGTGTAAGTCTTGAAAACTCTGAGCATCTCATCCCCAGGGGAACAGAGTCACCCAACGGAAGCCTTCTTCCTGGCAGCATCCCTGGCAGCCCTCAATTCCCCAGTCAATTTCTGCTCCAGCTTTTCGAGAATCCACTCGGCTTCCTCTTGGCTCCCCATAAGTGGGCTACGACTGCCAACCCAACTCCACTGCAGCTTCTCTGGATCATTTCCCTCGGCTTCCTGGTCCCGACTCTTGTTCTTCTTCTTGCTCCTCGGAACTGCCTTTTTGTGCGTATCTGCGCTGCTCTCGTCCTCGCCGACGAGCTTGAGGTACCAGGCCCACTCATGGAAGTCGTACTTGCGTGGGGGGTGGGACTTGAGGTGCTGGGTCACCCGGCTGATTTCGTCGATCAGCAGCAGGTGGTAATCGTGGGGGTCCGTAGGCACATCTCGGGGGATTTCGGCCGCTGTACGCGGGACAGACACTGCACGTTTCATTTTGAGGGTTTGCGCCCTGATGTTATTCGGATCCTTCCCGCCGGGTCCATTGCCGTTTGGTGTCATCGAGCGCTTTATGCCGACATTTCCAGTCTTAGATGATGAAGAGCGGCCCTGCGGCTCCTTGAAGCTCAGGTGGCCTTTGCTTGCAGGAACGGGAACTGGTGCCGTGGATGACCGGCGAATGTCATATGTGGCTTCGGTTTGCGTGGTAGGAGTTCCATCCATGGGCGAGTCTCGTTTCTCAACTGGGCCTGTGCCATCTTTTCCGTCGGCGAGTGCTCCATCATCACTCACTGGTGAGTTACCCGATTGTTGGCTAGTGACGTTTCGAGCTTCCCTGTCCAGTGAGCCCGTGGATTTGGCGCTGCCGGCCTCTTCATCTTCGGTATCATCACCGTGCTCTTCTGCAAAGCCGAGACCTCCCGGTGGGCTCTCCTCGACATCGCTATCCTTGCCAAACACTTGACCCAAAGAGAGTGGCCCTACCATCTCCTTTAACGCCTTTTTGAAACCTTTTTCATCTGGTAGGATAGTGACAGTGCCCAGCTTGTCTGTAGCTTCACGGACAAACTTTACCACAGTGTCGCCGGCGTTCGAGATGAGTACTGTCATGGTAGGCAATGCGAGCAAAGACCAGATCACAAAGAATGACTTCCCGGCAGGTGAGATTGGAGTGACATCACCATATCCAATGGTGGTCAGACTGACGAATGCGAAGTAGAAGCCGTCAAAGTATGTCCAACCCTGGTACCGAAGCTCGCATTGCTGAAAGATGGCAGCACCAACCAGCCAGAGAAGTAGCCACACCGTGGTCGAGATCCCCATGGCCATCCATCGCCTCCGGTGCTCTGCCCGCGCCTGAATCTTTCTCATCAGTTCAAACTCTCTCTTTCGGCGCTGATACTCGGTGAAGGTGGCAGTGCTCCTCTCTGGGTAGTCGTCATCGTCCCCATCGTCTGTTACGGGGATGAGCACGTCGTCCTTGCCACGGCGGACCATCCTCCTCAGTGTTCTTTTGCGTTTCTTCTCCATCAACCTTGCGCTTAATTGACGTTGGCCACGTTCAAGTACGAGGCTACGGATGGAGCCAACGACCAGACCGAGGCTGATGACGCCGATCAAGGCATAAGGGAAGAGAAGTGCCCGACCGAGCGGAGTTGCTGCGGAAAAGTCACCGAATCCGACAGTGAAGAGGGTGACATCGGCCCAATACACCGCATCTAGATATGGCCAGCCCTCGATGGTGGAGAACACCAGGGCTCCGACAAGAAGGTACACGAGAAACATGATGGTTTGGAGCATCAGGGTGCGCTGACTGTTAGTCAACTGGAAGTCCTTGGAGTAGTGACCCTTCATTGCCCCCCAAAATGTCACTACCATGAGCGACGAGCAGACAAAGTACAGACATGCAGCATAGATGCCATAGTAAAAGGCCTGTGACCAGATGTAGATGTCTTCGGGCTGCTGTACAAGTGGGCCAGCGGCCGTGGCGTTGAGTGCAATGAGGCAGATGGAGGATATGTACCTGCGCCGCATCAGAGACTCGGTGTGCTCCTAAATGTCATGGACACTTGTGGGAGGGGGCCTCTTACCATGTGACTATAGTAATTGGCTGGGCTATCGAGAATCTGATTTTCCTGGCCATGTTGAGCAGCAGGACCAGGTTCGCAATGACAGCCATAACCACTTGGATGGCATTGATGACGGTAAGCCTTGGGGAAGGTCAGCAGGCGCCTCTCTGGCCATGACAGCGTGGACGAGGCGACAACACACCATATAGGATCCGTGACAAACTCAGCCTTGTCAAGGTCAGAGCCCGGGGGGAACTTCTGCCTCCAGGGGCGAACCAGGGCGCATATACTGAAGGCATTGGCGACAGGCCCGAGTGTGCCGGCGATGAGGGGGAATGCGGAGCTGGCAAACCACCACCGGCTGGGATCAAGATGAGCCTGATCGTTCTGGATGGGATCTCCTCCAGGCGGCTGCTGCGGCTTATCATGGGTTGTTGCCTGGGACTCTTGGCTGTCAAAGGCCTCGACGTGGTCCTCGACCCGGTCACCACTGTCGGCCATCATCTTGGCCTCGGACCTGGCTGTGCGAGCCGGGCGCCTTGTCTTGCCGTCACGAGGTGATGAGAGTGGTGGTACAGTACAAATGGCACAGAAGGCTTGCCATCAAGATGGCCAGCGACGGCATCACCGTTGCGCACACCGCACGAGTGTCCAGCGTCGGAAGAGACGCGCGGCGTGGGCTCAGAGAAGAGGAAGGGGCGACAATATCGAAGAACCTTAGTCAGTCCGTCTTGGCAGGTTGATGATCTCGAAGCTTATGTATGGCTGTGATCCCAGGTTGCATCCTGGAGCAGGCTTGGTCGGTGTCAATCCAAGATTCCAAGATCAGGAGAGGAGAGACAGAGACAATTGTTGAAGGCCATTGTCGCCGTCGCACGAGGTCAACAAGACACCAGCGCCACAAAGAAAGTTGAAAGTCACCGACAAACCGGTCCTTATCTCCCTAGCGCAGGAGATGACGTCGGCGGCCTGTTCATGCGAAGAATATCTAGTCGCGTGTCGCAGTAGTGGTAATAAGTGAACGTTGTTTTGGGGAAACTTGCCTAGGTAGGTGGACGGGGCCAGCAGCTGCCATCTTGAAGCACAGGGGCCCCTTGCCCAGCCCAGCCGCCAAATGCAGGTCAGCCCCATGACCGAAAAGCCCCATGACAAACCTGTGCTGCCGTCTCACAGGCTGCCCAGCAAGCCCAGGTCCTCACTGAGCCATCCTGCCTGCAGTGGTCCTGCCTGCAGTGAACCCTCACTAAGATCGTCCCCCCCACAAAGCTTGTCTTGTCTCTCGGTCGCAGCCTGCATCCTCCAGACACACGCGTCTGCTGTGTCTCGAGGCCCACGTTCGACTGCACTGTGCCAGCCTCTTCCGATGAGCAAGCTTTCGGCAGCCTCAGCCTCAGCCTCCTAGCCCCATCGGGTTTGTCACCGTATCCTGACACTACGGATTCTGCCAAAGTCCTGATACCATGCTAGTATGGCCCTCGTCGCCAACATGTCGTCTCATCAGATTCCCTCTCAAGGCCGGACGGCTGCTGGGAATCAGATGCCTCAGTGGCACAGCAAGTAGATTCACGACACCTCTCACCGACCACTTCCAAGTCCCCTGCGCGTCGGCTGGCCATGTCATCGTCAGGTCTGGCTGCTTGTCTCTCTTCTAGTTGCCCGTAAAACTTGAACGCTGACTTGGTCTCAGCCTTCACAATGTAATGAAACACCCCGTCTCAACTCCTCTCATCATCAACTTGCCGCCACTTCCAGTCCACGACATCAATGATGTGGAATCCTACCTGCCCAGATTCCTCCATCGCTTCCCCAGCGCTACCATCCACTATCGCTGGGCCAGTTCCCTCGAGACTCACGCATCACAAACCAAGGACAATGAGTCTGCCACTGAAGCCGAGCCGGCTGAGCTGTTGTCCCGGCCAACCCCTCTCCACTGGCCCACGCCCATTCATGATACGCTATTTGCGTATGACTTCCTCATTCGACATCTTTCTCCACCTCCCGACCAGTCCACAGGCACCGTGTTGCGGCGTCGCCCTGTCTATGTCTACGGCTCACATCTGGGTGCCAGCTTGGCCGCCTCCCTTGCCCTGACCGAGTCTCACACGCACCAGCCTGTGGCCATACGGGGTCTGCTCGCCTTCAATGGCATCTTCAACTGGACCACTCTCCTCCCGGGCCACCCCAACAAGAAGCGCATGCTGGATGAGATGCCTAACATGGACAGCCTGGGCGAGCATGAAAAGGACGTCAGTTTCGCAAAACAGCTGATGCCGTCACACTTTGACCAGCCCGCCAACCTCTTCGACCCCTTCGCGAGCCCCGTACTGTTCTTCCACACAGCGGGAATGCTGGTCCCCACCGATTTCGCAGAGCGGTCATCAACACCAGACATGTCCGAGGGGTTCCTCGACTACTCCGGCGCCGATGACCCCTACGACCAGGCATACGTGTACTCGGACCCAGAGGACCCCCCGCCACCAACAGCACACGAAGACGTGGAGATGGACACGGGGACCGAGGACACAAACACAGACACCAGCTCCTCGGCCGACACCCTCGCCCAGGCCGTCCTCAAGCCCCCGCGGCGGGGCTACGTGACCTTCCCGCCGCGCGCGTCATCCCTCAAGATCCCCGAGACCCTGCTCATGCACACCACGCCCCCGCCGGGCCCGGGCGTCCCGGCCTCGGTCCAGGGCCAGAGGCAGCGCCTGGCGATGTGGAAGCGGCTCAGCGCGGCCGAGAACAGCTTCGGCACCCAGGCGCTGGGGCTGGCCCGGCTCATGCGCCGGAGCGTGAACCTCTATGAGCTGCGGGAGCGCGCCAAGTGGGACATCGAGTTTACCGCCTGGGACACCGAGGCCCTCAGGAGGGTGCAGGTCCAGGATGTCGGGCCGGCCGGGCAGGGAGGGCCGCATGAGTCCGGGCTAGGCCAGCAGGGCGAGGAGATTGCCGCCCGCTGGCTGGCGAGCAGATTGGGCTGATCTAGGAGACTGCGTGTGTTGGAGTGTTGACGTTAAAGAGATCCATCCATATATTTGTAAAACTGTACATAATCCAGCGATACGTGGGAAATTCAAGCCTTGCCAACCAAGTCTGTATTATTATTATTATTCATCACAAATTGTGAGCATATTCGCAAGTCAAGGACGTGGGCAAGTTAGTCAACTATAATTTTGATCACGTCGCACAGGCCATGGACTTGATCAGTATTCATAATTCGTGGGTATCAAAGTATATGTCACCAAAATATCGACCTTGAGTTCTCCCCACAGGACGTCCTAGAAGCCACCTAACCGGTCCCCAGTCTTACTCGATAAGGGACCCGTCCTCGTCCATATATAACTCTTCCGTGACATCACTAGCGGCATCCTCCAAATCAGGATCCTCATCGTTGTCTGGTTGGCTCCTTTCCACCTCGCCACGCACTTCTTCCGGATCACCAGGCTTTCCCACTGTCTCCACATCGGCGTCAGTGGTGCCGTCGATAGCAGCTCCGAGATCCCCGCCGGTCTCAGTGCCGTCCATGTCTGTATCTTCTTGTGTAGTGCCGCCAATGGTCCCGGTAGCGGTGACAATTGGTTCTGTCTCTTCCACGGCTGGAGGATCCTGTAAGGCTGGTTCGGTCTCGAAACCGCCTGGCTCTGCCCTCTCCGTTTCAGGTTGCATGTTGTGATCACCAGACTCAGTCGCCTCGGCCGCAGCTACGGCATCCTGCTCATCTTCCATCTCCTCGTCATCACTTTCAACCACACGCCTCCTGACACGCAGCCGGCGAGTGGCGACCGTGGTCTCTTCAGGCGTTGGAACCGGACGGTGATCGGGATCGTATTCGGTCGCTTTGCCTTTGCCTTTGACATCCATGTTGGGGTTGTCAGGCTCGAAACTACCAGGCTCAAACCCGCCTGGTTCAAAACCGCCAGGTTCAAACCCTCCTGGCTCGAAACCACCAGGTTCAAACCCACCAGGTTCAAAACCTCCAGGTTCGAATCCCCCCGGCTCAAAGCCGCCCGCCTGACTGTATTCAGGCTCGAAGCCTCCACCATCTTGATCTGGATCGTTGCTGTCCATCTCCTCATCCTCGGTCGCGTCCACTGGGAAATCTTCCAAGGGTATGGACTCATCAAACATGTCCTCATCCCCAAAGACGCTCTTACGAATCCGCATACCCTTCAAGAGCCTCTTCCAGGCAGCCAAGGCCCTCTTGCTCCTCTTCTCCTCCTCCAGCATGGCCTCCAGGTCCTCGAAACCATCGATGACAGCCCTCACGCCCTCCTCGGCTTCAGCCGGGACGACGACCCCATTGTAAACGGCCGTACCCTTACGGCCCCTCCAGTCAAACCCCGTTAGTGCCGGCGCATAATCCACACCCAGGATATGGGCGGCGTGGCCCGCGCGCGGATGAGGAATATGCGCGCCGCCGGCGGGTACCATGCTAGGCACATAGAGGTCGAGGTTGCCAAACTTGTTCTTGGGGATACGGCCGGCGACGACAGGCGGCGGGACGTAGAGTGACGTCTGGTCGAAGGTGAATATTGGCACGCCTTTTGAGGGCTTGGGCCCCAGCACGGGATCGTCGCTGCTGCTGCTGCTGTCACCATGGTCGTCATCAAAGGCCCTCCTGCCCCTACGCTGTGGTCTTTTCCGCTTCGGCAAGACCTTGACCGGTTCCTCTCCGGGGTTGATCTCCCTGCCCAAGCGGTACCATTTGTCCACGCTCTTGGCAGCACGAACATCCCGCCGCCGGTAGATCCTTTCCAGCGGGCCCTTGCTGCCTGCCCCGACCTTGCCAACGACTGGCGCATCCGGCGCGAGGACCTCGTGACGCCGCATGTGGCGCTCGAGGGCATAGACGGGGTGGTCCTTGAAGTCCGCCACATTGCGAGGCATTGGTTCCCTCGCCTCGAAGCCGCTGAGCTCGTTGTCCTCGATCTGGTCCAGGTCGCTTCGGTGCCCGGGCTGCCTGTAGCGGCGCATGACCTTGCGCCACCACTTCCTGCCACTATCCTCGGGAATCAATGGACCATCGACACGCATGCGTCTGGTTTTGGCATTGTAAGCCTTGGTGTACCGTCGCGTTACATCCTTGCCGGAGCCATCTTCTTCAAAGGCGATGACATAGGTGAGACAGTTCGCACGGTCTGCGGCCGGTGGTTCGATTTTGTTAGGACGGAACAGGGTGTAGGTTACAAGGGCGTCTACGGGCTGCCATTTCTGATGGGCTGCATCAAGGACCTCGACCCAGTACACTGGGAAATCAGACTCGCGCGGGGGATGGGGCTGCCTCGGTGGAATCCGGGGCATGGCATTTTCTGGAGGCGCGGAGATCTCTGGGACAATGTAGGCGGCGGCATTCGGGTGGCCGAGGCGGGCACGAGGGGACGGGACCGCGGCAGACGCAGGTTGTTCTGCTTGTGCCACCTCTACCGTGACCGCAGGTGGCCTGGGAGGCGGTTTTGCTTGGCGAGTCTTGGGCAATGTAGGGCCGCCGGGGGCAAGAGACAAAGGTTGCAGCGAGCAGACAAGGCGCGTCTCCACACCTGCAGCTCTCAGCAACGCACAGAATAGTTGAGCACCAACATCTCTCGAGCCAGTCAAGCGTTTGGCAGCTTTGCGGAAGTCGGCCTTTTCCAGGCAAGAATCGATATCATCCGGCAGCCCATACTGTGACTTTGGTCAGCATTGGTGTTGAGATGCGAAGTACACGACGGGTGCGCACACACATTTTCCAGTTGCTTCTCATCTTCGGCCCATAGAGCTCTTCGCAAGCCGATTTCCGTGACTGCAAACCTCTTCTGGAATTTCTCCATGATCATCTGCAAGCCTTTCTTGAGGGACTCAGTCTGGCCGAACTGGGTGAGATGTGACTCTGGATTTAGCCATTGTACAATTTTGGCCGTGAGTAGGGGTCGTAGGGACTCCTGCACCACTGGATCATTGCACCAGTGGTTCCTCTTCTCGACATGTGCTAGAAGACACAGTAAATGTGCTTTATGGACCTCCACACGAAGCTCCTTCTCCTCCTTCGTAATTGGTTTTCTGCGGTCTGCGGCGCGCCTGGACGGAGCCAGGGCCTCCTTGGCTGCAGTTAGGTTCAGCTCGAGTGTCCTTGACTGCTCAGGGGCTTGTTCGCTGTTGGAAAAGACCGCATCGAAGTCCACATCCTCGAACTGGGCGTCCTCTCCGGACTCATCGTCGCTCGAGTCGCGATAGGTGGTTTGCAAGGTCGGCTTGGGTATATCGACATCCTCGAACTCAATGTCCTCGTCGTCATCCTCGCTCGCATTGTCTTCAGCAGTCGGTGCGCTGCTTGCCCGCACACTCGGGCCACTGGTGGCGTTATCCCCAGTGTTCTCTTGCGCAGCCTGTCGACCTGTGCGCCGCCTCTTCAAGGGTCGCTCAGTAGCCTCTGACGTCATGCGACTGGGCAATGCGCCAGACTCGCGCAGCATCTGCTTGTAGACGACGGGCACAAGGGCATCGCCATCGGCCTGGCTCGCTGATGATCGAGTAACCCGGGTGTTTTGGGCTGGTGGGCGGGTCGCTCTTCGTGTAGCTTCAGCTCGGCGGACGATGCCAGAGGAGGCTGCGCCTCGACGTCTGGCCATCGCGTCAGCGCGGGGCTGCTCGCTTTACAAACCGGAGCAAAGGCTTAGTGGTGGCCAATTACCATGCGATGCAAGCATGAGGAAGAAGTAGATAGGAAAACTGTATCATGACGCTCCATTTTTGCGCCGATAGTAAACAAGCAGCCTGCTCGTGGCAAAGCAGCGAGCTGCGCATCGAGTACAAGGAAACAGGTCCTACTCCGTGCATCATGGGCGCGCTTCGCGCCGGCACGTGGGCAGCACTTTGATGACAAATCACAACGGTACATGGGTACCTGCATTTATCACCGTCATGAGCTTCAGTATCGAGTCCAAAGCATGACCGTATCCTCGGCTTGGCCATGAGGTCAGGCCCTTTTGTGTACACTACTTGGAGTTTGCGCAATTCGGTCGGAGTTCGGGCCTTGTCCGCTGCATATTCGCCGATGCAAGTATTGGCTTCATCCAGACTTGTCAAATGTCCCTGCTCGGCTCGACGTCCCCCACCCCCACCATCGCCACCTCAACCACACAACAGGTACATGCTTAAAGGCAACAGCATAAACCATCGAGACATACAACTTTCATTCCTACAATAGATATCTGGAGATTCTGGACCTACACCTTCTTCAGGCAACAGGATTTTAACCACGTACCGACCGCGCGTTCTGACTGTATTAGTTATTAGTTCTACTTCAGGCAGCCGAATTCTACGTCTACTTCTTAGGAGCGCCATCCGAGATTCTCTAGGTCAGAAACACGAAGTACAGCTCATTCACCTTTGCTTGTTCGAATAAGAGAACATAGCCTCTGCCCAATCAATCAAGTTCACCGCACCGATCCAATATGGCCATCACAGAGGCAGGATGCAGTATTGTCAAGCCAGGAATAGATGTTATGGATGAAAGTACGCCCGAGGGCCAGATCCTGCTCAAGATATGGAAGGGCGTTACGAGCCAGCCAACTGGCCCGTTCAGGGTGTTCTGGGGCACCGAGGTTGAGAACCCTGCAAACCTTTGGGGGTTCTTCGACTTTGCGTCCGTCGAGGAGCACGAGAAGTTCGCCGAAGAGTACGTGCCACCCACCAAAGCCCTGGGAACACCGTCCCGTGCACGTCGCTGACCACGACGTCCGATCAGGTTTGGGAAGGACATCGTCACAGACTTCCCCAAGATCCTCGGTGGTCACCACTTCACAAAGCACGTCACCCTCACGCCCTACCCACACACAGCCCTGAGGGCCCCTGTGACCGAGGTCCTCCTCATTTGGTTCCCCTCAGACCTAGCCCCGGAGGTGAAGGACGCGGCCACAAAGCGGCTCCAGCAGTTCGCCGATGCCTGCCTTGGTTCAAACGGGGGAATTCATGCCATCAACATTGGCTGGGGGGTGGAGAATGACTTCCCCGTCCGTGACGGCGAGGAGGGACAGAAGGGAAGCCTCCTGACCGCGATGATCGGCTGGCTGAGCATTGCTACTCACATACAGTTCCGCGAGACTGATACATTTAAAGACAACATCCACCTTCTGAGGGGAATTGAGGGCTTCGTCAAGATGACCATGTTCCACATAAAAAGCCGTGTGATGGAGAATGAGACCAGGAGGGAGTAGGGCTGAGGACAGGCTGTGACCGGCCCCTCCAATCGGCCACAAGTTGCTTCAAAGAACCAGTCAGCTTATCACAACCAACTGGTTGGAACCCCAACTGGTTAGCTCGTGGGCAAGTATGAAGGGGATCTGCTCTTTGTTACGTCTATAGAAGTGACAAGCGAATTTGTGTTGGTGACCGAGCATGGATAGTGGAGCAAACACATATTTAAAATGCCTTAGAAAGACCAATGCGCGTCACTTCAACCAGTCCGTCAGACCGCAAGTAGGCCTATATAAAGAACTCTCAACCACCATCCAACTTCCCCTTAATTCTACATCTACGAATCAAACACCGACAGATCTCACCGCATCAGAGTTGCTACACGAAGCCGAAAGAATCAGCATCAAATTGTACGCCATGTCGGATCCTGTGCAGAAACCAGCCGAGGTTCCACCAGCGAACAAAACGTTAGTATACCTAAAATACCCCATGGAGAATATTTCGTGCTGAAAGATGTACACAGTAAGCAGACCAAACATGCCTCCGCGTACCAGATGAAGGTGACCGACACCAAGGGGAAGGAGAGTAAGGATTACTTGTCACCTCCTAATGTCCGTGAGGATACTGCGACTGCTTCGTCGAAAAACAAATAGAAGGGCAGGGGACATGGGGACTTTAAGTAAAGCCGACAAAGATGGGCTTGGACGTCCTACCATTTACAGCACAAACTCCATTTTCTGTCGCCGGAACAGAGCAGGCTTGCCTTCATGGACAGTGGACATCAATCTATCTTGTACGGCAAAAGAGGTGAAACTTTAGAATCCTGGGGATGGGGTCTTAAACACACCTAAAATCAAAGCACTTGCTATTTCAATGCCAGCATCACTGGAATGAGACCGTTGCAAGCTGTATGCGAGATTGTCTAATTCACGGAGCCCTCACAAGCTCTATCGAAGTGTACAATACAAGAATTCCTACTTTGCGCCAAAGGCACGGCATAGACAGTATGGCAGGAGGCCAAGTCAGCCCCGAGACCACGCTTGAGCTGTCTAAGGGCTCTATCCGAGCAATGCTGGGTATAATGTCATCAATGCATGCCATATCCATGCCATGCGATCCATGCTGGCTACCTTGATGCCATTCCGCAAGGTAAAATCCAATGTGCCTCCCTCCTTAATCGTACATTATAATGCTACATGTACAACAACGCCCAAACCGCTACGTCGTCCGAATGCTCTTGGTATGCGCTTCATCGTTGGGCCGACCTGTCCCAACGTTCTCGTTGCCGCTCTGGCAAGTCGTATTACTCACTCGCAGGCATGAAAGTTGGATGCCTAACCCACACGTCTCAAAAGGCGCTGTCTGGGTATCGTCCAGAGGATGAGAAGTCTCAAAAACACACCAAGCTTACCCATGGCCTTCGGGAAGGCCAAGCTTTCAATACCCAGGTTCCCCACCATGCCGTGGGCAATTCGGCTACAGCCCCTGGCGTCGGGTTCCCGCCAGAGACAGACGATCAGTACGTGGCCCCGACCCAGTCGAGGAGAGCCACCAGAGCCTTCACTGTCCACGCCCCAAAGCTGTAGATCCCCACGACCGCCGCGACCATCCACACAGCCACTCGAGCCACCACGACGCTGAACATACAGACCGCAGCGATGGTAGCGCGTAGGGCAAACCCGCAGCTCACGCCGAGGACGCCGCCGAACCGCAGCTCGTCAAACCCGACAGCGCGCGACGCGGCCAGGCCGACCCTCGCGATACCACGCTGTAGAAGCTCGCGCCTGCGAAGGCGCGTCGCCTTGGCGTCAGTTGTGGCCGCCGCAAAGGACGGAGTCCTGGGCGCAGACGAAGAAGAGGTAGCTGCGAGGGTCGTGGGGCCACCTAGGAGTCAATGTCCACCGCCGACGCCGGAACTCGAAAGGGAAAGCAGCTTTCGGTTCTTCTTAATGACCTGGTTCAGACTCTTCTCCATCTTCTCGGCCTCCTTCTTGGCGAGCGCGAATGCTTGCTCCATGTCCTCAACGCTCATCATTGGAAAGTTGGCCAGGGCGCTCGACGACGCGCCCACGTTGCTGTTTTTGGTAGTCACGGATGACGCCAGTGACGGCATTGAGGGGGTTGCCGTCATGGTATTCGCCATGCCCGAGAACTCATCTGCCGGGTCGAGCTTCGCCAAGCTGGAGCCCGCGGACTGGCCGGTGAGCTCGGCGGCCAGTGCGGCAGTGGATGATGGAGAGCCAGAAGATGCAAAGTTGAGGATCAGTGGAGCGAGGGAATTGAGTGCATTGGTGGCGTTGGCGAGGTCCTGCTTGGATAGGGGTGGAGTCTGAGGGGAATTGTTTTGGCCTGGGCCAGGCGAAGCGATTGAATGCTTGGGGTCGGTGACGGCCGCCAGAGTGTTGAGATTTGCCGTGCCAAGGTTCAGACGTGGAAGGATCGATTGGTTGATGTTGGCGAGGGCCTCCTCTCGGGTCATCTTCTGCATCGGGTCAGACACCGCGGGCAAACGCAGACCGTCAGCTGTAGCGGTTGGCGGCCCTTGAGGAAAGTAGCTTGGCGTGCCGTTGGCGACAGCCCGGCCCTTGATCACGCTGAAACCGTTGCCAGCCTCGTGGCGTGTGTGGACATAGGTGGTAGGATCGCCAACCTTCGCAGCGAGTTCCGCCAGCAATTCGAGATAGCGCTGCTCCTCGGCCGGCGTCAGGTTGCGAACACAGTTGCCATTTGGTGTGAGCAAAACGCGCGACCCATCGATGATCTTGTGCACGGGCTTTCCAGAGAGAAGGGCCTGTTGATCCTCCTCGCTAAGCATAGACTTGATCTCGGTCAAACCGTCCTTGGGCACGATTGGCGTGTACTGCTCAGAGCGGTGAGAGGTGCTCGTGATGCCCTTCAAAAGGCTAAGAGCGTCAACATCAGCAATCCAGCCGGACGACGCGAGGTCATTGAGAATAGTTGCTGGCGGGGGTATCGGCCGGTCGGTGACTGGCTTCGAGGCTTCGCCATTGCCAGAGATGCTGCCTTCCTTCCGCCTTGATCGAGGGAGCAGCGGCTCCTCCAAGCTCATAGACTCGTTGACGGCCTGGCGATATGTTGAGACCTTCTCTTCGGCCGCAAGCTTACCCTCCTTTTCGACCGGCTTTTCCGCTGGACCTGGGGACTGGGGGCGACTCTCCACTGGCGGGGTCAAGTCTTTGTCCTTGGGTGCCTTCTCCTTTGGCTCCTTCTTTTGCTTCTTCTTGCGCCCAACAATCGGTGCTATAACGACTTCGGGTTCCGGTTTCGACTGTACTGCTATCGCAGCAGCTTCTTTCTTCGTCGCATCTTTTCTTGCCTTACGCTGCTGGCTCTTGGTGGTGTTCCGAACAGCAGCTGAGCCGACTCGCGAAGGACCGGGTGGTGGAGAATTTGTCCGAGAAGCAGATGCCGACGCGGAGAATATTGATGCAGTATCGGAGACATCAGCACTTCCCGGAGTCTCTGGCCGCTGTAGAGTGCTGAATGCGTGACGTAGCGACGCCGGCCCTGCTGATATTGATGGAGGTGTCTCTGCCTTTGGGGTAGAGACGACTCGTAAAGTCTTCGGCACTCTAGTTGCAGGCGAGGACACTGAGACAGACCCTGGAGTCGGCAAGGCTGGAAAGGCGGAGTCGTCCGCTTTCTCCACAGCCGACGTCGCGGTAGATGGAGGGTTGGACTTAACGGCAGCTGCCTTAGTCGCGGCGGCAATGTTCAGAACGCCAGGCACAACCTTTCTCTCGGCCTTCTTGTCCACCTTCGGGGCAGACGCGGGCTGGACGGTGGCATCGCTGGTAGAAGACATGGCAGCAGATTTAGGAGTCTCCCCTTGTACCTTCTTCGCAACCATCGGAGTCTTGATGGAGGGGGCCTTGACCGGCGCGGGTGTCGAGGTACGAGACACAGGCTTCGCAGATTCGAGGGCTGGGAAGTCCTCATCGTGAAGCACTGGTTTCTTGCCCTTAGCGGGGGTGTTCGCCTGTGAAGCGATCTCCGAAGACAAGCCACTGTCGAGAGCAAGGGCTTTGATATTCTTCTTGGCCTGGCTTCCAGTAGCCGGCTCAGGTCCTTTCTTGCTCGCGCTCGCCGAGCCGGCGATAGACCCAGGAGACGCAGACGCAAGCTTTAAAGGAACAACAGGACTTGGTGTGTTGTTAGAAAGTAGACCCCCAGCCGAAGGAATTGCAGGAGGTACGAGTCCGGGGGGCGCCTGCAGGGGCGTTGCGATCCGCGCAGGATGTCCGTGAGCCATGAAGCCCAAGCCAGGAGGCGGGACGGCCGGGGTTGCTTGCACAGCAAACGCCTGGAAAGCATCCACCGACGCCGGGGCACCTTCGTCGATCGGGTCATCGGAAACAAGAGCATCCACGATGTTGGTGGCGTCGCTCAGGAACGGGTCGTCCTCATCTATAAGAGAAGGGCAGTTAGCACACAGCTTCCCCTCTTCATCTATGTATGAATCATGCGGCGGGGTGAGGCAGCAGAAGGGACGCCACAAGGCAGCACGACGACACCCCCATGAGTAGTTATATACAAGAATGCTCAAGGTTGGTCACGGCTTCCATCTAGGCTATCCCGGCGGATTCTTGAGAAGCAAGTGAGGCACGTTATTGTTGGCAAAGAAGATTTTCTCTATTATCCCCAGGAATTCATGCCGCTTCAGCCCCGGAGTTGTGGACCGGCAACTGGGCACGTGATGTTAACGTACATTGATGACCTTGAGGAGGACGAGATGGCTTGCCTGACGTAACCCTGAGCTCGAAGAATGTGGAAGTTGTGTGTAGGGTGCCAATCCTGTGAGATAACGCCTTTCGAGGATAAGTCTCCTTAGAGACTGCCTTCGACTCCTCTGTGTTCTTTTCCAAATGCAACGTGACGCCTTTGCAAATCCCGCCGGCCTGCGACCCGTGAGCGGCCGGCGTTTCGCGATGCTCGCTCAAAACTCAGAAAGCAGTCAAAAACCGCACAATCCATGGTCCGTCGTGCTGCCCTGTGCCCGTCCCTTGCAAGCCGAGAACGCCTGCATTATAAAGCGTACAGAATATCGTTTGACATTGAGATAAGGAAAAGGAAAAAGGTTTCGCGAATGGCCGTCCAACAGGGGGAAAGAGAGGCGGGTAAGTTGCCCCGCCTACCATCCCCGATATTGCGGTTGAGAATTGTACAACATGGGGTTGTACCCACCTTGGGCCTGGCCTCCAAACAGCCCCGAACCGACCCCGGCATTGCTCTGTTGATGATGCTGGATTCTCGCCTGCAGGATGCTTGGGTCCGCAAGATCTACTAAGCCACTCCCCCCAGAGGAGGAAGTGTTAGCGTGCCTGTGCTTCTTCCCCTTCTTCTTCTGCTTGGCACCGAGATCTTGGTATGCTCCGTTATAGAGCGCTCCCATGAAGCCGGCGGTAGCAGGAGCTGGGGTGGAGGAGGAGGAAGGTGGGTACTGGTTGGGAAATGAAGGAAATATGTACTCACGCTTGTTAGCATCAAGGCCTTGGGCAACCCCACCAGCTCGAGTCCTGATAAGATTTTGGAGGACCTCGTTAGAGTCCTTGGCGCCGAACCCAGAGCTGCCAAAAGCGTTGCCCTGACCGAACATGCTCGGGGGCGTCCCCGTAGACTTTAGCCCTGGTGGGGGACCCGGCATGGAGGAGGAGTAGTTCTGGTAGCTCGGCTGCGAGTGGAAGGTCGAGGGCATCATGGAAGCCTGTTGTTGGGCCATGAGGCGAGGGTTCGTAGCAAGCTTCACGGCGTTGGCCGTAGCTTGGTTTTCATTGGCGAAGCTGTAGCGGGATGTTTGCCGGCTATGGCCCTGTCCCTGTCCTTGGAACAGCGCTGACTGAGAGGCATTGATACCAGGCGGCATGCTGTCCGCAAAGCTGGCTTGCGGGCGCATGTAGGTCTGTTGCTGAGGAGTTAAGGTCCGATTTCCGAGTGTGGCAACGTTGGCTGCGCCTTGAGCGAAACTTGAACCAACATTGGGACCAAACAAGCCCTCGGCGTTGGTACGCTGGATGGGCAATTGAGCAATCGACCTACGCTGCTCAAAAGCATGGGACTCGCGGCTCTGCTCGCGCTCCTCCGGCTCGCCACCTAGTGCCAGACTGCCGCTTTCAGGCTCTCCCTCGGGCTCAAGTGGCTCCACAGGCTCGCTCTGCTGCTGCTCGTGCTCCCCGTTGAGCTGGCGCTCCTCCTCCTCCCGCATTGCCCGCCGCCGCTCGCCTCCTCGGGGGTCAAAAAGTGGCGGTATCGAGTTGTCGGGTGTGACAGGACGGAGCTTGAGCTCTGCGCCGCCAAGGGACTTCAGGATTCCAATAAGTGCGATATCCCATGGGTTCTTGGGCTCTGGCGGGTCGCTCACGATAGAATCTTTTGATGATTCGGCGTTGGTGGGTTCGGGCTGTGCGGGCTGTGCATTTGGAACTTCCTGGGCCGATTCTTGAGGTGCAGTTTCCACAGCCTCCTCGGTCGCCTCGGTAGTTGCAGGCAAGGACATGGACACGGCCGGGCTTGACGCCGCACCGCTGGTTGCATGGCTACCTCGCCGGCTGCGTTGTTGTTGGCTTCGGGCCCAGTTCGCCGAGGCTGGCAAAGCCGGAGCATCCCCGCTCTCTGATCCGTCTTTGCTAGAGGTGCGAACCATGGGCTGAGGTACGTGATGCGACTGTGGAGGGGGGCCCTGTTGTCGAGACGCTGACCGCGAAGAGTTGCCGCCGCCGTAGGGTCTCTGCGTCTGCATACTGTTCAGCGACGAAAGATCCTGTCTAGTATAACTATCTTCCTCATCACCGAGTTCGTGCAAAAACATGCATTGACGGTTGTTGCATTGCTCGTATCGAAGCCAGGCCGAACAGTATTTGGTCGTGCCAAGCTGCGCCTTGAGGATCCGTTCGCCGTTTTGAGAGCCATTAACAGCCTGGATGCAGCGTTGCGCATCTTCCTTTTTCTCGAACGTGACATAGATTCCAAGGGACTGGTTGTGACCATCTTGAGTCTTCCGGTTGCTAATCGAAATCTTCTGGATGTTGCCATACTGCCCGAAAAATTGGGGTTGTCGAAGGGTCTTGAGCAGCTCGTCTTCTCGTACGGTCGGAGTCAGGCCGGTGACGTAGACCAGGTTTTTCTGAACAACGCGTATGCCGACGAGGTTCTTGCGCGCGTCTTTCTCGGTGTCGCGCTTCTGTATCTCTTTCTGGCCTTGTAATTCGGCGCGCTTCTTTTTGCTTGTCTGTTGTCTGGCCTTGAACTCGGCTTGCCTGTATGCTGTCAGTAAAGCACTGTGATGGGAACTTTGCGGAACAAAACCAACTCTTCAGCTGTGACGAGCTTGTATTGTATTGTCTTCTCATCGTAAGGCCGTCGGCAGGCAGGGCAAAGACCATTTATGTTGTTTTTGATGTTGTGGAAACAGAACTGGCACACCTAGAATTGGGGAAGTGAGGTCAGTGAGAGGGGCCCAGGGCTGAGGAGGTCTGACAGCTCAAGCTCACCTGGTATCCACAGGGACAAGGCCGAAAGTTCTTGTCGGACAGGTCGAACTCCTCGATGCAGAGGGGGCTAATACATGTTAGCATGTGGGTGATCCAAGGTTCGGCTTTCTGCCGATCATACCGTCCGACGCAGGTTGGGGGGGGGGGGACGAAAGAGTGGTCTGGAGGAAGGGTGCTCACCAGGTCTCTTCCTCATCATCGAGGTACTGATCTTGAGGTGCCATGGCTGGTAAATGGAGCCAGGGCAGTTGTTTGACGGTTTCGATCGTTGCAGCTCTTGCGCGGTGATGGCGTTGCGCGATCAAGGTGTCGTTTGCAGAGAAGGCAAGGCTACCGGGGCTGTCAGTGACGAGGTAGGATGCAATGCAATTCGGGTCGGCAGGGGGCCTTCAGCCAGGGCTCGAGAGGCAGTCGAAATCAGTGATTAAATGCAACGATTAACACGGGCAAAATGGGCCGTGTGAGAATGTCGAGAGTGTGCAGCTTCAACAGCGCGCCTGAAGGGGGGGAGAGGGGAGGGGGCGTGTTGATACTGATGAGTTGGCTGATGAAGAGGAAAAGCAGCAGTAGGAGGTTCAGTCGTGGTTGGCATCAAAAGCCTTTCCACGCCACGGGCCAAGGTGGAAGGAGCACAGACGGTCAGAAGGGCGCTAGTGCCCAGCCAGGACTAGCCTCACCCCAGTTGTGAGGGACCAATGGGCAGGACACAGCGGAGACAGGAGGCCAGAGAACAGTGCTGTGGTACAGTCCGCTGGGGGCGGTACGGTGCTGGACGGACGCTGGACGAACGCTTGGACGGTACAGTCAGCAACGTTTCGGCCTGCAAGCAGCCACTGAGCCAACCAACAACCCCTGCGGCTGGCCGCTGGCCGCTGCTGGCTGCTGGCCGCTGGCCGCTGGCCGCTCCGTTGCAGGAGAGATGGGGCGACTGCCCAGGTGGGCTGTACTGTTCTGTCAGGCAGGCTCTTGCCTCTCCGACGCGACAAGTCCCCTGAACCTCTACAGCATCTTTGTAAGGCTTTAACCTCTGAGCGCATATTAGAGTGCAAAGCTGTCTGTGCTGCTTTGGTAGACATTCAAGACACACCGGCCAAGGCATTCAACACGTTGCTGGGTGCTACAGCCTCGTGGACAGCCGCACGTGCAAGATCACCTGACTCGCGTGGAGCTCGCCGTCCGCTGCAGCGAATTGGCGGCGTTGCTTTAATCATCGCTCCCTTCCTCCCAGCTCGGCCCGTGTGAACGACATCACCATCCCCCAAGCTCTCGCCCAGCCCCAACCCCCAGCCCAGCCGCTCGACACCGAGGGGCGTATTGGACCACGCCACTGAGGTCTCCCAGCCGTCAATTGACCCTTCTACGACCCCCGAAAGCCGTGCAGGATGGCCAGCAAGCTCTGCAGGAGCCGGGTGTTGGCCCAGGCCCTACGACCGGCGAGGCCCTCCATCCAGACCGAAGCTGCTGCTGCGCGATGCTTCTCCGCCAGCCCCCGCGCCGCTGTCGGGTCTTATGCCGTCAACCTCCCCAAGGATGCAAAGGACTTCCGGAGAGCAGCACGACAGACTGCTGGCTCCCTCGAGGCCCCCATCGTCAACCCTGCCGATAAATACCAGTCCAAGGCCGACAACCTGCACAAATACGGCGCCTGGCTGATGGGCGTCCTGCCCAAGTACATCCAACAGTTTTCCGTCTGGAAAGACGAGTTGACCATCTACATCGCACCATCCGGTGTCATTCCAGTCATCTCTTTCCTCAAGTGTATGTCATCATGTTCAAGTGCCGCGCTGCCAGTGCGTCGGCGGCGTCTCAGCCCGTTGCTAACATAAGCCTCTTTCCACATGGCAGACAACACCGCCGCCGAGTTCACCCAACTCAGCGATATCACCGCAGTCGATTTCCCCACGAGAGATCAACGCTTCGAAGTGGTCTACAACCTGCTCTCTGTCCGCCACAACAGCCGCATCCGCGTCAAGACCTATGCCGACGAGGCTTCCCCGGTGCCGTCCATAACGAGCCTTTACGAGGGTGCAAACTGGTACGAGCGCGAGGCGTACGATCTGATGGGTGTCTTTTTTGTCGGTCACCCTGACCTGCGTCGCATCATGACCGACTACGGATTCGAGGGTCACCCGCTGAGGAAGGACTTCCCGGTGACGGGATACACCGAGCTTCGCTACGACGAGGAGAAGAAGAGGATCGTGACGGAGCCTCTGGAGCTGACACAGGCATTCCGTGACTTTGAGGGCGGCTCCAGCGCGTGGGAGGGTGTGGGGACAGGCATCGACCGGAAGCCCGAGAGCTTCAAGCTGCCGACGCCCAAGCCGGAGGAGCAAAAGGAGGAACCCAAGAAGTAGGGGACACGCGAGAGAAGGTGTACATAAATTGTGTCAATATGAATGCGCGTTCCCTGATGGACCGGCCATAATACGCACCGTCTTCTCACTTCCCGACAACCGAACGCCCGGTCTCTTGGGAAGACGGCGCGCCGGTCAGCTTATCTCACGTCTGTTGAGCAGCCGTGAAGGTATCTAGTGGCATGTGTGCCTTTTAAAGCAGTTGCCGCCCTGCCTCTTCACTGCCGTTTTTACAGGTGGAGGAGGAGGGCACAGGCAGATGCGAAAAGCACTTGTCCTTTGTTGCCCCTCCGTTGTGTTGATTATTGATGACTCCTGGGTCTGCCTGAAGAACAATCCCTTCAGACCCATCCGTTGGCAACGGGGCAGAGGACAGACATGTGGGATTTTCGCGGCCCGGTTTGAAGACAGTAAGAAAGAAAGGGAAGATTGATCTGATGTAAACATGCTGGACGTTACCTTCGGTCTCATGTGCCCTGAAGGAACCAAAGTTGTCCTGTGACGACAATAGGAAGATCGCGAGGACATATCCGCCTCATCCGCGTGACTGTAACCGGACACTGCCTGACTGCTTCAGAGCCAGTGGGCGTGTATCTAAAAGTAGCCCCAGTAACTCGGTCATGGGGACATGGCAGTGCGTACTCCCTACCTGCTACCCTGGCAACACCTCTCAATATGCCATGTCTAAATGTCCCCAAAAACCCACGCCGATTTGGCTGGCTGGCTCTTACTCCGTACAACTCGCACGCAACAATGCATTATCCGAGCAGTCGCGGCTAGCACTGAATCGTCTAGCCAGGCCCAGGCACCTAACAGTAGCGTAGGTACTACATGGTACCTAGGTAGTTAGCGATTGAAATCTCGAGGGCTCGTGCCCCATCCACCCACCCCCCAAATCCTCGTGCTGATTAGCCGCCTCAGCACCATCCATCCGCATCCATACCTGGGTGCTGTTCCCCTGATCCCTGCCGCTGTCCCTCGCCTCCCGTTCCCACTCCCACCCAGTCTTGCGCCTTTTGAGGGCATCCGCCTTAGGCAGAGGCCCTCGACCACAACCCATCAATTGCGGCCTTCCCACTCGGCTGTTTCATCACGCATTTTTGGCTCAGAAAGGCACGAAGACACTTCTCTTTGATCGTGCTTGTCAAGCCCCAGCCCCTACAACCTGCGACTTGGAATCAGCAGCCCTGACTGGAGGGACGACGGCGGCTTCATCGCTGGATGACACTGCCTGGGAGCCCTCCCCCACACTGCACCTGACCTCTCTCTCTTGACTCCGATTCAACAAACCCGCTTGGCGCTGGGACGACACTGCACACTGCACACTCATATTCACACTCTCACAAAACCCAGGCCTGCTCGCCTGCCCGCCTGCCCGCCTGCCCGCCTCCCGCCTCTGGCTCCCTCGCCTAAAAGCACCACCACGCACAGCAGCCGGTCAAGTCACACATCTTATGAGACGGCGCCCTCGCTCGCCCACCATGATGGAGGGTCGAGACTATGCCGACGACGACGAGGGCCTCTTTCGCTTCGATACCGAGGAAGAAGAGGCTGCTTTCATGAACAACCTCAACGAGGACGACTTGATGGAGCCTCTGACTCCGGTCGGATCGGCCGAGCCCGTCATCGCCCCAGCCATACTCCACCACGCCGCCGCCACCGCCGCCGCCGCCGCATCTGGAAGGCCCCACAGTAGTTCTCACAGCAACAACTTCTCTTCCGTCAACGCCTGGCAGCAGCCGGAGCCTGCCTCGCCGCCGCCCCCGCCTCTGTCGTACTCACCCTCACCAAGTGCTACACCAGCTACGCATCATCGCCCTGCAGACCGCCGCCGCCTATCGTCACATCGCTCACGTCAGTCCCGGCTGTCCCACCAGGGCTCAGATCAAAGTCTCGCCCAGCATTCTCACCGCCCAGCGCCAGTCCCTGCCGCTGCGCACCATGAGGATCTCCAGCATCAGCCTCCTGTGCAGGACCAGGTCGATGATGACGGCCTCATCGATGATGATCTCGGAGGCCAGATCCAGCACCAGCGCGCGGTTAATGAAGACGAGCCCTCCAGGGATGAGCTCAGGGAGAACGGCTTCGTCGAAATAGATGCCGATGGCGTTGAAGCCATGTTCAACGGCAACGAGGCAGACCGCATCACCGCGCAAAAGTTTCAGTCCGAAGTTCTGAAGACCATCAAGCAGAACGGAAAGGTGGTCTACATGGTCGGCCAGGCAACCGCGCAGTGGTGGCTCAGCTCAGAGATGCAGAAACGACGAAGGGCTGCCGCTCGACGAATGTTGGACATCGGGGGTGCAGTTGCTTCTTCTGCCGGGAACGTCATCATGAACAATACTCCCATCGGCGGGGTCGTTACCACGGTATCCGATAACGTCACTGCGTTCAGGGCCGCACCATTTTTATACACGATGCAGGGCCTTGGGATCATGAAGAAGAATAAGCCTACCACTGCAGTCCTCTCGCCCACGACCGCCAATCAACATATGTCGAACGACCGCCTCTTGGGCCCAGATGAAGATAAACACTTTGCACCATCTCCGGCAATAGTCCAGGATGAAATTGAGGACGACATGCTAGGTGTATTGAATTTTGACGACGCAGACGACATCTAAAAGCGGCATGCTCTGGACAACAGAATCACCTCGAAACTGGACCGCATAAATGATAGGGCTTGTGAAATCGAAGTCCCTCTCTGGTAATAATGCAGCCTGATACCAGAACAATCTCCAGGCCTCTGAGTTGCTTACGTGGTGGCCAGCGGCCAAGGAGGGGAAACGTCAACCCATCACGACCTTTTCAACACACGTCCTCACTATTCATCAATCATCTGCGCTGGCGTTATGGTAGGGCGGGCTGGGTCTCTCAGCGTTTAGTCATACTCTCTCATTTCTTGAATCATCTTTGGAGCGCAGATATGGCAAGGATACCTGGATGTTGCAGCCGCTTTTGTTTATGGTGTTCAAACTGCGGGACAGGATGAGTCTTTGGCTCAACCGCGATGCAATCAGAAGAGGCGGGTGTGTTGATTTTTGCCCTGGCGTTGAAATTAGACTTGCGGGTATAGTTCTCTTTTGGCGCACCGGGAGCATCTGTTGTGATCATAGGAGGCCAGGATCTGGGGCAGGCCATTCTAGCCCACTCCTGGCTGGCGTTTTGATCTGTACTCTGGGTGATTTTCACCCAAAAAACCCAATCAATGCAGACATCTTGTTAAGACAACCAACCGTCTGAATCATGCTGTTGGACGTCGAACAGGCTTGGTTCCTGCCTCCAAGGGTGCACCTGATGAGTATTGTGGTCCCCAGCCATGCCAGGCGGCCCAGGGGGATGGGATACGAAGCGTCGCGCCAGTCCACCTGCAGCTGGAGACCCCCAAGTTCAGCAGGCCCACCCGCGGAGAACTGTGGGGGGTGGAGAAGGCATCACTTCTCCAGACTGCGGCGCACCAGCTGGTCGACAGAAATGAGCTGAATCGAGGAGAGACTGGCTAAAACTCCACAACTCAACAATCATGCGCGCGCCAACGGATAATCTCCGTGGCATGTTGTGCAAGGAAGCCTGACGGACGGGGACGGCCTCCTCTTGGACTTGTCGCCAGCATCTACATGGGCCCACTACCGCCCGCGGGGGTCGTTGGGGTCCCGTCTCTTTCGCGAGCCTAAGGTTATTTAGCTTCCTGACAAATCGAGGCAAGCCTGCCCATGTGCCGGTCTGTGGGCCATTCTACCGATCACCTTGTCGCCCTGACCCGTGTAGCCATCTCCGCCGGCGCCGGGACAGCAGCAGACCTCCGGATTTGCTGCCGCAACCATGTCGCCGAGTCCAGAGAATGACCTCGGAACACCAAACTCAGCCGGCGGTCCGGGGCGCTCAAACAAATCCTCGGCCCGCTCAAGATACGGCTGTCTCACGTGCAAGTAGGCGATGCAAACCAAACTGCGGGCATGAGGCCCCACAGAAGTAGACAGGACTGACCATTCGGCAGGCGGCGGAAAGTCAAGTGCGACGAGCTGAGGCCTCGCTGCAGCCACTGCGAGCGTCTGAACCTGGAATGCAAATGGCCGCTCTCGTTCTCTTCAGCCAGCCACAAACGGCGCTCACGCCAGATCGCAGGAGGCACTGCGGCAGCGAGCAATGCCGAAGTATCACGCACTCCCATGCCAGAAATAGACCCGGCACCTAGCGGCCCATTATTCCAAGCGCCGCCTCTACACGCTGTTAACCAGCTATTCGACTATGCCTCATTCCTCTGGGATTCCGGTACTGGCACAGGTGATATGTGGCAGCAGATGAGCCCGGCTGTCACTGCTGGCCATGGCGTGTCATTCGATAGCCTCAGCCAGAACGGCCACAACCCAGTCGTGCCCGCGGCCCCGATCAACTCGTCCCCGCAGGCCAGCATCAACCTGTCCATGCAGGGCCGACTGGTACCCGGCAGTTATGATAACTCGGAGCCGTCGACGGTTCCAGATGCCAGCTGCCCCAGCTACGCAGACCAGGACGACCTGCTTGTGCCCTCGGAAAACGTGGCAGCGGAGAATCATCGCCTCATGGACTACTTTGCTCACGCAGTCACGCCGCCAATCTTGGCCGAGGTCGAGACGCAAAAGAATTGGTTCGCCATGCGGCAGGTATTGGTTGGCATGTCCAATTCATCTCGCATGATAAGATGGGCCATCCTGGCTTTCTCCAACCTGATGCTTTGTCGTCGCGATGGGAACTGGCTTGCAAGTCAGCAGAACCATTATGATAGCGCTGCCGCCGAGGTAGCAGCATATGACGATCAGCCACCTGAGACATTCTTGAAGCAGAGTGCCGATCGAACTAATCTACTCGCGACCCTGTTTTTCCTAAGCTATGTTGACATCCTAGAAGCCAGGATAAAGACTGCTCACACCCATCTCAAGAGGGCATACATCATCTTCCAGCATGGAGACAAGACTTCTTTCGCCCCAGTCGAGAAACAGTTTTTGCTCTGGATACGACTACTTGATGGCCGAGCTGTCAGCGCCGGAGGCGATGGCCTCTTCCTCGAGAAAGACGAAGAGCCCCTCCTCGTCGACGTCCCGTCCCCCAACCTCCTCAAGACTGCCACCAACGGCCCCGAGGCCAGGGAGGAAGACCTCGCCGATGACGATATCGAGGACACCCTATTTCAGGTCCTCTATCAGCCGGGGATCCTTTTCTTGTAAGCATCTCTGTCTTTGAAGTTTGGGGACGTTCTGGAACAAAACATTTTGTGATTTGTTGCAGGCCTAACTTGAATTTCAGCCAGAAGGTGCAGTCCTTCATGGGTCGGATCTCCAAGATCGATCCGTGGCACCGATCCAGGGGCACAGTCGAGGACGAGACCGAGGTCATGAACACGGGCCAGACGATCACGTCGGACCTGCGGACGCTGTACGAGCAGCGCCCGCCGCTGATGGACATTGCGGTCGCGGGTCGGCTGACGCCTCCGCACGTCTCGGCGCACCTCGCGGCCGTGGTGACGCGGGCGTTCCGCACGTACCTGTCCAACTACTACGCGAGCAAGGTGCACCTGCACCGTGTGGCGTACAAGGCCTTCCCACTGACGGCCGAGGCGGCCGACGCCCTCTCGCACATCCGCCGCCTCGCTCGCCTGCTCGCCGAGGGCCTCGACGGCGACGACGACGCCCTGCCCGTCAACATGCTTTGGCCATTACTAATGCTCGGCTCGGAGCAGGAGCGCGACCCCGAGGAACGCGCGTGGGTCATGAACCAGATCCTGCGCATGCAAAGGGTTGCGGGCAACGCGAAGATCACGGCGCAGGTCCTGGAGGAGGTCCAGGCGCGGCAGGACGCTGCCAAGGAGCGGGTCGACATTCGGTCCGTGATGCATGCCACCTTCAACCGGTGCTTTGCTATCGTCTAGGCAGCCCTGTGCGTGCCTCCGCGCGCTGCCAGCCCCCGCCCCCTCCTCATAATGTGCTGTTCTGCTGTGAGCCCGGCCGCATGTCTTCAAGATCGGCTTATTCAGCACTAGATACTTGTCATAGGACTGCGTGGTTCACCGCCTGGGTAGCTGTCAACATCTTCCAGGGCCATCAAACCGTATTTGGTCTATAATTAGTTGTTTGTCAGCGAGATGTGGCAACCATCATTCGAATCCACTAAGACCTAATTGTTCCAGAGACGTCCAGTTTTGTTGCGAGGTGCAAATGATACGGGCGGGGCTCATTCGTGCGGGAAGTAATGTCCTTGATCGCTCGCGGTAACAAGCCCCGGCAGGATCGCAGGCTCTGTTTTGATGGGTAGTACAATGGCCTCTAGGGCTGCGGAGAGAGAACTTGGCCGCAGCCCTGGCCCATAATCGACACGAGGGCCAACTGTTGAGCCTCTATAATAATTGAGATGCAAGCAGGTTGCAATGCGTTCCGTGTTGGCCTCCATATTCGGATATTTTCACATGACCATGACTAAGATGCCAGCCCCTTCACTTCTACCCTTTCAATAATAGACGAGAAAGGTACTGTCTTGCCGGCTGTCACCCTCGTTGCCTGCCACGGCGTGCGCATGGAAGTCTCCCTTGCATTAGACTTCATGTATGAGATCATTGGCGCAGCGTGCATGCTGCCCGCATTGTGAACTCGATCGACTTTGTGTAAATACTTTCCACGCTGGGGTGCGATCGGAGCCCTGGGGGAAGTTCTGCTAAATGATAGGCCGAAAGCGGCTCGTTGACCTCGCCTTGAAGAGTGACAAGCATGGGTGCCCAGGTGGTTGCCAGGTACTCTGAATAATTCGGAAGTGACTCGCTTGTTGGAGTAAGGCCAGCTGATGATCTTGCGGTAACTAAATACCAAGGAAAAGTATGTCTAGCCTAGACGATGCTGCATCATAGCTGTGCATTTGACAGGAGCGAATCGGCTCATCCTCCCTGGACTTATACGTCCTTATCACTTATCACTTACTTGGCATAGGGGCTAGCCTCATCCTTCACTGCATGAGGTGACAATAATCTTTTCTTTCTGATTGAGACAGGGGTCCAGAAAGACCGCCGGCAGACCTGGGCCTCAGGCGGCCGGCCGGCTTTGTATGCTTGCTACCTGTCATCCTGGGGGAGCACAAGCCAGGCTGCAACACATAGGGCGCTCGCTCTCTTGTTCCGTCACAAGCAGAATATTTCAAAATGTTCTCATGTTGTGACTTGCAGCAGGGGGTGATTGTGTCTGCTCGACAAGCAGGCCGGACGGAGTAAATGGGATCAAGTGCACGAACTCGCTGCGGACTTAGAGTGACCCCATTGAGTATAAACTTGTGGAGCATCTGATAAACTTGGCACCTGTTGGTCAGATTGTGCGGAGTCACTTTTCCAGGCTCTCCCAGTCACGACTGTAGCAGTTTGTAAATTGGTATCTTTTTGTCACACATGAGCGAATTTGGAATTAAAAACGAGGCAAGAAGAGCATTTCAGCGCCCAACTTTCGGCACCCCATTTCTCAGCACTTAGACACGACTACGCAAGTGCTACTTATCTCAGTACCTAATGACTGCGGACGCGAGAATTCGACGCTTGTCTTCAACTAAAGATAGAGCTGAAGACATTACTTTTGCCGTGGAGATCAAATCCATCATCCCCCTCAAACCTAGCAAGACCAACTTTCCAAATGCGGAGATGAGGCCATTTGTCCCTCACCGACCGAAAGAGAGCTTACAGTCGATGACCGAATCTGAGATACAGATCCAGAGGAGCACACACGAATCGATAGCCACCGCTCTGCAATCTCTCCATGGTATAAAGGCAACGACGCACCATCAGATACAGGAACATAGATTAGAGCGAAGTGACTACTGGAGAACACATTGGATAGTGTACAAAGCCAACTCTGCTGTCCCAGAGTTTGTAAGCTATAAAGATGGAGACGACGAGCGGCCGATCATCGACGAGGACGCAGCAGAATGCAATAGATATGTGTGGGTCCCAGTAGAGTTGTGCTCGCCGAAACTGTGTTGGAAGGGGAGGCAGGAGGCGGCAGCCGATATAGGCTCGGTGTGCAGGACGCTGCAGGACGGCTTCAACGCCGTGGCCAACCACTCCACCGAGGTCCACGTCCACGTCGGGCGCCACGACGGGCGGTTCTACTCGCTCAAGAGCATGAAGAAACTGGCCACGGTGCTCTGGCTGGCCGAGCCAATCCTACGGGGGCTCAAGGACCCGAACTCACGCAATTTTGACCACACCTTCACCTGGGGCTTCCCCTGGCGGGAACACAGCCGCATCGCACTGGCCCTGCAGGGCAGGCTGCCGGACGGGCAGACAATCAACGACCTCGCCACGGGCCCCGAGGACGACTTCGACACCTTCCTGGCCCGGGCGAACAACGCCCGCGTGACGGGCGATGGGGCCGTCGGCGGAGGCAACGGCATTGGCGAGGCGGATAAGCTCCGATTCGCCGACGAGCACCGCTTGGCGCTGCGGGCCATCTGGCGGGCATCAACACACAAGGAGCTGGGCAGGATGCTCTGCGGCACCGAGGCCAAGTACCGGCGGCTGGGCTTCAACTTCCACGCGCTGGGCGGGGAGGACGCGCGGGCCCGGGCGAGCCCGCGGACGGTCGAGTTCCGGTTCCTGGAGGGGTGCATCGACGAGGGGGTCGTTGCCGGCTGGGTGCACGTGTGCGTGGCCCTCGCCAAGCTGGCCATCGACCAGGTCGAGGACTGGGAGTTCTACGACATGGTCGTGCTGCTGCTCGCCATGCCCGCCGAGTGGAGTCTCGACGCGAAGTTCCTTGCCATGATGCGCGAGCTCGGCATCGCCAGGGAGGCGTATGAGCCTCTGCAGGACATTGTGCGGAGGAATTATCCGCCTTCTGATGGAGTAGCAGCGGATGGGGACATCGGAGTCATAATTTAATTAGCAGATGGCATGCGCATGTTTACCAATGCAGCCAAGTTAACTAATCTCCTAATTCAAGTATCATTTCCCGCTGCCGAACGCTCGCGTATGCAATGCAAACATGACACCACGCATATTCCAAAGCTTCCTTTTCGGTCCATCTGCATGTATTATTCCTGTGCCGTGTTGCATGTGCTAATAATCGGAATCGCCAAAGTGAAATCTGTTGAAATTCCGGGCCGAAACATCTGATACACAGGAAATTGCTCTGGGGATGCTGCCAACTACTCCTTCTCCTGCTGCTTCCTCTTCTTGATGACATTTCCATCATCATCCAATAAGTCACTCCCACCCTCCAGCCCAGACCACTTTGCGATCCCATCTCCTTTAAAGTCAACAACCCTCTGCGGGTAGAACATGTGGCACTTTGACTCGAATGCCTTCCTCGCCTCAGGGGTATCAATTCCATCGATGAGCGTCGGATAAAGCAGAATCATGTTCCTGCCCTCGTCCATGAGAGGCGTCCGGCAGAAGGCACACTGCACCTTGCAGGGGAGGTGGTGTGTCTGTGACTTTGCAGTCGGGTCATACCAGCCCAGGTCATGGTGGCCGTGGGTAAAGTTGATGTCACTCTTGTGAAAGATGGTAGACCACTGGAACGGGGCGCCGTGAAGGCGCTGGCAGGTGTTGCAGTGGCAGTATTTCGAGGTCAGTGGCCGCTCGCGGCTCAGCTGGAACCTGACTCTCCCGCAGTGGCAACCGCCTCGCCACTTCACTATGAAGTCCTCGTCTGACTGGTGTATGCGGTACGGCTCACGATGCTTCCACTCATCCAGTTCGCGGTGCGTGGTCGAGCCGGCTTGGTGCTGGTGTGCCTCACTGGCGGGCTGGGGCTGGCTGACCTTCTCCTCCTGGGTTCCATTTGAAGACATGCTGTACTTTTGATGCTTTCGAAAAACTGTAAAACCAATGCTCCCCAGTGCTAATGTTTGTCGTGATCCTAGAGGCAGGGCAAATGTCGCAAGTGATCTCATGCTGAAGGGTACGGCTTTGCCAGAGGCGCTTTCTCAGTCATGACCTCGGGACTTCAGGAAAAGACCCTGAAACGGTTACTTCTATAGTATTCTTTTTACCCCTTGCTTAGACTGGTGACGGTGACGACGTGACTTTTAGATCGCCGAGGAAACTACCACAAACTAATAAACGGGCACTGTTTGTCGCAAAAAAGAAAACGTCTGAACTACGTCACCATTCGCATGCTCAATGCAGCGCAGAAATGTTGAGCGATCCGATGTTTGCTCCGATCAAGTTTGAATTGGATTCACAATGAGACAGAGGAAAAGAGAAATATTACATAGAAGTAAATCGACTAAAACAAATCCTTTACATTGTCTGCTCAAGTGGCTATTTTGCGGCCAGCCTGCGTTGAATCCCGGAACTACCTTCAGTAGGTAAGTCCGGCACCAAGGCTGCCCACACAAGACACTATGGCGGGGTGATCATACACTTTATACAGTATGGCAAGGAACTTGAATGCATGTAGTGCCATGTGCTAAGCAGTATCTTTTCAATATTTTGAGACTAGAATCGCGTTCTAACTAGGCAAACGGTCAGGAAGAAACTCATGTGTACCACGTAGGTTCCGGCAATTCGCCAAGGAGCTGGTAGCGCCCCAACTCCCTGTTCTTATATGACACCGGGTCATGAAGAGTATGAGTTCGGATGTCACGCCAGTATCGGTCAAGGCCAACCCTTGTTCCCGTAGCCTTGGCTCCAGTCACCTCGAAGATCCCTGACGTGACCCGGAGTCCCGTATCAGTCGCGACGACCTTGATGCTGGCAACCCATTCAGCGAACTCGCCACGTTCGGTCGCTGTGACTTCGGCTTTGTTGGAGGGATACTTTGTGTACACCGAGTCTGCAGCTAGGCCAGCTTTATCCGCTAGAGCCTCTGCCGCGCGAATATGTGCCAGGTAGTTACCCTAGGCGAGATAAGTGTCAGTATGGTGACCCTTTCCACAGCTCTCCTGAAAGTGGCGACTCAATTGTGGTCTAAAATTGCTTCCTTCATAGTCTTGGGAGTGGACGATTCGAAAGTATGGGTGACTATGTCAGCTTACATATGTAGAGAGGATATAGAACTCGTCCGTGGCCTTGTCCTTGTTCTGCTCGAAGTGTCAGCTTCAGCCAAGGTTCTTGAAAACAAATCATGAGATCTCTGAAATACGCCAGTACTTACATCCCCACCAAAAGGCCAGGCTCTTGTACTGGACACTGTGTACTTGGAGGCGTACTGGAGCGCGCCCAGCGCGATGCCCAAGTAAAAGTTGCTGAAAACTAGTTGAATTCTGTCGTATAACAGTCAGCGGATGCACTTCATCATGATAGAGTCATGAGGAGTTCCAAATCACGTACGTGGGAAGAAGCAAACTAGCGAAGGGAATCCCAAGGACTGCTGGGTCGGGACGCTTGGTCTTAACATCCCAGCCGAGGGCGTCCTCCCACGGTGAAGCCACTGCCTCGATTGAGACACCACCACTTTCAGTCAGGCGGAGTCCGACGTTATCCCAGTTGTGTGCAAACTTGATTCCTGGCTGTACGGTCGGGACGATGGCGAAGATATGGTCTTCTGTCCCTTCAAGCACACCCTCAAGCACAGTCAAATCTGAGACGACTCCGCCCGTGTTAAAAAACTTGCGGCCGTTGAAAATGATCTTGTCCCCGTCGTCTGTGATTTTCAAGTCGCTGTCTCTGGGGTTCACTGCACCTCCGATGAAATAGTTGTTAGAAAGGATGAGTTTTTGGAAGCGGTCTGCCTGTTCCAGACTCCCAACTACATTAGCAGTAGTGCTCCAGAGTAAATGGTACCCCAATAGCATTCCAATGGAGCTGTGGCTCAAATGTTAGTGATGCATGTACAGTAGCCGAGAAGCATAAGAGAAACATCCAAATGCAAAGGGCTCGGGTAGAAACTAACCCATCAGCCTTGGCCACCTCTCGGATAACTTTGTATCCGATGCTCCAAGGCTGCTCGCCTCCACCATACTTCTTCGGACCAAGAATTTTGGTCAGGCCTGAGTGCTTCAATAGGGCCACCTCTGCACGGGGCGACTTGTTCGCCCGCTCACGGGCACTGGCATCTCTCTCCAACACAGAAGCAACATCCTGCGCACGTTTGACCCAGCCAGCTGCATCTTGCGGCTGGGCCGCCCATTTTCCCACGTATTCTTCGTAAACTGCCGGTTCCGTTGCAGGGTGGGTGCCGTTCTCAGCCATGTTGACTTTGTATCTTTAGAATAGATGACTTAATCTAGAGCAGGAATTCGCAGGCAGGTTGATCAAGTCTAACAGTGTCAAGAATTTTCCTCGAACGAGGCGTTCGCTGCCGGCCTGGTCAGGTAACAGACTGGACTCGAGATCGGATGAGAGATGAAGCCGATGCAAGTCAAAGCCTGGCCGTGGGTGCTGGCTTTCACCATTTTGAGGCTGGTGATAATGCACATATTGTGACACCTGCATCCTTATCTCCTTTCTGAAGCAAGTGGTGTGATGGATTGCGCAATCGGGCCCAGAAACGTCGTGTCCTCGCCGGCTGCAGCTCTTATGTACTGTTGATACTAGTTGACCGAAGCTCCGGGTCTAGTGATGCGTCCCCCACGTGGTTGCAGTCTACATTAGGTTCACACTAAGATTTGCACACAACTCTGACCATGGCGTGAGGTTTGCCAAGGGCCATCGTGCGGAACCGACAGGAGCGATACATTACCCTAGTGTAGGTATCCGAGGCATCGCTGTGTGTGATGCGAAGTGTGATCGCTGAAAGGCTCCACACATTGAGGAGGCGGAGATTTTGCGGCTGTTCTTGCGGTTGTTCTTGCGGACTTGGGCACTACCGGTATTGGGATGTCTTTCATTTGGGACACCTCAAACATCAATGATGGACGCTGTAGAACTTTCGCCCCAGCGCTCTGAAGTCATTCCACCTAGGCATTCCTCTCGATTGCACCAGCCAACTGTGCTTGAACCAAGCATTTCAAGCAGATTTTGAAACTGTCCACTGGTAACAAGACTCGGAGTGGCATTTTTCTTCGCGGAATCTCTTCAATAGTTAATTACAGGACATTTTAAGCTACCAGGGTACACAAGATCCCACCAGTTGAGATACCATGGCCGATGAGAACGTGTGATCAGTTACGTATATATCTTGGTAGTGCCACGCTCTCTAAAATCTTCACCTCCCGAGGTCTTCAGTGAAAATGTACTCTACTTTCTCACATTCTTTTTTCAATCAACTATCGAACCTTCCCAAGGTCGGAGAAATAGATCCATCTGGCTGCCCGACTATTTATTCTTCTTGCCGAAGTAGCGGGACGTGTCACCGAGTGGAATATCCAACAATGACTCCGCCGTAAGATGATGAAACGTCAAGTACCTGTGATGAAGTGAGCCTGGATGTCTCCATCTCATTTTGTCGTATTTTTGAATGAGAAGACAAGAACTCACCAGCCACCTAATCCAGCCAGGAAACAGAACACCCCACCGGCCTTCTTGAGGCTGACTGAGGCGGCAGGATGCCCGTCCGCGGCGGCAAAATAGCTGCTGGCCACGAATAGGAAGCCAAGCACAAGAAAGACGAAGATCACGATAAAGGTGAGGTTCGTAGGAATTACCGCGATCAAAAGAGCAAAAACAAAGACGGTCCATACTAGAATCGAGTATAGCATCTCATCAGCAAGCAATCCTATGGCCAGGACCTACTGGTTAATCAGCCCTTGGGAAGGCTTACATATCATGAAGAACCCAAGAGCATTATTATACTGCTGGATATCGTCGCCGTATGCATCCGCGACCCCAAAGGCTGGCGTCAGCAACGCTGCATATCCCGCGTAGAATAGTCCTAGACACATTGAGAATCCGCGCCTGAACTCAGAACACACAGCTGAGGGAAAACGTACCGAATGCGCTGTAGACGGAGTATGTGAGACCATTACCGATCGCCAGCTCCCATTGGGCAGTTACCACTAGGCCAAACGCGGCGATGAAGAAGAAGTTTGCAATGTACACGTTGGTAGTCGTGACGCCTCGCCATTCCATAAGAGAAAGCGATAGAGTCGTCAGAGTCGTGGCGAACGCACCGATCGGTAATATCGACTGCAAAAAGTGTAAGCGTGGTCCTTCTTCCCGTCGAATCAAAGTGTACATACGCCCGCTCCAAGCGACTTGTTCCTTATGATGGGGAGAGGTTCATAAATGACGAATGGGGCACTGAGTTGGCTCTCTGGATCTGATCTCGTCACTGATGTCTTCAGGGGCCCATCGTGAGCCAATTCAGATGCTGAAATTCCAGACATATCCACGTTTGCTCTTAAAGGTGGTGAATTGAAAAAGTAGAATATAATCGGCGTGGGCAGGTGTCAGTCGGTCTGGGAAAGTATCTCAAGTGGCCGGCCATACAGACCAAGTGACACAAGCTGCGATGACATGCACACCGCGGAACGGATTAGGGACGAATCCCATTGGATATTTTACCATATCTACGGTACCTCACAAAAGACACATATTCATAGAGGACCTTGCTTCAACTCCGAGCTTAAAATGGCCTCTTTCCATGTTTGTCTTGCGCCATGCAGGCTAATGCTGAGCCGAGCGGGATAATTCTTATTCAGCCATTAGTCGTAGTCTTAACTCCAGGGTGACATGACGCCTTCGGTTCCAGAGATTGCAACGCGTTTAGATATATCGATGACCGTGCTCTTTGTGGAATGGTAGCTGAGGGGCTTGTTTGGGTTGGAAAGCTTAGCTACATTGCATCACCACGCTATTAGGTGGCGTAATCACGAGCGAATTGTGAGCTGCATTTGGAACAAGGCCAACCCATGTACCACTGCAGAGAAATATGAAAGACGCAAAACGTGTGTGTAGTGAAATTATAGAATCCACGGTAGCGTATGGAACTGGGTTTGATGATCATTTGTGTTACCTTATGTGGTGGAAAGGCCGCCCAGGCAAGGTTCAAGACTGATGTGGCCTGCAACCTTGGAGTGTTACAATCTAACTGTAACTTGTATGCAGCCCTGCATCTTGGGTGTTCGTGATCTCCAGGCTCACTCACCTGTCACAAATACTCGTTTTCTCACCCAAAACCATTCTTCTCCATTATTTTGAGGTAAAATGTACTCTCAGTCACATTTGGGGACTCTATTGATTGAGAAACCCGTTCTTTAAACTTGAATCGTAGAGTGACTTCCGGTTGGTGCATGTGATCAATATCCGGTAGCATACGCTCTGAAAATCTCGAGCAAGTCTCAGCGATGCTTAGTTACATCCCTCCTAAATCTTGGCTAGGGAGGGTTCACGTACTGTATTCTCTCTGCACTGTTATTGGCACTGTATTTTTGTAAACGCTGGGTCTTCAGCATTTACCAGTGTATGAAGGCGCCGCATACATTTTATATGTATGGGGATTAGAAACAAAACCACTTAGTGAGGCCCACAATCCAGAGTTTTGGTCGTCAAAATTGAAACTCGCTGATCCCAGTGGTATTGCGCAGAAGTGAGGTGGTTTCGTTTTAAATCCCCATACATCTAAAATGTATGTGGCGCCTTCATACAGTGACGCAGAAGTGAATACCGATGATATCCCACTGTGACTATTACCGGTAGCCTTACATTCACTGAAAGGGCTTACGGGGACATTTTGAGGCGTTGGGTCGGCCATCTAGAAACAAGGGGCGAATGAAATGATCATGATAATCGCCAAAGCCAGCCACTTCCAGGCTCATTGAGATCAAGACACTGGCACTGCTTACATTGGTTTTGGTTCTACGGCTGTTCCAATTGCACTACGATCCCAATACCGTCTCGGAATATGTATTCAACATCACATTTGAATGATTCAGACCTCCTTTGGATGAGTGAGTCTGGGTCTCTTTGAGCTGAGACAACGGTTGATTGCTTTTCAGGCTGCAGAAGGAGTTCAAGAAAAGACCAGTTGACATCAAAATAAAAAGGGTTGTTTCAGAGCTGTGGACTGAAAGGGGGGTCTCTCGCTGTTTGTCTCTCCTCTGCCTAGTATTGGCCTTCTCAAATACCGTTTCATCCTGCACGCATCTCAACAGATAAACCCAGAAGATCATTCTCCCATTATTTGAGCGAACTATGATAGTGAAAACTCCCTCTCTTCGAATCTAAAAAGGCACCTCACTGTATAAAATACACGCGAGCTGCTTGCTGGTCAGACTCGTCGAAGACACAAGTTCAAGCGTCTGCTCAAGTCCTGACTCACCCATGATAAATCGAATCCTGCGCTGTACTGATTCTGATCTTAGGGTGTGATATGGCAGTGTCGATCGTTGCTCAGTAGACGTATTATGCGCTTACTAAAGTTTTCAAGAGGAATCTCGGAAAGAGATGTGATTATCGGCGTCATCTTAGACTATTTGCCGAGAGCCTCATGCAGCTTTCCAGTCATGTAGTGTCACGGTGATTGGTAGGCAGTACAGCCATACCACTATAGACAAAACGTACGACGGAAGATCCGAGCGGAGACACGGGGATGCGTACATGTGCGAGGCGATGAGCTCAGTCATCAATATCATGCATTCCGGCCGTAAGACATTTTGATCCATCCACTTGAGCAGTGTCCTGTTCTTCTCGTACGTCAACCACACACAGCCCACGAATTGCCGCAACCTCGTCGGCCGACGCCTAGAACAACCCTTGCCTGTGAAACCAGGCTTGGTCCCTAAGATTAGCAAAGGATTGCTCTCGTTGCCGATCACCCGTGAACAGTTCTCACTTGCTAGCACCGTCTATCACGCACAAAACTAATAGCTGGTTTCCCATACAGAGCCAAGGTAATCGGTGGGTCTTTATAGAGCATGTTTGGACTTGGCCGCTGCTTAAGGGGCAGTTTGGTATCTGCCTCGCATAGCCCAAGTCGTCATGGTGGAAGCATGGCGCATTATTGAGTGCCATGGATTGTATCCTAGAGAAAAGTCCGATGTACTGAGTCCGAATAGCTGAAAATCACCACAGGTCTTTCTTGGTATTGTTCTGGCCTCAAGAGGACTTCAAGTGTCGATCTTGTAAGCCATGAATGCCTTTCGTAGTCAAATCCCTCGCCGATCTACCTTCTCCTGGGCGAAGCACAGCGCTGCCTAAAGTCAAAATCTGGTTCGAAAGCCTTGAGAAATGAATTTGGCGCGTTGATAGGTCACTGCATGTCTCGGTCATCTCGATCATCTTGGTTTTGCTGACGGGTGGTCAGCTATCAGCTTACGTACAAATGCCGAGGCCATCAAGCCTCGCTCCTTCGAAGAGTTACAGCTCGTGAGCATCGGAACTGAGCAGCATTGAATAAGTCAAAGATCGTCAAGTCCAACCATTGACCATGTATCTGTCAAGGGACAGAAATCAATATAAAAGGGAGCACAATGGCCACGCAATATCAGTTCAACATCGCATCATCAGCTTCACACACCTCTATCACTATCCATTTCAAGACTATCTACAAATTCAACTCCATAAAAATGCAGTTCTTCACCATCGTCTCCGTTGCCGTCACAATGATGGGTTTCGCTTCTGCCAGGCCCAGCGAGCACAGCACCGGTAAGCAGTCGCCGTTCCCTCTTTCAATTTCGAGAAATTCATTCTAAATCATTGTGCTATAGTGGCTCGTGACACATCAGGAAATTACCTGTTTCGCCGCGCATGTGACTGCGACGGAGTTGTTGCCTGTTGCATCAATGACTGCGGTGGCCGTGAGCAGTGCTGCAACACCACATGCAGTAAGCAGCTTTGTAATACAATTCTTGTCCCTTCAAACATGGCCATTTCCCATCTTCAGCCTATACAGAAAAAGCCTCTCGGGCTAAGAAAGTCTATGGCTACATTGTGGCCCGATCTTTACCGTATTCCCGTGAAACCACTTCTTCGATTTCTAGACAACTGACTCTGGACGCTATAGTGGACAGGTTCCCCGATTGTTATAACGCCTGCTAAGAGTATTCGCGGTCTTATACGGTTTGGAATATTACTCGAAATCTTTGATTGTGGAAGCTGTGGGTTCAAGATGAAGGAATAGCAAGAATGAGATGGATAGGTACTGGATAAGAAATAAAGAGTTTGGCCACTCTCATTCGACTCTAGCCAGAGAAGCACTCGAATGTGAAGACGTTGAAGTGCAACTGTAAAACTCGTCTGAATCTACGATTGCTCAAAACTCGAAAAGATACCAGCCCAAAGGTCCTTACGGACCAGACCAAAATTGGTAGTATTTCCATTTAATCAGGGGTAATCGATCACAACCTGATACCTACCTGTAACTTCACACGGGCGAGCCTGAATTCTAAACTCAATGGATCTAAGGAAAATCCAAAGAGATGCTTGGGTAAATAGATTCATTCTTAGTCGTTATTAACTGGAACAAAACAATGTATGATGCGAAGTGCATTCAGAAAGCAACTTTTTCGTCATAAAGGAGACCTCAGCAAACGTACCATAGTTAGCGTTGCTATGAGCCAACTTATTCAAGCGGGTAAAACAGACAAAGTATCAAGAAAAGAATTACTTCATCAAAATCAGAGACGAATTTGCACGCACGCCCTATAGGAGAGAGAGAGAGTCCGACGTCATTGCCTACGCGAGCAGGCCGAGAGGCTGAAGGGGTGCGTTCAAGTTTTGGATTGAAGACTGAGCTAGCTATCTTCACTCACAGTCAACACCGGTGCTCGACACTGAAGATTGACTATAGCAACGAAAGAGACACTTTGAAAGTTGACCAGTAACATGTTAGAAAACGTACGTGTTTCCCACGCTTCCTTATGTCTATGCTTTGAAATTTATGCAGGGACATCTGGAGCTCCCGAGTTGGACTGATGCAAGTAATTATGGTTTCGAGTCATCTTGAATCAATCTAACTCACGAACAGTCCGCAATGACTACTGAACTATACTTGTGTAGACACCGGTGGGAACATCATGATATCCCCTCTTCCCAACCGTGTGCGTAAGCTGACTTCGCCAATCTTCACCCCGAGAGAGTTTGCCAATGGACGCCTCGAACGTAAACTCAGGCTTCCATCCCAAATCCCTCACAGCCCGCGAAGAGTCATATACCCGATCAATCCTGCCGAGATGCTTCCATCCCCTTTGTGCAAGGACCTCCCCGCTCCCAGGGACGCATTCCTCCATCACCTTCGCCACGGCGGCCCCCCCGCCGCCACCATTCAGCAGCCTCATCGCCTCCTCGTCCCGCGCAAAAGGCGTGGGCGCGCTGATGATATACCTCCCCCACGACACACTCCCCTCCGCGGCTCTCTGCACCGCACACACGCACGCGCCGACGGCATCAGCCACGTCGACCCGGCGGTACGCCAGCTCGCACACCTTGAGGTTATCGCCCTCCATGGCGGCCCTGCGGGCATCGTCGTCATCCTCCTCCGGGAAGAAGCGGCTGGTGCGGAGCACGACCACCGGGAGACCCGTGTCAGCGTGCACGAGGCGGCAGATGTCCTCGGCGGCGACTTTTGTCGCGCCGTAGATGTTCTTTGGCACCGGTGCTACGTCCTCGTCGATCCAGGCCGCGGGCTCGCCCGGCGCCGGGCTCAGGGCGGCGCCGAAGGCCGACGTTGTGCTTACGAAGACGAGGGACTGGACCTGTTGTGGGTGGAGGGCGGCTGCTTCCTCGAGGAGCACGAGGGTCCCTGTTATGTTTGTCGATATGAAGTCTTGTTTTGTGTGGCTGCCAATGTGTGGTTTGTGAAGGGTTGCCGTGTGGATTATGTGCCGTATGGTCGGTCGGGAGGCGAGTAGCTCGCGGATGAAGGGGCGGTCCGTGATGGAGCCTTGAAGTGTGTCTGGTCTGATTGAAGGCTTAATGTCGATGCCGAGTGGGGTGTACCCGTAGGCCTGGAGGGTTAGCATGAGGGCATGACCCAAGTGGCCCGAAGAGCCGGTGACTAGCACACTGGGGGTTGTTGAGGTCATGTTGAAATGACTTCCGGATGATCTCCCTCGTATGGAATCTTATCTTCGCCGTGGCAGCTCTCGCGTGGTGAGATATGTATAATAGAGAAAAGTGGATAGACCAGGCTGGACAGTCGATGCTGTCGTCAAGACGGATTCCGAGGCCTTTAGTAAACCGACTTGGAGCATGTTAATAAGAAGCTAGGCGATGCTTGGCGGTGAGTCAACCGGGGAGAATCACACTTGAGATTTCATCTAGTTCGGCATACTACCCTGAGCCGTTTGACCGTTTCACATGAGAATTCGAGACCTGTTCTTCAACGTGCGGAATGGGCGCATCAGGAGATTGAGGTAACTCTTTCACAGAAATTCGTCATGAGGCAGCCCGAAGTTAGTAACGGTACCTGGGCCGTAAGGGATGCCTTCATGTTGGATACTCCACGGCACACGCTCATGGAAAATTGCTAGCACTTGATCGACGTTATGAGTCCTAGAAGTGCGCTGCGAGCATGATATGCAAGGTGTTTTCGAGTCTAAATGAAGGCGTAAAGGCCATGTGGTGTATTATACTACTTTATATCTTCACTTACAATGAGCGAGCGTGCCTGTGGATCCCGGCAGGCACCCATTTTAGGCCGGCCCCGTGGCGTAGTGGTCTAACGCTGGGTGTACCTTTTCAAGGTAGTAGGTTCGATTCCTACGGGGGCCGCGAAATAGACCCATGGAACAGCCGACCATGTTAAAAACTACGGTAAGTATTCGGCTTCGAAACTACCTCTGGATATAGGTTTTTCCCCCTTGTGGTTTTTCCTATGGCCAGCCGAAATATGTATATAGAAAAATTTTCCTTTGTCAAGCGAAACGGAGGTACCCAATCCTCCCGTCAGATCTTCCGAAAGGGACCGCTCATGTTAGGAGGGATACGTGAGGAAAATCGGTAAATGAAGACCTAGCGAGACGTACGACGTTAAAAATACACACACACACCCATTTTAGGCCTATTTCAGAGCACTTCTGCAGATATAGTTAGGTAGTAACAACCTACAGAATATACACCACTATACCCCACAAGAATCCACAAAAAATCGATTTTTTATACTAGAATGGTACATTCTTATACTTTACGTTAAGCTGTAGGGTGAATCGCTCATTAAAACGTTAGCACACTAGAAGAACCTAGCTAAGAAGCTAGTCACTTATTAAATTATTAATATAACTAAGTCACCTATTAAAATATTAATATAAATAACTTAATAAAGATCTTTTAATTAAATTAGTCTCTCTCTCTCTTTTAAAATATTAATAAAACTTAATAGCTTTATAAAATTTTTAAATATTTAATTAATAGAACTTAATATTAAATATTAAATAAAACTTACTATTATTAAAGTAAGAAAAAGTAAGCTTTATTACTATTATTAATTATATAAAAATAAGTTTTATAAGTTAAATAAGTTAAGTAAACCTTTAAATAATTACTTTTAAATAACTATTTTTAAATAACTACTTTTTAAATAATTATTTCTTAAATAACTATTTTTTAAATAATTTATATTTAAATTAATTATTAAATAAACCTTTAAAAAAACTCCTAATTAAAGTTAATAAACACTTATATAAACCTTTAAAACACTACTTTCCACTCTTTCTATACTTATAATAAGTATAATAAGTACTTTAAGTTAAGAAATAAACTTTTTAAATATATTTACTTTAATATAAATAAAAGAAAGTAGTAAAACTAAAGGATAAAAAAATTAGTAAAATAGATAGTTAACTATAGATAGTTAAGTTAAAGAAAGGAGTATATATAGATTTTAATATGCACCTATTTTAGGCTTATTTTAAAGCACTTCTACAGATGTAGTTAGGTAGTAATAACCTATAGAATATACACCACTACACCCCACAAGAATCCACATACCCCTATGATTTGCCCTCATCCTTGTAAATGGCAAATAGCGCATCGATATTGATTCTGCATGCCTGAAAATAGACAATATTGGATGCAAAAGTTTAGGTATGTAGCTTACCAGTTCGAGTTGCGCTTCATACTCCTTGCCCACCAATTCACCCTTCGGCTCAAGGTGTCTAGAGACTCGCACATGCAGTCAACCACATGTGCACTAATGCGCTTGGCCGATTGCCCAATCCATTGTTCAGGATGTGATCTCATGTTCGATGATGCTCCTAACATAAGCACGTATCTAATACTGTATCAGTAAACTTCTCCCGCGATGCTAAATGTAAGTAAGCATCTAGACTACCTTCTTGCTGGATTTCCTGAACGGGCTTGGCCGCAAGGATGGGCAATTATCAGAGTCGGGTCCAGCGGCAGTTTGAGGGTTAGGGCCCCCGGGTGGCGTCGCCCAAAGTCGTTTTCCCCCAGCCTTGCCTCTGCCGCTTAGCCGTGCAGCCCAGGCCTTTTCAGAGCCGTCAGAGCCGTCGAACCTGGGAACCTTGCCCTGATTTTAAGTCTGGGCGGGTCTGGGTAGGGCTGTGTCCCTGTTAAATTCCCCGACGGCATCCTGGGCTGGCCGGGTGGGCACGCTGTGCTCGAGAGGCTCGGGGGGGCATTTGACGTCAAAAAGCATGGATGCGCCTCCCTCAAAGCCACGGTGACGACGTCATCGTGCTATTTTCTCGAGGGCCTCGCCTTCGCCTGAGTAGCACGCAGGCCACGGCCACGGCCACGGCTTGCACAGCCGTGCATGGCCTTGTGCCAAGGAGCATATAAACCCCACCGAGGCTGCTTTTGAGGACATCGCACCACTATAAGTCGTCCTACACACCTACCTTTGAGCCTTCACCCCTCGAACAACACCTGCTCACAGAACTTGACACCAATTGATTCTACCTAGAACCTCTGCAACCAACCCTCCCACAAGAACCAGAACATATCCATCCACAGCAGTCAACATGGGTCGGCCGGCGTCTTCCACGACTGATATGATCGACTACTTCATCGCCATCTTCATCCCTCCTGTAAGCCTCGTCCTTCGCATTGCATTACCTCACTCATGTGGCCTGAGTAGCTAACAAGCCTGGCAGCTGGCGGTCTTCCTCAAGCGCGGCTGTGGCGCTGATCTCCTCATCAACATTTGTCTGACCATCCTGGGTTGGATTCCTGGTCTGATCCACGCCTGGTGGATTATCAGGTAACTACGATCTTGTCCCTGAAAGAGAGCGGAAGACTAACATTTGACAACCTCAGCAAACATGAGAGGGCAGCCATCCGTCATGGCTGAGAGGCCAGATACAGGCATGGGACCAAGAGCAGAGCATGCGGGCGAGAAAGCTTGTTGATTTGGCGTTCTTGGTCAACTTCTTGGGTTGTCCACCCGACCCTCTATTTTGCCTTTCGTTTCTTTTACTTGGATGGGCGGATGCGGCATGTTTGTTTTGATACCCACCTCAACTGTCGTCTCCATTCACAGTTGAGACCGGTTTTCCCCGGCGTGCAAGAGTCAGTGGCCGGTTTACGCTACAGCACGATAGATCCTAATTGAAGATATCCCGGAAAAACTGCCCTCGGTGGTCTGAGCTTGAGCCCCCCTTTGAGTGCTACGCCGTGACGGCGGTTCTGCTTCTGTCGGCGCACCACGTCTGCGGTGCAAATAGGACTCGCGCGTGACATACATTGCTGGCCCGTTGTGCAACAAGATCGGCATTCCGAAAGGAGATGGTTGAAGATGGCTGTCAGTGCGGCGCCAGCTGCCATTCATTGGTGGTGTTCCAGAGACGCAGGTCGGCTGTCGACAGTGAGGGTTGCCGGGCGACGGTCACGCGTGTGAGATTTTGGGGGAGTCGTCAAGGTGGTCGGTCGCAAGAGATAACAAGCCTCTGGAACGTGTTGCTTGGGCTTCAAGACCCGACCCGGGGTGGCGAGAGTTTGTTGGTGTGACGGGGGTTTGCAAGTCGGTCACCGAGGGTCAATGTCGACTTCCCTTGGGCTCAACAGTCTGACCACATCGCCAATCGCCTATGACCACACAAGCTACCAGTGGATCTACAAAACGTTGACTCGGCGTTCTTTGTCCATGCTGGCGGGGTAAAGTCGATGGTCCCATCGGTAGCGGGACTGTGGATGCACTGACGGGCGGGGAAGACGCAAGGGTCGAGGTGAACTGTGGTAGAGCTTGGGAGCAGATAACGAACGCCCTGCCACATCGTCCCTCTTAGAGCAGGTACGATAAGGAAGGAGTCACCTGTCACCTGGGTCGTGGCCAGATGGGCCTTGACAGCATGGTGGTGGTGCTGGAGGTCGAAATGGGTTGATGCGGAGCGCTGGCAGCTGACAGCGCCAGCCCACCGGCGCTAACAACAACAGCTTCTGACAAGAGGCCTCTCTCTGACACCTGAAGCCTGGCCCTGGTCCCTGGCCGCATAATCCAGTGCTCTTGGCTGGGTAGCATGACAGTAGCTGCTTGGGCTGTATCCCCCTGGGAATCACTGATGCACAATCTCGAATTCGTCTGCATGTCGCATGACTGACAGTCTTTTCTCTCTGGCAGTCTTTCCCCTCTTGCCGTGTGCCCGACGACGACGACAACGGTTGTTGGCCCAAGTACTCCGTACACTACAGTGGACTCGACTCCAACCGGGCTCCACCCTTGCTCCCCACCACCGTCTCCTCCCCCTCAAAAGCTGCCCTCTGGCAATCACACCTTGGGCTGGCTGCGCACACTGCCGCAGACGCCGACGTCACGACCAAGAAGCATCCGAACTTTGAACTTTGTCCTCCCAAAAACATACTCCACCAGCACGCCCACATACACAGCAGCTGCTAACCTTATCATCACATCACCCGTCGCCGTCGCCGTCTTTGGACAGCTGCCGTGTGGATCCCCTCGCTCCCAAGAGAGCCAAGAGCACCCGCGGTTGCTCACCAGCTTACCGTCTGTCCACATTACCACCGCCTCCATCGGGTCGCCCGTCGCATCGCCTGCCCTCGGAGCAACAACCCCCCAGCTCGTCATCACGAGCGAGGGGCCCACCGTTCCTGATCGAACCCGAGCACTCCGCCACCCTCGGTGTGAGAATGGGTAACACCAACGCCAAAGAGTCGCGTTCAGGCGACGCCGGCCCTTCCTCCAGCCATCGCCATCACCGAACCTCCCTTGCTCCCGCCTTCGACCCCTCCGCCACATCAAATGACCGCCCAGCCTCAAGTCACCGCTCGAGGAATAGGGCAAGCCGCAACGACCTCGGCACCTTGCTGGGCATCGGCCAGTCCTCCTCCTCCTCAGCCTCCCGCCCCGACCCCTCCTACGAACGCCGCGAGACCAAGCAGGAGCGCGAGGCACGCCGGCTCGAGCGCGAGAGGGTCCAGCGTGTCAAGGAACGCGAGAGGAGCATCAGGGAGGAACATGTCGACGGCGGATATCTCGTCACCATGGGCGTTTACGTCGGCCCCGAGGACTACAGCAAACCCGTCGTCCGCCAGCTACAGGTGCGACACACCTCTCCCCTTCTCTTTTACTTACCGCCCGCAAGACACCATTCACGCCATGCCAGTTCGGCAGGTTGCTGACGACTCTGACTACTTGCTGCAGATTGAGAGGAAAGTCGCGCCTTTCTGGAGGGGCCTGAACGATTTCGACGAGCAGTGGGCAGAGCATCAAATCATTGCCGCTGCCCGAGGCCTTCCTATCCCCCCCGCCGACCAAACACCACCCGACGAGCTGGTGCCGAGGCCCCTGTCCTCCTCCGCATCTCCGTCCGCTTCTACTCAGAACCTGAACAATCTCACTGTTCCCATGGGTCCCAGAACACAGTCCGTGGCATCCGACAGGAGCGCTTCCAACGTGGGCTCTGCGCTGCCGTCGCCCACTGGTCCGGGCAACAAGTCATCCGCCTCTCCCTTCAAGCCTCGCACCAAGGCACTCGCTGCAGCTCTGAGCCTGGGCTCGCGTAACGGCTCGAGTGCAGAGCTAGCTCCACGAGAGATAAACCTGCCCAACGACCCATTTGTAAACGGGCAGCCGCTCGAAGTGTTCCTGTACAAAGAGGGCAGCGAATGCCCCATCTGCTTCCTCTACTACCCCCCATACCTCAACCACACTCGATGCTGCGACCAGGCCATCTGCAGCGAGTGTTTTGTGCAGATCAAGCGCCCCGACCCGCACTTTCCCGAAGGTCATGGCGATGGGGAGCAGGCGGAGCCAGCCCCAAACCCGGAAGAGCAGAGTGGCCTCCTGATCTCGGAGCCTGCGCAATGTCCTTACTGCCAGCAGACTGAGTTTGGTGTCACATACGACCCTCCGCCATTCCGCCGGGGCCTCACCTACGCCATACCGCCGGGAGGCGTCGGCACCATGAGCACTGCGATGAGTTCTAGTAGCTCCCTCAACTCGGCAGCTCTGTCGCCAACCCCCATGTCACCCCCTCCGTCTGGTACGGGCGGAGGAAGAAGACGAACACAGTCCCTGTCCGCCAACGCGCCCAATGTCATTACAACTGACCGCGTGCGACCGGACTGGGCCACTAAGCTTGCAGCGCAGCGGAACCACCAGGCTCGCCGCGCTGCCGCCGCGACAGCGTTGCACACCGCTGCCTTCCTCATGGGGGACTCCGGGACAAGGTCGTTCGGTAGGATGAGCCGGTTCAGCAGGAGGAACACCAATAGCGAATCCAACAACACGGCCGACGGCAACGCCGGAGCCGCAGCGGCGGCCGCCGGAGCCTCGGCAGGAGCTTCCTCCGGCCCTGAACCTGGTCCTAGGAACAGTTCTGGTCGTGGCCTGCTGGCTGGGCCTACGAACGACCGGCGCCAAAGCCACATGGAGAACCTCGAGAACATGATGCTTGCTGAGGCCATTCGACTGTCGCTGGCGGCCGAAGAAGAACGAAAGCGCAAGGCTGAAAAGGAGGAGAAGAAAGACGCAAAGCGGAGAGAGAAGGAAGAGCGCAAGGCTGCCAAGGCAGCTGCTAAGGGGCATCCGTACTCGGGCAGCGGCCAGAGCTCTACCAACGGGAGCACGCTCAGCTTGCCGGGCCTCGGAGCTATTGGCCGGCGAAGAGGCAACAGCGCTGCGTCGAATCTGAGGATGGAGGCTACAACAGCCAACGCAATGGCGTCGACGGGAAACTCCAGTGGCGCAGTCAACTCCACACCCGCTTCGGAGGCGACCGCCAAGGGAAAGGGTGTTGACCGTGGTCCGGCGCAGACATCTTCCGAGTCTGAAATCGGAAGGGCCAACGTGGACGCTCTGCATCCCGAAAAGGCACCAACGTCCACTCCGGCTCCGCCACCTACCTCTGCACCACGTCCCGTCCCTTCACCGCACCAGCATGCCGGCCCTTCTCACCTTCGCCAGATGAGCAACGCATCCTCTGGGTCTTCCCTGCCTGATTCCCAGTCCGGAAGCTACCAGAACCAACCCTTTCTCCAGGAGGACCCCCATGCCAGCGGTGTGTCTCTTGCTGGCAGAAGCGACGCGAGTGACGAAGGCGGCGCGGGACGGTCCGGCGAGAACGAGCACGACGACACGAGCAGTACAGAACCATTGTTCAACTACCGGAGTTTGGCACAAATGGTTGGGGTCGAGATGGATGGTGTCAATGCAGGCCGTCGGCTGAGCCAGATAGGAGAAAGCCATGCCGAAGACGACGCCAATGTCACCATTCCATCCGAGACCCAAGGTGACGATAAACGCGACTCGATCCACGAGGCCAGCGCGGAACATACGGAAGATGTATCATCACCACCACAGACCGAGGAAGATGACAACGACAAGATGTCGAAGAGCGTTGCGACGCTGACACCAGAGATGATGAGCGCTGGGAAAGACGCTGCCGAGGCTGGTGGCACGGAGGTGGCCCAGTCTAGCGGGCCTGTGAACACACCGCAACTGATGGTTACCCCTGAAACGCCCGTCCCCGATGACGATGGAGCCGAGTCCAAGCAGCTGGGCTTCCAGGGCACGAGGACGGTAGAGATACCGGGAGAGATGACCCACTGAGACTATGTAGGTAACAACGGGCTTTCTAAACCAGGAAGTCGGGGACATGTTTGTCATGGACGCGTGGATCGAATGCATGGGAGTATGGGTGGATTAGATCATCTTGGTGACTGGGGAAAGTATCCAAAGGATAGACTGACTATGACCACCTAGCAAGCGATGGTTTATCTATTTCAATGCATATATTATACTACATTTCGTTAGGGGGGCCTTATTCCCAGGTGCCCCCTTCTGCCCGCTGTGCGGGTGTCATGCGTCGACTATTATGCTCCAGGTCTAGAAGCGAGATCCTCGCCCATCTGGCCCTGTTTCCCAACTTGGAATGTTCCTGTCAGCCACACAGTGTAAGTCGAGACCAACGTCGGCTATGGGCTCCATTATTACCGATGAATTCCTGGCCACTTTTTGTGGGCATCATCTAGCGTTGCATCTGGGGATACGATTATCTGGCGCCTATCCGAGCAACAAAATGCCGTCACCAGGAGCGCCAAGGAGACTTAGGTAATACAACGACCGGAGCGCGTTGAGAATATTTATAGGGCCTCCATAAACAAGACAAGCTCTCGTCTCACAGGCGAGGAGACTCGGCGACCAACGTCATTATTATTATTACCGCTCACCTTCCTCAAAATAAGTCTTTTACGATGTCAGCCACAAAAGTCTGGAGGCGTCGCGCCGACGCCGAGGAGAAGGCACGGCAGCCGCCAGCACCAGCCGCCGCTGTTGCTGCTCCACCAAACGATGTATGATGTCTCACCCACGCTTTTATTAAAACCCTCAGCCCACACACAGCACACCCACGTTGCCTACGAACCGGAATCACAGCTAAAAGAGGAGAATCCCCCAACCGCACAGGTCGAGGCGCTCAAGCAAGACGGCGACTCCTTCACGCTCGCCTCCTTCACGCACGAGGACGCCTGGGTCCTCGGCAACCTGCTCCGGCGGCGGCTGCTGCCCCTGCCCGCGGCGGCGGTGATCTCGATCGCGCTCGCCAACAGCGGGCAGGTGCTGTTCCAGGCGGTGACGGGCCCGGGCGTCGTGCCGGACAACGAGACGTGGGTGCGGCGGAAGCGCAACACGGTGCTGCGCTGGGGGTGCAGCACGTGGCTCATGCACTGCAAGTACGGCGGGGACGAGGCGGCGTTCCGGGCCAAGTTCGGCATGAGCGCGGACGTGGCGGCTGGGTACGCCATCCACGGCGGGGCGGTGCCGATCCGCGTGCAAGGGGTGGAGGGGGTGGTTGCTGTTGTTGTTGTTAGCGGGCTGAAGCAGCATGAGGACCATGGCGTTATTGTTGAGACTATCAAGGAGAATTGGGAGTGATGTGCTGCCGGGCCGGTTTGATGCGTTAGGAGCAGTCGGGACTTGGATGTTGGCCCTTAATGAAGAAGGGGAGTCGTTGGGCTGCTGTCCTGTGATCTGGGATCTACGGAGACAGTTTCATGAAGTGATCCGAGGACCTCGGGATCTATCAAGTAACCATGGAAAGTAAGGGAAAGCCCGTTCGAGTGAAAATAATGGTGGTACATTCCAGTGTCAATTGCTTGTCGACTTTGTGACGTTGACATGCACCATTGCCACTGACATGTCAAATTGAAACCAGAATACGTTCTCGAAGTAGCCCTTCACCGTGAACGGAAGAGATCCGGAATATCTGTAATATGGTCCTCTGCATCACTGGCAGGGAACGTTGTGACAGCGCGAGATTAGCACCTTCAGCTTTCCACACCTACCCGGGCGCCTTACTTGATGAACCCAAAATCGATGAAGGAGAATGGGTCTATTGTGGATGTACTCTTCTTGTTGCCCAGAGGTTTTACTAACTCTTCGCTTTGAGAAGAGTATCACGCATGGGTATGCGTCCCAAAGCTCAAACTTCTGAGGGAATCCCAACTCTATTTTGGGGGGGGAGAGGTCCGCAACGTGCTTAGGTAGTCATCTACTTCAGAGTATCATAAGAGGCCATATATAACATCTCTTTTGCAGAGTCCTGTATCACACTTTGGCTGCCATTTGTTTCGCCAAACGGACTCTCCCCTACTAGTAGAGATCGAAACCAAATTATCAAAAGGAAAGCCAAATCGGCTGGCGCCTCGCATAGTGATGTAGAACCTTCTCCCTCTAGCACGGGGCTATTCTTTTGTCTGCGGTCTCTCCAGAGAGTCTCTGAAGGTTTGTAATATCTTTCAAAAAGTTGACGGAGTTGTGGATGTCTAAGTCGTATCATGACCAAATGATCAGGTCTCAACGGGCCAGGAGGTGTTCCTGAAGAGCGCATGCTTTTCGATTCAACCGAGCCAGCCACTCGATCTGCCAACAGCAGCATCCAGATAAGTTCGAGAGACAGATGATACTGTTCCATTGACTTATAGCGTCCGAGGGAACCTTGGAACCCCTTTAGGCCATTATCAAGCTGGCTCCTCATGTTTGAGTCGACCATGAAAGTCAGGCATAGAGCAATCATGTCGCCTTTCAGCATCTTGGGCGACAGCGATGATGATTTGACAGAATGATCGGCCTATTGCCGCAACGTCTTCTCATTCATCACGTGTGTGGTTCCTAATGTTGGAGACCTCCAGTTCAAGTTTGGTGAGACCCGGCCAGTCCAGCTTCAAGTCGGCACCGCAGAGGAGCCAGCGTTTCCCGACTGGCCGGAGTTTTGTTCTGTAGCTACAGTCACCCTCTGGTCAAATTGGAAGGTCTCATTTCTTGATGTATGATGGAATGCTGAAGAAGAGTGACCAAGCGGGCTCGAGAGTGTTCTATGGCCAAGCACTTGTTCACCACCTCGTTCTCAGACCATGGGCTTCATCTCATCACGGCAGACCGAATCCTCTTCAAACCGGCCCTCAGCTCTAGGTGCACAAGGCTGAGGCTCAGGTTGACCGCACTTTTGTCTCGTCTTGTGGTCACGTACAGCATGCAGAGAGATAGAGCAAATCACCGGAGAGAAAACAACACGTCCCAAGCCAGGAGGACTTCAGGAGATAATCGTACAACCTCGCAGTTACGACTCGCTTGAATGTGTCGGTAGATGCCTACGTGCGGAACATTGAATGCAATGATACAGACGGCACGACTGGCAAGCTTTGGAAAATCAGGCACTGGAAGGACTCGGAGGTCGTACCTAAGTTGAGTTCATGCAGAGTTTGAATACTTTCATAATTAGAGACTACACCTATTTTTTATCCCCTTGAACAGGGCATGCTCAAGCATAGCAGCCGGGACCGCCAGCCAGCATGTAAAGACACACAGGGGCACCAGTCGCCACCCCGGCGACAGCACACGCCGAGTTCTCAATGCATGCGTATCCCTCCCCGCAGTCAGCGTCAGTGGCACACGTCTGTGTGGTGCAGGTGAGGCACAAGTTGCAGTACGCAGTCCCGTCGACATCAGACTGGCAGGAGGAATACGGGTAGGCCGAGTTGCAAGGGCTGTAAGGCGTGGCACCCGTGTTGATGTTGTACGGTACTATGCCAGCCGGGCACTTTTGTTCCCCGGCGTGGTTTTCTTCCGTTAGACGCGCTTCTTTGCGGAGGAGTCAATCAAAACATCAGACGGCAAATGCCGGCCATGGAGGGGAAGACATTACTCACGTTTGGGAAGAGTCCCGTCTGGGTGGGGACGGGGGGAGCCGTGGAGGTGGGCGTGGCGGGGCAGACGCCGCCCTTGTTGTAGAAGGTGTTGGCCGAGTTCGGGTCGTAGACGTCGTTACCCTCAACCGTGTAGTTGTAGAGAGCGCACGCAGGGGTGGAAAGAATGCCGAAGCTCAGGCAGGCCTCGTTGGCGTCGCACAGGGCGAGGCAGCCGCCGTACGAGGCTGAGTAGGCATCCGGGTAGAATCCTGGGGCAGGATCAGCACACCTGCACCTAGGTGTCGATCACGACTTTTGCAATATTATAGCCAACTTACCAATGTTGGCACCGGTGTCCCACCCGGGATATCCGGTACACGTCGGCGCCGCGGTGGGGATGGGTTGTGTGGATGTCGGGGCCGGGGTCGGGATTGCTGGGCACACATTCCCCCTGTTGAAGAAATTATTGGGGGATGCCGGGTCATAGACGGCGTTTCCCTCCACGGCATAGTCGTACAGGATGCAGTTGGGTCCGGCGGTGTTGTAGGAGAAACTCAAGCACGCGCTGTTGGCGTTGCAAAGGGAATTGCAGGCTGCCTGCGTGGCCGACAATGGGTCACCGTAGAAGCCGATATCCACGCCGGTGCCCCAGCCTCTATACGCACACTCCTGCGCCAGGCATGTGCCGGCGAGGAAGGGGGCCACGACCGCGATGTATCGGGACAGCATCTTGATGCGAACTTCCGAGGTTGTGACGGCAGCAGGGGAACTCCCAGGGGATAAGACAGACGACGGACTGGTGAGTTATTAGACGGTCACGTAAGGCTCATATAACCCAGACTGCTGCTGGCGGTGGGTGTTGATGTTGCTTCGCATCGCGGGTAGCCCGGGCGTGTTTAAATACCTGGGCATCACTACTCCGTACCTAGGTACTCCGTACTCTGCCCTCACCGGCGCGACCTTGCCATCTCGTATTCATGATATGACCACCTTCCGGATAAAGGACTGCGATGGTGCCAAGCCGAGGGGGAGATGGCCAGACGCGTGCATGTCCTTTCGCTCCGTACGCGCAGGTCGAGTTCCTCTCTGGGATCAGAAAGCGACCACGGCTTCTCGCTTCCGCAAGGTGTTCCTGCGGTTCACATTGGTGACACAGATGCCAATCTGACTGCTTTCTGTGGGTCGGGGAATGTCGTATGCTCATCAGCCTGCCCTCATTTGCCTCGATCGATAGTCTATATGCCCGCCTTGGAGCCTGCAACGCCGCCCACCAATGAGCACGCGCCCGGGTCCCCGCGTGGTTGCAGTGAAGGATTTTGAATGCATGGGGCGTCCCGCCGCGGACCTGCATTCTGGGCCCAAGGCTGGAGCCGGCGGTCCAGATGAATTTTCCAGGTACGACTCTGCAGGGTCAAAGGGGTCCGATATGAAGTGCCCCAAGCTAGCGCCCCGATCTCCCGCCCGCACTTGACCCGGATATATCGGCTCTCGTTCAACACGGCCCTTTCGGCAGATATATGAGGTACTCAATGTCGACCCGGGTCGGTCTGCTCCAACTTGCAAGACACCGGCGACCAGCCCGGTGAGACATACCCAGTAGAATGGCAGCTGGAGCATGGTTTGAAAAATCGCTTGGCGTCCTTGTCAGCACAGACGGCATCTCACTCGGAATGGTGGCTTGATCGGGTTCGGAGCCGGGCTTGGAGGGAGATGCTCCCGCCCAGGCCGGGGGGGATCGCCCCTGGGGCCGCGGCGGGTCGTCTGACACGCATAAAATGTGACGTTGCAAGCGAGCTCTCACAACGAGTTGCCGAACACGCCCCTGAAGTCGCTGTTTGAATCATTGTTGGATTTCCTGTGATGCTTACTAGTTATTTTTTTGTACACTGTCATCCCAAGTACGTGCTGGACGTGTCCCCCATGTATATATGGCTGTGTGCTGAATTTCAAACTTACATTGGCCTATCTTTGGCGGAGCTTGAGGTAAGAAAGCTTTTGCACCTTTAATTGGGGCTTGCCCCTCCCGGTCTTTCAGGAGACCCCTGTTCCATGAGGCGAGGAGGCGGGCAGGGGAACAAAAGGCAGACCGCAGTGTCACCGAAACCTTGTAAATCATCCTGTATGCTACATTTTCAGCTTGCGTATCTTATTTATATCTGGTATAGGGTATGCTAAAAAAGGTTGCAGCCATCGTATGTCAACGCCAGTTGCCCCTTTTTGGAACCTTCTCATCTTGCACCCACTCGGTACATTCACGGCCACCCTCGATTGGACAGCATGTAAGTGAACACAGAACCTGAGAATTTGTAGAAAGGTGCCCAGGTCGGGACCGTACTCGGCACTGTGACATCAGCCGGGGCAATATACGTTTACTACCTCGGCACATAAGAGACGGTGATAGTAGCTGCTTTGCTCCACCGCAGCTTGGCAAACAGAACAGTGCCCAGGTGTACAACCAAAAGACGATTGCGCAGTTACCATAGGGAATTTGAGGTGTTTGGTGCAGTCAACATAACCAGGTACTACCTTGAAAATACAGGCCGACTAGTCAATGTCTCTTCAGTCACATGGGCACCTGATTTGGGCTTCAAGATGGGAAATCATCGAGCTCGCGCATGAGACAACCTGTCAGCAATGCTGATGGGGATAGACTTAAACGATCCACTCTACGCTGGTGGCAGCTTGCTGTTACTGTATATGTAGGTAGTCGATTATTGAATACATGATTCCGTGATTGCCATTTTCTGTTTGGAGGGGCCGGAGTTGTTTGCATATGTGCCGGACATTAGTGGGGACCTCGGGAGGCCATTTCGTTCAAGTGATTTTGGCAGATCCTCGAGAGCCAGAAACATACGCAACATTGAATGTACCATGACGGCGTGCAAGAGAAAATGCTCTGAACCCTCAAAGTTTGCCCAGAGATATGAGACCTGTCACAACCCAGAGGGAGGCAAGCCTTCCTAGGTACCTTTTTCTATGATCCTTGCCCTGTCAGTGGTAGTGGGTCCAGACTCCGGTTGACGTCTTCCGACCGACTGGCCTGGACCTCTGTGTGCAATTTGCGGCTTTCAAAAGTTCTCTTGACTTTTATAGGCGCCACTTTGGATACTAAGAGACCAAGAAAGGCCACCAAGGAGACGTTGAAAAACCTCAGGACCTCGGCGGTTAGGTATTAGGAGTCGTTCTAATTCTGTCAGAACATCACGGAGAGTCCCTAAAAGAAAGGTCTGGGGCGACCACCGGCGCCTCTCGTAAGAGACACAGTGAGACCCCCAAAGATACACATACCAACGAGCTCCCGCTGAGATATTGGCCCTTATGAGTTGTGATCACTGAGTTTTCTTGTTCTTTTCTTTTCCTTTTTCTTCTTCTTTTTTCTCCTTTTCTTTGAATACTGTGGCAGCTACTGCCTAGTTAGTTAAGCTATTATGCGTTTCATGCCTGTATATCGACCAGTCTTCTCAGAATTCATGTCATTGCGACATATGCATCAAATTTCGATTTGCAAATTCTGTATTGCATAGCAAAAATTAGCATACATAACGGCGTAGTTCAAACTCAGCTGGACCAAACTGAGTCGCCGCCCATAATCCCGGACAGCTCCCATGAGTAGTACCCCCAAGCATTAGAGATAACCTGAATAACGACTCGCGACTCACGAATCATGACTCACGAATGGCATTCTAGTCGTTGGTCTTCTCCAACGGCAGATGTGGAGTGCGTTCACCCTACACAGTAGGCCCTGAGGTCTCACACTCCTACCAGATGGAGAAAAGCCGCAGCGAAAAGGCCCCGAACGACCGGGCAGAGCCATCAGGATCTGTCCAGCCTTGGTCATGCAAGACCGCTTGTAAGCATCCGAGCCTGTGGATCTGCTTGACGCTAGACGGGCTATTCTGGGTGATTTTGAGCGGACTTTACGGTAAGGCAGGGAAATGCCGTGCCTATATTTACACGGCTCCCTTGTATGCCAAGTTCTCTGGGCGTCTTTGTTGGGTGATAACTACTTCTGTAGTATATCAGCGTGTAGATAGAGCAATAGGAGCACGCGTCGCCCGCGGAGCAGGAACAGCGAGATGAAACCAACGAGCAGGCAGGAAGCTGTTGCACGACACGATATCCCGATCATTCGAGGCCGGCGCATGATATGGCTGAGAATTGCGCCTGGGGGCGCCGGCTGTTGTCACGCAGGCCTGCCAGCTACCTAGGTAGTTTGCCATGTCATCGAGGTCGCTTTAAGCTCAGTGCACATGGTTTTGGTTTCAACGCCTGGTGAAATGCTTGACCTGCAACGCGGCCCCACAGAATTAGGGGATTACCGCGTGGTTTGTCATGAGGGGAGGTTGAGGAGGTAGGCTGTAAACAGCAGTGATGTGCGTGAGGTTTTGGGTTATGTGGACGGATTATGAGGTGGGGGCCGTGCCAAGACGGGGCGGACGAGTTTTGACGGGCAAAGATTCGAAACAAGAGCGGTCGGCAGGAAGCTAAATGTGGAGCCGACTCGGGATTGAGTTTTGTGATGGTTTCTAGCAGCACGAAGACCACACTAGGGTGCTTTTATTGAAAGGGGCAGAGGGGGAACGAACAGTCACGACTCGGGTATTTGGAATGGGGCTTCTTGTCGCAGTGCCTAGGTATGATGCCCGGGCGATGTCGTCGTCGGACGATGAAGGGCGGAGTGCAACGTGGTATGTAGAGCCGCAGTGACCGTGTGCTGTGGGGATTTTGATGGAATATCAACAAGGAAGAAGGAGGCTCAGCTGATTGATCCGAAGGGAATAAGACGGACAGCAAAGCAGGCTCGCTTATTGTGCCTACCCAGGCACATACCTAGGTACTTACCTGCTGTCTAGGTACTTAAGTAGGTATTTATGAGTTATTAGTAGGTATATTATCACACTACTACCGTCCACCTGCAATGCCCCTCTGGCAGTCTGCACCACTCCTGCACTCGCGGCCAGGCGGCTTGGTTCGGCTAGCAAGGTTTGATCGGGCCGTCTTATCTTATCGTTGATCCCTGTGGCCATCAACCAACTGGGAGCCATGGCACGAAGCCTCGGTACCAAGCCTCGGTACCATGGGCCGACTTTGCCCTTGGTGTTGCAGTAACGTGCCCTGCCAGTACCCCGCCAGTACCCCGCCAGTACGGAGTACCCTGCCAGCATCTACGGGCACGGGCCAGAGTGATTGACGTAGATCGCCGCCCGCCTTGCCCACCTCGCGCCTCGTGCCTCGTGCCTCGTGCAGAATATATCTACCGACGGAAGGGGCGAGGCCCAGGAGCCAAGCAGCCGGATTTAAGATGTCCCACCACAGATCTGTGAACCCTGGAGGTCTCTTTTTGTTTGTCTGAACCACTGGTCTTCCCTGCCCCCTCGCGTTCGGTTAGATACTCTTGGATACCTAGCTAGGTAGGAGCATATGCACATTCATGAGCGTGAGCAATGCCCAGCCAGGTCTGCGGCCAGTCTGTGCTGTCAGGCTGTGTCTGCTGTACTGTACTGTGTTCCTCCCGTCCCTGCATTGCACCGAAAAAGGGCCCCATTTGTTCCCTTTGTCCCGCTCCGAACTCCCGCCGAACTCCCGCCAGTGCCCCCAGTCCAGCCTGGCCCAGCCTGGCCCCAGGCCCCCATGGTCTAGTGTACCGCTCATCACCAGTACACACACAGTACAGTACCCGTATTGAGTCGTCCGCCCTTGCTGCGTTGATGTTTTTTCGACGGGCTCTTTGTGCCGAGAGAATGCGGTAAAACCCCCATCGGCGGGTCCACCTACTTAATCTAGTGTAGATAGATATAGATACTTAAGTTAAGTACCCAAGTAAGTACTTAGGTACCTAGGTACCTCAAGGGTGCGAGACCAGCCCGCCAGCCCGCCAGCGCAGAACACCTGGGAGCCCACACACCACCGCCGCCTCGTGATCCCATCGAGTCAAGAATTCCCTAACCTCCCCTACCTTGTCGCTCCCGTTGCACCACTCGGTACGGATACTCGCTACTCACCACTCTTCCAGCATACTCCGTGGTATACTTGGAATCCCCCCTCCCCCCACATGGCCCGTCACATCTGCCTCTGCCCCAGACTTTGTACTCCCTGCTCCCCAGTTTCCCAGCTCCCCCCTTCCGAGAATTATCCTTCGGATGCCATCCAGTCGTGTTACACAGTGACACCACAGTAACACACCTGCCAACCACTCACACCCTGCCTTTCAGACTGCCTCTCTTTGTTTGCTCGTCGGGCCCAACCTCGTCTCCTCGGCCGAATCTTCCAGCCTACCCATTTGTCCGTTTTGCCAACAGCTCATAAGAGTCTCCTCCTGCACCCGTCCCGGCTGGGCCCCCCTCGACAAGTTCTCCAGCAACCCCACGACCACCCACGCTCTTGTCCCCCCCCCTATATCTGTCGTGATAGCAGCAGCAGCAGCAGCCAGAGTCCATATGGGGTCAACCGGCTCGCCGGCGCCCACGCGCCTACCCATCTCCTCTGTGCTGCCCCCCTTGATACTCGGCACAGCAACATTCAACACCCAATATGTCCAGGACCCATCACAGATGCCCTACAAATCCATCGTCTCCCGTGCCCTGGAGCTAGGCGTCAACGCTTTCGACACTTCACCTTACTACGGCCCATCCGAGATCCTCCTGGGCGATGCCCTACACCATGCCACCCTCCCCAACAGCGCAAACTCCAAAATCATCGACTCCGACTCTCAAAAGCACCCCCGCGACAGCTACATGATCCTGACCAAGGCCGGCCGCATATCAGGCAACACCTTCGACTACAGCCCCGAGTGGATCCGCTACAGCGTCCTACGCAGCCTGAAGAGGCTGCACACCCCCTACCTGGACCTCGTCTACTGCCATGATGTCGAATTCGTCTCCCCTGCCGAAGTCCTCGCCGCTGTCAAGGAGCTCCGCCGCCTGCGGGACGAGGATGGCGTCATCCGCTACGTCGGCATCAGCGGGTACCCTGTTGACGTGCTGTGCGACCTGGCCGAGATGATCTATCGCGAGACGGGCGAGGGCGTCGACGCCGTCATGAGCTACTGCCACTGCTCCGTTCAGAACCACCGCCTGGTGGAGGGTTTTATGGAGGAGGACGACGACGACCAGTACAGCCAGCCCGCCACAAACGGCAGTGCTGTCAAGAACCTCCCACCCCTCGTGCGGTTCAGGAACGCCGGCGTGTCCACAGTCCTGAACGCCTCCATGCTCGGCATGGGCCTGCTGACCACGCGGGGAGTCGACCACGGCCCCCAGGCAGCCTGGCACCCCTCGCCACCCCCGCTGCGCAAGGCATGCGCCGACATGGCCGCCCGCGCGACCGCCGAGGGCGAGAGGCTGGAGCGGTTGTCGATCCGCTGGGCCCTGGACACGTGGGCGCGGGCCGCCGCGCGGGCCGGCCTGGGCATCAGCCTCAAGGGGAAGGGCAAGCACGAGAGCCTCAGCGACAGCAACAGCATCGGCGGCAGCGTCATGGGCATCACGACGCTCGCGGAGCTCGAGGAGACCTGGGGCGTGTGGCTGTCCGTGCTGGCCGAGAGCGTGCCGGACGTCAAGATCGGGGAGGGCAACGACAACGACGACATCGCGCGGGAGGCATCGCAGGACGTCGTGGTCGCCAACGGCGACAAGGACCTGCAGAGCGCCTCGCTGAAGCGGTGCGACCAGGTCCGCAGCCTCGTCAGAGAAAAGCTGTGGCCGCTGCTGGGCGAGTGGCGGAACCACAGCTGGCCCTCGGGCCTGGCAGAGCCGGGGTTCGTGAACGAGAGGAGGCCTGAGGATGTCGGGAAGGTACCCCTGGACGATGGCATTATTGCTGAGTACGAGGCGAGGAGGTAGGTAGTGTTCCTGCCGCAATAGCGCGATGGGATGTGGAAGAGCGAACGATATACATCGAGACGAATCCTCGGTATCAGGATACTCACGAGGACAACACGTGTATTTTTTCTGAAGCGGCATATACATTACATTTGCTGGGTTTTCACCAGGCGATAGAGGACATATACAGAGACGACTTGCTTTTCCAGCAGATCACAAGGTCAATCAATGCCTACCACACTTTTCATGTTGATATTCACTATTGAGCCATTTTTCCTGTACTGCTCAGATATGTTCATGAGTGAAATCGAGCGGCGTATCCGCTTACACGAATGAGATGATAATAGCGAAGAGCTGATCGGAACCGCGGCCTAGTGACGCTTGTTTCTGACTTTCGTGTACCCGGTCTGGACCCGCCGGAAGCCCAAGGTCGCAATGTCGTCTGGTATAAATTATTGTATTCGTTAAAGTAGTCGTCCTTATCCATTCTACACCGCTCTGGCTGGACTTAAGACCAACGCCGGCTTAATGACTGCTTGGGAAATGCGCCCCAAACCTTTTTCATCCTTCTGCCCGGCTTATTCTGCCCGTGTACCCCCTCACGAAGTACTGGAGCCCTTGAAACCGGCCCTTAACCTGTCACATTCCTCGGGCCTTTTCTGCTTTGGCCACCAGCTGTCATCCGAATGCGCCTTTGGTCTCCAGCCATACCCAGTTGGCCGTATCTCTGGCAACGACGACACTGCGTCTCACATTCCGTGCAAGCCCCGGCCCTCAATTTCGATCGAGAACTACTGCAATCCGTCAACAGCGATTTGCCTCGTACCACCCAAGAACAAACTGTCCGTCCTGATACAGCCAGATGGGCCTCCCGGTCAATTCGTCATCCGACTCGTCGTGCTGATCCCCATCCTCCTTGTCAGCCTCCTCTCCCGGTTGCTGAGTCCTTTTCTCGAATCCCGAGCCACCACGGCTATCAATGTCCACATGAGGGTCCCACAGCACGAGCTCAGCCAGGTCCCGCCCCATGTCCGCTTCCAGGGTGTCCCAACCTGGGTTCCACGTCCTGTCCTGAGCCAGGTGGATCACCCGCTCAAGCCCGCCGACCCCGTTAGACGTCCCATCCAAGACCCATCTGAGCCCGGCCCGGCCCATCCCCCATCCAATCTTCGCGGCTAGGCGGTTCAAGAGGGCGTAGCGTCGAAACCACAATTCTCTGCCCTCAGCATCTGACACCCAATGGGCAACGCGTAGGCCCTGCAGGAAGCTCCGGACGTAGTCACAATGCGTGCAGATGTCCTCCCCATCGGCATCGGCGTCCTCGTCGTTTCCCACACCGATCAATGTCCATCCGGACTCGTGCACACCTTGTACGCACTTGGCGATTCGGAGGACCACAGCGACGGCGGGAGTGGTTTCGTGAGCTCCTGAAGTCGCCCTCCATGTCGCCCTCCGTTTCTGTGGTACATTGCTCGAACTTGTCCGCAACACAGAAAAGGGTCGTTGCCGCAAATGAGAGCGACATCATCACCGCCAGAGTGCAGGCCTCAAGTGCTGTCTGGGGACTCAGCAGTAATCAAGCATGAGTCAACCAAAGGCTTGAAAACGTGGGGTTGCACCTCTCGCGAAGTGGTAAGACGAAGCTTCCCAATATCAGAGGGCCCGAGGAGAGTCCCCCCTCCAAGCCTTGAAGACGGCGACGCACAGGATAGGTAGTCACCCGTGCCATTGTGTACCACCTATAAGAAACGTTGTATAATAAGTGAAGAATGTTTTTATACTAGCCTCCTGCGAGAGTTACGACCATCTGATATCGGCCAGTCAAGAGCTTGCCACGTAGGATAATGTACTACAGCATAATTGGGCAATGTGTAAATAAGGTACATGTCGGCTTATATCCATGACGCTGTGTTCATTGATTCTGTGTTCATCCTTTTACCATATGGTGAACATTTCTTCCATGCAACAACTGCTCACCAGTAAATAATAAATACTGTTTGAGGCTTGCCTCTATATTGAGGAGCTACCTAAGGAGGCCTAGTAGATGACTATAATACATGGAGAAATTTAGTCCATGCGTATCTTTCTCAAGTCTTGCTGTTTTACTTTTCTGGTGTATACCTATGAAGTGATCTCTCCCCGTCTGGCCGGGCCAACGAGCCCAATCTAACAACTTCTCGGAACGAAGTCAATCGATCATGCTACACCAGAGCGATCCTGACATCGCATCGCATCGAAGTTACAAAGGAGGCAAGCGCTGGCGTCAAAATTTAATTTCAAGTCGAAGAAGTTTAGTAAGACGGCAATGATACCTGCAAAGTTTCCTACAAAACAAGACAATGTAGACTGACTGCCGTACGTCAGGTAGCACTTTATGACAAGTTACGGGTATCAAATTGGTCTATTCGCTTCGATGTCTGTATCCAACCTCATGAAACGGTGCCACCTTTGGCAGGGGCCCAGTTCCGCAACCATTCCCTCCCCTTGTCCATGTTTGGCCCCTCTGCCTCAGTAGCTGCAATACACCACTCCAGGTCCCAAACGCCCTCCGAAGCAAGCACTTCAGCCACCATGCGGCGCTTCTGACCGCCCTCGTCCACACAGAAATACATCGGCTTGCTCGGATCATCGACCTCGGCAACAAGCGGCTTGACCTCCTGAATCAGACCAGCTGCACCACCGGCGGGGGCCTTGGGCTCCATGCCGAGGTTCTTCCTCCCCGTCTTGCACCAATGGTTGGCACACCAGGCCTTGTTGCACCCGGCCATGAGCTGGGTTAGGTAGCGGCGCTCGATGCGGCGGCGCAGCGCCTTGCCCTCGGGGTCGTGCATGGCCGCGTACAGCGGGCTAAAACAGATCGAGCAGATGCCCAGGTTGTTACCGGGGCCCTGGCCCATCCGCGTGCCGGCGCCGATCTGGCCCCTTGGTCCCACGCCGTGAAGTGTGCGCCCGCAGAGCTTGTCGCGGCAGATCTGCGGGGCCTCCCGGTACTTCTTGTCGAGCTCGTGGTTCGCCGTGTGCGCTGCCATGTCCCTCAGCCTTATGATCTTGCCGCAGAGGTGGCAGTCCGTCGTCCTGGCGCCGTCGGCCCGCTCGTGCGGTGTGAGGCCCGAGATGGCTGTTTCCGCCTCCGAAGCGGGATCCGCGGGATCACCTTCTTGTGGGACTTCCAGGTGGCAGAATCGGCAGAGAATGAGTTTGGACGGGCATACAGTGGTGTGGTGGTTAGCCAGTAATGGGAGGGATGGAAAGGTCTGATCAGGCCCGCAGCTCGAGCAGGTATGTGGTGTGTGGAAGATGCGGTCGTGCTTGGCTTTGCTCTCCGCGGAGCTGCCGAAGCTCTCGTCTTTGTCGCAGTGCCAATGATTCTGCCATTCCAACGATCGCTTCTGAAACACGTTCTTGCAGTGTGGGCAGGCTATGTTGTTCCGCAGGCAGAAGTTTTCATGCATAAACATGGTTCGTTTTGGTACCCACTGGAGACAGTTCTTGCACTGCTCGTCGTCTGCCGAGTGCTCTTCCAGACGTTCGGCGGCAATTGAAGTTGTCTCTTCTGGGGCAGCACGAACCCTCAAGATGAAAGGCCTCGGGCTCGTGTTCGGGCTGTCTTGATCATTCGGCGCATAACCGTGGACTGAAATTCGCAACCCATCTGCTCCGTCCAACTCGGCGTTTCGTGAGGACACTATGATCCTCTTGGATCCTTGTTCTGGTGTCGAAAAATCACCAAAGACGTGCTCGGAGTCGCGGGGTGAAACACGAGAGCGAGCGGACCGGGGGCTGACAAACAGGTCGATCTCATCACCATCCTGTATGCCACTCAAGCCTATCTCCAAGTCGCGACTCTTATCCCAGGCGTCCAACTCATAGTCAACATAGTCCCCTTCTACGACCTGGCCTTGGACTGGCTTCCAGATATCGATCGTACCGCCGACTGAGCTGCCATCGGCGGTGCCCGGGGCTCTTTGAGCCCTGGCCATGATCTGACGCACGGTTTCGCGGGCTTGCTCTTCATTCAGAGCCTCGATATCGACTTGCAGGTCGGTATCAACGACACAAACCCCGTCTCCTTCTGGTTCGAATTTGTCGACGAGGAACTGGAATGTCTCGCCTTTTACTCCACGGACTGATAATATGGCATCCTTGGTCAATGTTGTGAATGCGCCTCGCATGTGCCGCTCCAGCAGTGCTTTCCAGTCGCCTGGGTTGTAGCCAGCTTCTAATGGGCGCAGTCGGACATATGTCCCCTTTGGCAGAACCTTGGAATCAACCCTGATTTTTGCCCCTCCTGCTTCGCCGTTTGTACCTGTTGGGTCTATTGCGTTGTCCACCCCTTCCCCGGCTTTCTGGCTTGCTACATCAATGCCTAGCGCTTCCAGCAAGTACGGGCTCAGGGCGACTTGGCCCTCCTCTGCTGAGAATTCGCGGATTCCAGCATAGACCGTGTTCCCGTTTGCGGGATTGACGAGGCGGAACATCAGGGGATTCGGCAGCTGGCCGGTGAAGCCGGCCAAAGAGTCTGAGTACTGCGGTCTCGCTGTGCGTGAGTAGGGGTTCGAGGGATCGTAGGCCGAGCCGAGATTGCTGGCTTGTTTGGTGGACTCTGAGAGGAGGTTCTCGAGAGCGGACTGGGGGAGGCGGATCTTGTCGCCCTCGAGGCCTCGTGAGGCGCGGTCGGATGGCGAGACAACATTGTAGGATGCGGACCACTGCAGGCTGATCGGCTGGTCTGCCATGTTGTGCAAGGCCTTGCAGCTTGGGTTGCGGTGGTCAAGGAGATGCAACAAGGGCGACGTTATTGCAGGTCGGAGTGGAGGCAAGGGGTCGAGGGCACTTTGTGTAGGTGAGTTAAGGCATATCTCGAGGTCCAGGGTTCTGCTCGGTCAGCCTTGTTGGAAAGGCAAGCCGACGTTTCTCCCGAGTTCCATCCAGGTCCAACTACAAGGCGGTCCGAGTCGCAGGCAGGTCTGCTATCGTCATCTTTCCCGAGGCGTAGTTGTCTGTGTGGGGGCAGGCAGAGGACCGGAGCCGACGTCGGCAAAAGAGCCCGACAACTTCGGTGACATAATCAATTGGAGTGCTCCGTAGCGGGTGGGCTTGAGCGAGCTGGCGAGTCAAGCAAACCAACCGTCTGATGAAGTGGTGCGATACTGGGGTACGGGGTGTGTGACAGTCTGACAGTCTGACTGCATGGCCCGTCCAACCCTGCCAACCAGCTCAGGGTTGCAGTCGACGGGCCGTCATCCCCTTTGCCTTCCCGCCCACTTCGGTCTCGCTCTGCCTGGCTGCCATGCCATGCTGCCCGCCTGCCTGACTGGAAGGGGTCCTGCATGAAACAACTCATGAACAGACATCAGTGTCAACCGTGTGAGCGGGCACCACGCAGCTCATGACTGATGAGCACGCACACTGGCACACTGGCACACTGCTGGCACATCTCAACTGTATCTAGTCTACACAGCACGGCATCTCATCTTCCCCGCATCTCGCCAAACAGCCCGCGACAAGGTGGACGGGCATGCCAGATGACATTGCAGGGGACCACAGATCCCAATTCGTCCACCCAGATCTGCCTGCACCTCCTGCACCTCCTGCACCCCCTGCGGGGAATGAGAGCCCGACAGTGTTGACGCCGCGCCAAGTATTCAGTATCTGCATCGACAGATCGAGTAGTCACAGGCTCGCTGCCTCGACGGAAACAGAAACAGCCCTGGCAACAGCAGCACAGCAAGCACTATTCGGCCCTCCATTCGGGGGATCGACACTCATCCCTCACCCGGACAAAACTTCCATCAGGTGCCAAGTCGCCCCCAAGCCCTGCCAAGCTGGAGCTTGACCTCTGCCCGTCAATCCGTTTGGTCGGGCAGCTGTTGAGCCCACTCCAGCCAGACGGCTCACAGACTAAGACGTGACATCCAGCCTGCATTGCCGTCTTGGGTCGGCGCGGACAAGCGCTCCCGGGCAGTCTGGACAACAGCTCCTGCAACGCAACACAAGACAACAACTGTGCTCTGCATCGACTGTGAGAGCCATTAATATCTCTCAACATCTCTCACCGCTCTTCAAGCCGTCTCGCGCGCTCTCTATCTCGCACAAACATTGAACCACCAGTTGACCACACCCTCACCTCCGCCGAGCCTCTCCAATATCGAGCAGTACCAGGCAACGCGCCACCCAACCCCCCCCCCCCCCAACGCCATATTTGCTGCCCGACTGCTCTTTCGCCGCCACTCGAGCTCCTGGACGCTCCATACCCGGCGCAGCTGCCCATCCCAACACCGCCCATGTATCTTCCTCTCACGGCCACAGCTCTCTGCGAGACTCGATCGCACCAGGGCACCCACCTGAGCGGCGACTCGGGTGTCAGGCGTATCCTCGCCCCCTTCCTGGAGCTCTTACCGGCGGCCACCAGTGCCGCCCGCCCATTACCAGCTGCATGTGGCGACCTCGACATGACTCCGATCGGCCATGACCATGATCACGGCGGCGGCGGCGGCGGCAGCAGCAGCAGCCACGTCCTGCCCGACGAGATCCAAGAGGGCACGTTGCTCTTCTTACTCTCAAACCCCCTGCTGCTCTCGCTGACGGTCGACCACTTACCGCCGTCTGCCACTGTGAGTCTTGCAGCAACGTCCCGGGCCTTCCGGAGCTTGATTTATCACACGCCCGGCGTCTTCAGGCGCCTCGACCTCACCCAGGTCAAGTCTGCCCAGTTTGATGTTGATCCTATCGACCAAGGCGGTCAGGTATGGCGGAACGTGCAGCTCGACGAAAACCTGACAGAGGATGAGTGAGCCTCAGCCCCGAACCCAACCGTCTGGCGCTGTACTGATCCTTCCTGGATAGCTTCTACTCGGGCCCTCTGCGAGGGATATTCGGGGCCCTTCGGCGACACCAGATTCTTCGTGATGTGTCGACACTAATCTTGGACGGTCTTTCAGTCACGGCTGAGCTGGTGCACGAGATAATCAGCGACCCCTCATACTCCGTCCGCATCCTCTCCTTACGAGAAGTGACCAACTTGAACGAGCCGAAGCTTCGGGCGGCACTGCAGATGGCAGCCCGTCCCAGCCGGCCTGAAGGTATGCCGCGGCTCAGGGGTCTGTACATCTTCGGCCCCAAGGACCCACCGTGCTTGACCGTGGACACCGCCGCGATTGGGAATGGAGGCAACGCCACAGCTGCTGGGTGGAACCAGCGTTCGCACCAGGCCCTGTCTGACGCCCTGCACCAACCAAGCGACCCGTGGTATGATCGTAAAGGCACGGTAGTCCCACGCCCAGTTCCCATGGAATGGGCATCCACCATACTGGCCTGCGCAGGACTCATCTCATTTGACGCGGTCTTGTGCAGGGGCCCAAGGCATTTCAACTCACCTGCTTTTGGCCAGGTAAACATCGGCCCGAGCAGTCCCCCGTCGCCCCGGGTTCCCTCGAGCTGGGCCGTTGCGACCCACGCGCTGGACGGGTGCGCTGGCTGCGGCGCAGCACCAGAAGGGTGGACAGTCTGGGGCGAGTCGGCCGGCTCAGACGGAGACGACGATACATGTCGCTTCCCTCTCCTTGCGCCACCACCCGTGCACAGCAGCAACGCCAGGGTGGCTTGCTGTCCCTCGGGAGCCGACGTCAAACCTTCACGAAGCCGCGGCCAGAAAAAGACAGAACAGAGACGCTTCCTTGCCAGATGCATGGAGTGTCTTCGTGACCGCTACTGCTGGGGCTGCAGCAAGTGGTGGTGCGAGAAGTGTTACGTCCCTGGGCAGATGGACTCGCACGTCGATGGACTCTACTACAAGGTACGAGATGGTCTTTGTGAAGAGTGCGTGGGAGTAGACGACGAACTTTTCGGTGGCCGCCTTTCCGACACCCCACGCTCCGAGACGTGAATCGTGGCGTTGGTGCGGGAATATGCCTTCGGGAGTGCGGGTGTTGACTCCAAGAAAACACAATCAGCGACCTTCCCCCTAAGATCGCCCCTGTCACAACCCTTGAGGCCGACGAAATTGTATGCGATGGTTATGCCCCCCTGCTTGCTTGTGCATGCAGGTGCCTGACTTTCTTGCTTTTATCCCCCAGCCCCTTGACCCAAATAATGTGTTGGAGCCAGTTCATCTCACCTGAGACTTCGCTGACGCGTCATGCGCTCCAGGCTCGGATGGCGAGGAGTTGCTGGGAATGTGGTAATAACGTGAGTAGCATTCATTGCGACGGTCGCTCGGCCGAGAACGTGTCAAGATTCGGTGCTAATGTCTTGGCGACAGTGCTCGACTTGTATCGATCGAACGCAGCGGGTATGCCGCAGCTGTCGTGGCGGGTATTGTATTATCCACAACGAGGGTTCGACGGGCGAAAAATGTGACTGTAAGTTCACGCCAGTCCTGCTCAATGGCCATGGATCAGTTGCTGACCTGTTCCCCTGAAGGGTGTTCATCTCGTCGTCCTTCGCGCCGTTGTGCACTGTAGGCCAGGCTATCCATGCTCAACGCAACCATGAAGCCAGTCACAGCGCCTGCGGGCAACACTGGCCCTGCCTGATCGAGACATTGGAGGGCTCCCAGTCGCAGCAATGACCGCGTCACGAGGTTTCTGCCATGAGGTCATGGCGCCCCGGAGCTCTGGCGCCGTCGTCCATGTTGCAACAAACCGGATAGCCGAAGACGGTAGCCTCGAGGGTGTAGAAGTTCCAAGAGTGACTCTTCAGGAGTCTGGTCACTGGCAAAGGTCGATCGGTATGCGGATCAAATCCGTGGAATTTGAACATGAAAGTGAGGCCGATGGTAGTCGCCAGCGGCCGGCGAGCAGTGGGCATTCTAGCAGATTGAAGTGTAAAGAAGTGGCCGTCTCCCCTCTTTTCTTGGCATGCTTATACCCACACAGTCTTTTCATACCTGTGTTTCAGGCTCATATGGCATCTCCTCTTACTTGCCGTTTGATTTGACAAGCAAGACGTTGCTGTCATCGCCGGCAAAACTTCTGCTCGGCTGTAGTAGCATTGCAATCTCCCAGTCAGATAAATACTACTCCCGTCTTTGACCTAGCGGCCCCAGTTCCCGCCACCAGTCAGCCAGCCGGTCGCCACGAATTCAAATTGTCCGGGCATGGCAAGCACCTTATTTAGACTCAACGGACGCTTAATGATAATCTTAATGAGGAGAAAAGTTCGCCATGAGATCAGAAGTTTAGGCCATCTGTTGCACAAATCATTGTTCGAGTGCAACTCCCTACCTAGGTAGTGCGTGACGAAGTAATAATAATAAAGTTCCCGTCAAGGTTGGTGCTTTCGTTTAAACTGTTCGCAGTTTCATGTTTCGTCTGCTTTTTTGTTTTTAGAAACAGAGAGCATACAAACAAGCGCTTCTTTCCAACTCTTTGGAATGACGAGGTACCCCAGGGTAGTACTTGAGTACCGGAGAAGGAGTGCCGAGGCGTGTCGCAAACATTGAACGAGGCTCACCCTCGCAACTTTGACAAGGTCTTGTCGAAATGAGAAGCAAATGGCACATAATGATTCGAACAGGAAGTGATACTCTATTTACTCCTGAGCTGCCATATTCGTCTACACATCGCATAAGTATTTGTGGACCGCACGCATTGGGCCACCACTCGTGGCCCACGACAGCTCTGTGGGACTCATACCTTCCCATCTTTGACAGTTCCAATAGTCCAGCCCGTGGATGGTATTTGGGGCGACGAGATAATAGAATGCCATCGGCGAATTGCGTCCGTCTGGCAGCAACACAGGCGGAGGCTTATGACACCTGCCAAGACATTGCGGACGCACGCAACAATTGTGGTTGCCAAAGGCGGAAGCCAAGACGAGACAGGACCAGGTCCCTGCCTCGCCCCGTTGTCGTTATCGTCCGGCCCGTCATGTCGAAAACCTACTTAAGTACTTATTAGGGATGTGGTGGCCACCGCGCCGTCTAAATGCCACTCCCGTGCGCCCGGTGGAGCATTTCGGCGAGCACCTGGGCGCCGCCAAGGCCGGGCGATCTAATTCGTAATATGTGATTGGCTTCGCCGCCCAGAAGGCTTACGACGCCCTCCAAGGGCTGGCACGCACCGAGGCATGCGGCTCCAGGAACTCCCCCACTACCCGGATCCTTGCGGTACGGAGTGCTGGCGCAAACCCCCCTGGAGTTATGGCACCCGGCCAGGGAGCATGCATGTGAAGAATGGGGCTTGTCAAATCACAGGGGTTTTGTTTCTGTTTACGCGTCAACGTTTCATTGTTCATGTACACTATCGCCATGTGCTTCTTCCCTTTTCCCCTGAAAGAAGCCGTGGGAACAACTTGAATTGGGGCCGGCAGCGTCGCTTTCGCACTCCGCGCGAATCCGCCCCAATCACTGCCCGCTGATTGCTCATCTGCCGGAGCAAGGTGCCTAATGGGGAATCTCTGGGGGCTGTATGCTTATAATATACATCTTATGGATCTCGGGGGTAATCTTGAACTAGATCTAACGTTGTAGATCATCCGCATGGCCTCCTATCAAGACATTGAAGGGGCCTGGGCACATGCTTGACCGGTGTCCCATTTTGACCGTCACCTGTCGTTGTGGTGTATTAGAGAACATGCAGGGCTGCCGTACACTACACTACACGCACTAGGCTCACCAATAGAATGTAAATATAAATACTTTAGCCTTTAGTATAAATATAATATAATATAAAGGCCTTTAATATAAGTACATATAATATAATAAGTTAAAAATTAAAATATAAATATAGGGGGGTAATAATACGCCTTATAAGGCGCATACCTAATTTAGGTATACGCCTTATAAGGCGCAAAAAGTATAAAAAAGAAAATATTAATTTATAAACTATTTATATAAATAAATATATATTAAGTAATAATATAATATAATATAAGTTTTTAATAATAAATTTATAATAATTAAAAGATTTTTTTATAATAATATAAATAAAATTAAAAATAAACTAAATAAAATTATTTTGCGCCTTATAAAATACATATCTTAATTATATATATACCTTACTAGGCGCACCTACTAGCCCTGCTATATACTTGTCCTTATTCCTAACCACCTTTATTAAGGGCAATATATTATAACTTTTTTATAATTTATTATATACTTATTTAAATTATTATTTTAAATTTTTTTTATTATTATTAAATAAAATAATATTTTTTTTTTAATATTAACTACTTTTTATAAATATTATAAGTATAATATTTAATATAAAAAAATTATATTTACTTTAAAGTTGCTTTAAAAAGCTATTACTATATATAAAAATAATAAAAATAACCTTTTAATTTTAGCGCTTATTACTATAATAAAAAAAAATTTAAAGCCATTTATAATAAGTATAAATATTTGCCTCTTTAATTATACTAATATAATAATAAATCCTTAATATTACTATTAGTAGAATATATCTTTTATTATTAGTACTAATACTTATTTATTAAGCTTATATAATTTATAGTTTTAAATATTAAATTTATTAAAAATAGTATTAAAAATAAAAACTTAATAAAAGGTATTATTTAATTAAATATATAAATTATTTTAATATTTGCCAAATATATATTTAAAAACCTTTATTACTTAGCTATAAGTTCTTTTAAATAAAAAATAATATTCTTATTTTTATATTTTTGCTTTTAAACTGCTTATATTATAGCTTTAGCACTAAATACCTACTTTTTCTTTTTATTTTATATACTTTTAAAAAAAGCCTACTAATATACTAAATAAAAGGCTATTATAGCATAGTAAATAAGTAATTTATTAAGTTTAATATAATAAAAATTTAACTTCTTTTATATATAGTTTATATTAATTATAAAATGTTTTAATTTAAAAAATCTTTTAGCAACTTTCTTTTATATTTTAAGGTATTTTAAAAAAAACTTAAAACTTATAATAACATCCCAAATACTATTATATACCTTTTTAAAGCCATTTTTTTATTTTTAAGTCTAGCTATTACCCTTAAATGCTTTAAGTACATTATTAATATTTTTAAGGACTTTACTTATAGCTATAATTATATTTTAATTTCTTTCTATTAACTCTATTTTCTTATAAAAAATAAAAGGGTATTTTTTAAATTAAAATATATAGCAATAAATAATATATTACTAATAGTTATTTTATTTTTGCTATAATATTAAAAGAAATAAATAAAGCCTAATAACTTAACAAATAATAATAAGTATAAATAGCTAGCATATTAAAATATATATAATTACTTTTAATATTATTTAATATATAAAGTTTATTTTATTTTTATTTATAAAAATTCTTTTAAATCTTATATAACTAACTAATTAATTAATTAAACTAGTAAATAATAATAATAAGTGCTATAAGCTTAATAATAGGGCCAATTTTCTATTACTTTATATATTATAGTCCAACATTTATATTATTTAAATTAAAAGGTTTTAAATAATATAATATTATTTCTAAATAATAAAATACTTATAACTAAATTAGCAATATATTTAAAATAATAAATATAGCATTTAGGGCCATTAATATTAAAAGCTAGCCTAGTTTTTTATTATTATATTATTATTATTTATATTATTTAAAGTAAAGTACCTAACCTTATTTATAATTTTAAATGCTTATAAAACCTTAAATATATATAATATAATATTTTATTTAATATAACTACTAATAAGTTTTAATATATTAAAAATAAGCTTTTATAAATATATAAATTTATTAAAATAAAATATTATAATATTATATATAAAATATTAATTATTTAAGTGCTAGCTATTAAATATAATATAAATTATTTTTAAGTATTTTATAAAACTTTAATTATTATAAATTTAAACTTATTATATATAATAATAAGCTTTAATTATAATAAGGTTTATTTAAAAATTATATTTATTTTTATAATTAAGGGTTTAAATATTTAAATATAACATATAAGGCTTGGAACTTAATAAAGCAAAAAAGATTTTTAATAATAATAAAATATAAAAGTTTTTATTAAAAATATTTTTATTAAAATTGCTAATTAAATTGCTTATAATTATTTAGTCCTTAAATTAATAATATTTAGTTACTAAAACTTAATAATATTTTATATTCCAAATATAAATTAGTTTTAAACTTTAACCTTTATAGACCTTAACATATTTTTAAACTAATTTTATATTTTATAATTTAACTAAAAATAAAATTTAGTATTTTAAAACCCCTTTAATATAATTATAAAATACCTTAAAAACTTTTTTATATATAATAGTAATAAACCTATTTATACTTCTAATTTATAAAACTTTTAATATTAAAGCTATATTTTAAGGCCAATTTTAAGGCTTTTAAAGTATTAAAACCTAATAAATTTTAAAAATAAACCTAAAAATATTTTAAAATAGCTTTAATATAAGCTACTTTTTAATAATATAATATTAATAATAGGCTATATTATTTAAAAATTAAATATATATTAAATAATAAATAAAAATATTTAATAATTTATAAAAATTATTTTTAGGCTTTAAGTTGGCATATATATAATTTAATTTATTATTATATTTTATAAAATATAAAGGTAATTTAAATATACGCCTTATAAGGCGTACTAACCCTATAATATAAGCAAAATAATTATATATAAATTTAATTAAACTTTAATAGTTTTATTTTATTTTATTTTATAATTAGTTTTTATATATTTAATATACTATTACTTTTATATTTTATAAAATATATATCTAAATTACTTATATACCTTATAAGGCGCATATATATAATTTATAATTTATAATATATTTTATATATAAAATTATTTAGCAAAATATTAATAATAAATAAATTTTATAAATATAATTTTAACTTTTATAGCCTTAATATTTAATATATTATTACTTTTATATCTTATAAAGTATATACTTAAATTACTTATATACCTTATAAGGTATATATATATAATTATAGTTTATAATATACTTTATATATAAAATTATTTAATAAAATATTAATAGCAAGTAAATTCTATTATATATAAATATAGTTTTAACTTTTAAAGCTTTAATTTTTATATATTTTATAAATAAAATAGTATAATAAACTATTATTTAATAGGCCAAAATAAGGCCTTTTAACTAAGCTATTAAATATTAAATATTAATTATTATTAAAAAAATAATATAATATATTATATATACTAGCTATAAAATAATTAAAAAAAAATATAATATATTATATATATTAATTATAAGGCTATTATTATTTATATTATATATTTTAATTAAAAAATTTATTTAAATTATTATTAGTAAAATATTAAGGGCCTTATTTAGCTAAATTTATATTTAATAAAAGCTTTACCTATTAGTATTACCTAAATTAATAAGCTTTTTTATTAAAACCTATTAAAAAGAGGTGGTAGTAAGTATTTTTAAGTAAAAAAGTTAAGGTTTTAATTATTTAAATATAATTTTGCCGGCCTTATTTATATAAAAAGGCGGCTATACTACTTTTAAATATTACCCTTAAAGGTTTATTTTTTAACTTTTTTTTTTTAAAAACCTTTAAGCTTAAACCTATATTTATTAAAGGGGAAAATAATAGTATTATATTTATATTAATAGAAATTATTAGTAAAATAGTTTTTTTAAATAAAAAAGTTTATTTAATAAATTTAAAAGGCTTAAATTTATTAACTTTTATATTATTTATTTTAATATTATTAAAAAAATCCTTTTTTATAAAATTTTAGCTTTTATAAGCCTTAATTTTATTATAAGCTATAAAAATATAATTTAAAAATATTTAAATTAAATAAATTTTATTAATATTAATATGCTTAAAGCCTTTTAAAAGTGCTTTTTTATAATTAAATAAATGCTAATATAAAAGGGGAAGGGGAGAAGGGGAATAAATAAAAGAAGGAGAAGGGGAAAAAAAAATTGCTATAAAGCTAAAAACTAAAGGGCCAAAAAGGTATATTATTTAGGTAATAAAACTTACCAAAATAAAAATTAGGCTAATAAGCTACTAGCAATTAGTAAACTTGCAATTATATATATAATTAATATAATAGCATATAAAAACTTTATATAAAAAACTAATTATAATAAAGTTAGTTATATAATTTAATTATAAATTATAACTATTAGTATACTTTTAATATATAAATATTTTAATATAATTAGCAACCTAAATTATAACTATAATAAAATTTCTTAAAGCTAAAAACTTATATATATTTATTTAATAAAATAAGCTAACTATTAAAAAGTAAATAGCAAATAGATTTTAAATATATTTAATATTTATATTATTAAATAACATATTATTAAAATAAACTTATTATACCTTAAATATAATAGCCCAAATAATATTTTAGGCCATTTAAAACTTTATAAATATATTAGTAATAATTTATAATATATATATAAAAGTAAAACTTATATATATTACTAAAAACTATAATAGCTATATTTTTAAATAATAATAATATATTAAAATGCGCAAATAAGTAAAAAATAATAATTATATTTAATTTTATTTTAAAATATATAAATATAATAATAAAAGCCCCAAATAAAAAGGTTTTTAATATTTATAAAGGTTATAATATAATATAATATAATATTAGTTTTATAAATAAAATTTAAAAATAATAGGCTATAAGCTATAATTTTATTTTAGTTTAAAATAGTTTATATTTGCGCCTAAAAAGGCGCGTATTTTAATTAGCCCTATATTTTTTTAAATATAAACTTTAATAAATTGCCCAAATAACACCTTAAAGCTTTTAACGCTTTAAAGCTTTTAATGCCTTAAAGCTATATTTATACCTTAAAGTTTATTTAAAGCCTTTTATATAATAGCCAGCAAATTCTATTAAAGTATATAATACTTATATATATATAAATATATACCTTATAAAGCGCATTAATAGTTTAAATATGCACCTTATAAGGCGTAAAATAGGGTTTATAACTAACTTTTATAAACCTAACTATAATTATTTAAAACCCTAAAAATCTAATAATTTTATATTAAAACCCACTATATTATATATATTAAACTCTTTAATATAATATAATGAATTTTAAAATACCCTTAGTATAATAGGGTATAATGGGCTTATTTATATATACTATACTATACTAATTATATTGAGTATAGTGAGCGGCAGCCCTGAGAACATGGCAATGAAGCGCTGGCCTAGATCGCGTCGTGTAAATCACCTGCCTCGTGAGGAAAGGTCTTACTGATTTGAGCCATTGGGCGTGTAATTCCGCCTCCGGGCTCCCAAGTGTCGTCAACTGGCCAGGCCGCACGAGTGATGTCTTGGCAGGAGGCGAACGACGGCCATGACGAGATACGCAGGGAGTTGAAGAGCTGTTGTGAATATATAAACCTCACAGAGAAAACCGCATGAGATTTCTTTGGCCCGAGTTCTTCATCCTCACTCGACAGAGGCAAAGTCCCATTCGTTCTCTAAAATCCTTTGCAGTCTCTACTATACCCCGCGAGCCAAATAGCTTCAGTCACCATGCGTTTCTCCTCCGCTGTTGTCAGCGCCATGGCGGCGACCATGGCCGCTGCCCATCACAACCACGACATCAAGAGAGAGCAGGCTATGCGCCGCACCCTCCTCGAACACACCAAGAAGGATCTTAGCCACTGCGCTGAGAAGATCAGGAGGAACGGCCTCGAGGCTCGCAACGTGAAGCGTCGCGCAGACCGCGCTGCTGCCATCCTCGAGAAGAAGGGCTCAATGAAGGGTGGTAAGTGATGCTGCGCTGCCGTGGCACATTACATTGACTGTTGTAACATCACAAGCTAAATGATTTCATTGTAGTCCGTGACCTGTCTGCCCTGAACACCTCTCACCTGTCTCCCGAGGACTACACCCTCGCAACCCCAGAGGAGACCCTGTTCGCTAGCAACGCCTCTTGCGTGCTCAGCCCAGAGGTCACCGAAGGCCCATACTACGTCGCCGGGGAGTACATCCGGGAGAATGTCACCGATGGACAGGCCGGCGTGGATCTGCACCTCGAGCTCCAGGTTCTTGATGTCAACACTTGCGAGCCTGTCGCGAATACCTTCACTGAGATTTGGGGTGAGTTTACACGATATTGCAGCCTCGCGAAACAGTAGACATAACCGGCGCTAACACATCGTCTCGTGCAGCTTGCAATTCCACAGGCGTCTACTCTGGCGTGTCCGCCAGCAGCAACGGCAACTCGGCCAGCGATCTTACCAACCTGGACGAGACATTCGCCCGTGGGATCCAGTCCACCGACGCCGACGGCGTGGCCAGCTTCGACACGCTGTTCCCGGGCCACTACACCGGCCGCACGACCCACATCCACGTGATGGTGCACCTAAACGCCACGGCGCGCGAGAACGGTACCCTCCTCGACACGACCGCCTCGCACGTCGGCCAGGCCTTCTTCGACCAGGACCTCATTTACGAGGTCGAGGCCACCCCCGTCTACGCCACCAACACGCAGAGGCTGACGCTCAACGCGAACGACGGTATCCTCAAGCAGGAGGCCGCCACCAGCGACCCCTTCGTCGAGTACGTCCTGCTCGGCGACTCCGTCGAGGATGGCCTGCTCGGTTGGCTGGCCTTTGGTATCGACCCAACCCTGTCCAGAAACATCAACGCGGCTGCTACCTATTACGAGAGTGGTGGTGTGCAGAACAACAACGGCGGCGGTGGTGGTCCCGGTGGCCCTCCCCCCAGCGCCTAGATTCCCCGCGTTGGTGAATGTGAGCATACGAGCGCGATGGGGTAGAAGCTTGGTCTGAACTGATTCCGTTCTCGAATTCAATTTCTGTTTGTCATTGTGGTGAGATTGACAATGAGAAACACCATCTTCACGTTCTATACATACACAAGTACCTAGGTAGTTTCAAAAAAAAGAACCCCGTATTTGGTCTATTGTACTAAACTTGTCTCCTTGATATTTCTCACAGGACAAAATTTACAGCGGCTGCTATGAGTTGGCCACATTTGCCCGGTCCCGTGACAAGGAGTCCAGAATACCCTCCCGATGATTTCCCATGAAAATTATGCTGTCAAACGCCGCGACGGACTCGAGACTATGCGAGACAGTCACAACTGTGTCATCAAGCCTTTTCGGTATGGCCATGGGGCTAATGTCATTGTTTCCGAGCTGGGTGTCATCCGCCTGTGGGGGTGCACATGTGACGAAAGGTCTTCCTTCAGTATGAAACTCCAAAACTTCATCGTATATCTTGCTATCAAAAGGCTCGAGGCCGACAATAGTGGACCGTCTTATCGACGCGTTGACGAGGGGAGGAGTTTGATCGCAACACTCAATGCGAGGCAATCCCGGGTGGGATGCAATCGATCCCTCTGCGAAAGGTATTTCTCCCAGTAACACCTTGCTTATGATAAGGTTGCCTTTCCTGCGGTCCCTGGTCCCATGATAACGGTCAGGCTAGACTCTGCAATTTTCAGGTTCCGTTCATTCTACTGCCTTTGATCCAGGGCCACACCAAGGTTGGCATCCTCATGCGAGATGGCCAGGCTTCTTTCATCTTCTGTCTTAGCAGTGGAACCTTAAAATATGGAGTATTACGACCTCATCCCTGTATGCAGAAGATTCTGAATTTTAGAGAGACATGCGGACAAAGCCATAAACACCACCCGCCTTCTAGAATAATTAAATCAAGGGGCTTGTGATCAGAGCCACGTACTACAGGCTGGACAACACTCCCGCCATGTTTAGTTGACGCCCCGCCAAGAGAAAATGGCGATTGGTGCATGCAGAGGTCTACGTGTGACGGAAAAGACCATAAGAGTCCTGTATGGCTTCCAAGTCGCTGCTCATCCTCTCTGCACTTTCAATGAATTTCTGCGGTCGAGTCTGAGAGGACCAGAGAGCTTTAGGGCCTTCATGTCCGCGATCACGGCAATCATTAGCCTGACCATTGCATCGATCGGTACTTCGTGTCCCCTTTGATATAGGACGAGTTAAATTTGCGACGAATGACGTGCTCACGACACGCTACACTATCAAGATTGATGCAATGAATGCGGCAATAACCTTAGACGTATTTGCCCATACGTCGTGAAGTGGATCGAGCCCGCCCTCCGTGATTGGCTCAACATCCGTGCTCATGAGTGTGAGAACATTTGTGTCCAGGTGCGTAGAGCAGCCCTGGATTGTCTTCCGATAGATAGCTGTGACGAAAGCTTTCCTGGCTTTGCTTACTGCACTCAAAGAAAGGCGAGGGAATGTCAAGCTTGAGACGGCCAGGCCGGGAAATCACTATCAGCAGACTGGAGAAAATCAGGTCAAGTCCAGTCCATACCATACGTTAGTGGGTACTAGAGATAGTCACTATAACTACCTATATATCTCTTATTACCTCTTAACTACTATACTACTTCTCTTCCTTTAAGATTATTATTATAATATTTATCTTAATCTAATAATTATAATAGTATATATTATTAAACTTAAATAATCCTCTTTAAATTTTAAGGTTATTCTAAAGGCTTAAAATAGTTATAAAAAAAAAGGGGTTATAAGAGTAGAAATAGATTTATTAAGGAGGCTCCTTCCTTTTAAGTAACTCTCTCTTTATTCCCTTATAGTTAGTCTCCTACTTAGGTATATTAATTAATTAAGAGAGATTCTCTTTCTTTCCCTTTCTATTAAGTTTTTTTTAAGTTCCTAACTTCTATTAATCTATTTCTAATAGCCCTACTTCTAATAACTTTACTTTTAATAGCTTTACTTTTAAATCTCTAAATATAGGATTTTAATTAATTAACTTAAAGAAAGAAGGTAGAGGAGTTAGTATTAGAGTTAAAGGAAGGAAGGAAGGAAGGAAGGAAGGAAGGAAGGAAGGAAGGAAGGAAGGAAGGGGAAGGGGAAGGGGAAGTACTCCTCCTTTTTTTATATAGGGGAAGGTACCTCTAAAGTCCGCAACCCTTCTCCCTTTTACAAATCCTTCTATAAATCTATTTCTTTATTATAAGTTTATTTCTTTATTATAAGTCTATTTCTTCTCTATAAGTTTATTATTATTAAAAAGTTATTAAAAAGCTATTTAACTACTTAAAAGTTAATATTCTCTCCTCTTTAAATATACCTAAAGTTAATCTTATAAATAAAGGGTTTCTAATATAAATAATAGCCCTAGTGACTATCTCTAGTACCTACTAACATATAGTATAGGTGTTTCGGTTCTGGAGCGGGGTGGATGCATGAATCTAATTAATTTTCCGATAAGGAATGGCTGCAAAAGGGGGTTATCAAGGGCATAGGCTACCTACCATTCTACTACTATATTATTAATAAATATAGAAGTCCTTTACTTTAAAGTACTCTTTATAACTCCTTTTACAGTGTTTTAATTAATATTATTATTAAAATAGTGCCTCTTAACTTTATTTATATATTATTAGATTAAAGTTATAAGTACTTATTATATTTCTATTACTATTATTAATATTACGTGTTTTTAAGCATTAGGATTTAAGTGTTTAATATTATTTAAAAGTATTATATATATTTTTAAATATTTATAAAGTAGAATTAAAACTATTTAACTTCCTAGCTAAAGTTCTATTATAGTTAAGTAATATTATTTATAATACTATTATAAAACCTAAACTTTGTCTTAGTTTAGTATAATTATTATGTTTTTTTTTTTTGAAAAAGTAAAAATAGAGTTTTGTGAGGGGATCGCAGTTGTTTCGTCATTCTTGTGCCTGAGCAAAGGCTACATCCAACGTTGCAGACTGGTCACGACTCATACAATCCTAATTACATTATGCATGGGCCCAATCGTCCTGGGATCATGCAAGTCCGCCATTCCGGAAAAACATTCCGCTGCAAACCTACAATTCTGTCCAATGTTGTAGTTGAATAAATGGTGCGATCCCCGATACTGCTCTGTTCCCTATAATACTTTTGTAGTGCCGAACTTTTCTAATTGGGGCCCTATGTGCCGTGCAAGTTGTCTTTGCGACCTGTAGAGATTACACATGAAGCCTCGATGTTGTCTAGGTGCCATTTTGAAAGCCAGCATAGGGCGGGTAAGCCGGGAATCCCCAAGGAATGCTTTTGTCCAGTAGTATCCGATCCAGGCCTTCTGCCCCACCATTCATGTATAGAAACTTTGTAAAAGGGACTGTAGCATGAAAGGAGAAGGATGTCTCGGCAGGAACGAAGGCCACATCTCCCTGGAGTAGGCTCACCGTGTCGAAACCATCAACCAATAGGACCAGCTGGCCCTCCTGGAGCTCTAGGGCAAAGTGATGGGGCAGCGTGACTGTTGTTGCTGTTTCATTCTCGAGCCTTGGAGAAAGGATAATTGTGCCCATGGTGAAGTTGCCAGCTGTCTGCGCGGGGGTTACGAGTGGCTGGACAACTTTATATCCAATCTCCGTGTTGAGATAAGCTGGACCGTAATTGTGGGCAACAAAATACGGCTCCGTTGGATCTTCGGGAAGCGTGTTTAACCCATTATGCCAAGGCAGTCCGGCATCCCCGGCTGTCCCGTTGACCATGTCTCGCCTGGGCTTGTAGTCCTCCGCGGGTGCAGCGATGAGGTCCAGCTTGCGGAGCTGGGCGTCGACTTCGGGCGTGAGCGGGCTGAACGGCTCCGGATCGTCGGCCAGCGGTACGTACGGGGAGCCAACAACAGATTCGTAGTCCCCAATACTGAACACGTCGAATAGGTGCTCGAACCCGCCGGGGTGGAAGATATGGTTCAGCTGGCTGTCCGGGTCGACCAGCTGAAACGTGTGGATGGTCCCCGGCGGGACGCTGCCGTAGTCGCCGGCGGTAGCAACGCGCGCCTCGTGGCTGGCGCCGGTGGCGTTCTTCTGCGCCCACAGCTCGGTGCGGCCCCGCTGGCAGTAGAAGTGCTCGTGGACCTGCTGGTGGGTATGCGGCCGGGCGACGGTCCAGCCGGAAGTCTTGCCGTTGTGCTGGACCATGGAGAAGGCGCCATCGGTGGAGTTGGATGTGATGGCGAAGCGGATGATGTCTGACCGGGTGAGCTTGATGGCGCGACCCTTGAATCTGGGGAGGACGTAGGGCCGGACGTTGTCTGGGGCGACGTCGACGAGGAGACTGCCGGACAGGTCTGACGCCAGATGCCCCGAGGCGAGGGCGCCCCAATGAAGAAGCGGAGCGAGTATAATATGTGACTTCATAATGAGTGCCGAGGACAGAAGGGACTAAGAGGCGATTGCAATGGGGTTCGGGCGTACTGCTCTTTTATACATATGTAAACCAGACAGCCAATAGGCGGGCCGCCGGCATATGTTCTCCAACGTACCTAGGTAGCATCGTGGCTGCTTATTGACCCTGGTTGCCGATTGTCTCCGAGGCAAGAAATGTGCTACCAGAAGAACAGGCCGGCCATTGCAGACGATCGCAGTGCTGTCGTACACATCACGGAGGGTTCAATTCTAGGGAACCCCTTCTCGCATGAAATGATTAGTCCTGGGTCCACTTTGAGTCCGAGTCGAGATTTTCTTGGCGCGAGCGGAAAATGGTCTGTTGAGGCTGTTGATGTGGTACCAATGCGCCGGAACAAGGGCTAGATTTCTAAAATTGAAGATTACTCCGGCGAGTCCGGTAAACTATAATATACACCACCCGATTAAAAGCTAATTGACATCTCCAAAGCCTAACTAATAATACTGCTACAGTCCCGGCCTTAGGTTATAATTACATACAGGAAATTCTTAATTATTATCTTATAAGTATAAAGCTTTCTTGAAAAGGTTATTAATATAGAAAAGTTTAAGTAATAAAGTTATATTAGGTTTTATTAAATTCTATACTATATTATAGTTAATTTATAATAATAATAGTAATAATATAAAGGTTAAAATATTAAAAAGTTTATTAAATATTTAATATATTATTAGATATTTAATATTTTAAAATATTATAAATTTAATTATAATTAATATTAATTAATAATAGTTAATATATATATATATATAAACTATTAGATTTATTAATAATTAAATAATTATTATAATATTTAAAATAATAATATTAATAAATTAATTAATTTTAGAATTATATTTAATATAATAAAAGTTTAAAAGTACTTTTTATTTATTTATTTATTTATTTATTTATTTATTTATTTATTTATTTATTTATTTATTTATTTATTTATTTATTTATTTATTTATTTATTTATTTATTTATTTATTTATTTATTTATTTATTTATTTATTTATTTATTTATTTATTTATTTATTTATTTATTTATTTATTTATTTATTTATTTATTTATTTATTTATTTATTTATTTATTTATTTATTTATTTATTTATTTATTTATTTAATATATAATAATTTAAATTAATATATTATTAATTAATAAATATTTCTTTTAAAATATATAAATATTAATATTATATTAAAATAAAAGAGTATATATATTTTAAATTAATATATTAATATTTTTAATAAAAGAAATTAATAATATATAATAAAAGATTTAAAAGATTTAAAGAATTTTAAACTATTAATTAAAATAAAATAAATATTATTTAATTAATTTAAATTCTTTAAAAGAATTTTATTTAATTCTTTTATTTTAAAATTATAAAATTTATAATTATAAATTTTATTTATAAATTAAATTTATATAATAGAAATATTATTTTAAATATTTAATATAATAATAAATATTTAAGTTTTAATAATAATTAATATAATATTAAATAATTTATTTATAAATATATTTATATAATTTTATTTCTATTTTATATATATTAAAAATATATATAATACCTTTATATAATAATAAATATTTAAAATTAAATAGTTTAAAAATATAATATTAATAATAATAGTTATAATATAGTAAATATTAATAATTTTAACTTTATAATATATAAATAAAGTTAAAAATATTATTTTAATAATAATATTAATTAAAATTATAAATAAAAATAATTTATAATTTAATTATTATAAAAGAGTTATATAATAAAATTAAATTTAAAAATAATTATTATATAAATAAATTATATTAAAATAAATATAATTAAAGATTATTTTTAAATATATATATATATATATATATTAATAAAACTTTTATTAAATAAATATTATAGTCTTTATTTAAATATATAATTAACTTTAAAAGAATTTAAAATAAAGAAATAATTTATAATATATTATCTTTAAAACTTTTATAATAAAGTATTAAAACTTTTAAAAATATTTTAAAAATAATTTATAAAAATATAAAAGAAAAATATAATAAATTTATTCTTTTAAATTTATATTTTTATTATTAATAATTATTAATTTTTAATAATATAAAAAGTATAATAAAAATAAAAAAAAAGAATTTAAAGTTTTTTTATAAAAGAATAAAAATATATATAAAACTATTAAAGACTTCATATATAAATTTTAAATTATTAAAGAAGAAATAAATAATTATATAATATAAAAAGAAATATTATAAGTATATATATATAGGTAATTAGGGGCTCTATTAACTACTTACTATTTAGTTATTTAGTGTAGTCTATTTACCTACACCCTTTAAGATTTAAACCTTCCCCTTATAATCCTTTTAAACCTTTCCCTTTATATAAAAGGTAGCGCTATTTTAATTTAAATTAATATATTAAAAATAATTACCTTATCTTTATTTCTTTTTTTATAATAAATATAATATAATTAAAATTATAAATATATTTATAAAAAAACTTTATAATTATTAATTTATATATTAAAATGATTTATAAAATATTATAATAAAATAAATAATATATAATTTAAATAATAATATTAATAAAAGTATTTAATAAGTTAGTATAATTAAATAAATATATATTTTTATTATTATATATTTCAAATTAATTATAATTATAATTATTTTTATTTATATTATAATAATTATAATAATTATAATAATTATAATAATTATAATAATTATAATAATTTTTATTAAATTTAATTAATAAAAGAAATATTTATTTATATAAACTTTTAATTAACTTTTAATTAATATTAATTAATAATTATATAAATAATTATAAATAATTAAATTAATAAAATAATTTATTATATTATTAATAAATAATTTAAAAATAATTATATTAAAGTTATTAAATTTTATTTAATTTATATAATTTATTTAATATAATTAATTTTAATTAATTAATTAATTAAAATTAAAAACCTTTTAAAGAAATTAACTTTTATATAATATTTTAATAACTTTTAAATATTTAATATTTAATTTAATATTATTATTTAAAATTGATTTTTATAAATATTTATTATATTTTATATAAATAAAATTTTATTAAAACTTTAAATTCTTTTATTTATTTTATTATTAAGTTTCTTTTATATTTTAATAATACTTTAAATTTTATAAATTAACTTTATTAAATATTAAACTTTTATTTACTTTTAATTAATAAATTCTTTAATATATTTATATATATTTTTAAATTAATATTATAATAAATAATTCTTTTATATTTTATTAATAAAACTTATTACCTTTTAAATTAATTATATTTAACTTTTAAAATAATATAATTCTATTAATATATTTATTTCTTTATAATTATTTTTAATATTTCTATAATTATTTAAAATAACTTTTCTTAAAGATTTATTAGATTTATTATTATAATTAATATTATTATTTTATAAAATATAAAATAATATATATTTTAAAATTATTTATAAATATAATATTAACTTTAAATTATAAAATATAAATTTATTAAATTATAAAACTTTAATATAATTTAAATTAATATAATTATTATATAATATTTATTAATATATAAATATTTTAATATTAAAAAAAATATATAAATATTTATAAAAAACTTTAATAAATAAAATATTTTCTTTTAATTATTATTAAATTTCTTTTTTAAAAATTAAAAATAAATATATATATTAAAAATATATAAATTAATATATGTAGTTACCTCTTCCTTATTACCTCTTCCTTATTACCTCTTCCTTATTACCTCTTCCTTATTACTTCTTCCTTATTACCTCTTCCTTACTACCTCTTCCTTACTACCTCTTTATAACTACCTTATAAACATATACCGCTATACCAACCAAAATTTCATCACATAACCTCTACACCTAAAATTAAATAACCATTATGTACCGTATAACTATTACGTATTAACTAAGGCTTAAAAACGATGTAATTATTGCGTGCCTTCCAGCTCGAGAGGCGCCGCTAGGCCATCAATCCTCCTTCTCATATTGCATTCGTTGATGGCGCCGAACTTGTTCTTGGTGGCCTCCCAGAATGCTGACTGGACCATTCCTTTGTTGCAAAGATAGGGGGCAACGTGGAAGTTCCAAACAAGAGTCTTCCCGTCTCCATCACGGAGGTTTCCGCAGGTGTGTGGCGAGGAGACGGTACAAAGCCAGTGCCTCTTCAACCCGGCCCAAAGGCCGCCGCATATTCCATCTATCGATTCAGGAGGGACATCGTAAATGAAGATTTGATACTGATATCGAACAAGTGTTGTGCCCATATCGCAAGTTGCCCTTGGTGACCGCGTGGACAGAAGCGATTCTGCCACCAGCGCCTGGGTGTGGTTGAGAGTGGGTAGATCGACACCATCGGGCGTCATTGGATTGATGGGGTTCGCGACTATGGGGCTCAAAAGAGCAAGCATAGAAGCTGCGAGAGTGAGGAGGTGCATGGTGGATGGGAGGGTTGCAGCTTGGGGAAAGGAAGAATTGTAGATGGCGAGCAGCGCAAAAAATTAGGAACACAACCAAGTTCGGTTTTCACACTTCGAAGATCCTTTGAGAAGGGGCTGACTATGTATAGAGATTCTTCGAGACTATTTTGCTGTTCCTCATGTGACTAAAAGCCAGACTGCGAAGTTTCAGGCCACTTGCGGTGACGGTCTGTGGCCCCGTCAGAAGCGTCTCTCACTAGTGATATCTGTGCAAATGTCAAAAGTGCTGGGCCATCTGGAACTGACACTTGTATTGGTGATTAGCGCCGTACTTTTGGTCCTGACGAGGTGCTGGAGCGTTCGTGATTGAATCAATGGGAGGCGGATTCAATGTTAGCATCTAAATCACCTGGGACCACGAGCAATTAGGCCGCAGTTAGTAGGCACCTAGGTAGGTTTGCGCCTGTTGTCACGGGCTCGCGCAACTTGGGTGCTATGAAATGCCAACTGATTAATGAAGAACATATGGTGCCCCTTGGCCTTGTCTGTGCGCCGCAAGGCTGAGGCTATAAGCACCTATCGTATTATAACTATAGTTATCAACACCGTGTCTTTTTTAAGCGCTGGGTCTTGAGCGCTTACTACCGTATGGAGGCGCCATGTATGTCCTCTGACGTATACGTAATAGAAGCGAAACCAGGCAATGAACAACATCGTGGCTCTGACCAGCTGCACATGTGGTCTGTTTGCTAGGCTTGGTCGGCAACCGATGGGTGACAAGGCCCATGTTCGCCTTCGGCGAACAATTTGCTAGCCGTGGCGATGCGCAATCATCTGGGCGCTCTCAACAGTGCTCGGCCGGTAAGTAGTAGCTGGTCGAAGCGGTCTGTCGTAGTTTATCACCCGCCTTTTCGACCGGGGAGTGCTTGTGCCGTAACGTGGGACGCTTGCGTAAAACCTAGTCAGTTATAATATTATTAGTAGTTAAAAAGGAGTGTTAAATTTAGTTAATACTAGAGGGGCTTCTTAGAGATATTATTAATGGCTGCCAACTGTAGAATTCCGGCGAGGTTGTTATGGAAATTGAAATTCAAGCAGAGTCCTTAGAAGTCACATGAGGTAGAGGTTCAACGATCCCCCATTCCAGGCTGTTATACCTGAGTCTGAACAAGCTGCCACGAGATGACCCGGATTGCATCTCCCTGAATAATAACGTGCCTTGATTGAGGTTTGTACTGGGGAGTCCCTGGGTAGGATGATGGCAGCCTTGAGGTCTGAATCCAGCCAGCAATGTCGGCCCGTTTCACGGCATGGGGCTTGCATTACGGATAAGTGCCAAGTGTACTGGCACATTGGAATTTCTTGATGATTAAGGCTACAACTAAAGGAACTCGAGTGGCAAATGATTGTGACTTGGTTGTGTACTTCGCACCTGTAACTTTGTTTCCCCCCACCCTCCCAGGAGCCAATACCTAGAATTCCGTGAGCTGTCCTGATCGAGCGTCGGCGACCAAGTTATCGAGGGCCGTCTGCAGCCGTTCAAGGTGGCCCCTTTGTGGGGCGGAAATGGCGGCAAGGACACGTTCAGTGGGAGCGGGCGTGGGCGTGGGCGTGCCGGCGTCTTCTGGGGTGGTGGTGCCGAGCTCGTAGGCGGGGGAGCTCGCCCCAGGCCTCCGCAAGCCACCATCCTCGACTTTCCGAATCTTGTTTCCCTGCTGGCGCAGGTCGTCATCCCCAGCCCTGCGCTTCCCCCCCTGGGGCAAAAGGCCCTGATATTCCTCCCAGCTCTGCCGAAGATTGAGCAGGTTGGGGTTCAGATCCGGCCTGCGGGTGGGTTGGGTTGTGGGTTGGTTTGTGGGTTGTCCTGTGGGTTGGGTTGTGGGTTGTCCTGAGGGTTGGGTTGTGGGTTGGTTCGTGGGTTGGGTTGTGGGTTGGCCTGTGCGTTGATTTCTACCACCTCCCCCACCGCCTCCCCCACCTCCTCCTCCTCCATCATCACCACCACCATCGTTGCCATTGTTACCACCACCACCACCGCCACCACCACCCCCACCTCCACCGCCACCGCCACCGCCACCGCCAGGCCCAGGAGGAGGTGGTGCAGGGTCTTGACGGTTGCTTCCTGGGGCCTGAGGATCGGGTCGGGCCCTTGTGAGAGGCACGGTTGGCATGTCGTCCACAGCCGTGTCGACGACGATGCTGGGGGCGGCGAGTGGGAAACCAACCTCAAACTCGACCCAGTTCATGAACTCGGGGATGGTGTCGCTGGCCGCGAGCGCCTCGGGGGCTTCGTCTGGGCCCACCGGCCCGCTGATCTCGACGCGGACGGTGCGCCGCTGCGAGCCCTCGGCCGGGGGCGACACATAGACCCTGTGGTAGAAGCTCAGGGCCGGGCCGTCTCCACTGGCAATCTCGGGCGCCAGCGGCATCACCCACGGCTCCAGCCTCACGGCCGCGCCGCCCCCGCCCGCAGCCGGGTGGCTCACGGTGACGAGCAGTGCCCGGTACGGCAGCCCGGGCCCGTTGCGCACGCCCTCGGCCGGCAGTGGCGACTGGCCGTTGAGGGGACAGGGGCAGGACCTTGCCTGGAGCTGCGTGATGAGGGCCTCGAGGCGCGCGATCCCCTCCACCAGCGCCGCGTCTGCTTCTTCCTCGGGGTTCTGCGGGTCCCGTGGCGGTGGCGCATCTTGCTGCACTCCCTGCATGGCGTCGCTGTTCTCTGCGTCCCGTTGTCGCTGTACTTGTCGTACTTGTCGGCTGATTCTTATCCACTGCCTCACTTCTGTTCTACGAATACGTGCATCCTCTAGTACGAGTTCAGTGGCCCGTTCGGCGATTGTCCTGCCCGGATCATCCATGTTACGTGCTTTGATGGCTTGGCCAAGTAGGTCCGATTTGTAGTATTGCCAGTCCTGGGCCCGTGTTGTGTCGAAGTGTCTCTGGAGTATCAGGGCCCAGTGCGATGCTTGACTTTCTCTTGCTGGTGTTCCCCCTACCCGTGACTTGGGGTCCTTTCCGAACACATTTTTATACTCTCCTTTAAATCTTTCCCACCCCCAGGCTCCGGCATTCTGTATGTCCGCGGGAGTGTTTCTTGGGTTGAGCGCTGGGAAACGGGGCCAAGCAACCGCCCTGTCAGCCAGTGCAAGTTCCTCGTCGCTTGGCTGTGCCTCGCCATCGCCAAAGTCATCATCATCATCATCATCATCATCATCATCATCATCATCATCATCGCCCTCGTCACCACCATTCCCGCCACGTTGGTGGACTGGGCTCAACTCGTCAGAGGCCGACGTGTCGGCAGAGTCCTCGGTCCATGCCTCAGACTCAGACCCTTCGGTCTCTTCGATTTCGTCAGCCTCTTCACCCTTGTCGGCCTCTCCAACCCCCTCTACCGCTACGGCCTTCCGAGGCGCGTGGTGGTGGCCCCCTCCTCTCAACTCATGGGCATCTTGCCCTCTACAAGTGCAGCCCCGTTGGCCCCGTTGGCCCCGCCGCGCCGACACACCCTGTTGGTTTCTGGCTCTGCGGTGGCGCGTGGGCCTGGACGTCGCGCGAACCACCTGGTGGTGAAACGATTCCGCTAGGGCCCGTCTCGCCTCTTGAGCAGTCCTGATCGCTTGAGCCCCCCTCGTTTCTCTCTCCCGCCGGACCTGCATGGCCCGCTGTCTCGCGGCCTCTGCCAGTTCGTCCTGCGCCCCGTGTGTCGGGGGTCCCCCTGTACCTGGGGGGTCCCCTGTACCTGGGGGGGTTGATATCGAGCGTTCCTGTTGGACTGGCTTTCCGAGATCCGGGTCTGGCTTTGCCGGCCGGTCCTTGACGTAGAACAACATTCGCGGCTGGAAGCCCAGCTCTTGCCTGATTGCCTCAACCCCTCCCAATCTCGGGGTGCCACTCCGATTTCCTTGCCGCGTTCCAAACACAGGGCCAACGATGTCATCGAGCCTCAAGAAATCGGCCTCCTGTCCACGGCGAATGTAGCTTATAAAATGCCCTGATGTCCGCGGTCGGTTCGGGTTCTCCATGCCTCCGCCCCGGTAGAGAACAGCCGCTTGCAGTGTGTATATGGCGTGTGCCTTGTCTTCTTCCCGGTCACACAACCGCGAGAGATCCAGTTTTTCAGTAATATCAACCCTGTTTTGAAAATTTGTGGTGCCGTCCTCTGCTGAATTTATGTGGTTGATCGGTATGGTCAACACCTCTGGCAGATAACTAAACTTGGCGAATTTTCCAATTGGGTCGGCGTTGCAACCATCCACCGGGCACTTCCGGTCGCGAAAGTCTTGCTCATTCGGTTCCTCGAATGCCGACTTGGAAATACATTCATGCAACGGCTGATTGTTGTGAAAACAAGTTGTTTGGAAAACGTAGGGCTGTGCTACACCTAAGAGGTTTAGGGGAAGCCGGGTCTTGCCGTGGGCGCAGTCATATACCATCCTCCAGGCCAATCTCACTCCGAACACCTGCTTCAGCTGAGGCTCGAAGGTTCTGTCATAGACACTATTAGTTTTCTTCCTGTAGTTGATACTTGACTTGCGGGTATGTTCTTACTCGCGGAGGTCTTCGTTCTCTATTTCATAATGGCAGAGTCGTTCCATCAAATAGGAGAAGAACTCCTCAGCATCCTGTTGGTACTCGCCTTGAGCAAATACTGCAAGTGTTTGATCGTCGATACTCGCTGCTCGAGTCATCATCCATTCCATCGTCCGGCGCACATCCATTTCCATATTTTGCATGGGATCCCCCATGCGGAAGCCTCGGGCGGCCCTTTGTAACCATTTGTAAGTCGTATTACTAGTACTACCACGTAAGACAGTACTTCCCACGTTGAAGAGATTTAGAAAGTAGTCAATGCTGAAAATAGAATGTAAAACCGAGTTTCGGAAGCATCGGTCGCGTGTAAGGTTCGAAAGAAGAGGCGGATTGATCGTCATATCGAATTGTGGTCGAGCTGGACGATAAAGGAAAGCATCTTGAGCCTTGGATTAAGAAGATCAGTTCGTTATAATCCATCACACAAAGGCAGGCAAATTATACAAGAAAATTCTTCCCCACGTGCTGTGCTCATGACTAGCAGCTTCACCTGGCTTCTGTTCGGGCATAAGATTGTCACTCACGTTCTCGATCCCGTAAAGTCCTAAATCGTCGTTACTAGGAGGGGGTGTAGGCGCATTGCGTCTCTCTAGCGTGACCCCAGCTGGCCGATAATAGTCCGGAATGGTTGCCTGTGGTTGTGCCATGGCTCTCACGCATTTCACAGGACACCTGGGGCAGAGATCCTCAAGCCCAAGCACAAATTACAGGTGCCAGAAGCTTGATCCAGATGCGTACAGTAAGCTGAGAAGGAACGGACAGAGGGGAAAAAAAAGATGAAGTCAAGGCAGCACACTTTTTAGATCCCTGATCTCCCATTGTCGGCACTGGGAGGGTGCGATGCCGTCAACAAAGCCACTTGCCCGGAATTGGCAACAAAGTATGGCCACGAGTCGTCTTCACCTTGCCAGGGAGGCTTCAGCCGCAAACGGCAGGATAAACGTCACAAACTTCTAAGAAGATACTGCTAAGACTTTAAAGTATTATATAGAATACTATTACAATACCTTAAATGTAATAAGTACTTTCTTTATTCTCTTATAATATAACTTTTATATAAAAGGTTTTTAATAAAAGAATAATAATATTTTATTTTATAAAACTTATAATATTTATTTATAAAGAAATATAGTTTAAAAATATTTTATAATTTTTTATATTAAAATATATTATTTATTAAATTATAATATTTTAAATAATTTAATATATTAAATATTATTATAATTTAAAATTAGTTAAAATATATAATATTTATATTTTATAATACTTTTAAAATAATATAAAATATTTTAAAATTAAATATAAATTAAATATTAAGTATATTTAATATATTTATTCTTTTAAATATAAAGATATATATTAATTAAAGTTTTAATTTTATTATAATTCTTTCTAATATTATATAATTTATTATTTTTATAAAATAAAATTAAAAGATTTATAATTATAATTTCTAAATTAATTTTTATTTAATTATTTTATTATATTGTAATTTAATTTAAACCTTTTAAACTTTATAAATATTTATATTTTTATAAATTTAAAGGTTTTATAAATTTAAATATATTTTAAATTAAACTTACTATTCTTTAATTATTTTAAAATATATTAACTATTTTAAATTTTAATACTTTATTTTAAAATAAAGATTTATTTTAATATAATTATAAATTTAATTATTAATAGTTATTTTCTTTTATTTATAATAAAGTTATTTCTTTTAAATATAAAGTTAAAAGATTATAATTATAACTTTTAATTAATTTTTATTTAATTATTTTATTATATTATAATTTAATTTAATTTCTTATTTTATTTAAATATTTTTAAGTGTATTTAATATTTTCTTTTAAATAAATTAAATTTAAATTTAAAACTTTTATAAAGTTTAATTTATTTTAAATTTAATTTATTATTTTTAAGTTTTTAAAAGTATATTAATTATTTTAAAAATAATAACTTTATTATAAAATAGAAATCTATCTTTATATAATTATAAATTTAATTATTAATAATTATTCTTTTTTATTTATAAACTATTAGAATTATAAATTTAAAATAATAATAAAATATAATTACTTTATTTTAAAAATATACTTTAATTTTCTTAAAGTATAATAAATTAAATAACTATTTTTAAATAGTTTTATTTAATAAATATTTATTTATAAAGTAAAGTTAGAACTTTTAAAAGAATAATAACTTTATTTTTATTTATTTTAATTAATTTAAAAGTTTTAAATTATATAATAATTTTATATATAATATTTAATAATATTAAAATTTAATAATTTATAATTTATAATAACTTTAACTTTTAATAAATTAATATAAATTAATATATTAATATAAATTAATATATTAATATAAATTAATATATTACTATAAATTAATATATTAATATAAAAATATCTTTTAATAATAAATAATTATAAAGTTATTATAAAAGGTTTTATATAATAAATTTAATTAAATTAATTTTAAAAAAATATATTATATTTTATTCTTTTAAATTTTAATTATTAAAAATAGGCTACTAAAGTATATAAATAGCTCTAAAGGAACACTCTACTTAACCTCTATAGAAGGACTAGTGTATAGATAGGTCTTAAAAAAAGAAAGTCTTAGAGAGAGGAGTAGAGGATAAAAATCACCTAATAGAGAGAATTCTTAAGAATAAGAGAAAGAGAGTAGAGTTTTTTCCTCTAAGAAAAAGACTAAAGCAATAAGAAAAAGACCTCTCTCATAGACCCTTCACTATAAATTCTACATAACCCCTCTTTTCCCTATACCCTACTATATTATTTATTTTTAAAATTAATAATAGAATTAAAAAAAATATAAATAATTTATATTAAAGTTATTAAAATTATAAACTTAAATAATAAAATATAATTATTTTATTTAAAAATTATATTTTAATTAAAGTATAATAAATTAAATATTTATTTTTAATTAATTTTATTTATAATATAATAAAGTTAATAAATAAATACTAATTTAAATAAAATTAAAACTTTTAAAAATAATAACTTTATTTTTATTTATTTTAATTAATTTATATTTATATTTAAATTATATAATAAATTTAATATTTTATATAATAATATTTATTAATATTAAATTAATTTATAATTTATAATAACTTTAACTTTTAATAAATTAATTTATATTAAAGTTATAAATATTAACTTAAATTAATTAAATATAATTTAATATATTAATATAAAAGTACTTTTAATTATAAATAATATTATAAATATAATAAATTATATTATTATTATAAAAGTTTTATATAATAAACTTAATTAAATTAATCTTAAAAATGTATTTTATTTTATCTTTTAAAACTTTAATTATTTATTTCTAACTTAATAGTAAAATTAAAAGATTAAAATAAAATATAGTTAATTATTTCTTTTCTAACTTAAATTTATATATAATATTTTTAATAACTTTATATATATTTTTATAATCTTTTATAAAAAAGTTTTAAATTTTTTATTATATTTTATTTTCTTTTATATTACTTTTAAAACTTTCTTTAAAAGTTTTAATATTTTATTATAATAATAATTCCTTTTAATTCTATTTATATATTATAATTATTATTATAAATATTATATTCTTTTAATATTAAAGTTTAAATTCTATTTAATATATAAAAGTAAAATTATATATTATATATATATTAATTAATTAAAATTAATTAAATTTTATTTTATTTATAAAATAAATATAAATATACTTTTATTATATATAAATATTTAAAGACTTTAAAAAATAGTAAAAATAATATAATAAATATATACTCTATATATCCTTAGATTTATATAGGATAGAAGTAAAACTAGTTATAAAACTAAGGCTATGGGTAGCTAGAGCGTGCTCTAGGACAATGAGACCATTTCAACCGCGGTTTCGATAGTAGAGAGAGATATGAATCATTCGTAGTGAGTAAATCAAACATGATCTAGGACTGGTAGGGTGTAAATCCCGGCGGTTGCTCGTAGAACGATCGTCATCGCGTAGAGAGACATTCCGCCGAACAGAGATGCGCAGCCTCCTGCCAATAGCTGATCTATTTGATCCTCTCTCAAAAGACATCCTCTTCGTTGCTCTGGATTAACACTAACTCAAATTCACGCCGAGGCTCCACTTGAGCATTGTGGCGGTGGCGAATCTGCCGACAGTACTCCGTACACCTGTAATCTGGATCCGATCGGCTGTGGCAGGAACTAATAACCCCGCATGCATCTCGGCCTGGCTTCCGTCGGAAACCATCGTGACCCAGGCTCGTACAGACAGGCAACAGGCCCAAGTCCTGCGAAGGAAAGAGAAGGGAGAACAGTTTCAATTTGCTAGCAACAAGCATTCAAATCTCCCTGATTCCCAGACACAATGGCTGACGAAAGGAAAACTATACTCATCACCGGAGCCGCTGGGTTCATTGGCCAGCGCCTTACTGCGACTCTCCTCGACAAACACCCGGAGTACCGGCTTGTCCTCACGGATATTATTGCGCCGCCCATCCCATCACGCGTACAGAATGCTGAGAGAGTAGTCCCCATTCAAGCCGATCTCAGCGACCCGGCCTCCCTCGCGAGTCTCATCGCCGCCGCACAGCCCCTGGAGGCTGTGTTTGTCTTCCACGGCATCAGTTCGTACCATTTTTCTCCTTAAACATATTCCTGCCTTCCATGTCTTGAAATACTCCAGAATGTATTACTTTGGGTTCCCTAGCAGGTGACCAACGTGTATTAGTGTCCTCGGGCTCCGAGGCCGACCCGAATCTGAGCCTCAAGGTGAATCTCGACGCAACGCGGGCGCTGCTCCTCAAGCTATCGGAGACCAACAGGGGGGTTCGGGTCGTCTACGCATCCAGCCAAGCAGTGTACGGCACGCCGCTGCCGGGCGTCATCACAGACGCTGTAACGCCGACGCCTGCCGGTGTCTACGGAACGCACAAGCTAATGACCGAGATCTTTATCAACGACCTACACCGTCGAGGCCTGATTGACGCGTTCTCGCTGCGCTTCCCTACCGTCTCCGTCCGCGCGGGCAAGCCGACCCAGGCGGCTAGCTCGTTCCTGTCGGGCATTATCCGCGAGCCCATGAACGACGAGGAGTGCGTGGTCCCCATCAAGGACCGGAGCTACCGCGCCGTGCTGTCCGGGCCCGGGACCCTGACTGAGAACCTGCTGCGGGTCTTGAAGCTCCCTAGCGACGCCCTACCGCCTCATATTCGCTGGATAAACTTTCCTGGTATCTCTGTTACAGTGCAGGAACTGTTGGATTCGTTGGCAAAGGTTGGCGGGGAGGATCGGCTCAAGTATATCAAGGAGGAAACTGACGTCAACATGGAGAGGATCCTGAGGAGCTGGCCTTTGCAGGTCGATGACTCTGCCGCCGTCAAACTCGGATTAAAGCGAGATGAGAGTGCAGAGAGCCTTGTCAGGGAGTACGTTGAGTCGATTAGAAAGTAGGGTGGTTTCGTCTCGAATCTCTACAGTATACGATGCATGTGGCGCCTTCATACTGTGTAGTAAACACTCAAGACCCAGTGTTTAAAACAACAAAATGCCAATCACATTGTAGAGAGAATACAATACTTCTGTGGGCGCGTGGCCTCAGCCTCATGTCGCACAGACAGATTGGATAGTATTAAGAGCACGATTTAGGTAGAAAGTTTATATTGCGAACCCATTATGTACATCGAAGGGTGAAACTGCCCAGGTGGATTGCACATCTCTCTAACCTCCACCTACAAGCACTGGGAGTAGTAATTGTTAGCAGCCTTGCAACTTCCAGAGGAGCAGCATGTCGAGCCGGTCCAGCCTTGGCCCCCGCACTGGCCGTACAGAGAGGCACAGTTGGTCCCACCACCCGGGGCCGTTGGTGTCGTCCCCGGGGCCGTCGTGCTAGGAGAACCGCCTCCGCTACCACCGCCACTGCTGCTGAGCTTGCCCTTGACAAAAGCAAGGGCCTGTGACCCGTATACTGAGCCATAGCCATTGTGCGTGGCTGCGTTGTTACCGTTGCAGCAATAAGGGTCTGGGCCATCGCAGTAGCTCTGAACTTTTGCAGCGGACGGGCATTGAAAGCTTGCGGGGCGTGCATCAAACTGTCAGAGTTGTTAGTCCGTCGTATCCAAGAGCAGGCCATGAGCATAAATGGGTGTGAGTGGCTTACCCCTCCAGCTCTACAAGTTCCTACTCCATAGGACAGTCCGTACTGATACGTTGGAGCTCCCATCAAGATTGCTGCCTTGACTTGTCCGACTGCGCCAGCAGAGAACTGGACTGCGGTATTCGTATACCCTTGATTCGGGTCACCGCCTCCGCAGAAGGCAACATCAAAGATTTCAGCACCCTGTTCCACTACTCTTAGCATGAAGCTTGGGCTTACAACGGTGGGCGGCGTATGTGGTTTACCTGAGAGTATCCAGCCAAGACAATCTGAGTGTTTGGGCACCGCGTGTAGAAACTGTTGACGGCACTCGCCGCCGCCGCTATGCCCTGCTGGACAGAGCTGGAGTAGCTGGCGCCCCCGCACGAGGCCTGGCCACCACAGGCAGGGTAGTTGATAGCTTCGGCCGTTGAGCCCGGGTATGCTGAGAGGATCGAGTTTACGACTGATGCCGAGCTGCCATAGCCGGGACTCGCCGTGGTTTCTCGTGCCCCAAAGATGTGGATGCTTGGACAGGACTGGCGCTCTTCCAGCTTTTTCTCCCCCTCGATAGGTGAGGCACTGGTTAGGAGGCCATATGCAGCGAGAATGAGGTAAGTTATCTTCGGATTGGGCCACATCTTGAAGTGAATCCGCATGTACCAAAGACAACGTTTGTATTACTCGCTTCGGTAATCGGTGTGCAGTAGTCGGTATCTAGGTAGTGTTGTAAGGATATCTCCACGGGGATCTTCGGTGTTATATATCCTCGATTGGAATCCCCGGCCGACGAGCGTTTCTGGTATTGATTCAATTTTTCAAGAGACGGCTAGTGTTCCCGAACCGAATGTGTGAGCGCCCCAAGACGCCGACACCCCAGAGCCAACCTCGAAACAGGTGACATCGATATTGCCGTTCTGAACCCAGTGGAGCCTGACTACTTCTGCACCTCTGTGAAGAGTTCCATTGAACCGAAATACATGAGCCTGAATCTCAAGCTTGGTCTGTAGCCTTATCGTTTGCGGCGATATCATTCGCGTGGCTGGCAATGGAATATTGGTGTCTGCCGGCCAAGCGTTCACACGCACCATGTGCACAAGCTCGACGTGACAATGGCTGTGGGGCAATCAGGTGGCTTGCTAGAAGCATTCCGGCTCTTTTCGTTGAGACGTAAGGAGCAATTGGGAAATTGAAGAATTCGCAAGACAGCTTGCTGGCGCCTGACGAGACATCCATGTCGGCCGCGTGATAGGGCAACATGGAATTTAGGCTTAATTGCCCACTATAGGACTCGCTCGCGGGTAAGGCTCCGGCTACCCAATACGGAAGACTCAGTATTCAAATGTCCGAGCCTAGGCCCAAGACATGAACTCAAATTCGGGGCAGAATCCTCTAAAATCTTGGAAGAGCTCCGAATTGCAACTACGGCCGTAGACTTTTGTTGGCCGGCTAAACACCCGTACACGGCTAATTGCCTTTGCCAGTGTAGGTGTGACATGAAAACCGGATGCATATTATGCTACGGGGAGATGGCGGCCGCATACATCGACATGAGACGGTGGGACCCCCTGACTGCTGGCGCAAAGGATCGCTCGGCCAAAAGACCATAATAACCAATTCAACAATTAGTTACTCCAGCATTCTATAAGCCCATACCGTCACATGACACGCATTTGATCGTCTTACTGTGTGAAGCGGGTTATCCTGATTCGCTCCCATATAGCAAGACTATCTGATTGCTTATGAACATAAAAAAACAAAAGATCTGTCTGCCCCATGAATCGAACATGGGTCTCTTCGGACCTCTTGAGCCACAACGAAGTGTACTCACCACTATACTAGGCAGACAGAGATAAAAACGCACAATCTGCTCAAGTGCTATATAGGAATCAATGTAAGTGTGCGTGCATGGGTGCCTGGAGGCCCCAACTGGCTTCCTGCTTACCCTAGTCATCCAGTAATAGTCCAGTCGTCCACCCACTTTAGGACCTTAGCCTTCCTTATATAATCTCTTTAAACCTTCCTTTTTATATAAAAGAGAATAAGGATTTATAGGGTAAAAAGCTAAGGATATAAAGTAACTTTTTAATTTATATAACTTTTATGAATAATATATAAACTATTTACTTTTTTTAATTTTATTATTAAATTAAAAATAAATATTTAAATTTTAAAAAAATAAAATATAATATATCTTTTAAAGATTAATTTAATTAAGTTTATTATATAAAACTTTTATAATATCTTTATAATTAATTATAATATTATTTATTATTAAAAATACCTTTTTATATTAATATATTAAGTTATATTTAATTTATTTAAATTAATATTTTAAAAGTTAAAATTATTATAAATTATAAATTAATTTTAATATTATTAAATATTATATATAAGATTATTATATAACTTAAATAAATTAGTTAAAATAAATAAAAATAAGAATGGAAATTTGTATACCCTTAATTAGAAGGTGTGTACCTATCTACTGACTAAGAAGTATTCTATATAAGGCAACTTCTTCTTAAAAGGGCCGGCTAGGGTGAAGGGGGCGAGCCCCGGAGTGTGAAGTATAGTGGAGGGCTGTGAGTAGGGCTGGTAGGTACGACCTAAGTTCCTAGAGGACTAATCTACCCTGTTTATAGTCCCTTATTATAAAGAAGCCTTATTTGTTGAAGTTAGAAGTCGTGAAGACTTTGAGGTTCTGTGCTCTAATTGGTCGAATAGTAGGGAGGGTACGCACCTTCCGATTAAGGGTATATAAATTTCCGTTCTCATAAAAATAAAGCTATTACTCTTCTAATTAAAATTTTAACTCTATTTAAGTAAACACCTATTTAATAAATTTAAAAGACTATTAACTCCACTATTTTATAAGTAAAACTATTTAAAAGTAGTTACTTAACTTATTATACTATTAAACTAAAAGATAGTTAAATAAAGTAACTATACTTTATTATTACATATAGTATTTAATTATATTAATAGAGTTTAAGAATAAGTTTAAGAATTAATTTTAATAAAATATACTTACTTTAAGTTTATAATTTTAATAGTTTATAAATAAAAGAAGAAATAACTATTAATAATTAAATTTATAATTATATAAAGATAAATCTTTACTTTAAAAAAGTTATTAATATTTAAAATAATTAGTATATTTTTAAAAAGTTAAGAGATTATAAACTTAATTTAAAGGAAATTAAAATCTATAAAAGTTTTAAATATAAACTTAAAAGCTCTTCTTTAAATCTAACTCCTTTAAAGAGAAAATATTAAAAAGTTTAAAAAGCTTAAATAAAGTTAAATTAAATTATAATATAATGAAATAATAAAATAAGAATTAATTAAAAACTATAATTATAAATCTTTTAACTTTATATTTAAAAGTTATAAATAATATATATAAATATTAAATTTTAAAAGATTTTATATTATTTATTATTTTTTTATGTTTTTATTTTAAAAGTTAATATAATAAAAATTATTTTAATATTATTTATTTTAATATTATTTATTTTATTATGATTAAATAATAATATTAAATAATAATATTAAATAATATTAAATAATAATATTAAATAATATTAAATAATAATATTAAATAATAATATTAAATAATAATATTAAATAGTAATATATATATAATAAATATTAAATAAAATTATAAAATTATTATAAAAGTTTTATATAATAAATTAAACTTAATTAATTTTGAAAATATATTGTATTTTCTTCCTTTAAAACTTTAATACTTTATTTTTAATTTAATAATAAAATTAAAAAATATAAATAATTTATATAATTAATATTTAATATTTTAATTAATAATAAATATAAAAATTATATTAAATAAAAGTATTATTTTATCTATTATAATTCTATAAAATTCTTTATTAAAGTATTTAAAATAACCCCTTTAATAAAAAATAATAGATTTTAAAGAGGGTGGATAACTCTGTGATCCACTAACTTACTTAGACCTGGACAAAATGATTTGCAGGCCTAGGCAGCGGCTCCCCACCAAGTTTTCAATCGCTGGCATTGGGTGTCTAGAGACATCGCAATTGACTGTGTCCATTCCGGTTTGGCTCACGGCATTGGCATTCACTGCACGGCCAGGCCCCCTTTTTAAGACCGCTCGGCTGCAGGTTGCCGACTCCGAGGTTGAGATACAGCACCACACTTCATCATTGCCCCAGTATGTATCCACCTCCTTTCCACGTAATAAGGAATTATTATATGCCAGATATCGATGTTGTGGATATGTGGGAAGCATGTCGAATGAACCCGGTCATTTATACGTATTCTGCTATAGGATCTCGTAGGAATTGCGTTAAGAGGAATAGCCTTCAGCCCTCGGCACCTCTGTTTCAGGCTGGACGAGCTATCGATGATGCGCTTGGGGGGAGGGGTGCGGAGATTTTAAGGCATACAATGGGCGGCGCACGATCAAGGCAGGCCTGCAATAATTCAGTTAGATAACCGTATATTCGGAGCATTACTGCCAATAATATAGCAAAAAGAAAAGTCAATACCCCTAGTCGGAAGCTGAGCAGCCTTCAAACCATCCGGTTACAGATTGCGAATTCAGGGCCGCCTCGCGCGCATGCATGAACGATCTTCACGCACCTGGGGCAGCGGCGCCAAGTCACAGCGCCGAATCTGACGCCGGCTACATCCGGAGCTCTGGCCAGGTTGAGCATCCCTGGCCCTGCAACACCAAGGCAAGCTGTGTACATGTTCGGGCATCCACCGAGAGCGACACTCGTTTTTCTTTTGGGAGTGTATACCCCAAACTCAAAAAGGGTATTTTAATGTTCTGTGGAGGTGGCAGGTGCCCCGTTGGCTGGCCTGGATCCCCCTGGACCAGATAACTATCTTGTGGTTCACAAAGCCATCAACTGGCCCAGAGGTTCCTTGACATGTTCCTAAAACATTCACATGTCATATCATGTCCTTGAGCTGTACACACCCGCTGCTTCCTCTCTTTTCAAAAGCCTGGCAGCACTGGGCTACGGAAAGAACGTTGTCATGAAGCGCCTCGGGCTCCAGCATGGGACTGCCTTTTTGATGGCTTTTCTGACGATCCAGCACGCACGCGGAGCGCAACTGGGACATAGACAAAACCCTGGTTTTATCACTGCGTTGCCGACGGTTGCGGCAACTACATTTTCCACTTCTCCCGCATCCCCATCGGCAACCCTCGAGCCATTGCCAAATCCTCCTCAGCAGCCAGGTCCGATTTTCACGCCGAGTCTTTCGACTATCGACGTTGCCTCATCGCCAGCTCTGATTCCACCCGCAGTTCTACCTTCTTCGACGCAGATCTCGTCCACTACTCCAACGCCTACATCTTTCCGGCCTACAACGACTCGCACAACCCAGGCAGCAGCAGCGAGCGCGCTCGAGATTATAGATGATCATTACTTTGGCGGTATTCCGAAACCGAGCCCTGATGTGCCCATCAGCGGGGTTTTCATGGTGCTTTTCATCCTCGGGGCCCTCATCCATGGATTGATGTACTGGAGGAACATCAAGCAGCCGATCAGAGGGGGTAATGGAGATAGGCTGTCGGCGTTGATGATCTGCTTCTGCCTAGCTGAAGCTCTGGTCTGCGGTTTCCGTCTGGCCTGGGCCAGCACCGAAATGCAACCCGTGGTCGTCTTTTTCGCACTTGTCTCTGAAAGCGTTGGGTGAGTCTTCCGAGCATGTGCCGAGTTCTGAACGTGGTCTATACTTGGGTAGCATGATTGGCCTCTCAAGCTGACAGCGATATTCCACAGGAGCGTCAGTCTGTTCACAGTGAATTTTCTTTTGACCAATCGCCTCATACGCTTATTAGATCTGCGTTCCTCACTCTGGACAAGGTCCATTATTGCTTCTGTCGTGAAGTACGTTATGTTTGCGGCGTGCTCATTGGTCATACTCCTGCATGTCCTCGGAGCCGGTCTACATGAATTCAACAGGAACGCCGGAGGCATCGCACAATCAGGAGCAAGACTGCTACAGGCCAGCAACGGTCTTCTCATGATCACCGGCTTCATCTTTCTGGTTGTCGTCTTAGCAGCCAGTACTACCGAAAACCGCACGCGAGTGGAGAAGTTCACCGCCAGAACGACCGTATACTTCATCGGTGCTGGCGTACTGACGATGACGAGCCAAGCCACACGTTTCGCCTCGACATTCGCCATTTGGCAACCAGCGGATCAGACATCCATGGGCATACTATCTAAACCGGTCTACTACATTACAGGGTTCGGTATGAGCGTTTCAATCATCATTCTCTACGCGGCTTCGAGGATCGACTTGCTCTTTGGCAAGAGCTCAACCTCTAATGGACGTTCCTCACCCCGGCCATCACAAGGCGAGCAGCGGGTAAAACCAGTGACATTGAAACCTACCAGGGGATCACCGCTGCGTCTTAATCCTATCCTGACGCCTGCAGGCGATGACGGACGTTACCATAATTCCCAGGATTGGCCGGATACTCGAAGTCCTATGACGGCATCTAGTACTGGGACATTCACGCTGGAGAAGGAGGAAAAGGGATATGTCGGATTTGGGTGATTGTCTATTCATTGTTGGTCGTCGCTTGCACTGATCAACTGCAACCCCGTGCCGGACACCACAAACGTTTCCGGACATGTACAGGCCTTTGGGGAATGAAAGAAAAGCTGGCCCCCCTTCCAATAACCATCTTATTCATGCAGTCCTATTGTAGCAAGTCAAGAGAGGTGGAGTCTTTCGCTTATATCTTAGAGGGGACAGGAGCTTAATCACAATACCCAGAGCATCGCATTCTGAATACAAAACATCGTCAATATTGCAACCCTAGTTTAGGCGTGCATTCGCAGATTGTTGGAAGTTACAAAATGATTAATATTGTGACATACAATTGCAGCCGAAGGACGTCCCAATGGCGACGATAGAGGGCTCTGAGCCTTTGTCTCGCTTAAAGTCGCACGTGCGGTCGGTTGCTTTCACCAGCGCCTGCGACCGGAATGCTACGTGATGTAGGAACCCAGTCAATCAATGCATGATGTGCGGTGCATCACGTTGCCAGGCGTCACACTACCTCCGCGCCCGGAGTGTGGGACCCCCTGGGTTGCGACATATGGTTACATTAAACTTCTACTTAGCGGCAGGGGACCCGACAACCAGGTCTGCTCACGATCAATCGACCGTTTCGGGCAGCCATCGATCTGCCACCCGCAACTCTTTGACTTCTGGGTGACGTGATGGACAGAGGGCATCATTGGAGAGCCCAGGCTTGTGTCACCACCCCCTCCGCTTCCCGAAACGTTATGTTTCTTAACGATGACTCGGCCCTCTCGGCGTTGTGTTTCTCGGGTTTCGAAAACATCCCTGGGTGTGGGACCAAGTAGAGCAAATCTCTGGTGGTGAGGTCTTGATCGCGTCGATCTGAGACTGGCAAGGCCCCTGCAGCAGTACAACATGTAGTTGACCCCGTGTTTGCAGTTTACCTGCGGCACCTGGGACACTCGAAGATTCGCCAAGGCAACTTAGAGCCGCATGGTCGCAACAAGCATGCACCGGCCAGGCTATCAATCCGAGCCCGTATATCGTTATTTATATAAAATATGATATTTGGCAGGCTACATCTCCGCTTTGTTTCCTAGTCGGGACTCGGATCCCTCCGAGATCGCGGGCACGTGCAGGTGACGGGATCTCGTCACATCACAGTCCACTTTTGTCGTCTCGCCTGATAATACATCCATGGCTTTTGCTCAACAACCAGACGGACGTGCAGGTGGGCGGTTTCCTCTTTGGGTTGTGTTCTGCGAGTAGGGTCTAGTCCATCAAATCTTTTCAGACAGAGACCAAGCCCGCTGTTCGTCCTGCATGTCTGACTGTCGTTTGGACAAACAGTGTTTCACGGCAAGTAGACAGACGCAGTGCCTACCTTGTGTTAGCATGCAGATATCCTCTTCTGGGCCCCGTGGCTTTGAGACTTATAACGGTCACGCTAGAACCAAGGTCTTCTCATCATCGTGATAATGTCGTGTGTGTAGGCGTGCGTTTACCCACAAATGCCCTCCCAAGAGTTCCAGCCCAAATGTTCCTCAACAAATTCGTGCTGCTCGTCGGAACAAGCTGTTGCAGCTTGGTAGCGGCGGCGGGCGCTGGGCAATATATGAGACGAGACTTGGGGTCGATCCAAGGTGCCCTAGCAGGCGTCAACACCGCGCTCGCAAGACTCGACAGCGCCATTCTCAAGAATCCAGCGGACCCAAAGGTCCTCTTCACCAGCATTAGTGTCCTCGAGTCCATCCAGCAGGCGACAGACTCCATAAACGCCTCCCAGCCCCTAGGGTCAGATGATACATCCAACCTCAAGGCCACGACCGACAGCCTCGTGTCAAACGTCAACCTCACAGTGACGGACCTAATCAAGCAAAAGCCTGTCTTCGACCGTCTCAAGCTGGACAAGGTCGTCCTACTCCAGGTCCAGAATATTCAAGGCGCCGCGCTGGTCCTCGCGTCCACCCTCGCCAGCAAGGTCGACCCGACGGCGTCCGCCCTTGCCCTTGACGGCATCAGCGCCCTCAACGCGGCGCTTCAGCGGGGCATCGAGGTGTACTCGGGCACCGCTGCAGGTCCCACGGTGTCGCCTGGGCCGGCTGCTGCTCCTCCGGCACCAAACCCTGTCCCGCTGGTCTCTGTGCCCTCGAGTTCACCGTCACCGAATCCCCGGCCGTCGAACTCACAACCATCCGATCCTCAAGCATCGGACCTCTTGCCGCCAAGCTCGCCATCGAGTGTTCCACAACCAAATCCGCCCACAGGAAGTATTGGTCCGGGGCCATGGACGATGACTATGCCTATCCCTGGCACGTTTGAGGCCGGTTCGACTTGTATATGCATGTGCCCTCCGGTAGCAGCTTGCGGGACATCATGAGCAGTAGATGTAGCTAGAACTGATCGGCAGCAGGGGCGCTGATTTTGGGCTGTGTTGACCGCGAGGCGTATTTGCTGAGAGCAGCTTACCACATACGCCATTCAAGATAAGGCCCAGGGCGTTCTCTGGTCTCTTAGTAATGAATTTGAATTGAATTGAGTTAGGCCATTCCACGAGGTGCTGATCAACATTGTAATCGGGACTTTGGCGGTCCACTGGCTATTGTGGCACGGGTTCCTCATCGTCAGACTCTGTCGCGCCGTATATGTCACCAAATTTCTCCTTCAAGAAGGCCGCCACTTCAGGGTTCACCATCAACTTATTCCGCAGAAAGTCACCATCGCCCTCGATTTTCAAACCATTGAGACCTGTCGCCCTCGACAGCGCGACATATACTTGACCATCCTCGAATGCCTTGCTGAGGTTCACGATGCAGCGGTCGAGTGTGAGGCTTTGAGATTTGTGGATGGTCATAGCCCCTTTCAGTGACGTTAGCCCTGCTACGCATCCTAAGAGTGTTGCATTCCAAGACGTAAAAGATGGGGGCGGGTTGGTAAAAGAAGAAGAGTGGTACTGACAAGCAGGTGCCAGCGGGATCTGCGTGCGGACCAGCAGGCTATATGGCTCCTCGTCCCCGAGCTGGCTGATGCTGCACTCGGCGTACACGGTGCGCCTGATGCCATTGTGAAACCGCACCACGGGCCATTTCTTGACAGGCGCAGATTCGGTCAATATGAAGTCCTTGATCTCGCTCTCCTGGACGGCGGCGTGTTCGCCCCTGAGGACCCTCTGGCCCGGCTGTGGCTCGACCTTCTTTCTTCCGCGGGCGTTGGTTATCTCCTTCATCGGCATCATCTTGGGGTCGTAGTCCTCGAAGCTACAGATGACGCCCTGGGAGCCGTTGCAAAGACCGGCCTCAAGATCAAGATTCGTGAGGAGGACCACCAACATTCCTCTCTTGAGCTCGACGCACTTGGCCCAGCGATGATCTTCTAGTGCGTACAGGGGCCGCTTCGTCTCTGGAGGAGACGCCACCTCCGACTCACTGTGCCATTCACCACGCACGCCCTTCCGCTGGAGATGAGGATGGCACTCGCGCAGGAAGAAATTGTCATGGCACCAGTAGGCGTATTTGACACCCTTCAGCTGGTTGAACGCCGCGCGATTGACGTCTGAAGCTTCCTTGCGGGTCGAATACAGCTTGGTGGCCTGGGAGACTCGACATTGGTGGTTCATGAGGAGCGATATTTCCGACTCATTCATCCGGTGTCCCAAACGACACTTTTGCAGCATTCTGATGAACGTTTGGTCATTTTGACGATGTATCGTCTTCAAATGAAAATGCACAAAGTTGCATTCGCCCCAGGCATTGCTCCTAAAAGCCCATTTGTCCTCGTCAGCGTATTCTCCGTGGAGCCTACAGGCATGGACCAGCTTTCCAATTTCGTTGACCTTCGTAGTCAGCTCTCTGCCGCAATCGAGGCAGTGTTGGAATGGCTTCACGGGCGGCAATTGGCAGAAGTCCCCAGTAACAACAATCTGACACCCTCCGAAGGCGGGCTGCACGGCCAATGTGGGATCATGCCGGGCGGTCTTCATGAGAATGTTGAGTCTTTCGAGATGCAAGTTTTCAACCATACTAATCTCATCAATGACCAAGACATCCTAAGTGAATACCAAGTTAGTCCTGCTGCGGATCCTGAAGCATTGCATGTTGGAGCACCACTGCTTACAGTTTCTGAGAGTCGCCTGTATACATTCTTACCATGCGCCCCCTGCTTTATTTTGTCGATGGGGAGTTTGTGCGAACTGGGTGTCCAGCCTGCAAATGTCCAGGTTGTAGAACCGCCGACATTTAATGCTGCTCTGCCAGTGGGAGCAACAATGCGTACTTTCTTTCCACTGTCCCGTAGTCGCCTGACAAACGCCTTTAGGACCGTAGACTTGCCGCAGCCGGCAGAGCCAGTGTAGAAGACATTATTGCCCTGCTCGATCAAGGAGACCAACTCGGCTTGTTCAGGACATAATTTGGGCTCGTCCCGGGCAGGCTCGGGCTGTGACTCCCTGCCCGGCTCTGATTTCTTGTCTTGAGGCCGAACGGATGGACCGGGTTTGCTGGATCCTCGGGCAGCCCCATTGGAAAATCCTGCTTTTGGATCGTAGCCTGAGGTCATATGTCGACCATATCCGGCTTGGTGTGAGACCGTGTTTTCCTTATCGTCGATGCCAAACTGTGGCTGAAAATACATGCCTCCCCCTTGGAATTTCTGTGTCTGGGTGGAAGCAGCAGGGACATGGACTGGCTGGACCGGGGAGTCATCTAACAAGATGGGCCGGTCTGCTGTCCCGGTGGCTGCGGCATGATGCACTTGGGAGGCGTGACCAACGAACGGTTGCGTCTGTGTTGGCACACCGTAGGCATGGTTTTGCTGCCAGGACCATTGATGCTCGTGAGGCTGGAAAACGGGCCGTCCCCTGTGGTAGTTGTGGTAGTGGTGGTAGTAGTTTTGGACCAAGGGGTTGACTGGGGATGGGTCAAGACTGCCGTGATTCATCCAGTGTTGCCCCCCCTGGGCATAGGCAAGAGAAGGCGCTGGGTTGGCCCAGGCCGGCTGAGGTGGGCGAGACGCCCAGTTGTGTTGGCTCTCCGATGCCGATGCCGATGTCGTGGTTGAGGCTGCGACAGGAGTCTGGCGGCGGCCAGTGGCAGCATTCTCTTTTGGCCCATCTGCAGCAACCTTGGCCCGGTGATACAGCAAGGTGAAGTCGGCCAAGGACCGCCGTCCGTGGGGTTTTACATGAAGCTCACGGGCGCGGCCTGGAGTGAAGACATGGCCTTGTTGAGGATCAGGGCCATTGGATGCACCGCCCACAGGAGGGCCTCTGCGTCGCCGCTTGGGTGGAGGCTCAGAAGACGCGGGCCACGCAGGCTGCACAGGCTGTACAGGCTGCACAGGCTGCACAGGAGCAGACCGAGTTGGCGACGACGAGGGCGGTGTTACTTGAGATGCCATGCTGAGTCAGGGTCCACCGAGCTGGGAGAATATATATGGACGACGCTAATAACAAGAGGCGAGCAAGAAGGACACGAGGTCGTCGCTGCTGCGAGTGCAGAGCGGTAAGACGCGTCGAGACGCGCTGGGCAATACCATCACCCCATACCTACAGATGTACAGTACTACAGTACCTAGATACCTACCTAGGTACCTGGGTACTCCGTGGACCCTATCCCGAGACCTCTGCTCGTTGTCGCCAACTTACTACGTACTTAAGTACCTAGGTACCTAGCAAGCCTAGGTACGTACTTAAGTACCTAGGTACCTAGCAAGCCTAGGTACGTACCTAGGAGCTGTGTCTACGCGATTCAGACAAGAACATTTCAAGTCACGACATTCTATCTGGAGGAACTACACTATGGGGCCACTCGCCGCTACTCCGTACCTCGTTGTCTGGCTGACTGATGCACACTGACGCTCAGCAGTGAGCCGGATCTCTTATCCAAGCGAGGGACTCGGATAGATCCAGATTCCAGGCCGATTTGCCGGCAAGCAACCGTGTCCAATGGCGACATCCCGAAATTTTCAGCAGCATGGATCCCCCCCCCCTCTCCCCTCGCCTCCCTGCCATTATCAATCGCCCCTCTCGGTGCTGACGGAATCGGGGGTTGTGGTTGACTGTGCTTACACAAGCATACCGAGTACAGCGTGCAGCGCCCACGCCTCAACAACGAGGATATGTTCCTGCCAGTCCCTCAGTCCCTGCCAGTCCCTGCCAGTGCATGCCTGCATGGCTCGAACATGCATTGAAGTCTGAACCGCCATGGACGCCAAAGCCCACAGCAACAGCCCCGTCTCCCGAGCTGCCCTGGCCGAGCCCCAGTCCTCGGCCTCGACCATCAGCGATGGCGGCGTTCTCATCGACGACCAGCATCAGCCCCCCGAGCTGGACAGGCGCATCGTGCGCAGGATCGACCTGAGGCTGTGCACCATCGCCGGCATCCTGTGTGCCCTCGACCTCATCGACTCGGGCATCATGTCCAGTGCCTCGGCCACCTCCATGCCCCAGGACATCGGCCTTGTCGGCGGCCGCTACTCGACAGCCGTGTGGATCGTCACCCTGGCCCAGGTCGTCTTCAAGCTGCCGGCCACGATAGCCATGCGCTTTGTCGGCCCGCCCATCTTCTTCACCCTGGCCACCGTCCTGTTTGGCCTCATCACCCTCTGCATGGCGTATGTTGCAGACTGGAAACAGATGATCGCTCTGCGGTTCCTGATGGGCCTGGCCATGTCCGGCATCTACCCCGGCCTGGCATATCTCATCTCCTCGTGGTACCCGCGCAAGGAGCAGCAGCTCCGCTTCGCCTACCTCCAGTCTGGCCAGGTCATCATCGTGGCCACCGGCAGCATCGTCAACTACGGCCTCAACTTCCTGGATCATTCCCACGGCCTGAGAGGGTGTAAGCATCACCTTTCACCCGTCATGTATGGGGCCCCGTTTTTCACGTATTGCAGGACTAACGTCACCATCAGGGCAGTGGATGTTTGTGGTACAAGGCGGCATCACTATGTTCATTGGAGTTGTGGCATACCTCTGGGTCCCGCATTTTCCAGACAAGGTCGCCAAGACGCGATGGTTCCTCACCCAGGCCGAAGTGGACCAAGTCATGGCGGCTCTAAACAGCGAAAGCAAAGATGCTGGCCCCCCTGAGCCTTTTACAGTCTCAGCCATCCTCCTGCCTTTTTTAGACGTCAAGATATATGCCTTCAGCATCTTGTTCTTCCTCCAGAACGTCGTGTCAACCGCCCTGTCCTATTTCATCCCCCAGATTCTCATTGGGATGGGATTCACTTCGGACACTTCCATCTTGCTGTACGCGCCGCCGTACTACTACGCAGTCATACCAGTCATCATAACCTCCTTCGTCGCCGATCGCATGGCCCTGCGAGGTCCGATCATCGTCTTCAACGCCGTGTGTCTCATCGTGGGCATGTGCATGCTCGGATTCCCCAGCAATGTTGCCGTGCGCTACGTCGGTGTCCTGTTTGCCACGGGCGCCTATGTCTCGAACTGGGCCGCAATGAATGCATATCAGATGAATAACGTCACTGGCCAGTGGAAACGTGCCACGGTGGCTGCCACAGTCAGTGGCTGCAATGCACTCGGCGGGATTGCGGGGTCGTATATATTCAGGCCCGCCGAGGCCCCGTGGTACCCGACTGCCATTTGGATTAGTATCGGCAGCCATATTCTGATCATCGCCATCATCGCATTATGCGGTGGGTTGTTCTGGAGGGCCAATAGAAGAGCTGGGGCTGGAAAGGGCGTCATTGAGGGCGTCGATGGCTTTAGATATATATATTAAACCATCAATGCGCAGGGCCGGCGAGTTGGGCCATCAAACCTCACAGCTCCAAGTCGACTGGTATTATCGGTTATTTACATCAAAACAAATGCCCACGGTGCTAATGTGTGCCGTAAATATCCCGTCAGGCTCGGTTTGCACCACGCGGTTGCTGCATGTGATGGATGAATGAGCCTTGATGTTTGACTCGCTCCCCGCGAACCACGGTCCACGGCAAACGCCCACTGCAGCTTCTTCTCACGATCAGCAGAACTTATCTCGTCTCGGCCCTCGCTGGTATTGTCACAGCAGGGTCTTGTTCCGTCTGGCCAGCACTGAAAATTCCAGCCGCCCACCGCTTCGATCTCTAGATGGAAGTCCGATGCTAACAACAAGCATCCGCGTGCCTCATTTGCATTTTGGTACTACTCCCCCCTTGAATCACGCGGAGTGCTGTCAGTCGCCGAATATGGACCGCCTACATCTGCCCTTTTACGAGTCGAGGTTCCTTGCACACCTGGGCAGCCGATTACGATCTAAACCGCCGCGGCTGGACGGTCATATGGTCACGTGTGGTATCCTGTATCTGGACGAGAATGGCGTGAAGCTAGCCAATGCTCAGCTGGAAGACTGCATCGGGACCGGGCTATATCTTGGATTTCATCACGAGCTTTTTATCGACTTTGCCGACGTCAAATCATCTGTAAGTTGTAGAAAACAGCCAGGGCAAGTCTGTGGTGACGACAGCCCCTCTATGTGATTGTTTGGTGACCCTCTTTAAGTGTTGGAATGGCGATGCACTATATATCATGGGCCGAAGAAAAAGAAGGGTTACGGGGTATCACCAAATTGGGCTTCTTTGTAGATTAGTCAACTCCGTCGTGGCAAGGCCCCTGGAGTACAACTCCAAAATACACCTTTATGAAGACCGCATGGGAACACACACCGTGAAATACGTTTCAGACAGAAGCGTATAGCCTTTGCGGACACACAGGAGTGTAGGAAATGCCGCTCTCAAAACAAAATCGCTGTATCGAACAAAGGAAATAGACAACCGGATCTGGCTGTCCATCGCTATCCTGAGCGCGACAATGACCCGAATACGTTCAGACCACTTCACAAAAGACGAGGATGAGGAACTTTGTGACGATACTGTCACGTGGAGGGCCCGTGGAAACCCAACATTTGGTCAGCATCTAGTCGAAGATACAGCTAAAGTCGCCTGGTGACTATTCGATGTCGCAGAATCGACAAGATGGTGACCTCCAGATGTCGGCAATACTAGTTTATTAGTACTTGTGTCACCTGCCGCCTCTGAGGCCAGATATGGACCACTGGACGTGCACAAATGACATGTGTACATCCATGACAATTGACGCCTCGCATCGAAAGAAGCATGTTCCAGAGAATCACTAACATCAGTAGACACATGTGGCTCTCGAATATGGTAGACGATTATGTTACTACGGACATTCGGGGGCACGGGGATGGTGGCCTCATCCCCAAGCTGCTTGAAAATCCTGGGCAGAAACGCGAGACGTCTACTGGCTCCACGGAAAGAGGAGGACTTAGAGGCGGGCGTCAAGCGCCTAGAACGGCTGCAACGACTTCGACCCATGGCCACGAAAGCGACGAGGACGGATTGTTTGCCCTGAATCTGGACCACCCAAGCCTTAAAGAATCATCAAAATAAATGCCGAGCAATCAAACACAGGAACCCATGTGGACACTTTCGACTAAGTCCAAGAAGACTCTGAGTCCGATTAGCAAAGTCTAGAACCAAACGATTCTGGCACCCAGACAGATAAGATTGACCACGAAGACGGTTAGAGGCTACAAAGAGACTCCAAATACATGTGTGCTCAAGGAATCGAGTCGGGAACAATCCGAGAGGTTCGACAACATGTCCACCCGACTTAATGGATGTGCACTCAACATTATACTAGCAGTACTAGGTGCCAACCAGCGCAGAGACGAGGAGCAAAGCCACGAAGACTTTGCAAAGTCTGCGGCATTCCAGCTACAAATGACAAAACGCAGTAACTACATTGAAACGGCTGAAAGGGGAGACTTGGTGGATCATTGATTAACGGTCCCCTGAGGAGTCATTTCGGGGCAGTCACGAGCTTCTTGTCATCATCTGCTAGACAGCTGCACTCGATACCTAGGTACGAACGCGGGATCTCCAGGGCGACATGGCAACCTGTAGACGACTATCTCCCAAACCTCTCTTGGATCTCGGCAGGGACCAAGCTCGTATTGATACTTTCCGGCCGCAACCTTGGGTGGAAGTTACCGTACCGAAATTAACATGAAGCCTCGTGCTCAAGTGCCCCTATATTGATCTCGCATTATCTGTTCCAAGGTTCTTGGCTATGTACGTAGCCGTTCTGACAACACCTAATTACTATTGAATGAATTCGAATCAAGCTTTTCTGCATGCTCCACAGGTAGTCTATGCACATCAGCGATGGGCCAGTGAAATTTCAATTTTCAAAATATTTCAGTCAGCCAGCCAGATTTCATTTCACCAGGTTGGGTGGGTCTGAAAGATTATGTGGGTACCTTACTTTTATGGGGTACCTCCTATTCTGGTGTATCCCCCATATGGTTTTATGTATCTTCTAAATCTCTAAGACCTGGTGGACTTAAGGATCCTATAAACCCTAACCCTTATCCTACCCACCCTCATCCTTATCAAAGTACCCATATTAATACCTAATTAGGACTAGCTTGAATTTCAATTTCATTCACCAGACCTCGTGAAATTTCGATTTCCTTGCAGAGAGGTCGGTGGGCCTGAAATTTTGCCATCGCTGATGCACATGTGTTCTGCTTCAAATGTTAAGCTGACCAGCATGAGATCGATTGATTTTTTGCGCCCCTGGAGACCTCGGAAACATAAACAAGCTCGCCCTAAAATCATGCACGGCAAACTTTGGATGAACCCAACTCTAATTATCCAGGGGTTAACCGTCTTTTTGCCCTCATCGCCCTGGAACGCCGGTCTGTAAGCTCGAAACAAAGCTCGAAAAGGTTTTGCCGAACAGACAGAAACAAAGCACATCTAATGTGGACCCCGTCAGTTGTGTCAAGTATAGACGCCTACGGCCCTCCGCCTTGGCCCCGGGGTTTATCCACCAAACAGGCGACGGAAGGCCAAGCGCGTGGGTTCATTCGTGGCTTCCAGCCCATGCCAAGACCCATTAGCTACATCTGTTAGCCTGATGGGCCCTTGTACAACTATGCACTCCGCCGTCGACGCTATAGTAGCACCCGAGCCTCGGCATGAGAGTCAATTCTGTCTTAAGTAACAGATGAACAACTCTCGCTGGCCAGCCTCCGTTTTGTAAATGAGTTATACATAGACACATTATCTCCGGGAAACCCGTCCACCAATGACCCGCCCTGGGCGACGAGCCCATGCGGAGCCACGGCACCGCGAGAGCCTCCATCCGCCCTGCGGCGCGTGCTCTGGTTCCCCTATCACTATATAGATACTTCTGATGTCCTAGCCTGTCCATACCTCCAATCCTGTGAGCCCTCACTCTCTTGACATCGCGGCGTATTAGTCTCTAATCTTTCCACACCATGAAGTCACTCTTTGCATTGCTCTCATGCGCCACCACGGCCTTGGCCGCCAGCCGCACCTCTGCGCCGGCAGGATGCATCACAGCTGGCTCCGGAAGTAGTTACAGCACCATTCAAGCGGCCGTCAACTCACTGTCAACGTCGGCCTCGGGAACACAGTGTATTTTTATCAAGCCTGGAACCTACAAGGAGCAAGTCCTCGTTCCTGCTCGCAGCGCCCAGCTCACAATCTACGGGTCCACCACGGACACCACTGGCTATGCGGCCAACTCGGTCACCATCACCGGCTCCAAGAGCCAGGCCGATGGCCTGAGCAACGACGAGACGGCCACGCTCCGGGTCAAGGCGGCCAATTTCAAGCTGTACAATGTCAACGTCGCCAACACCTACGGCAAAGGCTCCCAGGCCGTCGCGCTCTCTGCATATGCGGACTCGGGCTACTACGGCAACGCCTTCACGGGCTTTCAGGACACCCTGCTCGCAAACACGGGCAAGCAGCTGTACGCTGGAAATCTCATCCAGGGCGCGACAGACTTCATTTTCGGCCAGAACGCGCCTGCGTGGTTCGAGAAGAACGACATCAGGGTGGTCTCGGCTAGCCTTGGGTACATCACGGGTAAGCCTAATCTTTACTAAGACCTGGTATCAGAGTGTTCAAACAACCTTGGAAGGCCGTGATGAAACTAACGCGCGTCTCGCCCAGCAAACGGCCGGTCCTCCTCGAGCGGCACATCGTACTACGTCTTCAACAACTGCGACGTCGCCGCTGCGTCAGGAAACAGCGTCAGCAGCGGCGCATACTACCTCGGAAGGCCGTGGGGCGAGTACGCGCGCGTGGTCTTCCAGAAGACCTCGATGAGCGCCGTTATCAATAGCGCGGGGTGGCGCGTCTGGAACACGGGCGATGAGCGTACCGACCATATTACCTTTGGAGAATATGGGAACACCGGGACGGGAGCCTCCGGCACTAGGGCTAGTTTCTCGACCAAACTAAGCTCCCCCGTGGCGATTTCGGCTGTTCTGGGCAGCAACTACGCTTCTCTGGGTTTCTATGATGCGGCGTATATGTGAGGGCCAAAGGTGGCCTCGTAGCTGCTGCAGATGGTGATGAGTTGATATGGGTACTGTCGAGCTATTACCGCTTGGAAATACGGCGCGACTTCCTTCACTTCTTTCAATGTTGGACTGCGCTGAATGTCCGGAACTCAAAGTCACCACTAGGTCCACATCCGCTCAGGCACCCCGTAGTTAAGCACATATGTATATACGCAGTAACAATTAACCAAGCATACCGGCTCCATTTAGCCCAGTTGAATTCTAGGCTATTGAAGAGGCTAGGACCACCATCCCAGCCGATTGGCCGGGCTTACCATTAGTTAAATCGCGCTTACCACCATATGAAGGCGCCATGTATGTCCTCGGACGTATACGGAATAGAAGCGAAACCACACACACACAAGATACATATTCCACACTAACTAGGTAAGCTGTATGTTTCAATGCCCTGAAAACACAATCCATTCCGTACACAGCTGTGATTTTATCCATCCCGGGGTCTGCTGGATACACCACTTCCCAACCCGTATACACAATAGCTATATAAAATGCAACTCCCGCGTGTAACATGCGCCCGGCTCGCTTCAAATCCGCGAGTAACACGTAGAGTAGTTCAAAGAGACCTTGGTGCTGATGTCCTCCTTCGGGCCCGGGTCTATGCCCTTAAGCACCTCGATGCAGTGGTCGGTGTGATGGTACTCGAGCAGCCGACCGGGCACCCCCATACTAGTGTTGCGCAGTATCCTCGTCATCATTTTCCAAATGAACTGGCAGTGGTCTAGTGGTGAAGTTAGTCCTGCTATGGGTCCTAAAGTGTTGTATCCTAGAACATTCCAAAACATGAAAGACGGGGGTCTGTAAAAGGTGTGAAAAGTGATGCTTACAGTCATGATAGTCCCACGAGAGCCACATGGCCTCCTCGATGCCCAGCGCAGCGCGGTCCTGTGAGATCTTCTCGCCGCCGACGCCGCCCCGCTCCCGCCACCACTCCGACTCGCGCTCCCGGTAGGCGACCTGGATCTCGTGATCGTAGCACGGCTCGGGCACCCACGAGTACAGAACCAGGTCAAACTTGCAGCCCAGGTCGCGCGCCTCCCTTGGCGACGAGCCGCAGTTGGGCCCGTTCTCCCTCGGCTCCTCGCCCAGCTTCAGTGGGATGTCCAGCTGCCAGTTGTGGTAGAGGGTGGTGGGCCTAATGGCGGCCATCCTGACGCTGGCTGTTATACTGAGGACGACGAGTGAGAAGGCTACGCCGGCGAACATGCAGCATAGTGTGTACAGGATGTCGAATCGCCTTGAGGCAGGCTTGATGATTGGCCGTCTGGTCTCATCGCTCTCGAAAGAGGAAGAGTTGTCCTTGTAGGCCAGGAGCCCTTCCTCGACAAAGTCGTCATCTTTCATTGAAGCCATGTCGAATGGGCTGATGTTTCTGCCGTGGTTCGTGAGTATGCTATGTCTCAAGTTGTTCGGGGTATTGTGTTTGCAGTTCCAATGCATACCAGATGACCTAGACCGCGTTTGGGGAGGAGGCTCACACTGGCCGGGACAGTAGGCGTGACTAAAAGATCCCCTTGAAGTGAAATAGATACAAGGTGGTTCCAGCAAAGAACGTGATGGCGACTTGCTTGACGGGTGCGCTCTTTTCACGTATCCTATATCTTGTAAATGGTGTCTCCATCCCGGAATCTTACTCCTCCCAAGTCACGCCGTTACGCTTCCATCTCAGGCCGCGTGATCCGTACATCAGTTCATATTCCCTTCCAGAAAAGTCCTGATTGACTCGGATCAACGCGAGCCCAGAAGTCTGTTGATGTTTTCCGTCAAGTCCGAGAAAACACCTGAGCATGTCGGTCGAGCCCACTTACACAAACCCGAATCTAGAACCGATGGCGCTAACGGACTTGTTCCGTCTGAGAACCGACGGCGCTACTGTGTAACGACGGCTTGGCAGCGTGGTCGATTCCCCCATCAGAGGAATTCCGAATGCGCCTTGTCATGCGGCTGGGTGGGGCGGGGGGCTGTCCGGAGTCGGCCTCATTAGGACGGGACTTGCCGCCGGCCGGTGATAATGAGTGCGGCCGAATATGGGACTGAATGAAAGTCGACGATTCCGTTGTCCTCTGCACCCTTGCAACTCGTGGCGACACCACTATGCTCTTTGCTGCCTTGGTTTACTGCCGTGTAATGTGGCCACTGCCCAGGCCGTATTCAAGTACCATCAAACAGGCTTTGTGGAAATTTTGTGGAATGAGAACACGAGTCACCGTTAAGGTAGCAAAGTCCACGAGCAGCGTCCAGTGCTTCGATCTGATGCTCTATATTCATAGGATGGCGGTGGACATTACAGAAAATTACTGAACATGTTGAAAGCATTTTGCGATAGACATGCTGTGCTGTGCTGTGCTGCCAAGTGTCTCTACTAGTAGTCCATAGCCCCAAATGACCGACTCTTGGGAATTTCCACCCGTAGAACTTGCTCAACCTTTAGCAGGTCATGAGCTCAACCGTGATCTTCGTCAACAAGTCATCCATATCTCCTTGCTGCATCTGAACGTAACCACAGTGCATCGTGTGGTGGTAGTCAGCCAGCTTGTTCTCGATCTTGGTACCCCTCTCCATCGCCCGATGCATCTTGCGCCACTGGTAAGAGCAGTGCGTCTTGTGGTACCTGAGCGACGTATAATACTCGTTGCCCTTTCCGACGCGGTACTGCAACTCCTCCTCGACCAGCTCTTGTGTTCCCTCTCTGTCTGCAAAATACCTCCACGGCCCCTGGGCTCGGAAGTCCTCGGTGAGCTCCTGATCGATGCACGCAGGCGGCAGCCAGGCTGCTGCCAGCAAATCCCAATGGCAACTCAATGCCTGAGCTTCCTCAAGGGTGCTTCCACAGGTGGCCACGTTGTCGTTATCATCTGACTCTGGATGAGAGGAGTGCTCAGAGCTGCTGGATGGGCCCAGGTGCTCGAAGAGATGCGAGTCCGAGCCGCCATGTGCTGGGTGAACGGAGTGGTCGTCGTGGGAGTGGTCGTATGCTGCCATTTGGATTGCTTGGTCTTGAATCCGGGCTGGCCACCAGATGATGCCGACGATGCACACCGCCGTCAACCCAGTAACAACAATTCCCAAGATCAGAGATCGGGTCCTAGTCCCCCGAGAAACACTCTGGCCCTTATCTTCCCGTGAGAATCCATCAGGTGACTCCTCATCCCTGACTCCAACCTTCTCATAACTTCGCTCAGGCTTCCACTTCTGCATGACGAGCTGCTTGAGAAGGGGGAAGGATGTGTTTGCCTCCGACATATGGTAGTTGAATGTTGTGAAGTATGTTCTGTCCTTGTGTTAGCCACGCAATTCCAATACATGTTCGAAGCAGGAGCTCACCTTCATCAACGAGGGGGGGGGTGGGGTAAATCGTGAAGGAACATTGAATGACAGGTTTCTTGGGCCTCAACGGGCTTTGTCAATACTTGTAACTTAATTCTGGCTACTTCTGGTACAACAAGGCTCCAATCACATTGATAAAGCTGGCATCAACCAGAACGTGCCGTAGCGTCCGAGGGCCATTACGGATCTGCGAAAAGTGGGTTTCATCAAACCCGCGCGAAGAGTTCCGAGTCCCACTCTCGATTGAGATATTACATGGATCTGACCGCGTTTACTGCATTACCGAATCCAGAAACCCGCTGGAGTTGCAGGTGTTTTGAAATCCGAGCGTACCCAGGTAGGATTTCCGAGCTGATGTGGGGGGTGCTGCAAGTTGGTTCCGAGAGCGATGTACACATACAGACAGACAGCTACGGTTGACGCCCCGCGAAGCGACAGTGGAAGGATGTGGGACCAAGCTGACGTGGTGCACAAGCAACAAGCAAAAGACACATTTCGGAATATCAGATTTGGGACCAAGTAGGCCGCAATACTCTTGATTCGGTGAATACTGGTGCTCTGGAGTTGATTTCCACTGCCAGTTTGATTTACAATTCGAGACGGCACAAAACACACACTAAGCAGCGTCTGCCTGTCTTCTCCTGCGCATATCAAAATTTGGTCGCAGTTTACTCACCAGAATACGGTCTCTTTCTCTCGGATGACGTTGCTTTTGGACACCTCGCCCTTTAGAGGGATGAGGAAGATATTGTTCTTTCTAGCCCTTACAGGGGGCCTTGGAGGGTAGGTGAGCCTCTTGCTGCTCTTCCACAGCCTGTCTACTTACGAAGGAAAATGTAGTCTGCAAGGCGTGTTCTCAGTTCAAACGGCCATGGGTTCAGTAAGTCTGTTCATGTAATATTCTTCTCACCAACCCGACGTAACCCTAACTGTAACAAAAAGCCGTACCTCATGTCACTGGGATTCAGCAAACCGGTGATCCCCTTCGTCTGGCTTGCCGGACCGCTTGCCGGCGTGGTTGGGCAACCATATTTTGGTCTGTGCAGCGACCAATGCCGAATCCGCTGGGGTAGACGAAAGGCGTTCATTGCGGGAGGCGCCTTGGTCATCTTAATTTCCCTGCCTGCGCTGGCGTGGACGGAAGAAATTGTACACACGCTTGCGTGGATTGCCAGTGAACGGCTTGACTATCATGTCCTACAAACGACAATCAAAACAAACGCTGCTATTCTTATATGGGTCTTGAACTTCGCCATCCAGCCTCTTCAATGTGGGCTTCGCGCTCTCATTGTCGAGACTTGCCCCCCGGAGAAGATGGACACAGCCAACGCGTGGGCTAGTCGTATGATCAGCATAGGAAGCCTTCTAGGCTATGGTTCCGGATTCGTGGACCTCTCGCAACTGATGCATATTGGAGGTGGTCATGCACAATTCAAGGCCCTTGCCGTGTTGGCAACTTGCGGCTTGGCCGTCACGGTCTTTGTGTGCTGCTGTACGATCCGGGAACGAGATCCAAATGAGGATGGGCCACCGAGCAGAGAACTAAGAAGCACGATCGGCAAGTTCAAGCACATATACGGTAGCATTTCCAAGATACCGCCACAGGTTGCCATGATCTGCAAGGTACAGCTCTGTTCTTGGCTCGGGTGGTTCTCGTTCATGTACTACATCACAACGTAAGCTCTATTCTCAGCCTTGATCTTCCTAGGCATAACCACTGACTTGTCGATTTTACCCGATTATAGATACATCGGTGAAATATGTAAGCACCTCTTGCGCTTCCAATCTTCTAGTTGCCTATACTTACAAGAAACAGATTTGCGCGATATCCATCCTGTGGACATCACCGCCCAAAAGAAAGCAAACCAACACGGCTCGCTCGCACTGCTGCTGTTCGCCTTTTCTCAGCTTCTTGCCAGTATCATAGCCCCCTATCTCATCGCTAAGCCAGAGAACGACCTGCAGTCAATCCCAAGCACTCTTGTCGCGCGGACGACAGCCCTGCCTCGATTCCTAGCCCGGCAACTCAGTACCACCTGGTCATCTCTGTGTAGCCTCTGGATACTCTCCCACGCCATATTCGCAACCTGCATGTTCAGCACGCTCCTGATCAGCCGCAGCGTCTTCGGCGCCACCGTTATTGTTGCCTTTGTAGGCATAAGCGCGGCGCTCTCACAGATTGTTCCCTTCACCCTCATCAGCCTCATACTCTCGCGGCACCACGAGCAGCCCATCTACCGCGCCCCTTCCTCGGACGCTGCACATGAGATCACAACAGAAAAGTTTACAGCCAACTACGAGATCCAGCCCGGTATCGTCATGGGCATCCATAACATGTCCATCGCAGCCCCACAGCTGATTGCGGCGCTGGGGAGCAGCGCCATTTTCTTCCTGCTCGGGACTGATGGCCAAAGTGGGGACGAAAGCAGGAGCACAGCCTGGGTTTTGCGAGCGGGAGGCCTGGCGGCCATCGCAGCTATTTGGATGACTCTCAAATTGCGGAAAGGAAGTTGAGGATCAACTAAAATGGGCCTACCGTCGAAATGTTACCGAACTCTAGTAGAAGAGAGCCCATAGCCAAGTCGAACCATGAGTTGATTCCTGACATTCATTAGAGTTGAGAATCTCAATAGACTTGCATTGACTGGTGCTTGAGAGAATGTGTGCACTTTTCAACGTTTCGAGCCCTCGGTCCTCCAGACAAGATCACATTACCTGGGTATGCATGATATTTACATGGGGCTCTCGCAATATCCCGATAACATAAGTGCTGGGACAAGTGCCCAGGCTTCCTTGCTAGCTGATATCCACTTTCAGTCTTTACCATCAAAGCATATTGCATGTGACTGCTTAAGCAGAAGTTTTGGTCAAGGTGCCCTAGTGATTCCACCTCAACTCGCTGTCTCTACTCACCGCAGGACCTTCTTCCACACCCTAGCTTCCATGCTACAGCAGCCAGGTCGGGAGGGTCTGAGAGTGTGAACATTCGTCCATCCCTTCACAATATTACAGAGATTCAATAGCTCAAGTGATACTCTACCAAGGGTTCCAATATACCGTCAGAAAACCAAAGGTAGCACTCAAGCATGAGGTTCGAATTGCTATCATGTTGTACTACTGTCACTCAATCGTTTGTCTTTTTGCCATGCATCCACTGTATGAAGGCGACAGATACGTTTTATGTGCATGGGGATTAAAAACGAAACCACCTGCCACGCATCACCGCCTAGCCGCCAGCGCTTTACACGAGCTTGAAGTCGGACAAGACCAAATTTCACAATTTAAGGTATCGCAAGAGTCCAAGTCCATCAACTGTATTCACATGAATCTCATAAAATCCATTGTCATCATCGCTATGTATTCCGATAAGAAACACAGCATTCACAGTCTCTCTCTGTTCGCCTCCTTTATACTCTCTAAAACCCGGCACCTGGCTCAACCTATCTTGAAAACTGTGAATTCGTCGCTACCCAAGCCAATACCCAGGGCCAGCAGACGAGTCCGGAAGCACTCCTTGGAAGCAGCTATGCAGCTGATAGCAGTGCTCCTCTAGTAGTCGGCGGTGGCGACGTTCCTCTTGTCAGAGGTGGCCACGTTCCTCTTCTCTGAAGTAGCAACGTTCCTGGCCTCAACATCGCTAGTGGCGACATTGCGGCCATCGACGACGTTCCTCTTCTCAGAGGTGGCGACGTTCCTCTTCTCAGAGGTGGCGACGTTCCTCTTGTCAGAGGTGGCGACGTTCCTCTTCTCAGAGGTGGCGACGTTGCGCTTGTCGGACGTGGCGACGTTCCTCTTGTCAGAGGTGGCGACGTTCCTCTTGTCGGAAGTAGCCACATTGCGGGCCTCGACATCAGATGTGGCTACGTTGCGAGCCTCGACATCGCTGGTTGCGACATTGCGTGTTTCCACATCGCTAGTAGCGACATTTCGGGCCTCGACGTCGCTTGTGGCCACATTCCGCTTCTCAGAGGTGGCCACGTTCCTCTTGTCAGAGGTCGCGACGTTCCTCTTCTCAGAGGTGGCGACGTTGCGCTTGTCGGACGTGGCGACGTTGCGAGCCTCGACATCACTGGTGGCCACGTTCCTCTTGTCAGAGGTCGCGACGTTGCGCTTGTCGGACGTGGCGACGTTGCGAGCCTCGACATCACTGGTGGCCACGTTCCTCTTCTCAGAGGTCGCGACGTTGCGAGCCTCAACATCACTGGTAGCAACGTTCCTCTTGTCTGAAGTAGCCACATTGCGGGCCTCGACATCGGAGGTGGCGACGTTTCGGGCCTCGACATCGCTAGTAGCAACATTACGCTTCTCAGAGGTGGCGACATTGCGCTTGTCGGATGTGGCCACGTTGCGAGCCTCGACATCACTGGTAGCAACATTGCGCTTGTCGGATGTGGCGACATTACGGGCCTCAACATCGCTGGTAGCCTGTGTACTGTTTAGAATCCATTTGCCTTGATAACTTGGGAAAACAGAACGAAGGGGGTCAAGTGCTATAGACTTACCACATTGCGCTTGATCAGGGGCAAGACGTTAGGAGAAGCGATAAAGCGCTTCGCCGGGAGGCCGTCACTGGTGGAGATGTCTCCAGACGTGGCCACATTCCTCTTCTCAGTGGGAAGGGAGTGGCCAAAGCTAGCGGCCAAGGTCGCGTAGGCAACAACGGAGTTGAACTTCATGTTGGCGGTGGCTGAGTTGTTGCAAAAGATGTCGGGGAGAGCGTAGGTGGCCGAGTGGACTGTAGTTCTTGAATGATTGAATGGCTATTGAGAAGGCAGTAACAAGACTGGTGCTTGTCCTTTATGTTATACTGGTCCGTCATTTCTTGTCTGTGTCCAAGTCTTTGGATAAAGGCATTGTATCCTACTGGCTGAGCAATCACGGCCAGGAAGCCGGGAGCACGCACGCACATTACCGAGCTGCCTCAACGGTTGGCAGTCCACATGATTCCGGATAGCAGAGGCTGCGGATAGCAATCACCTGGGCACCAGAATGGAGCATAGCCTTGCGCACACGCCGAATGAGAGGCCATCTTCAGGTTCGGATTGAGCTTTGGAACCAGTACATTGATCTTTGCGAGAAGATGCTTGGCGAAGTGCTTTCAAACGTTCATCTCATTCGCCCTTGAGCTCGGAACAGTGATTGCACGAAGGATTCGATATTAACCATGTTGCGATTCCGAAGAATGTTGTAGTGGAGAAGGCTGTAGTTGGACCGTGCCTGGTATCCATTTCGGAATTTCCTACACGGAAGTCGTATATCACTTGCATACAGCTCGGATAGAAGCTTCGCGGAACAAGCATTGGACCGAGTTTGCCAATTTTCTGGCGATCCATTGAGAATGCAGCTCGGCCGATGTCGGTGACAGCGTTGGTTGGATGGATCTGGAACAAGTCCGAGGGATCAGCATTGTTGCGTCGATGGTGGGTCATGAGGGTTCGAAAGAACTCTGGGCAGAGCCGGGGATCGAATCCGCGATACGATGTGGTGTACATTAGTTGTGTTGTTGTTTGGCCAGGACGGATACGACGCGGACATGTGCGGGGTCAGTCCCCAGTTCTCTGCGTGAGCCCCATACCGGTAGGGCCGCCGCAGGAGGTTTACAGGGTACTTGTGTACAAGGGTAGCGCGGGATGTGACAAGGCGGGCCGCTGTGCCTCACCTAGCGCGAACCAATAGCAGCCTCGTTGGTCGCTTGTGATAGCAAATCCATCTTCCTTACAGCCTAGCAGTGTGTAATATTCCACATCGGGGAAAGTGGGAGGACAGGAAAACAGGTACCTAGGTAGGGTGATTGGGCATCCACATTTTGTAGAGCGGAGGGCGTGGTGGTCGTCCCTGGGTTTGAAAACATTCTGAGTCCTGAGCCGCTCTGCCGTCACCGAGTCACCACACACTTCTAAGTTATTTCTGTATTACAGCCATCTTTTACTCGTACGCAGGCTGGTCACGCATGTAGACTAGAATCACGTCCACAGCATACACTCGCTGGTTCGCTCGACCTCGACCTCTACTACCTCCTCCTCCAGTTGTACAGACCAGCGCATATTCTGAGGCCCATCATGGCTCCCACAACACAGTCTACCGACCTTGCCACGCCCAGTCGCAATTCCAATGCCATTGACAGTGCTGCTGCCAACAACATCCCAGAACCCGAATGGAGGGCTGAAAAAGATGAAAAACATGCCTACGACATTTCCACCTCGACGAGCAAGAGCAGGGACGAATCCACCCTGATGACCCTGCCAGGGCCAGTTGAGCATGGGCAGCCCCCATCCGACATCGAGAGCGACGGAAGTGCAACCAAGGTGGTGCCAGGTCCTCCGCCGGATGGAGGTCTCCAGGCCTGGCTGCAAGTCCTCATTGCTCACCTGGTCATATTCAACACCTGGGGCTACATCAATTCGTTTGGCGTGTTCCAGACGTACTACCTCAGCACCCTGGACCAGTCCCCCTCACAGATCTCATGGATTGGCTCGGTCCAGGTCTTCCTGCTCTTCTTCATCGGAACCGTTTCAGGCCGCGCAACCGACGCTGGCTACTTCCGTCACACCTTTGTCATCGGAACCGTCCTCGTCATCCTCGGCATCTTCATGACCTCGATATGTACCGAGTACTGGCAGCTTTTCCTTGCCCAGGGCATCTGCACCGGTATTGGGAACGGTCTCCTGTTCTGCCCCACGCTGGCCATCCTGCCTACCTACTTCAATAAGAAGAGGGCTATGGCTGTCGGACTTGCTGCCTCGGGGACCACCACGGGTGGCATGATCATTCCTGGCATCTTCGAGGCGCTCCTACCCCGCGTGGGATTCGGATGGACCCTCCGCGTGCTCGGTTTTATCACCCTGGTCTTCCAGGTGCTCTGCTTCGTCCTGTCGCGGACTCGGGTTCCGCCCAGAACCGTCGGGCCCCTGGTGGAGTTCTCAGCCTTCACGGAGTTGCCCTACCTATTCTTCACCATCGGCGTCTTCTTCTGCTTCTGGGGTATATATCCCGCCTACTACTATATTGGCGAGTACGCAAGCAGTATTACCGGTTTCTCCCAGGCAGATTCCATCAACCTCCTCATCATCATGAACGGCATCGGCATCGTTGGTCGGCTGCTACCCCCTTACCTGTCTGACAGGTGGACTGGCCCAACCAACATGATGATCCCCTTCGTCGTGCTGTCCGCCGTGTCGCTGTACTGCTGGGCAGCCATCTACACCGCAGGCGGGCTCTGGGCATTCTCTTGCATCTATGGGCTCTTCAGCTCTGGCGTCAATAGTCTGTTCCCTACTGCCCTGTCCGCGCTGACTACAGACATGACAAAGATGGGGGTGCGCATGGGCATGGTCTACACAGTCATCAGCTTTGCGACGCTAACTGGCACGCCCATCGCGGGCGCCCTGATCAGCACTAACGGTGGCCACTACCTAAGTATGGAGATGTTTGCTGCCTCGCTTCTGATGATCGGAGGCCTCTTTCTGGTGGCCGCCAGGATATCAAGAACAGGGTTGAAGCTGAAGGCGAGGATGTAGATTTGTATATATTGCTTGGCCTATGCATGATTCAGTATGTATGTACGATTCTGGACCTTAGACACCACTGGTATAGTAATATGCGTGAGATAATGAACGGAACATGTCTAGTGTATATAGATGATGGAGAAGGCACATCAATTCTTCCTCTCCGTGGACTGAGCAAGAGTTGGTACGTAGAAGATGCTCACAAGGTCACTGGCCCACATGCTGAGAGAAACGCAAGTAGAGTGACTCTCGAGTCTTTCTCACAAAACACTTCATAGCTTGCACTGCTGCTGAGCTAGCGCAATCAGCTCCATAATCTTGTTAAAGGCAATGTTGTGAGCCGTGTCCATGTTTGCAGCGGCCAGACGGCCGAGCCAGCCGCTTGCCATCCCGAGAAACACCATATTGCTCCGAAAGTCCTCCGACCGGTCCTTGCTGAAGACGTCGATGAGGAGCACACAGCAGGCCATGATCGGTACCTGCACAATCAGCCTGTGAGGTCCACAAGGTAAGAGGTCAGTCATCAGTGAGCCGTATAGGATATTCGATATTGAAAGCTTGACTTGGGGGTCTTGGGATCTCACCAGTCCGAGCACGTGGTGCTACTAGGCTCCAGCAGGTGCGCTTGGGAGAGCACTTCGCGTGCTGACTGCACGCATCGGTTGCCTCTGTGGTGGTTTCGGTCAGCTAATACACCCTCCGAGACTAGTTGGGGGCTATAGAAGAATGATAGGAATTCATACTTGTGGAATATGGTGACTAATAATTCGTGCCACCGCAAGAACAGCTCAACATTGTTCTCGGACCGAGCGCTCTGCATCGGCCCCCGGCCCAGCGCAGGGAATATTGGATCCGTCTGGCTCGGGCCACTCTGATCTTTCCAAGATTGAAGCAGGGTATCCAGAGAGTGGAACAAGTCCTGGACATCGTTTCGTAGTACTCTGGACTTTGTGATTCCGTACAGCTGTTTCACAACCATGGAACACAGCTTGGCGTGCTCACAGAAGTGAATAAAGGGGCTCGGTTCGTTGGTGTCAGATTCGGTAGGGTTTTGAGCCATCCGCGGCGAATAGTCAATCAAATCATCGTCGATAGACTGACCAGTTCATTAGTAGGATTCAGTGAGGCCAGGGTCGTCGGTAGGTCTTACTGAGAATCGCCCTAATCGCATTGCTAGGGGCTTTTCTAAAGAATAAACCACCCAGAATAATCGAAACAGGAGCTGGCTCTCGGGTTCCGAGACGGCCAGGGCTCGAACACTATTAATTCGATTTAACTTTAGTGTCAAGCAGTGTTGCACCGCTGTCGTTATTAGAGACAGGGCTAATTGGGCCGTCTGAAGGCCCCCGGCCTGAAGATAAATGGTCTGCGAATAATTAGCTCAAAAACTATGAATTGTCCGTGAAGCTCAGTTCTTACCATGGCAACAAGGGCCTGGACTGCAATAACTGAAGCTTGAGCTTGAGCTCCTGCTAAATGGCCATGGGCTCTCGAAGCTACCGCAAAGTAATGTCGGGCTTCTTGGTCAGCAAGCCTGGCATTATTTGTTCTGCGTTTCTGTACAAGTCTACAACCAAGCGCGAGGACTGCATTGATGAGAGGAACAGCAGGACTGTCCTCTGGAAGCTTGCCTGTGAGCAAAGCTTCTGTGGAAGATTTAAACTGGTCTTCACGCAGAAGTGGAAATCTCCTACGACGGTCAGCACGACAATCATGATGAGCATAAATATCGAGGACATACTGATAATATTGGTCAAAGTATGCTACAGTATTAGGGTTAGTGAACATTCGAAAGTAAAGATTTTAGAGGTAGCACATGCCGTCCACATATTCCTGAACGACGTGACGTTCGTAGCTGGGTTGGTGCAAAGCGGGTGCTGAACTGTCTTCATTCGATACGATCGGGAAGGGTGTAGCATCAAGCGCTTTGGCAGCAACTTCTTGCAATAGTGTACGAACAGAAGATTGATGCGGGCTTTCGGCGATATGGTGTAGGTTGGAACAGACAATGCTCGCTAGTGTTGATGATTCATCTGCAAACTCCAGTCAAACTTTCCCCAATTCACTCAAGCCACGGTTGGTTGGCAGTCTCACTAGCATATGTATCCTTTCCCTTTAGAAAAAATGTTAGAATCTTTTTGGTTGTAAATGAGCGCGGCGCACATCCTTTGGGGGAGGGTGGTCTGACCTCGTGAGTAACACCGGTTTCAGCTGAACCGGCTTTCAATGCCTGGTCTGCATATGGAAACAAGCTCTCTAGTGGTGGACTCAGTAGTTCCACGTATGAGTTTGGAAGGCTGATTTGACGTGGCCGGCGCTGGTTATGGTTGTCTGTTCGATCGTTCATCCAATCCATACTGTCTCCGAAGAGACTCATGTCCAGAGGCAGGACCCCATCCAGGTTGATGTCCTCAACTATTGAAATGGGGTAGCAAGGGAACCCGTAATCAAGCTCGTCTACGGTACTCCCCGCATTCGGGAACTGATAGTTTGCAGAGACATTTGTGACAGCGTCAGTACTTGAGACCGGAAGGGAGCATTGGCTGGATGGAGGAGATCCCACTGAACGATATGTCAGAATACATGAAAATAGATTGCCCGGAATTTAGATAAGATTGGTACTCACTCCTCGCGTCGTTGGCCGAGCCGTGCCTCCCTTTGGCATCCGAGTACAAACATCTTGCACCTTGTCTCTGCAATGTGCCAAAATGATCAGCTACCTGATTCGAAACCAATGGGGGAATCGCCATTTATTACCTCGCAGACAGAGCAGGTGGGCGTTTTACCATCACCTAATGAGTCAATAATTCTGTTTTGTTCGGGTATACACACATACGGGAATCAGCAAAAGAAGAATTCGGGCAGGAGCGAGCATACATCGGACTTTCCTTGCCTTGCAACTTCCACAGGCGCCTCTCCGCCTTACGATCTTTCGGTTCACCCGAGCCTGGTCTTTCTCCATGATTTATAAAGATCATGGACAAATAGAGTATTGGAAGGGCGGCTGCTTTAGGATAAGCTTGAAGAGAGATTTGTAAGGAAGTAGTGTTATCCTCAGTCTCCTGGAATAGAGACCTCAAGATTAACAATGACAGAGAGAGGGAGAGAATTTTGCAGCTCAAGCCGTCATGGAATTTCCAGACCGGCCTTTGTGAAATGGCGCCATCCTTTTCTGGAGACGAAGGATTCCTTGCGGCATAGTGCATCGATTGATAAGACACAAGGACATACAGCAACGAACTAGTTAATGGCCCCAGCGCTCACAGCAATGCAAGCTGCTGCATTCCCCCTATGTACCTAGGGTAACTCCGACCATTCATAGGACGTGTTACGGACACAAGACGTCGGGAATCGGTCGGCCAAGACCTAAGTATGGAGTCTTCGCTACAGCGGCACCTGAGGCACGGCGCCGTTCAGGAATGGTCCAACTAGGGAAGAGATCAACGAAGGAACAGACATCCCATGCAGGTCAACAGATTAGCCATAACAATTTCAAAAAACTTGAAAAAACTCCATCATCAATCCGGTTGCGGTGCCCCGTACTGACTCTACACCGCATCGGCACCTCTATGTGCCCAATTTGCTCCTCTCGCGAGACAAGAAGGATTCGAGTACAGTAGCGTAATGCCAACTTTCGGCCTTGGTACCCATAGATGTCGCCACGATTAGGGCGGCTAAACATACTGTCAGCTCCCGTTTTGGGAGACCGTGCCAGCTCAGGAGAGCAGGAGGGGTGTCGCCTCTCTGGCAGGGCGTTCGTTGATGGACTCGTTACGTACCTAGGTACCTAGGTACTTAGGTACTTAAGTACGTAGATAACGGCATTAAGAAATTAGCCGCTTGACACAATCGATTTAGTACAGTCTTTGCAAATCGCAGGTTCAGGTGGAGACTCTTGCACCTGTGCGCTTCTCCTGCCTGCCTGCCTGTCTTAAGCCAAGTACTCTGTGTAACAATGACCTCGGCTCTGACCCGAGCTTCGCACTCATGGTGCGAGTGCTACGGACTACGACAAATATAATTAGCCCTTGGCACTATGAAATTTGACCATTACTATGTTACTCACGTACGGAGTATATAGTATATGATAGGCTGGCACAAGTAGTTTGGCTGCCCTCTTGTTCGGGGATGACTGGTCATCCCGTGCCCAATGGCACTCGTTGGGTGGTGGAATGAAAATCCCCTCCAGGCTCATATGGCGCACTCGAACGGTGGCTCCGCGGCCGGAGACGCCCTCGGCGTTTCAATTTTGCACACGCCGGCTGCGGATCTCCATATTCTAAGCGGTGGCTACGGTACTATCCGCAGTCCTGCAGCTCCCACGTCTGACTTGCACCATTGATCACAGGATGAGACTGTATTTATCAGACAAGGGCTTGGCGGTTTGCGTTAACGACAAACAAACAGCCTGAGGCTCGGCCGGTTGCACTGCCCCTGGACCCGGGCCCCAGGGCCCCAGGACCCTGAGCCCCACAGATGGATCCTCCTGCGTACATATGTACGTAGGGGTGTACCCACACGAAGTACTTTTGTCTGAAGACACATTTGCCCGGCAACGGGAAACCAATTAGTGGAAAATCGACATGTGCTATACAGTAGACTACAGTCTAGTCAGAGGCTGCCCACTTGCCCACTTTACTCGACGCCACGAATCTTGGGCTCCACGTTCGATATTCACCCCTGTGTCTGGTTGCGCCGCTGCAACGTTGACTGCAGCCAAACACACCCTAAGAGAGAGCGTGTGGTTCAGCAAGGGGCAAATCAATGAAACTGAATCCACCCCGAACCTCAGGCCTGCCTCGCCGAGGTATATCGGACAAGCACATTCAAGATGGGCTGCCCAAAGGTCATGCTGGCCGCCCTGAGCTTTAATCGTTCGACCATTCGCCTTGCCGCCAATGTGACGTTGGTCAAAAAAACTTTCATAGTCTGAATGTGCTGAGACACAGCCTGTAGCTACATATAAGTTGCCAGGGCAGACCTGTTCTTGAAGGCTGGTATAAAATTCACAAGTAATTCTAATCGACAGAAAAGCAGGGTCCGCCGACACTGTATCCAGTCTAGAAGACAGGCCCTTCATCCCGGCCCGGTTCAGCCCCCCCGCCTCAGGGGCGCCCTTCTCCACGGCACTGACCCCCGCAAGGTCCAGCGGGAGGCGGATCGAGAGGGCCGCGCCGTAGCACAGCGCCACATCGCGGTTCCCCGGAATCTGAGATAGGGTACACTAGCTGCTGCTGCCCTGGCATGTCCTCACGCCTGAAGCCGCCGTTCTCGGCCAAAAGCTTGCCGTGTTCGCACGCATGGATTCAGATCCCTGACAGTTGCCCACTATCAGCTAGCCAACCATTGACGACGACGTGGATTTACATAGCTTAGCGTGGGAGGAGGTGCAATGACTCGAAACGGCTAGTGAGAAATGTCGTCTGCTGAGGTATCTGTACGAGGGTGCCCAAGATGTCGAGGCAAGACTGCAAGAGCCTTTATTATTGGTGCTGGATCTGGGCCGCTTGAGCTGACTACTGTGTAGTACGCTGCACTTTGCGGCTCAGCAGCGGTCTCGCGGACCAGTAGGCCAATGTGAATGCAACCCAAATCTGGCATTTGCTTGTTGTACAATCATTGCGGCGGATAAAGCGCATAACTCTGCGTTGGATACCTAGGTAATCTAGGAGTTGGAGTATGTCGACAGCTTTCTAAGTGAAGTTGTTTCTGCCTCGTCATTTCCGCCATCACACAGCGTCGAAATGCAGGCACAGCCATCCCATGTTACAAGGAGCTTAGAAGTCGTGCACCTTTGGTAGCGCGGGTAATACTTGGCTGTGATCTTAGCATTTTCCACACCGGCTTGGCTTTACACTGGCGCATATGGCTTCATTGCTTGTTTTTTTTTTGTGTGGGGGAAGATAGCTAGGTCACTGGGCTCCTCGGAGGCGCAGTAACCTTGGAACCCGTCGAGCACTGAGGTTCAGAATGTATTACAAGGTCACAACCTGAGGATTGGCGTGTCAAAAGTGAGTACACGTTTCCCTTGAATCTCCTATGTGGCAGCACTCGGCTTTGATACCGGCTGATTGATTAAGCCCATGCGAGTAACTACCTAAAGGATCATGTGACATAGGTACTGTAGTAACGTCTTGTGACATGGTTGACCTTTATTTACGTATATTTAATTGAATGCCTCTTGGGAATCGAATAAATTATATTCCAAGGTTAGTACTAGTAGTTCTTAAGTTGTAATTCAAGTTACTTGTTTGGGGTCCCAGACACCACCGCACGTTTGTTACAGAGGATAGAGATGTATCACTGAGCATTGCGTGCGCCAGAATCTGAAATGTTCTCCCGATCTGTGAGCCCCATTGTCGCAAGTCCACCGCGCAAGACTCCGTGGTCATTGGTAAGTATATAGACTGGCGTGCTCCACTCGTGCCCCGACTCTCCATATTGTGTTTCCTCAACCCACGCCTTGACACACACCGCCGTCTCACCAGCGTCTTGATCCGGAGCAAGACCACATGACACAATTTTCCCGTTCCAACCCATCGACTGGATCGGAGTCACCACCGCCACAGTGCCCACTCCGAACGCCTCGACCAGCTTCCCAGCCTCGGTCACCGCCGCCGGCTCGGGAATCGTGGCAACCCTCTCGCTGAAAGCCACCTTTCTCACAAATAAATGCCAATGATAGATTGCGCAAGCGAATAGGGAACGTGAGCTGGATTTAGACCGTCGTGAGAGCCACCAGCCGCTCTCATGCCAGAGTCAAGATCGAGTCTCGCGTCACGCCTTCAAGGATCGTCCCGTCGAGCTCCGGAGTCGCGAGCTCCATGCGGCCTGCGCCGTCGCGGAATGCCACAAAGACTTCCATGGCGCTAGCCTCGGGAGGCGCTCATCCTCGCCAAACAGCCACAGGTTCTGCTGCAACCCGCGCTTGGCGGCCTCCAGCTGGGGTAGGATACAGGGGGCATACTTGGAGCCGAGTTTCCTGTTGCCAGCGCCGCCAGGCTATGCTCTGATCGCCTCGCTTGTCGCCTCGAGGGAGACGGCTTTGAGACCTGTCGGGCAGTATCAATAGCCTAAATGGGTAGACAGGCGATGTAGCAGAGTAGCGCCGATTCTGAAGCGCCGATTCCGCAGGTGGGCTGAGTGCCGATGTAGGTGGTGTGCAAGTATAGCGAGGAGCCTCGTTCTCTTCTTGGTAATTACTCACTCTTGTGATTAGCACTAGCGTGTCAAGAAGCTTATCGTAGGTAGGACACCCACTGCGGATTGAAGCGATCTTCAAGCCGAACAAAGGTCTTTAGCAAAGCCACCAGCTACTCTGAATTAACCGTCAGCAACACCAGTCGGGCGGCCGATTTGTTCAGTCTTGCCATGTTCAAGTCGCACCGGAACATGCGGACTGTTCATCAGCCGCGCGGTACGCCTCCTGTCCTTCAAAGCATTCGATACCGTAGTGGAATACACACGTCGCAGGGTCGAGGCAAACATTCTGGTATGGCACCGTCTCGGGCGCTGCCCAGCCCTTCTGTGCCGTCCATTCCACATTGAGCAGGTGGTCTGTAAAGTTCCGGCCGAACACGAAGTCTTCTTCCGGAGACAGCGACCTGGGATTCGCCGCCCTCGTGATGTGCGATTTGGAGGCGTCAAGTTCGGCAAGGCGTAACTCAGACTGAACAGGGCTAGTGTCGAGCCATCGTGTCCGATGCGTATATCATGACATCGGCTGGGCGAGCGTTTCGCAGCAATCCTTGTCGGAAAGCCATAGCCATGACAAATGAATGAATAAAACGGTTAGTGACAATGGACATAATATTTGCTGAGGCAGAACTACTTTGCCTTTTTTCTTCTACCTTAAACCAACGGTTTATGAATAATAAAAGCGGCCGGAAAGTATTACTATGCGGAGGTACCTACAAGAAGTCTTTACCACTAAGGTATAGAAGGCTTTAATTCTAACAGCCTAGACTCCTTTTAATTCCCTCTTAAGTAAAAGGCTAAAAGACTTGTAATTATGTGAGACGTGACGGGTACTACAAGCTTCAATGTTATAGATGATAACTCGGGGGCTGAAATAAGAAGATTGGGGAGGACCACGGTTCCGAAAGAGAAAAAGAAAAGAAGTATTATGAGAAGAAAAAAGAACAAATACCTTTATGTTTTCGAAGTCCCCAGTCTCCCAATAATGTGGTCATAGACTGTACCGTGAAACATTGATGATCATTGAACTCGTCAATCTTTCGTTACATGGGATGCTTGTGGTATTCTAATGGAGCCCCTTCCCCGAGCAAACCCAATACATATGTATATAATCCGTTGATCCCTCGTATCTCTGGTCTCGTTAAAGCATTAATGGCAAGCGCGCCATCAATCGTTTCAAGGACTGAACTGGTCTGTAGCAACGATAGGCGAGGCACAAAAAGTCAATGTCACCTCCTCGACCGTCTTGATGAGCCCGTATCGGTCCTTCCCACCATGGCTAGCGACCGCAGAGACAGCGTATCGTCGTGCTCCTCGCTTGGAGCCCCACGTCTAAGATTGCGCAGGCTTTGGAGTCCGGCTCGGTCCATGCCCGGTCTTAACCCAATCTGAGCCTCTCGCACGGGACTTCCTGCTCTTGAGTGGTTCCTTGAGCGAGTTCTTGAATGCGCACCTGACCGTGAAGCGGCTCTGGCAGTACGACTCGGATGATCTGAAGTGCGAGGTGGGTGAGAAGTGTTGCTGCTGATTGACGGCTCCCAGTCTTCGCCTTCCTCCCTCCGGCCATCGCTGGAGCTTTCCTCGGCCGCTCTCTCCACTGTTCCTGGGTGCACAGGCTCAGGCTGAACGTGCTCGGGCGGCGCCTCCTCAGGTTGAGCTTCCTCGGATTGCACGTGTTCAGGCGGGGCATCTTCTGGAGGGTCGTTCACAGGGGCAACCTCGTCCGGGGCGAGCGCACCGCTCTCTGGGTGGGCCTCTCCTGTCTTGATAAGTGATGCCGTGCTGTTGCCCCATCCTCTGGTCCCAGCTGCCTCAGACTCGCTCCTCTTGCGCTCGCAGTAGTCACCCAAGGCATCCCGCAAAATCTGCCGCATGAATGCCTTGTTCACATTCTTGCGAATTCGGTCAAAGTACTTGACAACATCACCTACAACCATTACCTGGGCCTCGTGGTCCACCTCAACGACATCGGCATAATTAGCACGGGAGTCTTCCTTCACCTTGTGCCGGCCGCTGTGCAAGTTAATGCCAACGGGCGAGTAGGGGAGTGTCGGATGGCGCGCCTCGTGCTGGCTGGGTGTCTGCGGATCTGCGCTGTCGCGGTCGCGGTCCCTTTCTCCCTGGCCCGAGGCGTAGACATGTCCTTGCTGTAATGTGTCGATGCCCGGTTTCGCGAAGTTTCTTTTGCCGCCTACGGATATTGGTCTGATACGTGTCAGTAAGATGTGTATTTTTGAGTGCCGAAGTGGTCACTGTACGCACACGCAGGCGCAGTGCATGGGGAAGCTGTCGGAATGGCGAAGCACAATGAATCTGGTGTAACCGAGACACTTCCACTCGTATTCAAACTCTGGGCAGTCGGCCCAAAGAAACTCAAAGACCTGTTTGCTACCAGGTCAGTTACAGCCTGATGCTGTATAGGAGCCGCCAAATACACCATGGCACCACTCACATCGCCAATATGGAGCTTTGCACACGGACCGATCTGGTAGCCCTTTCGGACTTCTCAAAGGCACATTGCGTCAGCATCCACATCGGCTTGGCACAATGTCATGCCACTCACCTAGAGGGTGCAGGGAAGAAGACGACCGGTCCGTCGCTTCGTCCCCTCCATACCCCGAGTCACTGCCCACCACTGTTCGAGAATAATCGCTTTTCCCCATCCCTTGCGAGATAGTTATCAAGCAAGGGGAGAAAAGAGGGGAAAGCGAGGGGGGAATCGAGGAGGGAAGAAGAGCTCCAGTCAAATACAATCACCCGGGGAATCATGATTGCCTCAAATCTGGAACGGCCGCATGCAGGTCCCCATCCTGATGCAGTAGTTCAGACCCACAGTCAACATGCCCTGACGCAAATGCTGCCCAAGAATCGATTTCGAGGTGGCCGACAATCTAAACTGACAAGACATTGCGACTCGGCATCCGGTTTGCCCAAATTCACCATAACATCTCACCCTTCCTGCCTCCCAGCCGGAGCCCTCGGGCTGCAGCTCGTTGTCGTGGTGCACCACCTGGGCAAGCAAGGCCTGGAAGCGGCATCTCCACACCGAGTCATCGCCACCAATCGCCCAGCCACTTGACCCTGGAGCGTGCAGGTCAGCAGCCAACGACGATTTCGCGCGCGATTTGCGGCCCTCCCTTACTCCCTGCCCTCAGCCCGAGGGCATCTGGAAAGTCTGGCCGGTGCTTGGAATCAATGCGAAGCACCAAAGTGGGTCTGCCTCCACGTCAGAGTCCTCCACACCGCTTTGGGAGCAGAAGGAAGTTGGACTGCATGTTGGGCTTCAACACAGCCCTCCTCGTCACTTGCTCATCATTTTGAGAACAATCAGCTGGGTAGACCAGCCAACTCGTCCAACACATGCATGATGAAATAGCCCACGATACTCCCCATTCACCTGATCTCTCCGCAGGAGACGCCTGGCTTATCTGCAGCAAATGGATTCATCTTACCCGACAGCCTCATTTCTCAAACGAGTAAAATCACCTTCCGAGCATGGAACTTCGATGCATCAACCAGCATGCGCTGCTGCACGGTAACGCCAAAGCACAATACTCGCATGAACCCTTCCAAGCCTGCAAACACCCAGGCAAGAATGTTCACCTGTGGTTTGTCGCTTACCAGCTTCGTCACGGTCATTCGAACGCCACGTCGAAGTCCTTGGACCTTCAGTAGGGAAGTAGTCAGAAGTCCATGTGATATTTCCAGAAGATCAATCATATTCCACCCATAGCACCTGACTGGCATGGCCCCAGTCCTGTACATGGGCATCCACCCGCCACGTGCACCGGGACCAGCCGCTTTTTCGCGGGTCGTCGACCTTTCTTTGCCTGCCCAGGTGCGTCTAGAATTTCATGATGTCCATGCTGTCATGCGAGGTCTGTAAGAATGTCGCGCTTGCACAAATCCGTCAGACCTGCTATTCACGCTCTCTTCGAGGCTGTAACACTGGCATGGCGGGTTCTAGGACGGCAGTGATTCTAGGCTGCTTGACTAGGTATCTTGGTAAGCAGTTTCGTTCTTGATCCGTACGTAGGTACACATCCCGAAGGCGTACGGTCCCTCCAGGGCTTCACACAGTAGTGACTGCTCAAGAACCCAGTGTTTAAAAAAATGCCAACAACGGTCTAAGGCGGCCCTTGATATCAAGAATATATTTGGGCTGGGAGATACGAAGCATGACTTTGATAGCAAATCCCATGTCTTTTCAACGTCCCTTTGTCGCGGTCGACATCCTGTCAGGGCGTTTCGGAACGGTGGAATCTCGGTACAGAGGCCAGGAGCTATTCCAGCCCGTGATAATCTTACACCGCTGTTGGTATTGCTTTTTTCCCCTTTTCTTTAAATGCTGGTTCTTTGAGCGTTTACCGCCGTGTGAATGTACCGTACCTAGGTAGCCTTCGGGATGTGTACGGATTAAGAACGAAACTACTAGTCGAAGACTGTTGGTTCAAAGAATGAGCCAAGCTTATATGGATCGTTGGCTAGTTAACCCCATTTACACAGGCTGTCGGTAACGTGATGGTCCCTTGTGAGACCCGTGGACCGAATCCATCTTGGGGATATTTGCACCAGGATGCTTAGAACTGCCCTCGACCCAACGTCCAAGCAATCCTTGATACCAGAAACTCCTGACAGAATGGTCATAGACATCAAATCTTCTGGCGGCTAGGCTGAGGCGATAATGCCCATAAATAGACGCACTCTCACTGTCGGCCTCGGCTGCTACCTAGGTACCTAGGTAAGCAGCCGAGGTCAAGAACCTTGGAATACAGGAAGAAACATTAAGCCGCGAACCCGAAACACCACTCCCTCCGCCCTGAGGATCCCTATTTTGATGCATACTACGATTTATATCGTCGCACTACCCTGCAAAGGGTTCATTATCCTTTCACACACTACGTGTGCCTCAGTAATACTAGTCGAGCGATGCAATAGGTTGTTCCCCTCACCCAGTCAATAAATCCCTAGGTATCAGGCTCGGGAGCCACCCGGCGGTCCACTTACACAATGGTGGCATACAGGGATCAGCACCAGAGGACCATATTCCTACGCCCGAAAATTGGTCTTTGCCGCGGTTGTGCGCCGCCGGCGCTGCATCTACCTAGGTATTCAACTTGCAGGGTTCCTGGTCTCGAGTGGCCTCCTCGCTATCCAAAAACGTCCAGGCACCGGGTGAAGATGTTTTGCGGTGTCATCTCAGGCAAGAATCAAGATTGTTGGGGGTTGGAATACGTCAAGGGCTTACGTAGGGATGTTTTATATTGTCTGAGTGGGGACTCCCCCGACCATTCGTTTGATTATCTCCAGGCGCTCGGCTTGAAAAGTGGTGCCCCCACAATGGCCATGGAGTTCGGTTTGAGGAACACCGGGGTACGTGAGTTCATCCCGCATGCCGCTTGTGAATTTGTTATCAGATGAGGCCAGCGCTGGCGCCCTAGGAGGTCCACGTCTGATCCAGGTAACCCAGATGTTTCGAGCTGCCGCGTTGCCTGTCGGCCAATCATAGCTCTTTGTCTACCCTTCCAGACTCTTGTGATGGCCTGGAGACCTGTTGACAGGACCATCAAGCGGAAGGTGGACACGGGCATCAAGAAACAAGCGAGCCTTGGAGAAGGATATACCCTCAAGCCGGCCATGCTTGACCTTCAAATGTTCGGACCAGCCCGAGCCTCGTTACTCGATAAGTCGATAGTGGTCGCGCTTGGCGGGTGTTGGCGCAGACGAAGGTAGGCAAATACTGCTAGATTGAGGTTTGGGCTGTCTCGGAAGGTTTGCTAGTCTAAACCTTCCACCTCGCTTTTCGGTTCGAACTGCTGTTGTTTGTGGCAAGCTGCACCCAAGAGGCTGGGAACGAAGGAAAACTGGACGTGGGAGGTCGGCTGAAGTGGATGAAACAATGATCCCCAGCTTGGCTGTGTCTGAAAGTCTGGAGTGCGACCACACGGCTTCGGGCGAGCATCTTGGCATGGAGCTTTTGGCTTGCGTTGCCGAACTTCTGAGGTGCCTTGCTGCTTGGCAGCACGACGCCAAGTTCGTCGAGACAGTGCGTTCGGCAGAGATTCCCTCGATCTTCAACAATCTTTGGCCACATGAGGCCACACCGGGCAGGTATGTTTGGTCAAGCCGGCAATTTAGTAGCTGGGTATTTGTGGCTCACTAATGCCAAAGCCAGTTTGTGATGCAAGCGAGTTGGCATTGGCAAGGCAATTCTCGGACGAGGCCAGCCCGGTGGAAACGGCCACCATCAGAAGAAGAAAATGTCATGCAGATCCGGCGTTGAGGGCATTCATAGACACGGCTGATATCGTACCTTTACATTCTCCAATTTTTCTTTCTGTCTGTTGACTGTCCTTTGTACGTATCTTGGGCCGGGCCCGAGGAACAGGCTTGCCGTGCACGTTGGAAGAAGCCCGGCGCTCACCAAATTTCACGACACTAATAGCACGGATAAAACGACGATATTGATGACTGCGAAGACACACTAGACGACCACCACTCCGAGGGCTTCACAATGGAGGAGATTAATGCGTTTGTGCGGGCGGCCGCTTTGAACGTGCCTCCACCGCAAGTCCAGCCCGAGGACCTGTATGATAATATTCTACCAAGACAAGGCAAGGCCTTCGGGGGGCAAGCAACGTTTGCCACTTCTGGGAGGAGGATCACTTTGACTGCTGCAACGAGCCATTTCCCTGGAACAAGGAGACCTCAACCGACACAATCAGGCATCAACACACCGTCATCACGGCTGACAACCTTGACGACGAGCGTCCCACGGGCCGTTCCTACCGCACCACTCATACCACTTGCCCCCGTGCTGCCCACAACAGAGGTTGGCCTGGGGTCTTCGCCGTTGCCAACGATAGTACCAACACTCAGTCCAATTTCGAATCAACCAAGCCCAGTCCAACCAAGCCCGGTACCAAGTCGAGTCCCGAGCGAGCAAGAACAGGTCGGGGCACAAAGCCCATCGGCAGCTCCCGTGGTGGCTCCCGGAGGTGCTGACGCTGGTGTGATTGTTGGGGCGATCTTACTTGTACTAGGTACGTAGGCCTGCGGGATCGTACCAGAGTGGTAGCGCGGCGTACTAACAAACCACGAAGTGGGTATCGCTATACTAGCGGCCGCGTTCTTCTTCATCAAGAAGAAAGTCAACGGCGGAGACAAGCCGAAGGCCAGAGCCGAGTCATTCGACTTTGGACCTCCATCAAGGACCAACCCAAACCTCTCAAGGGCGGAGACGGCCGCCATGGCAGAACTGATGCGAATCGCCTACCGGGTGGAGAATGAAGGTGACGTGGAGCGAGGCGGAATGGGCGGTGATGGTGGTGGCGGCGCCGGCGTGTCCTATTACCCAGGTGTGCCTCCCAAGATGGCGCCCAACGGAGCGGGCGTGGTGGGTGTCGCCACAACACCGTACGAGGAGAGCCGACGGGCTGATAATGTGACCCGAATGCAGTCACTCGGCAGTGAATCCGTCGCCCAGCTCGGATTGAAGCACCCCGTGGGACGCTGGGTGCATGTTCAGAGACCTGGTGCTGTGGCAACGAGGACAAGTGCCTATGATGTTCCAGACATGCCTGTACCGAATACTTATCACCCTGACCGTTACTCGTCGTCGAATCCATACTCTGGGGTGGCTCGCTAGGATAGGGTGCTGGGGGCTGGTGTGTGGGGGACCGGGAATCGTTGAGCAGCGATCTTGAAGGGTGAACAAGGGCCGCTATGTGGTAACAGTTGCGGCGGGTTGATAACACCACGTCTCGAGCGACAAGTACCATTTATTACATTCACCCCAAATATTTCTCAGTGTTTGGCTCATTTGTAGCCGACTTTGACATGTTACCAACAATACTTCACATGAACACATCTAGTGCCAATTAGATAGTTATGTCTACATGACGCCTTCGAATCGAAGAAGTGGCGAAATTACCAAGAAGGTTTTGGCCAATATATCACCGTATAACTATAGTGGCTTACACCGCGTCCTGTCGCAATCTTAATTTCCACCGTCGTATGAGACCTACGCATGTCTGGCGCCATCGTCGTCGGACACATGCATAGGCAAGCCGTCCAGATGTCACTTGTCGGGCATGTGGCCATCCGCTGGGGCCATACGCGTGGCGGGTGAGGGAAAACCCCAGTTTCTTTTCGGTTCGGCGTAGATCTGATCTCCGATCCGTGCCCTGTCTTTTGTGGTTCGGTAAAACGGGTGCTGCCTTGTGGATACAGGGTGGCTGTGTTTGTCCGGCCTCTTCCCCTGGGCAAGAGCTGTCTCACCTTGACTTGGCGGGCTTGATCGATTGAGGATAATAGAATAGTTCACTCGGGTCAAACCAGTCTTTGAGAAGTCTGAGGCGCTCCAAGTTCTTTCCCCAGTACAGTCTTTGTGCTGTACTACGGTCCACCTGAGAGTCGCTATAATTGATGTACATTCCATAATCGTCGGTGTGTAGTTTCGTGGTGATGCCCTGGACCCAGTTCCTCATGAGACTGATGCCGCCAGATGGGTAGGGACTGTCGTTCCCCGTGAAATGGTAAAATTGGACGAGGAATAATTTGTCGCGGTGCGCGTAAGCCGTGGCCGAGTTCGGGACAGCTGAAACTGCAGAGTTGGTGCCCCCGTGTACGTCCAGCTGCACGAACCAGCCGCCTTCGTTGAAAGAGATGGCCTTGTTGTGCCAGTAATGCACAAAACTGGCCAGTACCTCGCCACGGAGGTCCTTCAGTGTGAGGCTTGTTGCAAAGAAGTTTCCATGCTCGTTCGTGCTGGGAGTCAAACAGTTTCGTTCGGCATAGTACTCGAGGCCTTGGATCCAGTTGCCGGGATGCGTGATTAGAACACCGCCGACTTTCTCCAGCAATGGGCTCAGGATCTTGTTCAGTTCAGTCGTACTTCCGTAGTACACACCGTCTAAGCCGTGGTCACCCGAATCGTGCATGATCACTAGAATAGGCGGTTAGCGAAGCTGTTGGCTAAGACAGGATTCAAATGTAAGAGGAAGAAAATGCAGGATACATCTGTCCATCTAGGTATTTGGTAGGCGGAGCAGCATCGTGATATTACTTGCATCGCATGTTCAGATCAGCAGGCATGTCCCGAGCAAACTCGACCAAAGCCGTGACCCCATCAATCTTCTCGGCCTCCATGTCCCACGTCAGCGACACCCTGAACGGCACAGAGGCAGCAGGTGCCGGAAAGGTTACAAGCTCGTAAGAGGTGACGATGCCGAAGTTGGATCCGGCACCCCGGAGCGCCCAGAACAGATCCTGATTCTCGTCCTGGGAGCAGTGGACGTGCCTCCCGTCCGCAAGCGCAATGTCAGCCGCAGCGATCGAGTCGAGAGCTAGCCCGTGGGTGTGTGACGCCCAACCGTAACCGCCGTGTAGTATGTGGCCGGACAAGCCCACGGCCGGACAACTGCCGTGGCTAATAGCCCGCCCGCCATTCTCGAAGAGCTCCCGTGCAACCTCCCCGAGGCGAGCGCCGGCGCCTACGGTGGCGATGTGGGTGTTTGGGTCGACAGAGATGCCGTTCATGTGGGTGAGGTCCACAACAAGGTGGTCATTTTCTCCCCCAAGTCCTAGGGATGTGTACGAGTGTCCACCGCCCCGGGCGCTGACCTTCAGACCAACAGCCAGACCACAGTTGACCGAGTCCTGGACATGTTTGGGAGTCTTGGCATAGACGATGAGGGCTGGTGTTACCGGGACCCGATGATTGTATGCTGCATTGGTGGCCCAGGTAGGGGAGAGTGGAGAAAGAAAAGGAACTGTGTGATCTTCAAGATATTTGATAGCGATTGCCGTCTTCGATTCAGTAGCTGCATCTGAAGAGAGAGGGCAAATCGAACGTTCTGCGTGCTTGGTGGTCTGGTCACTGATCATCGTGATCCCGGGGGGGGGGCTGTGGTCGCTCAGTTGTCGAGATTGACAACAAAATGGGAAAAACACAGAGTCTGGTAGTTTGCGCGGGGGCCAAGGAGCTGACGACGGACGTGGGGCACTCGTACAAAATAGAATGAATGAGTAAGGGTAAGTGTAACTGTGTGGAAATATTTAACTGGCGTTTCCAAGTCACTGCTCAAGATCAAAATCAGCCCTGGGGGCAGCCAGGCAGTGTTTGCCTAGAATGAATGGTCACGGGCCACCATAATTCCACGCCAGTCATACCAGCGTGAAATCTGAAGTCGGATTTTTTGGAGCTACCATTTCTCAGGCTATTTGCTTAGCTTTATCATCCCGACTTTTAAGGCTTGCAATCAGAAAAGTGAAAAGTGCCAAAAGACAAGTATGTAATTGTTTCGTTGGCGTGCAATCTGACTACCTAGGTACCTACTCAATGCTGGGCCGGAACTGGGCCCTCGTCAATAGCTGCATCAATAGACATTGCTCTTTCCGCAATGGACCAGTCTCAGAACATGACTGACGGTACTGGGCTGTTACAGACGCATAATGATGACCTCATGGACTGCGTTGTCGACCCGGATATTAATACGTGCAGATACCACTCACCTATGTCATCAACTCCACACCTAGTAGACCAGCCTGACGAAGACAATCATCACGGCCAAAAACTTCGGTACCACGGTCTCCAACACTTGGAATGAATCATTGCCCCTCGAAGCTACCTACTTACACCAACGGCTTAACCAAAACATGAGAGGGCATCCCTTTTCAGCCTGGGCGGCGACAGCATTAAAAACACGTACAAACATACACGACCCCCCCCCCCGTTATCAGTTCTCGATGCTGTGCCAATGATTTCACAAATATTCAGACACACCAAGCCCTGCCAAGCCCCGCGAAGACGGGGCCGGAAAGTCCTATTTTTGAGCTTCATGATGATGACCACCACGCCTCCCCGAGAACGCCAGAACAACACATCGCCCAGCACCCGCCCCGTGGACAGACCACACCCTCACGGTAGGTGCTAGCCATAAACGGGGACACAAGCGGAGGAAAAGGACACAGCTCGAGTTATCATGTCTCCATAGCCATGGCGTCGTCATCCTCGTCTTGCTCCAAGGTGAGCTCGAGAACACGCGCGTACTGCACAGTGAGCCGCTGCAACTCCCGGAATTTACCTGTCGACACACCAAAGTTAGCGGATTGAGGTACCCTCATGTTGCGGACTCGTGGGAGAGGAGATGGGTAGAAGACGTGAGGTCATTGTGGGTTTGGGGGATCAACGTACCCAGAATCATGACGACCCCCTTTAGCAGCTCCTTGCGGTCCCACCCACAGATCTCGTCACCATTGGAGAACCAGCCAAAGCCCTCTGCCTGGTCGTTATCCTCCTTCTCCTTCAGGATCCCGCCCATCAGCCCGTTCAACAGCTCCTCCACCTTGCCCCTGAGCGCCTCCGCCCCAATCCGCTTGGCGTACATGAACAGGTACAGCCTGAACTCGTCCCTTGCGCCGATCTGCAGGGCACCCGCGATGCGGCTCTCGAGGTGAGCGATGCTGACGCTGCTCTCGAAGCCCTCAAACCCTTCCTTCGACAGCAGGGTCTTGATGAGCCGCTGCAGCGTGTACGCGCGGCCTTTGAGCAAGAACTCCGTGGTTGTATGTCGCTCCAGGAATGGTATTATTCCGGCCGACACGCTGACGCCCTCGTCCTTCTTCTCTTTTGGCTTGGACACCGGGCCGACCGCAGTCGACTGCAGGGCGCTGACGGAGCTGTCGTTGCTGTTCCAGTATTGAGAGCCCACTGCGAACCAGGACTCCGAAAGGCGTTGCCACGTGTACATCTCTCGGGCGTAGTAGAAACCGTCGCCGTTGGTCAATGTCACGACTATATGACCCGTTGAGTTGAGGTGTGCAGAAGTAACTCCCGGCCCCGGTGTCGCAGAGTGCTGATTTAGTGAGGTGACGGCAAGGCCGAGGATGGGACCAAGCGAAACAGGCGGGTGCGCCGCCTTCATGTCCCTGACGTTCCACACATTCGCCAGACCGCACGCTGTGATGCACAGCAGCCAGTGTCCCCGACTCTCCAGGATGACAGGCTGTGACTCGAGAACCATCGCGCTGATGAAGCGGCGACCTGCCGGCGTCCATGCATACACTGTTCCATCTTCGCAGGCCACTGCCCAAAAGTACTTGGTCCCAGTTACAAGCAGAACCGCTTGTGGCAGGAAGTCCTGCCACAACACGGCACCCCTCTTGGAAGCAGTGACATGCGAGGGATCTCTAGGCTGTGCCGAATTCTTGGCCTCGAATATTATATTCTCGGGGACTTTGGCAGCTTCTTCCAGGCTGGTCTCGGCTTGCAGCACCCCCTTCTCCAGTGACCGAAGTATCTGTGAACGTACTTTTGGAATGCCGAGCCTTACTTGAGAAACTGAAAGTGATGGGCTCATCAACGCGGGCCGCAGAAACTCGGGCGCCGGTACAGCGCCGTGTTGTGGCGGTTGCAGTGTTGCGGGTTCTACACCGTCGATGCCGTTGGCCATGATAGGCGTTGGCCCTGCTATTCGTTTCGGCGCGTGCTCGTAATCTTCCTCTCCTTCGACTGCGACAACTTTCCGTTTGTTACCCAGAAGCATTGCCGCGATTCCGCCTGGTGGTAAGCCATCTAATGGTTTCGTAATGTCCATGATGGTCTGCGGGGCGTCATCCCGCGCTGCCACCGTCTTTGACCCGATCAGCTGTGTTTGTGGTAATGAAGAGGTGCCAGTGCCTGAAGAGGATATCAGTAGTGGCGCAACTCGCTTCTTGCCGTCCTTCGTGATAGTGACGCGTGACTTGAGCTCCTTGATCCGCTCTGCAGTCTTGTCGGCCTCTGCTAGTTTGTCCTTTTCCTTCTCCTTGTCTGCGGGGTCAGAATTGCCGTTCGTGGACACTCCATTAGGCGCAGGCGGCGGCTCTTTGTTGGCAGGCTGGAAGTCGCCCATCAGAGCGCCCATTCTCGATTCTGCACCTCGTAGCTCGCCGGCTTTGCTGTGGTTTTCAAGGGCCAGGCCGTCCACATCTTCTGCAATGCCCATTGCCTTCCTGCCACCTCCGTACTTTTGGAGGGCCTTGTCATTCTCCTCTGCAGTTGCAACCCAGCCAAGCTCGCCCGTGTCGAACTTAACCGACACAATGCTGCCGTCCAAACTACACGCGAATAGACTTTGGCCATCGGGCGACCAGGACAGATCAGATATCGACTTGGAGGCCAGGTCCTGCATGATAACCAGTGGCCGGGACGTGTTCGTGTTCCATATGCTGAGTGTCCGATCTTGCCCGGCCGAAGCGATTACCGTCACCAAGTTGCCGGCCCCCTGGCCGTTCGAAGAACCATCCGCGGCCGGGGGTTGGGTGTAAAACAAACGCGGCGAGAACATGCAGACCTCGGTCGGGCCCTCGTGTCCGATCAAATTTATCTCACTGTCCCATCGCGTTCGCTCAATAATAGCTACCGAGCTAACAGGTCCATTCACAGCGTTGGCTGCAGCAATGTGGTTGCCGTCCGGCGACCAAGAGCACCTCCTGAAGTACGTCGTCAACGGAGAGCTCTTGAAAGGCGATGATATTGTCGTCTCCAGGACAAAGTTGTTAATCATGTCGTGGTGAGTCGCGTTTGGGCCCGGGGAGGTGAATCGGAAGATCTTAATTGTTCGATCGTCGCTCGCCGTGGCGAAATACTTGTTGGCCGGGTCGAAGGTAATGCCCTTGACATGGCTCTGGTGTACGGCCAGGGTCTTGAGCTTCTCGAATGTGTGCCCTGACCAGATAACCACCTTGGAGTCCAGGCCTACCGAGACCAGCAGGGAGTTGTCATGGGACCAGGCGAGGTCCTGCACGTCGTTGTCATGGCCCACGAGGCGCTTATATGTCTTCCAGTTCTCGACCGGCGGGGGCTCATTGGTGCCTGTTCATGCGCCACCTATGTCAGCTTTCAGTACAAGCGCATGTGTTTGACCCAGACGCGCATACCAAACGTGGCCGCATGTGATGGAGGACTGGTATCGAGGTGGTATATGCAGATGATCTTGTCGTCGGCGCCAGAAGCAAGATAACGGCCGTTGGGGGAGAATCGAACGGAGTGGATTGTGCCCAGGTGGTGGCTCATGTGGCAGAGCTGGCGCGGCTTCGAGTAAGAGGGGTCGTCGGACTGGTATATCGACTCGGTGGACCAAACTCGGACGTGGCCATCTGCGTGGCGTCAGTGGTTTTATCCCGGAGAGGAATTGGGTGCGCGCGTTCGTACCACCGCCAGCCGTTGCGAGCCTCGACCCGTCCGGGGAGACATGGCAGCTGTAAACTTCGAAGTCCTTCTGTTCGCCTGTCGCAACCAGCCAAACCGTCAGCAATCGGGGGACTGGACGCGTATCTGCATTCCATGTGTGCTCACCACTGTGGCTAAGCCAGGAAGGCTTGATAAGTTGCATTATTGGGGTGTTGCTAAGACTTTGGGCGGTGACGGGTTTGCATTGTCAGAGGCAGCAGGTAAAGATGTGTGATGTGATGTTGCAGGTCTGAAATCGCGATTGCGCCGCGCTTGGATCGCGACACCCTTGAAAGTGCCCCTGCTCCCAAGCTGTGCCTGCCCGCAAGTTTGGGGTAAAAAAGTACCTGCCTACCTACCCGGGTACCTAGGCAGGTACCTAGGTAGTGTAGCTGCCAGCACCAAACCAGCCAAACCTGGGGCTTAAGCCTTCAGGAGCTCTGGTGGAACCTTGGGAGCTCCCGCCCGCCTTGCCACCCCGATTGGCTCGGCAGGGAACAGCTGCTTGCACAAGTCACATAGTCCATTACTGTGGTATTTGCTGCGGTCGCCGTGCATCTTCTGACGCATGCTAGCTGTTGCATACTTGGAGTATTCAAGTACTAGAGTACCTTGAACATCCGTGCGGCACGTACGATGCGACTATTCTGCCTCATCGCTGAGCTTCATCGCTCAACGAGCCAGACAGAGGGCCTTACAGTCGCACTAGTGGCCAAGGAAGCATGCTCTGCTGGCAGTTCGTGGTCAGAGGAGGAGGGGGATGTTGACCATCCTTCTCTCCGCTCGACACACACAACAACTGCACCGCGTGTTTGGTGACCGTGAGACGCTGATAATAAGGCTTTCTTCGGACGGAAAAAAACAGACCCCGCGTAGTCCCAAAGTCTGCGAGTGAGGTATCCTATACGCAAAAGTGCTGCTGCGGCAAAAGTAGACATGGCACCCCTCCCAAACGCGCTGCCCCTGATGAACATTATATCCCAAGACCCAGAACTGCCGTATCAAAAGAAGCGTGAGCTATCACAATATCACAAAGCCGAACCCAGCGAGAAAGCGAGGGCGTGCAATACAGAGGGCAACACGGTGCATCCACGCTTCCGCCCGTGGCCTAACGCAGTGGCGTGCATGCCGCGACCCATGGAGCGCTTGGCCACTTATTTGGCAACGGTGGCCTTCTTCGTTTTAGGCGTCTTTGTCTTCTGGGGGTGCTGTCAGTATCGGCTGTGGCGCAGAGACGAACATGGGATGGGGTTGGACATACGGTCGCGCTCTTCTTAGGGAGAGCAGCCTTGACCTTGGCCTCGCCCTTCTTGACGGCAGCCTTGACCTACGCCACCTTGTCAGCCTGTCATTTCAAGACATGAACGTCTCGGACACGGAGGGTGCAAGCAAAGACCCGGCGCGAGCCAAGCGGATCAGTTGAAGGGGGCGGCGGGCGGGTTCACTCCGCGGGCGCGCCGGCATCCAACAGCGGGCGTACCTTAGTCACAACACTGCTCTCCTTTTTGGGGGCCGCAGTCTTCTTGGTGACACCCGTTGGCTTCACGCCAGCCTTCTTGGTCGCGGGCTTCCTCTTGATGGTAGGGGCGGTGTCGACCTGCGCAAAGACGCGCGGCCTGGAGCTGCCAGTGGCTGATCGCGTGCCCTCTCGTGCCATTGCGACTGACTGGGAATGGTTCTACCGCGGAAGGCGCGTCAGCAATGCGATACAGATGAGGTCAATGTGAAGAGACAGGTAAAAAAAAAAACACGGGCGCAGGCGCAGGCGGAATATGCCCACAAGGTATGGCGCCGGCGGCGTGCGACCGCGGCCTGGACCGTGGCGCTGTGATGCGACTCAGATGCGACAGGCGCGGTCACGCGTGCAAAGACGTGGGCACTGCAGAGCTTACCTGTGTGGGAGTTGTCGGGGGTCGTGGGACAAAAATATGATGACTGGAAATGCGACTGCTTCGCGACAACGATTCCGAGCTTTGCGATGGGGCAATGAAAAGAAGTGTTGTGGGAGGAAGGGAAAAAAGATAAACAGGAGGGGAGGGGAGACTGGGCAGTTGCGATGCGGGAGGGTGCTGGATGCGAACCCTCCTAAGGCTTGCCAAAATCGGGTTGGGCAGGAGCGGGTGACCGATTGGAGAGGAGAAGGGGGGGGGGATGGTTGGTTGGTCTGGCCAGGCTCCTTCCTCGCTCTCTCCTTGTCTCCCCTTCTCCAGCTGGGGCTCCTCTCCTCGTTGGGCTATGGCTATCATGGGCCTGGCAGGCTGCTGGCAGGCTGACGGAGAGTTGCAAGCAGCACACCATCTATCTATAGACGAGACTAACAATCACAATTGACAGACTAACTAGATAGTCAGCGAACCCGGACAGCGACTGGGCAACTGGGCGACTGGGCGAGCCTGAGCCATTACTACTTCGCATGGCTAATGACCAACACAACCTTGGAAGCAAGATTACAATTAAAAGAAAATGAACTAAACAAAACAAAATAAAACAAGTCGAGTGTTGGGTGGCTGGGCATAATCCCGTGAGATTCCTCGTGGCTGTTTACGGTGTTGCCCCCCAGGTGTCATGCCCCCATGCCACCTGTTGTGTTGTTTTCCTATCTATTGTGTGTAAGTGCGCACGGCGTTGTGTGCCCGCCAGATTATCCGCTGGGCTATCAAATTCCGGATATTTTTGGCCGCAGCCCAGGCAGGCGCACGCGGCAATCCACTGGTGCAGACCGTGTTCCAGATCCAACTAGGCGAGCCGTTGCAGCGGTGCTCCGTCGTTCTCGTGTCTCACATCCTTGCTCGTTGTCAAGCGGGTTCCTCGTGCCGTGCCCTGCGCGCCTCACGCCAGTTTTTGCTTGCACGAGATGTGTGTGTGTGTGTGCTCTTTCTCTCTCCTTCCCCTTTTCCTTTTTGGCATCTTCGTACTGTACCTAGCTATGCCAGCGCCCAGCTGGGACCCTCAAGTGCTGTGCCAACTGGTCGCCATGTTGCCCCTGGTCCTGTAGGATCCCCGGGTCTCTGACGTGTCTACCACCTCAAGAAAGCAACCGAGTGCGGATATATTCCTCCCGTCATTACCAAGGTGCTAACCACGACCCGGTGTGTCGCTGTCTGGTCAAGGTCGCGTGCGAGTCATCAAACAAGATTCGGACCATCCCACTGCCAGTGACTCGTTGGCAACCATCTGGAAAAGGCAGACCGAGCCGCCCACCCCCCTTCCATACATACACACACACATGTTCACACACGTCATAGTGTCCTTCAGTGATAACTGCTGCCTAAGAGCAGGACAAGCGTGGATATGGCCCAGGTCTTAATAACCACCGTCTCTTTTGAATCGAGCTTTAAAACGGTCCATACATATTTCCTGGGCCTAGTGCCCGGTGCCATACATGTCGGCAGATGCGCCAACAAGGCCTGCCTGGAAACGTGCGCCAGCCCGGCATGGGTCAATGTCACCGGGGTGAGAACTGTGTCACCGAGGAGGACGCTGCCGCCTGGGCATAACAAAATACCGAGTACATTGGGTAGGTAGGTACACGCTTGACAACCACGTAGGCCAGAGGCCCATCACTGATGGTCATGCCTTGATAAACGCCGTGGGGTTGGCGGATGCACATGGGAAGCCCTGCTGTCATCTCTCCTCGTCTGGGGAATCCGTCTCACTCGCTACCTAAGTAGGCTACAACGTGTGCGAATAGAAACAAGGGCATGCCCACGGTCATCCTTTTTTTTTTTTTTTTTGGCCTTCATTTTCCCCTTCACTTTCACTTCAATTCGCTTCTTTTCCCCTCCTATTTTTCTATTGTTTCTGGTAACGAAGAGCGAACCCGCCGCTAGCCACGCGCGGAATGCTGCCGTTCACAAGGATAAATCATGTATGTGCAACCACACATGGTACCTTCTCCCCCCGGGCCGGGCGTGACCTGCATACTGCGGCGGCACGGCGGCACAGCGGCACAGCGGCAAGCCTGAAACAAGCCTGTTTCTCGCCCTGTCTTGGTAGTCCCGTGGTAGTGATTGGGCTGTTTGGCGGCTTCTTGTCTAAAAAGAGGCGGCTGACTGCCGATACTAAGGCCAGTCCCCGTCCGCGGGGCAGCGGCGGGTGCGAGCGGGTACTCTGGCATACTCTAGAAATGCGCTTGTGTCTTACTGCGCAGCACAATACATATACCATGCAGGGCCCGGCACCTTGTGGCGAAAAAAAGAAGAAGGGAGGAGTAACAACTGCATTGGCGTTTTCTTACCATATCTTAAGATGCATTCTATTATCCAGCGGCCCCCGCTGTCCTGACCCAAAAAGAACCAAACACCTCACAACCCACCAGGGTATGAATCCATCCAGACAACGCCATACTTTATGATGGAAAAATCCCAAAGACACCACGCCAAAGACAAACAGCACATTGGCCAGCTTCCGGGCAGCAAGACAACGACCGACCTTTCCTAGCTGGGGAAGTCGAGCTTCTGGCCCGGCGGCATGGACAAGTTTTCCCAGTTCACATCACCCGTCCGCGCCCCGGCCTGGATGACCTGCGTCTCCCGGACTGCGCAGAACATGCCACTGCGGCCAGTACGGTTGACCAGCTCCCAGTCGTTGTCATGGGCATTCCACCGCTCCTCGACGAACGGCTGACCCTCCTGCACGTCGCGGTACGGATTGTTCCGGGGCAGGCCCACCATGTACGATATGATCCGGTGCGGGATGGTCAGCAGCCTCTCCCACCGCTTGATTACCGACAGCCACATGAGGGTTGACTCGTCGTAGGCGACGCGCACGTATGGGTTGACAAAGACACCCTGCTGCTCGGCGTTGTCCTTGCGCGCTGCCGTCGAGACGTCGGCCAGGAAGAGGCAACACTCGCACGCGTCGAAGAAGACCTCGGGCTCGTACCGGAACCGCACCGGAGCCTCGACCGGCACCGGACGGTCTGGGTCGATCTTGTGGGCACCGATGGCCTGGAAGTTGGGGTTCGGCAGGGTCTCGTTCAGGTGCTGCACGTACTTGGCCTGCATGGCCACCATGCCACTCCAGCAGGAACTGACCGGAACCGCGTCGCTCTGCGCAACCATGGCCGCCCTCGACGTCCCGTTTCCTGCGGTGGAGAAGATTGGGAAGACCGGCACGCCATTAGAGTACCCCTCCGCGTCTCTCTGGGCGTAGAGGTCATAGAACAAGAATGGATTCTTGTAGTCGAGGGCGCACGCAGAAAGGTACTGGGCACGCCGGTCGGGGCCCAGGTTCGTGTTGAACAGGAGCTGGACCGCGTCAATCGGGTGGAAGGAGACATCGTTCAGGAACAGGACCTTGTCAAACTCGACCACGCCCATGTCCCCGGTGAACCTGTCCAGTGGCCTCAGCGCACGGTTTCGTATCTCGGACAGGTACGATAGCCTCTTCATCCGCTCGGTGCCGTCGGGCATGGTAACGTTCTCGAAGCCCGTCAGCGGCACATGCTCCTCGAAGACGACCTCGTGGGCGCATGGCACCCTGCTCTTGAACTCGCTCAGGGCAGGCTCGCCGCCGGGGCTGTCGTTCTCGTAGATGCTCAGGAACGTGTGCTCCGGCCCCAGCATGTGTATCAGCTCCAAGACCGTGTCGCCCCAACGTCCTCCTGCCAGATGCCCCCCCTTGTCATACAGGCTGACCGATATGAATATCTTCTCGTGGAAGGGGTTCGCACAGCCGGCCGGTGGGGATGGACCGTCACAGCGCGCCTTCAGCTCGTCATAGTGTGGGGGGAGTCGTGTGTAGGAGGGCGCAAGGATCGGGGTTGCTACGAAGAGGACGACGATGAAGATGATGAGTATCTTGAGAGTCGCGACAAGTGACTGGACGGGGTGTCGAAGGACGCTGCGTCGAAAGACCCGAGGGCGTGATCGCAGCCATTTCTTCAAGCGCTGGGGTAGTCGGCGGGGCGAGGGTGGCGTCTTGAGGAGGAGAACGTCGTCGAAGGAATCGTCGCTCGACTTGCCGTCGTACGAGGCATCCTCCAGGAAAGCAATGCGCTCCTCATGTGATTGTGATGGCCTGGCACTCATGACGGTTGGGCGGTGGCGCCGCGAGAAGGGCAAACAGTCCACGAGGTGCGATGTGGTTGACTCGTGGGCTCAACTTGTTGGACAGGTTGGTTGGGGGTGGGCTTGAAAAGGAGGGCTCGAGGGCAGGGGTGCAAGGGGGCAGGGGGCTGTTGAAGAAACGCCAGCACCATTACGACCAACGCCAAGGACGAAACAAACGTAGTGTGTGGTGGTGAAGGAGTGACCAACTTGTCCGAGAAGGGATACGGACCACAAGAAAGGCAAGGCGCAACGCAGCGGTCCGACGGGAAAGGAGAGGAGGGCAGGCCGTGACAAGAGAGAACAGAGGCTGAGAGGCCAGTGGCCCGTCAGTGCTTGTCTGTGGTCATGTTTCGGCGGCGGCGAAGGTCCCAAGGATAGCCCATGTGGAGACGACGACGAATCTCATTGCACAAGGCGCACGGGCAGAGATTGGGTGGGTGGTCCTGCCCAGATGGTCCCCAGATTTAATGTGCCGTCCAAGGTTATGGTATGAGGCACTTCTGGCACTCACTCCTGGCACCCGAGTCTCCAGGTCTCTCCAGGCCCACCTCCACCCCGGACCTGCATGTGGCAATGGCATGCACCCATTGCATGCGCTTCCTGTCACGGGTAACGGCTGCGGGCGGCTGAAACGGTATGGTGAACAGGTGGGCAGTCCTGGACTGCTGCTGGCTGTCCCCAAAAACCCCCCTTGGGTCCCAGTAGCTTCCCAGGGTGGGTCCGGCAGTGCAGCGTCTAGCTTCCTGCCGACTGGCGGGATGACGCGCAAGGCCGTGCCATGGTTACAGTCTGGCGGGCTTGGGGATCGGGACGTGGTCCGGGGGGCCCCTTGTGCAATCCTTCCACCAGCCGAGCACCGACGGCCGGTGGGCCTCAAGCATCGGATGAGACGCCAGAGGAGCCACAAGAGAGGGAGGCATCGACGAGACGGCAATTGTTGTGGTGTGTTGTGTGTTGTGCTTTCTTTGCGTGACGGGTTCGACGGGACGGCCAAGCAACGTTTCACATTCAGATTGGTTGGCTGATTGCCAACGGTCGGACGACTTGGGAAACAAAACGGAGAACGGCCGCTTGGCTGTCGTTTCTCGCAGCGTTGGACCCGCGCCAAGCCTCGTCCGGACTGGCACAAGACAACCTTGGAAGTTAGTGTAGAACACTTCATTCAGAGTTGACACTAAGGCTAATAAAACATTAGACCAACGCGCCGTCTTCCATTGCCGGACCTCGTTAGCCAGTACGTGCCGCGATCCCCGAGCCAGTCTACTCCAATGTTGTCCCTGGCAAGATTGTGTACCGAGTACACAGGATTAATCTCGCAAAGTGGACGCGAGGGAACCAATTTACCCACACATGCAGTCTTTCAGGTAGGCACCCTACAACAGCGCAGCACTAATAAACACTGCCACCTCACCAGAAACCGCTGCTCCTGGCGAATCAACTCGGCCCGTGACGCAAACAACTCTCCCCGTTCGCCTCGCACAGGTGCCTGTGCTTCCGACAATTGCGTTGTCTTTGTTCACCAGCGCACACCTTACATTTCCAGAGTTCTGACACGTGCATGCTCGCGCGTGGCCATCCGTCGTCACAGTCTTGTCTGTTGTTCTGTCGTCCATGCTTACAGTCATGCGCGCCTCGCGCGGCAAGGAATGTCTCTGAATCGGGACTGATCAGCACAGTCCCCCGTGAGCCCAACCACACAAGGCCATGCAAGCTTACCAGAAGCAGTCTTCGCACGCGGCGGCTCAGTTCCTCTTCCTTATTGCCTCCTCCACCCGGTCCATCTCCTTCGTCTGCTTGGACTTCCACCCGGAGCTCCTCAGACCAAGCAGCTCCTGTCCCAGCGATTTGACTGGCTCCGGCGTCTTCTTCTTGTTGACCAGCCCCGCGATCCGCGTGAAGTGGTCGTCCATGTCGCTTGTGTCGCTATGCGAGTCGACCATCGGACCCGTGGTCCTTAGCAGCTTGTACACGGCCATGAACTGGTTTCTGTTCAGCGTAGGGCCCCACTGGGCCCGGACATAGGTGTGGACGTGCTCTGTCTTGAAGACCCCAAACTTGACAAGCTCACCGATGAAGCGCGAGAGACCCAGTGCGAAGTGCTCAACGCTGATGTTGGGCCGTCCATTTTTCCCATGGTCCCAATCTCTCGCGCACATGTCGAGCAGGTATCCCGTGACAGGCCCCTCGCCATCGTATTTTGTCCCCTTGTGCTTGTAGGCAACGTTTCTCCGGATCGAGCCTGGCGTACGAGCCTGGATCTCTTTCGCTAGCCGGGCACAGAGCCTGGCGCGGTCGGTATCGTGGCATGCCATCGTTTTTACCAAGTCCAGGACCTGGCGGAAGTTCTTGGTGTCTTTCTCCGTCTTCTGCTTAAAGGCAACAACGAGCAGCTCTGGAAGGTAGAGGTCGAAATCTTTCTTGATCTTGTCGAGCACAGTCGTCACCTTTGACGAGACAAAATCTTGGTTGAACCAGTCCTCCGAGACCGAGCTGGGTGCTTCGGGCTTCACACCCACTGCTGTCGCAGCCTTCTTCGCAGATGGCGTGGCAGAGGCCTCGCAAAGCGTGGGCTTGCCACTCGCAGATGTCTTGGTCTTCTTCGAACTGGGGTCGGGCGTCTTGGGAGTAACCGCGGGTGCCGCCTTCGAAGTTCGCTCGGGCGACTGGCGCTCGACTGGCTCAGTCCTGGGGCGATCGCCTCGAACGAGACTACGGGCGCAAGCTTTCAGGTCCTCGGCGACTTTCTTGATTGCATCGTCCATGATGCCCTCTTGGGCCAACTGCTCACCAATCTCGTCCCATGCTGAAACCTTTTGGGGCTCGAGGTTCTGTATGACTTTGTCACTGCAACTGTCTTCCCACTCATCAGCAGTAACAAAGGTCTCAGTGGTGGACTGGCCCTCGCTAGCAGGTGAGAAGGCTGCTGCCAGAGTCTTTGCAGCTTCGAACTCTCCTTGGAAGAAGTTCCAACCCTCAAACATGGATTCGGCCCATTCGCACAATTTCTGGATTCTCGTATGGTAGCTCTCTTGTCCATCCTCAATGATCGCCTGGAGAGACTGTGCGAGATGGGACAGCACCCCCACGAGTCTTTCGAAAGGGTTGCCGATCTGACCGAGGACGAAGGCCCGCTCATCATCGCTGAGCCTCCACTCCGTCTGCGCCCTGGTCCCATAGTACCCACAGGTCTTGTCGAGCTCATTTAGATATGCGGCCAAGAGACTCAAGCCAGGACTGTAGGCTGGGTCAGGCTGGCGTTGGTCGAGCTGGGTGGGACGTACTGCGCGCAGCATGGACATTAAGGACGAGAGAAGGGCCTTGGCCTGCTGTTGAAGATCCTGGAACTGGGGGATCTCATCGAGATGGTGGATGACCTCTGCACAGCGCATGATGCAGACGCTTAGTGGCTTTGTCCGAATCAAAGAAGCCATGTTGGGGGCTTTGCCTGCGGCGTAACGCGTCGACTTGATGGAGGGCGCTCAAGTGCGGCAGGGTCGAAACCTCGCGAGCTTCAGATGGGAGAGTTCAGAAAGAGAGGTCGGTCGCAAATGTCCAAGCGTTTCCATTCATATGTCGCCTTAATCTTTGTTGCACTTTGAGAATGGAGATCACCAGACCCATGATAATCGAGATAGATCCAGGCACACTGTTTTTGCTTGGTGAGAAATCAGGTCAAAGTTTGCTGTTCTGGGATGTTGACGGTGCTCAAGTGCGTCGCGAGTGGGTTGACAGCCTAAGAAGTAGATGCCTACTAAGTAGGTACCCAGGTACCTAGGTAGTCTCCTGCCACGGGCCATGCACGAAGATGGCCCATTCTACCTGGAAACCCAGGAGGGGTGGAAGCCTGGAGGCTGCAAGGTATTGTCAATAGGTTGACATCTGGAACTATTGAAAGCCTGTGGAAAATGGCATGGAGATATGACACCTCACTCAGAGGCCTGGGATAGTGTTTGCGTTTTTGCGCTGTGTGCCCATTTCTTTTCCAAGGTTATTCTCTGACCATGCATAGATTCCAGCACGTCATTTGATGACCGTGTCTACCACAGCGTCGGTAGTACTACTCAATATTTGCTGTGAATGCTCCTGTAAACTGTTTTGCTTGAACGTCTCGTCCTCATCAGGTGCTTAAATACGCCAAAACTCTAGCAAGGATGACAACCCCGGTGTGCTGGTGGGTTTCAGCCCCTTGAGGTTCAAAATCACACAAGTTCGAAGTGCAACCTGTCAACGATAAATTTTATAAAAGAATCAAAGGGTTCAGAACAATCCAAGTTTTAAATGTGGCTGGACACGCTTTTTGGTCTGGCAAATTCGCATTTAACGGCTGCTTGACATCCCTTCTTGTAATTTGATGGCACTTGTTTCAGCAGTCGAAACGTTCTCTTGAATTGAGGCGTAGCAATCCTAGCAAATTTCAGTGATGCAAGATCTTAACGAGTGGCATTCTTCAGCCTGGCAGGCTTAACGCGTATTGCAGCCAAGTGCAGTGTGTCGATATGAGAAGGGAATCGTCATATTTTCTCATTCCTGTCTGCGGCCTGCCGCCCGCGTATTGAGGCTTCGACTATTTTTTGGGTGCTGCAGAGAAAACACGGCTGATACTCATGCGGTGGGAACTCTGCTGTGGTTCCTCAACGAGAATCATGCAGGAAGACTGTGCCTGTTTCTGCACGTCTTCTGAGATGGTTGTGTGACACTTAGGTGTAATCAACTTGAAGTGAAGGAGGCAGGTAGATACCTAGGTATACATGGGGGCATCTTGACGAGGGCCGGCTCTGGTTTGGAAACAGTCACGGCACAATCAACTAACATCAATTGGTGTTGCTTTTTATAGGGTACAAAATGCATATCAGGTCATTTAGGACGGTCTTGAGCGAGGACAGATAGGGCTCTATTTTCTCAAATTTGACTACAACCAGGAAACCAAAGATTGATAGGAAAAGAAGACGCGAAACAGCTAGCATTAAAAGCTCCCATGAAACCCCCCAAGCAGTGACGAGTCGGACTGAGATCCGTACCACTTGGAACACGCTCAGGCGGTCTTCTTGTCTCCTGCGAGCTTTGTCTTCTCGAGCCTAATTCGCACCTGCGACTGAGCAGCTTCGTTATCGAGAACAATCTGCTCTTTGGCCTGGTGCCATGACTTTCTTTTCCCGCTCTCAAAAAGTCGCCAGATCGTTGGTGTGAAGACACCATTAGCACAGAGATTATATAACTTCCGGTTGTTCCACCAGAACGACCATGCCTTTCTGCTGAACCATCCAAAATGTTCCCACACATCCGTGCCAGCAGCACTGTCCATCCACCGCAGGTGGTCCGTCAGGGGCTGGATGAGCGTGTAGAACGTGGCCTCGCTCTTCTGAGCGTTGAGCTTCTCTTGGCGCCACTCCAGGAAGCCGCGGTACCATGCCTGCATTTCGCTCAGAGGAGGCAGGCTAGAGTTTCCACTCCATATCTGTGACACTGCCATGGTGACCAACTCGTGCTGGACGAATCCAGGGAAGGCGACAGCACCGTGGCCGAGGAAGGCGAGCGAATTGCGGACCCTCGAGTCCTCATGGAGCGGGAACGTGCCGCGGTATAAGCGAGGTGGCGTGTCTGGTGTGCCGTGCGGGTTGTATTTGTCTTCGAGGAAAGGCGCCGAGAGATCATACCCGGTGGTGTAGATAATTGCATCGATGTCGTTCAATGTGCGTCCGTCCTTTAACTCAATTGTCTTCGGGCCCGTGATCTTTGAAACTGCAGCTACAGGCTCGCAGAATCCCGACTCTAGAAGAGGGTATATCTCGTCCGCGATCAAAGGCGCTGTGGTGGCGATGGATGGAGCTGGGAGGAAGTTCCACGACTTCGGCATGTTGGGGAATGCTGCTTTGGATGTAGCCACAATTGCTTTGTTCAATAGCCAATCCAGTGTGTTGGGAAACCATGTTGTCGCAAATAAGCAGAATCTCGTGATGTTGAGAGTCATGGAAGTATCGAGCACAGCACCCTTGGTATCGTAACGTGGCAGCTACAGTTTATTAGCGAGGAATCCGTCCGAGAAATTTGTGTGGGCGTCCGTTGCATTACGTACCAAGACAACACCATTCCTATGGCTTGCATATAACTGCGCAGCATGCCCAGACAGACCGACAGCCACGTCTTGTGCGGAAGCATGAAGGCCAACCAGTAAGACCCGCTGGCCCTGGAAAGTCTCGGGGTGATGAAAATCGATAGCATGCAGAGTCCTGCCCGTGAATTCTTCAGTCCCCCTACTCAAGATTCGGAGTCAGCCATTAAAGAAGTAAAAGTGAAGCTCTACACCAACATAGTCAGGACTAGGCCACCATGTGGCCACAGCATTGTCTTGAGACCTGCAGTCCCTGAAATCTTTGTTATATAGGCCAGAAATAAGGAATTCTTCTGTCCAAAGGGTTAAAGGATGGTATCCAGAAGCTGCTTACGGAAACTTGGGCTGTTTTGGAGTCGTAAAGGACCCATTTGCGACAGCGACCCTGTCAAAATACTCGCGACGAGATCCGTCCTTGGTGAGAAGCTCAACTACCCATGCGTCACCCTCTCGCGAAACGTGCGTCACACGTGTGTTGAGTTGAATGTGAGGGCTCAACTGGAAGTGGTCTGCGTAGCCCTGCATATACTCCCACATTTGTCGCCATGTAGGGAAGTCATCCGCATCGGCAGGGAAGGGATAGTCTGATATAGCACTCCTGTACTTGCTGCTGTTGAATATAGTGGTAGATGCCACAGAAAGAGATTCATCGTCAGAGTACTTCCATATCCTAGACACCAGCAATCAGTATCCATCCTGATGGGCAATGCGGAACATCGATGCAGTCATAATTACCCTCCGATCCATGACCTCGCCTCAAAACACGTCACATCCAGCCCTGCTTCTTTCATGTTCTTCACAGCCATGAGGCCGAGAGGACCGGCCCCTATCACGCACACCTTGGAGCCTTGCTGGGCGACATCCCGATGTGGAGCCATGTTGGGTGGCTACTGGTGCAGTGGCGCCGGTCAAAAGTCGGAGCCTTTTGACACTACCTAGGTGACTTGAACACGATGTAGGCCTCTAAGAGAACCCAATCAGGGCAAAAAGAAAAGAAGAATGCTTCTCAGAAGGGATCTTTCGTTTTAACAACCACTGCAGTGTGAATGATTGAGGAAGAACCTATAAAGGTTCCAAGTCATTATATACGAGCTCGTGTCCAGTGCCAATCGTCCGTGGGATTAGTCGACCAATACACAATAAGCACTACCAGTGGCTACTGGGCTTATTAGCTGACCATAAATTTCCAACACCAGCGAGCTTGATACAGAGTATGATGACATCTGGATCCTGCACGGACAGGCAGCCATTTATTATCCCTAGCGCCAAGTAAGCCTCTCCTGAAAGAGGAATGAACCGGAATCCTTGGCACCCTTGACAATACGAAGGACTGGCATTCCCCCAATAAGAACTTAGAAGCATTTGCCAGGAGTGGAAATAGGTTCTAACAGCTAGATAAAAATATCATTGTTAGATTTTTGTGGTTGAGATGCTATACATGCATGGTCCTTACGCACATGCCATAAAGCTGCGAAAACCGAGAAAGGCCCAAATCCACTGATCAAGTATCGTGTAAGATTCCGGGCTGGGCCTCGACAGATCCTCTTCCCTGGAGCCCGCCCTCTCCAACTGTGTCGTGCAAGACACTTGGGCGGACCCGGATATCACTCACTACACCCCATCATGCCAAGGAAAAGGTAACAACAAAAGACCCCGATTTAGGATATTCATCGACTCTCCATTCATTAAAAGCTTAAAGAACGGCCTGGACTGTGACCGTCACAGCTACAAATACTTTGTTTCTTGAACATTGAAATCAGCACGAAATCAGCACAGGAACGGCTTTTATATCCCAACCCTGATGGTCGGCCCCTACAACTACCAATTTGTCTTTGATCACTTCAGCCCGCCAATTTCGGGTGTCAATATCATTTGCCATCCCGCAGCTCCAAGGGATCAATCGAACCTGTTATGGGTTGAGTCACAGAATGCGTCAGCGACCGTTCCTACTACATCGCAATCAGGGATGGTGCTGAATCCCGTGGAAGACCGTCCTTGTAGAGTAACGGCCACGTCGACATCTTCAGCTTTGGGCAAGTAGACGACTCACTTGATGTGCAGAAATTTTTGAGTTATATTGCATGCATTCATCTCAAAGCCTGTGTTACAGTCCAATCGGTACTAAGTGCGCTGAATTCAATGGCATATTGCATGGCGCCGCGTGCATCTGGCGCAAAGAATTATACGAACATCCAGAACTTGAGACTTGTCCGCCGGGAGGAGCGAGCAGAAGAGCCAACGTGTGGATGCGTTGGACATTTCAAGACACGGTTGTCAAGACGATGTAGGCGACTGATGTATGTTTGAATGCCCACGTAGTTATTGCGGCTTCCGCCGTGTACTTGTGTAACAGAAGCCAGAGGCTGAGCTGCGAGGTGTCGTGCATGCTGAGGCTTATCTACGAGCAGGGGACCAGGGGACCAGGGGCTGCCGGGCGTAGATGGCAGAAGGTGAGGTCCTTTTGGGCTTGGAATTGTTTCCGCCCCGCCCCCTGTTGAGCTCCCCGCAGCCCCCCGAAAAGGTGTAGCGCGGCGTAGCGGCAGCCCAGAGCAAGCAGCCAGGCTGAGTACTGTGGTACTTGGCATTTGGCTGCCCAAGGTCCCAAGTCCCCCAGCTTGCTTGGCCGGCATGGACGCATTCCGTAACGAGAGCAAAGCCTCAACCCTGGACCTGCGACATCATTCTGTGCATCTCTCTGCCCGGCCCTTCTCGACTCTTCACCATCCGCCAACTCCCCAGCCATCCTCCGCCTGCCGAAACGCCCACATACCCCTCCCACCGGCCCCAGAGCTCGACCGAGACTGCGAACTGATGGGCTCGCCGCCATGTCGGCCAACCCAGGCATGAGCCGCGCCGAGCGTTTCGAGGACGAGAAGCGACGCATAATCGAGAGCTGCTTCAACAAGAGGGACGACGATGGCTCAGGTGTGCACCGAGAAAACCCCCTTATCGAACATGCTGACTGTTGACTCCCGCCTGCGCCAGTGCTCGAAACCTACATCACACACCTGCGGATTCTCGAATTCTCGCAGTATCCGACCAGTCCTCCTCCCCCACAGGCGCGGACGCCCCAGTCAGAAAAGCCCCGTGTCATCATCGTCGCCGTTCGAAAGTCTGGCCGAGTCCGAGTGCACAAGACCAAAGAGAATGTGAATGGCTCCTTTTCAATCGGCAAGACCTGGAATCTCGATGATCTGGCCGCCATAGAATCATATACTGGCCCCAACACCCCTCCCGACTTTCGACAATGGGCTGGAGACAATGGCTTTCTCGTCACCCTCGGCAAGCCATACTACTGGGAGGCACAGACGGACAAGGAGAAGAAGTTCTTCATTGCCAGCCTCATCAAGATATACGGCAAATATACCGGCGGTCGGGTGCCATCCCTGTCCAACTTCGACCAGCGCGAGCTCGATCAAGTCCTCGGCGGAGCCGCCAGGAAGGGCGCCGCCAGCCAGCAGACTCCTAACCAGCCCAGCCCGTCCCCTGCCCGACCCTCCCCATCTCCCGGCAGACCTCCGCCGCCGCCCTCGCCGGGCCGGCCGCTGTTGCCCTCCGCCTCCAACCAGGCCCTAAGCTCGCGATCGAATGGCCCAGATGCCACTGCCGGCTCAGACTACACCCGCACCCCCTCGCGAAGTCCCATGCCGCCCAATGGCAACTCGTCGCCGGCCTCGAGTCTGACCCCCAGTCTCGACTCAAGCCGGAACATGCGGAGCCAGGAGCCTCCCTTGAGGCAAAGACTGGCTGCCGGCAACAAGAGCCAGGACTCGGTAGCCAACTCGTACAGGAGCGGCGATGAAAGTTTACGCCCCAGATCTCGAGGGAGGCCGAATGGTGTACCGCCGCCATTCAACAAGACACAAGATCCCCCACCCCCCGCGCTTGCTCCCGCCTTCTCTCCGAACCCCAGCTCCAGGACCTCAGGAGACAGACCCTCGATGGACAGGCCCTCGATGGACAGGCCCTCGCTGGACAGGCCCTCGACGGACAGACCCTCGCTGGACAGGCCCTCAACGGACAGACTTCTCGTAGATAGGTCTATAGGAGATAGGCCCGCCGGAGACCGCCCCCCAGAGAGGAAGCGTCCGCCAATGGACCCGTTGCGGCCCACCGGCCTACCGCCAGATGATGCATTGGTACCGGCGCCTTTAAGCAACGCGAACTTGCGTCGCTCACCGTCTCGGGATGTCCTGGAACCTAGCTCGCCGATCGCACCACCACCCAGGAGTATTGAGCGTATGTCGCCTAGAAGACCGTCAGGCCGGCCGACACGCGCAGAACCCCCCTCGGCCATAGATCAGATCGCCGCTGAACCTGTCGAGCCTCCCGCCCCTCCTCAACCCACCGAGGCCCTGCCGCCACTCGACACTGCGGCGCCTCCGCCTCTATCTGTGTCTGCAAATGACGGTAACAATGACAGCCCCTCAGTGCCAGCTTCGGCTTCTACGCCGGCTGATAGCCCAATAACCTCTCCAGTCTCCCCTGAGGAGCACCGTCCTGGCCTCGGCCCGATGATCAAAGCGAAGAGGTCCCAGAACAAATTGGCAGGGGCCTTGTGGAAGGCAGCGGCAGCGTCCAATGCGTTCAAACCTAGGGTCGGAGGAGCAGGTGAAAAGTTGCTGAAGGCCGCCAAGGAGGAACAAAACAACGGCCCGGATGGCATCACGGCAGTCGTTCCTGCTCCACCACGTCCGAAGTCCATTGAGAAGAAACCAGAGCCGGTACCAGAGGTCACAGTTTCTCAAGCCGAGCCAGCACCAGCGGAGCCCACGAAGGTCCAGAAATCCGAGGCGAAACCCGAGCCACAGCAAATCCCAGAGCCAGAAGTCAAGGACGAGCGCAAGAAGTCCGTTGTGGCAGGCAATGATCTCAAGTATCTGACAACTCTTGGCGTTGACCCATCTATCTTGGATAACAAGACCGCTCAGTTCACGGAATGGCTTGACTTCTTCTCCTGGGTACCAGGCGATAAGATGCGAACACTGAACTCTGACGAGATGAAGTTTGATATCGAACGAGAACTGAACAAAGCACAAGCTGGCGGCTGGCTGGCCCGATTTCAGGAGGAGGATGAACGTGTTGAAGCCATCAAGACTGGAATTGATGCAGCAGTCGATGAATGTGACGAGCTGGACAATCTCCTGACTCTGTACACCGTTGAGCTCTCTGTAGGTCTATCTTGCCGGGTCCCGACTTTTCATGCACTAATTTTCTTTCCAGACCCTCCAAGATGATATTGCGTACATCGAAGCGCAAGGACAAGGTCTCCAGGTCCAGGCAGCGAATCAAAAGCTCCTCAAGAAGGAGCTTGAGTCGCTGCTGGAAACCTGTGCGATCACTGCAAATGACCTGCAGGCCTTATCTACGGCTCCTCTCGAGACTGTCAATGGTGTAGAGGAAGTTGAGACGGCACTCGTCACCCTGTACAAAGCCATGATTAAAATCGACCCGAGCATGGGCAGTCCGGACGGATCCAAGACCGGAGATGGCAGCAGCGACCAAGCTATTGACTTTAATGGCGACTATGCGAAGATGCGAGTTGTGCAGGAGAAACGACAGATGTACATGCAAGAGAGTGCCATGTTCATGCAGCGGCTCGTGGATTTCATGGCGAAACAGTTCAATGTTGCGAATGACGAAGTAAGGAGGGCTTTGAAGGGCGCGTTAAACAAGAAGATCGACCCGCAAAACCATGATATTGGGCGCGACATGCTCTGGAAATACGACCCACTCATGCTCTACACCAGGGACGCGGACCTCGAAGTCTGGAATCGGCTGATACAGATCTACCAGGATGCCGCTCACCCGACGTACAAGATGGAATTCCGGGATGCTCTAGACTCGTGGAAGAGGAATGCAAGGAAACCAGCTGGGGAAGATGCGCTCTTGTTCTCTTCCCAGGAGGAGAAGAAAGAAGAGGGTCTTGCAACAGCCGCCCGCAAGCTCACAGTTAAGAGGAGCCAGACGCTCGCCAGGATCCGCTCACCTCTTGGGGAAGGCCAGAATAAAACTACCAACAGCAGCGCGGTCGACTTGTCACGGAACTCGCCATATGAAATATTCGCCAACGTCCTTGACGATGTCCTGCCATTGGTAGAGATGGAACAGAATTTTGTCATCGACTTCTTCCATGCGACCACGATGGAGCAAATCGACTTTCCGGACGCCGTTGCCGCCATCAGTCCCGGGGCCCGTAGAGGTAACGATCTCAAGAGGCACAGACTCATGGAGCCGGATCGAGATCTCGCACGACGAGTGACACGATCGATGGAAGTCATCTTCCCATTCCTTGAAAAAGATCTCAGCAACATGGTCGACTGGGTCCTGGTACAAAGTCCATTGTAAGTGGCTCTTTTTAATTTGCCCCCCCCGGGGGGGGGGTCTGTGAGCAAGTATATGTGGCTAATAATTCTCCACAGGCAAGGCGTAGGTGTCATGGCAAGCATGGAGCGCAAGCTCGCAGATATTCAGCAGTCCAACCAGGACTTCCTGAATAGCGTCTTGCAGAAAGTCCACGGCAATCTGCTTGTGAAATTCAAGAGATTTGTAGAAGAGCAAATACGGGCTATCGAGGACACCAAGGTCAAGATCAATAAGCGAAAGGGCGTCATCTCCTTCATGAGAGTATTCCCGCCCTTCAGCATGGCAGTGGAAAACATGCTCTTGGGCATTGATCCTAATCTCAACGTCCGCCGCACTGTCGATCGCGAATACGATCGCATCTTGAGATCTATGTTCGAGTCGCTTAAAGTCATCGCACGCGAAAACCCAGCGGTGGGTGTGGCAGCAGCAGGTGCAGGGGCTGATCCCGAAGATAAGGAGGCGCTCAACTACCACATCTTGCTTATTGAGAACATGAACCATTACGTCGAGGAGGTGGAGACACGGGAGGACGAGACCCTCGAGAAATGGAAGCGTGCGGCCTCTGAAGAGATAGATGAGCACATGACGCGATACCTCGACGCGGTGATGCGTCGACCCCTTGGAAAGCTCCTCGACACCCTTGAAAACATCGAGGGCCAGCTCAAGTCAGGCAAGGCCCCGGCCGCCATTGCCGCTCAACCTTCGAACAACAAGACAACGTTCGATAAGGTGCTGCTCCATTACGATGCCAAAGAAGTCAGGAAGGGCATCGAGGCATTGAGGAAGAGAGTCGAAAAACATTTCGATGAGAACAACAGCCTGGCTATGAAGGTGACAAAGTCGTGTGAAACCTTCTATAATGAAGTTGAGCAGAGGATCAATCGGGTCGTCTCCGAGCTATATGGCGGAGAGGTTCTGGTCGAGTGGCCTCGATTGGAGGTGAAGAGCGGATTCAGGTGAGGAGTGAGTGAATGGTGACACGGTGGGAATCAGCGCGGGAGCGACCTACTTGATGATACCATGATTAATCTGCATGGCGGAAGGCAGCAATAAATACAAAAAGTTTCCCCACGTCCATTAAAATTCATGCAACTCAGACCTTGGTACGATGCCTCCTTCCCACACTGAGGGCTACGTGGGTGATCACAGACCGGCTGCCAATGCCAAGATTGTGGTTCATAATGAAGACGCTTACATTCTTGACTGCTTAGCCATTGGTTTTCAGGTCAAATGACCCCTGTCTCCGATCTTGGGACGAAAGTCTGCCTCGTTGGCCTGGGAGGTCGGGATTGGAGGTGATCATGAAACGCTTCCCGCTTCCCTCCGACACCTTGGTTTCTAACCGCTCTCGAAACCCCCTCAGTTCACCCTCCACGCTTGCAGACAAGCTTGCGAATCAGATGACGCCCCATTTTGCAATGCAATCATGTCAAGCGCTATTTGCACAGCCGCTTTCGTTTGGAAAATGGGCAGAGATCTGTCTTTGGGTCTCCCAGTGGGCTTCACATCTTCTCTCATCTCTGGACTGATGATATGTACACCGACCCGACTCTTGAGGACTCAGATGCGAGATCATAACACGTGGATCTCGTGCCACTTGCCAAGCACGCATATGTAAAATAGGCTTTGCTCACTCCTCACCTCACGCTTGAGGGAAGTGGTATTTTCCATCACCGCCAACATCGCCGGCTTCTTAAGCAATCCAGGTGCCATGCGCCGCTCAAGCCCGTCGAGGCTCTTGTTACCCGCCTTGCTCTTCATATCCTCTCAGCAGAACTTCGGCCTCGCCGCCCCGGCACCCACGTATCACAATGAGAGGCACGATGAGAGGGATCTCTCCGGCGCCGTAGGAGATCTGATCGACGACTTCGGTGAACTGTTGAACGACACAGCGAGTCTCTTGTCCCAATTTGTGGCGGTGATCAAGGAAGTCAAGAATTCAACAAACGAGAACGATCTCGTCGGACTGCTCGGTGTGAGTGTTATTAGCAGTGGCAAGAAGGATGATGATGATGATGATGACGACGACGAAAATGGCGCTGGCGTCAATGGGACGGTCAGCGCCGTCGCTGCGAATGGGACTGTGACGTGTCCGGACATGGCAGTCTTGTTCGCCCGTGGGACAGCAGAACTCGGTACGTGAACTCTTCGCTCTTGCCCAGGCACTCGCCGGTGGTTTTACACCTCCGGTTCCGTGGCTAATGTACCATCGCAAACAGGAAACGTCGGTCTGTACACAGGACCGTCATTCTTCACAGCGCTCCGCAACTACATCAACGGAACATCAACGATGGCCGTTCAGGGAGTTCCATACCCGGCCTCCATCGGCGGCTTCCTGCAAGGAGGCTCACCGCTCGGCGCAGGCGTCATGGCCGAACTAGCCAACAAGACTGCCTCGGCCTGCCCCAACACCAAGATCGTGATGGCTGGCTACTCCCAAGGCGCACAGGTCGTCCACAACGCAATGGAGAAGGTGGTGGCCATGTCCAACACTACCGCTTCTAACAACATCGACGTTGCATCCCGCGTCTCCAGCGTCGTCCTGTTCGGCGACCCACGCAACGGCACCGCCATCGCAGGTATCGACCAGGGAAGGGTCCTGAGTCTCTGCAACGCCCAGGACAATATATGTGCCAAGGGCGGCGACAAGATCACGCTCGACCACCTCACGTACAACCGTGATGCGCCTCAGGCGGCCATGTTTGTGATGCAGAGGAGCGCGCTGGGGTTGATGAGCAACGACGCTATGATGCAGGGTATGAGTAACGTGCCGGTGGTCAAGGTTGGAAAGGGACAGAACGGGGGGCAGCAAGTTGGGACTGGCCTGGGTCTACCTGAGATGTGAGGGTGATAGATGGTACTTGATTGTATATATATTTACGATCTGATATCGTTTAGCGGTGATCCGATTGAGCTCATTTCAGCATGTATTATCCGACTTTGGGTGGTTTCGTCCCCAATTCCCCCCATACACTGGCATATAAAACGTACCTAGGTATGTAGCGCCTTTACATGGTGTGGTACTGAGATACTGCACAAAATACTACAGTGCTGGTCTTCAATGGGAGACTGAACTGCCAGTGTGATTTGGTGAATCCATACTAATTGGTCCTCCCATGGCAGCCTTCATCGAAAGATTAGCACGCGTAGCTCGTCACAGACCGCGCTGATAGATTTCATTGTACTCGGTCCACGAACTGCTCATGTGCACCTCGCACAGCCTGAGGTGCTCAAAGCTTTAATTGGAGGCCATTGAGTATGCTTCTTACTAGGTACATACATATCATTGATGTCCTCTGCCAAGGCATCAACGAAGCGGTCGGATTCAACCGCTGCCAGTAAATGCAGATAAATTGCCAACCAACGGACCCTGGTATTCCAAGTCAGTAAACTTCGTAACACCAACTGTACTGCAGCAATTCGTGCACTTGCCATGTAGACCAAGTTCCTCTCCTTGATCAACCATCTTCCTTGCCCAGAGAGTGTGAGTAAATCCTGGTACTGCCCATGTGCATAGAGCACCTTGGACAGAAAGGTGTCAGCATCAATGATATACAACCCTCGTGACTCCAGAACACTACGAGAAGGCAAGAGCATGGTAAAATCTGGGAGGACTGGTATACCTGGCCCTCGGCCTCCCCTTTCCCAAAATGAGCTGCAGTATAATACGTTACCACCCTGGCACACGACCCCGCGTCATCAATCCGGATTGCCTGCGTGCCATAATTGTGTTGCGTCCCCGCAAATAGTCCCAGCGAATTTTCAAGGGTGTTCACGATTTCAATCAGGCCCGAAATGACATTTATGGGTTCGGAGTAGTTGGCCACGGCGTCCGAGTGGAAGACGGAGGAAAGGGCGGTGAAGTTCTTTGAGTCGATGGCGAAGGCGTATGTGGCGAGGGTATTGCGGATCTGAGACTCGGCCATGAGGTCTGGTAATGACGGGTTGGCGTCGGGGGCGAAGAGGTAAGGAAGGGAGGGGGGCAAGATTGGAGATGGAAATGAGGCCATGGCCAGGGCGACATGGGAGATTGCGAGGAATAACCGCATGTTTGGGTAACGTGACGAGTTGCAATAGTTGAGATGTAGTTGATAATACTTGAGTACCACGATGGGGCGGGGATGCGCTGTTTCCAGGGCCCGCGCGGTAAAAGCTTTCCAGTTCGAGTCTCAAAAGTGCTAGGAGGTTAGATCAAGCAGTGATAACAACACTATCCTTAAATACTAGACTACCTAGGTACCCAGCTATGTCGTGTAACCTTACGGGTGCCCAGGCGAAGTTGCTTCTCTTCCGAGATTGTGGGAGGCAGCTCTTGCGCTAACTAAGACTACTGCTTACCTACTTCCAAGGTTCGTAGGTACTGATTTATGCACGCAGGGGTCGGCACCATCGGCCTAGCCTAAAGAGAACATTGGCCGTCAAGAGGTCGGACTAATTTTCCCAGCTTCCTCATCTCAACTGGACTTGCCTTTCACACTTCCTTCATCCGTCATGGCTACGAAGACGAAAACTTGGTTACGGCCACTCGCCGGCGTGTCGGCCCTGATCACGGCATCACTCATTCCGTCCCTGTGTGCTGGGGCGACTGGGACTGAGCACACTGTGCAGGCCACACATAACGAGCAACTCACAATGGGGAGCGACGAGATACTGACCGGCACTTTACCGTCACTGCACTTGCTGATGAAGCCGATCTTCAACGAGTCTACTCAAGGGCCGGACGGGCGACCGGAGCCTATCGCAATCAATATTACCATGAAACTTCGTGTGCCGAGGGACCGATTCGGAGCTGACACACCTCTACTCTCACTGCCTCTGATGGTTGCCAAGACACCTACAGCAAGTTATGGTGACGATAATCCTCTTACCGCTAGCGTCAATAATGGTGACTTCCACCAGCTGGAGTATTTTGATGATGATCGCGTGAAAGGGCCAAGATTGTGGTACTTGGACCAGAGTAAGCTCCAGGGAGACCTGGCATTGGAAACGGAGGAGATTACTGCGATCACAGTCAAGTTCACCGCCCCTTACCGGAGGACAGATGAGAAGACCTTGCCTGGGCCAAGGATCGATCTAAGAAGGGATGTCACCGGCGGCGGACTGGTAGGCCAGGGTGAGGGGTTCATCCCCATTCCACCTCCTCCATCAAAGGAGAAAGGCAAAAGGGAGACATGGCAGTCAACGGTAGAATGGGATCTTGCCGACGCACCCTCAGGCGTTCACGGAGCGTGGTCCCTCGGCGATGACCACGTGTCCAGCGCCATCGGCACAATGGAATTCACCATTACGCACGCCATCTTCGCAGTAGGATACCTGCGGCGCTCCCCAGAGTGGGACATTGATACCACTTCCTGGTCTGGGGAGGACAGCGGCAACACTTTCGCAATGTATTGGTTTGATCCCTCACCTTACGACATGGTCGACCTCGCAAAGTCCACGCGCGCCATATACGCTCGCATCGCCGCGTACTTTGACAACTCTACCGACCCATTCCGCGTCTTCTTCCGGCAGATAGAGGCCAACTCAGGTGGGACCGGCGCATCGTTCAGCTTCATGGTCGAGTACTCTCTTCTGTCGGTGGACCAGACGGACGAGCACGCGCTGGCAGACCTGATCGCGCATGAGACCGTGCACGAGTTCGCGCTACTCGACGAGGCGCTCCCTGGTGAGAGCCCTCCCGAGTGGCAGGAGGACGAGGCTGCATGGTATGTGGAGGGCGTGGCCTCGTATGTTGGCGCGCTGGCTGGATTGAATGACCCATTTAGGAGGAAGTGGATGGTGAAGAGCATGAACAACTATGCGCAAGCCTACTACACTTCGCCCGTGGTGAGGCTGCCGTATGATGACGTGCTGTCGAACTACTGGGATAGCGTGGATATTACTCGGGTCAGTTATTATAGGGGTTTGATATTCCTGGCAGAGCTAGATGGGATGCTCTGGAGCAAATCACAAGGTAAGAGGTCGATGGACGATGTGATCGTGGACCTTTACAAGCTGCGGAGAGATGGCCAACCCTGCAGTTTGATGGCACTGAAGGAGAAGGTGGCTGGACTAATCGGACAGGAGAATCTTGACCGAAGCTATGATGCCATGTTCAAGGGCGATCTGATAGTCCCGTCAGAAGAATGTCTTGAGAGGTATGGGCTGAAACTTGTCAAGATGAAATGGCACAAGTTTGAGCTCGGCTTCGAGACGCAGTCAATGAGAGAGTTCAAGGTTCGCGGGTTGGTTCCTGGATCGGCGGCAGATAAGGCAGGGGTGAAGGAAGGTGACGTCATTGTGAAAGGATTTATGGTATGGATAGTTGAAGATGAGCTGGATGTCCCGATGAGGATAGTTGTGTTGAGAAACGGGAAAGAAGTGCAAATCGAATGGTGGCCTCGGAGTGACGAAGTCGTTGAGGCTTACGGGTGGGTTGACGACCGAGACCCAAGTGGTCTTTATGAGCTTTGACGTTGCCGAGAGCATTATGCTGTGCCACATTCAGTGTATTTTAGCTTTCACGGGCATTTATTTAGGTCTTGGGATTGATCAATCAAACGTCGAAGCTCTCTTTGCAGCTTCAAGCGCTGGAGCAAATGGGTGGATGCTGTAGGTCCTGAGAGACCCCATGGTCGGAACTTTACGAGAAACTACGAAGGCTTCAAATGTGCTGTATCATAAATCGTTCCACATTTCAAGTGAAAATGACACGTAGATCTTCTTGAACAAAAGAACGATAGCTTTCACGTGTTGGAGCATATGCATCGACAGGTTCAACCTGGTACCTAGGTAGTTACTGGGACCAATTCTTGTTTTCATTACAACCATGCCGTTCTGCGGACTACTGGTACTTTTCCATAATTGTTTTCAACAGCTGCTGGTCGATCGCCTCAACCGTATTCCCCTTGTGCCCAACTGTTGTTTCTGCCATGCATATAGAATTATAGATAGCCTCCTCCGTAGCGTCTGCGGCAGCCTCGAACAAGCCATTGATGGTCGTGTCATCGATCACCTCCAAGCCCAGTGCTCGCGCCTTGAAAGGATCAAGTGCTTTGTTGTCGGCGGTAAACTGCTGCACGGGGATCTTGTTGGCCGTGGAGAAGGCCAGGAACAGATCGCCTGAAGGGTTATGCCCGTACCCTCCAACTCGTGCCAACCCGACGGTGGCCCGCTTGGCGAGCCGCTGGAGCTGTGTCGGATGCAAGGGAGCGTCTGTGGACAAGATGATGATGATGGACCCGTCCTTCTTGTCTTTGGCTTCTTCGGACTTGGCGATGTGAATCATTGTAGGCTCCTTGCCCTCCTTCTCCAGATGCTCCATGACGAGCCTCCCGACTGGGACCCCCGTCACGCGAAAGTCTCTGATCCGTCCGTAGTTTGACTGGACCAGCACGCCAACAGTGTAATCCTTTGGTTTGGCATTTCCATCCGCGTCAGGAAGCCCGAGGCCACTCACAACGCGGCTGCTTGTCCCCGTGCCCCCCTTGAAGCCCTGACACACCATTCCTGTGCCACCACCCGTACATCCCTCAGGCGTTAGGTCTGCGGTAGCCTCGTCGATCCCCTTGACGATGTGCTCGGGCTTGACCGCAAAGCTAGTCATATCGTTGAGGTAACCGTCAAACGTCTCGGCCACGACGGGCAGGAGGAACCAGCCGACAGCCCCTTCGTTACTATGGTGCTTGATGGCATGCTCATATATGCCCCTGTAGGCCTCTCCGACGGAGAAGGAGTTGGTCAGCACGATTGGCGAGTGCAGCAGGCCCGACTCCTCGATCCAGTGGGAGCCGGTCATCTCGCCGCTGCCGTTGAAGCGGAAAATGCCTGCGTAGACGGCATGGTTGAACCAGTCCTTGTGGGGCAGGATCACTGTCGAGCCGGTCTTGATGTTGGGGTTGGACGAAGGACGCAGTGTTGTAGTGTGGGTAAGCACACCCTGCACGTCGGTGATGCCATTAAGCGGGCCGGTGGGCCAGTTGCCGATTTTGAGGTCGGGGAGTAGCTCCCTCAGACGCTGGCGCGGCTGAGATGACGAGCTGTTGGACGATGCCATGATCAACTTGAATTCCTGCCAGGGCTGAAGGAGACCTGGTGCTCGAGGGCAGGCTTTGGTGGGCGGATCAGTTTTCTTCGCGCTGATGCCGGTATACTTATAGGCGTGGTCAAGGACGCGTCAACTGGCAGCTCAGTATTATCTTGTTATCTAGGCCTCTCACGTTGGGCGGTGGGGCAAGTAAGACGGGTCAACTTCCCTCGTAATACCGAAGCACACCAGTTCAACTGTACATTATTCATGGCCAATAACCTGCGGCTATGGACGATGTGGTTATGCGGAGCTCGTATGACTCCCTACCGACATCAACTACGGAGTACCTGCATACTGTACGGAGTAACAGAGAGAGCTCCACATGTATAATACGTATTATTCACCCCGAGTCCGTAAGCACATAGACAACCAGGTGCGGGGTCAATGATGTTCCCTGGTTCCCCACGCATCTCTACCCCAACCGTTCTCCAAGTCGGAGTCCATTTTGGCCATTGTGGGGATGGGCATGGCTCGATGACGATCCGGCATCCTGTCCCCGGTCTCCTCCCTGCCGCTCGACTCCTGAGCCGGCCCATCGACCGGCCCGTCAGCCAGTCTGCCAGTGTGTCTCGTGTGAGGGGAGAGCAACTGGTCCAGAGCTTGGCATCGTCAAGACCCAATGCCTCGGTAGTTGGTTGGGGTTGAACTGACCGTCTTGTCTGCTGCGTATTTGCAACATCGTCCTTCCTGCACGTATTGCCCATCATGACACCTGCAGTGAGAGTCGTTCCAGGGGTATGTCTCCCATCTGCCCCCCCCTCCCACTAACCTTGGAACATTGTTGCCTCGTGAAGTGCACTGCTGATGGCTCGTCTCGCAGGCCGCCACGAGGGCAGTGAACCTGCTGCGGGCGGTCCAGTTCACCCACCCGCCATCGTGTCCCTGCCACTCCAACCCGGGCCACCATCATCACCACAGGCATGGCCCTCACTCTGCTGTGCGCCGCTATGCAACCCCCCAGGATTCCTCGCAGATCAAGGAGTATGCCTTCGAGATGGCCGCCTCCTCCATCCGGTTCGGACCCGGCGTCACGCGCGAGGTTGGCATGGACTTCAAGAACATGGGCTCCAAGCGTGTCTGCGTCGTCACCGATGAGACTGTTGACAAGTTGACGGCCATGCAACAAGTCCGTGAGGCATTGACGCACGAGGGCGTCAACTTCAAGGTCTTCAACAAGACAAGGGTCGAGCCCAAGGACAGCTCGTAGGTCTTGGCCCGGCTTCTTCCCTCCCTCCGCCACCACCACTGTGCTCCCACTGACGCCTCTCCTCCAGCATCCGCGAGGCCATCGACTGGGCCAAGCCCTTCAACCCAGACGCATTCCTGGCCGTGGGCGGCGGTTCCGTCATCGACACCGCCAAGCTGATGAACCTGTACACCTCGTACCCGGACGCCGACTTCCTGGACTTCGTCAACGCCCCGCTCGGAAACGGCCGGCCCATCGACAAGCCATTGAAGCCCCTCGTCGCCGTCCCCACCACCGCCGGCACAGGCTCCGAAACCACCGGCACCGCCATCTTCGACCTGGTCTCCAAGCGCGCCAAGACCGGCATCGCCCACCGCAACCTGAAGCCCACCCTCGGCATATGCGACCCCCTCAACACCCGTACCATGCCCGCCGCCGTCAAGGCCAGCTCCGGCCTCGACGTCCTGTGCCACTCGCTCGAGAGCTGGACGGCCATCCCTTATAACGAGAGGACGCCCCGCCCCCAGAACCCCATCATGAGGCCCGCTTACCAGGGCGCGAACCCAATCAGTGACATCTTCTCGCTCAAGGCCCTGTACGACTGCGTAAAGTATCTGCCTCGCTCCGTCAGGGACCCAGATGACATGGAGGCGCAAAGCCAGATGCTGCTGGCTGCTACCTTGGCAGGCGTTGGGTTTGGAAATGCAGGTGTGCACTTGTGTCACGGTCAGTCTTTCTCCCTTGTCACCATCGCTTCAATGTTGAAAGCCGTGAATGCCGTATCTGAACGTTTGTAGGAATGTCCTATCCCATCTCCGGCCAGAACCCGGGCTACCATCACGCCGGCTACGAGGTGGACACCCCCATTATTCCACACGGCGTTTCGGTGGCCGTCACCTCGCCCGCCGTGTTCAAATTTACGGCCGCATCCAACCCAGAGCGCCACCTCCAAGCCGCGCAGGCCTTTGGCGTGGACATCAGCAACGTGAAGAGGGAGTCTGCCGGTGAGGTCCTGGCAGAAGCGCTGAGGAAGTTTCTTGACAGCTTGGGCGACCAGCCCTCGGGATTGAAGCAGCTGGGATTTCGATCGGAGCACATCGACGACCTGGTCGAGGGTACGATCCCACAGGCGAGAGTGTTGATGTTGGCTCCGAACCTGGCAAGGGAATTACAGACTGAAAGGGAGCAGTTGAGAGGGCTTTTTGAGGAGTCCCTGTAGTTGCATCGCAATAGGACATGGGACCTTGAATGATACCAGCTTTTTCGCGTCAGCTGACGCGTTTATTCCTTCTAGTGATGAGAGCATAGTCAGATAAATTCACCACGTCGACTACTAGGTTTTTCTCTTTCAACCAAGAACGAGAGCCTTCTCCTCACCCTACATCAGCACGGAGCTATACTGTCAACTGATTGTTCTCCAGGCCGGGCGAATAATCTCTTCTACACGGATGTTTCAAATCTGGATAGAAAAGGTGCATCTCATATCGCAAATGTGTGAGAGCCTTGATTGTATGGTGAGAGGATATACACATTCTAGTGGCTGGAACCTAGGTTGTAGCAGTCTTGTCAGGGCTATGGGCTGAACGCCTGCAGGACCAACCAGTGGGTCCGTGCACTCTGCTTATCTTATCAGCCTAAGTGGCCTCCATACCTCTTGCAACGCGGGATTGCAGCTTCGCTGCCTCCCCCATACTATTCCTTAGGCAACTCTAGTTTTGAATCAACAATTCTTCACAGACAATTTGAGCCTTCTTTTGCTATAGGTCGCGAGGACCGTCTCAAGTTTATCTATTATATTTACCCTAAGTTCGGCGACCTCTCCTGTAAGAGACAGTGGTGGTGAAGTAAAATCTCACAGCAGGCTATGTCTACACGACATCCCAAACAACAGTTTTTAAATCAGCTGTAAAAGCCTTCCACCGAGCATTGTTCCATATGCAATTATGAGACAAGAGATTATTCCATGAGAGGTCACCGCATGAGTGATTCCAAGGTTATCAGAGGTGAGGGTATCCTGCAGGAGAACTAGAAATTTCGTTTCTACAGAGTGCCTGAATTAGCACTTCACTGCACAGCTATGAAACTATATTAAGTTATATAATATATATAGTTTATAGTAATAATTTTATTTCGACTCTATATATATTTATAAATATATATAGTGCCTTTATATAATAATAAGTATTTAAAATATAATATTAAAAAAAATATAATATTAATAATAATAATTATAATATAATAAATATTTATAATTATAACTTTATTAAAATAGTTTTTATAATTTATAATAAAAGAAGGCTTAAATTATTTATAAAGAATTATTAATTTAAAACTAAAGTTACTTAAAGAATAGTATAAAAGAGGTAGTAAAGCTATAATCCCGCATTATAAGAGGTATAGAGGCTACTTAAACTAATAAGATAAGTAGAGTATATAAACCTACTAATTAATCTTATAAGTATTTAACCTATACCTTTAATATTTATAATATATAAATAAAGTTAAAAAATATTATTTTAATATTAATATAATATTATAATAAAGTTATATAATAAAATTAAATCTTTAAAAACAGTTATTATATAAATAAATCATATAGTTTCACTTTTATTCTATATATATCTAAGGACATACATAGCGCCATCATATAGTAATAAGCACTTAAGACCTAGCACTTAGAAAGAATACAATGCTAATAACGATAGTTATAATATGATAGGTGAAACTATACTTATATAGCAATAGTTACTCATTGTTCTTGTTGGTTAAATTACTAGTTAGATGTGAGTAACGATAACTCTGTAGTCATGACTAGGTAGATACCTAGGTATCACAAGAGTTGAAGCATAAATGAGACTATGAGCCCTTGTGATTTGAAGCACTTGAGCTTAATGTGGATTGAGGTGGCATGATACTCCACATTTGCAATATGCAAAGGGCTGTTCAGTTTAGTGAGGTCAGAATGGACTGGGAATCATCTGGTGACGAAGCCTTTGACGCTGGATACATATAGAGTATATTCATTTCCCATTATCAGGTAGAAAATGGATGCGCACATCCGTTTGAATCCATGAGCAAGTCACCATGAGTTTACCCATTTGACTGCATGGCCGCTGCAGCCTTCCACCTGAACACCTAGGCACAACCAACAAAGCTTGAGGATCATATCCGACCTTGTTGTGTACGCGACCAAGCGTTAACCATAGCAGGTCCTGCAGAAATGAATTTCAGATTGCGATCCTCTCACATTACCTCCACATAGCCGTGTACTACAAATCTGACGAGTACTGATTCCAAGCCCTATCCAAACCTGTCTCACTCATTCACAGCCAAGGTGGGCCTATTTATTTTTTCTTCTGAGCCTGTTCCCGGGCCTTGCCCTGCTCTACTATGGCAGCCTGGACTGAAGGTCTAGCCACTAGGCGCTTGTGCCACGCGTAGAAGTTGGGATACTTGTCTTCAGGGACGAGCTTCGCCGCCTCTTCGCCGAAAATCCAAGGGATCGCGTTGTCCCAAGGGACGAAAGCGAAGTCGGCATATGTACTGCAATTGTGTCAATATTCCGCGCATACTGAGGCAATGGAGACACTCACGGTTTGTCACCGACCAGGTACTGCTTCCCTGCCAGGATGTTGTCCAAGACGCCGACGACTCGGACCAGCTGCTCGTCGTACCTCTTCCTGGCGCTTTCGAGCTTCTCCGGGTGGAAGTGACGGAACCAAGTGGTCTGACCAAAGTACGGTCCTTGGCCAGACATTTGGAAATGAAGATACTGCTTAGTGTGGTACTTCTCTGGACCCGAGCTGTAGCTGATTTTGTGGTCCTTATCATAGGTATCGGCCAGGTACTCGAGAATAGCACCGGACTCCCACAGCGTGATGCCAGTGTTCGGGTCTTCAATAGCCGGGGCCCGTCCGTTCGGGTTTATCTTAGTGTAAGCGTCACCCTTCACATCAGCCACGAGCCGCTATGCCATGGTTGCGTTAGATTAGCCCTGGAGTACGATGATCCTACCAATCTTGCACAGGTCACCAGGTACTCACACATTCATACGGGACGCCAAGTTCCTCAAGCACAATTACCACCTTCCATGGGTTAGGGCCACCGTGAGCTAGCACTAGTCAGTGCATCATGCTCTTAAAAAGACCGTGGCTATGATTGCATGTGAACCCACTGTGAACAATGATTGGCTTAGACATGTTGGTTGAGGTGAACAGCTTCCGTGGACGGTGGACGGTAAAAATCGGCAGGACAGCAACAATTACACAAACGGTTATGGTGGGATAAAATATTCTTGGATGCTGTAACTAATTCACCAATTTCTTTTTGCTTTCGGTAGCTGATTCTTATAGTTGAGGGCCAAAGTATCTATGCCGCTCGGGCATCGGGTTCTGGAGCGGTGAAACGCATGCTTGCGAATCATGACCCCGAGCTTCATTGGAAGCTTCCATGTCACCACCCGCTGCTAGCAATTTGCAATTGGGGTACCCAGTCGTACGCCCGAAGCTCAACGGATGACCCACATTACTGGGCGTATTAATAATGCGTAGTCAGCGGTTCGATTCGGGAAGTCTCGAAGTGTGTGAGATCTCGGCCCTCGGACCCTGCGGGTTCCACGCCGGTAGATGAGTCGTGCGGTTTCCAAAAGCTTCTGCGGTAACTGGACGGTGACGAGACCGCGAAGAAAAGCTACTGTAGGTTACATCGGGCTTGGTACCCGTCTGCAATGCATCACGCAACCGAACCTTGATGAACATCAAGATTGTCGCCAGCTGTTCTGTTGACCATGACAGTTGGTTTAGACGATGGAGGCCAGGACTAGGTGGTCTGTCACCGAAACCCGAAACGCTTAGACACGGGGGACTTACATCCGAGAAGAGCATACCTAGGTAAGTACCTGGGATTTGTGTCTCGGAGTTAGGGCGCGATGTGTCCCGACAGGGGGAGACTGGCGCTCGAATTAAGACGGACACACACGCACCTTGAGCAGATCAAGCAGGCCTAGCTACAGGAAGTGCCGTCTAAGCTATTCTGCCGGCATCGAACCCTTTCCAGTCTTGATGGAAAGAACCCAATTTGGGTTCGGAGTTGGCATAGGTCACTGCCCCGTCCAAGGCATCGTGGGTAACAAGAGCGCGAGCTGCATGGACAAGAGGCAGTAATGCTTATCCAGAGTCTAATAATAAGTGCAACTACCATACACAATCATGCGACTTGCAAAGTTGACTTCAACTGGGGCAGCCAACCCGGCATGGAGTCTCTACCTTGAAAGACTTGGGCGGACACGATGCTGTGATTAGTTTGTGACGTCAGGGGCTATCCCATAGTAATCCGAAATGATCAGAGAAAGAAACTAGCGGCCCGCTACCTAGGTATGGACGGTTCATTTCGCGCAGGATTCCACCTGGGCATCTCTTCCGTGATTGTTCTCAGAAGACGGGAGGTGCAGCCTGTGTCAATGATAGTAACCCAGAAATCAGAAGGCTCCTAGGCGTTCCAGCTCTTGTTAGAGGTTGTCCTACGCTCCAAGTCAGAGAATGTACAACATTTGAAAGAGACGGGATCGAAGGCGTGCCCAATCGAAGGGGCTTGTTCACTGTTTACTGGTTTCGCTTCTATTCCGTTTACGTCCGAGGACATACATGGCGCTTTCATACGGTGGTAAACGCTCAAGACCCAGCGGTTAAAAAAATATACGGTGTTGATGACAGTACTTAAAATACGACAGGCGATCATTTTTAAATACTAGGTTTTATGTGTTTATTAGTATATAAAGTCGCTACAAATACACACTTTAATGAAAAAGTATGTAGCTAGTGCACCCGGTGAACATAGATACAGGGAATGATAGGAGCAAGCACCTCGCTCAAGGAAAGACCCGAACCCATTTTGAAGAGAGACAATGTTGGTTACGGAAGTTCTCAAGATCCTTCTCGCGAGCCACCCTACCCTGCAGACAGGGCTGCAACCCCACTGGCAGCAAACAACCTATCACGGCGAGAACGGTGCCTATGTGCGGCGCACAGATTTTGGCAGTTTCGCAATCTCAAGGGAATCACCAAGGTCTGGAGGGCTGGTATAGGGAAGTAGCAGGCGTTAATCCAGGACCCGTCAAGGTTTAGAGGAGTATGTGAGGGTAATACGGGCGGTTGGATGATGCCCACAATGGCTCGGTCGAGGGCCGTGTCTAAATATAGGAGCAGCAAGGGAAAGTCAAATTCATTGCTTAGGTTTGGATGCTGACCTGAATGGCTTGAATTTTCATCAGAGAAAGTGTCTATGTGCTTCTCAAAACCTCATTGTCGACTGATGTGGTTTCGCTTCTATTCCGTATACGTCCGAGGACATGGCAGGTGCATTAAATCGCACAGTCATTCCCCCCTTGGCGCTCAATTAAGGTTTAAGTAGGCTATCTCACCCCGTGGGGAAGCTCCTGTGGATTCTAGATGCCGAGGCCACGAGCTGGGACGGCGGCTATCCCCTCACCTCACCTCGCGACCATAGCTTGGCTAACATCGATCCGAGGCTAGCTGGTGCAAGAGTGTATCATCTGTAGTGAGGGGTATGATAGGTTACCTAGGACTGGGGTCCTCGGGAGGACAAAGAAATGTTGATATCACAAGAGACATTCCAATTTTCTGTTCTCCTGCCCTCGAGGTGCTTTTACAAGTCTTCACAAGAAAAATACGCAATTCATCTACAATAATTTGGAACTCTCAATGGTATAAAGAAAATGGCGCCAACTGCCTTGTCTCCAGGATCCTTTCAAGACCTCTTCAGACCGTATAGCCCTCTTGTCACTGTCGCTCTACCGGTGACGGCAGCACTGGCCCTACATGCCGCCGTCCAGATTAGAGAACCGTATGCTCACCATTCTGTGATATTCCTGGGTCTTGTTTTACTCGGAACGCACTCCTTCATTAAACATGCGTGGGAAATAAACAACATGGATGCTACGGCGACCGTCGCGGGCATGCTTGGTCTCTTTGCAGCTGTACTGGTTGCCTCCGTGACGAGCTACCGGGTGTTCTTCCATCCACTGAGACACGTTCCAGGTCCTCTGTCCTCCAAGATTTCCATGTGGACGTGGGTGTACGCCGATTGGAAAGGGACGCGAGCCCACACCATCCGGCAATTGCACGAAACGTATGGCAGCATCGTCAGAATTGGCCCTCGGGAAGTCTCATGTGCCACTCCAGCCGCGATTCCCTTATTGTACGGGCCAACAGGACCCTCCAATACCTTTATCAGAGGCCCTTGGTACACGGCGCAGAGTACGTCGCCGGATGTTCATTCTTTGCAAGTAAGTTTCATAGCGGTTGGCGATTGGCATTGACAGATGCTAAAGGCTGTTTGACCTCTTCTAGAGTGAACCGACGCTGCCAGAACATAACCGCCGCCGCAGAGACTGGGACCCGGCCTTTTCGATCAAAGCACTGGCTGGCTACAAGAGTAACATACAACGCAACGCGGAGATGCTCCTGGATCAGGTCACCAGGTTATCTCATGACGGCTTGGTCGACATCCGAGAATGCATGATGTGGTTTGGATTCGACGTGATGGGCGAGCTAGGCTTTGGTAGATCGTTTGGGACCATGGAGGTCGCGAAGACTTCTGACGTGGTACATCTGGTAGAGTTGGGTGTGCGAAGCAGTAAGTAGCCCTGGACTTTCATTCCATTTTCCTTCTTGGCTATCCAGCAACCAACCCTACACAGGCTATAACACTAGTATTACTGACACAGTCTGGGAAAAGTCAACGTTATAGGGAACGTTCCGTACGTAGCACACGTCATGCGATTTCTCCCAAGCCCTATTCAGAAGTTCGAAGCATGGCTGTCAGATGCGGTCGACTGGCGGATGGGACACCACGGCGAGAAAGAGTTCGTCGACGCTGACGTGTTCGCATATCTGCTCGGGGAGCAGGGGAAACAACGACGCAAATTGGACCGACGCGAGTTACAGCAGGACTGCATGCTCATGGTTGTCGCAGGCTCTGACACCACGTCTAACACCATGACCTTCTGCCTCTACGAACTTGCCCGGCACCCTGAGGTCGTGGCCAGACTGAGAAAGGAGCTTGAACCCCTGGTCTCCCAGCCTCTTAATCCACAAGAATTTGACAGTCTTCGTGACAACGCCCCATTACTCAATGCTTGCATCAATGAGACCTTGCGCCTCTGGCCCCCAGTTCCATCGGGACTGCAACGGACGACAACGGTACCCTTGGCCTTGCCCGATGATACCACGGGTAGCCAAGGCAAGATCGTCTTGCCGCCCGGTACGGTCGCCTCGACACACACGTGGACAATCCACCATGACCCGAACAACTTCTCCGATCCAGACAGCTTTATTCCTGAACGCTGGATGGAAAGCTCGGCCGCGCACAATGCCAAAGCCTGGGCTCCATTCGGCTACGGATCAACATCCTGTATTGGCAAAGGATTGGCTTATATGGAGATGCGGGCAGTGCTCGCCCAATTTATCATCAGGTTTGACTTTTCCATCAGTTCAGAGAATGACAGGAAGTTTAGAGAGTCAGTTCGGGATCAGTTTGTTGTCTCTACTGGCGCTTTGAAAATGCAAATCTTACCACGGAAGCCAGAGTAGTGCTTCAAAGAGTCAGTCTCGAGTTCAATTGTTCAATTTCAGTTTGGTGAGGAAAGCAGACACAAGCGGCGATGAATAAAAGAGACAGAGATCAATCATTGCAGCGATGTCAGTCAACGATAAGATCAATAGTGTTAAATCACATGATCATTTCAATTCCTCGAAACAAGACAAGTTGACTTGGAAATCGTCACTTCATTACGAGAGGGGTGTTTTCGGTTTAAACCGATATAGGTCACAATTTGAAGTGGCGTTCTAGCGGACTCCAGGGCTTGACGCCGAGAGCCTATTTATTACCATCCAGCATGCTCTTGAATAGCCGTGGCTTTGGGAGCGCACCACTTAGAATTGGGCTTCTCAATCTTAATCTACTTGATATGAGAACGCCGAGGATGGATTGCATGGTGAGCAGGCCCAGAGACAGCTGGAAACTTGGTCGAAAAATTCAATTTTATATAAACAAGGAATGAATATGTACAGTAGAGTAATCATGAAGGTTGTACAATAGAGACAAGCTCTGGGTGGTTTCGTTTCTAATCCTCATAGATATAAAACGCATGTAGCGCCTTCATACAGTGGTAAACGCTCAAGAGAGACAAGCTCTGCCTCTACATTTTTACCCAACCATCGTCACCCCAGACGGGGCCACCGGGAGGCGTGTATGGGTTGGAGGCAGAAATGTCACGGTACTCCAGGAAAATCTAAACAAGTGGTTCTCAGTATTAGCCCCAACGCTATTGGCTATAGGGTAATACAGAAAGACCAAAGAGCACTTACCGAGGTCTTGTCGTCTGGCTGGTAAGCGCCCGGCAAAGCGATCCCCTCTGGCAATTTAGTGGTACCGCTGCCTGTGACGGTAATTTGGTGACAGTTAGGATAGAACTGGGCCAGTGACCCATTTGTGTTTGTTCTTTGAAGGCCGAGAATCTCGTGTCTGTGCCAAACGGGTTGTCAGCTACCTGAACTATGTAAGCCGAGACGGATGACAGGCGCTGGATAAGAAGGTACCGGAGCAAATACTCGCCAGGGGCGATAGATTTCGGGAGCGTCACGGTGTATGTGCTGTTCTGAGTCGGCAATCTCTTGCTTGCCCACGGAACAGACTCTGAGGCGTCGTAGCCGGCCTGGTCGATCTTGACCCAGACTTTTCCAGTGGTCCCTGAAAACTTGTTGCACGAGCCACCGCAACTCGCAAGATAGGTCATGACTGAATTCATTGTCAGCAAGCAAAGGCGATGTAGAGTATTTGAGGACAAGCAGTCAGACTTACCAGGTCCAGGGTGATCACTCTTCCATTCAGTCCACATGAATTTGACTGTGCTGCCCGCAGCAACCTCAGCTGTCTTGTTAGCTGGCACGTTATTCTCTCCGTCGATGCCAATGTTGCAAGTGATAGCATCGGTCTGCACTGGTTAGTCACAGTCCACGAGGCACATAGAATTCCAGACGGTTGCTTACAGTGAAGAGACCATCTGTAACTGGTCCATTATCCTTGAATTTTCTTGTGATCTTGTTCACTCCTGCCTTCTGAGGGTCCTTGTAGGGATTCCAAGCATCAACAAGGTTCTCCCCCAGCCATATCTGCTGGACGTATCCATGTGCAGACACTAGGGCCGAGAAGCCCAGAACCGCAGTGGCAGCAGAAGTCCTCATCGCGATTATGCAGAGAAATCGAGGCGATTGGCAAAGGACTGGTAACGCAGGACGCCAAGTATCCAGACTATGTTGGTATAGAAATGCAAAGGAGACACAAGGGAATCATGGACGCAGTTGGCGCGGCCTCTGTTGTTAAATAGGTGCGCCAGCTACAACATTCTAAGCATTCAGATAATCCCCACACGGTTCCTCGTGCACGATACCTGGTGCAGAGGGTCGGTCGACAGCGCTAAGACGAGTGTTGCCAAGGATGCTCGCTAAGGAGTCGGCACTCCGTAGCAATATATTCGCGGGACAATTATGGAGAAAGTCATCGCACCAATGGCCCTCGCACTAGACCGCAACGTCACACAACATAGCCAAAATCGTATCTGAGCTGCTAGAATTTTACTTTTCAGTATCAGGATCATTTCTACACCTACTTCCCCCATAGAAGGTAAAACATTGCGTCAGTAAGTGGTGTCGAGTCCCCGGAAAGGGGCCATTTCTGCATGCCTTCCTTGCCGAGGTCTGACAACAATGGCACCGAAGATACTCAGGCCGTGCAACGAAAACGTTAAGCCAATCATTGATATGCAGGGGTTTGACTGATTGTATTGTAGGTCACAACAGATATTGCAGGATCTTTTCTGCCTCCTGAGTGCTCTGCTTGGCGGCCGCGGTGTGGGACCGAATGGGACCTGTCTGTTGACATGAAACATGTTGGTCAAGATCATGACTGAAGGGGACTACAACAAATAATATCCGCTGCCGCTTGGGCTGGTCTCCATGACTCGCTGGCCAAAATGCGGAGAATCAGATCGTGTGGGCACTCGCTGATCGGCCAACCCCTTGTTTCGAAGCGATCAATTCAGAAAGCTCCATTAATCAGCCTACAATTCAGAGTCTCTGTGTGAACCTCGTACACCAAACTTTGGATGCTCTGACTAGCTACAACGATAACTGTCTGAGCTCTACGTGCGAGCCTACAGGCCGTGGAGGAGTGCAGCCGACACAAGTACACCATCCGTGTAAATTCTACTGGAAGAACATGCGTCCCAAGTTGGAACCCATCGGGCATATCTATAGCACACCACCTAAACACTTACAGAGTTTATCCCACTATAAATATACCTAAACGGTGCCCCTTAGCCTTATCTATATATCGTAAAGCTAAGGTTATAAGTACCTATTAAATTATAACTATTATTATTAATATTATATTTTTTTTAAAATATTAGATTTTAAATATTTATTATTATATATATCTTTAAATATATATAGAATAAAAGTAAAATTATATAAATATTTTTAATTATAAATTAATTTAATTTTACTTATTAATAATTTAAAAGTTATATTAAAAATAAATATATCATTAAATACTTATTATTTACTATACTTTAATTATTACTAATAATATTATATATTTTAATATAAAGTTTTAAGTATTTATTAATATAAATAAAATAATATTATATTATAATTATTATTATTAATATTATATTCTTTTTAAATATTAAGTTTAAAGTATTTATTTTTATATAAAAGTATTATATATATATTTAAATATATATAAAATAAAAGTAAAACTATATATTTAGTTTAAGTAATTAATAGAGAGTATATAGAGCTAATATCTACTCACCTAGTAATTATATCCATTTATCTAGTTTTTTTTAACTACTCACCTAATATAAGAAATTATATATAGGGCCTATATAAAACTATATATTTAATTAGGATTCTCTAAATTTTCAATATTTTTAGTATAAGCCCCTTCTAGACCCCTTCTAGCACCCCTTTTAGGACCTTTTGTCTTCGCCTTCTAGGACCCTTCGTCTTTACCTTCTAGGACCCTTTGCCTTCACCTTCTAGGCCTTCTAGGCTGCATGCATTCAAATACTAACTGAGTATTTAGATACTAACTAAGTATTTAAATACTAACTAAACGCTAGAAGGCTAGAAGCTAAGAAGGTAAAGGTAAAGATTATATACTTTCTAACCTTCTAACCCTCCTTCTAGCCTTCTAGCACTCTAGACTTCTAGCCTTTTAGTGTTTAGTTAGTATCTAAATGCTCAGTTAGTACCTGAATGCATACAGGCCAGAAGGCGTGCCAGAAAGCATACCAGAAGGCGTGCTAGAAGGCATGTTAGAAGGGGCTTATACCTAAAGTATTAAAATTAAAAAAGAAAATCATACTATAGGGTCTCTTAGTGTTAACTTAAAAGGTACTTATAAATATAAGGGAGTTACTTAAAAAAATTAATATTAGGTAAGTAGTTAGTAGGAACTAAGTGAGTAGATATAATTACTAGGTAAGTAGACGTTAGCTTGTACCACCTTTTAATTTTAAGTATATAAATTTTTATTCTTTATAATAAAAATAAAAAAAGAAAGAATTTAAAAATATTTTATAAAAAAAACTATAAAACTTTATATAAACTTATTAATAACTTTATATATAAATATTAAATTAAGAAAGAAATTAATAGTTGAATAAAAAAATAGTTATATATTAATAATATAAAGAAAAAATATAGTGTGGTTAAAGCTATAACCTCTTATATTTATCGATAATGCTGTGACTATGTATATTTCATTTAAATACGGAGAATCGTAGATTTCACTGGGAGCAGGTACTGATGTTGGAATTCTTTTTCTATCTGGCTCACATATGCCTTCCTCCTCGGCTACACTGGAAACAGTGACTAGAAGACGTTTCGGCAAATGCGGTCAGGTGTGGGGAAGGAACCCCGTGACTTTCGGTGATACGAACCCGACACTCTCCTGGGATTGGTTCCGCTGGGGACATCTATAGGCTGCTACTTCTGCACTACTGTAGATCTGGCCAAAAAGCATAATCGGATCAATTTCTGATAACATCGTTGAAGGCGAGGAGACCTTATCAGCCGCCATCAGCCGTTTCACTAGGACACTTGTCGTCGTACATTCTAGCAATTTCTCCTCGCACACAATTCAGGATGTCCCGAACTCCGGCTTATCTCGCTTCCTCTTCAAATGAGCCACTTGACGTGCTCATTGTCGGTGGTGGGCTTTGCGGTTTGGCTGCCGCTATTGCCATCGCTCTTTCCGGACACCGTGCAACCGTCTTCGAGGCTTTTGAGAACATACACCCATTCGGCTCTGGGGTTCAGCTCCCGCCAAACGGGACCAGGTTGCTGTCTAAGTGGGGTCTCGGCGATATCCTCGACGATGTGCTGACAACCCCCAGAGCATTACAAATACGCGGCCTCAATGGCGATGTTCTCGCTAATCGGGCTGATTACTCTGAGGACATTCTTTTTCGTTTTCAATCTCCGATGTGGACATTGCATCGGGTTGACTTGCAGCGTGGCCTAACTCGTAGGGCTATCGATTTGGGAGTTCGCATTCAGTATTCTTCCCGTGTAGTAGATATTGACAGCTCCAACACCACGGTTACTTTCGCAAACGGCGAGAATCGGTGCGGTGATCTTGTTGTGATTGCTGATGGGACCTGGTCAACGCTTCGTCGAAAAGTGGTGGGACAGGATATGGTTCCTCGAGCAGTTGGGTACACAGCATACCGCGTGACTGTTGATCGCAGACAGGTACAAGAAAGAGACATATTGGACTTGATGAATGCAACAGAAAGTCGGCTTTGGACTAGCCAGGACTCATACGTTCATTGTTTTCCAATCAGAAAAGGGAGTCAACTCAGCGTGCTGGTCATCACGACGACCAACGTCTCTCCAGGGAATAACGGCGCTCTTGCTTCCGGGGTGGATGAACTACAGAAGCTTGCTGAGGGCTGGGACCCTATGTGAGTGTCCGATGAATGATACCCACACATGCATACACTGAGATGTCTTTGATGAGCCTGGCGGCAATATTTACGGCGGCAGACAGAGTGAAAAAGTGGCAGTTAGTATATGGTGAGCTACTTTGAACTAAATATCTTCGAATTTCCTAGCAGGCTGTATGGCTAACTGAAGACACCTGCACAGTGCCTCCACCACCCACGATTGTCTCCCCAAATGCGACATGTGTGCTTGCAGGTGACTGCTGTCATTCATTCAATCCGCTTCTGAGTCAGGGTCTCAGTCTTTGCTTGGAGGATGCTGCGGCCCTTGGCCAGCTCCTCAGTCACGTGCAGTCTCCGAACCAGCTACCAGACGCGATTGCGTTATATGATGGCTTGAGGATCGACAGGGCTAGGAGGCTGGATTACGAGACCCAGGTTCAGGTTGAGAGGCTGGTTTCTGTTCATCGTGGGCTTCACAAGGGTCCAGGGGATGTTGTGGGTATTTCAGACAAAGTGCAGGATTGGTGAGTCTTCATAGCACTTGAGAGAATGCTGGATTTAGTCGGAGCAATGCTAATTGGCACAAACCAGGGTTGATCTCATTGAAAAAGATTGGATTTGGTCTTACGATGCTTTTGATGAGGCTGAAAAGGAGTACGCGAAAAATCCCTTTTGACATATTCGCTAAGATAGTTCCCTTCCGCTGAAGAAATATGGTGAAGCGGACTGAGTCTCACAGTTCTCTCTAACATCACAAGTTACTCCTTCATCAACGGTCTTTTCGCTACCAAGCCCGCTTTTGGTGTTACAACAGGACATCATTGAAGATAAAAAACTTGTAGATGCGGTGCTACATTGAAATACGTCGTAAGAACTACCCATTATATTGACACAGCCTCCCAAAACAATGCAGCCTGCCCACAGAAGGCGAGAACATACCCCATTGGTAATCTATTGGGATGTCGTCATGTCCTTCTTCCACTGATCCACGACCTTTTCCAGCAAACCTTGCGTTGCGAGTAAGTCCACCGCCGTCCCGGCCAACGCTTTGCCCGTCCTCAAGCACCTATGGAAGGCGTCTTTCGTCCCTGAAGCTTTCTCGAAGCCAGGCGTGTGCGGGCCTCCACCCCCCGCCATAGGCACGATTGAGAAACTTGCGTTCAGGCTCGGCATGGCGTGGCTAACATCGCCTTGGTCTGTACTGGCACCAATGTGGATGTCTTGTTCAACCGAGCCCACATTCGGAGGGTCTAGCGCATTCCAGTAATTTGCATACGATGCGGCCAGCACTCGGTTTGGGACGTGTTCGGCGTACGCCTCCTCAACTGTGATCTTCAGCTCGGCCCCTGTTGCCTCAGCTCCTGCCCGGAAACAGGCTTCGACCTTTTTGCGTAGCTCCTGAAGACGGGAAGGTGTGTGAAGGTATGACGGAGAGTTCGCACGCACGACAAAGATACCGGCGGCGTATCCGGGAATAACCTGTGGTGCCGTGCCACCGTCGCTGATGTAACCTTGAATGATATCACCAGGCATTGTCTGTTGGCGAAGCACCGAGAGTCCACTATATGCAATTACCAATGCATCGAGTGCATTTATTCCCAACCAGGGGCTCGTAGCGGCATGCGCCTCGCGGCCAAAATATTCGGCTTTGAACCGGGTGTATCCAGTTGTATGAACAAGGGCACTGTCGTGTAGGATGCCTGGATGGGAAATCAGAGAGACGTCAACGTCGTGGTCTCTGTAGGCACCTGCTTCCAAAAGGCGGATCTTGCCGCCTCCGCCTTCTTCTGCAGGTGTGCCGAAGAGAACGACCTTGCCTCTCAGTCCCTCCCGCCGCATCAGTTCGGCTGTTGCCAGCCCGCCGGCCAATGATGCAGTCGCGATGAGGTTATGTCCACACGCGTGGCCCATGCCGGGTAATGCATCTGTCCAAGCTCAGTAAATGGTGAGGAGTGTTGACACGGAATCATAAGGCGCACCCATCTCAACATTGAGGGACACCACTGGACCCTTCTCACCGCTATCGTAGACTGCCACCCAGGCCGTCTCCATCCCATAGGCAGAACCCGTGACCTTCCATCCTTTTTTACATTTCAGAAAGCTTGTCAGTAAAGCATGAGCTTTGTATTCCTCGTAGCCAAGTTCCGGGTTTTCATGAATCTTCGTGTTTATTTTCCATAACTCATCGGAAATCTCCTCGATAAAGTCATTGATCTCGTTAAGGTATTTGTGCTCAGATCCCATGGATTTGTCTTTGGTGTCTCGGTCGCATACAAGAACGTAGTCGTTTTCTTCCATTGTATCGCTAAGCAACTAAGGCAGTCCAAACTATGGACTACTTTACTACTTTCCAGAATGTGCTCAAATGGAGCGACTCGGATATTTCGGTCGGTTCTCCAACCACCACCCCGTGACACGGAATGAAGAGTGCCGCAGAGTTACTCCACCTGCATCGAGCCGTCATGCGTTATTGGCTCGGCTATATCACTATACTGTACCAGTATAAATATACCCTCACCAGGGTAACAAACGTTAAATCCTGAAGTCTCAACCCACCTAGGCCCACAAAACTCCAATACTTAACTTAATTAGGAGAACAGACTAGGGACCAAGGTAGTAGATACTATTCCCAAAGAGTTAACCGATCTGTTCAAGTCTCTACACCATTAAGTTTACTAGAAAGGCGACTCACCCTTTATAGTGGGGTGAGTAGGCCTCCACTTCAGAAAATAACGTTTGTTGCCCCTGTGGAGGTGTATATGTCGGGGAACTTTGAGGTGACGCAATGTAGTCACTAGGTAATTGTGAATTTGGGGGAAATGCTATGGCATGTCTCAAGGCATGCAAATGTGCACACAACACATAGTGCACGCAATAAAGTTCCTTCAGGCTCTAGCTGCACCACACACACTAAAGATTTGAGCCATTGTGTTTCTTTCCACAAATGCCAAATAGTATGCCTGTTGCTCGGTCCTCGGCGTTGCGACTGGGTCAATGAAATACCATGCATAAACTTGTTTTGGGGGCATGCATAGTTGATTCAGAGACATTGCGTGTCTGGAGCTCGGTAGGACAGGCTTCATGGAAACCACTGCATGACAGAGACTGGCGATGCCAATACTGATAATGTATATTGTATTTGATGTGTAAACGAGAGGACACACTCATGTGTGAAATGGCTCCATGGAAATACTTAACGAGTGACTAGAAACACAAAGACAATATCTGTAGAAGGGCGTGACGCGCGAGGGGCTCTGGCTCGGCTACGTCTCAACCGCAATCTCCCTCGGGGCGCTCACAGCAACCTCCTGGTCCTCCTCCTCCTTCATTCCCCCCAGAATCATTGAAGGCGGAACATCAGAAAGCAGCTCAGGGGGGTTGGTGAAAGCAAAGAACTTCTCATCGTGCCATTGCCCAGCGGTGATGTACCTCCCCTCGCTGTCAGTAAACATGGTCGAGTCCTCGGCTCTGAGGAAGTACGCGATGGAGTAGCGGTGCTCGGTTGGGTCGAAGGGAACGACCCTGTGAATGCACGACTGCATCTTGTGGCCACTTGCAAACCGCAGAGAGTCACCGACGTTGACGATGGCGCAGCCATCCTTTGGCCGGACGAATCCGAACTCGCGAGCTCCTGGAGGGCGGATCTGAAGGCCCCACTGTTCAGCAAATAGCAGGGTCAATGAACTAATGTCCGTATGCTTCTGATGTCCTATCTTTTGGGCTTGAGGGTCGGACGGAATATAGTGCATCATAGCGAGCGTGGTCGTGGATGGGCGGTCGTTACGGTGAGTATTCTCGAACCGAGCGGCACCTGTGAGCCCGAGCCCCGAGGATAGTGACGACAAGATCGTCTTCGTAATGATGTTGCATCCTGCAATAGCATTCTCTAAGATCTTGATATCTGGACTGTTCTTGATAACGCTGGGCAAGTGAGGGCTGGACTTCTGGATCTCGTCTCGAGCGACCTGTCGACACATGCATTTAGCCAAGCGTTTTACGTACATGGAACAGCTTGAATCAGGGTGAGCGACATCTACTGACCTTGATCATCTCATAGCCATCCTTGGTGTCTTTAAAGACCCCTGTGCGTGAACCAATGGGCTCGTAACTGATGCCAACAAAGTGTCAGCATATGAACATAGAAAGGCGGTGTCGAATGTTTTATCATCTGCTACTTACCCGAGATGTGGAGAAATTAGTCCATACTGGTTCTTAACCTCAATGGGAGATTCGAAGAATCGGTGCATAAGCTCGAGAGTCTTTTGCTGGTCTTCCAACATCCTTCGGCCATCGATTCCTTGTAGATCCAGGTAGAAGAAGCCTTCGGTTTCGCAGCAGCGAACCACCTTCTCTAGCTCTGCCGGCTCCTGAGATAGAAGACGCTCGAAGCTGACCGTTGCCATCGGGTAGACGGGTGTCTTCTTCCCGTTCCATTCCACAGACTCTGGAATAGCTTCCTGGATCGCCATGGTGATGAATTTTTAGAGTGTATGTCAGGACCAATTGAATGAAGTGAGAATATCTTCAGGTTGCCTTGGCTTCTGATTTCGTGCCTTCACAACCGGCTCTGCTCTCTTATTAAATGAGCGTCGGGGCATTGGTGGCAAGCTTGCTGCGCAACGCAATCGATGCCGAAGTTGGCCTTCGGTATTTCCCCTCTTTCAGGTTGCAGAGACGTGTCCATGGGTACAATCATCCATGTAAACTCTTTCCAATCTTTTTGGCCTGGTTAAACACCGCTCTCATATCAAACTTTAGGATGAACCAGTATTCCTCTCCCTCGGCTCCAATCCACACCAATCCCGCTGCGCTGGCCAACAATCTCCGACCACATGGGTGTAGGTTGTATGACTCTTTGTGAACTTTCCCCTCACTTTGATACATTACAACCCTAGTAGATGAGGTCCGGACGATCCGTCAGGCGGTGTGCAAAAGTATCCAGCCACGGCTAAGGCGGGATTCTTCACTAGTAAGTTATACAGCCCACAAACGACCCAAAGAAGGGACTTTCAAGACAAAAAAGGCATTAAAAGATTCCTCGTTCGATGATGAGTAGATTGATAATAAATTACTCTCCTACATGCCTTGTGGTTATTGTGTGGTTAATTCTGAAAGTTAGGAAGTTTTGGTTATGCTAATACTTATGGCCGGATACCTAGGTACTATTGTATTCCGCCTGTCCGTCTAGTTACAGTACAAGTCACATTCGTGTGATCGTCTTGAAACAGAGCAATCAAGCAACGAGCGGGGCCGGGTGCGACCTTACTTTGCCCAGATTGCTACTTATCTTTTCGCCTGCCTATCTCAGGGATATGACGACCTCCCGCTGTCCCCGATATGGCAAACATCGCCGGCTAAATATTTGGCGAAAGGTTACATGCTCTATGGCCAATCCAGATATACACTATATCAACACAAACCAGCATTTCATCCAGACAAGCTTCCGAACGCTCCGTTCCCTCGCAAGCCTTGCATTCAGTCACTTCAAATGGTTAATCTGCCAAACTAGGGGGGGAGGTGAAAAGGGTGCTCCAGCAAACCACTTGATAATAATTATTAGTCACATCTGTTCGACACAGTGCCAAGATCGGCACGTACCTATTGATATGCCAAGCTTAGTCCCGTCTATGTATATCCCTAAAACGTAGGTCGGGGATTTAGAAGACACCGCCAAGCTTCGGCAGATGTGGATTCTATGTCACAGCGTATCATTTGCAGAGCCCGAACGACGGGCAGTTGCATTCAAGAGATATCGGACTGCAGTAGATCTCCGCGTACAAAGCAGGAAAAGCCCTACGTGGTCTCCCATAGAACATATGGAGTATCTGAATCATTCTCGTCGCAATCAATGACGACTGGGTTGCCCAACGCCATTTCGATATGGCGAGGTTCGGGGGGCAAAAGAGCCTCACTGCACCACAGGGAAAGCACGACGTGACAACCATATTGAACTACTGGGACGACCCTGGCGACGGTTCCAAGCCGACTCCGATTGTCATCGGAAAAGGCAGGATAACAAATGATCGGCCGCATCTACCACACGGCGTTATTGTGTCAGATGTTAGCGGCGACGAGGATCGATACACCCTCGACAGCCACGGATTTCAATACTGTCGAAGTCCAAGCAAAGAGAAGGATTTTTTGGACGACAGCAAGATCGTAACGGAGTACTACCCCGAGTGCGAGCAGCTTTTGAAAGGCGTCACGGGAGCCAGCCGGGTTCACATCTTCAACCACAAGGTCAGACGAGGCCCAACTCATTGGCATCATCTGGGGTTGAAGAACCTTGCGAACCGTGGGCCTGTCACAAAAACGCACGTGGACCAGTCATACGACGGGGCGGAGTTGCGACTGAGATGGGAGCTTCCCAATGAGGCGGACGACTTGGTGCAGAGGAGATACCAAATCATAAATGTCTGGCGCCCGATCAGGACCGTCGACAAAGACCCCATTGCTGTTGCCGACGCGAGTTCGGTCCCCGACGCAGATCTTGTGGCGGCTATTATGGTCGAAGATGACTACCATGGAGAACAATGGGTTGTGAGGCATAACGCAGCTCATCGCTGGTTTTATAAACATCTTTTGAGCCCCGAAGAGGTGCTTCTGATCAAATGTTTCGACTCGAAGGAGGATGTAGCTCGGAGAGCGCTGCACTCGGCTTTTGAGGACCCGGCTTATCGAGACAGAGAGTCTCGGCAGAGCATTGAAGTCAGGTGTTTGCTACTGTACGATGCATGAGAACACTGTATACATGGTTAGAAATCTGAGAGACTTTCCTTGCATCTGGAGATTGGCAAATGCAAACAGTGACAAGGACTAAGGTTAGTTTAGTACAGAGAACCTGGGAACCAGCATTTGTCCACTTTCACCGTCGGTTGGTAGAAGAGCTGAAGCCACCAAAGCCACCTAGGCACATTTGTTCCATGTACCCGGACATAATTCGACCTGATGTATAGTTTATTCACCTAACTAGGTGAGATGGTAGAACAAGATTCCAACACATACAAGTTGATGACGAGAACCACCTGTCGCCGATCAGACCAGCCATTTATGTACGTGCTGAGACCAGAATATGCTCAACTGCATCCGCGTCAACTCACTCGCGACACGAGGTCACTGCAACGGCTTGCTCACCCGGCAGCATCCCGTTTATTCATTGCACGTAGAGTCACAATCCGGACAAATTGGGATGCCGATCTCTTGTCCGATCTCCAACGTGGCGGGGTCGAGGCATGGATTCGCAGCCCGGATTGCATCCACCGTAACATTGTACTCCTGGCCAACGATGAAGAACGTGTCGCCAGCCTCAATCTCATAAATCGGATCCGCGCCCTCCTCTCTTGGTACGCATGGTCTAGACCCCGGTGGTTTGACGCAGCTCTCATTGTCTGGATCGCAGAGGTCGGTTGGGACAGTCAGGACCTGGCCTGCGACGATGAAGTTCGAGTTGTCGATATCGCTTGCGGCAGCAATGTCACACACGCCGCTGTCGAATGTAGCTGCGATCATCTCGATAGTGTCTCCAGCGGCCACAGTGTAGTTCGTCACAGGCCCGTCAGTGCAATTGCCGCTCTGTCTCGTAGACAAAGGGCTTGACAGTCCGTCTCGCGAGATGCTCAGAGCGCCAAGATTGATCACATTCCACGAACACGAGGGCATGACCCCGATTGAAGAGTCGTTAAAGTGGAAAAAGACATTGCGTGCCTCGCAGCTTGCACGTTTCGATACGGGATGCGGCTCTTCAGTTCCATGCATTTCGGAAGCTGCCGCGGTACCCAACACGCTGGCGAAGATAATTCCGTAGAGTAGTTGCATTTTTAACTTGAGAAAAGAGGTTGTATATAGTATCAACGAAAGACCTTGGCTAGAAACTCATAAAACGCGGACTGTCAGCTGTATTGAAAAATTAAAGGCAGTGTGTCCGGACTGCCTGGGAAAGCCTTCATTTTGTACTTCCAATGTTGGCATGTGGTCTTTCGCGGATTGGCAAAGCGTCATGCAAGGGCGTTGTTTGTCTTCTGGCGGACAGCTTGGGCTCGTCCCCCAAGCCTCTTATGAATTCAATTTTTAACTCTAAAATATTTTGGTCATTTCAATGTGCTGTCCTTGGACGTCTGGGTAAATGAAGTGGGCTAGGCGATGTCAACTTCATGCTTTGGTGGTGTCCGTAGGTTTCCCGGGTGAACCTTGTTCTTCGCGTATTCGGGAGAAATTGGAGATACCGAGCATGTAAGTCACCATCCATTTGAGCATATTTATGATAGTAGCTTTTTCGGTGTGGGATTTACGGTCCGGTATTGAAGAAAAGGAGATTAAGGCCGTGTTCAGCAGGTCTTGGTAAAGCAAATAGCATCATTGATAGATGAGTGCATCACTTGACCACACGCTCACGTTCCTTGGAAGACGAAGCTTGTCATTACATGGAAGAACCAGTCGTCTTCGATTCCGTGTAAGACTATACTAAACTCAAATGTCCGTCATGTGCGTTCACTAGTCACACGAAGTTGGGGCTGTGCTGTGAGCAGGCCAACCGCTCTCATCCTGAGATGGCCAGGGGTGTTCAGGGCTATTGGGTCACCCATTTCATTACATCAGCTCCTTGGCCGTGGGAGAGGGATCGCCTATTCATCTTGCAGCACACTGTCGTCTCAATCTTGTTTCCAGGACGAAATCCTGTGAGTGGAAGAAATCAATCGCTCCGGTGATTTCATCTGTTCGGCACAGCTTCCAGGTGTCCTGTACGGGGGCTTGGAAGCCTTCGTTAGACTATTGTGTATCTCAGAAGTCTTTCGGCTGACGAGAAGGATCCGTATCGGCGTCATTGAAGCAGAAACATCCAACAGTGTTCTAACGAGCACTCGTGGGTCATCAGCTTCATCGAGCCCATCAATGACCCAGTAAACCGGCTGGTCTTCCTTTCTTGTGAAGACAAGTGATTTGAAGACTCGATCCCATATGATCCTGGCATTTACCGACTCAAAATTGATGCGCTCTTCTTCGAGTTCCTCCAAATTACGACCGAATTCCGGCATGCTTTGGGTCATCTGGTAAGCTATAGATCGCAAAGAGTGACTCAGTCCTCGCCTTTTCGAGGCACTGAATCTGATGAAGAAGTATTGGCACTTTCTTCCTTGCTGTGTAAGGTGGTTCACAATGAAGGATGCCAGAACGGACTTCCCGGTAGCAGGACCTCCAGTGAGCCATAGTGCCCTAGATGATGGATGGTCCACATCAGCCCAGATTAAGAATCGCTTGTCGTTGAGAATCCAGTCGCTCGTTCCTTCCCTCCATTAGTCGCGAAAGAAAATGTAATCTGTGTCAGGAAGGTCGTTTATGGCCAGTATCATCTTCAAGTCCTTCGAGGCCTTTCGATGAGAGGCAGGCCCTGGACTTGACCTTCTAGCCAGGATCTTGCTCACGAGAGACTTCAAGAAGTTCCTCACAGTAACATAATTTGGATCTGAAGGGCCGTCATATTTGCACACGCCATGGTGATCGGCGTCCAGAGCCCTCAATAACTCTCCTAGGTACTCAAGTACGGAAGAATCCTTTTCAAGGACCATGATTCGGTTGTTCTTCAATCCGATCGCGGTTGGTCGAGTCTCATAGAATGATCCGATATCTAGTCTTAGTGCAATATATCGGAATTGTTCGTTCAGCTTCTAAAGCATCAGCGAATTAGACGCTAGATCAGCTACATATTGCTTCAAGTTTTCAAGTTAGTAACGATGCTAAACTATAGTATCCTATTCAAAGTCTGCGCCAGTTGCGTCCCACAGTGTAGTGTAGCGAGGAATGTAATCGCACAGATGGACTTGATGATGTCTTCATATTCCGGATCGTGCTAGCCTTGCATATAGCCCTCTTTAATAATGAGCCCACCCATGCTATGGGCTACGAATATTAACGGTACCTAGCTCAAGGTCAACGCAGTTTTCCCGTAAGAGGATTTGAGGGTGTACTTACACTGCCCATATATAAGTCTTCTATCCTCTCACCAGTAGCATATTTAAGGTCAAACAGCAGATATTTTGCAAAGTCAAGCGCTAAATGTCCAGAATAACCGCCCTTTTTCGGTGTTGCGTTATAGCCGAAGGTCAATATTCTCACAAGACATAGATCTAGCTCCAGGGCCAACAATATCAAGGGCCAGAACAGATCAGGGTCGCGGTTCTTAGACCATATCCAGCGACTCATACCACCCAAGCCATGCACGAACACGATGTCGGCTTTGTGTCCATGATCTGGTGTATAGACGACGTTGAGCCCAAAGGGCCCGGAGTCTGTGGCGCTCCTCTTGCGAGTTACAATGCCATCCGATGTGGCCGTCGTGCTCGGTGCTAACGGCATTTGAAGGCTCCTTTCTGCATCCTGAGAATCGCTTGGCGATGGACTGGTCCCGCGAGTGGCATCGTGTTTGCGATGGAGGAATTGTGACAGCCTAGCCTCGTCACTTGGCTTCCGGCCAAATGTAGAGATATTGCGAGACTGAACGGAGTAGGGCTGTCAGAAAGTAGAGTCCGCTCAGGAGGGGGTCAGGGCCTTACCATGGGAGTCGGTTGTGTGGATTTTGTGTGGATTGAGGATTATTGTCACCAAGATAGCGTCGACTGGTATGGCATGCTCTCTCACTGCGGTTGGACTGAAGGCATGTTGCGAAAGACAACCTGAAGCATTCTCACAACTTTCTGTGACGGCATCCGGAATCCCTTACGACGCTTGAGTCGATTTGGCTCGCGTTCCATCTTAAAGGCGTCGTTAAGGCTGATCCTGCAACAAACCAGTGGTCTAAGGATGAGGGGTGCGTGGGCGCTGTCTCGGAAAAACGAAGTTAGGCCCCCCCCCTGTTCTATTACCCCTGTAAAAGTTTACACACTTACTTCACACATATACTTCTATTCTTCTTATTTTTAAAAAGAATTTAAAAAGTATTAGTTTATTAAAGATTATATAAGTTAAAAATATAAAAAAATTATAATTAATTTTTTAAATGTAATTTAAAGGGTAAATTTAAAGAGTAGATTTAGAGGGTAGGCTTAGTTAGAGGGTGTGAAGCGATTGTGTAAACTTTTGCAGGGGTAATAGAACAGGGGGGGGGCCCAACTTCGTTTTTCCGAGACAGCGGGACCTGCATGTTGGTGCACCTCGTGCTTCTATTTCAGCAACCAACGTTACAACCTTGGATCCGCAATGGGTTGCCCATGCGCGAGTACTGCACCCTAGACCAGGCGTGTACCTAGGTAAGCGACCTTGTGGTAAGCAACTCCACGACCGCTCGTCAAGGCTCATAAGATGTCATTGATCCATGAGTGGTTGGAGGTTCACACATCTTCGTTTTCTTAATGTTAGTCTCCTCCATTGTTAACAGTTATTAAATCGTTCGCGCACTTCATTTTACCTGGTCGTACCTCAGGGATCGCTCATTGACGCGAGGCCATGACAGATTCATTTGACTGGCTCGACGGCGTTGAGGGAAACTTCCCTGTCCACAAGGCTGTAGCAAATGGTATGCATCCTTTGCTTCTTGACAAGTCACAATTGAAAATAGACCTCTCGTTTGTCTTGGAATTGACTTCGCTTGCCTCCAGTTATGCCCAGGGGGACAAAGGTCATCGCTTCCGAGTCGTCGGGAATCTCAGCCTGGACAAAAACAGCAAAGGTCTCCGTGATCCTACCGGACGGAAGCGCAACACGATATTTTCTGAAATGCGCAACCGGCCAGGGTGCAGCAGCGCTGGCTCAAGGCGAATTTCATTCAGCAAACAACATCAACTGCGTGGTTCCGGGTCTCGTCCCCAAAGCCATCGGATGTGGCGAGTACGACAATGACGGGACGACAACCTATTTCTTCCTAGGGGTCTTCCACGATATGGACTTTTCCACGCCGCCAGAGCCAGACGAGATTATTTCCCTGGTCTCGCAGCTCCACAGCCGGGGGACTTCGCCGAATGGCATGTTCGGGTACCCTGTGCCGACTGTGAGTGGCCGCATGGAAAGGACTGTCGCCTGGACCAGCAGCTGGGCCGAGTCGTTCGCACTTCAGCTCAAAGACGTGATCAAGTACGACAATGACACCAACGGCCCTTGGATAGAGTATGACGCAGTGTGCAAGCAGCTGATTGATGCCGTGATCCCGCGCCTCCTGGGGGCACTCCAGAGTGAGGGCAGAAACATAAGGCCGGCGCTTATACACGGCGACCTTTGGGAGAGGAACATCGGGGTTGATATGGAGACGGGAAACATGGTCATATTTGACCCAGGCTGCATGTATGCACATAATGAAATGGAGTTTGGCACTGTGAGTAACTGCCACCTCCCAAGGTCGGTTTCAGATGTGGACAAATCGATGTCGCGCTGTCAACAAGTGTCAGCTAATGATATTACTATTTAGTGGCGTTGCACGTGGTCGTACTACTTCAACTCGCCAACATATATGCGCGCATATCAGCGTGATGTTGAACCCTCCGAGCCAGTTGACGAGTGGGACGATCGAAATCGTCTATACAGCATCCACCCGTATCTGAATGATTCCGCAGGCCACCCTGGAAGCCGCTCGCGGCAGATGTTAGCTTGTCCCCTTCTACGTAGCTGAAGTCCTGGCTGATCCTTGCGCATAGAGCATACAATGACATGTTGTATCTGATTGAGAAGTACGCGCCGTTAGAGGGTCTGGAGAAGTGCGACCCGCAGAAAGACATCAGATCACCGGCGCTTATACAGATTTCAATATCACCCAACTAGAGTACCTAGGTAGTTCTGGGCCATGTGAGCCGTGGATAGCTTAGCTGCTACGTGCATCAAGTTGACCGTCGTGGGCGGGTCGAGGTCAAGCAGTTAAGCCATATGACAGATGACGGACGTAGTAAAGATGGGGAAACAGTGAAGGGAGTTCCACGATGCGAGGTGTGTGTTTGCCCTTGAAGTAAATTACGAGTTTCAAGACGGCCGGTGGAGTGACTGTTGATTCCACGTTCGCATTGAAGCCTGACGTCTGACCGTCCTCCGTGACGGGAAAGGGCCAGCACTATTATGTCTCGTAGTATATCCCACTCTCCCCACCCACCCCTCCTGAACAAGATCCGGTCACCAGCAGGTTGCTGGACTCGGTCCAAAGCGTCTCTCGGGTTCTTGCCGCAGTCTGTTCTTCCAACAAAGTCTTGTAAGGAGTAAGAGGTACGAGTGACAGGCGGGTACATCTCATACCGGTGGCGCGAGGCCAACATTCTGGGCTCGGGATTCACAAAGCCACTGGTAGCTCGGGTAGACGACCAGATGAGCTTTGTCTGCCGGACCCGGGCCCTTGACACGTGGCAATGGTGACAGAGATGGTTGCCAGAGTGCTCGGAGGTGTTTCGTAAAGGTGGATCTTGTCCTTGTGCCGAATAGGGTATAGATTCTTGCAGGTAATGTCGACAGGAATCATTTCTCCTTCCCAAATTCCACGGGTAGGTTCATGCCCACCCTCTTGGCCGTCAACCGCACCCGCTCCTCCTCGTCCATGCCCATGCCGGGGTTGTACCTCTCCAGCAGTGTGACGTATGTCCGCTGTGCGCGGACGTATGCGAGGTACTGTTCTGCTTGCGCGACGGCCTGTTCGGGGGCCGTTTCGGGGCGGAAGTGTTCGCGGAGGCGCTGGTGCACTGGCGATGGCGTCTTGGAAAGGATTGGCCGAGGTGGCAGCTCGCGCAGGAACGAGCGGTACAGGGAGCGGAGCCGTGGCGCTGCTGGAGACGACATGGCGATGGAGTTGCGAACGTGGGGTACTCGAGCTTGACCGAACTGGAGCGAGGGAGTGGTGACAGTGGTGATTTGAATGATGTATGAATGAAGAAGCCTTGGGTGGAGAATTGGGTGGAGAAATGCACTTACAGGGGGGGGGGCCGTAGCCTTGCCCGCCGAGTGCTTGTTGCCAGGGGCTGTGGTGCCTGCCGGGAGTCGCCCAGTGTCGTCACAGGCGAATTTTCTTGGGGCGGATTTCCTGCAAGACATCAACCATCAGCAGACACCAGCTCAGGCGTCGCATTCCCCCCTGAGCTGCCCACGTGGAGGAGACGCCTCCTAGCCTCCCTCTCACATGCGACCAATGTCTCCACGAGGTATAGCCAGTCTGCTGGCCATGCCACCAGCCCTACGGCCAATGTTCCTGCAGGCAGTCATGGCCATGCCCCGATCCGAGTCTGCGGTGCCCCTCCGTACCTGCAGCCGCCGGCCCTACTCGTCGCGATCGACCAAAGCTTCGCGCCCACGACGACCACCACCATCGCCACCACCTTCGCAACCACCACCACCACACCCCCACAGCCGCGATGAAGGGCCCCCACGCTCCTTCTCCTTCCATCCCTCGCCCCCCACCGTCCAGCCGCCCATCTCCCACCTCGTCTCCGATACCCCTCCCCTCGGCCTGACCCGCTCCGCCTCGCTCTTCAGCAACCCCAAGTTCCTCTACTCGGCGCCGCGCTTCCTGCACCTGCCCATCAACACGCGCACGCCAGAGGTATGCCTGCTGGGGCGGTCCAACGTCGGCAAGTCGACCCTGGTCAATGCGCTGGCCGGCCTCGGCGGCAAGCGGGCGGGCGCGAGCCACGGGTCCAAGAACAACCGCGCCGGCATAGCCATCACGAGCCCCAAGGCCGGCTGCACCAAGACCATGAACGCCTACGGCTTCGGCCCGCCGCTGTCGGCCAGGCCCCTGACGCGGGCGGAGCAGGAAGCCCGCAAGGAGGGCGGCCGCGGGCGCGCCGAGCGCAGGTCTTCTGAGGGCCAGAGGAGGGAGCCCATGCCCAGCCACAGTCTGATCATGATGGACATGCCGGGCTACGGCCTCAACTCGCGCGCCGACTGGGGGGAGGAGATCCTCAAGTACCTCAACCGCAGGGAGATCCTCCACGGCGCCGTGCTGCTGATCGACGCGGTGGCTGGTGTCAAGCAGGGCGACAGGATGGTGTTGGAGGTGCTGCGGGATGCGGGGCTCAAGACCAGTGTGGTCCTCACAAAAGCGGACAAGCTGGTGAACGACACGGATCGTGTCATGTGGGAGAGCAGTGCGCCGCTGAGGCAGGCTTGCCTGCACATATGGGAGGAGATGCGGACAGTGGAGAGGGCTGGCCAGATGGACTGGTTCGAAGGTGACGGCTGGAACCCCGAGATCTTTATCACGGGCGCGGGTGACCCGAGGTTCGGGGGCATGGGCATCGATGGCGCGAGGCTGTCAATATGCAGACTCGCAGGCCACGTTCCTACTCCCGCGAGGAAGTTCGAGGTGGCGCAGCCCGAGATCGTGCCATTCGACCAGCTCGTCTTCAGCACCTCTCCTTCGACGTCCACGCCGCCCCACAGCCAGCCTGCTGTCGAGGTACAAGAGGCTGAGGAGCAGATTCAAGCGCCAGTAGGCCGTGGGCGGATCAGACCATGGAGAGCTAGAAAGCGCGTCGACCAGATGGAGCTGATGGAGGCGGCTGTAGAGCGGCCTCGAGCCAGGAGACGTTTAGGCCCGGCCTCGTTCTAGTCCTGCAAGAAGACGATGCTGCCTTGCACTCGCGCCATCTTGGGCCATAATTCTGAAATGTATCCTCTACATAGCCCTGACAACACCGTCATGACCGAAACCCAGAGCCAGCGCTACGAATTCATCCTTTTGAGCCCATTCCGCCCAACTCGCTCGCTGACAGGTATGCCGCCACCCGAAAAACGGTATCTGGGCCAGAACACCTCGCGAAGGTTCTCCCAGAAACCCAAATCGTACAGGTTATCCACCTCCCGCAGACTCTTGGGCCGTTCCCACTCGCCGACGCCGGGGATGTTGGTGCTGTCCGCCCTGGGCGGGTTCCCGCTCTCGGTCCGGATCAGGATCTGCTCGGCCTCGTGCGGCCACCTAGTCCACGCAGGCTCGTTGCGGAGGTCCTTTTGACGCGCCAGGCTCATGCGCCGCTTGAAGGCGAAGCCCTCGTCAATCTCGAGCTTCCAGTCGGACCACTTCATGGACTCGTTGGTCGTGGTGCCTGCGTAGACCATGTACAGATTGTACAAGAAGAGGCCCCACACGAGCGGGGACGTAAGCGCCGTCAACATGGTCACGCTCCCCATTCCGACGTTGTCCTGCAGACCCCAGGTCCAGACAATAAAGTATGCGGTCCAGGTACAGCCCTTGGCTGAGGGCGGCCAGATGGAGAAGTCTGGGGAACGCGCCTTCATCTTGGCGCTGAGCAGGGACAGGCCGATGTATGAGCCATAGGCTGTCAAAAATGCAGTGCTGAATAGGAGAAGGATGAACCAGTGCAGGTTGCCCTCGCCAACGCAGCCGTTGATGAAAATGCAGTGATGGTCCGCCTTTGCGATGCAGTGCTTGCAAACAGTGCAGTGCTTTGACCTTGCGGGTTTCAGGAGCCGGCATGTGCGGCAGTGTGCACCGGGGTGGAAGAGAGTGAAGTCGTAGGGATAGTGAGCCATCTGCTCGACGTGGTTCTCGGGTGTGATGTAGCCCGGGTCCGATGCTGCGGAGAGGTAGAGGAATATGTATGGACAAGCGATGGCCGGCACAGCGACGGCCTTCTGGAGAGACCCAAGCTGTGGCCAGACGGTGGGCAGGTACATGTATTCACCGCCGACGAGAAGCGATATGAAGAATATCAAGACAGTCGGATGTCTGTCGTACATCATATAGTTACCAAAACGGCGCATGGAAGACGACAGACGCCCGGAGGTGATCTTCCGGTCCAGGGCCAGGAGCGAGTTTGGCAGTGTGGCCCACAGGAACCGGTGGAGCCATGCTATGGGGGTGCGCCTGGCAGCGGCAGGTCAGCTACGGGCGGCCTAGGATGTCTGATGTCTCCAAGCAACGGGAGGGAGGGAGGTGATCGTATCATCCCTACCTGAGCGCTGGGAGACGGCCAAAGAAGGCTACAAATGTCATGAAGGAGATGAAGAGCACCACAAGTGCGACGGTCGTGAAGGTCCCCATGGTGTCACCAGGGTCATTGTGCGAGTGTGACCAAGACGATGAGGACCTGCAACAGCTAAATTTATCCCACGAACGCCGTCAAGGGCGAGGCAAGTGATGGCTGTCGAGGGCAGCGCTATCACATGAGGCGGACGAGGTCAACAGCTGAACCAGGCAGCACGGGGAGGGCCGGGTGAGGCGGAGGCTGTCAGGGCGGGTGGTGCAGGCAAGCCACGCTCTCTCTCAGCTGTCGAAGGCACCCAGCCTGGTGGGAGGTGGCAGGAGGTGGGCAAGAGGTGGGCAGCCTGTATGGCGAACTGAATCCTCAGTCCGGAAACAGCATGTGCGTAGTCTGTCTTGTCGTACCTCTTAGTTGCACTCGGGCGTCAGCCTGCCCCGATACATGCATCTCGCTAGGAAAGAGCGGGGCACAGGCCTCGCGTGAGAGCGCGACTCACTGCAACCTTGTCACGCGTCGGAATCACGCAGGACATCGGCGTCGAGGTGTGACTTTCTCTGGTGTAAGACGCCCGTTTTGAGATCTCGATGACAAATTCCATGGCGCATACTTATTGAGCGATTCTGCACACCACCAAGAGATAGAACGATGGTGGGAATCCTCGGTTTTGAGGGATCTCACTTTTGACCAAGCAGCTCGTACTCCGTACTTGGTACCTCAGGTCGACCTCTGCCATTTCACAAAGAGCAACCACCGTCTCATGCACGCACTTTCCCCGCCTGTTGCTTTCGGGACTGAGTTTCACCAGCAAACAATCTGCCACTCCTATCTACCAAGATACACATGTGTACTTCCACCCAGCATCTCAACACCAACCTGAGGCTCTCCTCTCTTGACACTAGAGACGACAGTCCAACCCGGATCCGACGCGAAGCAGCACTTCACCTCTTCTTCCACCACTACCAAGGGTTAGGGTCGAGACCTGCCCGACAACGACCACGACAACAACCACGACAACAACCACGACAACAACACCATGCCGATCGTGTATGACGGCACCGGAGGCAGCGGCCATGGCGATCTTTTCGAGGGCTTGAAGCTTTTTATCTCCCATCGGGTGCCCCTGCGCGACAAATGGGTCGATCTTGTCAAGGTAAAATGAGATATCCCATCGTGCAGTGACCGACCTTTTTCACTGACACCCTCAGGGCAACGGAGGCGAGGTGGTGCCGCTCGAAAAACAGGCCGACATGCTTATTTCTGACCACCTGAAGAGAAATGGCATTGCTCCACCTCCAGGATCATATTCGTGGCAGTGGATTCAATTCTCAGTCCAGAACGGCTTCCTGCAATCCCGGGACGACTACCGAATCCAAGAAGCCCCGGCAAGACCTGCAGGAGCTTCGAGGGCCGCTGCGACCTCCGCGCCTACGAAGGGCCAACGTTCTAAATTCACCGCCCAAGACGATGATATCTTGGCAAAGTTTGTCTGGGACAAGGAGCAACAAGGTAGCAAAATCAAGGGCAATGTGATCTTCGAGGAGCTAGACCAAAAGGTGAACCTGGCCCATTAACGTCTATTTACTTGAAGGTTCCTCGTTACTGACCTCCTCAAGTATCCAAATCGTCATACGCCACAGTCCTGGAGGGACCGATGGGTCAAATATGTGTCAAACCGACCCCGTCCAAATCTGCCTCGAGAGAACCCACCGCAGGATGCTAGGGCGAGATCTTCTGCTGAATCTGATAGCCGTCCGGCTCATCGGGCGCCACAATCCCATGCTAGTCCATCCAAAGCACAACCCCCAGCTGCCAGACCTACAGGTTCGACGTCGGCGAACCAGGCGCAAGGGAGAACCTGGTTCACCAAGGAGGATGACGAAGCACTACTCGACATGATTAGACGCTTGCACGAGATAGCCGCTGCCGAAGGCAGGCCGGTTAGAGGACTTGATGGGAACAAGATCTTTGAAGAACTGGCAGCGAAGGCGAGTCCAGTCTCACAACCTCTGCATCAAATATGTGTCCATGTATTATACCGACTAACTCGATACTTAGAACACTCGGCATTCAGCGCAGTCTTGGCGCAACCGATGGATTAGGCACTTGAAGGCTACGTTCGAGCAAGAAGGATCAGAATTACAGGGCGGAGCGGAAGTACCAGAGAGTCCAGTAGCTCGGCCCAAACCGCAAATACGAGCATCCCGGGAGCCCGTCGCACCTCGGACCCAGGCTAAAGGCACCTCAGCTTCGTCTTCCGCAGCAGTCCCCAGTCCAGGACCGCCTACACGACAGAGGACACTCCCGGTCTCCGACGAAGAGAGGCTCAAGAGACAGGAAGAGCGCAAGAGAAGAGCTCGGTCGGCGATGCTGCTCCAACGACTGTGGAGGGGTCACGTCGTCAGAAGAGATCATGCTCAGCTCGAAGCCTCTGTTATTCCCCTACAGTCACTCATGAGGGGTTATCTACTACGGATGAGAAGAGAACAGGAAATGATTGATGCTTGGCAGGCAAATGCCGACCCGCTCGGGCATGAAAATGATGAAGACGACGAACAGTACGACGATGCCCAGGAGGATGTGAACTCCGAATTGGATGGAAACAACTCAAGCTTGAGGGACCAGTTCTACGAAGATCTTCGAGACTATATGGATGTCAGCGGCGCAAAGATTGAACTCCATCCTGTCATCCATGGGCGTGAGATTGAGCTATGGGAACTGTTCTCCACGGCAACCCAACAGAATTGTGAGGCCGAGGACCGTGATTGGACGCAGGTTTCACAGCGGCTGGGCTTTGACCGGACGGAGCTCGCAGGGTGTGCCAAGGAGTTGAAGGAATGCTATAATCGCAATCTAGCAGAGTTCGAGGAAGCCATCGGCTCCTACGATGACGAGGATGAGGATGAGGATGCAACAGCGATGGCTGAAGACGAACAGGCGCACGGTGACGACGAAGAACAGGCGCTGGTCCAAACATCGGACGCTGTGACGGCGCCTAAGGAGCTTCCTACAGTGCCTTTGTCCCCGGCATACCGATCTTCTTCACCGATCGCAGGCGTCAAGCGATCCTTTCAGCAATCGAATGATCTGCATTCTGAACTCAGCTATCCTTCGGACAGGTCCAGCAAACGCCGCCGGCACGATCGGGAGGCAGCAATTCCGCAAACGCCGGAGCACAAGCTCTGGTCTGGGGGAGGGTACAATAGCCGTTCAGCCGTGCAAGATTTCTCGTCGCCATTGAAGTCGCGGGGTGCTGCGACAGAACAAGAAGGCATGTGTTCGGTGGACGAGGCCGACGCCTTCCTGAACAATGGTATCCATGATACTGAAGAGATTGACCAATTACCTGACCCAGCGCCTGCGAGGAAACAGAGATTCGTTGAGCCTGAGACCCAGGATTTCGGACAAGGCATAGGCTCCGAAGATGATGTGCGTCAGACAATCGAAAGTGACAACAACGGCTACATGACAGATGACGATGGCAACAGCCCCTCACAGCAGCTTCATTCCGAATTTGAAGCATTTACTAGCCTCTCGCCTCCCGCTCATACCAGAGACAACGGTGTTGTCTCCACGAATCGACTACCTTTCTCGGAGTCCAGTCCTAGTCATAGAAGGCCGACCAACGAAAGGAACACGATTGTCTCCGGTACGGGGGATGACGGTGGGCCGGCCGAGCATGCAGCACGCAACAGTATCTCGAGCCTGAAGGCTACAAAGCGATCACTACCCCAGCATTACCGGACCCTGCAAGCCGTTTCGACTGCCGCGCGCCCTCCCGCTTCAGCCCCGCCACTGAGGTCCAAGGCGATGGTGATCGCTCGGCCTACACATGTATATCCAAACCAACCATCTGATGCTTCTCATCACCAGTCCAAGAAAAATGTGTCTGCAACGTCCACACGAGCTGTGCAGATATCCGCAGGACAGCACAACTCATCAAGGAAAAACCCGGCCTCATCTGCGCCCTCTCCAGCATTAGCACGCACTGAAGCCAGAGCTGATACTTCTCAATACAACCAAGATTATACCAATGCCCAGTTCGAGCATTTTCAGGCCTTGGGCTATTCAACCGTACACATCGCCTCAGCCATGGAAGCGGCCTCTCTACAACGTGGGCCCATGACAGTGGTACTTCAGTCGCTCGCGGCGGGCAAAGGAATACCTCAGGATGAGGAGGGAGTGTGGACAGATTACGATGATGAAAAACTAAGGAAGATCAGGGAGTACAGTCAGAAGAAGAAATCCGGAGTTGCTCCCTCGAGTTCCGGTCAAAATGCCAGGGAGAAGGCGCTTGTGGACGGCTACAGAGATTACCTGCTGAAGAAGCACAAACCACGGTTTTATGCCATGAGATTGGAATTAAAAGATATGTTGGACAAGGCGCCGCCTGAGGGATGAGTGTCGGGCTGCGTCGGAGCGTTCTCTTTCAAATACATGTCGACAGCAATTTTGCGGATGATGGATGACTTGAGGTCTTTCGGACTTCATTGGCTTTGTTTTCATGCTACCTATCAGATACCCTTGGGGCTCACTGGTTACTCGACCGGTTGCTCTTGAGCTTTATTTCAGTAATAAACCATTAACGTGATAGCTGAAGCAATTCGATCCAGACTGCGTGAGTAGAGAAGTATTCCTCGCGCCGAGACCCCATCATACACGTGTCCCCTTTTTTATTGACTGCAGTCTACCAGCACATACATGAGTGGTGTAGGCATGGCAAACTTGACCCCTGTGCTGTCTTCTTCATTCCCGTTCAGCGATCGAAGTCACCCTGAAAGCATTGAATAGGTGTGGTGGCTGACATCCACGTACTTCCTCACTCTATGCAGACAGACACTGGCCTAGTATGTTACCACCAGCCATTCACGGTTTCTCGAACATTACCATGCTGCACAATATTGATTGACAGAGATATCATCTTGTCTATCCCCACTACATCCAAGACCTTGTACGGAAAGTAGACCTGCAAGGTTGCAGGCCATATGTAATATCTACATGAGAAGTGAAACCGTCCGTCCGTTGCTTCATAACGTGAAAGCGTAAGGGGGTATCGTGCTAACTCAAAACCCGCCCACCGTCCCTTGTCTACTTACTGCTCTGTTGTCCTCCCCTCGGCGCCCGCGTGGGCATACCTCTCTTTATGTTTGGTTGTTTGGTTGTTTGTTTGTCTGCCTTTCACAGTGACCCGACTCCCCTCTCCTCGAGGCTTTCGTCCCAACCGCCTGTTTCGAGCAGCCACCCGCCGACGCGCTCCTTGACGTGCGTGACCCTGTCGCCGAGGGCGCTCTTCCACTGGTCCTGGACGATACGGACCTTCTCCTGGAGGTCGTGCGTAAGCCTCCGGCCCTCCTCCCTCTTGAACCCCTCGATCTCCTCCCTCCCGCGCCCGTCCTCCTCCATCACCCTCGCCTGCGCGGCGACCACGGCCTCCTTGACCTCGTGCAGGAGGCAGAACAGGTTCGTCTGCGACTCGATGAACTGGTACGTCGACTTCTCCGAGTGCAGCAGCAGGCTGAAGAAGTACTGCAGCGGGTGGTCGACGTAGCTCGGGTTCTCGACGATCTCGGCCTGGGGGATCTGGATGCGGAAGTCGGCGAGCGTGCGGCCGTCCCACTCCTCTTCTTCATCTTCCTCGGCATCCGGGCCCCCGGGGCCGGGACCGAGCGGCACCCGGTCCAGCAGCCGACACAGCGGCGGCGCGATGTCCCAGAACGCGGAGAGCTGCACCTCGACGCCGCGCACGACGTTCTCCTCGACGACGTCGTGGAACTCGCTCGTGCGCTGCAGCACCTCCCCCGCGAAGGCGAGCGCGCGCTTGCCCGCGTCCTCGGCGAAGAAGGCCGACGCGTGCGCCATCTTCTCCTCGTTGCCCGCCAGCCGGTAGGGGGTGATGACCATCTCGCGGTACCGGTCGTTGCGGTCCGAGAGGAGTTCGTACACGGCGCGGTGCAGCAGCTCGCGCGCCTCGAAGATCCACTTGAGCAGCGTCAGCTTCTCCAGCAGCTCCGGATGCTCGTCGCCCTCCTCCTGCGGCATGTTCGGGTTGGGCTCCCTCGTCTCCACAAACAGCCGCGACCGAAGCTCGTCAAAGAGCTGTGTGGCCTTTGTGATCCGGGAGGTGAGGAGGTCGTTCAGCGGGACCACCACAGCGGTCTGGAAGCGGTCGAAGTCTTTCTTTTCGAGCTCCTTGGAGGCCTGCTTCTCGCTCTCGCCTGAGTCTGCCTCAATGGCTGCGGCTTCGCTGTATGTCATCCGACCCAGGCCAACTTCCTGCTGGAGGTTAGCCCGAAGGGCTTGTCGGCGCTTGGCTGCTGCCGACTCGGCTTCATCGCGGAGCGCGCGGCTGTCGCGATTGAAGCGGTCCTTGGTCGCATCCACTTCGGAAAGATCGCTAAGGGCGCGCACAGAGGCCCGAATCTCGGCGAGATCTGGGTGGTTGTTGTTCACGGCTGGATGATGGCGAGGATAGGGCGGCGGGAGCGTGACCAGTCTGGAGACGTCAGAGTAGTTCGGGTTTGGGGTGTTGGGCAGAGAAAGAGACTGCTGCTGTTTCGGAGTTCGCGTCGGTTGAGGGGTGTAATGTTGAGAGGTATCATCAGGCTGCTGTTCGTGCCAGCCCTGCTTCTCTGGTGGGTATTCGCTCGAATGTCCTCGCGCGCTGGACTCTCCTGGGCTGTCCAACCATTGAAGAGCCTCGCGGGCTTCCTTGGGCACGCTCATGTACTTGGACTCCCTTTTCGACCTTTCCCATCTCGTAGATTCCCCAGAAGACGCAGACTCCCACCAGCGACTAGGAGGACGGCCGCGCGAGTCATCGTCGTGGTTGTCGCTCACGCTCATGCTCAAGATGGGCGACAGTGTTGGTCGGTAGTCAGTGTTCCAGTTTGTGTTGTTTGGTGGTGGACCAGTCGGCGACATCGGTACGGAACTCGCTGGTGGAGTGGCTGAGCTCGATTCGCCTTGCTTCGGGGTGTCCCCCTGAAATGCAGACCCTATCGAGCCGCGGTGCGACCTGCTAGGCAATGATGATTGTGGCGTCCATTCGCTGCCTTGCGATGTAGTTGATTCTCGCCGGTTAACCATGGGACGAAATAGGTCCCGGGTCAAATCGAAGATTTCTGAGCCCATGGCACCAATGGCCGCCGAGTACCGTTCTCTTCTGATCCTTGACTCATTGACAATGAAGTCGGCAAAGAGACGGACTCTCTCCGCATCGTCGACTGCAGTGGCTTCCTCCTGGGCGAAAATCTGAAACCTCTCAATCGTCTCATGGCGGAACTGGTCGGGGTTCTGTTTGATCACCGATTCCCTGTTGATGGTCTTCGCAGACTTTGGTGTTGCTAGTGCATGGTCAAGTGACATTCTCGCTTTAGAAGCCGATGCAGATCGGCTGTGAGGAGGTGGCGTTGGCAAGGCCTTTGGGGCCACAGACGACGAGCCCGTAGCAGCCTGCTGGGACTCCAGGGGTCGAGGGGAAAATGGCGGTGTCGATATCTGCATACTTGACTGTCTCGCCGAATCGGGAGCACGTGGCGTTGACCCGCTGCTCTCTTCTTCTTTGTCGCCCAGTCCTGCGCTGCGCGGTGTTGTCTGAGAAAGCCCTGCACTCCTTGGTGTTCCTCTGCCGATTGTCATTTTCCTTGAGAGTCCGCCAGATGGGGGTGGAACAACAATGTTATCCATGTTAGCAATGGACCCGTCAATTGAGAGTCGCGAGGTCCTTGTCCGGCTCTCGTTCCGCCTTTCTCGCAGGGTCTTGTCGCCTCTTACGGCGTTGTTCCTGTTCAAAACAGCGCTTGGGCTGTTTGAAGACTCGGGTTCTGGGCTATCATCAGCCCTCCCGATGGGATTAGGGCCAACGGAGGGAGCCCGCTGCCGTAGGGGTTCCTGAGGCCGGGGTTGGGGCTCAGGCGGGGTCCGCTCCTCGTCTACCCAGTTGGCAGGTGTGGGTGGCACCGGCCCCAACGCTGTGACACCACTCGGAGGCGGCCGCCTTGTCGGTGGTGATGCAACAGGGTCACTCCCACTCCCACTGGTGAAGTTGCGGCTTGTGCTCTGAGACCGGGACTGCGCAGGTGGAGGGCCAGGAGGTGGTGGGGGTAACGGGAGACTCTGGTTCCACCTGGACTGTGAAGCAGACCTTGATCGTGCTGAAGTCGGTGTATCGATGGCCCCGGTGGAGACAGCCCTGCGAGATCCTGGGGGCAAGCCCTGGGACGAGGCATCACTGCCGTTCCGCGAGGGGACGCCGTGCGGGATCTGAATACTCAAGGGGGTGGGTCTCGAGGACGTGATTGAAAACGCAGGGCGGGTGCCTCCTCCAGCTGAATCAGGGGAGGTTGTCGTGTCTGCATCCCTCCTCCTCCCGAAAGATGGCAGGCCGAACCGCCTCTCACGAGATGAGCCTCTGGTATTGGGAGGAGGCGGGAATGACTGCGTCCCTGCAGGCTCAGGTGAGGGACGATGTGGCGCGGGGAGAGGAGCCCGAGTCAGAGACATGTTGGCAGCAGGAGCCCCGTCGAGATACATGCTAGTCGGTCTCTGGCTTCGCGGGGGAGAATACGGAGGAGGCGGAAGGGGAGAGCCTGCATTCTCACGTTAGCTCGCGCGCGGTGGTGGCGGTTGCTGTCGAGGACGGATCTAGCATTACCGGTTGACTCGGGGGAGCTCATCTGATGGCCCCGATCCGGACCGGCGCCCGGCATTGGCGAGGGCAGCCACTGTTGCGGGTTGTAAGGCTGAATTGCGCTCACTGGGGTCGGGGCATTGTGAGAGTTTGAGCTGAAGGACATGGCGGAGATGGGGGTGTTGGCGTTGTGTGGGTAGGGGCCGAGAGATGAGGTCAACAGAGGGTTCAATCTCGGGCGCAGAGCCCTGGGATCGCGGCTGTCGTTCATGACGACTGGTCCGGCGAGGTGCGGCCTGGACGGTTGGGTCGCAGTCTATATACCTGAGCAGGCATGAGGCGTGCGTGGGTGCGATGCTCCTGGGAAGTGGTCCTCGAGAGCCCCACGTCCCTGGCAAGGTGCCGTATTTGTCTTGTCGTAGGGCCTGATGGCAAGCCGGTCCACAGCAGACAGTGCCGCGTTTGGATTGCAGACTGAGCGGGTTGGGCGAGGTCAGGGCAGAAACAACAAATCCAGCCCGCGGGCGAGGCGGCAGGGCGGCTGATTGTGTAAGGGTGTGGTGCGGTCCAAGAGGGAGCAGCTACATTAGATTATAGATTAAAAACAGGCGATTGCCCAAGCGGATGGTTGACGATCGACAGTCCAAGGGTGTGCAGGGGGCCTGGGGGCCTGGTCTCTGGGCTCTTGGGGACTCTTGGGAGCGGTACCGAGGCGAAAAGTACAACGGCACGGAGGACTGTTGCATGTCCCCCCTCCTTGTGTGAGTGGCCCCAATATCGGCCTGCATAAGGGTTGCAGATGGCCTCTCGCCTGCCTGCCTCTGCCTGCCTTGTCCAGGGCCCGGGCAACAGCCTACGGTTGTGTCAAGTAGACAGTCCTGACAGTCAGACAGTAGGCCAACGGACCTGGCGAGGAGCTGCACAACCACGGGAAGGTCATGCAGGCCCCGGGTCCTCAGCGGCAGACGACGATGGGTGGAGCAGTGGTTTCTCGGCGTTGACGGCGCGATCGGAAGGCCGGCGGGGAGAGGTCTGGGGTGGCCCTACCAGGTAGCACTCTGCCCCTCAACTGTCATGACCGCTACTTGGCGAGGTGACTCGCAGACTCGCAGACTCGCACAACTGCGACGGCCGGGGCGACGATCGGGTCAACGGCGTGGGTACTGCGTGCTCGTTAGACCTGGATAGGCTTCGCAAGGGGTGGAGGAAGCAAGCTCAATCGGTTGATTGGGTCGTGCAGGGCCTGCCAAGTGCGTGCTGGTATGCTTGTCATGTCTATTCTTAGACCACCACCGACAGGAGACACTGCCGTCCCATTCGCTGCCGGCTGTGTGATGGGGACGATGCCGGCGCTTAAAAAACCGTCGACGTCTGCTTGGGCCGACCAGGTTGCCAGGTTCCAGTCAGCACCTCATGTGATTTGTTGCTGACTTGTGCCAACTGCCCAGTTGGTGTCAATGTGGGTCTAGTGTAAGTCTCTCCCCTCCCCTCTGCCCGTGCCCCCCCTGCCCCCACCCCACCCTACCGTGCACAGGACATGTAGCCCAGATAAGCTTAGCCCATCTCGAAAGGCAGGGTCCAGAACCTGGAGAGCTGTCATCCCGGTCGACGACCACGCTGCTGAACCTGAGCTTCCTTATTTCAGCCCACCAGCTGCCCACTGGCTCCTCAGCTCAGGGCTTCCAGGTCAACATGCTACACCACACTACCGCTAATGCGGCTGGATGAACACCCTGCGAAACGACTCTGCTCGGGAGCTCTGTCTTCCATATGCAGTACGACTCCACCGAGGCTCCTCAAGCACTCAACTTGCACTGCACGCTGACGACACGATCGATACCCGTCTCACGCGTCAAAGCACTCCGGAGCAGCCAAGAGTCTCTAATACCGTGCCAGCCTCACAAAACGTCGTGGCCCGTCCCGCTCAGCACGAACCTGGTACCGTAGTATTGCATTCGTGCATGATCTACCCTGTCCCCAGGAAACGTGCTCGTTACCATCCAGCAATATATAGCTACGGATCACTCCTCTCCCGCTGCACGTTGCCTCCCTAGCCCTGCACTTCCTCGCCTCAATGTTCTCAACCTCCGCCCTGCCGGCCAACAGCGTGCCTCTCCTGCCCACATACGGCCTCCTGTTACCCTCAGTTGCTATTTGCAGGTGCAAAGAAGCGTCGCTTTTCTTCTGGCCCGTCCAATACATGCACAGTCCAGCTCCGAAAGCCTCAGATGCTGGCGCTGGTCGCCCGACGGGCCACCGTCCACAACAAGTTCGTGGGGTCGCTTGGACCCAGTCCCAAAAATAGCCAAGGACAGTGGCCATCACAGTACACGGTGCAACTCGGAAGACACCTTACCCATCGGGATCCCATGCCCCAAATGATTGAACGTTACCCACAAGCCAGAAGTCCCTTGTAGGGTTGAAATCATCTCTATCTGCGTAGAATATAGTGTCATTTTATCTAAAATAATATAAGCTAATTCAGTTAATTCACTCTAATTAAGAATAAATAAGTAGAATAAAATTAAGTTTTAAAAAATATAATTATTAATTTTAACTATTATATATAAGAAAATTATTATAAGATATATATTAAAAAGTTTTATAGAAATATTATATAAGTTATAAATTAAATAATTTTAAAACTATAATTTTTAATATTCATCTAAACTTTAAAGGAATTTCATTAATTTATTATTTCTAGTCTAAGATATAAGGAAATTATTAACTATAACATAAAGAGGCTGATTTAAATTTAGGTTTGCTATCGAGGACCCATTACTCTATATCACCCAGGTGATCTGACTACTCGGCAGCTTCAACACAAGTATCTTTCACGTGTGCAATCTACGCGACACACAGCCTCTTCGATGCCGCGGGGCAAGCAGACTTGGGGCATGCTGTTGAAGAAGTTAGTGCCATAGACACGGTTCGTATCCGAGGCGGAAAATGGAGGTCGCGCCCTCTTTCCAACTTGACGGCTCCATCTACAACAGGACGCCACGGCCAGTACAAACTTTGCAAGTGGCCAGACTAGGACTTTGTCAAAACCAACAGAGCCGCGTCGTGAACCAGTCAAAGCGAGACGTTGCAGCTATGCATTTAGTGTCATTTGCCCCGTGCCTTTGGTCCCTGCAAACGTGTACCGGCAGGATGGACCCGAGCGCCCGGTTGCCGAGCTATCCGCGCGCACGTTGGTGGCGTTTCTTTATATAGAACAGTTGCGCTGTTGGGGACGGCTCCGCGTTCCTTCCCAAGGTTTGACTCCTCGCTCACCTGAGCAGGCTTTCGTTCTAGGGGGCTCGGGGATGCGGGTGCGTGACACCGTGCTGAAGATCAGCGACTGTTTACGTATTGAGATGGTCAACTGCGGCGGCCCAATTCTTTTTGGTCCATTCCAGGATTAGAATTAAGAGATGCTGAACAGGAGAAATTTCATAGTTGTGTGTCTATTGTTGCTTCAGGAAATATGCTGTCTCATGTGGAACACCGGCCCAGTCAGTATCGCAACTTTCGGCAACTTGTACTAATAAAGCTTCCATCAACAGGACTAGGCCTTCCTCGGTGGTTTAGTTGCAATCCTACACTGTATAGTGCGTTCTATTGGTTATGGAGAATCACCTGACGATAAATCATACACCAGCTCCAGCAGCTTCCATGATGGACGATCAGGATTTGCTGGCAATATAGACTCCCGAAATGCAGGGGCCCATGAGCGGATTTATCAAAAAGTTACTCCGAATAATTTCAATACGCACATCATGATACCTTTTGGAAATTCAAGCAGCCAGAAGGTTTATTGGCCGCTATGCCATTCCGTCAGCAGCCCCTTTACCTGACAGTCTCTTGCAATGGTTCTCCAATTACATGTCACAAGAGCTTGATGGCTACATAGCATTGTAATTCTAATATCTCCAGGGCTCAATCTAAGTATAACAGGTCTGCAAGTTAGTAATTTGATCCAGAAAGATAACAATTGTACTGGGGTTATTCTGATTGTGTTCACTTGTCATGAAAGATTAAGAAAGTAGTCTAGAAAGTTAAATGCAAGCTGGGAATGTGTGCAGTTCCACTTACTAAGCCATCCATACTACTATTAAATATAAATACAAACACCACCAGAAAAGCAATAGATTTAAATGGCATAAAGACCTTTTAGACCTCTTATTGGGAATTGCAAGGTAATTCTGTAGGGTGTGGGTGAGATCTCACTCGGACTCCATGGCACATGGGCTCAAGATTTGCACCAAATTATGTGGATTTTACGAGGAGGTCTGCCTCAGGAAGAAAACAAGAAAGGAACCTTGGAAGGTTGCCCCTCCGGGCTGGAGGTAGCGGTGTGGCAGTCTTATCGATATTAAGTGACCATGTAGAAACCCCTGCAAGGGCCCCTTGCCACACCTAACCCCTACCCTTTACTGTGGAATAATATTGAGTGAGTTCATGTGTTGATCAATATTAGCTAGTAGATGTGAGCACACATGGAAAGTAAGGGGGTTGGTGTGGCAAAGAGGATGGGGCCCCCGTGTTCTTCCGTGTTCTTGTGTACTTAGATACCTAGGGTAGGTTAGGTAACAAGGTAGAAACTACAGGCCTAATAGGAGCTCCTGTTTAGCAAAACCTGTGAAGGGACGGGGGCATACCATCCTGGCAGCGGCTATGTGTGAGATCCCACCCAGGAAGAGACTTCCGTCTAATAACTTTTAATCCAGTCCAGGAAAAGACTTACGTCTGATGACTTGTGATCCCGTCTGATGACTTGTGATCCCGTCCGATGACTTGTGATCCCGTCTGATCGACAACATGACCTTTGCTTACACGGGGTTCAATGGTTTTGTGAAGAGAACCCCTTCCTACTTACATTGACACTATAAACGAAAGTTGCCTTGGTCCATAACTCACTCAACTGTCGGCTAGAAGACTGTCGGCTAGAAGGGAATGTCACCACAAAGGAGTGTCTACCCACGAGAAGTTCTGTCCTACCACGGAAACAAACAATAATTTCATCGTATGTTTGGTCTTCTTCACGCTGAGTTTAATCATTTGACCCTTCTAGGACTTCCCACTCAGCAGTTGATTATCTTCTCCCTCCTGGTATATGCCCATTGGGTGCCTAGAAATCCCATACCACCTCGACATAGCCCTCACCCCCAACAAGAACTTGCTGCAGCTCCTAGTCAGGAATATCTTCCAGGGACAAGGGTGCTCTGCCATCGTCTTAGAACACGTAATCAAAGGAAAGGTAAACATGGGAGACGTCCTGCCCGTGCTCCAGACCATGGAAACCTCCTTGTACGATGACCCAATCAACCTGCTGGACGAGATCGTTCATGGTGACCCGAGCCAGGTCAAGAATAACCTGCTTGTCCTGAATTTCTGCTGTGTATCAGTCTCAAGCTGTGGGATTCAATGTAACTTGATGCTCTCAAGAATGCTTTGAGGTGAAGTATCTGCACAAATCCTGGCCGGGTGGTAAACATACCACAGTGGAGATTCTCGTTCATGTCGTCTTGCTCGAAATCCCAGAGACCCTGGCATTGATCATGAATCGTCTTGATTCTGACCATGAAGGGTGGGGAAGTGTATCCAATGAGAGTGTATTTAGCAGTGGCCTGTCCGGGCTTGGGGTGGGGGTTTGGCATTTTGGGTCTGTCTGGCTTTATGAAACAAGCCTTGTAGAATTGGAAGCTTTCAACTGCGCAGTAAAAGATGGATCAGGTGGAGAGTTTGAAGTTAAAGTGGCCTCAGTGGCTCGGTCAGCTTGCAAGTAGGCAGGGAATTGAAAGATGGGTTGTAGCTCTTTCTCCGGCTAGTTGTTGCAACCCGGGGTAGGAGTTAACCCCGACAGCAGAGGTGTGCAACCCTATGCAAACAGAAGATTGCATTTAAAAACTAGGTCTGGGATAACAAGGCGATTTGCTCACAATGTGCCTTTGAAGGATGTGGATGAGTCACTGATATGCTTCACCGACATCTTTTGAGCCCAGGACTGCAAGACCTGGATTGGTGACAGCACTGGGATACACACAGCATTCCATTGTGTGTAATCAAATACAGAGAAAGTTATCGTAATGAATTCTTCGTCGGACCAGACAGCACTTACCAGTTTGTCATTGCCCAAGAACAGGTGGTGTACTACCAGCACACATGACAGGCAAGAGGACCCGCAACAGCTCAAGTTACCTTTTCATAATACCGCAGGGTGCCTGGCTCAGGCTGATTCTTCATTTATGTTTACAGACTGTGCACTCTAGATCCAAGTGGGAACAACCACTATCTCTGGATCTGCTCATAGGAAACAAGAGAAAACCACCTCAGGATGAATGGCAATCCCAGGTAGCAAGTGTTGTGGGTGCAATGGGCTGTGCAGACTGCTACTGTGGTGTGTCATGGTGGTTCTGGGCTGCACACAGACCACTTTTCTGCTCTCGAGACTGTTTGATGTTGACATCTTGCAGAGTCAGGCCACCAAACTTGTGTTCCTGCCTCCTTATTTTCTCTCAGGAAGAAGCTTTACTATCTAAAACTTTATAATTTCAAGCAAATCAGAGAGTCTGGCCTCTGCTGAACCTCGCTTGCTTCACCAAGTATCTTGACATATTGTGCGAGACAGTAATCTACACGTCAGATGCAAAGACACTGTTCACCATTACTGATTATCGGGTTCTCTAACAAAACAAGACTCAACTAAGATAGAAAAAGTGAAATCCCTCTTATATACTGTTTATGGACAGGCTGTTATTATATACATTCGGGCTGGTGATTCTACTTCCAAGGTTGTCACTGGATATTGGCATACACTTGCTGTTTCATTTAAATTTCAGCTCATTCCTCTGGAAGGGTATCAATTTTTCTTTTATATCTTTTAAAACCAACCTCATCAATGTTCTCCATGACTCTGAGCCGGAGGAAAACAGTTTGAACAATCATGTTTTATATGCCCAGATGCGGAACTGCCCTCAACAGGGAGCAGTTTGTGTCCAAGTCCCTCACACTCTAAAGCACTTGTCTCTCTCTGCCTGCTTCCTAGGTTAGCTACATGGGTACCAGGCAACTATCAGTTTGTCTCTATGGAAACCCCACCGTCTCCTTTAAGACTCCATGTCTGCAAACTTCCAAGGTTGCTAAACTCAACCTCACAAAGAAATTCGAGCCTGGCCAAGTACAGGACTGGTCGATCAGTCCTTTTTTGCCTCGACACGCTGTCCTTGTAGGTCTCTAGCACATCCATCAGTTTTGAGCTTCTCGTTGCAACTGACGAGAATTTCCACGGATCAGTGTTGGGCGAGATGGTGTTCCACCGATTTCGGCAGCTCCCAGCTGAGCTTCGCCTGCAAATCTGGGAGTGCGCCCTCAACGAAGCGCATATCATCGACGACATTCTCACCGACAACCAGATGCCGATTTGTCGCATGATCAAACCCCGAGGTTTACCCAAGTCGCCCGTGCCTCGAATCAAGCTAATCACTCTTGAGTACTTCTCTCTGGGACACGTCTGCCACGAGTCGCGGGAAGTCCTCCGCCAACGCGGCCGACTCTACAAAGCCCGCGACTACAATCCTTCCACTGATGTTGTCTACGTGGATGATTACTTTGCCTTGCTTTTGATGCTGCATCAACCGAGGTCCAAAATCCGACACGTCGCATTTCCGGCTGATTTCTTCTACGTCATGTTGACCGAAGATGTCATGCGTCGCAGGGACTCCAAACAGGTCAGCACCCTTCGCGATACGGCGTTGGGGAGAATCTTCTTGAACAACAATGGAGATCACTTCTACACTGGGCTTGGCCTACCAGAGCTCGAGAGCATCACGGTTGTTCTTCCGCCTCTGGAGAAGAGCATGCCATACTACGCCGACCACTTTCCCGTTGCGATGCGTCCTTCATTCCTCCGACTCGTCCCCTACTCGGAGGTGCAGAGGATTAAGATTCAGGGACCATATGCATACAGGTCGTGGCTCAGGGGATCTGTAAACACCAAGCGCCAGTTTCTTGGGCCATTTATCAAGGACATCAACGAAATTTGGAAGGTTGAGGCTAGCTTTAGGCTCAATGATGACGACAAGCGTCAAGAGATCACGGTGCAGGCTGGAGTACTGCAGTACCTCGAGGTACCCCTTCAGGGTAAGATGAGGCTGTCTCCTATCTACAAGGAGGGGAAAGGTTTTGAGGAGACCCAAGCCGCGGATCAAGATTCAGGGTGCACGTGGGCTTTCCATGGCACGTGCAGTCCTACAGATACGCTTTGAGATGACACGCGCCAACATTACTTTTCTTCCTGGAAAACCAAGTCCAGATCTGGAATGCCACAACATTGATAATATGCTGCTGGAACTGTTGGACATGGACACGAGAAAAGAAGGATTAGTTGGACTCTGAGACTGTCAGGTTGTGACGCACGCATAAGTCTGGCTGAATGCGGCATTGCATGATTGGGCTTGATCTGGGATATACATCCGGTTGCGTCCTTGATTGATATGCATCCCGAAGTCGTACGGCCCCTTCACACAGTGATAAATGCTTAAAGATCCAAGGTTGAAAAAAGATACACTGCCAATAACAGTGTTGGGACATACGTCAGTCGTCCTGCTCAAAAGAGAACTGAGGGTTCTGCAGCCCGGCGAGAGCTGTGTGGATCAACGAACACAGCAGACTGGCCTGGAATTGGAGGTGATCAGAATCTATTAAACGGTTATCAGCCAGGTTCAATAATCTATGCGCACTTATTGTTGATAGAGGTTAGGATTCGCGAAAGAGACATAGGGTAAATTGTGATTGAAACGGAATTCGTCGAGCTTAGTCTGTAGCTTATTATTGGCAAAGATGAAAGAGAGGTCTGGAGGCCCTGCATCTCGAATAAAAGTGACAATGTGCATTACCCGAGGGGCAACTTGACCGTTGCGGTTCTGGCAGAGACGCCGATCGTTAAAATCGTAGTTGTGGTGGAGGTGGTAAGGCCATCCTTCGAGGGATCACTAAGGCGCCGCGGCCGTGGTGCACGTGTGGTGGTGATGGTCGTCATGGGTGGGGATGATAGGTGGCAAAACACCTCCCTACTCAAGTACCTTGTTGTGCCCTCTTATCAAAGAGTAGAACGTCACGAGCAATTATCCCCACCACCCATGGTCCACACAGCCGTTGTGCAGAGCTCGACCACTGGCGCAGCCCGCGCCTGTTCTTGTCTAGACTGTAGAAGGAGGTTTAGGTGCGGACAACTACGGCATAGCTCAAGCTCCAGACTGGCAGTCGCAGTCCTGATGTCGATGAGGTCTTTGTCCTGCGCGACGGTTTCAACCGAAAGCATGTAGGGGGTCGGTCTTTGTGGATGGCAGACGACCACGGATGGGTGTGCGACCTAATTGAAGCTATGCGAAAACAATGGACAAGATGAGAGGGGGAAGTAAGTGCCTTTGTCCGAGCCTCCAAGTACATGCCCGAGTAATAAGCCAAGGAAATCTAATAAACAGGTACACCGGCCAAATTCCGCCATCCGAATGTTGTGAGAAGAGACTTATGATAACCAAATTCCTCAGCCGAAATGGTACATTCCTTCCTGCCTGGTTGCCTGGAGTACCTGGGCCGAGGGAAGAATCCATTGTTCTGGATATCTGCTGTTATTGCGAGGGAGCTAGGCACCCAGTGTGAAGGCGACCAGCTTGCCTACTTGGTAGTGAATGCATTGTGCCACAGACAACAATGTGAATGGGTGACCTGCAACCCCCTGTCACTGGCTGTCAGCCATTGTGTCGAGGTTGCCTGAATAGGCCTCGAATAGACGTCATTGGCCAATGGGCGGGGCTGGCAATGCCTGAACAGACAGACGGTTGCGGGCCCTGTCCTTGTCCCCGTTCCTCGCTAGGCTTAAAACAGTCAGCTTCAGGCCGATCCAGGGTCGCCATCAGTGCCCTTTTGTTTTGTTACGCGACCGCATCCAGAGCACCCTCCAGGCTCCCAACTCGCCGCAGCTATCACTTCACAACTGCCTACCCTCGCCCTTCTTTCTTTCAACAACCACCAGCGAGCACAACACAACTCTTACTTCTTGACGCTCTCAGCCGTCATCACCCTCTCTGTTTTAGTGAAAGCGAGCAACCGAGTAAGAACTCGCGATGCCGCCGAGAAAGGGCCCGCCCACGGCGGAGGGGGCCAGCACTTCCGCTGCCCGCCCCAACAAGAAACCTGCCACCAAAGTTGCAGCTCCCAAGTCGACCACCAGCAAGGCTGCCGCCCCGAAGGCTCAGAAGAAAGACACTACGTCGAAAGCCCCGAGCACCTCCAAAGCAGTTGCGCCCCCCAAAGCAGTTGCGCCCCCCAAAGCAGTCGCGCCCCCCAAAGCAGCTGCGCCGTCCAAAGCAGCTGCGCCGTCCAAAGCAGCTGCGTCCTCAACTCGGCCAACGTTGACGCCGTCGTCTGTGAAGAAACCCGACAAGAAAGCAGCCACCACCAAGGCAACAGCTGCCACTTCAGAGAAGCCTGCGAAGCCAGCCGTGGCATCGTCCACCAAGAAGTCGCAGAAGAAATCATCTCGACCAAAGGTTGGTCCTTTGGGCCGGGACAGCCCGCAGGAACCTGACGCGGGAGAGACCGCGGGTCCATCCTCGACCAAAGGCACAGTGGCCAATATCTCCCGAAAGCGCAGGTCGTCGTCCATCGAGGACGACGAGGTAGAACCCGTTGCGACCCGCACTGCCAAGAAGAAGGTCAAGGCGGACTCTGGCAGCTCGAAGCGGAAGGCCGCCTCGGAAGCTGGCAGAAGACCACGGAAGACCCGAAAGATAGAGGACGAGGACGATTACGACGACCAGGAAGACCACGGTGATCGCAACCTCCCAGATGACCAAGAGCTTGATGCAGTGGCGCCCGTGAGGCCCAGGCGCAGACTGGCTACCCCAAAGGCTGCTTCATCCGCCAAGAAGCCCGCAGCCTCCAAGGCCAGCCAGTCCAAGAAGGACGTCAGAAAGGACGCCAGAAAAGACGTCAGAAAGGGAGCCAAACAAGGACGGCCAGCCAAGCTTCAGCTCGGTGTTCAGATCAACTTTGCGCCAACCCAGCCTCTCGACGTCTTCATCTTTGGCGCCGGTGAGTCCGGCGAGCTTGGCCTGGGCAACCAGATGGTCGACGGAAAGAAGCCCGTCAACGTGAAGCGACCTCGACTACACCCGCTGTTGCCTGGCGGGGAAGTCGGCGTCGTCCAGATTGCCTGCGGCGGAATGCACTCTGTCGCCCTCACCAAGGACAACAAGATTCTTACCTGGGGTGTCAATGACCAAGGCGCCCTCGGTCGCGACACTACCTGGGACGGCGGCCTTCGTGACGCGGACGCGGAGGACAACGAGGATAATCAAAATGGTTTCGAGTCTTTGAACCCTATCGAGTGTACTCCTACGGAAGTCAACACAAAGAATATTGTCGAGGGGACCAGGTTCACCAAGGTTGTCGCCAGTGACAGCGCCTCGTTTGCTTTGACCGAGAACGGTCGCCTCTATGGATGGGGTACATTCCGAGTGAGTTCTTCATCGTTCCCGTTTTGACAACGTTAGCTGACCACACACAGTCTTCCGATGGCATTCTCGGCTTCACCAAGGATACTCTGGTGCAATTCGAGCCTGTGCTCCTACCAGAATCCAAGAATATCGTGGATATCGTCGCCGGCAACAACCACGTTATAACCCTCGACAACAAGGGCAAGGTCCAGACGTGGGGTGCGCCCGAGATGAACCAGCTTGGTCGCCGCGTTGTCCAGCGCGACATGGTGGCGTCCGCACTGCGACCCGGCGGCCTCTCGTTCAAGCGCGGTATCAAGATTGTCAAGATCGCCTGCGGCTCCTATCACAGCTTCGCCATTGACGACCTCGGACGTCTGTATGCGTGGGGCCTGAACAACTACGGAGAGCTTGGTCTGGACGAGAACGTCGGCGAGGACGGGGGCACAGTCCTCGAGCCCACCCTCGTCGAGTCCCTTGCCGACTACAGCATCGCCGAGATCGCCGGCGGCGAGCACCACACCGTCGCCTGCAGCGACGAAGGCAAGCTCCTCGTCTGGGGCCGCATAGACGGCAAGCAGACCGGCCTCACGGCGGACAAGTTCAACACAAACAACACTGTCTACGACGAACACGGGAAGCCCCGAATTCTGGCAGTCCCCACGGAACAAGAGGGCTTCAACAACGTCGTCTCGGTTGCCTGCGGGATAGACAACTCCTTTGCCATCACACGGGACGGCAAGGCCTATTCCTGGGGGTTCTCGGCCAACTACCAGACCGGCCAGGGCGAACAGGAAGACGACGTCGAGGTACCGACGCTGATTGACAACACTGCCGTCCGCGACCGCAAGATCTTGTCTGCTGGGGCCGGCGGACAGTTTTCGATGCTCACAAGCATCCACCAAAACGCCTGAGGGCAATCTCATCACTTAAACTCTTACTACACCTGTCTACGGTGTTACCATGACGACGCCGTAAGGCGTCCTGTCATTTTGACTGACTGCAGTTTTAGTCTATTGGTATTGGAAAAAGAAGTCTCGTGAGCTTCACGGTGTACGAACATTTAGCAGAAGGGGAAAAACTGGCCCCACGCTGAGGGCATGCGCGTTTGCGTCTCGAAACTTGACGCAGGGAACGGGCATTACTTGAGGGGACGGATTTGGACTGCTACATTTGATAGCAGATAAACGCAACCGGGATGAAAAGGTCCGAAGGCGAATGGCAGGGAAGCACAATAATGACGACAGGGTTCACGGCGGCAAGGCGTGCATATTTGATGAACAAAGGTCTACCACATTGGGCCAACCGAGGCCGCTGCTGTCTAGAGAGTAGAACTTGAAAATGGGACAGCTCATGAAACACCACCAGCCACAATCTTTGCCATGTTACCGCTGCCTCCTAGTGTGTGTTAGCGGATCTGCCGCCGTGCATCGTCATTGGATCACCATGTCGCGGAAGCGTGGTTGGTAGGTAGAAGACAGGTACTTACGACTAGAGAAGATGCTCATGATGCCAAAGCCCACGTAGAAGAGCGCCAATGGGTATGCCACAAGGCCCCTCATGCCGCGCATCCTGCCCACGGCGCAGAAGATGCCCGAGGCGCTGTACGTGCACCACATGATAGCAGCGGAGGTCATGACGATCCCGAGAGGCGTGTCCATGGGCATGACGATGCCCAGCAGACTGGTGGCGGTGAGGGGCAGCAGGCAGTAGCCCAGGACGGACGCGCTGCGGAAGTAGGTGAGGGTGGAGGACAGCTCGTTGGAGTGCATGCCACCGTGGGCGGACGGGGGCTGGCCGGGCTGGTGGCCGCCGTAGGGGGTGGGCTGCGAGGCGTCGCCGGCGTCCTCGAGCGGCGTCATGAGCGAGATGATGAAGTGCAACGATATGGAGCCCAGCGCGGCGAGGCCGTAGATGTAGCCGAAGTGCAGGTTGCCCGAGAAGAGGAGGAAGAAGCCGAACAGGCCGGCGAACAGGATGGGCCCGCCCAGGTCGCTGTCGTCCATCAGGTGTTGGTCGATGCGACGGAAGGGGTTGAGCACGGCGAGCGTCTGCGGAGATGGAAGAGAAAGAAGTTAGCTAGTTGTTCATGTTTTTATCCAGCCCGGTGATCCACCATCACCACCACCACCACCACCACCACCACCATCTTGACGCCGCAGCAACGCACCTTTGCCTGTATGTGGGAGAAGTTGACACCGAGCTCCTCGAGCAGAGGCGGCTCGCCCTCGTACCCCTCGGTCGAGAAGGCGGCGATCCAGCCCGTCCTCAAGCCCCCCGACTCGCCCATGCGCCCGGACACAGCCGCGGCAGGGGCGCCGAAGCCGTAGTTACCAGCGCCGGAGGACACGCCATAGCCGCCGTATGCAGCCTGTGAGGGCGTCGCATGGCCCGAGACGTCGGCGGGGGCGTATTGTGATGGGTAGAACTGGAGGTTCTGGGCGGACTGTGGGGCGTAGGCTGGGTTGCCCTGGGGCTGTGCCCCGTAGCCGAACTGGGACATGGTTTGAGGCCGGGCGACGACGATGTCGGGGACAGGAGGCGAGGCAGCAGGAAGGAGATGGGCCGTGGAGCTGTTGACGTCGGCTGGCGTGCGTGGGACGGCGGGCTCGCTGGATGGAGGGGTGTTGTGCGCTTTTCGACGCCAAGTGGAGCTTAAGGCGGGGGATATAGCAGTAAAGACAGAGATGCTGGGGTAATATGTGCTGCGCTCAACTGCTGTGGTCGTTGACGTTGTTGGCGTTGTTGTGTGGTTGGAGGAGCAAATGCGAAATGATGCAGCCTATCCAAAATGTCCCTTGTTCCGTCAGGGGCCAGCTGGCTTTGGTGGGCATGAACAGCTGTTCCTTGTCACCCTAGCAGCCTAGTACATACAGAGGTACCGCTGCCGGATCAAGGCAGGAGCTCACAGTACGGGAGTAGCTGCAGTCGGGTTCGCGGCAGGCAAGCGTCCACGGCCCGATGATCGGCAAAATTTCCACTCCCTGTCGCCTCCGGGACCCAGGCGCCGTAGAGAGAGCTTCGAGCCCGTCTTAGTTCCCGTCAGCGAATTTTCCTGAACCGTGTTCTGCCGTCAATGACACCACGACCCGGCTTCTGAGTATTGCGTCTTCCTTGCCCCGTCGACTTCCAAAGCGCAGTGCATACTCGACGCCTCACGAAGCGGGAGGACCCTCAGCATCGTGAATTTCAGAGACCCGACCAGCGCCGAGCCAGGTCGTCCTTCAAAATGGTGAGCGCCGCGTAGCCCGAGGCTGTCGCATGATGTGGAAGCGCTGCCGCTAACAACCTGATCCTCTGCCAGGCTTACCGCCTCATAACCCAGGTCATATTCATCGGCAGCCGAGTCGTCGGTCGCGCCTTCGCCGAAGCCTACAAGCAAGCATCCGCCTCGTCGAGCTACCAAAGGGCGCAGCAAAAAGCAGGCAATGCCTCGGGGGGTCGCGCCAACCTGTCCTCGGGCATGACGCTGGAGGAGGCTGTCAAGATCCTCAACGTGAAACCACCCCAAGGCGGCAAGGCCGACGCCGAGGAGATCACAGAGCGCTTCAAGCGTCTGTTCGACGCCAATGATCCGCAGAAGGGCGGTAGTTTCTACCTGCAGAGCAAGATTTTAAGAGCGCGTGAGCGCCTCGAGGCCGAGATCAAGCCCGCACAGGAGAACGTAGCCCACGAGCAAGAGGTGAAGGAGGGTTGGAAGCCGAACATTTACAAGGACAAATGATGACGGATTGAAGTCCCGATACGGCTGCGCGAGATCTGCAGTGCGGTCTCCAGGACCCAGAATGCACCGCGGCCCGCGACGGTACGCTGCGAGAAGGTGGCATTCTTACGCCGCCGGCTTACTCGCCCGGCGAGGGTCACACGGCTCCTCACTCATCAATGACGATTCCAACCACACCACCCCCGACTCAGAACTCGACAATGCATGGAAACCGAAGCGGCTGTTCGGGGGCAAAGCCGGCGGCATCCACGCTTCTAAATTGCCAGCGCCGGCGGATGCTCCGCTGGCATGAGCTGCATATATCACACATCTTCACTCGACATTGCAAGGCGTTTATTTGGTGCGGGTTTCCGGCGTATGCGAAGGGGTCGCTTTGCCGGCTCCCGGGGCAAGACAGTTGTGCTGTCAATGTCTCATAGAATCTGGTGTATATTATGAATCTACAAGAGGCGGTTGGAAGAAAAACGCTTCGGAAATAAGGCATCATCTGGTGGCGCAACCTACATGTGCTCTACACTGGTCTGCGCGAAGCTATTTTGATTACTAAACTACCCATTCGTATTTCGTCCATGTCTTTGTTGAAGGCGAACCCGGTAGAGTCTGCGCAAGTCTACGAGCCCCTACCCGCCTCTATTTGGCTTCGACGACAGAATACTGTGATTTAATTTCCGCCGCTTGCTTAGAGATAAGTCAATACTTGGCTGCAAATGAAGTCTGGAAAGTCCAGAACACGCGACACATTATCTTACGCTCCTGACGAGATAGGTCGTTGGCCGACTGCGTCCCTCTTTTTGGACTTGCTCGACCAGATTCGCAAGATTCTTTCCTTGGAGAACACCGCCCTTCTCGACAGCCCCTTGAGGAACTTGACGAGCTCGGGGTCAACATCTCCAGCCTCTTCCACGTAGGCCAATAGCGAATCAGCCTCCTGGTTGACAATTTTCGGCCCATAACACCCAATCTGGTGCTGTATGAAGTAGCGGAGCTGCAGAGAGGTGGCAAAGGACAAGAACGTTCTTCTTGGTCGCGGGCTGAACTCGAAGCACAGCTTCGACCAATGGGAAGGACATCGCCCATTGTGTATAACGTTGCATAATAAGCAAGCACGCTGTGATCCGCTGCCGGTATTCAGCAGTCCTCGTACCTCGGGGCGATTGACCTGGATGTCCATCACTCTGTCCATTTCGACCAGCAGTGTTGGAAAGGCTTTCTTGGTCATTTGTTCTGCTTCCAGCGCCCTGTACCCGGCGTAGAGAGCCAGTGATCTGATGATTCCCACCGAATCCATTGTGTTGTCCAACTGGAGCCTTTTCAACGTGTGGATTGCCGAACAGAGTAAGGCGGGACATGGCTCGAATGATGCCTCCTTCCAGTCTAGGATGTACTTAGACCAAGTCTCTGGTTGGCTTGATTCACCAAGGCTGGGATTAGTATATGTACAGCTGAAGAATATATTTACCGAAAAAGGGCGGTGCTCGTGGAGAGGATCCGAAGATGGGGAGTCTCTGAAGAAGAGTGAAAGGGGTTGAGACAGACCGGAGAAACTCAACCGCTGAGCGGTGTATGAATCGGACCGCACTTGTGTGTTTGCTCCTGGTATCAAGTACGTCAGGACCATACGCCAGCCATGTCGTGTCCAGTGGAACCACCTCGACGAAGCCCAAGCACCGACTCTGCAGGATTCTCTCCATAGACTCAGCCGCCCAAGCGGCCTCTTCTGACAGGGGGTCTTCAGAACAGTCTCCTGGTCCAACTCAAATGCGAAGTAGAGTCCGAACAGGCTCAAGTTCCATCTATCTCGAGTTCCATAATAAGCAAGCTCCAACAATTTCGAGGTCTGGCGCCGGTACGTGTCCGGCACCCGCTTGAGCATCAACCGGTAGAGCTCGTCCAAGTCAGTGGGAAGATCGCGCAGGCGCAGCTGCAAGTCGGTAACACGGTCCCTGTTCATGAGACCTTCCACTAGACTCTGGACGACGAGACGCACCCAAAGGAAGACGCCCGCGGATGCTTCGACAATCTCTTCCATCAGGGCGTTTGACTCCTCTGGATGAGACTTTAGAATCCTCTGCATCCGCTGATCATGTTGCATCTTGTCGTTCACGTAGAAGCTGATATCCTTGTGGGTGAGCTGATGAAGCCGCAGTCGTGGACTGGCGGAAAATGCATCTTCGAAAACTGCCCAAGGGCGACTGGATATGACGGCCTTGACGTTTTCCCGCTGGCGAATTGCCTTGAGTATCTCTGCAAGATCAGCCATCTCAGTAGTCGAAGCATCGTATTCATCGAGGCCGTCGATCGAGAGGAAAAAGCGCGCGTCTGGTAAGTGTTGAAATATCCTGTTTAGGGCTAGCAACAGCTCATTGCGGCTCGGTTCGAAGGACGTTGGCCGCTTGGATGACAGTTGCATTGATTCGAAGCGCTCAGAAAACGCAATCTTGATTCGCTCTGTGTCTAATGCGAGGTTTCGAGATCCAAGATGAGTGAAGAATCTCTGCTCCTGGCCCCGCCAGAACACGGGCTCTGATTTCATCGGTGAGGTGCTGAGAAGCTTTAGGACAAGAGACCTAAGCAGTCCCATTTCCGACTTTTGCATGTCTGTGCCGAGATAATAGAATTAGAACGAGGCCTTGAACAGTTTCCGTCCTGCCGCCCACTCAGTCAACGCTTCGTCCAGCTTTGAGTTCGTGTTGATATATTTCATAAGTGTGCTCTTGCCAGATCCGGCTTTTCCGGTGATCCAATATATGCCACAGCCCTTTCTCACGAATTGGTCGAAATCATCCCAAGGAATTGTCTTTTCAGCCGGGCTCCCCTGAAACACCCAGTCCAGAGTACCTTTGTGAGGGAACCATATCCCTTGTTGCCGCTCCTCCATCGTCGGATACCACAGCGCACTTCGGAATGCGCGGTCCATATTCCAGAGCAGTTTCTTGGAACCGGGTCCAACGGGAGGAATAGGATCTTGTTCCTCGGGCTCTGCCTTGCCCAAATTGGCTACAAGCTCCTCGTGTCGTCTCTCAGCCAGTCGGTTGCTGTCCTTCTGGGCAGAAATGACAGCATCGAGACCGATCTGGCTCTCCAGCAGCTTCTCCGTGATATCTCTTGTCTGTTTATCCAAAGCCATGAATGCCTTGCTGCTCAAAGTCGACTGTACGTCCAATTTGTCCCTCAGGCTGACTATGATGCGGAAGTTAAGCTGGTCACGGATGTCCTTTAGTCTCTGCTCTGCTTCATCGATCTCGCGTCTCCGTAATAGGGCAATCCCCGTCTTCTTGATGACATTAAATATCCCCGAGTCCTTTGGTCGGACCTTTTCCATGAGGTTTACGACGTGTGACGCCGTTGTTACCGCTTTAGATGCAAGTTCAATTATTTCCATGTCGGCCCCATCGTGTCTGAGTTTTATCTCACTTGATGCATCCTTGATTGAATCACGAAGCCGTCCAGCCGTTGTTTGAAGATCCTGGCTCAGCAAAAATAGTGCTCCATGGCGTTCAGTGGTTCCTTTTTCTTTCATTTGCTTAGCAGTTGAGAGAACCTCGCCAGTGAAGCTGATGACCGCGAAAATGTTCGCAACGAGGCTCAATGCTGAGAGCGGGTCCATGGCTACCTAGGTAGGGATCCTTCTGGGGTTTTAGTTAGGCTGGACTCGATGATAGCAGAAGAGAGGGGTGCAACTCCCACCCTAGAAGCACTTGAGGCAGTTTTTGGGACTGCCCAAGCTACCTTCTCAGGTCATGCTTGTAGAAATGAGCGGGAGACTTGTTGGAATGATCCTTGCTTAAGATAATATGGAGGCATGCGTTTCAGGCTTGGCAACAATTCTTTCCAACGACCCCAGATGAATTGACACATGTCAGCCCTTGAAGCTCTGCTACGAGATAGTCAACATCTCTGCAATGCCGCCACGGAATATGGGCTTTGTAGTGTGTACCCTAGGGTAAGCGGTGTCCGCAGGTGGTAAATAGACGAACCAAGAAGGGCGAGAGTGGACAGTCGAAAGACCGTGGCCACAAGAGACCAGGTGATATGGATGCAGCACCGGAGCCACTAGTCATGCAGGCGATAAATAGTTACCCGGAAGAGCACTTGAGGCTTGCGGTAGTGCTACGAGGTGCATCGGTGAGCTGAAGGCAAAGGGGCGCGGGGCTGAGAATCTGCACATTCAACTGGCTGACACCCCCCCCCCCGTAGGCTGGGCCGGGGGTCGCCATTGAGTTGAGGAGCAGCACCATCACAAACCACGACGTCAGGTTCAGAAGTCTCGGTGGTCCTTTTTCATGAATTTAGGGTTCGGGGGAGAATCATTCATCTCGGCTCGAGCATGGCCACGTCCAAGTTGCTGCTGCTCATGTGAAGAATACCGCGCGCAGGGAGACTCTCTATCTGTCTGTGGAAGGAGACTGCTAAAAGGCTGCTGTGGTAGTGTCGGAGTCTGGATGGCGTGATAGAATGTTTCCAAATGAAGGCATTGTCAAATACAACCAGTATTTATAGTAGCGTTGTCTGCGCCTCACAGGTCGCGTCATCAGTCACATTTGTTCCCCAAGCAATTACAGTATACTGCCCAGCTGCACCGACAGCAATCTAGTATGTAGATCATGTACACGATCTAGGCGTTAGCCTTTTTCAATTATAGGGTGAGAGAATGTTGAATCGCTGCGATATCCCATGCGATGAACAATTCGGAATGGACAACCTGAGAGTACACAAGAACGTGCAATGATCGTATATCACCATATCATAGTTACTTTACGAACTCTCATGAGCTTGATGATCTTTTTCAAATGTTTATTCTATTATTTCAGTATTAGTTCCCTAAGGCAGAGTAGGACCTGCCATCTGCGGGAGAGATCAGAGCACCCTAGTAAGGACGCTGTGGGAAAGCACTGGAACTAAACTTCTCCATGTCGTGGTTCGGTGCCCCTGTCTTCTTGCTCTTGCCCCCAAAGATTTTGATCAGAATATGGATCCAGAGCTTGACGTTCGCCATGAATTCCTGGATCTTGAGCGAGATAGCCAGCAGGGCCATGATGACAAAAGCGGCCCAGGACATCCACTTGAGCTGCGAGCTTGACTCGACGGTGATGTCGACGACGCCAGCGCCAAGGCCCACGACATACGCGACGAGACCAATGACCGTCAGGATGATGCTACCCAGCAGCAGGAAGAAGGCGCAGGCGGCGGCGAGGACGCCGCACAGGCCGAAAACGGGGGCGTCGATGGACCCGTGGTCCTTGAAGCAGCGGTAGGTGGCGGCGGCCAGGATGATGAGCAGCAGGAAGCCGAAGAAGGTGGCCAAGACGTAGACGACGACGATAGGGATGAAGAGCAGGTTGACGGTCCAGGAGGAGAGCTCGGCGCCGGCCTTGTGGACCAGGCGGTCGACGGTGTTGACGCCGTTGTCGACGGGCTCGCGGATGGCGAGCTGGGCGCCCTCGGGCACGTAGAAGACGCCCAGGGCCTTGGCGAGCACGGCGCCGGGCTGGAAGCCGAAGATGGTGCCGTTGTTCTCGGTGGCGTTGAAGGAGCTCTCACCCGAGGAGAAGAGGCGGGTGCATGACATGGAGGTGGAGTTCGAGTCGGTCGAGTTGGAGCCGGTGAGGGTGTCGTTGCCGCTGCAGTAGGTCGTCAGGTGCAGCGACATGGTCCTGGGGATGTCGATGTCCCCGAGGGCATTGGCAGCCTCCTTTAGCCACTTGTTCAAGGCGTCCTGGATGGTGCCGAGGATCTTCTCCATGAGGCCCGTGACGGCGTTCTCGAGATCGTCAAGGGCGTCGCCGATCTCGCCGATGATCTCGTCAGCCTTGGCCTCGGCGGCTGTGGCGACGGCCCCGACCGCTGACTCGACCTTTGACGCGGCGCCCGAAGCAAAGGTTTCAACCGAGCCCACGGCACTACCGACCTTGTCCCCGACATCACCGACCTTGTCCCCGATGTCGTCGAACAGGCCTCTTCGGGTCTTGGTAGCTACAAGATTGATCTGAGGAGGGTTGAAGCGAGCGAAGTTGGTCATATCGATCTGGCAAAAGTGTTAGCAAGGGTTGTATATCCACCAACTGATCTGGACTCTGACTTACTTTTACCAGCGAGAGGTCATTGGCCCCACCGCCATGCCTTCCGGAAATGAGGATGATGAGTGTGAGGACCAGGACGGCGATTGTGAGCGCTATCGAGGTGCCGAGCCGGACCATCCTGAACATATAGCTTTTGGATGTCTTTGAAGCTGTCCCCTTCTCATAGACGGCTGTGCCAGAGCTCGATGTCTCTGACATGCGGCCAGCATCAGGTTGATCGCCGCCCGGCCCCTGTGGATGGTTGTTGAAGTAGCTGCTGTTCATCGTGAAGGTGGTAGACCGGCTATCCAAGAAAATGTGTGTGAATTACGAAAAGATGCCGGGTATCAAGAAGGAAAGGAAGGAAAGGAGAAAAAATGGAAAGATTATTGGCGAATTGAAAAAAAGAGAGCAGTCTTCGCTGTGCTGTCTGAAGAGTGAAGTCGAAGTGAAGGAGATGGATACTCGAGAGATATCAAGACAAGAGTGGGCCGGCAGAGGCGTGTAAGCCTTCAAATATGGACGAGGCACACAATACAGCCCTTGAAGATGAACCACCAACAAGAACACTGAAACGGGCCAGATATATTTGTGCAAGACGTAAACCCGGGACCCCAAGAAAGCCAACGACAATGGGTTGCGTGGGGTCCCGAGGCGTCTTGGACAAAGGCTTGAAAGAAGCAGGACAAAGGGAACTGAGGCAAGACGGCCCACGGGACCATTGGCTGTCGTGTGCTCACCCACGACGAGCCAGGAGTTGCAATACGCGCCAGCCGGGGTCGTCGGGGGGCCCACCCGCCCTGGCGGCCCCACACTCTGCAGCGGCTCTGGGGTCTCGGCCGCACTCCAAACGCATTGTGGCCAATGGCACAATGGTTTCTGTTTCAATCCAGCGAGCCGCCCGCCAATCAACCGGCCGGCGTGCCTGGCCGTTGGCGCCCACCCGCTTGAAACAGACGACGATGTCGACAACCACTGTCGCCAGACGCCTCTTTGGCCACTCCATCCTCAACCTGCCAGCCTGCCAGCGGGCAGCTGCAGCTGCAGCTGCAGTTGTAGCAGTTGCAGCCCAAGGGTCAAGGGTCAAGGGTCAAGGGGCGAGGACAGGGGCAGCCAGCCAGACAGTCAGCCAGACCAGCATGGCTGCATGCAGGCGTGCAGGCCACGAGAGCTGGTGATCTTGTCGAGCAGTCGTTGGTCTCTGAGCCCAACCGAGTCGAGGTGAGCCCAGGACCTACTCACTCACCTGTGGTACTCACTCGCCTTGGCACAAGCATGCAAGGTCACACAGATCAACATGCAGACTTGCAGCCACGAAGTGCATATGCTGTCTTGGTGTCAACGGCACTTGAGCCAGATCTACTGTATGGCAGGGCCTGGGACATATAAGATCTCACCCCACCCCAGAAGATCTCCAATGCTGAAAAGACTGCAATCATTTTCATTCTCGAATATATATATACATGCACACATTTATATGCACATATATGGTTACCTATATTGTGCCAGAAGCCACACATTACCAAACTCCTGCCATGCCGAATTTAACCACCATTTTGAAAGACCAAGTATGTACGCCTGGCTAACGCTGACCTGCCAAAAAACCGACTTTTGGACCTTGAGGTTCCAATGTACCTAGGTATATTTACCTGACCCACCGTGTACCGAAATTACAACTAGGGACTCTCATCTTCTACCTGTCTGGCAAGCTCAGGAAACGCCAGCAGCACCTCGTCATCAGGCGTCGAGAACACAAAGCTCTCGCGCCAGCTCGTCCCCAGGCCCCTACCGTCTCCGCGGGAGAACGTATATGGCGGCGGCCGAGGGAAGTTGGCCAGCGTGCTCCTCAGGCCCGACGCGTCCGTCGTCGCACTCGCGCGCTGCGTGGCCGTCCCACTGCCCCGCGACGTCCGGGCTCCGATCGTCACGTACTCGGCAAAGTCGAACGTCGCATCAGAGCTGTATATGCTGCTGCTGCTGTTGGTCGCGCTCGTGCTCCTGCCCTTGCCCCAGCTCTTGCTCCTGGTGCCGGTCCAGCTGCCGCTCTTGGCCCTGTTCCTCCAGCCGGTGCTGCCGTCGGGGTGCTCGGCTGACTCGTCTGGTGCTGGTTGTCTGCGCGGTGCCGCCTGCCATGACTGCCTTCGCACCAGCGTCGTCCTGCCCGCAAGCCTCAGGGCCCGAGGCAGCAGGACCGTCTCGCGGACCACCGGGTTGAGGTAGTCAGACGCCCGCACGCTGGCCGTCGGCGTCACCGGGAGGCTGGGGTATCGGCTGACGAGGCGGCGGGACGGCCGGAAGCATATTGGGACCTGTGCAGATGTGGTCGTGACGACCGAGGGATCTGAGATCTGTGGCACATCGGCCGTGAAGCTCTCTGGGGCGCTGGCGGTCTTGTCGTCCGAGCCGAATAGGCCCGCGTGGCTGACCATGCCGCGCTCGGCATCATCGGTCGTGGAGCCCGAGTCGGAAGGGCTCATTAATCCCCTCCTGTTTCGTGTCCTCCGCCGTACACGCCTGTAGCAGAACAGGGTCAGGACGGCCACTAGAACCACAGCGCCGACTGTGCCGCCTGCAATGCCCCCTTTTTGTCCGGCGTCTGATACAGGAATGGAGTGTCGCGCCATTGCATCTGTTGGTGTTGAGGTTTCAGTGCAGTCGTGAGGGTTGACATAGACCGTAGTTGTCGCCCTCATTGTCGTCGTTAGAGGTGAGGACGCAGTGGCATTGGCCAGGGAGAATCTTCGTAATTGTGTTCTCAACGAGGGTGCTTCTGTGGCTATGCTTCCTGCTGCACCATTATCCACCAGCTCAACCGCTTGAAGAAATCGAGATGGTGTGGGAATCGCGGTGGGTGTGGACTCCGGCAAGAGCCTTGCAGCCACGGAAACTGAACTGATCACTTCGTTTGAAGGTGCCGTTGGCAAGAGGGCTGCCTGTGCAGAAAGAGCATCTCGAAAAGGACTCCAAGTGTCCTTCTGGTCTGCTGCAATGACAAGTCTACTCCCTGTCAGGCGTTGTTCACCTTCACCACTCCCTCCCTTGATGGTATTCGAACCAGGCGGGTTTGAGTGAGATATCTCAAAAGATACCAACGGACTGCTGTTCACGCACACAGCCGGACGAAAACAGGCTGTGAGGGCGTAGAACGCGCATGCGAGTAACATTGTGTGCCGAAAGGCATCGTGTTGTGTTCTGCAAGCTCGAGGCGGGCGACGAAACGCTGAACGAGAATAACAAACACAATGCCAGGGTGGCGAACAACATGTCTAAGGGGAATACGAGGATTGTGTCACAGATTATCACCTGGGCAAGTGATATTTGGACAGTCACAATGTTGGCCGAGGTCTACGATCAGACTCGATTGAGAAAATCAAACACATCACCGCTCGAATATTGGGACGGAAACATGCAGGTGGGCAAGTGTGATAGTGTGAAAGCAAACGGGACGGCCTTTCAACAAGGCCGGCCGACTAGGCTAGTAAGAGAAATGCGAATTGCCGCATTGCATGCAGCGCGCGATCGAGGAAAGACTTCTCCATGTTGGAAATTGATAGGAACAATGCAGGACTTCAAACAAACCTTGCGGTTTCGCATCAATCATAGTCCCAACGTCCCAATCCGTCTTGACAGTTCCCACATAGTAGCCGTCTGTGCTCAAGTGCTTGGCCGAGAGTTCGACAGTCCTGGTCAGTGTACTTACATATCTAGTTACTTATTACGTTACCTAGATAGGTATGCAGCATGCTGGCCGACCTCCCCGATATCTTCGGCCGCACCGCTTCCCCGGGACCTCGGAACCCAGTAAACCTTAGAAGTCTTCATGACAGCTGCAGCTGCGACACGCTGATGGGACAAACTTGCCACTGATTCCCCGTTCCCCGCTGGACGGCCCTGGCCAGCAACAAAATCGGCATTTGTCACTGCAACATCTGGGAACTGCCCCAGGGTGAACATGCCAACCAACGCTCAGCTGCCACAGGAAAACTATCACGCTGCTGGTTCCCGCGGGATCTAAGTACTCACACAAAGGTGAATCGCGCCAAAGCACCCCTGGCGCTCGACTTGAGGCTACGTTCTGAGGGGGTAGGGGGGATTTTCCTCAACCTCTGTTGTGTCAGATCCCATCACTGTCTGTGTTGATGCATGGCGCTCGCAAAGCAAAGCTCGGCAGTGTGCAAGTCCCAATCCAGAACGGGAGGTCCAGGGTTGGGGCAGCACACATGCATGCATCCTGGCCCGAGGGCTTGAAACAATCGCTCCCGTGGACATGAGCAGAGTTCAGGACTTCGGGGCGACGTCGAGAACATATAACGAAGGTGGGGTTCGCCTTTTGGGGCTGGCTAAGTCTTATTGGACTCATCATTTGCCCCGTCTGTACTCATCCCACCTCAGACATGCAAGATATATGCGTGAACATAGAGTTTCCGGAAATCTTCCCGATCGTGCTGGTGTCTTTATTACTACTTAGACCACACTAGACACCTGCAGGTATGTACTTAAGTAACCTAGCGTCAATCGTGCCGGTGCCTAGGCAACGCGGGCTGGCGGGCTCGATCACTTGTGACAGGTGATTAAGCTTTCAGGACCTCTGACGTTGCACCTTGAGTGATGGCAGTTGTGGATCGTGTTACGGCGAGGAGACTCCAGGCCCGTAGCGTCACACTACACACTTGACTTGCTTTCGCGATACTGATACGGTCGACCGCCGTTCCCGGCTTCTTTCCCCATCCGGCCCGAGAGACTCGACCTCTGAAGCTACCTAGGTAAGTTTCGGGATCTGTACCACTGACAGCGGGAGTGTCGTGATGCTACGCTACAGTGTCAGGGGGGTTGAGTCCAAAAAGCTTTGGCCTTTCAAATACCTTACAAGCCTACCTACCACCCACCGTCTTATACCATCCAACCCCCACCAGTAGAACACCCCCACCAGTAGAACATATAGCTATATATATAACCTACTAACTTTACTTATAACTAATTTAATTAAATTTAATATTATTACTTTATAACTATAATTATTTTAAAGTATTTATTATAATAAATTAATTAATATATATATTAAGTAGTTTATAAAGTTTAAAGTAAAATTAATTTAACTTTACACTCTATATATAAATATAACTTTCTACTCTTAAATTTAAAATCCTCTTTATAATTACTAACTTTATACTTTATAATTATTAGTTATAATTAAAATATTTAATTATATAAAAAGAATATAGTTAATATTATATTTAATATTATTAATAATAGTCTTATTTTAAGTAAATTTATTTAAAAGTATAATATATTTAAAATAATATTATTTTAATAAATAAATAATATTATAGTTAAAAATAAAATTATTTAACCTATTTAATATTTATTTAAGGTTAAAAATAAATTATACTAATAGACAGTCAAATAAAAATTATTAAGTTATACTTTAACTATTTTTATAATTAAATAAATTATTAAGGTTATTATAAAAATAAAGTAATAAATAAACCTTTAAAAGTATTAAATAAAGTTTTTAAAAGTATTATAAAGGTATATATATAAAGATTTCTTATCTATAAGAAGCCTTAAAATTTAACTATTTTATATTAAAAATAGTTTATTAATATTTTAACTATTAGAAGTAATTTAATTAAATTAAATTTAAATTAATAATTAACATTAATAAAAGGTATTATAAAGAGTTAAAATATATAATATTATAATAATTAAATTATATATTAATAAAAACCTTTATTTTAACTATTTTTAAAATATTAATAGCCTTATACTTAATATATTTAAAATAAAAAACCTTTAAGAAGATAAGTAATAGTTAAGTTTAAATAACTTTTATTAATAGTATTATAGTTATTAATTATTATTTAAACTTTAAAATTATTTTTAAGGGTAAAGAACTTTAAATTTAATAGTTTTTATAAAAGTTTAAAAGTTATACCTTTAATACTTTATAACCTTATTAAATAGTTAAATAAATAATAAAATTATTATTATTTAAATTTAAAATATATTTTTACCTTAAATAAATAAAATATATTAAAATAATAAATCTTAAATAATTTTATTTATTTTAAATAATTATAAAAGTTATATCTTAATATATAATAACTTTTATTCTATTAATTTAATATTATATAAATTAACTATTATTATATAGTTTAAGTTTATAAAGGTATACTTTTTAATAATATTTATTTATATTTCCTTTAATATATACTTTTATAAGTTATAATTATATAATAATAACTATTTTAATATTTTTAAGGTTATATATTAAAAGGAACTTAATAAATTAAACTCTCTTATTAATTTAATATTTATAGGTAAGATTAACTTCCTTTATTATTTAATAAAAGTTAAAATAACTATAAAATTAAAAACTATTTAAATAACTTAAAATATACTAGAAATTAGTTTATAAATTATTAAAAAGCCCTTAATTATTTAAATATATAACCTAATTAAAAAAATAAAAACTAAAGTTAAATTAAAAATAATAATAATCCTAAAATTATATAAAATTATATATTTAAACTAATAAAGAATACTAATTTAATATAAAAATAATAAGTTAAAACTATTACTAATAAGTTTAAAGAGTTATAAATTAAAGTTATATTCTTTAAGTAAAAAATACTAAATATAAAACTTAAAAACTACTTAAAAAGTATTAAAAATATTAAACTATATTTAACCTTAATAAAAGTTTATAAATATTTATAATATTTTAAATAAAAAAGATTTATTAAAAACCTTAAAAATAAACTTTAAATTAATAAAAGCTTAAAAATAGTCTAAAAATTAATAAAAATAAATAAAAGCTTTAATAATAAAAATAACTATTTTAATAAAGATTATAATATATTCTAAATATTAAATTACTAAATTAAATAAATATATAAATTAAATAACTTTAAAGCTTTAAAATTATATATAAATTAACTTATTATATTATTAATTAACTATTTTATCTTTATTATTAAATTAAATAGTTTAAATATAGTTACTAGTTCTACTAATAGGGGTGTTCCACTAGTGGGGGTTGGATGGTACTGTATAAGCTGTCGCGACCTTAGGGAGCCCACAAAGAACACCCGACTTGAACAATTAATGAGGGTGACTTTGTATCGTCAAGACTTTCTTGTCCCATCCATGCTGCTTAACTCGAGTACAATTCCAGAAGACATGCTCAGTGACCTTGAATCGGAGGACGCCCAATGAACCGAGGATGCCGGATCGGACACTGTCACCCTTTCCGCTGTCAATTACTTTCGACTGGGTTTATTTCCTGGCCTTATTTCCTGGCTGTATCGATGCATGCCGGATGAGTTGTTTCTTACATAGATACAGTCAGGCAATTTTTCCGTTATCATTAGAGAGGTCCATTTACCGAAGCATGCAACCAACTCTTGAGATACACCACCTCTGTGCCTAGGTAGAGCCGGGCAGTCGCCAAGCCAACTTCAGCTGTCACGCTGTCCAGGTGGCTCTCGGTCCATTTGGCGACGGAATCTGCCAGGAGTGGGAACGTTCCGTTCGCAGCCTCTACACATTGAATTACCCTCGATCACTTCTTGCACTTGAGGAAGCCATAAAACCATATCCTAGCACGGAGGACCCGAGGGTATGGTATTAATTATCCTAGGGTAGTAGAAGCTGAGAATAGGCAGGTCGCATTCTGCGGAGTCTGAGCAATAGCAAGGGGTCTTAAGCTGTTCTGGCCGCCTCTTTAATTATTAAGCCAGGCAATGGCCTGGAGAGAAATGTGGACAAGGAGGTTGCATATTACTACGTCAAGAATCCTGCGCAGCAGTCTGCGCCGCAGACCATGAGTCGCCGCATAATCGCGCCTCTGCTTTTCATGCATTACTCAGGGAGCCGAAATATGATCCACAGCATGGGTTGGAAATGGGCAGCGCACTATTTGCTACTAACAGCGGCACCGCTGGAGCAACGGCCCCTTTCGGTCCTCGTGCCCACGACGAGAAGGATCTTCCGGCGACGTAAAGCTTGGCATCTGTCCCCACGGGGCTGATCTATCATCTTCGGACACTCGACTGAATTTAGACAGGGCTCCGGGCCCAACGGGCCCAACGGGCGAACGCCTATATCAAGGACGACGTGATTCATGGTACCAGGGCAACACTGCCTTGGAGTATAAGTTGACGGCTCCCGACCTGCGGTTGTCTGCACCTCTTTCTTGTCACAGCTTGCTAAGTTTCGTTCATTGCTTTCTTCGGTAGACTTCAGCGGTACACTTTTGATCATGCCTTCGTTCAAATCTTTTTACCTCGCCACGGCGGCTGCCCTGGTCTCCTTCAGCACTGCCTTGGATGAGACTACATACCCTTTTCAACCGCCAACAGACACAGACGTCCGGGCCCCCTGCCCGGCTCTGAACGCCCTCGCCAACCACGGAATTCTGCCACGCGACGGCAAGGGCGTCACCATGGCGATGCTCGTCGACGGTCTGTACAAAGGTTTTAGCGCCCAAAGTGACTCCACGCAGGTGCTTGGTAGCCTGGCCTTCCAGACGTCCACAACTGGCGACCCGTCGACTTTCAACTTGGACGACCTTAAGCAGCACACCCCACATGTTCTCGAGCACGATGGGTCACTGTCAAGAAACGACTCTTATTGTCAGTCTCACCTTTTTTCCTCTTACGGATCAGTCCCGTCCGTCATGTTTTGGAATGTTCTAGAATGCAACACTTCAGCATCTATAGCAGGACTAACGTCACCACTAGTCGGCGACAACCTTTCTTTCAGTGACCAGGCGTGGGCAAGGACTCTGGCTAACTGGGGAGACAACGAGATTATCACTGTAAGTGGGAGTTGTGCATTTCAATGTGCTGGATTCATGCTAACGGTTTGCGATTCTAAGTTCGCCGTAGCCGCGGCTGAGAGAAACGCACGCTTTGCGTACGGTGCGGCCACAAATCCCGAGTTTGACGCCGCCTCCGCCAACTCAGCGTCGCTGCTGGAGTACAGCTTGATTCTCTCTGCGTTTGGGGATCTGGTAGAGGGTAATGCAAACGCCACATTCATCAAATACCTCTTTGAGAAGGAAAGGCTGCCGATAGAGCTTGGATGGCAGCCACCCACGTCTAACATGACACTTGCAGGGGCGCAGGCAATGGCGGGTAAGATAGCTGCACTGCTGTGAGGAGAGGTGTAGGAAACTTTCTGTACATATTTATCTTGTTCAGACAACTTGGACGCACAAATGGTACAAAGCACATAACGTATAATTAATAGACGTCATGATACCCGCTCAGCCGAATGAAACCCCTAGACAAAGCCAAGATATCTTTGCCAGCAGAGGCGCTGTTGAGTTGGAATGCGCAATACGTAATGATCTGCTCACCCACGCAAGGACTCGCACTGTACGTCTCGGTAGCATTTCGTCTGCACCAGTGGCATCCCTTCTGAGTGCGAACACAGGCAAATACAAGCTTAATGGAGTCTATATGCTTGATTTTGTGTTTTATTTCTTCCCTGAAGTGGAAAGTTCCCCCATGTCTTGGGATCTCTTGTATGTGGGGACACGGGAAACCATGCACATGGAGCCAGTGTGGTGCGAAGCCTAGCTCGGTCCCCAGGGCCCCCAAAAGAGCAATGCCATGAACATCGCAGCATGTCACAACTTGACAAGTGAGCCAACACAGCCATTATCCGAAGCAAGGGCTTGATTTCCTGTCAAACTTCCGTGATTACTATTAACATTTTCTTGTTCCCTTTTCCAGACGGATTATTGTGCTGAGTCCTTATTGCATGACCGTCAAAGTGTGTACGAATCTCAATTTTCCCCCCTCCACCCGGAACTCATGACTGTCCGGGTTACCCACGAAGCTCAAGAAGACATCCACCTCCCCTATTTCCTCGTCGATTATGTACCTCCTGTCAGTCAAGTTGATATTGTTCGGCACGCCGACATTGCAAGAGTCCGTGGCTGCTCCCTTTCCTGTGTATGAGCCCCCCTCCAATCTAGCACAGGGCGTGCCCCATGGCACGACCACGCTCTTGTCCCTGAAATAGTCAAGATAGGCGTCTGCTGCGGCCTGGATTGTCTTGCGCGAATCCCGGCTGGCAGTATCAATAGGGCCCCAGTTCTCACGGGACGCCCAGTAGAGGGTGCCTGTGGCGTTAAAAAGCCAGTCACCTTGATCTGTCACGAGTGTGTCGATCTTAGATATCAGAGGAACCCCCGGAGTCGTGGAAGTGTTGGACAGGTATAGCTGGGTTCCTATCACGTATGGATGTGCTGAGTTGGCGACGATGAGTTCGGAATACGAAGCGCATTGAGTCGTGTCGAGCGTGGTGCGGTTGTGGTCAATCTTCAGAGCCTGGCTCAGGATTCCGCCTGAGATGGCGGCGGCTTTGAAATTTTCTCTGTAATCGGTACCATTGATGAAGCTAGATATTGGGGTCAGAGACCCAGATGTCTGTGCAGCTATGTAGCTGTTGGTCACATTCTGAAGGGTGGCACGGTCACAGGCTGCCGAAGCAGCTTGAGTCTGGATGGCGCCTAGGAGCAGGGCTGCAACATGCCAGTGAGCGTAGGACCATGCCATGGTGATAATTTGTAAGTTAGTAATCAGGTAACTCTCAGAGGCTAACAAGGAAAGCCATGGGGATATCCTTCGATTTATAGCGTCAAGAGCGGCCCAAACCAAGTACCGAACTGGCGTCGTCCAGCAGTCTTCATTCCACCACGACCATGGCATGGAAATATCCTTTGACGACAGCAGCCGGGGAAGGCTTTCTGGCTAAATGAGTGCGGGCACATCTACGTAGCCGCAATATCCATAAATTCCACTGGTTTAATTTGGCGTCGGCAGTTCTCCGCAGGCATTCATGCCCTGCTCTGGCAGGACTATCGTCCGCGAATGCAGACATTAGGCTTTCTTTGCAGCCAATTCGGTATTGAATATCTACCTAGGTACCTATGTAGCTTTTCTGAAACAGATCACTAGAATACAGAGCCTAGAATACAGAGCGGTAGAACGGTTCCTACTCTTGTTGAAGCAATCCAGCGCGGAGATGTTGTGCCACTGCATCGTACATCTGGGCTCCGACCAACGCCCCCTCAGACACACCAGTGCCAATAGACCGTCCTCCCCCTTGGGTAACAACGGAGATTATATTCCCGTTATCATTGAAATTTCATACACTTGTATCTCACCCTGTCTCCGAAATGATAGGCCATCTCCACACCACGAGCCCATTCCAAGCGCGTGGCTTCAGGCCTGAGGGCTGTCATGAACTTTTGCATTGGGAAATTCAGTGTGTCAGAGAACTAGATGCTCATCAGGTTGCGTTGTGAAATCACTTCTCAGTGTCAGGCAACTACATAGAACTCCAGATGTCACAGTAGCGCGTAATAGAACCCAGCCAATTAAGTGATGTGTCTCATGTGATCCTTGGGCCAAAATGCCATCTCTCTGGAAATACCATTATTTACATCTGCTTAGACCTTATGTAACTGACTGCTAGTACTCCGGCAAAACCTAACAATACCATTACACCAAGTGATCTGAATGTCGGATGCCTCTGGGGCCTTTCGTCCTCAGGACTAGCCAAGTTGCTGCTGAAACGGGCAAACAAATGGTCAGTGTTATCACTGAAAGTGTTATACTGCCTCGTAAAGGCTTCCTGTAAGTCCATTGTTCGAGCAATATCCACGGCAGTCCAGTCATCATAATAGTCAAACTCCTTTGCTCGAGCTAACATTTGTTTCCGACCGACTCTACCACACTCTAGGCCTAAAGCTTGGAAAATGTCGTCAGAATCGACAGTGATATCCACAGGGTCAAGTCCCCGGTAGTTTATCATGTGCGCCAGTGCGACCACAGCCACCTGATCATTGCTCAAGGAATAATTTGGGAGAAATCTCGACAGGAGCTTGTGTTCTTCACCCCCGAGAAGGCTCAAGAGAGCAAACACACGGTCTCGGCGGTCCTTACACTGGGCCTGTCGGTGTCGAAGAAGGAGATCGTGCAGTGACGAGCCAAGTTCTGGGAACATATTCACGTTGCGCGCTAGGATGAGAGATGCCGCTTTGTATTGCTGTGCCAAGGTATCCAGAGTATTATTGAAGTTCTCATCGAGGGCTGAACTGGTGCCATAAGTTATATCGGTCGTCATGGTGAGCAGTTCGTAGAGCCGGTCTGATGTGGTGATGTTATCGCTGCAGTAATAGTGTATCTGGCGTGCGCGCAGGAATTCTTGGATGACCCAGAAGCGTGACCAGTATGGTCGGTTCAGCAGATCACCAAGGTGGTCTTCCCAACAAAAGGAATCATCTTCGAAGGTGGTAATATTCCCATTTTCCAACTCATTCTCAAGGCTTGGGAACAAATCTTGAAGGTATCGGGATATCGGCGCTAAGCCAAGCCATAGAGACACCACTTGAGCGTCGGAGTATGTTCTGTCCATCAGCGCGACCTGTTCGGACTTTTCTTGCTCGTCTCGTTGATTGATGCACATAGCGTCTACCCAGATCCAGTCCCATTCTTTGATATTCCGACAGGCCCGTGATAGGTAGTACAAACAGGACAAGAGGTATGGCCGAACGCGAAACAGCCTCCCGTTGAGGCGGATGGTTTTTGTGGGTTCTTGGTTGCCCCAGGTATACGAAAGAGCAGTGTAACGCTGAGAGGAATTTCTGGTTACATGGCGAATCTCGAAACGTAGATCATTGAAATCATTGGAATAGGTGGGTCTGAGAAGTCGAAGCTGCTGTGGCGTGAGAGGTGAGTATTGATATTCCGTCTCCCAGATGTCATCCATTGTAGCTGGGGCAAGTAGCACTTGGGGTTAGTGATGCGGTTGCTGTGTTGTTGGTATCGCAGGCGCGTCAATGTTCAGGAAAGGGAGCTAGATATGAATGCTGCCAAAGCGGTGGGTCTTCCTTATATGATCAAGAATTGGCCCCCATGAAGGGAGGGGTAACTACGTAAAGGAGGTTTCACGGATACATTAAGCGAACAAGTCAAAAAGCCGGAATTCTCCAACTCGGACCACACAATGGTTGATATTCCATGTAAATTCTGCCTAGGTATAGCTTGGCGCTGTAACAGTACAGTTGGCTCAACTTGTATCATTCGACTACCTACTAGTAGGTACCCATCGCTATTCTTTGTCAAGAACGGAGTCATTTGCCCCATGAGCCATCGATAGTGTGTAAAGATTGTATTATTTTCTTATGACTTGGAATCCCGCTTTATCTGTTCTTGGACGCTTCTTATTGCAAACTTATATGTGGCCTTGGGTCTCACCTTCACAGAAGATTGTCTCGAAATTTGGCCCAGCCTCTGTCGCCTGGCCTACATATGTAGTACTTAACTTTCTCCGGGTGATGTCCCGCGGGTCCAGAGACGAAATGTTAGTGCTCTGTTTGGTCTTGCTCCTAAGTCTCTGTCTCTCGCAAGGTAATATCCGGTAGCGGTCTGCACATTATTTACGAGCTATCGTCGTGGTCCTCACTCCAGTCATCGAACAATCCACTCAGGTATGACAGGTCTCCATGTACTAGCATATACCTGCCAACGTAGTGCAAGTCTCTCCCGAGCGATACTTCAAATATGCTACAGGACACGGTAATGGCTTTGCTGAAGTCGACCAGCTTTCCACCCACGAATCCGGCCTCTTTGACATCATTGACGACGACCCCGAGGCGGTGTAGTTGGCTGAGGTCGATGATCGTCCTTGGTGTGTCTTTAGGACCAAAAGCCTGGCCGCTCCGAGGAAGCCCCTCATTATCACCCGCAAGGACCTGATTCATACTCAGAGTCTGAGGCCCCATAATCATCACCTTCATGCCACCAGCTCTGAATCCCGAAGTGATCGGCAAGCCTCTTCCTCTTCGGATCATGATGGGGTCGCGGGCCCTCACGGGCGGGAACTCGGGTATATCAGCCGTTGCCCGGCAAGTATGCAGGGCGTGAGCTTGCGGATGCTTCAGAGAACCACGGTATGATTGTACAACTTTGGTGGCCTACGTCTTCCTCTTCACCAGGCCCTTCCAGAAATCAAAGCTATTCTCATCACTCTGTAGCGCCCACACACGACCCGTGACCCTGCCATCAAACCCAACCTCCTGCGCCCTCAGCAAGCCCCAGTCCCTCGTGATGCCCACGACCTTTGCGCGCACCCCGCCCTCCGCCTCGAGCGTGACCTCCTGGCCCGAGTGCAGCCACGCGGCGTAGTACCGCTCCTCCATCTCCCTGGTGAAGCCGGCCCGGACGAACTCGCGGTACAGGGTCTCGAGCCTGGTGATGATGCGGGCGAGCAGCCTCTCGATGCGGAAGGGGGCCAGGTTCGCGCGCTCGGAGAAGGCGGAGAGGACGTTGGCGAGCGAGGTCGTCGGCTTCCCGTTGGTGGTGTTGATGCCGATCCCCACCACCATCTGGTAGTTGCCGTTGCTGTACGCGCAGTTGGTCAGGATGCCGCCTATCTTGACGTAGTTCGGCCTGGCCCCGTCCTTGCCGCCGCCCGAGGTGCTGTACGGCTCTGATGGGTCCTGCGCGTAGATGTCGTTGGGCCACTTCAGCTTGACGGGCAGGTCGGAGTAGGGGCCCTTCGGGTTGCCGTCGTAGCTACGGACTGCCTCGGCGATGGCGATTGCTGCTAGGTACTGGATGAAGACCACGGGCCTGTTGGCGCTGATGTGCGCCGGGTGGTTGATGACGGTTGAAAAGATCAGGCACCCCGGCGGGGCGATCCACACGTTGGTGCCGCGGCCGCGGCCGGCGATCTGCGTCGTCGCTGCCAGGGTGAAGCCGTCTGGAAGCTTGGAGAGGAGCTTGGGGTTCTTCTCGAGGAGCGTGTTGGTGCTGGTGACAACCTCGCCGTACATGAGGGTGTCGCCCCATTCATACGACTCGGTCTCGCGGCGTCTGAATTCTTGTAGCGAGGCGTAGTAGTCATGGTGGTTGAAATATGGCGTCTCCTTTGGCTCTGGCCAGGATGACTCGTGAGGGACGATGGTCTTGAGCACCTTGTTGTAGTCGATAAGACCGTCGATTCCAGTTGTCCTGGCCGGGTCGAACTTGGCCTTGTCGTCAACGTGGGCTGATTGCAGTGCGTCACGGAGCTCGTTTACAGACCAGCGCGAGTCTGAATGCTCGATGTGGAAAGAGTCGTTTGCGTCCTTGATTAGCTCTTCGTTATTTTCGTCTCGGGTGATGATATCACTGAACGAGGTGACAAGGCCGCCGGCATCCTGAGGGTCCAAGGCTGAGAGGTGGAGTTTTGACAGGGACGGCACTGATGAGCCCTCATGGCTGACCTCGAGACCGAGCTTGGTCAAGCAAGCCTTGAGGAAATCAGTGCGGTGGCCGTCGTCCTCGGCCAAAGATTTGACCAACTCATCGTATCCGTCGATTTCAGGGTGTGGCTCAAGGTTGACAGCTGCAAACTCCGGGTGAGGACCAGTCAGGACGGCGGCTCCGTTCCCAAGTTTGCGGTAGACCACGGCAGCCTTCCCCGAGCCCCCATCCACGTCCAAGTCGTCCTCGAAGCTAGCCAGGACCTCGACACCCTCGTCCTTCATCCCGGCAGCATCGACAAAGACACCACCGCCATTGTAGTAGGACCGGAAGGAATCGGACGACTCTGCTGGGCTGGCAAGAGCGTCCTTGTGGACCTTGAGCCTGACGGCCCTGGCGCCGCTCTCACTGGCATACCTGAACCCCTTGAAGGCGCCGCCCCGACAGGTCCCAGGAAAGAAGCTGAGTTCCCGGCTCCCGATGACCTCCATGGCCTTGTCAGGGCTGCCGACCTCGAACTCGCAGCGGGCACAGCCGTAGTAGCCGCCGGCGCAGAAGCCGAGGTAAGCACCGCCGAGGCGGCGGACAAAGTCGGTGATGATGCGGTTGCCGGGACCATTGAGCACGCGGCAGTAGTTGAGGTCTGCACCGCCAGGTATGACGAGGAGGGCTGCAGTGGGCGGCCAGGGTTCCTTGAGGAGGGCAGACTCGGTCAGGGCGATGACTGCATAGTTTGGCGAGAGCAGCCGACGCAGGGAGTAGATGCACTGCCTGACCGAGGCGACAGTTGTGCCGGTTCCTGAGAGATGGGTCAGTTCTGGGTTGGTAGGGAGGAGAATGTGGGCGGCAGACCTGTGTAGACCAGGACGTTGAGCCTGCGTTGTGGTGCCATGACTGCGTGACTGCTTGGCTGATGGGTTGGAGCGGTTGGGAGGAAGCTTCAGAAAAGGGATGTGAGATGGATCCGTCCCGGTTGTGGCACCACCAAAATCCAAGGCTCGAGACTCAGTTTCTCAACACATCAACCAGCACACTCCCGCCTCAAGATGAGCAGCAACACGTCGAAAGAGGAGCCCAAGACCTCGGTACAACAGCCGGCGGTGGAGGAAGACGACGAGCCAGATGAGTGGTGAGTCAAACCCATGTCAAGCCCATGCTTTCGCTGAGGCCTTCTGCTTCTGGGCTTCTGGGCTTCTGAGGCATTTCTTCAGACGAGAGCCAAGCCGTCAACGCCAACAACCACTTGGTCTTCTTCAACTGCAGTCCAATTCCAACTACCGCAGAGACGACGAGGACGCTAATACTCAGCCTTGCCACAGGGACAAGCGCATCTTCAGCACCGGCTGTGCAGGTAGGTCACCATGTCCCGTGTTGTCGTGTTGTCGTGTTGTCGTGAGCCCGGCAAGGCTGACGCATACGGCCCGATTGGCAGAGGAGAACATGAAGATGACCGACTGCTACTTTGAGACCAAGGACTGGAGGCAGTGCAAGGACGAGGCAAGCTCCCACCTTGGCAGCAATCACATAGAGGAGGGCATTCGCTAACCTGCAGTTTACGTTGGACTGCTGCAGATGGAGACATTCAAGCGCTGTTGGAAGGCTCACGGAAATGACCAGAGGACCTCGACTCAGGATGCAGACAAGACTGCGGGATAATTAGACTCTCTATTGGCACCTCTCCTCTCATCTTCCCCCTCTCTCCCCTCTTATAATGCTGAATACCATCTTGACTTGGGCCATATCGCCAACACAAATACGTGCAATTAGTGACCTGCCTGCACTCACGGGCCAGTCAATGATGCGCCAGACCCCTGTCAGATCTGCTTGGCTGGACCGCCCTACCCTGCCTCCCGGCCACTGCAAACCCACTGACTGCTCCAAACTCCCGTGTCGCGCTCCACCCTGCAGACACGCCCCAAAAAGTTCCACCATCTCGGCACTCGCACCTCTTCCACTTTTGCGCCTACCCTCATATAAGCACATGTTCCTGTAGGCCATTCACCATCTGTCCACCAGAGAGCCACAGAAACCAGTCTCCTCCACCATGACGCGAATAATATCATCGGCCATGCGCCCGTTGAGGCTCAACGCCAGCCGGCGCCTCCGCCTAGCAGTCACGGCTGCAGCGCCGACGCAGACGACCCTGCCCTTCGAGGCACGCAGAGCCGCCACGACGACGACGACGACCGCGAGGCCCAACACACCTGCGAAACCCGCACCTGCGCAGACAACACCATATAAGCGATCAGCCACCACCAACACCAACACGACGAACACCGCCAACGCAGCAGCAAGCAACAGCAGGCCCAGCCCCGCCGCCAACACGCCCTTCGCCGAGTCCCAGATCAACCCCGTCCCGTCCGCCCCGTACGCGCGGCCCCAGGGCATGGGCGCCATCCCCGAGGCGCCGCCCGCGCCGGCCCCCGGCGGCCACGGCGACCCGGCCTTTGGCGGCAACGGCATCGACTGGTCCAGCTCGTTCCACGGCCTGTCGACCGTCCCCTTCTCGCCCGAGGTCGCCGCCGTGCTCATGAGGCCCATCCCCTTCGAGGACGTCGAGATCAAGCCCGACGGCATCATCTACCTGCCCGAGATCAAGTACCGCCGCATCCTGAACCAGGCCTTCGGCCCGGGGGGCTGGGGCATGGCGCCCCGCGGGGAGCTGATGGTCGGCGACAAGGTCGTCACGAGGGAGTATGCGCTGCTGGTGCACGGCAGGTGAGCGAGCCTTGTTTACCTCTGACTTCTCCCGCGACATCTTTCTTCAGTACTGACGTTGGACCTCTTCCCTCTCTAGATTTATAGCTCAGGCACGAGGCGAGTGTCAATTCTTCGCCGACGACGGCATCGCCACCGCCGGCGAGGGCTGCAAGTCCAACGCCCTGATGCGCTGCTGCAAGGACCTGGGCATCGCCTCCGAGCTGTGGGACCCCCGGTACATCCGCGACTTCAAGAAGAAGTGGGCTCAGGAGATTTGGGTCGAGCACGTCGTCACCAAGAAGAAGAGGCAGACATGGGTGCGCAAGGGGGACGATCCCGCCTACCCCTTCAAGAGGTCCTGAGTGGGCATCTGAGGCGGTACGACAAGTCTTTCAGGATGAACATGCTAGGGATTGCTGGGGCAGAGCGTGAACAGGTTACCCCGAGCCTGGGTTCAACTCTGCATACACTGAGGGATAAGTGATTGGCTCTCGACATGTGTGGCGTCGGAGGAGGATACCCAGGGTTTGAGAGACCAGAAGGTGGGATCTGGCCGGTCGCGTTTGTACAAAACAGATATGCGGTGGAGAGTTAGACCGGGGCCTCAAATATACGCCCCTCTAGAGATGAATTGGGAAAGTCAAGAGGAAGGCCACAGACGTGGTCAGTGTATAGCAAGCCTCAGATCAGAGGTCCGAGGTCCGACAGTTGCTGGGTTGCCTCGCCAAAGTCTACCAGGTGACCATGTAATAATGCCATAACCCCGAGTGCCCTCTTCTTGTACAATCAGAAAGAGCAAGAAAAAATAACCCCCCCACAAAACGCCACATGAGTTGGTAGCACAGATGCTTTCTACTCGGACTTGTTCTTCCCCGCGTCCGACGACGACGCGCTCCACTGCCAGGGCAACCACGAACCACCCGGAGGGGCCGGCGTGGCCTGTGCCGACTCCTGAGTGTTGTCCTCAGCGCCGCTCTCGGCCTCGATCTTCTCAAAGTCAACCTCGCTACGGCTCTTGCTCAGGCCGCCCGTGCTCTTCCCGCTAGACGATGTCGTCGGCCTCTCGCCGCTGCCGCCGCCGGGCTGTAAGCCCTCGAGGCTGATCTCTTGCTCGCTGGCCGGCGTCGCTGCTGCCCCGGACCTCAGCTGCGCGGCCTCGCGGTCGAGCGCGCTGAGGACGTAGTTGAGCCGCTCGCGCTGGGCGGCGAGGAAGGTCATCTTGTCAGCGTTGTCCTGTATGCTGGCCGGCACGAGCGTCCCGGAAGCAGACAGATCGTCCGTGGGAAACGCGCCGACGCCGGTGCCCCTCGACGCGGACGCCGCCTTCCTGCCCGAAACCGCTGTACTGTTGTTATTGTTGTTATTGTTATCCGTGGCGACGACGGCGGCCGTAGCTGCGTTGACGGCGTTGGAGAGGAAGGAGTAGAAGTCCTGCCCCGCGGTGCTCCCGGCGTTACCCGACCACTGGGCCTGCGGGAGCTGGAACCTGTCCAGCAGCGCCTGGGTGTAGCTGCGCGGGCGCTGCGACGCGGGGACGCTGCTCTCTGCATGCGCCTCCGGGTTGGGCGGCAGGCCGAGCACCTGGGTCCTGAAGGCCTCGATGGCGCGCTTGAGGTATGCGATGCCGGCGGCCTTCATCTTGTCGTGGGTTGTGGCGATGAGCTCCTCGATCTGGGACTCGTTGTCCTCCAGGTAGGGGTGGATGTAGGTTGTGTATATCACGCGCGCGCCTTGGGTCTGAGGCAGGACGAGGTAGAGGAGGAAGAGGAGGCGGATGTACGAGTACAACGGAACCCTGTGCACAGCAGCTTGTTAGGATCGATCGCCCATGTCACGACGACGGGTCTGCCAGGTCCCCGTCCCCCGGGGAATAAACGCACCACACCAGAAACCATTCTGTCCAGCTCTCAACCAGGAGGGCGCACGCCAGCACGACCCAGTACATGAGCCATGGTGTGAGCTGGGCGGGATCGGAGGTCTTGAGCGCCTTGTAGGAGGCGAAGAGGGGGAAGAGGAAGGAGGTGATGGACGACAGCAGTTTCGCAAAGATGTCGAACATGGTCACTGATCATGAGCGCCAGTGATGGGGCTTTAGGTTTGTGTGTGTGCAGATGCGAGTCGATGTAGAGGGAAAGAGGGCCGAGTGAGGGAGGTGGTCGACAACAATTCTAAGGCAACCCCAAGCCGATCGAGGGGCGCGTTCATGGGAACGTGGGGCTCATCCACGGACCCGTCAGCGGCACGAGGACAAAGCAGCTGCCCTGGACCCTGCCTGCAGCTCGTGGGACGCGGGGGACCTGGCGACACCTGGGGCTGCTGGGCCGCCTGAAGCCGTGTTTCTCTGCGGTTTGTTTTTGCCTGTGTTTGTTCGTTGCCTGCTGATTGATTCTCTTGTCCCACACAAATATCGTATATTTGTTGTCTATATTTTCCCACCGTCAGCACACTCGGTCATTCCCTCTCTCTACAGATGCATGCTTGCAGCTTCATCTGGCATTGCGGCACAGATGCTTAAGTACAGAGCATGGACTGGAAAGAGAAGGGGTCTCACCTGCATCCGGCGAATCCCACCTAGTGCGCGCCTTCCCGCCTATGCCGTTAGCAATCGATAAGCCCCGTATACGTCATGCGTCGTGTGCTCGGCTCACCAGCAGGCCCGTTCGTCGAGCTCTGAGACAGGGATCTTAATTGCTTCCGAGACGTGCCTCTGTCACCAGGAGAAATGCGAGTCAAACCCTCGGTAAACCAGCAAGTCATGGACTCTTAGCACACAACCTTGGGACGCTGGCTGCGTTTTATAGGCTAGCTTATTGATACCCTGATGAGGACAGTTCTGCCATGTTGTTTCCGTTTCCTCCAGTGACGTGTCGCGTCACGAATAAGAGGAGCAATATTTGGCCCGGCTTTCCCACCAGGCACCGAGAAAACCATAATCGACAAGCACCTGGGCAGGCATCACAGTCGCGGGTTGACGTGGCCTTCAAACTAGTTCGCAAGGCAGCGATCATAACATGCCACTCTTGATCCGGGAGAGCCCTCATATATTGGGACAATCTTGACAGACTGCCGGGCATTGATCTTAGTCAGGGGCCTGGAACAGGAATTCTACAGTGCTTGGTACCCATCGCATGCCAGGTCCAGTGTGGCAATACTTAAATAATTATCAGCAAATACAAGATTTGACCTCATACAAGGTGCTTACTTGACGTGCCTTTGTAAACTTGTGACTTGTCACGTACTAAGAAGCATTTCTGTCCAATGGTGAGAGCCGCACTGGCTTCTAGGGAGAATTGCTCAGACAGGCCTGGCGACGTGGTACATTTTATGTGGCGCCTACTCCTTCATGTAAATATTTTAACATATATTTGAACCAAAGAAGTCATCAACTTGCTGGTGTCGTTTCGGAATGACTCTTGATGTATATGTGTGCTGTCCTTGTATTATGGTCTGAAGATCATGTGTGTAGGCGCTGATGCCCAACTCCGACGCATTTGATGGCTGGACGTCGACACCGCTTTTTGGCCTCCCCTCATCACACTCACAGGCTACAATCAATTATTGATATTCAAATATGTAAGAGAACGGATATTCGCACAGGAAAAAACGGCTGGTATATAGGTACAAATGCCCCCCTAGGCTGTAGCCAATTAGAGGGCGTCATTCTACCTCCCCTAACTATATGCACTACCTATATAAGAGAACGGAGATTCGCACAGAAGAAAACAGAGGGTACACAGATACACTACCACCCCCCTTAGACTACAGCCAATCAAAGGGCTCTAATCAACCCCCCCAACCACACACACTACCCACACCAAGTGCTTTTATACCCCCTTCTACCTACAAACCTACCATTCCTCCTCTACCCACCTAACAACACTCCCTTACCAACCACCTACTATATACAATATAGACTAAATTTAAGTAAAATAACAATACCCTTTAATCTCTAAACTAAGTAGACTCCTATAATAGGAAGAATTAGCGAGAAACCGTCTAATAAAACTAATAGTTAGTAACAGCACTTATATAGCCACTAACTTAAACCACCAAACTAAAAGCTATAATAAAAGAATATGAAATTAAGAATTAATAAGGAAGTATATAGTTAATAAGTATAAATTTCAGTTTTATATAACGAATAGATAATGTAAATTAAGGTTAGCACACTAGGGGTGCATTATATCTATATACCCTTTATTTTCTTCTATATAAATCTCCGTTCTCCTATATAAAGTATTTTTTATACCCCTTATATAGACCTACCCTCCCTATATAAGGGTTTGTGGGACTATTAACTAGATATTATAGGTTAACCTTACTGTAAAGGACCTTATTAGTAAGAAGGACTTAGAGATTTAAGAGGAGATTTAAGTGTTTATATATGAGTTAAAGCGCCCTAGGTAATAATATAAAAAGTAAACTATTAGATTAAAAGCGATAATAGGAGGATTAGAAATTAAGGTTGATAAGGATATATATAGTTAATGAGTGTAAATTTTGGTTTTATATAGTGAGTGGGTAATGTAAACCTATTAAGGTTGGCGCACTGGGGGGCATTTATACCTGTGTACTAGCCGTTTTTTCCTGTGTGAATATCCGTTCTTATATATAAAAGCTTTGTTTCTTGAGTTGTTAGGGCCTCTTCAAATGTTACCCGCTTTTTCTGCCTTCGACAACCTCCAGGGCTTCACAGCCGAGGCTGGACGGAGTTCATCCATGGATGCCATCAGCCGCAACTACAAAGCACACCACCAGTAAAAAGAACGTATTAACCAATATGTTGGCTTTTTCACTTCACACTCATGGGTAACTTAAAAAGAAACCTTGAAAAAGAGAGAACTGTTGAAGAGATGAACCTTGATAAATGTGGTGTTATTAGCGTAGGATGGGATCCCATCATTGAGCTGTCTTGATTTAACAATTTAAAGGGTTGCCTCTACATGAATGTAATTTCTATTTTCCTCATGATGTGCTCCCACGTACCCGTGACTCTCTCAGAAATGACTTCAAAGTAGTACTCTTTTTACTTGGTAGTGGGTGGTTGGGCTGTCCGGATCAATTTAGCATACGGGCAGTCGAGCTGTTATTCTAAGCCAGGTTGAGAAAGCACTTTACCGTGGTGTGATAGCTGCACTCAAGACCAAGTCATTGTTTGATGGCAACACTCCCAGATATAGGTGGCTTAGGTGTCTTTCCCAGAGATGTTGAAAGGCTTTGATCTGATCGTCGTTTTCTCGTATTTCCCAAGACATATATATGCCTTTCGTGGGATGACCGTGCAACAAAGATGACCGTGTTACAAACAGGTAAATTTGGCTCCCTCGATCATTGATGAGGTTTGCTGGATAGGTATTATACTCACTGGCAAAGTCTAGTCTGCATCTGCAAAAACTTTAGATGCAATGGGGTGTGGCTGTAATGTGCGATGTATGAGAACATACAGCTGTGTTGATCTCAAGAGAACAAGCTTCCGAGGTTTAGCGCGACCTTACTCATGAGGTCCTTCAGCCCGCGAGACAGTTGCCTTATTCTCCCGATGTCTTCTTTCGTCTCATCATGTGTCATCTTATATGCCGGAGGGTCTTGAAATGGACATTGAATCTTGTGTTTAAGTGCTCGTAGACAAATTCACAGTGAGCATTGTTGGAAGCAAAGTTAATGCGCACGCCATGAATTACTGGCCATGATTAGCATTTCGCCATTGAGTAAACCTGGAATGAGTCTAATCATTGACGTTTGTCTCAGCTTTGAAATAGTAGAACAAAATTTGAATTTTAGAAGGCGGAGAAGTTATGCCGATTTACCAGGTCCGTCACTATATTGGAAGCTAGGTATTTAATGGCTCTGGTTTCCCACATGTTGACATCTCACTGAAGAGCGAACAGCCTCCAAGTCCTTTTTCGATAGCATTCGTACAAATAGTCATTGCGTACCTGGGTCTAGGTAAATTGAAAGGACCCAAGACTCGGCGCGATACAAGTCATCCATATGAGGAACTTGAATATTGTCACTTCCAAAGTCCCCAGCTCCCGCAGGTTTGTTGCAACCTTAAGTAGTTTCGCAATAATTGACGAAAACTAGATATGCATGAGTAGTCCTGTCCCGTTGGAATCATTTTCTTGGCTGCGTGGTCATCCGCATGCCAATGGTTTGGGGTCCAATCCAAATGGACGGGAATCAGCAGACCACTCAAAAGTCGCATGAGCATCTTGGGGACAGCCCCGGAGCGCCCAATTTTCCCTAAAGTAGAAAGCGCCACAGTAGGATTCATACTGGCCAAGCAATTTGCAGGGGTTTGTTTTCGTACGTCCCGATCACTTCCTGGCTCCGTTTGAGTCTTGACGTAACATACCAAGCCCGCGTTGACTTTTGTATGCCACCACGAGCTTTGAGTCTGGAAAGACTCCTACTTCTTCCGATAATACTTCTAAAGTGTGCCATTCTCAGCAAGATCAAAAGTAAAGCGTCCATACATATGTACTAAAATCTCACTCTTGCAGTGCGGAGTGGCGGGAGGACGCCGCCACAACGATCGTTGCCAGCCGTGTGGGTCAGCCTCCCGTGTCAAAGTCTAGGCAATCATAGAGCCGCCTGCTTGTCGTGGCATTGCGAATTGGTCATGGTATGGAGTGCAGGGCGGGGCTCGATTGACATCTGATTCCGAGTTCACTGGCCTAATATCTCACTGGGAGTCAGCTTGGGAGGGGCTGAGTCTATACAAACAATAGTCTAATCCTGCTCAGTGACATAAGCCGCAGATGTCTGGAAAATGATGGGTTTTTGCGCTCTGGGCTACTCCATACTGTTCTGTCGGTCTTCAAGTCGAGCACTATTAATAAAGGCCTTTCTCTTCCAGGGAGAAGGAATTAATACTGTCCACATCAATCCGAAGCAACGCTACATCTTTGTCTCTCCTCCCTCACTTCTACCGACACTTTCTCCTTGCCGAATATTTATCACGTCCTCCAAGGTTGATATCATGCATCGCATGACACTGCTCATTACTTCCACGTTGTTGGCTGCCTCGGGCGTCTTGTGTCACAACTCAACTGTGCAATGTGCCCCAGGGCTCAAAATGTTTGTTTCCCGCGGGACTGGCGAGGAGATGGGCGTTGGTGCGACCGGGGTCCTTGTGGACGTCATCGCGCAACAGATCAACGGATCCGATATCGAGGCTATTGAGTATCCAGCAAGCCTCGATGACCCACTGTACTTCCAGTCTGTTTCAAATGGTACCACCTTGGTGAAAGAGGCCATCACCAATTACGCGGCGGCTTGTCCCAGTTCGAAAATGGCAGTCTTTGGGTACTCCCAGGTGCGAAACCTGTGCCAATCTTTGAGATGGACATACAGGCTGATTGCACGGTAAAGGGCGCCCAAATCAGCAGCAATGCTCTCTGCGGAACTCCCCCCATTTGGGGAATATTCAATGGTCTTCAAGACGTCCCCGGAATTCTTGCATTCGCGCAGCCACTTCCCGCGAACATCACTAAGAACGGTAGCCCTCTCCTGCCCACCAATATTTTAACCTTTGAACTTGGCTAACGGTTTACACTCCCCCAAAAACAGTGGTAGCAGCCATCCTTTTCGGAGACCCTACCCACCGCGAGGACGCTCCGTACAACTACGGAAACGGCACAGGTAGCGGTGTCTTTTGGCGTCACGATATCAGCCCATGTGAGGCTCTGGGTAGCCGCATCCGCTCGTACTGCGACGCGGGTGACCCGTACTGCGACGTTAATTACGATCCGGATATCTACACGCATTTGAAATACATTGAGAGATACGGCATCGATGTTGCTCAATTCGTTGTCGGCCAGTACTACAACGGCGGCGCGACAAACGCCCCGACCGGGACGGGTGTGGCTGGGTCTCCGCCGACTTCCAGCCCTGTTACGGTCAGTGAGTCGGGCAAAATTTCGGTCATGATATGCCCGATCATGACGACAGCCTTGTTAGTGCTTGGGCTGATCTAGATATAAGGCAAATTAAATTCCCAGTTTCGACTTAATCACGCATTGACAGGATGATGGGATCGCCGTTGATGTGACCCATCCGATGGTCACGGAACACTTTCTACAGGTATACGACATGGGCATTAGATTGAAACACATGGTGGTTTGTGGGATTGATTGTTTGTTTTTCTGGTGCCGTAGACATCGATGTACCAGACTAGCTGCGTGTCTTAGTGAAGGCCTGATTGCAAATAACAGCTCAGCTTCCCTGTCGAGACACTGAATTATTGTGACCAGTGTAGAGTCTCATTCATAGCAGACAAGTTGTCGGGATGGTAGGAGACTCGGGCTATTGTTCCCGAGTTTCCAAACTCCCAGAGCTCCTTGAGCATTGTCCCTTGTGGGGTGATTTTTCCAGTCCTCCCCAGCCGCTAGTGTGGGCGATATTTGATATGGCTCGTCCATTTGGGGTTGCTCGTTCTCTCATGATAGTTGAATACGCCCTCAAACCTCACTTTTCCAAGTCTGAGGACTTTGGTTGGTTTCCCTGCCCCAGCAGCGAGGTTGTGGGTCGAGCTGACTGGCGATGATATGTTTTCCGCTGACTGATTCCCGACCATCATGGTGACATGCACCCATGGAGAAGGGTGCGGAATTGTGCTGGGTGCTCAATTGAGGAGCAGGGCGGTCGCCATAAGCTTGCAGTGTTACAAAATGGTGTAGAGGGAGACCAAGGGGGTTCGCCCATCCGGTCTCCGTAGGCTGAAACAGGCGTCGAGGGTTCAACACCTTATTTCTTGGTGGTGAAGTCGATCTCGTTGGGGTTGAATCCACCGTCAGCTGCTTTCTCACAAGTACAGGCATCTGGAATTGTTTGGTCAGCTACCGATTGTGTGGCCTTGTTGCCCGTGTGGGGGGCCAAACTCACCAGCGGGCCTTGAGCCACAGGCACAGCTGTTGTCAGGCTTCACATTCTCAGTGGGAGCCCTCTCGCAGGTGCACTCGCCAGCGGGGCGGGCACGGCAGGAGCAGCGGGGACCGGCGGTTGTGTTCTCCTTTGAGGCCTTGTCACATGAGCAGTGCAGAGCAGACTGCTTGCCGCAAGAGCACTTGGCTTGCTGGGCTGTTGATTTCTTGTCAGACACTCAGGCACATCCATGAGCCCATAATTTGTTGAGCCTTGACTTACCGCAGACGCAGGTATCGCCCTTGCCGCAACAGGTGGAGGGCTTGGCAACTTCGGTGGCCATCTTTGAGATGAGTGGTGAGATGGGGGAAAGGCTGTGTTGTGTGGTTGGTGGCTGAGCTGAGGCGATTTGATCACAAGAGGTGGAAGTTGACTTGGGCAAGTATTTGAAGAATCGAGAAGGCTGTAGAGGTGACTGTGTACGAAGTGTCTGGGTATGTACAAACAAGTGAACCAGGAAGGCAGACGGGCGTATTTGTATCTGTATTAGACTCTCAGGACAGGCAGCGTTCCACAGTGACATGACCAGGCCTGTGGGCCCACGGCAGCCACAGCTGACATTCAGCTCGACGCTGGTTGGCCAAGCTCGGGCTCCCGCCAATCGGCCGAATTCCATTCGCAACGTCAGGGCCTGCGCCATGACCTGACAGACCGACAGAGCCTCACGTTCATTGCCCTCGGGCTCATTGGTCGTGATGGGGTCCGAATCGCATGACACGGCCAACCACAAATGCCTTTTGCGGCGACACAGGACGGGCTTCCCGAGAATGCCTCATGAGCTCCTCAGGGTTTCGAAACCGCGTCTTCAATTGCACATCGTCGGCCTCAACGCAGCTTCCTGCGCTTTGGTGCAGATGATGCAGATGTGGACGATGCTCCGGCCCCTGAAGATGTCTGCTCGACGTCCTTGCCGAACAGGTAAATCTCGACAGACTGGTCCTCCAACCCCAGCACGGGCAGCGGCTGCGACGCACTCTCCAGCACCTTCCAGCCATGCTCATCCATCAGGCCGAAAAGCGCCTTCTCGGATGAATGCCTTGGCTTGGTGGCAAGCATGACCCTGGTGCTCTTGCTCGCCCTCTCCATCGAGAGCTTGTGCAGCTCGGAAATGGTCGCGACCAGCGCAGCAAGCATATCTACGTTATACGTGCAGTCGCTGATGATGACAAGATCCCAGCTCGACGCTCGTGCCCTGGGACCAAATGCTCCCACCTTGCCTTCTTCCCAATCAAGACACTCGAAATCTGTATCTACACTGGGCTCCCATGTGGGGGCTGTGGGGACAGCATTCCTCGCCTTCTTCTCGCCGGCAATGTTGGCCAGGGCCACCTCCTCGGCATCTGCCAAGTCAGTCAGAAGAATACGGCTGGGTGACTGCGTAGAACTATCGCCTGCCCCTGACCCAGACATCCGACGGTACAGGGCAGCCGCAAGCCCGATGCCCAGGACCCCAACACCGCAACCCAGCTCAATGGCGTTGAGAGGTCGGCCAGGCGTCACGGAGCATAGCAGGTCTTTGAGCAGTGGTGTCTTATTCCACGTGTGCTTTGAGGCCTGGGCACCCGCACCCTGGCACATATTCACAAGCACACCAGTAGTGACCACACCTGCGTCCCAGACATGCCGGTCAATGCTCTCGCCAATCCTCTCGTCCACGCTCAGGAAGCCCCCTCCGGCAAGGGCTAGTCGTCTCATCGACTCGAAGGTCCGTTCCCCGTCCTTCTCTGGCGGCCAGGGAAAGTCGGATTGTACGGCCATTATCCGGCCGTCTGCATCGAACGGGATGTCCGCCGCCCTGGGAGAGTCCTCAAGGTTGTGTGATGCGACAATGCATATGGTGGGCGTCAGACTTGACGCCGGGGACGGCTTTTGCATGCTCTTGAAAACCTTGTCAGGCACTGGCAACTCCAGCTTTATGATCCTCATGCCTTGTTTCCAATAGACCCCACTCTTGCCCGCCCTCCGGAGACTGAGACAGCATGTTTGAGTCTGGCCATCGTCAGTGCTTGTAGATGAACCCCCCGTGAGCCACACCGAGATGGGCACTGGCTCATCTGGGCAGAGGAACGAGTCGCCCAGATCTGTCGTTATGGTGATGACAAGCTTCAAGTTTCGCTGGTCGTCGAGGCTTGGTGGCCTCATAAGGCGGATGTAGTGCATCTCTTGGAGTCGCCAGTTGCGGTGGTGTGGACAAGCCAGGTAGGCAAGTGGGTTCTGGAGGTTGAGTTTATTTTCAAGAATTCTAGGCCGGCAGCTTCAGTCCCTGGGCCCGACCGCACGGAAGCCCCACTAATAGGCCGCTCCGTCTGCGGTTACAGGCGCCCACAGGGCGTGACACAAGACACATCCACGTCCCGCGCCTTGAACGTGTGCCCATGACATCAGTTTGTTGTTTTTTTAGAGAGCCCTATCACAAATACTGCGAATTCCGTGTCGAATTCGGACCCTGGTTATTTACTCAAGTATGCTAAGAAAGACGGGCCAAGGCATGAAGGTGGCGCGGCGGCCGTTCGCGTGTCGGAGGTCGCCGGGATTTCGATGTTGCCGCGGTCCGTCTTTCTTCGGCCGACGCCCTGATATCAAGAATGACACCTGGGACATATAAGGTTCTCGAAATACCACCCAGAGCCAAGAAATCTCCTGGCTATACCTCCAGCCTCACCGCCACCTTCTCTCATCTCGTGCCCGCCCCCTCCGAGACAGCTGCAACAAACACCGGGCATCATGACGGCCACTCACTCCCCATCAGAACTCCTATCCGCCATCCTCACCACCACGGAGAAGGAAATCATCCCCCTCACTGCAGAAGGGGTCAAGTCAGGGTGCAAGCTCTTCGGCGCCGCCATCCTGACCCAGCCCAAGCTCCAGGCCCATACGGTGGCAACCAACAACGAGCGGGCGTCCCCGCTGCTGCACGGCGAGATCAACTGCATCCAGGAGTTCTTCAAGAGGGACGCTGGCGATCGGCCATCGCCGCGGGACTGCGTCTTCTTCGCGACCCACGAGCCGTGCTCCCTGTGCCTCAGCGGCATCGCCTGGGCCGGCTTCAGGGAGTTCTACTACCTCTTCACCTACGAGGACTCGCGCGATCTGTTCGCCATCCCGTACGACATCGACATCCTCGAGGAGGTCTTTCGGGTGAGGGCGCCCGCCGACTCGGATGAGTCCCTCGCCACACGGCCCCTCTACAACCGGACCAACAAGTTCTTTACGGGCAGGAGCCTTGCGGACGTGGTAGAGGGGATTGATGACCCTGCGGAGAGGGAGAGGTGGTTGAGTGAAATTGAGAGGTTGAAAACGCTGTATAATGGCCTCTCGGAAACTTATCAGGAGGGAAAGAAGAAGGGCATGGAGACAGCCAGTATTTGGCAGTGAGGCGGAAATGTTGGCAAAGGAAGGGATCTGCCATGGCGAAGTCGTTGGAATGACTTGTCCGGGTGTTACTCAAGCGCGTTCATTTAGCACAGCCGAATCTCGAATAGCGAGAGTATGTAAGGACCCCCTGATCTACAGCCAAGAAGGCAGGTGATCACAGGTCTTATAATAGCTGATACCAAAGCAACACTCAGTCTAAAATATGGCGGGATATTGGCAAGTGACCGAGCGAGACAAGTGGAATACATTTCCAACAAGCCAATGTAATTAAGCTATGACAGTATCTTTTCTTACCCAGCTATAGTAAGTAAGCAGACTGCTTCCAACTAGACTTCAACCACTCCTGGATGACACTCCCGAGTATCTGGCTTTCAGCTCGCCACCCAGAGCAAAGTCAATTGCTGCCTTTGTAGCTTCGTCCAAGTCCTCGTTTGGCAACCCCAAAGCACCATTAAGCAGACCCTTACGGCTTTCATAGTTTCCATCTCCATTCGGAAAAAAGACCCTTGTGTACATAAGTCGCGCGAATCCTGTCAGGTCCCCTTTCTGAAAATCCAAAATCCCCTGCCTGTATCTCTCGCCTGAGTCTTCGCGGGTGACCGTCCAGTCAGCATCCGTCGTACCAGTGACACGCTTGACGCTCTCGAGCATGTCCTTCTGGCTGACGAGGAAGCTGGAGGTATAGAGAGTCCCATTGGCCCAGTTGTCGATAGCGGGGCTCCTGTCGTCTTCATCTTGGGGGAGCAACTTCAGGCTCAGGAAAGAAGCCACAGCTCGGCCGCATTGCGCCCACGTGCTGGTGTTGATCTTGGCGTTTCCGTCATCGAAAAGGACGAGCGAGCGGTTGTGGAAGTCGAAACCGTAGCGGTGGGCCGTGCCGCCGAGGCTGAACTCATACCAGAACCCACAAGCGAGGCTTACCCATTTGCTTACCCCAAGAGCCTCGATCTCGTCACGAGCGTCAGCTGTACATGAAATTAGCGGGAGTCAAAGACTAAGACAGCACTCCTTGGGTGCCACGTACTGAACGACTTCTGGACGAAGATGTCTTGCATTAACTTCTCGTTCGAGGGGTCACTCCCCCAAGCATTTGGCATGATGTAAGGAACACCGGCTTTTGCCGCTGCTTTGATAAGCTTGCTCTGAGTGCCAGGGGGTGCCTTTACGGCCAGGGTGATGACGAGAGCCTGGTGTCCCTTCATAGCCCTGACCAGAGATGTCTCGTCCTCATAGTCCACGTTGACAGAACTGACTCCTTCTGGCACACTGTTGGTACTTCCAGAGCGAGTGATGGCGGTCACGGCGTGTTTCTCCGTTTTAACCAACTCTTGAGCAATAAATCTGCCCAGATTGCCTCCAGCCTGGTCGTAGTATGTCAGTTGCGATTTCGTAACAGTTTCCGACCTCAAGAGCTGTCTAATACTTACACCCACGATGGCAACTTTGTCAATGCGATTGACGAAGCCGTCAGCCTGGTCTTTTGCATACTCGGGAGACATGTTGATGGTTGATTGGATGTTCACAATTGTGGCAAGACGGTATGTATTTTGGAAGCAATTTTTCCCACACGAATTTGTTCTGAATTTTGCTGGTGAGGTGATAATTGGGATGAGGCTGTTCTGCGGCCAGGAAGTACGACTTTAATTATAATGACAGATTTTTGCTGGGTATATGCCTCGTCTGACTACATACCGATACTTAGGTAGCTAATGGTCTTCGGAACAACATTTGAAGTTGTGATGCCGGGCAATGGACTACGCTTGGGTCACTACACACTCTACGCATCACAGAAGGAGCCGACGGTGTGATCGATTGGTAATGTACGCTTCGCAATATCACGGACTTAAGAGGACAATTGATTGTGACCGGAGTTCGGATCTCTGGGGTTCATCGATTCCCGGGTGAGCTAGGCGGTAGCCCGGAATTCCGGTCAGCAAAGAATATTACATTGAGGAAGAAGCATTGTGATGACGTTCAGTAGTTGAACGCATCTTTCTAGTGTATTCAGATTGCGGGCTGATTTGGGTCCGACGGGAACTGGAAGGAATGGGGAACAAGGAATTCGCAGTTTGTGAGATTCCACTTGATCCCGTACACCATGGTTCTCAGAATCGTGCTCTTGTACCTACTTAAGTAGGTAGAGGGCGTGCACGGCGTGCTGATCCACCACAGCCTCCAATATAGCGTCTTTGAAATTCTCTTAAAATGCATAAGATGCATTGAGATGTTCAGCTTCCTTGTGGTCCCACATCTACCTGCCCGAGGGTTGGGGAGGTTCACAACGGAGGCATGTACGGAAGAAATCCATAACATGGCAAGTACAGTGTGTAGCCACTTCTGCCACGGAATCTCTTGTCTAATGATAAATACGTTTTGAATTTGTTGTATCGATTGTTGATGACATTATGAGTTGTGCTATGTCAAGTTTGAGGTGCGTATTCGCGTGCCACAGCCCGCGTCTGCTTGCTAAGCCTCCCCGAGAGTCTGGAAAGGATGGATTGCCGAGTAAATTAAATTCGTCCCGGAATAGTTCATGTATTCTAACATATTGTCTTCTAAATAAATCCATGGAATAAGTGTCACGGGGCCGAAGCAATCCTCTTTCAAAGCAGTGACGAGCACTCGTCTCAGAAGGGCAACGCGAACTTTCCTCGAGATGTGTAGGCTTATTCACATCACGAGACAGCCAACTATAGAGTCCGATTTTCTTTGAGAGGGTGGCTTGCAGGATCCTGTGTACCAAGGAGTCCTAGGGCAGAACAAAAGATTTGGTTCAATAAACCTGACAGCATCAGCGCGATGTGTCACGTATACGGACTCGCATACGCGCCTATCATTTCTCAGCCTTGGCTCCCCGTAACGGCTTAGCCTAGAGACTGTGATGATGATTCACGAATGAGTAGCAATTAGAGTCATTATGTCAAGTCCGAGATTAATACAGGCAGGCAAGGCGAGGCAGTCCATGTATCAGGGTGCTCCTCCAAAGAGAATCTGCGTGGCATGCCACTCGGGGCAGGAGGCAACAGGAGAGCATCACGTGCGACGATTGTATTCATGACGTCTCATAACCGTGACTCAACAACACGGGCACACACCTTTGTTGTCTGGTTGCTGGGACTTGCCTTGTCTCTAAACCTCTGTCCAGTCGTGATGCGGTAGGAGCCAAGTCGCCTGCTCCCTATGAAGGTTGTGAGCCAGTGCGAGACACGGTCTGGAAACATACCTCTCCGGACAAGACTCGAACCGTGTACCGAGTGTGAAGGTCTCGAAGAGGGCGTGTGTGTATGGGTTGCTCAAGGTTTGTAGGATTTCCAGTGCAAGGAGGAGCCCGGGGAAGGGCTCACGCCACCCGTCCGTTGTGACTCAGAATAGAGTCTCCCAGCGGACCAGATTGCCCAATCCAAATGGTGAGGCGACGGCGGTCGATCATCACAGGGCATGTAATCCTCGAAGCTACGGCATCCTGAGACGATGTGATATGTCGACAGCGGAGCGAAAGGTACGCGTGAGCATGTGACTGCCTGGCTGTGGCACTACACCCCCAAATACTCTCGCGCCGGACCCCCGGAAAAGGCCTTCTTCGCAGATGAGCTCACCGGAAGGAAGGGCTTCCACGACTTGATCGACGATCGACAACGATGCTTCGTCGCTGTTGCCGGTGCCTGCTCAGGCTCCCCTCGCCGTCGCATCCCGACTTGCCATTCAGAGGGCTCCGCAGGGACATTCAAACCCGTCGACACCAAAACGATGCCAACCAACCAGAGACCGCCTTGAAGCATCACCAGTCCGATAGGCTCAATAACCCAGCTCGATAGACTCACTCCCTCTTGCGGATGCTGTCCCCTTCGTACGTGGTCAAGGTGGCTGATGACCTGGGTGACTGACGGAGTGGCCAAAAGACGTGCAACAGGGGCCTGTGAAACCCGGAGATCTTGGGTTACATGGCCACCATCAAAGGGGCACACCTAAAATGGCCCTGCCATCTACCAGGGCTGTCAGTCGAGCGAGTAAATTACACACTCTCCAGTGACTCATCCGAGACCCTTCGGAGCCCACGCAGGGCGCGGCTCGAGGTATTTGAACGTTCGGTGGCCCTCCGGTGATACTACTAGATCAAGGCGTGCACAGGGCCACGGGGTTGGATCCAAGGGATCTTGTATGGTCCCTGTGTGCGTTGGCAAGGTTGGGCTAGGTCAGCACATCCATGCTGAGATTGGCCGCGTGTGAATGATGGTGGTGTGTTGCACACCAATTCCAGTGGTGCGCAGCCCAACGGCGTGAACCCGAGCAGTCGGGCCTCACCCAATCGCACATGCTCAACGCCGTGCAATCCGCCACAGGTACCTCCCAAGAGGCGTGCGCGTATTATCGTCCGTTTGGGCTCCAGTCGCCCGGGCGTGCTGTCCTGCACACATCACTGATGACGTAGCACTGGAGGCCGTCAAGGACAAAATGTGACTCAAACGGTTAGATTTGTCAGTCTCGATCAAAAGATGTGGAAGTCGAGAGAAGGCAAACGTTCTCTCTTGGGTTGGAGTCCGGTAAACCCGGGGGGCTGGCGGTGCCGCCCGACGTGCAGCCGCCCGCACATGGGCAGCCCCTGGAGCGATAACTCCCGTTGCACCGCCACACCATTGGCAGCCGTGCAATGGGATTCCGGATTCCTGGATTGGACCGTTGACCGGGTCCAGGGCAGCACGGTAGTATGAGAATGTGCATGGGATCTTCAGGGCTTTCTTGTCTTGCAGGCCTCAGCTGAGTAACAATTTCGACTACTGAGTATTGCCTTGCACCAACATCTAGACATGATTTGTGTTTTAAGGTCTTTAGCTGAAGACAAAATTGCCTCCCCAGCTATCCGGCTTGCTGTAGGAGATCCAAAATCTAGACATGCCCTGGAAATAATTATGTACCGGTTTGACTGTACCTAGGTAGAGTGCTTGTGATTGTCGGCGGAGAAATACGTCAAGTCCCCCCCTATTGGTGGCCACTCTGCTTTTGAACTTGAATAGACGCAGCAATCAGATTCTACTTTCAAAATCCCTGAGACGAAGTCGTGCGAGTATCTTTGCCTTGGATCGACTGGTGTTTGGTTGGACTGGAAGTCATGGGAGATCACGCTGAGTGTTGGAATCAAGAATACTTCACTACACTTTACCTATAGAGTCGCAGGATCTTGATATTAACGTTTCATTGTTCTCTTCTTGTCCATTTTAATGACCCTCGTGATCAGCTTGTTAAGTAACGTAGTTGCTGAGACTATACCACAGTAATGTATTTTATATGCTTGCCCTGTATGTAAAATAGGAATCGAACAAGCAAGAATAAGTACCGCGATGTTGTGGCAACGCCTGAATCAACCAATGCTCTAGAATCAGACAAGGAGCGAAAGATGCATCGGGCGAGAAGCAGATGCCAGGTGTTTTCGAAACCTGGCCGCGCCAGAAGAGAACGTCGAAGGTGCAGTGAATGATTGATGAGCTACATATTGATATAGGGTCTTGTGATCACACTCGAGAAGAAGTCGCAATACCACACGGAGCCCAACAGAACGATCACTCGCAACTTGTCTATCTTGTCATTTTTCTGCATTTGAATATCACCATCATCATACCATCATAACCTTGAGAACACGAGAGCCAACTCAAGTTGACGTTTACTCGACGTGAGCCCTGCCCAGTGACAACAAAGCTTATCGTCTATTGTACTTTCTGCATATAAGCACGCCCCGTAATGTTATCCTTGGCCGGACAGGCATCATTCAAAGGACAATGTCAGGCTTGAACAACATAGTCTTGAATTATTTCTGTTCGTGGCAGGAACGACATTACGCGACAGCCGTGGAAACAAGGCAAAAACGGCACGCGCAAGGAATCCTCCGCTTCCCTCGTGCCAGAATGGGATGTACCTCCTAGCAGTGAGTATTCGCCAACTGCAGCATTGTCTTACAATGGGCGATGTTGGGTAAAAGAGCCGCCCAACATTGTGAGTCATCGTCCAAGTAATACCAGAAGACCTCGGGAGATATGGCCGCCACACCTGCCTTGTCACGAGTGCTGGGCTGCAAGAGTGCCTCGCCTAAAGAGTTGCCCATGGCTTGCTCTGTAATCTGCCCGTGGACGGAGATGGAGTTCATCGACGATCACTGCGCGACCCAGTGAGCCCGATTACATCTTCCACCAAGGTATCGCCCTCGAGCAGCATCATTCATGCACCTAGACCAATGTTGCTCGGTGACAGCCTGACCAGCAAGGTGCAATGTAGATAGACCTGCACCGGTGGCAACGGCGGCCACTGGCAATTAATGTCAGGAGTAGATGGACGTGGGTAGAAAAATCGCACAGCCACAAGGGCAACAGGTGGAGCAATCATGCCTGTCCACCCACACACATGGTATCCACAAAGACTCGGCGGCTGCTTTACATGCTGGGGCAACCAGGCGTGTCCACTTACAGACCTTGCTGCATTGCATGAAAGAGGGAGAGATAAGGGTCCCGTCCGGTAGCGAATACTACTTGTACCGACAAACAGGAGGGGCAGGAAATGATGACATCGCCCTGCAAGCCACCCTCAGAAAGGACGCGTTGGGCGCCAATGGTCTGTACAAAGCGTGGGAAAAAAAACCTTGGAAGTGTCGGTGTGCGTGATTGTCGAACTGACGGCAAGGCGTTGCAAAGTTGTAGATGGCACGAAGGGCAGCAATGCCTCTCGCCCTGCAAGCCTAGCCCATCCACCGCACCGTCGTCATGGAGACCAGAGACCAGAACGACGCCGACGGGCTGAAAAATCGACGGTGTCCTGCAGCGGCTAGGAAAATTACAAAAGTAGGTGAGCGAAGGTTTTTGACAGGGCGCGCCGTCCAATGGAGCCGGCCGGTGGGTAAGGTGAGTCTCCACGTTCCCGCAGGAATGGATCCTCACTAAGGCACTGGCTGGTATCTGCAGCAGCCGATAGGGCGGCTGCACGGAACAAAAGTGATGCTGCCGCAAGAGCTGCTGGCCAGCAATTGACCGATCAGGACATGAGTCTGAAGCCTCCAATAGGAGGGGTGGTCGTGTCCGAGGACTGTATGCGCAAGAGAGAGCCGAGTGCTCGCCCTGTAAAATTGGGCTTCAACGCATAATCGCAGCATGCCACGCCCCAGAGGCACACCACTCAACCTGCATCACCTGTGACGCATTTTTGAGGCGAGCATCTATCTGGTGACTCACGATTCCTGCTGTTCCTGACAATGACCAGTCGGACGACGTGGGATTTTTTTTTTTTTTTTTTTTTTTTGCACACCGTATGTAAACAAATGACGACGATCAGGGGACGAGGAACCCTGGTCTGTCTGTCGGTCAATGCTGTCTCACCGCAAAGTCGAAGGTGACGACGGCCCCTGGCGTGTGGTTTTCTAGAATGATGCGGGCCGAGAGAGGGAGGTCCTGGGAGGCGGGCAAGCGGGGCACCTGACGCAGTGAAATCAAGATGACAGCTGCACTGGCCAGACTGGGCCTTGGCCCGGGATCAAAGAAGCCAAAACAGTGGGCATCGATGGCGGAAAAAGAAGTGGAAATGTGGACTCGTGCATAGACCTGGGACGCCCTCGCAAATCAATCCGGGGGTTTGGCGTGACCATTGTCTGCACGATGAGAGAAGCGCCAGCGGAGGGGTGATGAAATGGGGCCGGCCCGTGTATGCACACACCCAGCCGGCTCGGTGGGCGGGGGGCGTGTGGGAAGCTCACGATGTTCGAGGCCTGTCCAGAGGCCTTCTGCCCAGGTGTGGCTGTTGCTTTTTGCCCGGCCGACATGGCCGTGCCACGCATACTATGTAGTACTGTACGGGGTCGAATCCACCCACCATGTCGTCATGTCTCTGTGGTTTTGAGCATTGCTTCTGGTGCCACGATGGTTTGCCTGATGAACAAGACGAACGCACCTGGGCAGTCTCCGTCTTGGACTGTGGTCACCCGGCCGAGACCGAGCCCGGCGAACCCGGATCCCGCATACACGGTGCCCTTTCCCACCATGCTGTTAATATTAACTCTTGGATGCAGGCCATGTCGAAACAACGGCCTGTTATTCCCTTCACGACGGTGTGAAGGACCTGTGCCTGCGTATGAGGCGGGGGCCATATCATTTCGAGCCGAGTCAGACGACACAGCCCGAGAGAATGCTGCGGGTATATTGATCACCCCAGGATGACCCCGACAGGCCCGAGTCGAGTGAATTGAATTGAGTTTTGGCCGCTTGGCCGGTGGGCCGGTCGGTGGGCTGGAGAAAGGGCCGCGAAAGTTGGAAGACGCCCGTCTGCGGCCACCTGTCAGGCCGCCGAGGGGTTGTAATCCGTTCACAATGAGGGTCTCCATTGAGCGGGACAGCGGGAGTTGGAAGAGGTCGGCTCTTGGGGGCCAGCTGAACGCGTCTGGAGTCCACGTCCGCCGACCAGACAGCCACTCTGCCAGGCTGCCAGGTTGGTTCTGATTAGACTAATTTGTCTAGATCCGGGGGCGGAGGATCCTGGGCGAGCTGGAAAAGACGGGCTGGCGTACGGGTCTGACGGGGGACTGCCCTGAAGGGAAAAGGAATCCCTCCCATTCGCCGGCCAGTCAGCCAGTCTGCCAGTGGTGCATGAACACCCCTCCAGCCCCTCGTGAAATCTTCCGCCGGGGATCGCGGCCAAGTGTTAACTGTGCTCGGGCCTTCCCTAGGTGGTTCATATCCTGCAAACCCCTACATTAGGGGCGGCTAGGACCTGCGATGAACCCGGCAATAAGGAGGAGGTTTGCCACCGGGACGGTCGTGATAGAGTATCAAAGTGTCAGACAGCGATGCTGCTGCGCATCATTGCCGTTACCTGCAGTAGCCAACCCCGCTTCTGGGGTCCGATGCAGCAATTCCTGGCACCGACCGAGCTGCAGGAGAGATGGCCAAGATGGCCCTTCCGCAGCGTGTCAGTGCCGATCGATCCTCACTCGATACACACGGCGGCAATAGGTCCAGAGCCGCGCAAGGGCCTAACTTGAATGAGGGCCTGGGCAGTGGCCGGCCGGCTCGCCCAGGTGGGGAAGGTCATGGCAGGTTGTGTGGTTGAACCCAAGGTTGTCAGGACGCGGCCGATAAGAATGGTGTAGGATGCGAGATGTGCACGTGGAGGCGGGGTGTGAGAAATGATGACGACCACACGAGAGGGCGACCACTTGGTAAGGGTCACAGATCATGTCAGGCGGACCGTCAGACTGGATGGATGCTGCCGAGGACCAGTTGACGTGAACGAATTCACACAGCTTGTAGATACTGCCCACTTGTGTCATGCTCGTTGTCTATTTGGTCCTCTTGTTAACCCTTCACGTCTCCTGCCCCTGAAACGAAACCATCCTCCTGGTGATTGCTCCCGTCATTCTGCCTCGGGCACGACTGTCAGACAGTGTGTACCTCTGTCATCCCCATTGCCGCCTAGATATCTCGCCTGCACCTCCCTCACACAGGCAGAAAACAGGGCAAGCCTGGCGTCACCAGCAATCTATATAGTGCTGACAACACCCGAAGGTCTCTTGCTCTGCTCTAGCCTCTACGAAAACCGCCGGGCATCCACCACGGCTACGGCTTCACCTCTGGTCCCGAGGTCCGGAGCAGCCTTGTGTCTCGCACTCCCTCACAACCTGCAACCTTCCGCAACTGCGATACTATCACAGCCGTGGTCGTATATGGCAGGCCCTGCAGCCCACGAGGAACCGCATAGACGCCTCGCTCCATAAACCGACCGCCACCATCTGGCCGCCTCCACCCAGCGTGTTGCCTTTGCCACCGGCTCGACGTCCGGGGAACTGTATTCCTGAGGCCGCCCGGGGCTCAACCTCAACAGATCACGCGCGTCAAAACACATCGGCCGGCTCGAGTCACCTCGACTGGCAGGCTGGCAGACTGGCAGACTGGCTTGGCCGCCCTCGTATTTGTCGTCTTGTCGTGGCCCAGAGACACCACGTCGACAGGGGTGTTTACGTCTTTTGGAACGTTCCCGACCTTCCGGAACGGCTAGGTTTGCGGAGGGAGGATTGGGTGCGGGCCTCATCCCCATGTGAACCCACTGTCTGTCCACCTCTCCCGAGTCCTACCTAACAGTAGTGTATTGCCAGACCACACTAGCATCGTATCCACGCTGCCGCGGCGACAGCAGTCACGGAGAACAGGGTCGTTGGATATCGAATTTGCATTCCTCGACGTGACGACAAGGAAGAATTTTCACAGGGCCTGGTCTTGGAACCTGGCATCCGGAGCCGCGACATTGTGGACCATCCCGGCCGTTGTGCAAATCCAATTTCGCTTACCCGGTCGTCCAAATTAAAGCTGTGTTCACTCACACACACTGACAGCCTGAGCACTGGCACACCGTTGAGCCACCGCGGTATCGATTTCTTTACCTTTGCAAAATTCTGCACCAGGGACCAGGGACCAGGGCTCAGGGCCCAGGGACCAGGATTCAGGATCAGGGTGAGCTCTCACCGAGGTTCGTCTGCGCATCCTCCTCACCTGGAAACAAACGTCGGACGGCGTTGGACGGCAGACGGCAGGCAGAGACAGAGGCAGAGGCAGAGGCAGAGGCAGAGACAGACAGACCTGCGCAGCCCCTCTTTCGTTCTATTTTCAGGTGCTTCGCTGCAGCTGAGCCTAGACTGCTGGCGCTGCGACTGCGTCAGGTCTTTTGTGTGATTGGGCTGTTGCTGGCTGGCTCATCAGCACTGAACAATCGAGCAGCTGCGCAGACAGGCTGACGGGCAGAGGGGGTGCAGAGGTGCAGAGGTGCAGAGGGGCAGAGCTCAGACACCACGCGGGCTGCCAGACTGCCAGGCTGCCCTCTGGACAGTGTGGAACATTGTGGCTGGTTCTGGCAGGGGTGACTAATAGGGTGGTCAGGTATTTCTGGACTTCTGGTACTTGGCTGCCGGTCCTTTGATAACCACACGCCCCTCCACCGCCGGTCACACCAGGTCCCCACGAGGCACGCATCCCTGGCATCCCTGGCATCCCTGGCACCCAGCATCTGAGCACGGAGCTCATTTTCACTCATCCTTCAACCCGGCTAGCGCACCTACAGGGGGTCGCCTGGGATATCCCTGCCCGCCCACTCGACACCCTCTCGACCTGTTTTTGCTCACTCTCCGCGCCCTGGTCTTGGCTGGATTGATTCTTAATACCCCCCTTCGCACCCAAAATCTCCAACCACACCATTTAGTCTCGTCCTGCCACCTTGGCCTCCGCCAACCTCAACATACAAACACCGTCCTCACCAGCGTCCTCTGACATAACCAACCACGCTTACCTCACCCTATCGCAGTGACTGGGCTCCCCGAGTGATCCAGTCTGTTCCAGAAGTCACCATCAGAGACGTTTTGCGACGTGCTTTGGTGCCCCCATGCCCAACTCGCTCCTGCGGACGGTTTGATTTTCCACCAAAAAAGCCTTGGACATGTTCGCGAACAGAAGACGGTCTTCCTCTCCTCTTCCAACCGACCACATACCAAGGTGACAGGCTTCACTTTCCCATGCGTCCCGACATAGGCGCCACATTCGAGCTGCTTGAGACGGGAAAATCCACATCACAAACCACACCACATCAACATCATCACATCCACACTGCCGCATAAGGGGACACACAGCCGGGTCGCGGGGTTCTCTGTCTTTTTTCCTTTCCTTTCCCACATCGAGCTGGGTGTCAGCGAGACATCGCAAGAGTCAGGAAGATGAACGGACACTCTCCCTACGGGGCCTCTGGCGCCGGATACTACTACAGGGACGAGTTCGCGAGCCCCTCGCCGACTCCATCTCCCCGGGGACCTGCATACTACGCCTCCACTCCCCAACGGCCTGCGACGCGGGCGCACTTCAGGCACATGAGCAGCGGCATGAACGACTACCCGAGTCCGCGCCCGGCAGCAGCTTTCTCGCCGCGGTACAACAGCGATGGGCTCTACTCGACCAACGCCGCAACTGCTAATGTGAGTGCAACGCGATCATCGCGGAAACAATCATTCTCTGGGACGACGCGCCCCAAGCGCGAGCGCCGGTCTTCATATTCCTACTATCGGGCCTCTGATTCACATGGGGAATCCGACGAGGACGAATACGTCGAGGTCAACGGTATCACCTACGTGATACCCGCGCGGTCGAGGCCCAAGCGCCACTCTAGGCAGGATGAGGGTCTTTACTATTCTGGACACGTTGATGGGCACGCAACTGATCGCCACTACTATCCACAGGCCTCATCCCGCCGTCAGGCCAACAATGACTTTGACAGGTACGAAGTGCCCCACTACTACGAGGAGCCGCCCCGCCGCTCCTCTGGACACACCAGGCGCGCCTCGCACTCTATCCCCCAGCGGCCCCAGACCACCCGGCCCGCCAGCTCTCACAAGGCCCCGCCGACGACCAGGAAGGCTACCGAGTCCGATGCGAAGAAGTATCGCATCCCCCCTGGCTACTCCCTGAAGAACTGGGACCCGACCGAGGAGCCCATACTCCTGCTTGGCTCGGTGTTTGACGCAAACAGCCTGGGCAAGTGGATCTACGACTGGACCGTCTACACCCACGGCCCCTCGACCCCGATCTCCGAGATGGCCGGCGAGATGTGGCTGTTGCTGATCCAGCTTGCCGGAAAGATCAAGAGGTCCAAGGAGTGCGTGCCACGGATCCGGTTGCTCGACAGCAGGGAGATGGTTGAGGACTTCATCGAGTCGGGCGAGCGCATCACGGACAAGCTTCGCAAGCTGCTCAAGACGTGCGAGCAGCCCATGCTGAAGGCGAGCAAGAAGAAGGAACAGCTCGGCAGGAACTCAGGCATTGAGTTCGTCGAGACACTGTTTGGCCGCGAGCGCGAGCTGGAGAAGTCGGAGCGCTTCATGCAGCAGGTGCGCCTCTGGAACATGCGGTTTGACGCCAACTGCGAGGAGGTGCTCAGGCAGCCCACTAAATAAGACCACCCGACTCCACCTGTCGCCAACTTCACACACACAGTACGCCTAAGCACGCACGTGCAGCACAGCCCGAACCACCGCTGTGCTCGACACCCAAGGCGCAAACCAGAAAAAAAAAAGACAAGAAAACCATACACCGATCCTGTACTATTATGCTCACAGACCAGCGGGGATTTCTTTTGCGGGACTTTTTCACTACTTTGGTCTCATCTACACTGTCTAGAGACTCACGTCTCAAAGGGTGGCTGTCATCTTTCTGGTCTTTACAATGATACCCAGGGATGTTATTTCATATTTGGCTCCTTACCCTCCCAGTGGAAGGGCCTCACCACAGACGCGCAACAGCAAGGACGACACGGGTCAGCGAGACACCGTTGAATGCTTACTTTGTGCCTGGCGACACACAAAAGCTATTTTTTTATTCAAGGAATTAATGCCGCGACTCGATTACGACGACTGGCAATGGGGAACAAGGGAACACGGGATATACTTGGCTGCTAGGATGGGAATAATTGGCTAAGCGACGACACGAAGCGAATGCGAAATTGTAATGGAATGGAATGGATGGTTTTACGTCTCTCGTTTGCGTGTCTGGTTCTGGAAGGAAAATGGGGAACATCGCTCGGCGCACAACGTGCTGTTCTATTTCTTGTGACCGGCATCACTTTCGCGACCACACGGACGCCTGCCTGATTGTTTGGGTGCGTTTCTTTTCTAGGATCTGTTCTGTATTTTTCCCAGGCCGTTTGATGGTGTGTGGCAAAGATGGAGGAGATACCCACTTCCTTTACTCTCGATATTGTCTATTATTGCGAACAACAGACGTGTGAAGATAGGACGGGCGTGAACAAATTCCAGGTTTGGAACTCTGAACAGCAGCAAATTGCGACTTCTGATGGTGATTTGACTGATAGTGACATGTGACGAATAAGATGAGCGCGGAAGGTGTAGCCAGCCATAGGGCGCCCATCACGCCAGTACTGAGGACCTGGTGGCATTCCACACCCAAGCCCTTCTAAGCCCTTCTGAGCCCACGGGTCTCAGTTGCACCTGCTACGTACATGCGCGACGGTCAAACATCACGTTGAAGACCAAAACCCATGTTTCGGGAACCTCGAGCGTTTGTAGAACTGAATCTTGACAGGCGGCGGGTGCTCGTGGGGGGTGTACGGGCGTGACCAGTTATCAGTCGCACAAGGCTGGTTGCCCGTCAATCAGCGGGACCTCCTGTGGGAGCCTTCCACCGGCCGTCCTGTGCGACGCTGTGGGAGTTGACAGGTTAAGAAAGCATATCACAGTGTGACCCCCAGGCCGATCTCTTGTGCTTCCCTCCCCACCCCTGTTCACAACCGCCGCCCCCATGCCCCCCCCTCCGATTGAGTTTCCATTTTGCATCTTGTCGCAATCATTTTATTTTCTCCTTCCCGTGTTCGACGGGGACGACGTGTGGTGGTGCACACTCCTGACACTCTGACACACAACACGGCGTTGCGCTGAAATGAGACGGTTGGGCCCCAATCCTCTACTGGAGCCCAACGTTGGTTGCCTTTTTTCTTTTCCTTCCCCCCTGGGCGAGTGTGTGTGGTTGAGGGGAAATTACGAGACCGGGGGTTGGCAGTCAAGAGAGTAAACACTCGACCAATGTTTTGTTTTGTCCGTTTCAATTCACCCAAATGCCAATGGTTTTTTTTCTTTTCTTTCTATTTCACACGTCCACTTTAAATATTGTGGCTTTGCCAATAATGCGAAAACCAAAAAAATAAAGGAGCGGAAACCCTAATTTCTGTGCTGCTTATGCCACACCCCCCCTTGACCTTGACCTTGACCATGGCAGCATGGGCACACACGGGCAGGATTGGCGATTCATTTTCTTTTTCATGCTACCCTGCACCCTGCAATTCAGCCAGGAACGAGCAAGAATTTTTTTTCTTTCGCACCTCTGCCCACACCTTCCCTTCCGAAGTCCTTCATCTGGTTGCAGTGATGGAGAAGAAGAAGCAGGATCACGACGCGGTGGCACGGGTGATTGTTGGATCCGAGAGGGGGGTCAACTGCATGTTTCGGCGTGCTGTCGATCAGGAGTTTCTCATCTGGTCTTGCCCTCTCTCGGTTCTGCCGTTCAGTGGTTGGCTTTGATTTTGCGGCGTTGGGGCAGGTTCTCGTCCTGCTCGTGGATTATTTGGGCAGTTCCTCCGATCAAGCTGGTGGTTTTCTTATTTGCGTGTGTCTTTTCCGCCGTCGGCAGCTCGGCGCCGCCGACGCGCTCTGCTTGATTCGCGTGGCGAAGGAAGGAAATGTGAAATGTATTTACTTAGTATGGGATGCTATAGGGGCCGCTTCGGCTCGAAACCCTTATTAACTCAGCCCTGCGTTGCCCCAGGGGAGACGAGACGAAACGCGAGCCTGCGTCGGTCAGTCCCTTTCGTCCCAAGCCCTGCGTCACCGCTAGAATATGGTTCTACTAAGCTGCATGGGTGGACTTTGCGGGTCTGGTGTTTCCTGACCCCGTCCATCCATCCCCACGCCCATTCGAACGTTCTTCTTTGTGTGTATGCTAATGATTCGTGGTTACGATATTGTGAACCGCGTATTCGGGCCGCACTAGGGCCCTCATGCCGTGCCCGTGTATGCGAGGGGGAGCTGAAAGTGAGGGGACACAGCAGCCGTACTAGTCTCAGGGCAGATGGCCTGTTGTTGAGACATGTTCTTTCAGCCTCCACTCCACCATACACCCTGCCGTTATCACATCACCAATGTCCAGCAGAGGGGGCAAATCCTCGACGGCGCGGCCGGCATACTTGGATACGGATACCGTCTCATCGCGGCGTTGCTCCGTCACTGCCCCGGGGCCGGGGCCCAAAGCATTACACGTCAGTCAATACCAAGATAAGGTTTGGCTGTTGCATGTCGGCATGCATACTGACAGAACGAGTGGTGGAGTTGTGTGCGTTTATATCACAGTTGCTGTTATATATCCCGTGTCGCCACGCCTGCACGGGCCGGACAGGGAAACGGGAAGCAGGCATTTCCACGCGGCAGGTATAGGCTCTCTGACGATCCCTTGCATCCAGCAGTCGCTTGTTTCCCTCGCACTGACAGAACCCGGCACATTTGTCTTGTACAACACAATATTGTGGTGTAGCATATGAAGCACAGTGCGTTGAATATCAGAGCCAATGCTGGTTGTGGCTGGTGAGGCTGGACAAGGGACTCTGAGATTGGATCATTGAATTTGGGGGGGGGGGGGGGTGAGCGCAGACACACCCCTCCTCCCTATGTGCTCCTCTGAAACTGTTTCTCAGATACTTGCACGCCACTGTCATATGTGCACACCAACCATATTTTGCCGCGCCGCTCCCCTCTGCAAAGTACACCTCCCTGCTGCGCCGCGAGGATGCAGTGTCGGGGGCGGCTGGTGGTAAGTGAGCAGCGCTCCTTCGACGCAAGCGAGAATAAGAAGATATCTTGCGAGTGTTGCCTCACAAAAGTTCACTCACCCACCACACAATTTCCAAATGCCTGGGGGAAATTGGGATGCATGCATTGATGATAACGAGCTAGACGTGCGGGCAAAAACAAAGGGCCCCGGATCGGCCGCGTCCCGTGCCCGTTGCACCTGGTCCACGGGCCCTCCCTGTGCTCGCTCTCGCCCGTGTGCGCCGGCTAAAGAGATTCCGTCCCATCTTTTAGCTAGCAGAAAGTAAATCTGCTTCCCTTAACGTGTCACCGGATGTGCCGTCGGCGGGCTGGGGCTACTAAGTATCTCAACCGCCTGTTGGTGCAGCAGGATCGGATGCACGGCGGTTCACCACGAATCCTCTAGTGCAAGCAGCAGGCTGATAGCTGTCAGTGGGTGTGCAAGTCTTGTTAATTACTACTTGACTTATTACAACAAGTGTGTGCATGGTGTAGTGGGAGACCTCGGGAGTGGGTGTTGGTCGAGGCTTGCGGGGGGGCGATCATTGGCCTCAGCGCCTAGAGCAAAGTCTCTTGGGGGCCGTTGTGACACTGGCTCGGGTTGGTAGTCTGAAGCCTAAATCCAAAATTAAGCGCCTGCATAGGAGGAGGATGATCTCGCAGGACAGCGCCCGCTGCCAACATTCCCCGGTGGGTATCAAGGGCTGACGACCCCTTCGGTCCTCTTTCTCCATGGGCAGTCTGCCACTCAAGGAAACATGCGTGTGATGGGCGAGCAGGCGAGGGCAAGGGCTGGGGCTCGCTGGCCGCCAGATGGGCCGGCCGTAGGGCTGCCCTTGTCGAGTCTGTCTTGGGTCAGTTGCGTGGCATCTGATACATGTTTATTATGCGGCTCAAACTTGTTCATAATGTCTTGGTTTCGAGGCTGTATGTTTGCCGGCACGGTACTTTGAGTGTCCTAGATGCACTCCCCCCTTCCCCTCGACGTGAAGCGCATCCCTTTGCTTACTGTCACTGCATGTGTGTGCCTGCGCCATGGGTAAGCGAGCATGTGGGATGGATTCGAACCGTGCAGTTTCTATAATTGGGGGCCAGATGTCGCGATGGCAGAGTAGCAGCGAGGGTGAGAAGGGCTCTGGACACTGCATGACGCACGAGCTGCGGCTACTGCGGCCTCTACCAGCCCTGGAGCCCAGCGATGAGCCCTCGGATGGGGTCCAGGTCAGCCCTACCATGACGGTGAATGCCACGACGGTGGATGATGGAGCCCGCTGCTCACCCAGTCAAGCCAGTCAGCCAGTCAAAGCCATGGCATGGGGAAACGGCACACCCTTTGCTATTCCGCAGTCAGCACCAACAGCCGGTGTGGTTGAACAGAAATGTGCAGCGGGCTGGCCTCGCAGTCCGTCGGAGGCAGTCCATTGGTGGTGGCATCGGAATCTCTTCACATTCACAAAGAGCTAGCAGAGGGCCGGGCTGGGCTGCAAGAATGGGCCGAGCCTGATCGTGACTCGATCGGTGCAGGGCAGCTGCTCAGATGTTCAGATGCTCAGATGTCCAAAAGGCGTCGAGGAGTAGGCCATGTGACTGACGACGACCCGACAACCCTGGGGAGCCCTGGAGTGTGGAAGGCCACGAGGGTTGCAACACTGACGGAGTGAGTGCTGGATGCACCTTTTTCGCACAGCAGCCTGCAGAGACGCAGTCAAGGATGAGCAAAAGTGCCCAAATCGGGGAGGTGGGTGGACGCCAGGCGCTTAGGAGGTTGCTGGCAGGGCCCAATCAGCTGTGACCTGCCCCGCCGCGGGGAAGGCCTTGGGGCACGCTGGCTGGCTGGGGAAACACTGAGAGCTAGGGCCACGGCGGCGTCCGTTTGTCCCTCGTCTGTCCGTCTGTCCTCTTTTCTCAGTGCAATCTACCTAGCCATCTCCCAGAAGCAACATTTCTGATCGTGCTTCTTCATGGTGTGTTTGTGCTCCTGAAGTCGTCTGTGTTGGCGGGGTTGATGGCGATGGTTTCATTGCAGTCAGCTTACTACTTGAGTATCTACCTAGGTACTCCGTACTTACACATGTAAGTAAGCACGTATTTAAGTACATACCCCGTGATATGCCCTTCTCCCTCGACAGGGCAGCCTACCTAGGCAGCTCGCGTAAGAGACGGGCCGAACAGGCAGAAGAACACCCAAGAGCAAACACACCAACACCACCCTTCGATCCTTTCTCGAAGCACAATCCTACAGCTTAGCACCCACGCACGCCCCTGTCTCTCCGCACTTCCACAAATGGCCAGCACTATCTACCACGCCCGTGCCGCAACCATCCGAGCAGGATTACGTTAGGACATTATGGGGGTGGGTGTGTTACACGCCATGCATTATCCTATCTTTGGGCTGACTGACTATCAACCCAGCCGGCCAATCACCTGGGCTCTCCGGGACACACCTGCAGATTTTT